CCCTTCGAGCAGCGCGTAACAGGGAACGACAGAGGCCTCTGAGAGCACAAGCAGAGTCACGAGCAGAGCCGGGCCGCCATTTGATGTGACTGAAATGTTGATTAGCCACCCGTGTCACGCGTGAACATGTCTTCGATCTGGAATGCAGGGCGGTCTCCATGCAGATAGATATGTCCTTCCTTGTCGTGTCTTGTCCGCATGACGCCGTTTGCCAAGTCGCGCGACGCTCTTTCTCGGTCCAATCGGTCCTTATGTAGATACGTGCGTGGCGCCTTTGTGCGTTGGATGCAGAGAGAAGTTTCCAGTCGGATGATAATCTTTCCGCATGATTGTCTTCGCTGCCTCCAATGACCCCAGTCGCGTCTGTCAAGATACCGCTCCAGTGCGTGAGGTGCTCTGTTGCTGAAGCTCTGCCGCCCAGAACAAGATAGGGTCGATGACAACTCTCTCTCGTCCAATGCCTTCAAGGTTCATACCACAAGGAATAATTCACTCGTCCTCGACATAACTGAACCGAGGTACTCGGGACTTTCCCACTGGAGCATCTGGGAGGTACGGCTGAGGCTCGTCAATTACGGTCCGCGGCCCACAATCAGGCAGAGGGGAAGGAGCTTTGGGTATGTTGTTGAGGCCGCTTCTTCTCCTCTCGGCCGCCAGCGCTATGATGTTGCGGTCAGGCAGGTGCTGTACCCAACCATTTCCCCTTTCCATCGGTTCCAAGGTGAGTCCTGGACCGTACCTGTTACTCCAGTCAAAGGGATGGACAAATCTGACGAACGACGATGGCTGTGGTTGTCTCACAGGAGTAACATCTGCGACAACGAAACCCCATGCAGGATCTGGCGTCATGCCATTACTGGAGCTCTGATTGCTCTCCTCCAGCTGCATATTGTTGGTCTTACGCGCTCCGTTCGGATTTTCGTGCCGTTCCTGCTCGACTGGCAGCTCCGTTGGCTCTTCTTTCTTCGCAAGCTTGCTAGCCTTCTTCACCTTCTTCTTGTTCCTGGCTGACATGAACCCGCCCCAAGGGTCGTCCTCCTTTTCCTTCTTCGGAGCTGGCGGCGGAAGAGGTGGAGGAGGTGGAGGAGGTGCTTCTTCGACACCTTTCTTGCCGTGCTTCGACTTCTTGCCTGTGTCTACCCAAGCACCGCTGAGCCAATCGGTGGTCGGTTCAGCTGCTACCGGCGGCTCTACCCCAAGCTCGGTCCATGCTGGTTCGCCTGTATCGATTTCTTGAATATTTGGCCCTGTCTCGGGAGGTAGATCGAACCGCACTTGGCTATCGGGGCGCGAGCGTCTTTGTGTAGATAGAGCAGGAACGGACTCCTGGTCTTTTTGCCCCTGATCCGAGTCTGAGGAGGAATGGATACTTTTGGCAGATGATGACGAGCTCGCGAGATCATACCGACTGTGGCCATTGTGCATGCTGGTGAGAGCATCGTCAAGTTTGCGGCTATAGTTCGACTGCCTTGACCCTTGATAATCCTTAACGATTCGCTTCGAAGTACCAGTTGTGCGTGTGCGATAGCTTTCTTTGCCCGTTGTTGATGACGGCCAAATTATCGATGGTGGCTCAATTATTGATGATGGGTGGACACTTCGTTCCGAAGTACCAGTTGTGCGTGTGCGATAGCTTCTACTGCCCGTGATTGATGATAATGATGGCGAATCGGAGGGCGAATTTGAGTGCGTTGGAGGTGGTGCTGGCTCTGCGAGGTATGATCTAGGCGTGGGTCGCGCAGGAATCCCTGGAAGCAAACCTGGAAACGGCGTGAATGGATGGAGTTGGCGATTATAGTATGCGAATGCGTCAGGCCGGTACTCTAGGTATGGGTTGGGCATGCCTGCCCATGGGTATTGGGGCATAGTTCCTCTTGGGCTTGGACTGAGTGCACCGGACTTGCTCTCCTGGATTTCTGGTGATTTCTTAGGGTTCGGGGGCTCCACCGTAGGCGTTCTACCCTCTAACGTAGCATTTCTCTCGAATAATGCGAGCAAATCGCGCGGGCGTCTATGTGGCGATTCCTCCCAGGATCCAAGTTTCTCAAGTTCTCGGACTAAGGGTCCATCTCGGGCGAGCTCAAAGATGATGCGCTGGAGTATGAGTGGTCGTTGTCTTTCCAGTATGCTCTTGCTGCACACGAATCCCTTTTTGGAGTTCTCTAAACGTCGCATGTGCTGCCAGCACGTCATACCTTTATAAAGCGGTCTTCTCAACTTGACGCAAGAGGGTTTCCCGGCCTCACCATACTCTCTGTGAATTATCGGAAGAGGCAGTTTCGACTGAAGTCTTTGTCGACGTGCCGCTCTCTCAGAAACAAATGCCCGCAGATGAGCCAAGACAACTCCAGATCTGCCCGCTTTAATTTCGACCTGTGCAAGTATTTCTGCAATGGTTTCGGACCCGAGATCCTCCATGAGGGCATACTCTAAATGTGGTTAGCCGTTGTTGACACCCGACATATGGCACGGACGAGTTTTACCCAAATTCTTCTCCATCGCCTCGAGCTCGCCGACATACTCAGCAAGCACTGGCTCTTCAATCCCGAGTAATCTCTCAAAGTCCACTACGATCGCAGCCAAGTAATTTCTTGCTGTCAGTAACAGCCCATCTTTCGTGCTGAAAGTGCAACAGCGTAACGAATCTTGGCTTTCGCAGTTCGAAATGTTGCAGCGTCCAGCAAGACGTCGTCTCCTCCTTTCGCGTGCTCTGCGTCCATGCGGCTCAATGCTGCAGTGCCGAAAGAGCGGCAATCCAAGAATTTTGACCAGCTGCAATAGAAATGCATGACTCTGCAGATAGCATTTGTGGAAGCCTCGTGGAGTATGCCTTTGGTGTTGACAGTCGCCTCGTAAAAATCGCGGTGAGTTTTCTCTGCCCTTCCGAAGTCTTGAAGCTTTTCATAGACAGTTCCAAGGCAGCCGAGCGTATCACTGGCCTCAACGGAGTTGACTGGCCTTGATTCCAGCTCGCAACGCCAGATTTCTTCTGCTTCAATCCACTTTTCTTGTGCGTAGTAGACTGCCCCCAGGGTGCGCATGGTCCACCGTACCGGAGCGCTGCGTGGGTTCAAAACATTGGATTCTCTTCCGTAACACAAGCGCAATAGACCTTCTGCAGTCTGCCAGTCGCTTCCTTTCATGCAAATCATGGCGAAACCTTTCATCATTCCTGCGACCGTCAAATATCCAGGAGCTTTGGGGTCATCGAGGCTTGCTACGTCGGGCAAAATTGTCCGGTAGAGTTCCTGAGCAGCGTCGAACTTCGCTTGATGTTCATAGACACTGCCTAGCGACAGCACACTATCCAAAGACTTTGGGTGCTTAGATCCCAGCTCTCCTTGATATAGAGCCAGCACTCGCTTATACAAGACTTCGCTCTCACTCATGGCTTCCCATTTTTTCAAAAGCGATGCTATCGTGTCCCAATCCTTAGCAGTGTCCAATCCACAGGGTACGTCCACGTATCGAGAGAGATGCATTGCATGCGGTATGAGTCGCTTTTCAAGCTCCAAATCCCCCTTCGATTCGGTATGACGGCAAAGCCGGGCAACCAGAAGGCATGCCATGGCAAAAAGCAAGCGGCGTTCAGACTCCGATTCCAAGAACTGTCGGTTCCAGTCGTGTACTACCGGGTGCATGGAATAGCTGTTGTCGTTAGGAGATCCTACTACAAGGGAATATGATTTTAGGACTGCGACACTATCTCGAAAGACAATCTCTTTGCCAGCCAAGGGTGTGAACCAAAGTGGCCAGGTGAAGTCGACCGACATGGCGCCTTCGCTATTTATTAACTCGTACCACAGGTCCGCTCGGTCTAAGAATGCCTAAAGACGTAGAAGTCCGGCCGCAGAGGGATTCTCCTCGGAAACTTGGTTGAAAGATATTACCCAGGTTGTAAGGAGGCTTGCTTACGAGTCGGGGCCTTTAGAATACTTCTGTTGACTTTGCATCAATGCTGCCCATGTATCCTCGTACATGTCCAGATACTTCTCTACTAAAATCGACGTACGGCCCAGGTATGAGCCAGCTTGAGCTAATGCTAAAGGCAGGCCAGATAGTCTCGATGATAAAGGCTGGCAACCTATTAAGCATTAGTAACGCGTCTTAATCAAGTTGAGAAAGCTTACCTTCTAGCGGTCTGCCTGCTCTTGATTGTAGCAGCTCTTCGGACTGAGCGCTATCGATTGGCTGGAGCTCAATACTAGCGTACGGAATTTGCAAATCCGCCAATCTACTCGTCACAATGACATTGCCATGGTCGGCATCCGGTAAGACATCTCGATAGTTGAAAGCCTTAGGATCCTTGCTACGCCAATCACGGTCCACATTGTCCAGTATTAGCAAATACAGCGTTGTATGGGGCGCCCAGCCATTAAACGAATTGACCTGCAAGATCTTGAATATCTATAGTTTTTTGTCCCCATCGTCCGGCTGTCGTCGCTAAGACGGTGTAATCTCGTTTCACGAGTAAACCTAACGATCTGCAAGCAGCTTGAGCGAACGACTGATAGACAGAGGTCTTCGATAAAGCGTCGATCCAGAATATGGACTTGAAACGAGCACCGTTACTACGGGCAAATTCTAGACACAGTTGCGTCTTACCGATGCCTACCATTCCGTGAACAACAAATATACGTTGACGAGATCTGTTGCTCGATTTGGGGAAGAAGAAGGTGTTAAGGCGATCCATCTCGGAGGTTCGAGGGACGAAGTAGCCAGCGATAGGTACATTGTGCAGGCTCAAGGGAACGTCTCCTAGTAGACATTGTCGTGAGCAAGAGATGCTTCTGGAGCGAGGAGTCAGACTTACGCGCTTGGATCCACTTTCGCAAGGTTCCATGAAAGGCAGTGCCCAACATGCCATCGTCGCTGTTGTCAGTTTGAGACTCTGAAGTTGGTTGCTTCACCGGGGTAAGCTCTTCGAGGTGCTGCACGTTAACAAACCTTAAAAGGTCCTTTGCAAACGCAGCCGCACTAGCAGCCGCATATCTCTGCCATCGTTTGGTCTTGTAAGAATCAGAGTAGTCGCATATTCCTGCACAGAGAAGTTAGCGTAAAGATACAAAGTCAAAACTAAACATGCAGAATTCTCGCCGCGTTCGGTGACACGACAGTGAGAACCTCCACGTACCTCGTATCACGATGCACGGGAAACTGTCCTCGAGTCCTGCTACTTCCATCTCAAAGCAAATTACTCCGAGAGTATCTGCAATCCTGTCTCGTTCCTTCGCGAAACGCATGACCTTGTCTCTAGACGCAATATTGCTATAGTAGATGGCTGGAGCTGTATCATTCCGTGGCTTTCTTGTAATAGTCTCGGCCTGATCATAGCAAGTCTTTAGTCTGTCGTCTTGTTCGTAGCAGTCCCTTTCAGCCTCGCTAATGTGTTCGTACGTGGCTTGGAAAAGATGGTCGTACTAAGCTCCTAGAAAAGCATATTTCTCGCCGAGCCTTTCCACGATACTAGCGAGGTGGATCCCAACTTCGCTTCCGTCTAGCCTTTCATATCTCCCTCTAAGGGTAGACAATGCACTTAACAATTCCACAGGCGGCTTATTAAGTGTATTTATTCCTTTGAATCCGCCAGGTAATTCTTTTCCAAAGTCGTACTGTACAACACCTCCGCGGTCTTTATAGGGCTGTCTAACAACAATGTCGCTAAGACGAATGTCTTAATATTTACTAGGAGCTGCGCCGCCGATACCAACCATCAGACCAACTTTAACGCGAAAGCTGCGAGACACATTACTCCCGATTATAGCGGCTGCAGCTTTGCTAGTCTTGCCGGAGGGAAGACATGCTACTACTACATTATGATCTCTAATAGCACCAAACTCGTAGCTAGTTGTATCGGCATTTCCTAGGATTCCCAGTAGTCGCAGGTGTTCCTTATTAAGCGCTGCAACGACTGCGGCCTGTTCAAGTGGGAGCGCACACAGAATGCCAACCTAATAGCCTGCGAGATCAAGTTGTCGTTTCTCTATAATCCGAGGCTCGGCATCGCGGATGCGTTGCTCAGTTTATCGTTTTGCGGGTAGCAAATGCGCGCGCTGGAAACCAGTGCTCTTTTTGCAGTTCAGATAAAAGGGTCGGACTGAATTCGTAGAAGGCGGGCCACGGCCATAGTATATCAAGCGAGCAGTGCTCGGGTCTAGACGAGAAGGCATCGCCGTGCGGCTGAAGCTGCATGTAGCAGACAGGGCAAATCATGTCGCATACGGCTGCAGCCTCGTCTCTGTATGCAGCGTGAAGTCTTAACTCGCGCTACGACCCAGCTGGCGAATTAGAGACCAGATTCGTCCCAACGCGCAAATAATTATTAATACCTATATTCTTCTTACCTGTCTTCTAATCTTAGTATCAAAGACTGAAATGTGTCTTAAGCCTGTAATTCGGTAATATAGTTACTTATAAGCTCTAAATTTTCTATTAAGAAACGTATAAAATTTATCTTCTCTAGTTTTCTATCTAACTATAGTAATAATATTAACGAGTCTAGATATAGCTTCTATATATATATATATTATATATATATAAGCTATTTAGCCTATTTACTAACCTACTACCTATAGTCGACTATACTAGCTAGTAAAGAAAGTAAGTATAATCTAACTCTTCTATATAGAGATATTAAGCTATAATTAAATTAGTAATATATTAGCTAATCTAGCTTCTATATAAGAGACTCTATAAAGAAAGAGAAAAGAGTAGTACTAAAGAGATATATACTAGAGTAGATATAGATCTATTAAGTATATAGTAAAGCTATAAGTAGGTCGGTTAGAGCTACTAAGATATACTACTTAGAGTTTTTAGCTAGTTATAAGATGTCTAGGTATATAGTACTAGGTACTTAGAACTACTACTACTTATTATTTCTCTCTTCCCTAGTATCTAACTAGATACTAAATTAAGTAACGCTATTCTTTTCTAGCGGATTGTAAGCCGCTTCTTAGCTTTAAAATAGTTAGATATAGAGGAAAGCGCTAGGACGAGAGGTGTAGGGTAAGATCTCTAGCGTATAGCCTTATATACTAGCTCTACCTCCGCCCTCGAGAGAAAGGCATATGTAGAACTAACCTATCATTCAAATTCGCCATCCTACGGCGGACTGAATTATCAAACTACACAGCAATTGCTTGTAAATCGCTCTTGTTATTAATTTGAAGCTTTCTGGTTTGCAGCTTAGACATGGGTTCATTGCGCTGGGTGCCGACGGACAAGGCTGAGGCCTACCAAAAGGGTATGCTTCCTTCCTACAATTTGCGAGGAGAGTTCTGAAGGCGCCATAGTCAACGGCACATGGCAAGAGAGTGGACCTGGTGTGAAAGAACACCGTGAAATCTTAGACGCTCGAGCTACCCATAGCATCTTGTAAGCCAATGCGTTCCCTGTGGGCAGTCAAGACCTAGCGCCATTCTGACTGTCTTCAGATTTCTAGCAATGGACAAGACGTTATCTCATGCGCCCTTGAACAACGAGCTGCAGAGCAGGCTTACTTCTCTCTACAACATTCCTCAATGGCTGTGGGAAGCTCAAGCCAAAGACAAGGACTACAACGGGTTCTTTTATGGTGCACATACAGGGCACGAGAGCCATACCTCCATTTTCCGTTTCATGATCAAGTATGTCACTGGAGAGACTCGCACGGCTGAGAGTGTCCTTCCGGAGATCCGCTACCGATGGCACATTTTAACATTCGTGTCCTACTGGAAGACCGAAGGCACTGTAAGATTGCTCTGCTTGTTTCCAAAAGAAGACTTCTCAGGCTATGCCAGTCTAAGAGGGGACATGAAGCAGGCGTTCGAAGAGACCTCTACGGACACATTGTCATCACATCCCTTTGCTGCCCATCCGCTGGTGTTGAAACAGGTCACGCGTCTCTACGATCAAGCTATTCGGCAATTCCGAGGTTACGTTCGCGAAACTGAGGAGCATCGCCCGTCGATCGAAAAGCCACATACGAACTACGTGGCTATGCACGAGCTCGCCCGCCATACCATGCATTGCTCCGAAGTCTTGGCTACGGCGCTGAACGTGATGAAGAACATGCTGGAAGAATTCGACAGGGTAACGTCAACCTGCAAACTAGAACTGAAGCCCACGAGTTATGATCCAGGACCTGAGATAAGGCACCGCAATTCGGTGCTTCAGTTCATGCACAATCGCTCGCTTGCAATCGAGGACCGCCTCCGCAACGAGATCAACCTCGCGCTACACATCACATCGCAGCACGCCAACAAGCTCTCCGCCGAAATCGCAGAAGCCGCCCGAGTCGACAGCAGAACGCAGAAGACGATAAGCGTTCTTGGTCTCCTCTTCCTACCAGGAACATTCATCAGCGCTCTCTTCAGCATGTCCTTCTTCAACTTCACCCAAGCAACATCCACATCTCCCGCCTCATGGTCAATGAGTCCCAAATTCTGGATCTACTGGGTCGTCGCAATACCAATCACAGCGCTCACAGTAGCGACATGGTGGATATGGCAAAAGTCCCTCTTGACTCCCAACTCGAATCTATCAACCGGAAAAACGGTGCGCCGTTGTCCTACCCCATCCCATGCATACAACACTAGCAAGGTCTGAAAGGAGGTGAAGTGATGAGGTGACTTGCTCGCGGCGACTCCACGGTGATGTCGCTCATGCCGGCCGACGAGAGGGGGCTCGAAGTAGATTAGGTAATATCGTGCTACCTTATTACTAAGATAGATCTTTCCCCTCACTCCCCCAACTCTTCATCACCAGCTTTCCTCCTAATCCTCACTCCACCCTTCGCATTCCCCGGCACCGGCGCGAAATAGTCCGCCGCCATATCGACCACATCCCTCTCCGTCTCCAACAGCCCCACATCCAGCCTCCGAAAGATGGTCGCAATTCCGATAAAGAGTTCCGCCTGAGCGAGATGCATGCCCAGACACATGCGCGGCCCTCTACTGAACACGACCATGTATTTGGAAAGCGGATGACCTGAGGGCGAGACGGGATTGTCGAGCCAGCGCTCGGGAATGTACTCGAGCGGTCCGGGGAAGATGTCGGGATTGCGATGTTGGAGGGCGGGTGTCATGGCGAATTCTGTGCGCGGAGGGAGGACGTAGTCTCTGTAGCGGACGGATATGGACGGGTTCCATCGTGCGATGCGGCCGCTGACGCCGTATGTCAGGCGTAGGCCTGCCAATGTGTTACTACTCAGCCAAAGATTTGCTGCTGAAAAGGGACAGGATCAAGCTAGACTGGGTTCAGTACTGCATACCTTCTTGAATTACCGCATTCAGATACGGAAGCTTCTCGAGCTCTGTAAAGGATGGGATGTCCATTGGGTCGGGAATAGCGGCTTCGAGTTCTGCCTTCAACCTGGCATGCACTTCCGGCTTCTTCAAGATCCAGAAGCTCGTGAGAGATCCTGATCGGGTTGTGGTCTCCACGCCGGCAAGCGTCGTGTTGACGCCATTGTCTTCCCTGAAAATATTGTTCAGCGATGCTAAGGACGATGCTTTAGGCTCTGGACTCACATCTCTTTCATGGCACCCGGAGCCTGTCCAATTTCCTTGGAAAGCTCGTGGAAGACAGTCCGGTGGGCAACAGCTTTATGCCCTTCATTCTCACCAGACACGACTCGCCGGACCTGACCGCGAACATCCTGCAGGAGCACTAGTCAATCTAAGCCGTACACCAGTACGAGGGCCTGCTGAGCAAGCGGAGCCCATGTCTACGTACCTCTTGGAATTGGAATATTGCTCCGATTTCTTCACTCAGCCTCGTCAAAGTCTTGGGCGGAATGGCATTGAAGACTTTCATCAAGATGGGAAAATGCGTCAGCCAGTGGATAGAATAGATGAGATTGCTCGTGGCCTCGGTGAAGGAGCAGAGGAAGCCCGGCGCATCGACGAAATTGTAACTCATAGCCAGCGTGAACCAGAGGACGTTGTCGGTGGCGTACGCGGCCCATGCCTTGTCCAGGCGGACAACCTTGCCTTCCTCGTCGCAATACCTTTGAATGTGATCCACGACGCGATGGGCCTTTTGCTGGACGGAAGGCAGCAATTGCTGCACCCTCTGCCGGGAGAAGAGACTCGCTACCGGCGCTCGTCTGCGGTCGTGGAGATCCGAGTCGGGCGTGTCGGACAGCGAACTGGGCGTGTTGAATCGATGGCAGATGTAATCCAGCTTGCGATGTCTAGGCTGTTTCATCGTGTACAGCTCGTCGTGGAAGTCCGGGTCGCGGATGTGGACTTGCCATGGGGTGATGCGAACGATGGGACCTGTGAAGTCTATCGTTAGCCATTCCGTTCCTGATGGAGAGGGATTTCCTGGAAGCTGGCGCTGGATCGATCGGTCTGGAAGGACATGTCTGACATTGGGTATTGTCGCATTTGCAAGCACCGTTGATCGCGCTCAACCAACCTGAACAGCTTTCCCAGACTCGGCGTTACGTACCATACTGCTCATGCCACTTCTCAATCTGGAAGACATACTGTCCTCCCAAGACCAAATCATACCAAATCTCCACCAGGCCCGTGGCAGCAGCGAGCTTGGGTCCGGGGACGTTGGCGATGGGACTGAAATACAGACGATAGACGACGATGGCGGCACTCCAGGCGATGGCAACGGAAACCAGCAAGTACACGGTCTGAAGCGAAAGGGGATGTGCAAGGAAATCCATCATCTTTGTGCTGCGATCGACTATGTCACAATTTCATGGAAGCACTAGAAGGAGATGGATGGCGGTTGTTCCCTGTCAATGCCAGAATGGAAGACATTGTTCAACAAGCCGTGTCGCGCATCCCACCTGGCGACGGCCACGTCACATCTGTGCAAGTGCAGCCGCAGCTGAATCGGCATGTGCATGGAGCTTATTCCTTCGTATGTCAGGGTAATATGAGAGCCGCAGCTGGAGCTGGAGCTATGAGCCACTTTTTCCGTGGGGCTACGATGCCGTTGGGCCCGACTATTACCTACCTCTTCCCGTCTGTGGTGTCCACATTGCATCCTCTCAGCTAGGCGAATGCAGCAACTTCCTTCTCGCACCACGCTACCAGTTTCTTCGCCATGCCCATCCCGCCCTCAGCTTCAGACTTGGCAGCAGCTTCGACGTCCGGTCTCACGCCCCCGAGTCTGCCCCATGGCCAGACGTAGGATCCGCTTTTCTCTGGCGTGATTTCTGGTGCGACAGAGGCCCAGAGTTCGGTGTAGCCGCCGTAGACCGCTGGATAGAGCAGCAAGACATCCTGGACGCCATGTCAGCAGTGTATCAAAGCGACATCATATTTGGATTGAGTGACTTACAGTAATCTTCGCACCAATCCCTCCCCAATGCCTCTGCAACTCGGTCCTCAAATTACCCGGGTTGAAGCAGACATGCACCACACCATTCTCCGGGGTGGAACGAGCGAATTCCTTGGAGAAGAAGAAGTTGCCGGTCTTAGTCTGGCCGTAGTTGACCTCGTTGCTGACCTCACTGGAATTGGGCGATCCGTCGGCATTCAATTTCATACCGCCGTTGCCGGGAGAGGCGACCTCGATACCGACGGATCCCGCCCAGGCGACGCGAACGGATGCCGTTGGCGAGGATGCAGCGGTGCGTGCAAGGAGCGGCAGGAGGAGTTTGTAGAGGAGGTATGGGCCGAGCAGGTTCGTTCCGACTTGGAGATCGTGCGACTGGGCGGTGGTGCTTCCGATGGGCGGAAACATGACCTATTGGACCCCCATATTAGTTCCAATGGCATCCATAGTCCTCTGAAGGAGGACGAGGAGACCCTACTCACTCCGGCATTGTTGACCAGCACATCCAACCTCTGCTCCTTTGCCCGGAAGGCCTCCACGGCGGGCTTGATGCTCTCCAATTCTGCGAGATCCAGCTTCAGGAACTCGAGTCTCCCTGTACTGCGGACATTCTGCTGCTTGATCTTGGCAATGGCACTGGAAGCTTTCTGATCGGAGCGCCCCGCGACGTAGACAGTGGCGTTGCAGGCGAAGAGAATGCGGCTCAGTTCGTAGCCGACGCCTGCATAGCCTCCCGTCACGATGAAGACCTGGCGGCGGATATCCTGTCAGCATGTGATGCAGCAACACCCGCCGAAAGCGAGAAGCGGGATAGAAGTCCTCCTCGAGACTTACCCGACCCTTCTGATCCGGGCAGTTGTGCTCGGTGATGGCCGGTTTGGGGAGGAAGAAGGACTGCGAGAAGAAGTTGCCCATGTTGTGACGTTGTCGACTTGGATTCCCACCGCTGCAGTCGAGACGAGTCGATGGATGGTTCTCGGTTGTGAATTGATGTGTTTGTTTGTTGATGGGAGATGTGGCGTACGAAGCTGGCATTGGAAGATGTCTGGAACGCTGCAGCTGCCGAGCTGTGCCACCCCACAATGCAGCCTGCAGCCTCTCCCACCACTTTTATGCAGGGTCTCGCACGACTTATGCCAATCACATGCACGCTGCTTATTACATGCATGGCTAGCGTCTCCGCGCGTTGTACAAGCTTTCAGCTCATGCACCTCTGCCTCTGGCGACAACTCGGGCCTTCTACTCTTCCCCCCAGGTTATCGGAAATATCTCGATTCAGCAATCCTCTAGAGACCCATCATACGTCACACGGACGCAGCACAGTCTCGTCTGCTCGCAATCAACCGCAATCACAAAGACGACAAAGCCTTGATAGCCATGGCCGTCGTGACGCCTCGATTCCCCAACTGCACTCCCGTGGACCCATATCGATACATCCAGCTGGCAGGCCAACCGCCATCTTCCTCTTGCAATTGAAGAAGAGCACTGACGTCCCCTCGACAGGAGATGCCAAACTCGCAGCAGTTGATGATGCGCATTGCAAGCTCAATCGCACCGCCTTCCCTCCCCACACGCTCCGCCACACGCTCTCGGAGAACACGCTCGAGCTTTCCTCGCACCTCTGGTTCATTCGAGGAGTTGAGGAGGCGTGCGATGAAGTATAGACAGCAGTCTGCGTGCGGATAGTAGCGCGTTCCGCTCTCGTAGGAGCGATCTACCAGGACATCGCGGATCATTTCCAGGGTTTGCGCGAGTTGACGTCCTCGCCCGTAGCGGTAGAAGCAGGTGAGGACGTTGGCGCTGACGATTTCGTCCACTCGCGGCCTGTCCCAATCGAAGTAGGTCTGAATCCTCGTGTCAGTCGAGAGACTTTCGAAACATTCTCCAATTGGCGTTCACTTCGGTGGACTTACCTGGAGCCTCCCGTCCTCGTGCACATAGAGGAGCATCTCGTCGAGTAGCGAATGCGCGAGGTCTTCTGCAGGCGGTATGACGGTCAAGGCGAGAGATGTGGTGTCGAGATCGTCGGGAAATACCTTGCCGGGTACAAGGACGGGCGTGCCTGGAAAAGTCGGATGTTAGTCCCAGCGGAGCAGATCCATACTGCACTCCACGTACCATCAAAGAAGTTCCAAGTCCGCTTCTTGTCCCATTGTGGCACAATGTATCTGCTATTGGACAATCAGAAAGGGCTTGATGGAAGATGCGGCCAGAGAGCACTTACCAGGAAGGGATCGTGTCCTGTATAAGAAGCTTTGCAAAATTGTCCGGCACCACAACGCCGCTGTCCGTGATGGAATGTAGATTGTCGGCGGAGGCGTTCGCACTCAGAAACCTGTATCCTCTCTCGACGGGGTCGTCTCGGATCCGCCGGAGGATGTCGATGACCATCTCGGTCTCGCTGAAGACAAACGCCCGAATTCCCAGGCTCTGGGCTGCAAGAACATTCTCCAGCTTGTCGTCGATGAAGACAACTTCTTGCGGCTGCAGCTTGGTCTCCCGCAGCACATGTCTGTAGAAGCTGGAATCCGGCTTCCTCATGCCCGCATGACCGGAGGTGAAGATGCGGTCGAAAACATCCCACTTATGGATGGTGGGCTCCATGAAGAGGTAATCCTCTTTGGAAACGTTGGACATTGCGCAGATCTGGACCGTCCCTCTACATGCTCGTCTCAAAGCTTGAATGGAAGCCACCATGTCGATGTTTGGCTGGAGAGATGCTCGCGCTTGAGCGAATGCCTCTTGAATTTCGCCTGACGAGTAGGAAAACTGCCGGCCTGCTTGTTCGTAGCATTGCTGTTGCGTGATGCGTCCGCAGTCAAACTCCAGCCAAAAGTCCGATTTGAGAATGGCATGCAATGTCTTGGCGGGAATACTCGTGGTGGTGGTGGCGGACCAGTGGAAGAGGACATCTCCCAGGTCAAAGACGAAGAGCTTCACCGGCATTCTCGTGTCCATCGTGGTATATGTTTACGGTCGAGTTGCGTGGGAACCCGGAATACTGCTTCTCTTGGATTCCTATAATCCATCCAGCAAGAGGCGCGGGAGGCAGCTAGTGAGGGTCATCGCACCCGCGCGCGAACTGTGGGTTGACGATGATGGCTGCGTACGGCTGAAGGCGCTTCTAGAGCGGCATCCACTTTCACACGCGGGTGCTGCATATGTGAGGCCGTGGCTGGCCCCCAAGCAGTCGTACAAGTGCATTAAGTTATCGCATTCCCGGCCGTGGTGGTCTTGCTGCGTACGCTTGCACTTTAAAGGGGATTAGATCCGCCTCACCGGAGCATCGTGCATGATAAAGGATCCAAAGCCCGATCTGGGAGGTGGTATAGAAATAAACGGAGAATGCATGGGACCGATGCTTCCACACTGATATTTGCATAGGTCGATCCTATAACCGAATTTCAGACTGGCATATCTGATTGGCAGCAAGGTGGTTAGTTGGACATGGTTGGTGCTGATTATTCCCACTTGGCGCGGCAACACCTGCATGGATTCTTGGCACATCCACTGCTCGATCTCATGCTATCTGCCAATTCTGCCTCTCTCGCATCCTTCAGCTACGGCTGAAAACACATTCGCGTTCTCGACACCAGCGACCAGCTCTTTGCTTTTTTGGGGCCCAGCTGCTCCACCATGAGGACCTCTTGCGTCTCGCTGCCCACTGATCGGCGTGATGCAGCAGCCACAGTGGACATTGACTTGCAACCACGCTCGATACAGCACACGAAGTCGTCGTTGCGCCGGGAAATGCCCGGACGATGATTACAACCACATGTCGCTCGCCTGGGTGGCATGTTGGAACTTGAAATTGCATGATACACTCAACACTCTCTTCAACTTTGCGACTCCACGAATATAGTCACGCAAGGATGGATACCCCAGTTTCCCAATCGATAGCGGTCGTGGTGAGAGGATCACCGGTGTTAGCCGTCCTAATTGTTGTATGGAAATTTTTTCACTAAGTAATGCGCTTGTACCACTCACTGATAGCATCGGTAGATCGCACTGCTTTCCGGGACAAGCCTGGTGTACAATCTCTACTTCCACCCTCTCTCCATATTCTCCGGCCCGTGGTACTTTGCAGCATCAGATCTCCCTTACGCCATCACCCAGCTCTTGGGGACAAGTCAATACACCCTCGCCACGGCGCACGCTCGGTATGGAGATGTCGTCCGCATCGGTCCCAATGCGCTCACGTTCACGAACCCCAAAGCTTGGGACGGCCTCTATGGTCTGAGAAAAGGTGGCATTGCAGCTCTCCCCAAAGATCCCCTATTTTACAGTGAGATGTTGCTGGGAGATGAGACGATTACGAGAGTCAGCGACACAGATGCCATTCCCATCCGCCGGGCGATGAATGCTGCCTTTGCCCCGAAGAATCTCTTGCTGCAGGAGTCCATGCTCAAGGAGCATATTGAGCGGCTGATGTCTCAGCTGGCCACCGAAAGCGAGAAATCCGTAAACGAGGGCGTGGACGTACGCAAGTGGTTGTAAGTATACTGACCCCCCAAAAGAGCGCAGTGAGAAATCGCAGTCTCGAGGCAATATCTACACCCGAGCAACGTTGACGAGGCGAGGCATAGGACAATGTCCATGTTCGACATCAACTCCCACTTCAGCTTCGGCGAAGACATGGGATGCGTGCGCAACGGCAAATACCACCACTGGGTCCAGTTCGTCGTCGACTTCTTCTACGCCGCAACGCTCATTCATCAATGTCACAAGTTCTGGCCTCTCGCGCCTCTGCTTGCCAGCCTAATGCCTTCCTCAGTGCAGAAAGCCAAAGCGCAGCACAACGAGGCGTCCCTGGATCGTGTCCGTCGACGGATGGGCCAGGACGACGGCGACAGAACCGATTTCATGCACCATTTCGTCCGACAGGCGCAGAGAGACAATCTCTCGAAGGACATCATCGAGGCGCAAGCAAGCGTCGTCATTCTAGCCGGGAGCGAGACTTCCGGCGTTGGCTTGACCTCTACCGTTTTCCAAGTCTTGAGCCATCCTACCGTGTACAGGCGGCTGTGTGAGGAGATCTGCACCCTGTTCCCGACAGTCGCGGATGTCACTTTGCTGGATACTCTGAACAAGCTCCCGTTTCTCCACGCGGTGATTTGGGAAGCGTTGCGCATTCACGCGCCCTTGGCTAATGGCTTCACTCGTGTCGTGCCCGAGATGCAGAAAGACTTTGTGGCGTACGATGGAGTGCATCTTCCAGCTTCAGTAAGTCTGATCTGGTTCTGGCTCGAATTCGCAACAAGAATACTAAAGTTGGTGTCTAAAACAGACAGTCGTTCACATCAATCATTACGCAATCAACACCTCGCCGCGCAACTTCCGTGATCCCCTTGCCTTCATCCCTGAGCGATGGTTAGGAGATTCGAAGTACAAAGATGATCAAAGAGAGGCTATGCAACCCTTCTCGGTTGGGCCACGGAATTGCCCGGGACGAAAGTATGTGCAATTCGAATGATTTTTTGGGAAGACAATGCTGATAACTCGAAGCTTCGCCATGAACAACATGAAGCTCGCGATGGTGTATTTGATCATGACATTTAGTATGGAACTCTGCGAAGGTATGCAAGGTTGGGATCAGGGGCAGAAGATATACAATGGTTGGTTGCAACCTCCGTTGATGGTGCGATTGCGGAAACGGGCTTGAAAGGGTAATCGAAAGAATCATGGTGTCATAATTCCATTCGAGATTTCATTGTTGCTCCTTACCAATCATATCGAAGTGCCCGTGATACATGCTACAGATCTTTTGACGGTTATACCATTCTTCCCTCGTCTGTAACGAAACTAGAACTGTCATGGGATGTCTTCTTCTGCCCTGCCGTTCTCTCCGACTCTGCTCTTGCAGCCGAGAAGTGCTCTTGACTCATAGACATTTCGGTTGCGGAGTTCTGCGAAGTGTGATTCTGGGATCTCAACGTCAGGACAGACTTCGCAGCCGAGGAGAGGCTATTCCAGATCTTGGTGGCTGGCCCAACGAGGACTTTGTTCCAGAGGGCAGTGAAGACGAGCGAGCAGACCACCATGAGACCGATCGAGTACTCGAGCAGTGCCCAAATATCGACCTTGCCCAGTGCGTAGAATGCGTCGGGATTCTTGGCTTGGATGACGGTCTCGGCTAGTCGGACAATACTGGTGACAGCGGTGAAGAGACCGACGGAGAAGACGGCCAGGAGGCGGAGCTTGCGTTTGGTGTTTGTTTGCAGATTCCAGATCATAGGGATCGGTAGAAAGAGGATGTAGACATCGGATATGACATTGAAAACACCAGTCTCGCCTCCTGAAACGAACTCCTTTGCGCAGGTGTAGTTTGTGATGAAAGGGTCCCATGACGCGGCGATGGGAGAGCATTTGAAGATGAGCCACCAGAAGCTGCCAAAGTAGAAGAGGAAGCAGACGGTTATACCGCCCCAAATGAGGTAACGGTAGACTTTCGTTGGGCTGAAGATGCGCTCGTAGGTAAAGAGGAAAGCAAGCTTCAGGGAACAGTAGACGACGGTCGACCAGACTTCAAGGACGAAGAAGTCCCGGTACAGATGAGCGTATCCCGAAACGCGAATGTTCCAGAGGTGATGACCGAAGCCGTGAGCAAGGGCATCCAAGGTGACGGCCATGTGGACGGTCGTCGAGATCCATGCTGCGATAACGAAGCCTGGTGGAGGTCAGCGTTAGTCTCCCGCACGGAAGTCGTCCGACAAGCTACCCACCATCGTCGATTCCGAAAGATCGAAGCGGTCCAGCTCGAGTGTATACCCTGGCAACGGTGAAGATGGTATTGAGCACGAGCAGGGCAATGATCAATCCACGGAGAGTCGGTGCGTAGCCTTCGTCTGAGAAGTCTGTAGTGAAGCCTGGCGGTGCCGGTGCAAGGGGAGTGTCAGGCGAGACACTTGGAGAGCTCATACTGAAAGGGGCTGTTGCGGAGGCGGACCGCTCACTGTGGCTTCAAAAAAAAAGCGAGAAGTTCGTCTAAGAAACTGAAAAGAGCAGCCTTGGGGTGAGGGAAAGTAGTACTGTAAGCCAATGTGTGAGTAAAGCCGATGGACGTGTTGCGAAGGAACAGCACACCCTGCAGGTGGAGCGTTGGAAGAATTCCCCCGGTATAGTAGGATGAGAGGATTGCATTGCAGTATCCGGTGCAGATGCACAGCTGCTGCATGGTGGTGTGGACGAGGCGCTGTCCGCCCGCTTGTGCAGCACGAGTACATTGGTAGGTCAAAAGCCGTATATCGCAGCGTCGATCTCGGCGATGGCGCCTTGTCAGCTGAATCCTCCAGCGCAAATGCATGGTCCTCGGACTTGTACAGCATTCAGCTGAAATGTCCCGGAACAAAGAACGTTAGCCACAATCAGCCGCAATAGCCCTACATATTCGTGGCCTCGCGACGATCCAGCATTGCTGACATTGATGAGGCGCCAATATGATGTCGAGAATGATCCTGCTGCTGCATTGTGATGGGGCGGAAGCAAGGTGAGGTGTGGGGAAAATTAAAATAGAATCCTGCGGCGCACGAGCCTTTTCACGTGTCACTGGCTCGGGACGCTCGGCATCGGCCGTGTTAGCTCCCGCACCTCCATCTTGCCAGCTTCGCCTATTCCAGTACTAACATCAAATCATCCACGTCGAACAATCGTGCCGCACCGCCAAATTCCTCTTTCTCTGCGATACGACAGCCTCCCTCACTGCTACTGCTGTTTCGCACGAAAACTTGTCACTCGCGTGCTGCATCGCCCCTGCCATGGACGAGGAAGTAGATGTTCTGGTCATTGGAGCTGGTATGCTGTTTCAATATACGCAGATGAGACGGATACACGATTTATGCTGAGTCCCGCGCGCAGGCATCTCCGGACTGGCATTTGCCTCAACATACCTGGGTGTCCACCCCAACACGAATTTGCTTCTGGTCGAGAAGGAGGTGCGTATTGCTAGAGTCAAAATGGGACGCGCAGTTCAGACCCTGACGTTTTCACATTGGACAGGCAATCGTAGGTGGCACTTGGAACCAACGTGAGTCATGTCGTGCCACATGCGAATGACAAATTGACTGACGCTAAGGAAGGCCGTCTGTACGACCACTTCTACACCCAGTGGTCCGTTGGCTTTGGTGAATTCTCCCAGCAGCGAATGAGAGTGCCACCGGCAGAAGATCAGTACTGGGGTCTATTCAAAGCGAAGCACACCACCAACTATCTCGAGGAATTCGCGAATAATCAGACCTTTGCTGGCCGTTCGCTGAAAGATCGAGTCCGCTTCTCGAGCCAAGTGATCAATGCTCAAAGATATGGCGACGGCTGGCGGATGGATCTACAGGATGTCAACTCCTCTCGAGCCCACACGATATCTGCTCGCAAGCTTATCCTTGCCAGTGGTTTGACAAGCATTCCGAGCGTACCGCAGCTCAAAGGCCGCGAGAACTTCACTCCAGAGATCCTGCACAACATCGACTTTGGCTCGTCCGGAGTTCTAGCAGATCCCAAGGTCAAACACATCACGGTACTCGGGGGCGGCAAGTCTGGAGCAGACATGGTATATGCAAGCGTGAAAGCCGGCAAGGAAGTAGCGTGGATTGTGAGACCCAGTGGCACAGGGCCGTGTACTTTCGTCGATGCCAACGGTAAGGCTGGCTTCAACAATGCTTTCGAACTTGGTGAGTCGCAGATCGAGGGACAAGAAAAATGAAGCTAATGTTGCCAGCTTCAACCAGAGCTGTAGAGGCTCTGCAACCTTCTTACTTCGCGACAAGGAATTGGTGGACAAATTTCCTCCACAGAACGAAGATTGGTCTTGGCCTTTCTCGCAAGCTCTGGGACGGCGCACATGCGCAGGCGGTCGCGAGCGCAGACTATGCAAATCGACCAGCTAAGGGGGACTTTGGCAAACTTGTTCCCCATTCACCGTGCGCTCTCTTCCGATCCGTCAAATTTGAGCCCCAAGTGCTGACTTCTGGCCAGCCTCTTCTGGCGGAATAACGCCGCTGGAATCGTCAACCACAGTGACTTCTACGAGATGATCGCCACCTTTGTGGACAGCTACTACGACGAACTCCAAGAGCTCGAAGGCAACACGATCCGACTTGGGTCTGGAAGGACCATCCAAACAGATACATTGCTGCTCGGCACCGGATGGCAGGACTCTCTGAGCTACTTGGCGCCGTCACTACGAGCGGAGCTCGGTCTGCCATATCCCTTGAAATCGGAATCCCAGCTCGACCAGGGGCAGATTCTCGCCGCGAAGCAATGGAGCCAGCGAGAGCACGAAGCCGATGCAAAGATCGTCGAAAAGTATCCCCTCCTAGCCGAGCCTCCGCAGCACGTACGATCCCCGACGACAGAATCCCCATACCGGCTGTACAACCTCGTCGTGCCCGTCGACGATCCCTCCCACTCCTTCGCCGTAGTCGGAATGCTAGGGACGACGAATTACTTCCGCACCGGCGAGGCGCAAGCCCTCTGGATCACGGCGTACTTTGACGGGAGACTGACTCTGCCAGCGGTGGATGAGAGGAAAGATGATGTGGCGCACTTCGTCGCGTGGTGCAGGCGTCGCTACCTGAGCACGGGGAACGATGGGAATTCGGTGAATTTTGACACTCTCCGCTACACGGATCGCCTGTTCGAGCAGCTCGGTCTGGTTTCTCATTTGAAGACTGGCTGGTCCTATTTCTTCTCACCGAACACTGCGCAGGATTATGCTGGGCTACAGAAAGAGTACATTGAGAAATATGGGAATCTCAAAGCGACAGTGACTGGAGTCCAGTAATAAGGTGATGGAGTGGGAACTTACGTAGACTTTCACCTATATCAACAGAGAAACGACAGACTAATAGATACAGGAACGGCAACCAGAGCTTCACTCAATTCCTAGTCTCGTCTTACATGTCGTTAAAGATATTGAGCTCGATGATCTGAAACTTCGTGTATTGTGACCATACATATAAGACGAGAGCTGTACGGCCGGAAACGCTCGGTGTGAAGATGAGCTACTCGGCTGGCTCGTTGAGGCTCGATGACTTTGGAGGCAAAGGGCCAACAATACAGAAGATCCAAGTCAACACGACTAGCGCTGTACCCGTGTAGACCTGAGGGTCCTCAGTCGCTCATTCATCCATCCTTCAACAGCCACATTTCTGCAGATCACGGCACGGCGTCTTCGCCATGGTTCAAGAGATTGGACGCCGAGGATCCCTTTGACTTCTTGAGCGGTGTGAGTGAGAATGTGACGGCCCAGAGCTGTGGAAAACGCGCGTGCGACAGAGCATAGCTCCATGTTTTCCAGAAACAACAGCCGCAGGTGCTGTACTCCATGTTCCTGTCCTTCGTGCTTTGCCCCTTGGTCGACCAACGACATTCTCCTCGGACAGCGAAGTCTACGTTTTTGTGTAAAGAGCCTGCGCCTCCCTCCCACACCGGCGCGGAAAAATTCACTATGTGTGCGAATGACCGGAGACGACTGATCGCGAGCACGAGCACTCTGAGCTCTTCTCAGACCCCCAGATCCTCAATCCGAAGCAACCCGTCCCCGAAACCAGCCGCCGCCCAACCTCCCACATGTACATTAGGATTCCAAGCCAGCGCCGTGGCCGCAGTTTCCTTCTCAAAGACAACACCGTTCAAATTCCCCTTATTAGCCGCGGGTCCATAGAAATTCGAATGATTGTAAACCGTCAGATTCCACCCATCCACAATCCTCGCGAGTCCGCACCGTCCGATGGCTTGTTTCCGGATCCCATCTTCGGTAGCAGCAGGGTCGTTCTGTGCGGCCTCTCTTTCTTCTCCGCTAGGTCGTCTCCACTCATGCTGGATCCAAGTCTGCTGCGTGACGTTGACTTTAGCGCCCCCGATGAGTCGCTGAAGAGGATTACAGCTCACGACGTCGCCGTTGGTGCCACCAAAGAGCACAAAAGGGTGGCATGGACTTGCAGCAAGAGCCATATTACTGGAGGGGATCTTGTTCGTGGTGAATGGGTCGAAGAGTCGCCTTGACGAATGAGCTTTAACCATCGTATTCTCATCGCGAAGTAGTGCGAGATGACCAAAGTCATGCCAGACGGAGTGTGGTGGTTGGGAGACGCGGAATTGATCGGTGCGGGCTGTATTCGCTGGTGAAGACGGAAAAGGTTTCGAGAGGTCCGTGAGGCTCAGATATCCGTCCATTGAAGATGTTATCAACAAATTCGGATAGGAAGGCCAGCATGAGGTAACATCGGTAATGTACGTGCTGCTGATACAGGTGTAGACGGTGGGTCTCGCATTTGTCGCAGGAGGAGCCTTCATTACGGCAGCTATATCCCATACTGCTACAAAGCCGTTCGCGCATCCTGCAGCAATTCGCCCTGAGTTGATCCATGTCAACGATGTGCAGACTGTGTCAGGCGGCTTTGCTTGAAAAGCAAATTGTGGCAGAAAACTGTGGCTGGGTACCACGGTGGTATCGTCAAGGCGCTCCACGTCGATGATACGAAGAGCCCCATCGCCGGAAATGAAGGCCAGTAGACCGAGCCCTGTCGAGATATTGGAAGGGACTGGACACCATTTAAGAGCCTTGATGTCGCCAAAGTCGATGCACAGCGCCCTAACAAGTCGTGGAGGAAATTGATGGTCGATGGAATTACTGAAAGTCTTGTCCAGCTGGTAGAGTAGGATGCTTGACTTCTGTGAAGGCTGCGGCATGAAGGCGGGCGCACGGTGGTCCAACGGCATAGTCGCCACGGCAAGATATTGCTTCTCTCCAGATTGGTTCGGAACCCAGTCAAGAAATTTGACTCGTGCGCCGAGATTGAGCACAAAGCCGTTCCTAACAGTCGATTGCTCCGCCTGTGCCTCGCTCTCGGAGTCTGCAAGCGCCACACACTGTCGAGGCTTCAAGGTGTGAAACTTGTAACGTCCAGGGGCGCCCATGACGAAGCAGCGCTCTCCAGAGCCATCGACCGGAAGATAGTCGTCGGCGTCCTGAGCTGATAGAGAAACATAGTATTGTCGCTGTGAGAAGGCTTCTCTGCCGCCTCCTTCGGCGTACCACTTCCAGTCCTCGTCGGAATTCTTGATCTCTTTTTCATATGCATCCGAGTAGGCAAATCCTCCAGCCCCATGCTTTGGGTTCCGACTGGGAAGACCATGGTCATTCTCCCACCGCTCATATGCTTTGTATACTGGGCCATAGTCCTCTTTGGTGGGTCCGTGGGAGTACATCCGTTGGGTCTCCTTCTTCCAGGCAGGTCTGAGAGAATCAGGCAATCCGCGGGTATACACAAGCTCGACATCGGCCACGACTTCTGGCGGGATCAATCTAGAGAGGCCGGGCTTTCTTCTCCGCCTCACACGTTTTGACGACGAAATACCACCAGCATCGACTATTGCTGTGTCCGCGTCCAAGTCATCTCCCACGTTGCTGTCTCCGTCGTCTGATTCATTAGGGATGATCTCGCCAATGTCATCGGACGAGTCCCCGACTTCATCGTCTCCATCGTCGTCCTGCTCGCCCTCGACTTGAGTCTCACTCCCCGAAGAAGACTCGGAGTCGGACAGCAGAGCATCAATCCCCTCGAAGGGATCATCGGTATACTTCCTCCTCGGCGTAGCCCTGGTGGAGGAGCGCAGGGTAGCCATAGTGATCGATCGGATGAAGACGTGCCAAGGAAGAGAGAAGAAGCAGACTGGGAGTACTTAGCCTAGTGCAGGTACGGAAGTCTGTTGCAGCGTGTGTTGGTGAATATGCTCCAATCAGGAACGGCGAAGATGCCACGCGAAAGTAGGCGAGCAGCAACAAGCTAGTGGAGCTGAAGGACGAGCACGGAGCAGCTGGCAGGGTAGCTGGAAGGGGAATGCAGCTCCTGAATACCGCTTTTGTACAGAATATGATACGAAGGTCGTTCTGTTGTTGTTGATGAGAAGGAGAAGAAGAAGAAGAACAAGAAGAAGATGGTGAAGTGAAGATAGAGAAAACATTCAATCGAATCTAATCTAATCTATGCTCGGCTCCACGTTGCAAGCTTGGCGCGTCGTGCCGAAACGCGGAGAGGCTTCTTCGTCTCCAGCAACAGCTTCCTTGTTCTTGTTTTCATCATTGTCATCCTCCTCATCACCCTTCCGCAGACACAGACAAGTCGACGACCCAATTCCCTTCTCCTTCCCCACCCAGACATGCGTCATGCGCCACCGCGACGCACAGAGGCTCTGTCTCTTGCCCATCGCCTGGTTTGCCCTCTTCTTCGGCGGTATCGCTAATGCTAGCATTGGAGACCGACTGCCCGACTTCAGGGAATGCGTGAGAGTACGTCGACAATGATCGTTCCACAGACGAGGGGAAAGAGAGGATGTTGATCCGTCCAGGAATGCGAACAAGTCAGCTGTGGTGAAAATGGGATACACATCCGTACGCGACAAGCAGTACCACAACACGGTCATACACTCGAACTGATCCTGTCTACTAGCTCTCCAACACCGTCTGCTTCTCTGGACATGCCCACAGGAATGCGACTACTCCTGCCAACACATCATAACCGAATCTCGCCTGGCGCGAGAGCCCCCTTATCTCGAACCCATCGTCCAATTCCACGGCAAATGGCCTTTCCACCGCTTCCTCGGGATGCAAGAGCCCTTCTCTGTCCTCTTCTCCCTCCTCAACTTCCTCGCCCACGCCAACGGAGTAGTCAAAGTCCGCGAACAGATCCCCAGCCGCTATCCGTTGAGAAAATTCTACGTCGCGTTCGGATACTTTGGATTCGCGAGTTGGATCTTCAGTATGATGTTCCATACCAGAGATTTCAACGTGACCGAGAAGTTGGACTACTTCGCCGCGGGCGCGAGTGTGATGTATGGGATGTACTATTCTCCGATCCGGATCTTCCGATTGGACCGCTCGGACAACGCGAATGGAAAGTCGGGGACGGTGCTGAGGTTATGGACGTTGATTTGCTGCGTCTTGTACCTCTGCCACATCTTCTACCTGACGTTTGTGCGATTCGACTACACCTACAACATGGCCGCGAATGTAGCGTTGGGCTTGGTGCAGAATGTGCTTTGGACGTGGTTCTCGATACAGAGGTACAGGAAAGTTGGGAGATTATGGGCCGCATGGCCGGGCTTGATCGTCTTTTGGCTGATATTTGCAATGAGCTTGGAGTTGTTTGATTTTCCGCCGTGGTGGGGAATGGTGGACGCGCATGCTCTATGGCACCTGGGAACAGTAGGGCCAACAATCTGGTGGTACAAGTAAGTTCGCTCCTCCTCTTGGGAAAGCTTCGCGGATGCTAATGGCGACTGTAGTTTCCTTGTCAAGGACGCGATCGAAGACATCCAAAGCGACCGTCTGAAGCAGTAGCACTGATCTATGTACGCGTCGGTAGACCAAAGGACATAATATCAAATATCATAGCATCTCATGTCTTCTTTCACATGATAGCTGGCCTGATGCATTATTATTAAGGTATTCACTTGAACCCCTGCATGGGGGCGCGGCAGGGATTAGGCGGGGTCCAAGCCGCGCAGCGCTCCTATTTATGGAAGCTGTACCCTTTTGACATGTGAAACACCTGCAGACCACACTTTACATGCCAGTGACGAGTCTTTTTCCTCTCTTATCTACCCAATGGTCGTAGACTGCGAATGTGATTGAACGATAGTTGCTGCCTTGAGGGCGGACACGCGTGGGTGGCGCATCCCTGCCGCGTTCTGTGCCTTCTCAACCAACACACAACATTCGGTTCACCCGCACAGCAAGCACAAGCACAACCTGACCCACCGCTGACCACAATACCCGCCATCAGCACAGTGACACGTACATACCTTACGCAGCATGGCGCCCGACATCAACTCCCTCCCGACCTCACCGCGTCCCGACCAGCACCGCACCTCACAGCCGCCCTCTACCTCTGCCTCGAGAAGGACATCCGCCGTCATGCCTCCACCGAGTCAGCCTACTTCTGCCGTGACGGGCGGTCCACGCAGTCCGATCATGAGCAGCAACGAGAACAATGTGCCCATGAGACACCCGAGGCCCCTCACCGCGGCGGAGTTGTACGCCGAGTGTGAGAAGGAGCAGGAAGCTGTTGTACGTACACCAAGAAGAGACGATATGTATAGAGACTGATATGACGGAATACAGGTCAACCGTCTCACCCGCGAGCTCACGGCCTTGCGCGCCCAGTCGGCCTCAGTCGCCAGCAATGCCTCAGTCTCGTCCAACTCCACCTCTGCTTCCCTCTTGCCCGTCGACATCTCAGACCCGAATCCCACGCACCAGATGACGGGAGCTACACACCCAACGCCCTCTCGGAGACACCGCTCGTCTTCGTCAGTCAGCACGAGAAGTATTCCGACTCCTGCAACGAGCGTTTCCCAGGCGGGCAGCGGTGCAACCAACCACTCCACACAAGTCCAAGCCGGCAGCACCACCAACACTGCGACACTGAACGGCGTCTCTCAGGCACAAGCAGACCGCGCAGCAGCAGCAGGAGGCGGACCACGAGACAATCTCAGCCGGCAACCGTCAGCCAGCGCCTCGGGGACATCTACTCCAGCCCGCCAATCCATGGAGATACCTCGCATGAGCGGTGGCAGCTACACACTTCCATACCGAACCTCCATCTCTCGCGAGACCCCCACGTCCTCCACCCACGCTCAAGCTGGCACACCACCAGTAGCAAACATCCAACAACTCCCCTCGCCCGCCCAATCTCCCAGCGTCATTTCCGCCATGCAGCACTACGCCGACACCGCAGCCTACCGCACCGAGATGGAAATCGTAAAGGCCGAGAACGATGCTCTGCGCCAACGAGTTCGAATGCTGGAGCGTGCCCTCCGCGCTCGTCGTCGAGATAGCAGCCAATCCGATGCCCACCGGCCAGCAGATCTCCGTCCGACGCCCGAGACTTCCGAATCTGGCGCAATGCGTGCAACGAGTGTCGTCGTCTCCCCACCACCATCAGCGGGCCTCGGAGTAGCAGCATGGGCAGCAAATGATGGGGGAGTTCGAGGAGTCGCCGGCCCCCGAGAGAGGAGTGAGAGTCAGAGTACGACGGCCAGTAGCCGACGCGGAATGGGTGGCGGTGCTGCGGCAGAGGATGAGGTACGTGTTGGGGAGAGCGCTAGTAGCGTTGGAGTCTTTCGGGGAGTATAGGACACTCCTACACCTGCTTCGGAGACTACAGCAGCGGGAGTGAGGAGGTCGATGGTGGCATGATGGGAAGAGGAGACTCCGACGACTGTCTTTTTCCTTTTCTTCGATGTGACGAGTTTAGCATGGCGTTATGGGGCGAGAATGGAAGGGAAGAGACTGACCGCGAAATCGGCCTTACTTGCAAGAGCGATTGATCAGAGCGATTTCTGCTTTTAGTATCCAAAAACATGATGGTTGGACGAGCACAAATGGACGACTAACCTGCGCAGCTAGACTGCAGCAATACGGTCCAGTTTCAACTTTTTCTTTTCCTTACGCTGGTCCTATGTATCGCATCTTACGAGTCTTTCCACTTCCTCTGCGGCGGCAAGAACCTCCTCGTCATCTCCGAATTGTCCGATAAGTTGCATTCCCGACGACTTGATGTCTTCCTCGTCCATTTCCTTCCTGACATCCTTCGACAGCGGTACCGGGATCGAGATGGCCGGCAATCCCGCTAGGCTCGCCGGAACGGTGAAGACGTCATTCATGTAGCTTTCAACTGGAGTCTGCTGGCTGAGGTCTTGGATTGTGGGCGGGAGCGTGGGGGCAGTCGGTGTTAGGAGGAAATCCACTTCATTGCTCTCTTCTCCCGGGAAATGTTCATGATGATCGAGAAGAGGATTCGGTGTGCTGAAAACCCGATCAAAGTCTCGCTGGACCAAGCGACGAATCTTCTGCGCTTGGATGAAATAATTATCCATGGCTTCGGACGAGAGCGTATACGCCCCTAGTAAGATGCGTCGTTTGACTTCGTCGCCGAAACTCTCGCTGCGAGTTTGAGCGTAGAGAGGCAAGGCCGGGTCGGCATTGGGGCTCGCGTCTGGGCCGGGAGAGGTTCGATGACCGTAGCGGATTCCGTCGTATTTGGCTAGATTTGAGGATGCCTCGGCGGGAGCGAGGATGTAGTAGGCCGACAGAGCACTCTTGGTCGAAGGGAGGGAGACCGGGATAAGAGTATGGCCGGCGTCCTGCAGCGTGTTGAGGAGGCTGGTGTATGTGGATTTGACGGCTGCGGAGAGGGAAGAGATGTTGTATTCCAGAGGAATCCCGATCCTCAGTCTCCCTTCCTGTTTCCTTTCGTTCGTGGTGAAGCGATTCCGCACTCGCTCCGGTAGGGACGTTGGATCCCTCTCATCGAATCGATCCAGTAGTCCGAACATAGTCTTGCAACCCGCGACACCTTTCGACAGCACACCGACCGTGTCCAGAGAATTCGCGTACTGGATAACGCCCCACCGGCTGACCCTGCCATAACTCGGCTTGAACCCGCACACACCATTCCAAGCCGCAGGTAACCTCACACTGCCGCCGGTATCTGTCCCAACCGCACCCCAGACCAAGCCTCCCTCGACCAGAACCGCACTCCCACCACTACTCCCACCTGGACTCAGGGCCATGCCATCTCTCCTGAACCGGCTCTTGACAGGACCCAGCCACGAGTTCTGGGAGTGCGAACCCATTCCGAACTCATCCATATTCGCGTTCGGCAGGATATTGGCTCCATGGGCGATCAGGAGCTCCGTAACGGTAGCGTGGTAAGGGGAGTAGTGATTCGAGAGGGTCCTGGAAGCAGCAGTCGCGGAGGGCGCGGTGGAAGTCTTGACGACAATGTTGGCTTTGAGGGCGATGAATCTATCTTTCAGCGGAAGATCTGGTGTTTACCATAAAACATCAGTATTGAAGCGATTCTATTTGATGTTGTTGCTGGGATCGGGTTACCGACCGTCATTCCGTGCGTCCTCGCCGGCATTCGCAGCAGCCGCTGCTGCTGGTGAAGAATTCCGGAGTGTCACATTCTGGCTGAACTGTCTCGTGTAGAGAGCATTGGTGCTCCGGACGAGACGTTGACGCTGGCGGAGCATTACATTGTTGGGAATGGGAAGAAGACGGGAGGGAATCTCGAGACTAGGAGTTCGGGACTGGAAGATTTCGGGGATAGTTCGGAAGATCCGCATGCGCGACTTCACCTGCTGTTTTGTGGTGGAATTTTCTCCAATACTGGAACAAAGTTGAAACTATTATACTATCCTGAGATCCATGCTAATATGGGCTGGGGAGGCTGCTGTTTAGCCATGTGTGCGGCCATGTACCCTGTCTTTTATATAGCGGCTCGCTGCGGCCCCTCAGCATTGTCGTAAGAGCCAGGTCTCAGCCCGCTTAAGACAGTGAAGACTGCGACGGTGAGTATGATGTGGTTTCGAGCGTATGGTGTGTTATAGCGAGTGTCGGGGTGAATGTGTCGCAGGTCTGCCCCGCTTGCAGCCGCGACGGGGCAAACGCTGCCGTGGAATTCGGACAGGCGACGAGCGGTGAATAACGAGGCGAAACACATGAACGGACCGTCCACGCAAGAGACCCCAAAACCTATTTCAGCGCTTCCACAATTCCAATCACGATCAACAAACCTTCCTTTGAGCTTCACCACTGACCACCAGAGACATCTCCAATACACAAATACAGCAAGATCATCCACGTGACATCACCAACACCGTGACAAAGATTCGAGGGAGAACCAACGCAAAATGCTCTCACGCACGAGACCCGGTTTGGCCGCAGTCCACGGTGGAACCGCACTTCCACTCGGTCCAACTCGACTGGTGCAATTCGTGCTCAGTATGATGCCGTCTGTCATCTCACGAAGCTTCTCCGAACTCCAACATGCCGTCAAGCCCCGTCCCTTCGAGAGAATGCGGGTAGGTTGATGTGTTCCAGCGGAACAGAGGCAGTGTCAAGGTACTGAAATCGTTTGCAGTTGGATGACAAGGTCATCGTCGTCACTGGTGGCGCTCAAGGGCTCGGACTGAGCCTCGCAGAAGGGGCAGTGGAGGCAGGCGCTCATGGCAAGTCATGAAGGGATTGCCACGCATGTCGCAGTGGTGCTGATGCTGTATCAGTCTACTGCTTGGACTGCAAGCGCGAGCCAAGCGACCAGTTCTACGCTTCCCAGGCGTACTACCCAAAGCACTTCGGCGGAAGCCTGAATTACGAGCGCGTCAACGTCCTCGACGCACAGGAGATGCACGAGGTCTTCGCGGCCATTGCAGCTAAGCACCAGAGAATGGATGGACTCGTCGCCGCCGCAGGGATCCAGTACGTCAAGCCCTTCATCGAATACCCTGCGGAGGAGGCGACCAGGGTGAGATCAGCCTGTCTGTGCAGTGAATGCATGTCGACTAACGAGGAACAGATGATGGACATCAACTTCCGCGGAGTCTTCCTGGGTTACCAAGCGGCCGCATGCCAGATGCAGAAGTACGACACGCCAGGCTCCCTCGTCTCCATTGCATCCATGAGCGGCACCATCGCGAATAAGGGACTCAACTGCTGCGTCTACAACTCCTCAAAGGCGGCGGTGATCCAGCTGAACAAGAACCTCGCAATGGAGTTGTCACCGATCCGCTGCAACTCGGTCTCGCCTGGCAACATCCTAACTCCAATGGTGGAGAAAAACTTCCAAGAGCAGCCCGAGCTCAAAACCATGTGGGAGAACGGCAATATGCTCGGCCGGATCTCGACTCCCGAGGAGTATCGAGAGATGGTGGTCCTGCTCCTGAGCCGCGCAGGCTCCTTCACCAACGGTGCCAACATCATCATCGATGGTAGGTGTCCGATTTCTCTCCGTCCCTGCGCTCTTGCTAATTCTCCATCTCAGGTGGCTACACCGCTTGGTAAATGCCCGAATCTCTGGCCACGGAGCGAGGCGTTTGAGGAGACATCAGGATGAATTTCACTGCATGAAGCGCGGCGTTACGGCGGTGGATAGCTCATCGATGGTCTTTTGCTCCCTGCTGTTTGTATTACGCGGTCGGCGTACATCGACTTCCGGGATGAAGTCTCACGCCATTCATGAACGAGACAGGATTTGCTTTCGTGACGATGTCCGCTTTATGTCCTCGTGTCCAATCTTTCCTGAGCCTGTGCTCGGCAATCGAAGGTCCCGACAAGTCAGTAGGTCGCAGTTTCGATGACAATGAACGTTGGATAGCGGGTGTGATGGTAATAAACGTGGAGAGTCTCATGATGTAGGAAGTGAGGTTGCAGTGACTTGGCCAGCTGTGAAAGGAAAGGCTCGATCTCGGCTCATGCCTGAGGCTCTAAGTGACTAAGCACGGAACCATCCGGTGTCCGCACGGACATCATCACCACCTTCTCACAGTTCTCCTTCTCCTTCTCCTTCTCACAGTTCTCCGGAAAACAATGTCCATCGCTCGCGACTTACAACGCCGACGCTTGAGCCACGTGTTTCGGCAGCCTCACAGCTCGGCCAACCGAGATCCGACGGTGAAACATTGCTTCCATCGGAGCACCCATGGACCCGTTCCGAGCGTCGGATATGGTGCTATTACATTGCAGTGGCTATATCCTGTGTGTGGCCACCAAGCCACTAAGTCGGATTGGCCAGCGCTATCCAGCACTATCCGCATTCGGTGATCCAGCATACCCACAACACGTGGCGGGATATTCTTATTAATCGGGTACGTATCAAGAGGTGAAGAGACGTCTATACGTTCTTTCTGCCTTCCCTTCCTTTTCGACCTTGCCATATTCCTGTACGGCAATCATGCTGACTTACTACATCGTCAGCGCCGCACTGGTGCTCTGGGTCATCGTTGGAGTCGTCCGATACGTCGTTCGCTGTCTCTCGTTTCCATCGGCCCCTGGGAGCCCATGGGCGAGATGGACGAAGATCTGGTATATCCAAAAAGTCTGGCAAGGTCACTTTGAGGAATGGGATATCAAGACTCACGACTCCGGCGGTACGATCCCTCGCCTTTCGCCTTGCGTGTTGCCCACTTCGACTGACCATTTCGAGCAGCCCGAAAGGTCGTCCGTCTTGCCCCAAACATGTACAGCATCGATGACCCGGAATCGGCCATGGCCATCTACGGCGTTGCTTCCACCATGCCCAAGTCCAAGTGGTACGATGCTTGGGGCGACCCGAGTGTGCCGAATCACAACCTCTTCAGCACAACAGACCGGACGGTCCACGCGGCAATGCGTCGCCGGGTGGCGAATATGTATTCTCTGTCGACCATCAAGTCTTACGAACCTGGTGTGGACAACTGCATCCGCATCCTCATCAAGTGCTTCGATGAGTTTGCAGAGACGGGGAAGGTCTTCGATCCGCAACACTGGATGCAATGTTACGCTTTCGATGTCATTGGAGAGATCACGGTAAGCTGGGAGAGAGCCCTACTGACTCTCGGAAATGTATGAGCTGACACCATCCCGAAGTTCGGGCACCGCGTGGGCTTTCTGGAGTCTGGTGGAGAAGATATTGACGACATCATGAAAGGAGTGGACGCCCTCCTGTACTTCTCCACTCTGAGCGGCCTGTCCGTAGCTTTACTTCCCATTCTCTTCATCCTGTACGGCAACCCAAACAGAGCTATTGCTGCCTTCACGCGACGACTTCACGAGAAAGCCGGAAAGGAAGGACCGCAAAACGAGGGCGAGAAGGACACTGACGGGACCTTTGCGGCAAAGTTGGCCAAATTGCGGGGCAAAGACCTGCCCGAAGTCGAAGCAGCTCGTTTGGAGAACGCCACCCTGCTTACCAACGTTGCTGCCGGGAGTGATACCACCAGCATCTCGTTGACCGGGACTCTCTACTACCTCTTCAAGACCGATGGAGTACAGGAGCGTATGCTGTCGGAGATACACAGCAAGCAGACGTCGAGCGACGAAGTGATCGGGTTCGAGCAAACCCAACAAATGCCGTATCTACAAATGGTCATGAAAGAGGCACTCCGGTTGCACTCGGCCGTGGGACTCCCCATGTGGCGGGATGTAGTTGATAACGGGATCACTCTGGCTGGTACATTCTTTCCTCCTGGTGTAAGACTCACTACCCTGATGATACCTACTCTACTCTGCTGACAATCGACGCAGTGTACTGTCGGCATCAACCCCTGGGTTGCGCATCAAAACAAGACCGTCTTTGGCCCCGAAGCAGACAAGTTCATTCCCGAACGGTGGGACCCGCAGAACACAGCGCCGGAACAGCTGACTCGCATGGAAAATTATTATCTGCCCTTCGGCGCGGGCTCCAGGACCTGCATCGGCAAGCACATCTCCCACTTGGAAATGGCCAAAGTCATTCCGGAGCTTGTGAAACGCTACGAATTCGAATTCCTGAAAGAGGGATACGAGTGTGCCAATACATGGTTTGTGAAGCAGAAGGAGATTATGGTAAAGGTGAAACGACGACAGTGAGAGCGCCGACAGACTACTCTTTGAAAAATCCAGAGCTACGACTCCCTCTGTACGTACAAAGTGCCTATGCTCAGACTCTCCAAGACAATTCATTCTCAACCGCAGGCTCCAACCTCCGTACTCTGGACCTCGTCTTATCCTCCACCAACTTCGTCGCCGGCTGCACATCCACCGTCCACGGCTTGATCGGCGCCTCATCATGCAGACACCAAATCACCTGCGCAGGATCGCCCAGCCAGTCGGAAACACAAACCGCAAACTCCGCGGCCGACCCCTCAAACGGCCTCCCATTCAGATTCGCCCGTCCCGCAATCGCCTGGATCAGAACATCCGGCCGCGGCTCCAAGGCTTCCAGAATCCCCCGATACCCGCCCAGATGCGCATTCCAGCAGAGAACGTGCCGCTCCCCCAGCAGAAAATTATACAACAGCTGCCCGCCGTCGAAATGGAACATGCAATTCTTCACCGCGGCACGATGGACGTAGGCTGCAAACGACCGCATCCCGGCATCCATCTGCTCGCGGGGAACGTGCTCCCCAATGCGAAGCAGTCCATACTTCATCCCGAACGTGACATCCAGCGTGCACGCGTACGGTGCACTACCGCAGTACACTTTCCCCGTATCCATAACTTCGGGAATATCAGCATGCGACGCGCCGGGCATGAGGCAGTGCAGGACCGGCCAGACGTGTACGGCCGCGGCGGCGAGGGAGGGATGCGGCAGGACGGGCGCTCCGGGGGGCCTGTCATCAGTCGTGGGAAGCTCGCCTCGACGCGCTTTCTCCAGGGTGCTGCGGGTGTATAATGGGATGCGTTCGCCTCCGGCTACGGGGAGCAGTTGCTCGTCTGGCACGCCGGCTTGGCGGAGGAGGTGGATTGCTTCGCCGTTGCCGATGACGGTGGCGCCGGTTTGCAGGGCGATGCGATCGGCTCCGGGAAGACTTCAATCATTGAGGAAATCGTTAGAAAACCCTCGATGTGGGCGGGCGGAGGGGGGAAGAGTTGATTGATTGATGGACGATGGACGTACTGATCGAAATGAGCATGGGAAATGAAAACGTAGTCCGCCTCGTGGATCGAGTCGATGTCGAGGTATTGGGGCAAGCAGTCCGGTCTATCTAGCCAGGCGTCAAGGAAGATGGTGAGGCCGTTGCTGCGGAGGCGGTATGTCGTGGCACCTAATGAGTTGGACAAGTCAGTCATAGATATCAGCTCTGCGATGTCATGTCGTGGCTTTTGGCTCACCGAACCATTCGAGAGTTGCAGTCGCCATGGTCATGGTTGTCTTGCCCGTCGTTAAAGGAAACGCACTCGGGGCCCGCTTCCTGCTAAGTAGGTAGTCGGTGGAGTGAGGCTTTGTGGGGGTGGAGAAAGAAGGCCGGGAAAGGCTGAAATATTTGGCGCGGAGAAGAAGTTGGCTGGCACTCTTTACGTTCAGACGGCCAAGAAAGGAAACACGAAGCTGGAGGTGAGAAGTAGTGAGTTCAAAACACTCACTGTGCTTGCTGGCTAATCTTCAATACGCCGTCGACGACGTACTCGTTCAAATCCTGCACCGACAATTATACCATTCAATCTCACAAACACGCCCTCCGCGCCGCGAATTCTCTTTAAGACGTCTGATACATCGTGCCAGCCCTCAAATCCAAGCACTTGCAATTGTACTCCGGCATCATGAACGCCTATCGATTTTATTGAGAAGAGCGTCGATGGATCCATAGCTAAGTGCTCGACGACGAGTTCCTTGCCTCTCTCAACCCAACTATGGGGCAAATCACGGCCAAGAATGGTACCTACTGGGGGAACAATGCTCAGCAGTCAAAGTCCCGTTACGATCTCAATGTCCACCATGTATCGAGCCGCCCTGTCCATAAATATCCGCGGAAGGAAAGGACAGGACCATTCCAACCTCGTAGCCCAACGCTTCGAATTCCGAATCTAGAACTCGACGTGCTATTCCCACCGCTGCTCGTCCCGCGGCGTAGGTCCTCAGACGAACATCCATTTCCGAGTCGTTCTGTTCCAGAAGACTTGCCGATACTCGACCCCGATAGCGCCATGAATAAAATTGCCATGACGACGCAGGATGTCCAAGTCTTGTCAACCCTTCGCACTCCCCGACTTCTTCTCGTGCCGTCTCATAAGAATCTAGCAGAGCATCGTCTTGTCCGGATTAGGCGCCTCTCCACACTAGACTCAGCTTCCAGATCCAAGCCTGAGCGTCTGTCTGGAAAGGCCGGTATTTGCCTCCCAAGAGCGGCGGAGTCTGAGAGGCAAGAAAGCAGCGGCCCTTCCTGGCATACTCTACCCATTCCCGAGCCAAGTATCAACAACCGCAACGGCCCTCGTGCAATCAACCACGCACTTCTTATCCATGTCAGTCTAATCTCACTCACGGTTCCTACCAAGTCTCACAAGCCAAAACTTTCCCTCTGGCCAAAAACCAAGACTGACTGTTCCGTGCATCTCTACCAAGCCTCTGAAACTTCAACGTCTCGTCAACGAGGCAAAGGTTCTTACCTGTTCTCTCTGTTCTGCTCTGTTCCGCTCGACAAATACGGTCGCATTGTTCGCTTTTTTTTAAGGAATCATCTCTCCAGGCGTATCCTGACGATAGGGCTAGAGACTTCTATTGCCATGTCCTAAGAACGCCTTTCAAGACCGAAAATTGAACGGGACCGTGACGCTTTGTCCGGAATTAAAAATGAGCAAAGCCGGCGATGCCTTTTCGATTCTGGCGATACCGTATATCTACAAAGTTGAGATCAGCGAAGGTGAAAAATCCTCTTTAAAATAAGAGCTAAGCCCAGGAGTCTGTTCGATTTGAACCATCATCCGTGGCCATGCCATCAAACCGTAATACCCGTATCAAAAGTCGCAGCACCCCCAACAGCCGACAAGTTCAGCAAACGAGAAATATAAGCCGCGAACCGGGGATGCGGCCTCGAATCCCCTTCTCCCGCCAACAAGCGAGCCGTCTCGTTCAAGACCCGTTTCGTGGCGCCTGGGGCATCCAGCGTGCCCACGCCCGTGATATGGAGCCTGCAAGAAGAATGAGCTCCTCCGGAAAAAATCCAGGCCTGGATGCTCGCGTCTTCCGGATCGCGGTCTAACCGTAAAATCCTCAAGTCTGTCGTCGTTTCTGCTGTGCGGTTCTGTTTTTGCGTGCTGTTGTTGTTGTTGTTGTTGTTGTTGTTGTTATTGCTGCTGGGGCAACTTCCGCAGCGGTCGAGGAGTTCGACGTAGATTCGAATGTAATGCGCGGCGAAGAGGAGGCACATGACGCCGATGTTGGTCATGAACACTCTGCGGTAAAAAGTACCGAAGATTTGTGCGGAATGGACCAGATTTTCGCGTGCTCTACGAGGACTCTCTCTCAGGAGAAGTGCGACTTCTTGTCGAGGCCGATTCGCTTCGCAAGGGCGTCGTCTGCCAATGGTAGAATGTGACCAGCAGGCGAGCGTGGATAAACGACGTGACCGAGAAGATCCGGGCCAAGGTGGCACACTCCTGTGATGGATCCCCGACACAGCAGATAGGGGCTCGACCATGCTCTCCGTCCAACACAGAAAGCTGTGAAGGAGCAAAAGACTCTGAGCGAGGCTTGTACGTCCAATGTCGCCAAAGGTCCGGATCTGTCACAGTGGCCGTCAGAGAACACAATCATAGTTTCACGGCATCTACGTTCTAAGAGTAAGGGGAGCTCTCAGACGTATATCCTTTTGCACCGAGTGCCTGGCGATGTATTGAAAGAAAGACACGCGAGTCGAAAGGTGGCAGCTCGGAGAATGCCCACATCCGTTCGCAGCTGTTGCTCAAAGTATTGGCCATGCTTTGGCATCCGCAGTGAAGGTTGGAATGTGGAGTATTGGCATTCTGGGGTGGTCGTATTCGAAATACAGCTGGGTGTAGATTTCAAGGTAGTGACGTGAAGGGCATTCTGGCATCTTGCTGGGTGCGCTGAACTGCTGTGCAGCGGGCACGACTTCCTGATAGTAGTAATCGTGGGTCCTAGAGTAAGCTGCCTCGGACATGGGTGGCACATGATGGAAATTCTCGGCGATGAGGACATCTGCTTCATCGACCGAGGAGATTGAGGGACGTGTCGATTCAATGCCGTTGTTGGCCGCTTCCAATGCAGACGGCATGAAAGAAGAGGCCTCGCCTGGGGTCGTACCCCAGAATGACAAGCCAAGATCATCAACGGTACAGCTGTCCAAAGGGAACAGTAACGGGGGAGGAGCGAACTTCAGTGCTGAGCTCCCAGAGTCGGGCATAAGATCTAGACCATCCCAAGCGGCAGGTTGATTGTTCGCGAGGCCGGCGAGCGACGGAGACGGCAAGAGACTGGGATCCACAACGGAATTTGGCGGGCTCCTGTGGGCAGCACGACTCGATGGGCGATCTTGCACAGGCCTCGTCTGCTCAGCTTGTTCGCCAGCAGGACTGTTCTGATAGTGATTCGATCCGGAATTCGGTGTCGGTGGAACGCTGGCATCTTGTCCGCTGTGATGTCCACTCTCCAGCGCGGGCAGGCTTCCAGTAATTGTCGTCTGTCTCTGGCGCCGCTTGGAAGCCCGAGTGCCATCCTTAGCCACACCGGCGCTGCGAGTATCGGCGGAGCGGTGCGACTAGATATGACGCTTCTGACCGCAGACGGGACAAGCGTGAGGCCGAGCTCCCGTGCCGTGTGGCGTTGAACGTGTCGTTCGAGATGCTCCCGCCGGCGAAAGCGCTGGACAGTGGAGACACTGCGGACAAGCGTACTGCGCATCCAGATTGTTCCTGTCCAATGCAAGGCGGGGAATAAATCAAAAAGGAGCCTTCTGCCGTTTCGATTTCTCCTCATCCTCGCCCGAACCGCGGGCGACGGCATCTGTCTCGCACTCGTTTCGCATTGATTCGATGCGAACCGCTGCGCCACTTGCAAGCGAATGGCCGCACGTGCAGAGGTGATCTGGTCCAAGCCATTCATTCTTCACTTTCAGCGTACGGCAAACCGATGGATTTGTTCATGTTTGGACAGTTGAACGAATTGGAATTGTTGTAGATGGAAAGATGAAGTGCCTGGAGGCTCCAGGACACATCATACGCCCGTTCTGTGATCTACCCAGACAGATCGTTTCCATTCACTCACCGCAGTGCCAAGAGTGGCCCGTGCCATCAGTGCCACGTCCCGTCTCATTGCACATTTCACGAGAACGGGAAAAGACATGAAAAGCTCGGGCTATGTCAACACCAGAATCTCGGGATATCGATCTCTACCCATTCATGTGTCCATGCTTGTAAAACACCTTGCCTTCATACCCGTCTCTCGCAGCGGCGGCCTCTATCCTATCATACACATGACTCGGTAGCTGTTCTGCACCCGGGTCAAGGAACTGCTGGAGCAGTCCTTCGCCCCGTGCTTTCTGCGACGTCGAGGTGACCACGATGCCCTGCAGCCGGTCGTACGCCCAACCCAACAGCATAGTGGCGGGCTCCAGTCCGGTGGCTTTGGATTGCTCTTCGAGATCGTCTAGTAGAGCTGGTGCATCTTCTCTGGACAGCTTTCCCGATAATATCGTGAGGAACCCGTAATCTGTCGGATCACATTCATCAGCTCCTGGTGCCCTGCGGCAGCTCAACTCGTAAAAGAAAGATCGAGAAGGTTGGGGGAAGAGCCCCAAGGTGGCGACGACTCACTCATCGTAACGATTCCGTTCTCGATCTCGTACTCACTCCTCTCTCGGAAGGCCGGATCTCTCACTAGGAAAGGATTGAACTCGTACTCGTTGATTTGCGGTTTGTACTTCAACTCGCTGGCGTTCATAATGTCTCGATAGTCCTGCATCGCCCTGCAATTACACGCGTGAATATCAATCGAAGAATCTCATACTCATGAGCATTTCGGCTTTCCGCTCTTACCAATTCGACACCCCGATAACACGAGCCACCCCCTTTTCCTTCAGCTCCTCCAATATCCGCCAGGCTTCGCGGTTACTCAGATTCCCCGGACGCCCACGAGGAGGAAAATGGAGCTGCAGTACATCGACATAACCATTCATTCCAAAACGTTCCATCTCCCGATAAGTGCTCTCCACCATCCCCGCAGCCCCTTTGCATCCCAAAGCCGCATACGTGTTGAGTTTGAGACTGAAGACCAGTTCGTTGCGTGGGATGCCGGAAGTCTTGAATATCTTGGCCGCGCTTTCATTGTTGGTGTATAGATCTCCGGTATTGATATGTCGGAATCCTGCGTCCAGGGCCTGGCGGACTTCTTTGCTGCTGTCGGTGGGGAGGGGATGAGAGTGGTTGGGAGCCCATCTCATGAAGGAGCCGAGTCCGAATGCCAGTCTCGGGATGGCGAAGCCGTTGATATCGATTGTAATAGCTCGTGTCGACATGGTGCTGAGAGAGTAGTTGGGTAGACAACACGCGGTTCGACAGAATGAAGAGAGTAAGCGAAGAGGCCAAGAAGTACGGTGCAGGTGGTGTCTGCGGAAGTGTGGGGAAATGCCTTCTGCGAACGCTGTTGCGGGGGTGCAGAGGCCACAAACCACTAGCCTTCACATGCCACCCAATGTAGCCTCTCAAGCCGAAACTTCAAAATTAGCAAGGACCATCCCAGTTCAGAACAACACAACAGACATGGCGAGCGAGAAGTTATCCCCCCAAATCGAAGTCGCCATAGTAGGAGCCGGGGTCTCAGGCCTGGCAGTAGCAAACGGCCTAATGAACGATCCCCACAATCGCTTCAACATCACAGTCTACGAACGCGACTCCGTTGCCTTTGACTCCGAGCGAGGCGGTTACCAACTCCGAATCAGCAGCAACGGCATCCACGCTCTTCGGAAGGTGTGCGATGCCAAAACATGGTCCGCACTCCAAGACAGGTGGGGAAACGATCAAGCAAAAGCACCGGCAATGGTTGACCCCAGCACTTTCAACATCGTTCTACATCTTTCGGGGCTGATGTTGTACCCGCAGAGCCGGCCGATTGCGAGGAAGGGCCTGAGGTGGACGTTGTTGCAGAAGCCGATGAATGAAGGCCGCATCATGTTTCAGCATTATTTGCATTCTTTCGAGTATCTTTCCGGCGGTGGTGTGGAACTGCACTTTGAGGACCAAGCGTCGAGAAGAGCAGACATTTTGATCGCCGCGGATGGAAGCAGTAGTCGCATCAATCGACAGATTGGACTGAACAACAAAGTCAAGATGAAAGCCTGGACATCGATCCAGGGCCAAGGACTTATCGACAAGAGTACCGCACGGGAGAAGTTACCCAAGACGCTGAACGAGATTGGATCCGTTATTCACATGGCCGGTGACAAGATTGCGGGCTTTGCCTCCATTTACGATGCCGCTTCTGGGGAGGCCACGTCCAAGAAATCGGCTGCATCGAGTGTCTTCTGGAGTGTTCTGGTGCCGAATGCGGTAGGAGGGAAGATTATCGACCGGAGTGGTGGTAGCGTGAGCGACGAAGATGTCATTGACCGACTGCTCGAATACCTCGGGCATGACCTAGGCTTCACAGAGGCTCTCCCCTCTGTGAGATCTGCGTCGCGGTGGGCCCTCCGTGCAGGCCTTGTCACGAGTTCCTTCAAGCCGGAGGGCGACTGGCGAGGAGGTGATCGTGAGAAATTCCGTGTGATTGTTCTTGGGGATGCTCTTCATCCCATGACGCCAGGTACATTCATTCCTTCTCACATCCATTTTGGTGCCATTGCTGACATTTCAAAGGCCGCAGAATGGGAGCGAACACAGCTCTCACGGACGCGGGCAATCTGGTCGATGTGCTCAAATCCGCAACGTTCCCCCCCGATAAACCATTAGATGATGACCTTGCGTCAATTGTCAAGCCCTTCGACGCGGAGATGTATACCAGAGCCTTCAAGATGGTCTAAGCAAGCGAATCTATGACGGATCTCGATCTTACGACATTCCGAGATCGAACCAAAGTCACTGTGGTGCACGGACTGCTCATTGTTGGCGGATGGCTCGTTTCTCTTCTAGAGTTACTGGGGCTCAAGCAGCCAGATAAGATGGATTTTAGCCCTCTGCAGAAGTGATGTCGTCGAATTGAGGCGTTTGATTGAGCCGAGAGGAGTTTACGTGCTCGTTCCAAGAAAGCATCGTTTCCCATGTAATTCAAAGTCCTTGTGGAGGCGGAGGCGGGGAATTGTACAAATGTAAATAGTCGTCAGACATGCCGATCGACCACGGCGGTAGAAGAGCCGCGTGCCCAGTCTTAAACGAAGATCTCAAGATGTCCGCAAAAGCATTCTCCGTGCTCGTCAGATTTGTCGCAGTAGGTCATGCTCCTAAGAATATATGAATCGACTTTGGTCCTCCAAGCCGATAGATACTTCCAAAGGATGGATCAAAGACCCCGCAAGACGTCCGTTGTCAGTGGAGATGATTTTGGAGAAAGATATTCGTATCCATCTGGGAGGCGATATGGAGCTTTTAGCGGATATATTTCGGTCTGTAACTTCCGATGAGCAGAACTTTCCACCTCGATGCGCTGTAGGCCGTGTTCTCGTGCTATGAAATCCGTCTGGAGTCTATGATGCGATGATCAAGAATTTCACAGACTGGGTGTGCTTCCTCTCCGAGTCGGAACCCTGAGATCAGAGAGTAGCAGCCTCGAAGAGCGGGAAGCCGCGGACCCAGCCGAATGGATTCAACGCGAATACGCCGTCGTCAACATCGAAGGCGACATGCTCGTGTATGGCACGCAAGAAGGCAGGAACGGGTATGATTGTATCGAATGGACAGTAAAGCAACAATGGTCGAGCGGGAAAGATGCCATGGCTGGGGAGTCTTGGTTGGCGTCGACGCAGTGGTCCATTGCCGCAGAGTAACCGCCTCACCTGATCTAGGTGGCTTCCTGGAAAGGCCGCCACGATTATTGTCGAGAGTCGATCTGCCGAGGCGGAATTCCCGACCATGCCTTCTGGGACGCACTGATGAACTGATTCACCGGTGATTGCTTTTTTCTCGAGTCCCTATCTAAGAAAGTGGACCGAACCTGGTTAAGACTCAACATACGTGAAGATGTCGGTGTAATGGTCGATTAGTACGCCACAAGAGAACATTCGGTCTGTTCCATCATATCGAAGTAGAATATGGCAGAGGAGCCGCTGAACTTTGCTGTCATGGGGTCTAAATCGGATCCAGCGGACGTCTCCGTGTCTCTCATCGCGGGACGGCCGAAGCAGATGTTGCAGGAATAAGCCGCGAGGAGTATCGCTCCTTCCTGTCCGACGCATTTGTGTACCATGATCATGCGGAATCAAAGAGAGTGCGAAGAGGAGAGACTATTGAGCTCGATGTTGGCATCTGGCCTAGAGGTATGTTCGATGCAGGCGGATCGTTGCGCTTGGAAGTCAAGGGGTGCCTACCTATCCTGCCAGAGTTCGAGCATCTCAAGGTTGCCAACCACATAGAATAAGACTGGCGGTCAAAATGCCTCTCGATTGTATGTTGCGCTCAAGCAGATGGCAAATACCCTGAAGATGGCCGCATGGTCTTGGAGAAATTCCGTCATTCTGTTCTCCTGTTTCGATTTGAGTGTTGGCTGATGTCATGGGACAAATGGCCCGAGGTCAGATTCCGTGATTGGAGATTCGTGATCTAGAGCAGCAATAAGAGGCATCGCGCCGTGAGTTCTGCATGTGACTGGGCCTCAAGTCTGACGTTCGGCATACTCCAGGCATTTCACCAGGCAGCCAGACGGGAAGCGCGGCGTCATGTCAGTTTTTACCATAGCTCCAACATCTAGATTCTGTGCTCAGCGATCATAGAAGAGATGATCAAACACCAAGGGCGGATAGACGATTCTCGGAGGAAGAAGAAGAAGAAGAAGAAGAAGAAGATGATGAAGAAGATGAAGAAGATGAAGAAGAAGGAGAGGAGCTTTGGAAGTGGTACGGAATTTGGACGGAGCTGTGGAAGGAACGGGTGGCCCCTGCTTCGGGACGCGCCCCGCGGCTCGAGCCCGAAAAGCTTATTTGGGGCAGGTTTGTTGTGGTTGAAACTCGACGCGCTGCTGAGTTGAAGAATAATCCTGTACACCTCCTCCACCCGAACATCACACTTGCGACCACCACACACGATCCTACTCGCTGCACGGCGCATTCAATCCCACGACCTGTACACTACTCCTTCGTTTGGACTGTCCCACGTGAAGGCGCTCTCAGGTGACACGACGGCCACGCAACGACCCGGCATTCCTCTCCCAAATTTCTCGTCACAGTTCGTTCCCCGTCCAACCTCATCCACCCGAGCTCGCCTCCGACGCTGACGCACTCTCTGACAGTGGCGCAGATCAAGTACATCAAGAACAAAAAACCTGCTCCCGGCTCGCCAGATTCCGCCATGGCTGCAGTGCCCCCGACCTCCAGAGAGCGCGCAGCGCAACAGAAATATGCAGCAAAGCAGGCGGCAGAGGCCAACACCAAAGCCAAAATCACCCGTGCCAAGCCAGAAGCTGAAGCGAAAGTGACCAAGAGCAAAGCACCGGCCAAGAGCAAGGCCGCCGCTGCGGAGAAGACGAAGGCTGCTCCAAAGGGTCGCGGCAAGGCGAAGAAGGACACCGAGGCTGAGACAGACGGAGAGACAAAGACAAAGAAGAATGCCACAAAGGCTAAGGGTAAGTCATTGAACCACAATGTCATATTTATGGGCAGATACCCTGCGGTGGGCGGCGCTACATTACAGCAACATGGCCGCCAACCACAAGTCGGCACCGCGTCTCCCATTGTGTTATTGGGACCCGAACGGACGCTTACATTCCTCCACAGGCACTACCAAGAAAGCTGCGCCCAAGAAGACGCCTGCGGCGTCATCGACCACGTCGAAGAAGCGCAAAGCAGAAGATGGCGAAGCTCCGGCAGCTCCAGCCAAGAGGGTCAAGCTCCTCACCAAGGGACCCGAGATCAATCAGCCACCAACCGAGCGTCTCCATGTCTACGTCTTCGGCGAAGGCACCGCCGGTGAGCTCGCACTCGGTACTGCCAAGAATGCCGTCGACGTCAAGCGTCCACGCCTCAACCCAAACCTCAGCGCCGAAACCGTCGGTGTCGTCCAGGTCGCCGCCGGCGGCATGCACTGCGTTGCACTCACTCATGATAACAAGGTCTTGACTTGGGGTGTCAACGACCAGGGCACTCTTGGTCGAGACACTGAGTGGGATGGCGGATTGAAAGATATGGACGATAACGCAAGTGACAGCGACGATGAGGATGGCGATGACAACGGCTTGAACCCGAAGGAGTGCACACCTGGCGAGGTCGACTGGTCGAAGACCGACGTCGCAGAAGGGACACGCTTTGTGCAGGTCGCAGCAGGCGATTCCACTTCATTCGTACTCACTGACGACGGCCGTGTCTACGGCTGGGGCACATTCCGCGGCAACGATGGCATCTTCGGCTTCACGCCCGACGTGAAGGTTGCCTATCGCCCAGTACTCGTGCCGAATCTCTCCAAGGTCACAGATATCAAGGCTGGTGCCAATCACGCCCTCGCCATAGACAGCAAGGGAGCCGTCTACGCCTGGGGATCTGGTCAGCAGAATCAGCTTGGCCGTCGCATTATCGAGCGTACCAAGGCTCAGGCCCTCATCCCGAGCGAATTCGGCCTGCCCAAGGGCCCAAAGAAGGGCATCACATCAATCGCCACGGGCAGCTACCACAGCTTCGCCATCTCCAAGACCGGAGATGTCTATTCCTGGGGTTTGAACAACTTTGGTGAGACCGGCATCATGGACAACGCCGGACAGGATGACGCAGTCATCATGAACCCACAAGTTGTTAAGCAACTGCGCGGCAAGAACATCGTCAGCATTCAAGGCGGTGGCCATCACAGCATTGCATCCACCGAAGAAGGCGACTGCCTTGTTTGGGGCCGTATTGATGGCGCTCAGACGGGCATCGCAGCAGACGATATTGCCAAGCTCCCTGCTGATGCTGTCATCAAGGATGAGCATGGCCGCCCACGCATCCTCTCCGCTCCACAGAAGGTCACTGCAATCAAGGGCGAAGTCTGTCACGTCACCACCAGCTCCGACCACAACATCGTCCTCACAAAGCAAGGCAAGGCATGGTCATGGGGATTTTCTGCCAACTACCAGACTGGTCTTGGCACTGATGATGACGTTCCTGTCGCCACTATGATCGATAATACCGCCGTCCGCGACAAGAAGCTCACTGGCGCTACCACCGGAGGCCAATTCAGCGTTCTGACCGCGCCAGCTGGCATCACTACAAATGGCGACGCCGACACGGAGATGCAGGATGCTTGAGAGCAAGCTTCTTGAAGACCCTGATGGGCTTAACGTCGCCACGCGCGCTTCACATATGGATGGTATAAGATGAGAGTCATGTTTGGTTAGCGAGGCGTTGACAGGGCTTTGCATGTGCGCCGCGGGACACGGAACGCGGATAGAGGTGGCTATTCGGGAAGGGCGTAGCTTCTGGCTTTGACTCTCAGCTTTGCGCTGATGGAGTTGGCTTGACTGTCTTGCATCGACTCTCGACCCCGGTTGATATGAGTTGGCTTGGTGTTTCGGGTTTGACTCTCAGTGCTTTGAAAGCCTTTGATCGAGTTGCCTGATAACACCCCACCTCACTGCTGTTACTGATAGAACGGATGCATTCAGCATTTGCCGACAGTCCTAGTTATAATAATACTGCTTTGGGTTCTTGGGTCCATTTCCTGGTCTCAAAATTTACAAGTTATCGCTCATCGAAAGCTTGGCTACTGTAGATGACCTACAAGGTCAACTGGAGGCGGAGAGGTGCTGCAATTTGAAAAGTAAGTCGGGGAACATGGCGGTCAGAGCGAGTTGGCCACCGCAGGATAGTTCCTTGCAGGCGCCCAGATAAATAGACAATGAGTGAAGACGAGGAAGCAAGCAGAAACGGGAGCATTTACTCAGGGAACATCCATCTCCATTCCTATCTTCGACTAGGCTGTTTCTGCCTGACCTCCCAGGGAGGTCGACCAGCTGCTATCAAAGCTGAGACAAACTCTGTTGGTGACACAGAACCGCCACCTATTCCACGCGCATCTTCGACGACACACCATGGCTCTCCAACAGACGTGGCCAGGCCCATGTATCGTGGCGGAACACCTTGGCAATCTCCTCGAGATCGCCATGCGTGAAGCCATTGAAACCCTCCCGGCTGCCAATGTGCTTGACGACGCGACGCGCGAAGCCCACGGCGTTGCGGATGTCACGTTGCTCGAACCCAAAGCCACGTGTCTCCAGGTGCGGGGCCGCCGGGAAGTCGGTCTTGCGGGCGCGCTTCGTGTTGACCTTCTTCTCGCGGTAGGTCATGATGAAGCTCATGACCACGTTCTCCTTGTCGATCTCGGCACGGTTCTTTTCGTCGACAAACTCGGCGTCGCAGATGAGGAAGGTGACATCGCGGAAGACGGCCTGCGCGCCGTAGCCGCGGATCAGATCTTTGACGGGACGCTTGATTCCGAGCTTGCCGGCGACGCGGACGGCGGCGTCGTAGGCTTTGTCGAGGGCGAAGTCATCGCACTTCTCGCGTGGCGGGAGCTCCAGGCGGCTCCGGAAGAAGTCGACTAGGTTGCAGGGAAGAACGACATACCAGCTGGCTTCGGCGAAGAAGACGGGCAAGAATTCGCTGCGGAGTTGGCGAGAGACCTGGGCGATGACTGGGGTCTTGAAGTTGGCGAGGTTGTATTTGTTGCGCTGGCCTTTGTTCCGCTTGCCGTTCATGGCGATGTAGTGTCCGTAGATCCTGTTGCGGATTTCCGCTGGGAGATCAAGGATGCGGAATGGCCGAGCACGCCGAGCCTCCAGGTTGGCGGCGCCCTTCTCCAACAAGGCCACGACGATGGCAGTCAGCGGCGACAATGACATCTGGGTGTTGCTCGGGGCGTCGCGCTCTCTAGAGACGAAGCGGGGAGGAGTGCCGCGCATGGCGCGAATGGCATTCTCTGCGCTCATCTTGTTGCCGCGGCTGCCGGGAAGTCTTGTGTCGTGATGGCAGGTGGGCGGTACTCGCTCCAATGGAGTGCTGGAGTGAGGATCGGGGTAAAGAAAATGGTGAACGACAGCGCTGCGATGCTCGGCGCCGCCAAAAGAAATAGACCAACAGGCTTATACTTGGCCTTCCTGCTGTGCTCTGTCTGCACTGCACCGCTCTGCACTGCTCTGTTCTGCACTGCTCTGTTCTGCACTGCTCTGTTCTGCACTGCTCTGTTCTGCACTGCTCTTCTCTCTGCTGCTGCTGCTGCTGCTGCTGCGAGTTTCTCACCTACCATTCAAGACTTTTGGTCGCGCAAAGGCACAGCACGGCGTTGCGCCGCCGAGAAGATGAACGCGCCTCAGTGAGGCCGTTCAGAGAGGGAATTGGAGGAGCTTGTGCTCCCAGGAGGTTGTGGTCGCTGATGTTGCGATTTTTGTGTGAGAGATGTGTGTGGATGTTGTTGACGCGAAGCTACAGACACGTGATGTGAGCGCGCCGGCCCGCCCGCTTGGCCCCTGCTTAGTGCGAGGCGCATGTCGCGGAGCTTCTCTGCTTCACTTGAGCCTCCTCTTCCTCGCATTTGTAACACCGCAACAAGCCCCCAAACGACCGCTCCTTCATATATCTCAGTCGATTCAGCCTCACCTCCAACTCGTATCCAAAAGTCATTCATACGGACGTCAACATGGCAAACGCGAACGGAGCTGCCAAGTCGCTGGAGGACATGCTGAAAGAGAGTAAGGGCTGGCCTGGCCGCATGCACTTCCAATTTGACTGGCTACTGACCAAACGAAGATCGCGAGAAGCAGAAGGCGCAGAAACTTGCGGAGCAGATCTTCGGCAGACGCTCCAAGACACCCGCAGGACCCAAGCCCAAACCTGGCCCTGGTGCTAGCCTTGCTAGCCGGGTCGGAGTTGCAAAGGTATTCCGACAACATGTCTGAGGCTGGGATGGGTCATATGGGCTCACACGTCTTCAGCGTACCGCGTCACTACCTCGAACCAACAGCGCTCCGCCTCGCAACCCGCGCAACGCAGCTCCACAACACTTCAACCGCCCTCCACGAAACGAGAACCTCAACCACAGACCCTCCTACACGCAGCCTCTATCCGATCCAGTGCCCGTGGGCAGGAGCAACGGAGCTCCTGTGTTCGATGCAGCACCAGCGAATGGCAGCGGTGTCAGCATACGAGGCGCCGCTGCGTTGCCGAACGTAGTCATTGCCTCCAATTTCGCACCTGGTACGAGTGCTGCCGACATTGAGAGCGTTATGCTGGACGTGGGAGGCCAGATGACTGAATGCCGACTACTGACGTCTCTTCCTACCGTGGTTGCGGAGATGACTTTCGTGGACAAGGCTGGCGCGGAGACCGTCATCAACACATTCAACAACAAGAAGGCGGATGGTCGGACCTTGCACGTGTACTGGAAACACTCTGGAACTGGTCCTCGCGGCGTCGAAGCTGAGCCAGAACCAGCGCCATCTGCTGTTGAAGACACCATGGAGGTCGACGAGAACGCCGAGGCGCGCGAGGCCGAGAACCGTCTTCGCGAGGAACGCCGCGGTAACAACGCACGCGAACCGAGAGACGGCTATCCAGCTGGCCCCAAGGGAGATCGAGGATACGAGGATGACTACTACAGAGGTCCAAGGCGCGCAGAACCCGCGTGGCAAGATGGCAGATACGGTTTCGGTGGTGGTGACAGGTATGGGCCAAGAGGCAGATATCGTGACGAGGGTCGCATGTATTCGGACCGTATGGGACGTGGTGGACAACGCTGGAGGCCTTGAGCTACAGTGCAGGGGATCTCCTGCGTCAAACCACCGAAAAATGAGACGCGGTAGTGGAGTACCAGAGGATGGATCAAAATGGTCGCTGAAAATGTAGTGTCTGGTGCTGTCCGTTGAACCTTCTACAAGAAGGTGGTGAAAAGGATGTATGATTATACCGGCTCGAAAACCAACCATAGGGCTGCCGCTTTGTAGAGCGCTCACTAATAATGCGATTGATGGTCACAACGGGCACGAAATTCGAACAATTGCAAGATTCTTCCATGGCTGACACCTCCCGACCGAGAATACTTGCGACCATAACTCCACTTCAGTCGCGGCGTCCGGGTCTCAAATATGGCGTTCTCAGCAATCATTCAAACCACGAGATATCAAAATGGCCCGCAGCCATTCGACTGTTTGCAGATACTCGGATGTTTGCCGCTCTACTCTCCACTCTGTGTCTGGCCACCATCTGGTCGGCTCTACAAGTCGTCCTTCCCGTACTTGTGATGAGCCTCTTCTACTGGCGTTCACTCGAAACAGGACTCTTCTTCATCCCCCTGTGCCTTCCCAATCTCATCGGCCCCTTCCTTGGAAGGCAAGTGGACAAGTACGGGAGCAGATGGTTTCCATCAGTCCGCTTCATCCTCATGACGTCCGGCGCTGGTCTTATGACAATTGTAAGGAAGAACAGCACCGGGCAAATCGTCTTGCTCATGGCGCTATTGGTATTTTTCGGGCTCGGGCGAGGAAGTATCATGTCGGCAAGCGACATCACCTTCCATCCATCCGTAAGTCGCAACTTCTCGCAATCAAATGCTCGAATTGGCCTGCCGTCGACAGCCTACAAGCGGACCTGAAGGAGCAGCTTCCAGTGTGACAGCTTCTACGACTGCAACAACGTGGTTGCCATAACTACCATGCGCGCCCTCCTCCATCTCCAGCTCGATGCGATCTTGATAAACACATCTACAACGCCGTCATGTTCAAGTGACATGACACAACTTCAACAGCGACCTGCGAGAGATGCATAACAATGACAACTCCAGGTGGTTCCTCGTCACAACGAGAGCGCAATGCCGTCTCGCCATCGCCCGCCCGCGACGCACTTCAGGGCAACCTTGCAAATTTGACCGGCGCTGACATTGGTCTCACTGTATCCAAGCGAAAGTCTTGGTTTGGAAGCGCTCGAACGGCGATCTTCAAGCATGTCGGCTCACGGAGAGGCGACGCCAATAAGACAGAGGCGTATGTCCAAGTCATCCGCGCGTTCAGGAGCGAGCGACCGCTGACAGTGTTTCATCTGCAGCGGCGATGAGTCCGCATCTGCTGATGCAGACGGGCTCCTAGACCCAACGCCTCTCGAAGACTGCGACGTCACGCCATTGAAGCCGAGTCCACCGCGCCAGCGAACCTTTACCCCGAAAAATGCAATCAACTCCCTCCGCCAGCACATGCACCATTCCAATCAGCGTCACAAACGAGCAGCTTTACCCCTGGCGATGAATGAACAAGCAAACCAACAACAAGATCCATCCGCAGTTGAAGAAAGACAGCCTTCACCTGAAAACGACGGGATTGACATCGTGTCACCCCTGAAAAGCAATGAAGTCTCGCCCAGAAGTCAAAGAGGACGTGCCAGTCTGAGCATGAGTCTGGTCGGCAGCATTCGCGGCTTGAGCAGACTACCGACATTAAAGTACATGTCACCGACCAAACGAAGCAGAGATGAGCTGGTGTCTCCAACAAAAGAAGCCAGCCAAGTGCCACTTCCATCTTCGCCTATCAGAATCAAGCCGCCGCCGACGCTTTCACTCGATCTCGGCCCTGCAGCCCTTGTATCATCCAACTTTGGACGATTCTCGCCTGAAATCGATCGAGCGTCCACGTTTTTCAACCTGACCGATCCTTCCAGTACCGCCAATGTAGACCCCTTGCAGGTCTATGGGGCTCAGATCGTCACTGCCGCTGACCAAGGTCTGCCAGGCACGGGCGAGCCAGAATCCGAAGATTTGGAAAAGACCTACTCCGACATCATGACACGCATCAAATTGGAGCCGTCATCTTATATCATATCGAGGGAGGAGTTTGCGGTTTTGAGCATCTTCATGGATCGTGTTCATGGCGACGAAGCAGCAGAGCAAGCGCTCATGCGCTACTGGTCCAGCGCCGACGTTGCGTCCGCTGGATGTAGTCCAGCGCAAAATGTACCGACGTACTATACACGTATTCCTGGTGAAGGTCCACAAGACCAACAGATGGTCGGTCAACGCCAGTCTGTAAGGCCTAGCGATGTGCTGAATATTCCGGTGGATGATTTCGGTGTCAGCCAACCATCCGGCCCTTCCACTCCGTTGCCCGGCACCGGTCAGATGTTCGACTTCGATGGCGCCAATGACTCTACTGAACTCTTTGAGCGAAGCGTCGAGTACAAGGACAAGAAGTATAAGAAAGAGAATCGCAAGCTGAAGAAGATGGTATCTCTTGATGCTATGGCTGAGGAATGCGCGAATACACCTTCCTACGGGCTCTCGACTGAGGCCGAGCGCTCTCGACAAAAAAGACTATCGACTCTGACCACTGTGAATTCCATTCCAGAAGACATGTGTGAGATCACGCGCCAGGCGGCACATCTCCAGACCCCCTCAGCCGGTCACCGCAATCCAGCGACAGGAGAGTGGCAGAGTGATGACCCTTTTGCGCCTGGTAACGTCGTTGGGAATGTCGCCGAGAGTGGCGTTCCGTCGCCGACGAGGAGCGTAAAACTACCATTGCGTCCAAAGATAACCTTACAAGCAGCAGATCCGACGCAGCAGATGAATACAACCCTCGGCGGCAAGCCTAGCTCTCTGCTTCTGGACAATGCTGCTGCAACGCTAGCACTTGCTTCAGACTCGGATGCTGGAGAATACGGCGATTTCAAAGCGCAGCATTGTCTCCCGGATCTCGGCAAGGAGGAAAATCCAGAATATGATAGCCCCAGCCTTAGCGACTCTGGTATGAGTCTTGCTGCATCTTTTGGCCGGGCAGCATCACTTGCAGACCTTGTCTCTACCACAGAGGTACCTGCACCGCAAGCGCGTTCTGGTATCGCGTGTATGTCCAGTGGAAACGATGTCTTCGGCAGTCCATGGAAATTTCGTAGTTGGCGTGAAGCAGCGCCAGCCAACATGGCCTCACCAGATGACAGTCCTGCTACCACGGCATTCAACCGCACACCAGACATGGGAGAGCGCGAAGAGTTCGATTTGAAGAGATCTCAGCGCAACATGCGTTACAATGCCTTGTGCAATGAGCATTCCTCCGACCCTGAACACGAGGATGATGCCAGACCTCCTTCTGCGTTCCCTTCTCCACTTCGTCCAAGGCTTTGCCTCAACACTGGCGATCTCAGACTGGGTCGACGCACCTATGCATCCTCTCCCAAGAAAGACATTCGCCACACGGATGTTGGTATGAGCTCCGACAGTGTTGACACCGAGCTGAAAGTTATGGTTGCTCAGCACTACCAATTCAAAGATCATATCGATGCTATTGCTCCCAGTGACAATGTTGGTCTCGCGGCATCAGGGGGGTTCGATAACTCATCATCTCTTACACCAACCGAAAATCCTTTCTCTCCTGCCTCGGAAGCCTACAGCAGTCATCTCTCTCCCAACAGCAAGAAGATCTGGTCCAATGTTGTGCGGACCCCGTTTCACACGCCTCCTGCCGTGTCGCCTGCTTCTTCAAAGCACCCAAGAAAGGTTGCTATTACGGCTGATGACGACGGAGGGAGTGAGCAAGGCGAAGTCTGCACATACGACTTCGATCTACCAGAGGCGGATCAGCGGCGCGACAGTGCTGCTCCTTTCTCATCGGAAGGCGAGTCTACGGAGCACCCAGATAGCGAAGGCCTCACGGATACTCTGGATGATTGTCTCAAGATGTTCCGCTCCTTCAACCACTCTCAAGGACAATTGCCATCGAAGTCTTCGGAGGCTACGATCAAAGTTGATGGCCAGGTGGGCGATACCGCTGATCCTTTCAGCTCGCCTGACAGTGGATATAATGCGGACAAAAACTCTCCATCTCCAGGGACTGGTTCCGCAGGAAAGAAAAAACCACCTGCGAGATATCGGAGTATCAGGGGAATCCGGAAATGTGAGCTTGGCTGTAAGGAGACTGATTGAGTGAAGGTGTTGGCTGTTGGAAGAGACGAGGCGGCTATTGGGTACAGACAGCTTTTGGTCTAGAATACGATCCTTTCGCTTTGATAGTCAGCGTAGTGCAGAGGTTTACACTTTACCGTACAGGATTCAGCACACGACCAGCGTCAGACTGCTTCATCACCTACTGCCCAGGAAATCGGATACTAGCCGAGAAAGTGTCGAATTGGCAAGACTGAAAGAGTGTGTTGGAATCATCAAGCTTGATATTAGTCGTGACCACAGTTGACGTGCTCTATGCCTGCTAGAAGACGGTCTTTTACCGTTGCTTATCCGTCAACAAGTTCCCGGGAGTGACCAAGTTCTCAGCCAGCTCATAGATAACCACATGATCATCAACTCCAATGACAAGCTTATTGCCTGCCAGAGCAAAATTTCCAATCCGAGGTTGGTCGACGGGATGGATCGGAATGTAATTGAAGGTTCCTATGCTTATCAGCAATCGTCAGACAGACAACAAGACAGAGCAGGCTTACCGAGTAGTCTTCCGCCCGGCGAGCGAACCACAATCCCATCATCTTCAGCGGTCCAGATCCTCCCAGCATTATCCACATGCAGACCATTCGCGATACCGGTCCTCACCAAGGTGAAGAGTCTCCCATTCAGCGGCTTACCCTGATCGTTGAGATCGAACTCATAGATGGCATTGCTCTTGGTCGTGTTACTCGCCTGGTCTTCGAGTTTCGCCTGATCCGTAATGGCCGTGTTCGTGACATACAGCGTCCTCCCATCGGGACTCACGCGGATTCCGTTGGGCGCCACGATCTCGTTGGCCGAGATGACCGGGAGCAGGACTTTCTCGGCGACATCGAAGCGCCAGACGGCCGTGTCGAAGCGTTGCCGGGGGAATCTGGGGCCGAGGACGTCCTGGATGGAAAAGGTCGTGAGGAAGATGTAGTCCTTGTTCTGGACGCGGGTGACGACGACGTCGTCGCACGGAGCCAGCGGGATGCCCTGGTAGGAATTGGGAATCGGCGTGACGGCCAGCGTCTTCGGGTCCACGCTGATGATCGTTGCCGGGTCGGTCGTGGCGTTGAATTCGGTCAGGTAGACCTGTCCGTCGTAGTAATACCCTCCCAGTGGATATCTAATCGGCGGGTTCGTCACCACTTGCTTTGCGGAATTGTTCTTCAGACTGAAAGACGTGATGCTCTGGTTATACGGATAGTCGAAATCGAGGTACATGAACCAGACCTCGTCGGAGTCGGGGATCCAGACACCCGCTTCGAAGGCACATTCGGGAGCTCCGGGGGGGCAGTTGATGGTGCTCACGTTCGGGTCCGAGCCGACGAAGTTGCTGAATTCGTCCGAGTAGGAGACGAAGCGGGCCTGGTTCGCTCGGGCGAGGGCATCGTTGATGGTCTGGTTGCTTGTTGTGGTGCTGTTGAGCCAGGAGTATCTGATGCTGCTGTTGAAGGGCTGGGGGAGGAGATAGAGCCATTCCGAGGGCAGGCGGACGACGGCGGAAGAAGAATTCGTCCGGTTTTGGGCGGTTGCGATGCCCGTCAAGGCCGCTGATAATGCTAGAAGACTCCTCATGATGATTGAGAGGAGAATTTAGAGAATAAAGGGTTCCTGGAATGCCGTTCTCTTCTGGCTCCCACGACGAGTATTCATATTTATGTTCCTCTCCGGCGGAGACATGACGTCCAGACATGGAAGGAATCTACCCAAAGACGCCAATGCCCTCGCGGATCTGAGGGGATAATAGATAGACCGCTCGAAGGTTGCTGCGTCCCTTGACCTCATACGCATCCCAAGCTTCGCGGAGATCTGCAGGTGAGACAGATGTTTAGCAGTCGGTCCCGGCAAGTCCCACGGTAAGATGGCAACAAGGCAAATCCTGAAGTCTGACTCGGTCTGAGGACTTCAGTCCCACGAGGTTATAAGTTGAATATTGAATGTTGGCAACTTCCACACGTCGACATCTCAATCAACCGTAGACCTCGAGAGTATTCCGTAGGGGTTTTTCGCGATGAACGACGATATCATCTTCCGGGTTTGTACTGGGCATCCAAAGTTCGAGATACGGTATCAGTTCAGGAAGCGTTGATAGATATGTAAATATATATTCAACACACCGTTGATAACGACAAGCTCGATCAAGGAGTTCAACAAAGGAGATATGATCAGATATCTAAATCACAATGCGTTTTCGGTGGCATTCGCACACGGCACTACTAACCTTACGAATCCTTCGGGAATCCGCTCACGTGGTCGAGATGACGTCCCGCCGTTATCGTTCATTCCAAGAAGTATGAGATCGACATGACTGCGCCTTGCCAACCTGGAATGTAACACCAGCATTTGCAAACTCTCGAGCAAGAACGTGATCTTTGCAAAAGCGCCAGGTATAAATACAATTGCAGCCGTACTGAGGTAGACGACGGACCGAAGCCGGGACTTTGGAAGGACTCCGCCGTACGAAGAAAGACATCTTGCTTTCCCGAGGGATCATTGAAGAAGAGATTCATTCATCGAGATTCAAGAATCAAAGTTCAGCAACCACTTGGCCTTGGGACGTCAATACAGACTCTCAACAACACCAAAGCCGCTTCATAACTCCAAAAATGAACGGTGCCTCCGCCCCAGTCTACGGCGACTGGCACGCCAACGGCTACGGCTCGCCCCCGAATTCCACAATCATGAACAAAGACTCCATGCCATCCGACAAAGCAGAAGCCGCGCGCCAGAAATCCGCCGCGGTAATGGAAGCCCTTCGAAATGGAGACCAAGGGGCCGCGGATCGACTCATGGGCAAGAATGAAGCTCGAAAGGGACACGCATCGGGTCCAGGGCCGATGAAGTGGTTGAAGGGTAAGTTTGCTGGGAAGGATAAGGGAGGGAAGGAGGTGGGGGATGGGGATAGTGTGATGAGCGAGGGTGTTGAGAGGGAGCAGGTCACTGTGGGTAATAATGGGAAGAAGGGGGATAGAATTATTCGGTGAGATGAATCGCCCATGTCCAGCTTCAAGTTTTCAGAACTTTCATTATGCGTATCTCTCTTGGAACTATGAACTCTGGCCACATCCGGAGCAATCGAATGGACGGCCTTGACACAGAGCGCCCCCGAATTGAAAACCTACAGGCTGCGAAGAGACAGCCATCTCGTTGCCTCAAAAGCTCCGACCAGACATGCGATAGTTGTAATCGAAACTCAGCCGCACGGGAATACCAGGTCCATATCCCGAATTTCGAATCGAGCTATATCCCGAATGTCTTGCAGGAGTGCCGGGTCTCTTCAAAACAAGTGATGAAGTCTGTTGCTGACTTGGAGATTGAGGCCGCGGTGAGAATGTCTTTTCGAGGAGACCTTGTCCGGAGTCAGACGAAGTCCTTCTCCTTGGTCTCATTGGTATTCTCTTTCTCGGAGCCCACCAGAGCTTCCCCTCACACATGGCGTGCAACCAAGGCGAGGCCACCAACTGCTCCGCGTGGCAGCAATCTGTCGAGAGCGCGAACTTCTTCGCCAGTAGGCCCTTGAGGGGATTTGGTCCGGCCGACCTCTTCTTGTCCGCGAGTTCCCAACTCTCATAAGCCCACATTTCGTACTCATCCATACTCTCCAGTGTTGCGAACCACTCTCCTTGGAACACCATGCCTTTCTCTCTCATTCGAACTCTCAGATCCATATCTCGGACTACGGTATTAATCATGCATTTCCGATCGTAGAGAAGCTTCGCCGCCAAGGTCCTGGGCCCGTACTGACTTGCCATCCAGCGCACTCTAGACTTATATCCCGTGAAGACGCACCTGATGCTTCCCACGAACATCCTCAACATGGAAAACACCACGGCATGCGGAACGCCCAGTCGATTCGCCGGATCCAGCAGCTGGCATTCAATCTCCAGCTCGCCGACGAACCAGACGTGCAGAGAGGCGTCGAAGACGAGACCTTTGCCGTGGAAAGCAGGTAGAGGCCTGCGGTTGGCGAGGCACTTGGAAGCCAGTCGGACGAAGTGCACGAAGTCGTCTTTGGTCAGTTTATCGGGAGAATCGTGCTGGACTTCGTAGTCGACCGCGAGGCAGAAGGCTAGAAAACGACGGAGTCTTTCGACATTGCTGCGGTCGCATGTACAGTCTGGTTCGTTGCGATGCTTGATGGGGATTCGAAGTGGAAGAGGAGTCGAATGATCCATTTTGGAGCATTCCTTGGAGGGGTTGCCCAGGAAGTACGGCATAACGAAGTCGCTGGCGAGGCATAGTCACACTGCATGCGCAAACTATTCCATTCCCATCGACGTTTTCAAATCATCTGATCAAGCATGTGGGTTCTGTGTCAAAGCTTGGAGAACTAGTCATCCTCAAGCTTGGCTTCGGAGTGGTCGAGATAGCTACACTCAGCATCTTGGTCCGTCTGGTCGGTGCAAACCATATGCTTGCGTGTATTTGTCTTTCTTGTGACTACAATCATTGTTCGTCGCTTGGCCAGCAGGACTGTTCGATGTCAGCAAGTGACAGGCGAGTTGCTCCGAAATGCCATCCCGGCGCGACATCTTGGCCGAAGAAAAATATCAATAATTTATTAAATCTTGCACATATCACGACTATCGACTCCTTCCTGCATGTCGTATAACGTACCAACGGCAAGCAGACGCATAATTGGGAGTTCCTGCCGTCGTGGTGCCGGTGTAGTCGTTGATGCATAGCGCCCACTTTACTCAGGCTGTAGCTTCCCCATCCTTGGGGTCTTATGTGCAGCCATATCAACTTGATGGGTCGATCTGATGATAGTGAATGGAAATACATAATACGTGTCCTACGCGGTCCAGCAACATTGCATCTATTGTTTCATGCAAAACATCTCCATCAGAGTTCTCTCTCTTGTAAAAATGGTCATTGATTTCTCTGGCTCCAAGGCGCCCGCTTAGGCGCAGATATTCTGAGATCAGATGTACGGTAATGGTGAACTCGGAAGCGATGACAAGAACCTCCCACTGCACATTGCAACCCTTACATTCGCATTTTGATTGCGCAACTACTACTCGGAAATGTCTACGCTCAGCTCACGACGCTATGGACGTCGTGGAGGTCACCGAGTACTCAAAGTGCTTCTCGATCGCCCGTCCCTGCTCCGAGTCCTCACTCTCCTTCCGGAACGACCCATCGGACCTGGAGCCTTCTCTACCCGCGCCGCCATTCAACGAGATGAGCGATCGTAGACTGTACATCATGTACTGCACGTTGGCTCCTTTGAGCAACGGTCGGAGCGTGGGCAGGCAGATGGCGATCATACCAACTCCGAGCTCCAGCATGCCTAGAAAATCATTCGGCGTCAGCATTCTCCTTGCTATATTCCAGGGACAAGATGGTGCTTACCCCAGAAGACCATGAGCGATACGATCCCCATGAAGTCGCTGCTGGGCAGGCCGGCCAACTTGGCCTCTGTCAGAAGAGGCGTGCCGAGGATCCAGGCTACAATGACCATTCTGGCAATGCCACAGCCCATCGAACTGACCGACCAAATCAGCAAGTTTGCGTGTGGAAATTGTGAATGGCATTTTGTACTCACAGACTACCCACGAGCATGACAGCGAGGACCGCGAATTTCTGGCGAGTCGCCGTCTCGAGTTGGAGGATCTGATCATGATTAGCCATCAGAGAATATCCCTCGCGAAGACACCAAAAGGCATTGCCCTCCGGAATCCGGGCTGGGTTGTACGTACAAACGGAATCGGCAGCACCAAGATACCAATATCCACCGCGACATCGAACACCGATTGCGTAACAAGCACGTAGAAGCTGTTGATGCACTTGGTGGTAAGAGTCTCGAGACTGATGTATCCATTGTCCGGATGATCGCCGCAACGCGCCAGCCAGGCGATGAAGAACGATATGCCCCAGAGAACCGTAGTGACGGTCAGGATCCAGAAGCAGACGGTGAAGATGCGGCTGATCTTGAAGATGCGGCGGTAGAAGAAGAGGACGGAGAGTTTGAGGAAGGCCATTCCTGGCACCATGAGGGCATAGAATGCGTATTCCAACTGGACAGCGTGATGGTTAGCATTCGCCGGATGGATTTGGGGCAAAATGCTGCTGACCTTCTTCTGCAGTTCCTGCTTCGGGTTTTCGTAGGTGTAGATTGCCATGCCTATATCTGGTGAATGCGTTCCGAATGTTGCTGTCGCCGAGCCTGTCCAGAACAATGTCAGCAATCTTCTTCGACTAAAACTTGAGAAGCCAGATGGACTTCACTGTACAGGGCACATACCGGCCACGAAGACACTGCAGGCGGCAAGCACCAAGATCTACCAACCTGTCAACACTTCCTCACATCTTTCGCGAGCTCATGCCTTTCTTACCATCGCTGCCAACGACAACCAGTCATCTACTCCAAGCCCCATCTTGTTCCTCACCCTCATCGCGAACCTCAGAGCAACAGCAACCAGGCTCGTGACGATGAACGTCACCCCGATACCCATAACACTGGCCCGATTCACGTAGGTCATCTTGAAGACCGAAAAGCCCAGTCCAGCTGTGATTGGTGATCGAAGTCGAGATGTGGAAAGACACTGAGACTGTATGATAACGAGAGCAAGAGTGGACAGACGGATTTGTTGGTCGACAAGGGCCTGCTCACGTTCCATTCGTACTCTTTTGTGCTGCCACGTGGGAAAGCGCCTGCTCGCATGTCCCTTCTAGTGCATATCGGATCTGCGGTAGCTTTGCTAAGCTAGATATCTGCATTTCTACGGCGTAAAGGGTAGCGACATGCTATTCCGCAACTTGGTCAACCTCGGAATATCAGATTTGATCAAAGCATTCCCCGAGCAGACACATGGCATGCACGGGACGGCACCAAAGCATGCGGTGCGGCGCTGGGGTGCGTATCTCGGAAGATCATCGAAAGGATGCATAAGCTTCAAGACCAAGAGCGGGGCTGAAGTACACCGAACGAGTACCTCTCCAGCTTTCTGTCGATCTTTTATTTTCGGGTTTGGGTGTGCTGAACGTTTAGTGGCTGAGAAGGTGGAGGGTCACTCACGTTGCCGGCACGTTGTTTTCCTATTGCTCACACGCAGCTGGGGTAAACTTTCTTCTAATGAATGCCGGGGGCGTTGAGTGAGCTACGGAGTTGATCATTGGAGAATGTCATTGTCGGAGACCGAAATACATTGCTTGATCAGTAATGTTGGTGGCTGATTGATTCCGCGTGGTTTGAAGGTTTGTTTCTTCATTGGGCTGGAGGTATAGTTCTACGCTGCCTTGGGATCATCAAGGTGAGGAGACTGCATGCTCGCGGAAGGGACATTGTGGTGCGGCACGGTCTGGACCTTCGACCGCGGAATGTGAGTATTTCCGCTCCAAGAGATAACTATTAGACTATCGGCCTGTCCAGCTCCTATCTTCCTCGGAGTTGATTCTTGAATCGACACCATCAAGCTCTCTGCCTTCAGGTTCACTCCGCACGAATACCAACTCCGCCTCACCAAAGACCAAGCACACCAACGACACAGTCACCACAATGAAGTTCACAATCATCCTGGCAACTCTCGCCCTTGCTCTCGGCGTCACATCAATGCCCATCGCCCACGAAGAGGCAGACGTTGCGAGAGATACAGGTAGCGCGGGTACGTCGACCCGTCAAGTGGAAGCAAAGCTCGGTCTAATCGATTCTGCCAGATCACACAACGACCACAGCAGATCTCGTGGACCCAGAAGTCGTGGGAGATGGATATTGATTTCATGGCGCGATTTTTTCTGACGAGGAATTATGGATTCGATCGTGATTGCGGACATACCAACGGAGTTCGGTGTTGATGATGAATGAACATGACTGCTAAGATGTATTGTAATGCCATTCTAAAGATGCTGTTGAGGAAATTGTCTCTTCCTCTTCTGTTGCCTTCGGCAATATCAGAAAACTGGCTGTTCGAGCCTCTATGCGCCGCCCTGACTTCCAGTCGACACTCTTGCCGCCTGAGAAGGGAACAATCAACCACGCAATTGTGCGGGCGTCATACTTCCAAGAGTCCATGCAGGAAGAAGCTGAACGCACAGCCGCCGAAGATCAATGCCCGAGATGAAGGATTCTCCGGCGATCAAAGCAGGTCTGAAGTCTGAAGACCAGCCGGAGGAAAATATAGCTGATAGACAGATCGGCGGACCGACCTGCCTCTTCAGAGCTGTACAAAGGATTCCTCTGTGAAGCTTACGTCAAATGTGCCCTCACGCCACGCTTCAAAGCTTAAAGATCCTGCAGAGACGGCTCTCCACGCCGTCAACTTTCCTGCATTGATGATGCGGAAACGCAACGGCTAGCTGTGCCGATTCGTTTGGACATGTGTAGATCGTTCGCCCACGTTTCCTCTTCTTTCAAACATGTGGTCTTGTGCTCTAGGAGGTAAGGACGCTGTGATACGAGTTGAAGGAGATGGTGTGGAGAGCTGCAAACTTGGAGCCGGGGGCGAGCTTCCTCCACCCCGGCCCCCAAAAGTGTGTTGATCCTTCGATAGCCTGACGTGCCTGTGCCACCTGAAGATCACCAGAGCGACGCTGTAAAAAGTCCAAAGACATGCCATGAAGGATGAGAATGCAATCCTTCGCATACCAGTGAGCCCGAACGTCTTGTCCTTTGCAGTGCATGGCAAACGAGAATCAGCGAGAAGAGCAACGAGGCCCATAGCACATCCGCCATGTCGACCGCAAGCATAACAGACTTGGCCAAAAGCATCCTGGAAAATGCCCAGAAAGTCGAGGATTACCTCAAAGCAAACAACCTCCCACAGCCATCATTCGACGAGCATTCGCCACCAGAGCTACCTCTATCCCCGGAGATGCAACAGATCAGACAGAACGCGGTGGATGCCGCCATGGACCTCGAAGCCCTGCTAATCGGACCCGTCATGCAACTCCGTCCAGTGGTACGCGGCAGTCATTCGAACAGGAAATCTGCGAATCCACAAGATGCTGATTGAGACCCGCAGTTGAACGGCGCCAGCTTGAACGCCATCTACAAATTCGACATCGCGACCAAAGTCCCCCTGGACGGCCAGATCTCCTACGAGGAGCTCGCCCCGAAAGTCGGCATCAAACGCACAGACCTGCAACGCATAGTTCGATTCGCCGTGGTGCATCATCATGTCTTCCAGGAGAAAACGGTGGGAATGGTTTCTCATTCCGCAGCTTCTCGCTACCTCGCCGAGAGCGATATTGCTCGCGCCGGTCTGGGTTTCATGTTCGATGAATGCTATCAGTCTTTCGCTCATACCGTTGAGGCGATGCAGAAATATGGAGACCCAGAGCCGAATCAATGTGTAAGCACTCCGCAAGGACAGACTGAGTTGCTGAGCTGATTGCTTTCGCTAGGGATGGGCTCTGGCCATGAAAGCCGATGTTCCCATGTGGGAATATCATGGCCAACACCCGGAGCTCGGAGAACGCGCTGGCAAGGCGATGGCTTCTTTTACCAAGGGTACCGGCCACGATAGCACCGCGTTGACCCGCGGCTACGACTGGACGGTAATCAATGCCAAGGGAGGCACACTCGTCGATCTCGGCGGCGCAGACGGCCACGTAGACGCAGACATTGCCCGCCTCAACCCCGGCATGCAGTTCATCGTCCAGGAGATCCCCGAAGTCCTAGGCAAAGCCAAGAGCACAGTCCCACAAGACGTAGCCGGTCGGTTGACCTTCGCCGCCCACGATTTCTTCCAACCCCAACCGACATCCGCCGACGCATACCTCTTCCGGCAAATCTTTCACAACTGGGGGGACAGGCATTGTGTCCAGATGCTACGTGCGCTCATTCCGGCTTTGAGACCTGGTGCCAAGGTCATCGTCAACGACAATATTTTGCCACCGCCTGGCGTTCTGCCCCCTTCGGCCGAGAGGGCTGTGCGATCTATCGATATGATCGTCATGAGTCTTTTCAATGCACGAGAGCGCAGTAAAGAGGACTTTGAAGCGGTATTTGCTGAAGCAGATCCGAGATTCCAGCAGGTCAAGGTGTGGACGCCCGAAGGGTCGCAAATGGGGTTGGTTGAGGCGACCTGGAGTGGGTAGTTATAGCCAGGTTATGGACTTGCAGCGAGCCAGGACAGATAGCATAGATCCAAAAATTATCTCGAATGTTCCGATGAAAAGGGTTCAGTCAGCTTGCCTTACGATGGAAAGGGTGGTCTGAAAGGCACAGAAGAGGTCGTCGTGAGAAGGTGAGGTCAAGTCGGCAGTACTCCGGCATATTCTTAGCGCGCACGTGCCAGCAACCCCTGGCCGGCATCATGGCAGCGATATGAGTCGATATTTCATCATCTCTCAGTCCATCAATTCTCAGAGCTACCCATTCGACTATTCATTCGCAATTCGTTTGCCAAGAAACCAAGCGCATCAAAGGCTCTCCGCTCCTCAGCCCAATCCTTCAACTGTTCATAATCGTAGCACTGTCTGGGCACGTCCCAGCCTAGGAAGCCATCCTCTCCATGGCGATGTGCTGGCTCGATGCTGGAGTCTGCAGAGCATAGCAAGCTTTGCCGTAAGTATTCGAAACAATGGTTTACGTGGAGTCCACGGTCCCGGCCGAAGTCGAAGTCTTCGAGAGAATCGCCTTTCGCATACCACGCTCTCCGGATGGTATATAGACAGTGGAGCTGATGGAAGACTGCTACGACGGAGAACTCGGGTACCAGGTCCGTGTTGTTGATATAGCCCAAACCATCTGTATCCAGACATTTTAGTCAAGCTAGATCTGAATCGACGCGTACACATGATGGACCTACTGGGTATCAATGAGTCCCAAGCAGGCTCAGCTTCTCCCCTAGTCGGTGCAGCGCTGAACCTTGCATCCAGCTTGAAAGTTGTGATTGTCTTCCGCAAGGACACTATGCAAGAAATCAGTCGCTGCCGTGGTTCAACGAAAAGGCTTCCATGCTTTACCTTGTGGAACAGCAACAGAGGATGATGGCGACGATGTCGAATTCCTATTCACATTGCTTGAATACAGAGCTCCCACAAAGAAGCCGCAAACGAGCATGACCAGTGATAACGCCGCCGTGATTATTGATCGTCCGAGACCGGATTTTGGCTTTGTCTTTGTCCATCGCGACGAAGTTGCTTGAGTGTCATCGCCGAGCAGCTCTTCTTCCTCGAGCTGCTTTTCCGGATTTCTGGTGTACCTGTCCATGATTGCGAGAAAGGTGACCAAGGCTTCGTCGACAATCCGGCAAGATCAAGTGACACCGGAAAGGTAAACCAAATCCCACGCAAGATTTAGTCCCAGCAAAAGAGCGCCTTGTGCATCGGTCGTGGTCGACCGTCTCAACACTGGCTGGTCACAGTGCAACGATCTGTCCCCCCACGCTTACGGTACAGATGTACGATACAAGATCGTCACGGAAAGCTCCCTCCAAGCCACACACTTCACAGCTGAAAAGTGCGCCTCGACCCTGCATGAGATACTTTGCCACGCAAAGCCTGTCAAAAATGCATCAAACTCAACGACAGCCAGGTAACCTTCGTCCATGCGGAGGACCGAGCTATAGCGCTGATCCTTCAGCTCTTGAACCCCGAAGGATTTAGCTCTGCATCCCGAAAACGATGAGAGCAGGATCATTCGGCATCTGCTGATCAATACACCTCATCAATAGTCGCCATGCCTCGATACGAAGTCTTGCAGCCTCGGCGGGATGTCGTAGGGGCTGGAAGGATCGATTCACTCAATCTTTGCGGCGCTGCGTATGACAATGTGATCGGAGCTCGATGATGTTCATGACGATCCTTGAGCCTTTCTGGCCTGGTGACAACTGGACTCTCGGCGCTCGCAGTGGAATCTCAACTCCGGCAGCTCCAGTGCTCGTACGTCGACTCCGCCCGTTGCGACGACAAAGATGAAAGAATACAACACACTTCCTCAGTCCGAAGACGACGACGTGCCTGGATTCCCTCGCGAACCACGACGAAATTGGCCTATACGAGCCATTTCTGCAGTACTGCTCACATCCATTCTCGTGAATGTGATAGTTCTGGCCAGGGTCATAAAGGGAAATGTCGCTGAGAAGCCACCACAAGGACGATATGGTAAGAATTGATATGAACACCCTTCCGTCCAGTGAAAGTGATTGACCCAGATATCCAGCCCAAACGCCCGACCTCGACACGGTCTGGAAGCGTTTCTTCTGGCACACAAAATGGGACTCCGGGGATCGAAACCAAAGCGATGCTCTCTGGAACGGAATCAATCCAGCGCATGGATTCGTGGCCATAGATCGCGAGCAGGCAGCGAGCAAGGGCTGGCCTGAGTCCATGTATCTCCCAAGCGATCATTCCAAGGGCGTGTATCTTCTCGAAGCCTACCATCAGCTTCACTGTCTCGTACGTATGCGCCGAATCATGGCAGAAGTTAACACTAACTCACGAGTGAGCCAGAAAATTGTACGCCAGACTTTCCGCGAAGCGGTACAGCGCCTTCCGTACACCTACGACCCTCATCATGCCGAACACTGCTTCGATGCACTTCGTCAGGTCAGCTTTCCAGACCTTCCAGTTTGTCCGACGCTGACATGCTCCCAGTCGACTGTTTGCAACGCAGACAACACACCCCTTTACACTTTCGGCGACAAGACAGCAGGAGACGGACAAATGCATAAATGCCGCAGCTGGTCGCAACTCTCCCAATATGCCACAGACAACAGTGCCTGCTACCGCGACTCGGTGGGAGACATTCCACTGGGACAGCATTTCGGCCATTGTGAAGAGGCCAGAAAAGACGGGATAGATCCGCATGAATTCCAAGTCGAAGCTCCATAGACAGATTGCTCACAGCGTGCCATTCCGAAATTGCACAGTATCCGTTCCAAGCAGGGAGTGACCACGTGTAGACACGTGCCAAATGCTCCGGCATGTTGAACATTCGTGATCGTCCCTGGACGAAGCCCGAAGAAGTGCTTAGCGTGCGTGTGGCTTTGGAAGGATTCCGCGTGTTTGTGATCGACATGCGTGGCGGAGCGACGGAACCTTGCATAGCATGTACCTCGCAGATCTTGCGTATCTCGTGAATCTCTTTCTCGAAAAGGAAGTTCAAGCAGCCGAGCTCCACGATTGTCAGCTGCTCCTAAACATACGAGCGGGCTGGTATATCGACAACGCTATCGAGCCTTCTTTCGCAGTAGCTTCGTGGTGTAGATCACACCAGGCTCGCGAACTTCAGCCCCAATGCTGTCTGTCGGTGCATGGAAGAGCCGTTGCAAGGACTAGATAGACATCGCAAAAACGAAGAATGTTCGAGACAGGAGCATCGTCGTGCTGTTCGCTTCGAGATAGTTGCGATCACGGACACAATGATTCTTTCCAACATAGTCCTCGTTGCGTCGTTGTTCTGCATTCCCGTCCTCAGTCTTCCCAGAACAGACCATGTCTTACACGAAAAGCGCTCGGAAGGCATCAACCGTCTCTACCGCCGAGGCGCAAGAGTACCATCCGATGCCTTTATCCCACTTCGCATCGGGCTGGTACAACAGAATCTTGAAACCGGCCATGAGCGCCTCATGGCGATCGCTCATCCAGATTCGCCCCAGTACGGCCAACACCTGACCGCGGGAGAAATCCACGACATCTTCCAGCCCAGTGTCGAAACATTCGAGAGCGTGCGAACCTGGCTGGTGAACTTCGGAGTCGAAGAAGCTAGCATCCTGCAATTCGAGAATAGAGGATGGCTCGCAGTAAATATAAGCGTCCGGAAATTCGAGGAGATGTTCAAAACTGAACTATTCGAACATGAGCACATCCACTCCGGACAGATTCGAGTGGGCTGTGAGGAGTACTCTCTTCCTCGTCGTCTGCGGCGATCCATCGACTATATCACTCCGGGCGTCAAGCTCTCGGCGCCAATGAGGAAGAGGTCCGTGAAGAGATCGCCGGGTGGCTCGCCATGGCATTACAGCACCGGACCCCGACCAGCACCACCGGGTTGGAGTCCACCACATGATTTCCCAGGAAACTGGAGTCTGCCCACCTATCTTCCCCCGGAACTTCAAGACTGCGGTCGGAACATCACTCCAGCTTGCGAGAGAGCGTTATACGACATTCCCATCCCAACAAAAGCCGATTCAAGAAACACCGTCGGTCTCTTCGAAGTCGGCGACCACTATGCCCAGGCAGATCTCAACCTCTTCTACGCCAAATACGCACCGCGGATTCCACAGGGCACTTCTCCGGTTCCAGCGTACGTGGACGGCGCAATCGGACCCGTAGATCAAGGCAGTGAGATGGAAGGCGGCGAGGCCATCATCGACATTGCCACGATTGCTTCCCTCGTGTACCCTCAGACAGTCACGCTGTATCAGACCGAAGACCAACCACAAGCCGAACTCGAACTCCAAGGCAAGCTTTCCGGTTTTCTGAATACCTTTCTAGATGCCTTGGATGGGAGCTATTGCAACTACTCCGCATACGGTATCAGCGGCAATTCCCCAGGAATCGACGCATCGTATCCGGATAATGTCCCCGGAGGATACAACGCACCCCTTCAATGCGGAGTGTACACCCCGGCAAGAGTAATATCCATTTCGTATGGAGAATCAGAAAGCGATCTTCCAATCAACTACCAGCGCCGTCAATGCAATGAATTCATGAAGCTTGGGCTTCAGGGACATACAATTTTCTTCTCGTCTGGGGATTTTGGAGTCGCTGCCGCGCCGGGAGATGGCTCTGATTCCGGATGCTTGTCGGGCTCTGGGCAGAATCAGACCGTATATGCGCCCAACACTCCCGCGAGCTGTCCCTATGTTACAAGTGTGGGAGGCACACAATTGAACGTAAGCATCTGCCGACGTATTTCCCACAGAAGCGTAGCTCGTTGACACCAAAGCTCTAGGCGGACGAGACCGTTCATGATCCGGAGACAGCGCTGCAACAAAATATGGGTGCCGGCCCATTGTCTCTATTTGCCAGTCATGGAGGTGAGTTACCCCTGGTTCATGGATCTCGAGATTGGTGCTTATCTCAAGACAGGATTTTCCAATTACTTCAGCACTCCTTCATACCAGCAGCAGGCCGTGGAAAATTACTTCAAGAAATATGACCCTGGCCATCCATACTATGTCAGTCATTCAATGTTTCCGAAGCCTCTCTTTTGCATAGCGCTGACCTGTAGAGCCAGATTACCAACGAGGATGGTACCAACATCGGGGAGAATGGTGGAATATACAACAGAGCCGGTAGAGTAAGTGGATCGAAGACCCCTTCCAGGAAATCTCTGATCTCAGAATAGGGAATTCCAGACGTCTCAAGCAACGGCGCAAACTTCCACGCCTTTGTTGGAGGAGTCGACAGGAAATGGTTCGGTACCAGCTTAGCTGCGCCGACATGGGCATCTATAATCACATTGGTAAGCTTTCCAAACAGCATTTATCTCATAGTATCGCTGACGGACTCTTACAAGATTAACGAAGAGAGGACTGCCGTCGGCAAAGGTCCCGTTGGCTTCGTAAATCCGGTCCTTTACGAGAACACAGACGTGTTCACGGACATCACAAACGGCTCCAATCCAAATTGCGGTAGTTCTGGATTTACCGCGCAACCTGGCTGGGACCCCGTGACTGGTAAGAGTTGTATGATGGCGTTCCGATCACCGAAATAACATGTCGGCAGGTCTTGGAACGCCTCGGTATCCTAAACTGTTGCAGCTTTTCATGGGCTTGCCGTGAAGTATTTGAGGACCAGAGATATTGAGCAAACACGCAGATGGAGTACGCTGGAAGCCTCGAGATAGAGTAGAAGTCCTCCTTCGGGTCGACGTCTCTGGAAGACCGCTCTGAGTCTGAGCACCGAATCTGGAGCCACACCGAAAAGTGGTTTGGCTGATTCTGGCTGCTCAATATTCTGCACCAATTGGCTTGAGATCCAGAGTGAGAAGGATCTCTCGAAGAGTCACCCATTCCAGTGAGTGCTACCGGCGCAGGTACGCCCCGAGGCAGGTCACTCGGGATAGAACAGCTTTTGAGTAAGCGCAAAGAGAAAGTCACGCTTCCGTTCCTATTGCCGACTATGCAATAGCCGTAGCCTGAGAATCGACAAGTATTCCTCGCTAACCGACTCCCGACTCGTTGCTTTGCGACCAGAAGAGGAACAAGACCATCTCGCTCGGCCGAATGTGAGATGTCGAATCAGGACACTGCAAATATATATCTCGATGCGAGTGCGAACAAAGTTCACATCGGGCGTTTCTCAGGTCCTCAACACGTGCAGCTTCAAGACTTCGGAACGTGTATTGGAGCGATAGTACGCATTTTGCGATCCTTTGCGCGTTTTTGATAACAAAGCGCCATCGAGCAGAACTTCCAATGCCTGGGGCTTGATTCGTAACGTCTCTCCGTGATACATGCGTCTCTGAGGTTGGGCCAGCCTTTGTACCTTGATCTAGCCCTTCGAAAGTCGACAATCTGCAGTACAAGATCATGGAACGAATCAGACAACCAAGGCAGCTCATGGTCCTGAACGCTTGAGACAGTGGCGAGCCCGTTGGACTTCTATGGCTCTGGCGGAGGACGGGGCTCGGGTCTGAAAGGTCGCTGCCCTGTCACTCAAGGAAGCGTGTGTTCCGGAGATGGATATGTTTTGGCTCGAATTCCCAAGAGTCGGTGGATAGTATCTCCCCAGGTTGATGCGACTGATCGAATCTCAATCAGATCTCTCGTTGGCAGGTGTGTCAAAATCCTCTTAACAAACTCGTTGATGTCAAAGAGCGTGGTACGGCAACGTCAAAATCCTCTTGGACTGCCATTATTCCTGACAGAATATGCCAACGAGAATGATCTCGGTAGATGTCGACTGATGAGAGGGAGAGAGAGAGAGGGAAGAAGTTGAGCTCACTTCCCTGAGATTCACACTAGCAGCGGCTCGCACCGTCACATACGAACCCGAGCCCGGTTCGCCACTGCCCTCGCCCCATTAATCTTCAAGACAATAGTCAACAATCACATAATAAACAACTACTCAATCCTACTTCGGAACGGGGATATGAGAGGATAGAGCCAGAAGATGGAATAGAGCTAGACCTGCGCCATGAGACACATTCATCATCATCATCATCATCATCATCATCATCATCATCATCAAAGGATCGATTGCCAATCTAGATCTGTCTCTACATTTATATGTCCCATACGTATGGACATACTGTATCATCATCCCCATTCCATTCCCTGAAATCCAAGCGTCGCCGCTAAATGCCGTCATTCATCCTCCAAAAAAAAAAAGATCGTCATCGAATCATTAAAATAAAATCAGACATCATCTCGTCCCCTTATTCCCATATGTACATCCCTCCCTTTCCTGGTCTCATGTACAAATCAATGCCATTCTGTCGTTTACCAGCTCTGAACATTGGTAGGCGAAGCTTGTCCTCCAGTAGACCAGGCGTGGCCGCCGGTGGGCTGAGACTTCGATCCCGGTTCACGATGGCCAGTTGGTTGAGGATGATGTGGCCCGCTAGTGCCTGTCGGGTAAGGTCCGTGGCCGTTACCGCCACCGTTGCTCGGGATGGGGTAAGGTGGCTGGGGATGACCGGGCTTTCCGGAACCAGTAGGGACTGGGTAAGTCAGAGTAAGGCAGGTGGTGTAGCCTTGACCGAGAGTGAGGGTAGTGGTGGAAGTTGTGAGAGTCTCGCCCGGCTTGATGACTGGTGGGGTTGGTTGGCTACCAGCGTTGACGGTGACGGTGACGGTCGTTTGAGCTGGACAGCTGGCGGCGAGAGTGGTAGTGACGGTGGTTTGAGCTGGACAACTCCCACCGACGACCGGTGGCTGGGGGCCGCTGCCTGTCTGCTGGGGCTGACCATTGCTGGGAGTGCCGTCGTTGCCTGGCTGTCCACTGCCTGGAGTTCCGTTGTTGCCAGGCTGTCCATTATTAGAACCCGAGCCGGGAGTCTGACCGACCGGGGTGGGTGTTGGGTAGACCAGAGTTTCAGTCGTCGGGCAGACAGTCGTGATGTACGAAGTAGAGAGGTAGGTAGTGTACCAGCTCTGTCCGTTAGAGGATGTCAAAGTGCTGCACGGTACGAGAGTGGTGATTGTCTTCGTGACAATCTCCGTCGTTGTAGTGGTGATGTAGCCCGTACCGGTGACAGTCGTGGTCGTGATCGGTGGCTGAGGGTGGCCAGTGCCCGTCAGGTGAGGATGAGACTTTGAAGAACCTCCAGTGGGCCACTGAGGAGGTTGAGACCATCCTCCAGTGGAATGCGGGTGATAGGGTCCGACAGGGCCCCAACCGGTAGGCTTCAGAGACGGATGAGGGACGCCGCCGGTGGATTTCTGAGGCGGAGGGTGAGGCCAGCCCTCAGACGGGTACGAAACGATTGAAGGCTTTTCTCCCCAAGTAGTCGCAGTGCTGCTCGACCAAGATTGTGTTGATGTGGTCACGGTTCCGTTTGAGTGCTGGTTCCAAGACTTGCCTGGAAGTGCCGAGACAGCGCCAGCGATCGCGAGGAGTGAGAAGACTGATCGCATCTTGCTGTGATTACTTTTGTGGAAAGATGGATGAAATGGCGAAAGTCGTTGTAGAACCAGTACGATGAAGTCGTTGTAGAACCAGTACGATGAAGTCGTTGTAGAACCAGTGCGATCAAGTCGATGTAGAACCAGTACGATGAAGTCGATGTAGAGTCAGTGCGATCAAGTCGTTGTAGAGCCAGTAGCGAGGGTGGCCGAGATCTTGTAGAACGAGTGAGATCTCAAGTCAGATATGCAAGGAAACTGGTGCTGGGTGCTGATGATGAGACAGAAAAATAACTTAACGCAGAAGATCGATCAGCTCATATACTCGCTCATCGACCAGCCCGTACAAAGCCCTAGCAGAGGATGACATGACGCTTTCCGATCGTAGTAGACCTTGCGGATGCGACGTTCGCTTGAGTTACGAGGGTAGTAGCTGGGCGTGGGCGTAGTCTCGTGTAGCGGCTGGTCTGTCAGCGGAAGGGCCGTGGTACGCATACGCTCGCGTGGGTGGACTAAATGCAGCTGCTCTGCCGCACGGATGAGCGTCGGATGCTGAGTGTCGCAGGCGGAAGAGGGCTGTGCTGGAGTCTGTCAGCCCTACGCAGCGGTGCACATGTCCGGATTTCGCCTGGCCAGCCACAATGCCGCGAAGCGCAGCACGCAGGGACAGAGGTGGAAGCCTCTTCCGCATGACGCCGTGCCGGTCTTCTCTGACTGATGATATCCGTGCGGGAAAAGCGTTGGTGAAAGGTGTAAGTTCATGTTGTGTTGGTGAGTTGGTGAGCGGGGTGCGGATCGGATCTCGGGGATCACCGCTTCTGCTCGGCCCTACCCGAGTGCCAAGACATTCTATTCTTAGCCTCCAGATGCAACCTCACCTTTACACTCGCGACTCTCTGTCCGTCCGTCTACGCTGCAACACCTTCACGTCTACTTCGAATCTTCATACGCCTCCACATGGCTCTTCCGGTGGAAGCTCGAGATCAGCGGCCGCCGGTCGGTCTGTTCCAGACAGAGCCAATACCTGAGCCATTACGACAAGATCGGCAAACCATGGGACGCCCAATACGATCGCAGGATTCAATAGTCAACTCAGAGTCATCATCGCGTATTCAACGACAATACGCGGCTCCACCTGAAGACTCACCGGTCGGAAATCGCTATTCGAATGACACTACTTCGAGTATCTTCCATGGGAATCTACCGCTGAGATGCCTTTCCCCATGGGCTCTGCATACCATGAGAATGAAGCTGCAGCCTGACTTTTTGCCATCTATCACATCTACGAAAACTAGCTCAGCCAGGTTGAGTGTCGAATACGCCCGGAAGAAAAGGGACTCTTCCATTTGAAAGGAAATCCTTGGAGTATAGCCGCCTGCTAACCTGTTCTGTGATAGCGAGGTTGCGCGCCAGCGTTTGCATTGGGTTTGACTGCAACGTGCGTCTTGCTGCGAGCCCCAGCTGTGAGATGTCCCATTTCAGCCCACTCACGCACTCATGCGCCACTTCTCGCCCATCGCATAGCAGACCTTGTCATTTTCCAGCAGTCCGGCTTTCTGTTCTGTCGGGTACCACCAGCAACTCAAGTATGTTGCTCATGCTGATGGAACTCATGGGTCCTTTCGCTTCTTTGCCTCCTTCATGACGTCATTGACAAAATCGGTCAGTGGATTGGAGAGATCCTTCTGAAGCAATTTTTTGCAAACAGCTTCGACCACGGCCTCTCTTACCGCACCGCAATCCTCATCGGGAGTCTCATAGGTCCAAGCGACAGCAGCCGCTGGCGGAATCTCGCCACGATCAAGCCTCTGCTTGATCACCGCCAAGATCTTGTCCGAGGACGGAGAGGCGTCGACATCCAAAGCTAGACTGTACACCTTGAAAAGGTGCATCCACTGCTCTGTAGTGTCCAAGTCTCGGTCTAGAACGATCTCATCATAGTGCCAGAGCTCGAGAAGCATGCAAAAAATCGTGGGCTCGTGGGTGTAGATCCGGTACGTTCCGTCGCAATAGGTCTTGAAATACGAGTCCATGTCTGCGGATTGAGACATTGCGAGCTGTGTTGGCACGTGGAATGTCGTCGTCTTGGAGTTGTATATGACCTCGACAGTGGCTTCTTTGGTGAAGTCCATCCTACGGAACAATTAGTCGCATTCGCCGCTAGAGGCCGGATTACTCACTTCGCTCTCTTAGCCGGTCTCTCCATCCTGCTAAGCGTGTGCCTGGAGTGCCAAGCGTGTAGCTCGAGGTTGGGTGTTATTGTAGGTGGTGCGAAGTGTGACTTGATTCCTATGACCACCTTCAAGACTCGCTCAAGCTTCGCGTACAAATCGGGCGGGCGGGCGGGCGGGCGTGATGGGACCTGGACCTGAACCTTTCTTCCTCGATCTTTCTTCTTCCCTATCATGGATTTCATCTGTGATGTCGTGAGTGAGTGTAGGACCTTAGTACATGTAGTACATGCAAGAGGATTCGACTACGCCGAGATGGAAAGCGGAGAGAGGACTCAAATCAAGAGGAAAGAAAGCGCGACCTCGCTAGCGCCTTGGCTGTGTACCTAGCCCGTGGAATTCTCCAACACTATCGATCGCCTAACTTAGCAAGCCAAAAAATCGAAATCCCAGATTCGAGCGGCGACATGACCATTCCACCCTCTCTCACTCAAACTCCTCTTCATCAACATCGTAATCCCTCGCAATCAACTCCCCCCTCCGCTCCACCCCTCCTCCTCCATCTCACAGCTCCAAGAATAAACCCCTCAAAACGACATCAAACAAAAATTCCGAGCGGAAATTCATGCTCATGATGCCCGAGGTGCTCGCATTCGTGAAAGTGTACTCGCGGAACAGCGGCCCGGTGAGATCGCCCTGCACGACGACATGATGGGCGAAAAAAGCTTTCGCAGTCTGTCCGCGGCGGCGTCATCGGAGCGGTAGAGAGAATCGATAATGCGCGCAGGAGGTGAGGCGGTCCGAAGCATAGCCACGAGCTCATCCGTGACAAGATTTGTAGATTTTAGATCTTCCAGTTTCCGCGCGAGGGTGTACAGGTCGACGACGTTGGTCCAGATAGTCTCATCGTCGTCGATTTCGCTGTTGTTGTTGTTGTTGTTGTTGTTGTTTTCGTTCTTAGGCCTCTCGTCGTCCCCGAGGACCGCTACCTCGCCCGTATAGAGGAGAGGGAGATAGCTTTCGAAGGCATCCGGCTTTTCGTCGTGGAGCGACAAGGCGTGGTCGACTTCGTCTTGAAGCCTTGATAAGTACGGACATCGCTCACGGAGGAGTTTCGCATGGACGTGGTACGTGCGTCTGCTTTGCTCGTCCATGGCATGCTGTGGACTTGTACTGCGAGAATGTCGGCGAAGTCGATTCTATGGATGGAATTGTCAGGGGAAGCGAGTCGTGCCTCGAAAGTGTGCGCTTACCTTCTTCTCCACGCAATACTTTCCATCATGACGCTCCGACTGTGTAATTGGTATTGATCCTAGAATGAAGCTGATCAACGCGACTTGTGGTACTGTGGTAGACGGAACGGAGAGCATGGAGGTGTAGAGTCTCCCTGCCACGTTGGCACAGGAAGGAGACATGTGGCATTAGAACAGCATGTGACCCTCCGCGTACTCGACCTAGTAGCACGCTTTTCAATATTTGACAGCCGTCTGGACAATCCTCTACCTCTCACATATCGCTGGCGTTTCGCGCAGAAGGCCAAGTCGAATGTCTCAGGCACAGTGGAACCCAGCTCTTACCATCTACTACCATATTCAAGAAAGTCAATCTCGCCAGATCTAGCAGAGTCGATCAGACTCCATTCGACAAGACGTGTGTCTCGCATTGTTGTCCCATTTCCCACCCTTAAAATGGGAAAATCTCCGCTGCTCAAAATCAAGTGTGCAGCGACACTTATCCACAACAGCGATGTGTGCAATCTGGATCCTCCGCGGCCATCAAGGCCCGTCTACCGAATGCTTCACCTCCCGATTCACTTTCTTCCGGAACTGCGCCTGTAGTCCCTGCCGCGGCTTCGAGTTTCCTGCCGGCTTTCCGCCAAACGGACTGGTTGCTTTCTGTGAAAAGTGCAAGAGGCGCATGGATAATGTCGAACGGATGAGATGGATTTTCGAGGAGGAGGAGGATGCGCAGCGAAAGCGAGTTGGGCGGCAACGATGATTGTGGTGCGCGAACGCGAGCGGGAAAGGTGTGGCGACAAGTCGTGGTGATAGAGGGGCGACGCTGCAAGTGAAGTGCCAAAAAGCTGCACTGTGAGCTTGCTGTGCTCTCGAATCAATTCAATGTTGCCAGCCGGCAAGGAAAAGCAAAAAGCAAAAAAGCAAAAAGTGAAGAGACCGGAAAAGTCCCCTCTCCCACCCACGTGCCCAGCTTTGTTTATTTCACATCGCCCATGAGACCGACGAATGCTACTTCCGCTCGCAGCCTCGACGAGCTGATTGGACCACTGCTTTTGTTGTTTATATAGCTTAGGGGGGCTTTCGTGCCGAAGTTGAGCCGACGGGACGGAGGCATGTGATCGGCTCGCCCTTCGGGCTCAGTGTACAGAGATTCCATCGAGCGGGTGCGGCTTGTAGGATGCGAGCATCGAGTTGGGGCTGTCGTCGTCGACATGGTGCTTTAAGCGACTGCGGTCGAGGTCTAACCTTGTTGCTGGAAGCGGCTGTCTGTGGGCTCACGAGCATTTCAAAAGTCGTTCCAATTTCACGCTTCATCACTTTCTCCTCCCTTCACAGAATCTTTGCATCTTTCTTCGCCGGTCTCTCGCCAAAGATCGTGGTGCCAACCCGAACCTCATCGCTTCCCTGAGCTATCGCGGCCTCGAAATCCGAACTCATGCCCATACTCAACTCCAGCTCCGACGGCGCGACGCCCAGCTCCCCGGCAACTTTATCCCGGGTCTCACACAGCGTGATAAAGTCCTCGTTCAACGCGTCGGGTCCTGACGCCTCCTTGCTCCGGGCAATAGCACCGATAGTCATCAAGCCTCCGAGACGCAGACTGGGACATTTCTCCCTCACATGCTTGCACAGCTCCAACGTGTCCTGTGGCCCCACTCCGCTCTTGCCCTCCTCGCCCGAAGTATTGACTTGCACCAGCACTCTCAACGTTTCTGTCAACGACTCTTTCTCCATGATTGCCTTCCTGCCCTTCTCAAGAGCATCGGCCTTCTTGGCACTGTCTACGCTGCTCACGCACCACAAGTTGGGCACCTGCTCGGCCAACGGCTTGCACTTGTTGGTCTGCAGACCTCCTATCATGTGCCATCGTATCGACCGGGGCAAGAGGCCGGCCTTCTCGGTCAACTCGTTCGAATAGTTCTCGCCAAAGTCGAGCTGTTTGAGAGGAGACTGATGGAGAGCGAGGATGTCGCTGGCGGGCTTCAGCTTGGATACGGCAATGAGGCGGACCTACCATACACCCATCAGCACTCCCTCTTGCATCAGATAGTCACGCATTGCCCTCACTTTGCGCCCGTTCCTCACGCCGTCTACTCTCTTTGCAACCTGTTCCAAGTTCTCCACGAGCACTTTGGCTCTGGCCGGATCGACGCGCATCCCGTCACCACTCTCTCCTGACATTGCCAAGCCCAACGCTCTGCCCTGAACAGATATCGTTCTGCAGGATAGGACAGGGTGTGAGCAAGTGACGTTGCAGATTTAGTTTCCTTTGCTCTCTTTCAGCGAGGGCGTCGGTCCGAAAGAATCCTCGCCCTAATCCGCCCCGCAATATCACCCCGGATCGGCAGGCGCGTGCCGTGCCAACCTCATCCATTAGGTTGTTGTCGATGTCTTCTCCTTCTCTCTCCTCACATCACCTCCCTCAATTCCCCCCGTCCTCACCTTTGGACGGTGCCTGGCGATATGGCTGAAGACGACACAAGGGAGGTGAACGCTTAAATGGCGGCAGTAATACTAGTTCTCCCCGCTGTCCTTCGAGCAGGAGCATAGCATAGCGTAGCTATACAGAGATAGAGATCGACATAGAGAGCGACGCATACTCTCAAAAAGGACAAAATGCAAAAACATTGGAGATTTCCTCACAAAAGCCTCCCGTGTCAATCAAGGAGCTCTACCTACTAGGAAGAAAGAAAGAAAGAAAGACGCCTATCCCAAGATCTCTCTCTCTCTCTCTCTCTCTCTCTCTCTCTCACACACACACACCGAACACCCGCGCTCGAACGCACAATGTGGGGGATGGATGTCACTGTTACTGAGCAATAGCCTCCCCGAGAGCTTTCGCCAGCCGTCGATACTCCAACAAGAGCTCCTCGACCTCGCCCAGCTTGAGCTGGTTCGCACTTTCCACGTCCAGAAACCGCTTCTTGGGAGGTTTCAACTTCTTCAGCTCCGCGAGAGCTTCCCGTGCATTCAGGTCCCGCGAGCTCTCTCGGCTCCGTGTCCTCTCCAGGGGGACTGTCAGGTCTCCGCTCTTGAGTGAGGTAGGTGACTCCACGATATCGCCCAGCCGGCTGGATTTGTCCGCTGGTGGGGAGGGCTGGGCGGGGGGGTTGTTTGTATTGCCTGCTCGCCCGAACCGCGAGAAGTTTGGCATTCCAAACCGGTTCAGCGGGTTGATGGAGTTGACGGTGTTGTTGAGAGAGGAGAACAGGTTTCCTTGCGGCGTGGGCGATTGCTCTTCCTTGGCCTTGGCAACTGCTGTCTTGGTATCCCAAGTCGAGCGTCTGCTGCTGCTCCCCGATTTCGTGCTATCAACACTTCCATCTCGTATTTGCCTCTTCCCGCCAAGCAACTCCAATAGCTTCGCGTCTGTGGCCTTGCCACCGGAGCTCAGAGGGTCTTCAACTATTGCCGGACTGCTTCGTCCACTCAAAGTCAAAGAGTCCTCGTCTTCGCCTTTCTCCGCATGGCTGACCAGTTTTCTGGCGTCCTCCAGAGTCTTGGGCAATGGTGATTCGCCATCTGCGATTTGTTCCTTGAATCTGCCGAACAAAAATTGGAGACTGTTGTCTAGCGTCCCGTTGACAGAGTCGTAAAACTTGTCGGCTGTCTTGATAAAATTCTCTCTTCCAGCTTCAATCTTCTCTACTTGGGCCTGCATCAGCCCAGATATACGACGTTGGTGCTGGGGCCTCGCAGGCGGATTGGGTGTACTGGGCGAGGGAAGTGCGGCCTTTGTGGAGCTACCAGGCGTGCTCGCGTCGTTCGAGGTCGCCGTGATGGGCGACAGACCTGGAGTAAGGCTTCGTCCGAGTGGAGGTCTTGGTGAAGGTGGCGGCTTCTCTGCAGTCGGAGTGGACGGCCTGCTTGAAGATTTTCCGGGCCCTTCGGGAAGCTCATCCGCTCGCAAAGATGACAAATCGACTGTTTCCAAGAAAGAGATGGCAGCTTCCAGATTGACCAGGCAATACGCCGCTTCACCGTCTACTTTGCTCGACGTGCGGAATCGTTGAATGAAGTTGAGATTGCTGACCACATTAATCCCTTCGTGTGGGCAAGTGATGAGCGTGTAGATGAGAGTGGGTAGAATCTCGTCAGCGGAAGACGAGGAGGGAAACAGCTGAGACAGCGTCTCTACGATTGCTTTGTGAGCAGCCGTGAGGCGCTGCAGTTTACCGAGCGGGAATCTGTCGTCGTCCATGTGGATCAAGGCTTCTCGCGCAGCCGCCAGCGACTGGTTGATCTCGTCTTCTTTCTCCTCTGCTGTCTTCCTAACTTCCGCTTTCGCCCCATCCTGGTCCATGTGTAGCTCTTTCAAGCCGATTCCAACCACGGACAATGCTGCTGTCCTTGACCTTAGTTTTTCGTCTCTTGCTTCGTCGTCCGTGCTCTGATGGTTCCAGATCTTTTCATAAACCTTCTCGCAGACTCCTCGCTCAACGGCTTCCTCCAACGCCAATCTCTTGTGCTCGAGCAACCTTCTAGCCTTTCTCCTATCCGCCACCTCCGATGGCGTAAGCATTTCTCCTCCTAAATTTTCGGTAATATCGTCGAGGGTGCCTTTGGCTCCAGAACCAGCCCTTGACCTGCCGGACTGTTTCCTCAGACTGGCTGATGAGCTAGAACGTGTTTCGCGACCTATCCTGGAAGCCAAGTTCTTGATATGCACATCTATGAGCGAAGCAGCCCTTTCGTAGAAGTCTTGAAACAGCTGCGACAGCTGATCCGCGGTCAGAGGAGTAGGATGGACTTTTGCGGTCAGACTCTCCAAGAATCGCTCACACAAGCTCTTGATCTCAACGGGAAGCTCATCGAAGGTGCTGGGTACCTTCAGCTCCGGCTTGACCTCGTGCCCTTCACCATCCTCATGATGTTCCTCTTCCCCATTGCCTTCGAATACATCCGTCACTTGCTTCTTGCCTGCGAGTTCTGGCGACGTCTCGATGTGCCTCGCCTCGGGGACCGCTGTAATGCCCGACTCTTGCAGAGTGCTCGCGGTCTTCCTGGAAGAGGAGGGAGTGGGCGAGAGGCTCTCCATCCGGGTAAATGATCGGGACACGTGCAGCGGGCGAGGTCGGGTCTTATCGGCGGATATCGTTGGCGACGGTGCTGTTTCTGCCATGTTCGCTGTACAAGTCGAATTTCCGGAAACGATTGTTACACAGCGGAGTGCCGACAGTCTTCTCGCGTGCAGAAAGGAGCCTTTCTTGTAGGAAGATCACCTGCAAGTCATCTCCGGCTCGCCCGGAGTCTTCCAAGCCGGAGTGGTGGTGGAGGAGGTGCAGGCTTGCGCGTTTCCGGGTGCCAGCGACAGGCTTGTCCTTCCTGTCGAGCGTCAGCGGTGCAACAGAGAGCGCGCTCCCACCGGCTGCTGATCAATTGGTGCAAGGCAGCAGCAGAAACCGAAACACTCACCACCCGGACATCCTCACCATGCTCCGAGCCGCTTACCTCAGTCTAGTCACGTGAGTCCTCCGCGCGCGATAACAGCGGCCCGCGGCGCTTATCACCGCCGTGGCGTCATCTGGTCTGTGCACCATCGCCATGTGATCATCGGGGGTGTTGATGGATGACTACATGTACTACATCTACTCTGCATCCACCTCGAATCCGTGCGGTGAGGTGATGCCTGGAGCGCGTGATTCTCTGTTCTCGCGGATCTCTGCGACCTCATCCCATGCCATGCTCACCAACATCCCGCCACGCTCATCAGAGCAGTACCGTCGTCGGGATGCTGTGCTATAGCCTGTTGTTGCTGCTGGCTGTCGGCGGAGGGGCAGATGCGGCTCGTTCGCATCAACAACAACAACGGCGGGCCTTCGGGGATCCCCAGCTTGTCCTGTCCCCAGAATTTCGACATGGCTCTTCCAGAGACACGGCACCGAAGAGTCTAGGAGAACATCGCTTTGTACGACAGCCATGTCGTAGGACAAGGACGTCGCTAACCAACGTCGACAGACCCTACGCCACATCTACCACCACGGCTCCCATCAGTACCCGCACCTCCATCGATACGTAGACATACCCAAACATGCGAAACTCCACATCACCGACGGGGACGGGGAAAGCTACGAGCCCGGATCCGACGCACTGCGCGTGCGAGCACAGACGACTACCATCCAGCGGTTAGCGCATCGCAACGAATCCGATATCAACGATCTCCTCGCACACGCAGAGTGGTATGGAGTACCCGCCGAGCTGTCGGCAGACGCGTGGACGGAGGACGAGATCAAGGCTCCGAATGTGTCGGACAAGAGCACTGTCCTCACGTTTGCAAAGATGGCCGCCAACGCGTATGTGTTGGCGCCGACTGACGGGGAGTGGCATCCAGTAAAAGGAAGGTTTAACTATACCGATGACTTTGGCTGGGAGGCTGATGGCCTGCGTGGACATGTCTTTGCCGATGAGACAAACTCGACAGTCGTCATCGGTTTGAAAGGTACGTCTCTATGGCTAGATCAGTATCTGGACTGGCTGGCCCATGCATCACATACACGTGAGGTGGAGGTTGACCCTAGTAAAGGTACTTCTCCCGCCGTGTTCGACGGTTCCGATACCACAGGCAATGATAAGTTGAACGATAACCTGTTTGGTTCTTGCTGCTGCGGTCAAGGAGGCCAGTACTTGTGGAAGCAAGTATGCGACTGCAAGACCGATACTTACACCTGCAACTCGACCTGCTTGGTGACGTCCTTGCGCGAGAAGAGCCATTACTACAGAGCAGTCCGCGATCTTTACGGCAACGTCACCGAACGATACCCGAACTCCGATGTCTGGCTTTCTGGACACTCTCTGGGAGGCGTCGTGAGTTCGCTGTTGGGTCTCACTTACGGCTTACCAACCTTGACGTTTGAGGCTTTTCCAGATGCCATGGCTGCATCTCGGCTTGGACTTCCGACCCCTCCCGGGTACAAGATTGGCTCTCATCAGATGCGATCGAAGACGGGTATCTATCACTTTGGCCACACGGCGGATCCGATCTACATGGGCACCTGTAATGGGGCCTCGTCCTTCTGCACGATCGCCGGCTACGCATTCGAAGGTCTCTGCCACACTGGCCAGACCTGCATCTATGACACAGTCGGAGATCTGGGCTGGAGAGTCGCCATTGGCACCCACAAGATCTCTAACGTCATCAGAGACGTTCTTGAGAAATACGACACTGTGCCAAGGTGTGAGGAGGACGCGGAGTGTGAAGATTGCCTGCTCTGGAAATTCTATGAAAGCAATAGCACAACGACCACAACGAGCAGCACTAGCACCGTCACCTCTACTTCTTCGCGTACGAGGACAGAAACTTGCAAGACGCCAGGATGGTGGGGCTGTCTCGATGAATCCACGACGGCCACTCCGACAACGACTTTTACCACGACCGTCACGTCCTCGACCTGCCTGGATCCGGGCTGGTTTGGGTGTAGGAACGAGACGAGCACAACTTTTACCAGCACCGTCACAAGGCCTGAGGCAAGCCCCGTGCCGACTATCACAACCACCTCATCGATTCCAACCAGCACGTCAACAAGCACAAGCTGCAAATCTCCAGGCTTCTTTGGTGGTTGCAACGATCCGACGAGCACAACAGGCCTGACTGCACGACCTTCCTCGAGCGCATCAACGACCACCGCCACACAAACAGACGAGTGACATCTTCCGACTGCTCGACGTTAAAAGTGCGCCATGAGGCTTGGTATGGAACTTGCAAGCAATGGCGCGGGGAGTAATTTGACCCTAAGAATGATCTCCACCTGGAACATTCACATGGCTTTGATGGATAGTGGAGGTGTTGATTGGCTAGTCTGGGCGTGGAGGAAAGGAACGTATATTGATTGCATGGCATGACGAACTAGACAAGACCTGTACAGCAAAGAGCACAAAGCTCTGCACTTTACCCCTCTCACTTTCCATTCCTAGCCTGGCCGTGAGTCTGGTCCTTTTCGCCCCGTTGTTCCTTCAGAAGTCGGCCGGCTCCGCCTAGCGGGCAAATCCGCACAGCAAGCCAGGATGCCCGACCTCACGCGCCAAGACCAAGATAGCGCTTCCTTCGACTTCTAGATAAACCCTCAACACCACATAGACATAGAAATCCTTGTATTCCGTACTCCCTCGTTCTTTTGTTCTTTGACCGTCCCAACACTTCCGCGATGGCAGCAATACCTCTTGAGAAGACGCTCTATGTCGGAACATTTATCCATTCGGAATCTCTCACGGAATTGGATATCTGTCCGAATGGGATGATTGGTGTTGATGAGAAGGGGAAAATCGCTTTCATTTCGAGGGATGTGAAAGGAGCTCCGATCCCGGTGCAAGAAGGATGGGAAAATGCGAAAATCGTCAGATGCGATGATGGCAGTGGGAAGAATGTGGGATTCTTTTTCCCTGGGTTTATAGGTAGGTACATGACATGACGTGAACCGAACGAAAAGAGCAGGAGAGGACAGTGCTGACGAACGAATGACGAGAGCAATAGATACACACATCCACGCGCCACAATTCCCCAACGCCGGAATCTTCGGAAAGAGTACTCTCCTGGATTGGTTGAACACGTATACCTTCCCCCTAGAATCCTCGTTCAAAGACTTGAACCTCGCGGCGAAAATCTATAACCGTGTCGTCGCGCGCACGCTCTCCCACGGGACGACGACGGCATGCTACTACGCCACCATCCACGTGCCCGCGACGAACCTCCTGGCGGATATCTGCCACTCCCGCGGCCAGAGGGCTTTCGTCGGGCGGGTCTGCATGGACCACCTTTCGCCGGACTACTACCGCGACGAGAGCGCCGCGGAGAGCCTCGAAGGCACAAAAGCCTGCATCGCACACGTGCGACACATCGACCCGGACTTCGACCTCGTCAGTCCCATCCTCACACCCCGCTTCGCGCCTTCGTGCTCCCCCGCCGCCCTGGAAGGCTTAGGAAAATTGCACCGAGACACGGGCATCCCGGTGCAGACGCACATCTCGGAGAATTTGGCGGAAATCGAACTGGTCAGGAAGACCTTCCCGGAGAGCAGACACTACGCGGACGTCTACGACTCCTTCGGCCTGCTGACGCCCAAAACCATCCTCGCGCACGCCGTGCATCTCTCCGCGGACGAGCGCGCGCTGATCAGAGCGCGGGGGGCCAAGATCTCGCACTGCCCGGCGAGCAACACCGCGCTGACGAGCGGCTGCTGTCCCGTGCGGCAGCTCCTGCGGGAGGGCCTGACCGTCGGCCTGGGAACGGACGTCTCCGGGGGTTATACCTCGAGCATGCTCGCCGAGTGCCGCGAGGCGCTCTTCACGTCCCGCCACCTGGCCATGCACTCCGAGCCGGAAGCGGAAGTGAAACTCGCCGTGGAAGAAGCGCTGTACCTGGCCACCCGGGGTTCGGCGAGAGTCGTCGGCTTGGAGGGCAAGATAGGCGGGTTTGAGGTGGGGATGGAGTGGGATGCGCAGATGGTGAGGCTGGCGACTGTGGGCGATGGGTTGGATTTGGAGGAGGAGAAGGAGGGCTTGGTGGAGATTTTCGGGGGGGAGAGTTGGGGAGATAAGGTCGCGAAGTGGGTCTACACGGGTGATGATAGGAACACGATGGCGGTCTGGGTCAAGGGGAGATTGGTGCATTGCAGGGAAAACTTCAAGCCGTGAGATGACTTGCATCTTCTGGGAAAGAATGAGTTGGGCCAGCGGTATGTTCCATGTCCGAAGGCTATCCTACATGTCCAGCGTACCGATGCGACCGCCGACCTCGCCCTCCCTACTGAGAGGCCCCTCCGCCAACCGCTTGTTCATGGTCGCGAGGATATCCTCATATCCTTCGCCAGGACTCTGTTCTACCTGCACGATCAACCGACTATGGAAAGCCTGCAAGGCGTCGAACTTGGCCGAGGCGATCGTGTACGCCGAGCTCTCCGGGTCACCGCGGCCACCGACCAAGTTGGCGAATGTCTGCGGCGGCTTGAGCAGGTACGGAAGTGTGTACTCCAGAGCCGGGGGACTGAGTATCGCAAGGTGGCCCGACGCAGGTGTTGCAATTGTGATTGGGAGAGAAGGAGAAGGTTCTTCCGACCAATTCGCGGTGATGACGGCAGTCAGACAGTTGATAGCTGCCAATGCGAGGTCTTTCAGAGCCACCGTATCTGCATGGGTCGTGACATCGTTCCAGAAGCGCGGGTTGTGGGCGAGATAATGGAAATAGAGAGCGCGAGCTTCGGCAGCTTCCTGTTTCGTCGCTGAGTCCTGCTCCAGACTTGAGCCAGCTTGGTAGGTAACGTCTCGGGGTGGCCCGTGGAACACCGTTGCTAGAGTATTCAGTACGTCTGAATTCGTGGCTTTCGAGGGAAGAAGTGAGAGTGGACTTGATCGCCAGCCCTGTGTGCCCGATGTGTCCAGTAGGGCCCTTCGAGGAAGGCTGGCCAGAAGATGTAGGTCGTGCTTTGGGGACTCGGCGTGTGCCCATTTTGCCGCCGAGAGGCCCAGTGCAGCTCCAAGACGCTCATTGACTTGCTTTGGCGTTTGACTCGCTAGGAAGTGCTCCGGGTATGATGACGCATATGTGGCGATGTAGTTCCCTGCTGGGCCGTAGAGGAACATGGACTCAAGAGGATCGAGTTGGGTTCCAGGCAGCTGCAGATACAAAGACGTTGTGCGTGCATGTACACCATGCGTGATCAGGTATCTCAGACCAACGGAGTCCGTGGCAGATCCATGCAGCCGAATGGCGGGTTTTGTGGAGTCAAGAATGTCGGAGAAGAAGTTGATGAGGCATTGATGCATGAGTACATCATCCTTGATGTCGACCATCTTCAATACGGCAAACTCAAGCAAGCTCTCGGCTTTGTACTCGGCGTCTACATCGCTGTGATGGCTTCTTGAGATAGCATTCCAGTCCATGGCTCCGACCTTTGGAAGCCACTCCATTAGCCTTGCCTGTGCCAAAGTTCGCCGACTCTTGCTGAGCTTGTACGGTGAAGGCCCAGTCAGAGAGCAAGCTTCGAAGAAGGTGCGGTGTACATCGCGGTCACCAAAGATACGCTTCCATACAAGTCCCTGTCCTCCAGATGGCAAGCGTGTGTCGGGATTCTTGATCTCCTGGTCCACTTTCAGCAGATCCAGCAGAATCTGTGAAGCTTGGCTTGCGACGCCTGTGTCTGACGTGCAGAGCCACAATCGCACCAGAGCCAGAACTGTGTCTAGCATGCCAGCTACTGATGCTGCATCTGCCGCGTTATGGGTCGCTTTTTGAAGTAGTGCTAGAATCAGTTTGTTGAAGGATACCATGTGCTCGCCGACAGCAAGACCGTCTGTAAATGGCACGTTGCCCAATTTGAGAATATCGCCATATTTGTAGTCGTTTACCAGCCGTAGGAGTAAATTTACTGCGGGAGACGGGTCTTGCTGAAGAGTTGGGAGTAGAGCAGATAATGAGACGACCAGATCGTGCTTCTGTTCTGCGACAAGTTAGAACCGAGCAGTAATAGAAATGGACACTGATATTACCGTACCGCTTTGCAAGGTTTCTGGCAGTACTAGCTCTGCTTCTTCGAAGAGCCGTTGGTCGAGTTGTACGGTCGGGTCGTCGGTGGCGGCGTTGATGTTGTCAGTGATTCGATTGAGGACATTCTGCGCCATATTGGGAGAGCTATCACGCTTTGCGTCTTTTCATCAGTCTGGCGGTGATGGACCTCCGAGTCGAGTGCTGTTGTATTGTATATTTGTGAAATGTTCAGGCAGACGTCTGACGTTGTTATATCCTCGAAATGTGACAACATGCCACGACCTTTGTCTCAGAGTATCCTTGTCACGGACATCGAGGCGAGCCTTTTCTACTCACTCATGCGTATCGACCTCACTTTTCGATCAACATCAATATCACACCAATTTCCTTCGTATCAGTGATTTTGCCGACAGCATCGGAACTCAATCCTGGAGATCACTACTGGAGAGGCCACATCCAGGAAAAAAAGCTCAAAATGCATCACCCAGCTTAGCCAGCCAATTGGCCAATTCTCGACCATTGACGGACCATAGACCAATATAATATCCATTCCATCGCCTGTATACGATCGTCGACTCTTCTTCGATTGGAAATATCATCCCAGGCATCCAAATATGAGAACTACTGCCGCTCATCTCGACCTCGACCGATATTCCATCGCTAAGCTCAAAGATCCAGTCCCTCGCCGACACGCCCGGCACGCGATCTGCATAGACCCCCCTTCTCGCGCCAGAGGTAGACTTCACTTCTCTCTTCGAGTGCCGCTCGGATCATCACTTCGCCGAAACTCACTCCCTAGGTGTATTGACGACAGGGGGAATCGTCAGCAAGAACGTGTCTCCGATCCATCCGCCAGTAGGCGTGAAACCACGATCCTTGGTCAGCTCTCAAGCGCATCACCCGGAAATCATGAACGAAAAGGGAAAAGACAAGATACAGCTCGACTTGCTCGCGCGGAGCGTTGGTCAGAAAAGATTGAATAGCAAGACTCGGCCTGATCAGATTGAATCGATGCCTCGATTGCTCGAAGCACCGTCCCGATCGCAGGAAGGAAGAAAAAACTGACGCTACGATAAAGCCTTGCCCTATTTTGCACTACTTTGAACGCTTGGGTTTAGAATACGGCCCTGGGGATTGCAGCAATGGAATCCCTCCTTGCAGGCATGTAAGCTCCTCCATCGTCGACGACACTTCTTGCTGCGCGAACGAACCGAGCTTCGTCGATACTGCCGCTGGGATTCAGCAGCATCCAGTTCTGTGATGTGTCGCCTGCGTCTAGGGAGATCTTCTGCGCCCCGTGTTGTGGCTGATGCTCTAACAACATAGCGGATTCGACGGGATACTCGCTTCGACGTGTTCGTCTTGCCATCCGTCGAGACCATTCCGTTCTTGTCTGTTGCGAGGTTGCAACTGCGTGATGAATGGGCAATACCTCGTAAGAAAAAGGATGCTTCCAGCGCACAAGACTTTTCTCAGAATTGAATTCGTCGTGATTGCAACCGACATCCACATTGTCGGGCGGTTTCGCTCAATCTCTGTAGTTTCCCGCGGTCCTATAGATACGCAGACGCCGCCAACCAAAACTAGTCATCCAAGGGGTTTTGGTGAGCGTGGAGTCTTCCTGGCGGATACCAGAGCCAGGAGAATGATTGGCAAACCGGGTACCATTTGCAATGCGCTGCGCTAAGTCAATACATGTGTTCTGGTTTCTATGGCGCACTCCCATCGCCTGCACCTGTCTACAGGTGTTTTCCTGTCCACGCCAACGCCGCCGCTAGAATGTGAGCATTTGAATCCTCCGACCTCTCGATCCACTATCCATCACTGCCGCTACTTCGGAAGGCGGCGCAAAGTGCTGCGTACTGATGGGTCAAGTCTAGGATGTGTTGCGGCAGACTCGTGGCCTGAACGATGCTTCGAACTTTGACTGCTCCCTCCTCTTCGATCAGTTTCCGGATGGCTAGTAGCAGGTCGGGAGAGAACTACAACACCATTAGCTCAAGTCAAAGGGTGAGAGCACGGTCCCTACCTCTGAGTACCACCTAAACTGCCATACGATGAGCCGGATGAGCGCGCCGAGCATATTTCTGGCATCACCGTTGCGCTCATATAGTCCTAGAACGCCTCGCATCGCCTTCGGGCTGAAACGCATGCCCAAGCAAGACTGCCAGGCCTCAATGGCTTCTTCAGGATGATGGAGTCGCTCGGCTAGATCTCCCAAAATCTCCCATTCTTCGGCACTCTTCTTGTAGGCCATTTGTTGCTGCTTATACTGAGATGCTTCCGTCCTCCAGATGGTGTAAATGCGCAGATCCTCATACAGAACCATGAAAAGATTGTCAAGCCATCGCTCGCAGAGGCGCTTGTGCTGGAATTGGGTGTAGGCTTGGTGGGCCGGGTCTGTGTTTGGAGGCTGAGGCTGTGGCGTTTCTGAGTTTGATCGAACAGTGATAGTTGTCGAAGGTTTAGACACGTCCGGGTCCAAGTGCGATGATGCAGCATTCGGCTCTTCGTTTTCGCCATTGATCATATCCTCGGTACCTGCTTCTGACGGAGTCTGTTCGTGAGGATGGCCGTGTCCATTGGGCTGTGGCGTGTCAGTACCTCTGAGAGCCACGGTACTTGCGTTGCGACTTGCGGTTCCTGGCGGCTGCCTCTCATGGCGGTACTCTTCCTCCATCACGAACACCTGGCTTCTGATCTTCAACAGCTGATCCCAGCCAATTTTCTTCGTGATTTCCGTGAGCAATATGTAGGCCTTGTGGAAAGTGCCCTTGTAGTTGCCAGCGGACAGCCTTCGGAGGGTGGGATGCACAACATCAGCATCGGGTGTTGCACCCGCGTCGTCGATCTCGTCGCACATTGTCTCTGGGGCAAGAGGTAGAGATATTCGCGCAGGCTCTGGCAATCTCGGTGCGTCCTTATCCTGGTAAGTGAACATCGGACATGAGTTTAGAGTCAGCAGAGCAAGGTCCCATTGCTCCACGGCCACATATACTTCCGCGAGACGCGCCCATGTGCAGAATTCACTTGGAGCGGACACCACACCGCGCTTTGCAATCTCCAGTGCAAGATCGCCTCTACCTTTCTTATTGCAGAAGTCGGCTTGGCAATCGAGGATGGAGTAGTCCATGGGCAATTCTTGAACCGCCTCGTGTAATAATCGAACCGCCTTTACCTCCTCATCTGCAGCAATGTACACTCTCGCCAACAATGACGATATTTCTGGATCCCGCATGCGAAGTTTTTCGAAGAGATTTATGCCAGACGCGAACCGGCCTGTTGTCTTGATGTAGTGGAGCAGACCGGACGTGAGATGATTCGATACCAGATTGGGGACCTGAATCTCAGGGTCGGAGCCCAGTTGCCATCCTATTGTTCAACGTCAGCACTGCCTGCTCATCAGGTGCACCATCTTGACCTACCGCTGAAGAATAGCTTCTCCGCCGCGTCCAGGAATTTTTGCTCTTGCTCCGTAGATGTGACAGGATTGAACCGCCTCACACCGATTATGCGCTTGATCACATCGCCTGATCCGTTGTCTGCATATGAGTATGCCCGCAAGACGCTGCAAAGGTATGTCTCCAGCCAGTGCTCTTCCGTAGCCTCTAACTTGTTTCCTCGCTCGTCCACGCAATAACTCTCGACCGTACCGGGGATTTGGACCTGAACGCGCATATCGACTCGGGAGAAGGCATTGTAGCAACTGCCAGAGTCAGCGATTGGAACGGTAAAGCATTCCCATATCCTACCAGTATAGCCCCGATGCGACTTTCAAGGGCGCTGCGCCAGGAGCATACGTCAAGGTGTTGATATACGCTGCCAAACTAGCTGACGAAGAGGCGTCGATGCCGGTCGCATGGTGGTAGACGCCAGCCTGAAGAGCCGCTCAGTATCCTGCGTAGTGTCTCGCTCCCATGCTTCTGCCCATCGCTGCATTGGTATAGCCGGGTCTCACCTGCTTCGAAGTCGACGATTTGGTGGGTTGCTTGATCAGATGGATCAAGTCGGGAGGGCCGAGTTCTCGCAGAGTCTGCAGCGAGTCCGTTCGTATATCAATGACCGTATGGGAATCATCCTCGAACAACCTGCAATAACAGTCCCAGTTCAGCGCCACATTCATCACATGCAGCAAGCCGCCGTGCTTCTTACTCCGGCACTGCCGTCGCGACCATCTCGCCTGTCGATGTATAGTCGCAGTCCTCTTTCGCAGTGTGCTCGATCGGTAATTGGCGTGGTGAAAAGGGGGTGATCGGAATGGGAAACGGTGGTGAATGTGGTCGTACTGAATCAACTAATTGAATTGCAGGACCAGCTGTTCTGTACCTGGGAGCTCTCCCCAAGCATCCGCTGACTAATCACGTCACGCTACGAATCGCATCGCGACGCGACGCTGCACTTCAGGAGAAACATACCAACAATAATGGACCAAACACCGTCATAACAACAACACTTCCACCACTCATCGCCATGCCCGGCTTCAAGGCTCTCAACATCGAGTCGGACGATGAATCCGACGTCGAGGTCGACGATACCAAGGAAATCCAGATCGAGGAGGCCCTGAAGCTGTACCAAACCGCCTTGAAGTTCGACTCGGAAGGCCCGCAATCGTACGACCAAGCCGCCGAGGCCTATCGCCAGCTCTTCGAATCCGAGATCTTTAAGTATCCCGAATCGCAGGCCGAACTCAGGCGTATCGAGCTGTACGGGCCGCTCGACGACGACGAGTTGTGGGATGATGAATTGGTCCAAACAGCCGCTGGATCAGGCAACCTGGAAACTGGCCCGGGAACCCTTCCGCAGTTGCTTCATCTGTCTCACAAGAACTATGCGCATTTCAAACTCAAGGCGCTGTCGGCCAAGTTCGAACTCTTCCACGTCACGCTCAACCAGATTCTCGTTGACGCCACTGCCGCCTTGGATCATTTCGTGCAGGCCCTGGACAAGGACGATAGCGACCTCGATCTCTGGCGCCGGACCGCCGCTGTTGGCGAGGTCCTCGATAGTAAGCGTATTGCGCGCTTTTGCCTGGAGTCTGTCTTGGATGACGATGAAGTCGCGCTCAACAGTGTCATGTCGCTTCCCGGTCTGGACGAAGGCCTAGCAGGGGAGCAGCTGCGCGACCTTGTCACTCAGCTGCAGGACCATCTGTCCCTTCTGCAGGGTCCACTGTCGTTAAGTAAGCGGCGCATTCTGTCCAAATTCTTGAAGCAACAGCTCCATCCATACGAAGACATCACGCGGCAAGAAGCTACTCTGAGCGCACAAGGCGAACTCCCAGACTCACCAATCCGACCCGAGAGAGTATTGTTCAAGGCGCCAACTACGTGGGCTGACTTGGGCGATCTGCTTCTCCGCCAGCTCATTTCTGAGCAACATGGCGCATCTACTGTCTTCCCCGGTCATGCTATCGGATTTGACCTGAGTGACGTGCCTCCAGCGGTAGGTCGAGCAATAGAGCCGCCGCCTCCTCCACGTTCTTCGCCCGCCAGAACAGCTCTGTCCATCGAGACCCGTTTCCCAACGTCAATGAACGAACAGTTTCCGGGACTCGACCGTGGACGTCCTACTGTGCAGCCCCAGATCGCATCTGCGGACCCGGACATGGAGGTAGAATCTGTCTCTCCGACTGACCACGACGTGGATGTGACCGATTCACCGACGATGACTCTTCCTTCCCGCAAACGCTCGGGCGATGCAGCAGGTCTGCATGATGGTGCTGAGGAAGGCCGTACTAAAAGCAAGCGCCTCCGAGCCAGAGACTCGAATGCGGACGCAGGTGAAACGCGACAGGCTGCCATCGATGCAAATACCCGCTGGGAGTATGAGCAGCAGCTCAATGAATTCCAAGCTGCTGATGACTGGATGTTTGAAACTGTTGGAAACCTCTTCGAGAAAGTCGGTGTTGTCGGATTTGACGCAGCACGGCACGTACGCCATGAAATGACTTCGTCGTCACACAGCACGCCTGAAGACAGCAGTGTAACGGTGGATGACCTCAAGGTAGCCAAATCTGACATCCAAGCATTTCTCGACAAGTACAACGAGCATGCCGCGCATCCTTTACTCTTCGGCGGCGACGGCTTTGATCTTGGTGCTGGCCAGGGCTTCTCCGGAAGTGGACGTATGCTCTCTTCTGGCGGAAGCTCGAAAGACGTACCAAAGCTGCCATTGATACCAGATCACGGACTCCAGGATCTCCTCATAGAAGTTAACGACGGCTGGAACATGACGAAGGAGGTTGCTTGGAAGTTTATCGAAACCTTGCTCCGCTCAGCCAAGATCACTGCAGAGTCGAACAGCTACACGCAATACCTTTGGCCAGAACATCTCAAGACCATGGTGGTCCGTGTGCTGGTGAATTTCGACGAAACCATCTACGAAAACGCCTCGCGCGATCTGGACATTTGGAAGCAAAATCTTCAGCGTGGTGAAGAGGATGGTTCTTTCATCGGCTTAGTCGATTTAGCTCAAGCAGTGTTTGAGCTGCATCTTGACATCTACAGCTTGATCAAGCAACCCAATAGCGGCGTCGAGAGTGACATAATAGTCTCGCAGGGCGACCGTCTGCAGCGCTGGTCTGATCTCGCTCGGGAAATTCTACATTGCCGCACAATTGCGCACGGCTCTCCAAGTCTGGAGGATCCGGTGAACCTTCGATTTTTGTGGGCAACAACTTTCCACCTCAACGTTTGCTCAGACGTCACACAAGACCACGTTCTCGAATGCATGAGCGATCTGAAGGAGATTTTGACGGCCGCAGACGCGGCTCCGATCTTTCTGCAGAACAACGCCATCATGCCAGAAGTTTCAGCTGCAGCGTTGGAGCGAGAACTGTCAACAATTACTACCAAAGACTTCTTCCTCAGAGTTACAAACCAAGACGTCTCGGACCCCGCCGCCACGATTGAAAGCCTGGAACCTCTCCTCGAGTCGCTTCATCGTTCGAAGACTTCCTCAGCAGAAGAAGACGCCGTAATGACTGACGCGTCGTTGCCACCTGACGTTGCCCCAGAACTCGTCTCATTTCTCGAGACCAGCAGCATCTCGGTGCGATTGCTTCTCTGGGAGCGACTACGAGATGCGTATGACAGCATCGACTACGAACCAATGGTGGTCTACTGCTACTTTCGAATGATCCACATGGTGCTAGCCGAGGTCAAATCTTCCGACACATCTGGTCTCCCTGATGCTGAGCGTCAGAAAGTGACTTTCAAGGGCATTCGCGTTCTACATGATATGCTCAAGAAGCTTCACGATGTCGTTCAAACCTCCAAGGAATCCATGCAATGCATTGACGAGGAAGGAATTAATCTGGCAGTGACCAGCCTTGGAGAGATTCTGCAGCTGATTCAAGTCTTCAACGTGGCCGAAGACTCGATCCGCGTCGGGCAGTCGCAGGCGCCGACCTCGCCAAATGGGCTACCTGCGCAAACATTCAAGACGGTTATGAAGCTCGTACACGAGATGCAGGCTTATGTCTGGATGACACTATACGCTTTGTTGAAGGAAGCAATTGCTCAAAATCCAGAGCAATATTCCACGCCGCTTGAGGATCGGTTCGACTTCCTTCGCACAGTGCATCGCAATCTTGGGATTCGGAACATATGTGGCGTGCTGAACCGAACATTTGTAAGACTCCTCAAAGACGAATTCGTCCAGATGACGCATGTCGACGGCTATGACAGCGAACAAGCCCAAGTGTTGTACGACCTCTACCGGCTGAACTGCTTTATCAATCCATCCTATGAACTTATCGAGCACAACTGCACCTCGGATGCATTCATGGATCGAGGGGCCGCGATGCAAGCAGTAGACCTACTCCTCACACAAGCGACGAAATTGCCGGTCAAGGAGCTGGTAAAGCACCCGTTGCGGGAGACGATCGACAAGGTCCATGGTTCTGTGGCCAAAAAGAGGCCTACAGAAGCGATTGTGCACAACCGCGAGATCTACCGTTCATTCCTCCGATCGCCCATCAATCCTATCGATCTTTACGGCTGTCTGAAGGGCGAGAGGAATCAGCTGCCGGTGACCCCAATTCCACGAGACGACGCTCTGCTCGCGTCCAAAGGCTGGTACTTTATGATGGGCCACGTGGCTCTCACTAAATTTCGCTCCCAGAAGCGCACTGGACCAACTGCCACGGAAGATGTCGATATTGCTATTGCATTCTTCATGCAGGATCTGGAGTACACGGGTCAGAACTGGGAGACGTGGTTCCGGCTGGCTCAGGCTTATGACACCAAGATCGAAGAAAATACCGTCTGGTCCGCTGAGAAGCTGAACAACAATATGCCGGAACTGGTCGTCTTGCAGCGGCAAGCAATTCACTGCTACACCATGGCCACGGCGCTTGCATATCGCTCGGCCGATCTTACCTTTGAGACTTCTGATAAGATGACCGAACTGCTGTACGACTTCGCAAACCGTATCTACAGCTCGGCCAGACAACCCTTCGGCATGCAGCCGTTCCAAGTCGACGACACCGACCGATTTGTGAGTATCAGCACGGGAGTGCAGAAAGACAAGCCTTTCCAGCCTCTGAGGTTGTATACTGCCATCAAACTGGCCAACTTGTTGTACAACAGGGCCCTCCCGGGCAAGCCAGATAGCTGGATGGTCCATTATATGATTGGTAAGTGCCTTTGGAAGATGCACGCTGCGCCAGCTCATCTCCGCCCGACTGGCGAGCCACCTGCTGCGAGTCGAGTTGTACAGGCATTGGTGCGCTCTGTTGAACTGTTGCCTGAGAAAGACAAGAAGCCAGACGGCAAGAAAGAGCCTTTGCTCGAGCCGCAATACAAGCTGGTCTCTGTCATTCACAAGCTTCTCACCGTGACTAAGAGCATCGATCTGCAACAAGCGAAAGAGGCTCTGGCGCACACGGATTACGCTCGCAAACAGAATTTCCCAGAGTCGATGGATGATTGGGTACCGTACGTCCTTGCGGTGCTTAAGAATCTTCGAAGTGCCGACAAGTCCAACTGGTATCACAGAATGATCATCCGCTCAGCAACCATCATCTACGATGACTCGGAGAAGGACGCGGATGTGCAGGATCAGAATCTAGGAGCACTTGGCGCGAAACATGAGCTCACGCAGCAGATGTTCACAAAGACAATGGTATTGCAGGTTTGGAGGCCCGACAGTGAGCGAGCCGGACGCCACTTTGTTTATACTGCCCGCTATACCAATTTCTTTGTGCGACTCCTGGAGCAACTGAAGGACCGGAATAGCCTTGATCAGCTGGCCAGAAGGGTGCGTCGACGACCGCACGACATTTTTGAACACAGCACCGTTTGGGCAGAGATATGCACCGTCTACTTGCGCATGCTGCGCAACCACGCGGCCCTTCCCGAAGGCTTGGAAACATCTTCATTCAGCAATATCGTGCATGAAGAGTTCCTACTTCGCAAAGATCCCCTGGAGAAATGGATGCAAAGCCAAGACTCGGGGGCACATCCAGCTTTGGATGTACTGAGAGAGGTGCAAGAACTGAAGAAGCTGAACCAGGGCCTCATCAAACCGGGTGCTATCGATGATCTGATCGGAGATGCGTACGCGCAGCTCTTCACTACCGTTGGCAAGCAGTTGTGGGAGGACGAGCGTCGGGTGAAGCAGGAAGAAGAGGCCAGACGTGAAGCAGAGAAGCCGCCGCCGGCCACCAACCCGCCTCGCAACCCCATGATGAGCCTGACTCACCTCATGAATGTCGACGGCGCGAACGAAGCTCCTACCAATCCAGCACCACAGCCTCCTCCAGCCGCTGGCTCGACAATCAGCGCTGCACAAGCGACTGACCCAGCGCCCTCACGTCGGAAGATAGGAGTAGGACGACGCGAGATCCGGACTTGCGCCGAAGCCTGTCTTCAGAAGACCAAAGCGCAGCCGGATGTCGCCAAGGCGATTGCCAACGCGCCGCGCGTGCAAGTGCTCATTGAGCGAGAGCGGCCGGGCGCGTCGAGTGAAGTCTCGGTGGAGAACAGTGCTCCCGGAAGTGTGCACGATAGCGCCGATGACGAGAGCGAACTCAGTGAGCTGGAAGAGGCCGAAGACGAGGCCGATGGCGACGAGTCGGGCCCCAAGGATGAAGACAAGCGGCCTACGTTTCCCCATCTTGCACCCGTGGAGTCGCGTGAGGATGATGGCGGATCGGACACTGCTGGGGATGGGGACGGGGACGGGACGGCGAATGAGCAGGAGGATGTCGAGATGGCAGATGGGCCGGATGTCAAGGCAGAGGGTGAGGGCGAGGAGGAAGCTGAAGGCCCGGAAACGTGATCGGGATTGTAGAAAGAGCGTCTGAAAGAAAGGAAGCAAAGTTTGTACGCACAGTCACTACACTGTTTTGCATGTCTGCTGGCTCACCGCGCTCTTTCCTGCGCGCAGAATATTCCGCCAAAGACTGAAGCTGCCATGAATCGAACAGCACGCAATCAGCCATTACGACTGCTGCAGCCGTCAACTGGACGCATTCTCTCCACATGGGCAGAGGCCGCCGAGCAGAGCAGAGCAGGGTAAAGTAGAGCAATCGAACTCAAGCAGCACCTAGATCTCGAGACCATCGCCATCTCTTCAACCCCCTGCACTAGCCTGTCCACCACCACTGCCACCACCACCACCACCACCACCACTACCCCCCTGTCCCTGTCCTTGTCCATTCCCATCCCCACCCTCCTTCTTCGTAGCAGCCCTGAACGAATCCAAAAAAGAAACCGCCTGAGCAGCCGAAAGCGGCGTCTTGGGCGGCGCAGGTCTGGCGGCAGAAGAAGGCAACGCCAACGCCAGAGCAGAACCCGACGGAGGCGGCGCAGGCGGCACCGCAACAGAAAGATCCACAGCCTTGACGTGCTCAAAGCGACACTCCCCTCCAGAACTGCTGCTGTTGACACCCCCCCCTTCCGCCGCCTTCCGGTGGTAACAATCCAGACAAATCCCCCACAGCCGCTCGCGCTGCATCGTCCGCACAAGCGCCAAAGCCTGCGAAAATTTCGCCTCCACGGCAACGCACCACAGACACTGCTCGCGGACGTCCCACTCGGGGAGGGGGAAAGCTAGTGATTTCTCGACGATAGCGCCGGGTGTGGACGGCCAGCGGGTCGCGGGCCAGAGATTCGCATTCCGTAGGGCGGAGAGGCAGAGGCGGGCGTTGTCGCGGTCGACGGGGCAGGTGTCGCGGGCGCGGTCGTCTTCTTCTACACCGTCGTCGCCACCGTTACCGTCTTGGGGTTCCTCGCCGGGCTCGCAGTCGATGTAGTGGTGGGATTCGTCGGCGAGGACGTCTGCGAGGGGATCGATGAGGAGGTCCAGGTCGACTTTGAGGCTGTGGATGGCTTCGCGTTGGCGGGCGAGGAGTTCGAGGGCGAGGCGCTGGCCGGCGCTGCCGAGGGAGGAGGAGAGGTCGTGCAGGCGGCGGCCGGAGGGGGTTTCGAGGACCCAGCGGGTGGTGAAGCGGGCGAAGTAGACGGGGTCGTCGAGGAGGTAGGCGGCCTCGAGCAGCTGGTAGACGGGCGGGTGCGGGACGCGGTGGTAGAGGTGGTCGAACCAGGGGGAGGCGGCGCGGCCGGCCGCGACGATGCAGTCGTAGCGCGCGGCGGCCGCGACGTAGCGCGTGAGGGCGTCGGGGGGCAGGCGCGCGGGCAGTTTGTCGTGGCGGAGGTGCAGCGCGCAGCAGAGCAGGTAGATGGTGTTGCCGTCGTCGTCGGGGAGTGGGAGGGTCTTCGTGGGCGGGTCGGCCGTATGGACGACTGTAGCTGCGGCGAGCAGTTGTTTGAATCCAGTCGAGTGCGTGCCGAGCGCGTAGCTGGAGCAGCGGATGCCGACTCTGCGGGCGGTGGTCAGCAGAGCGCATGAAGTGATTCGGTGCAGAGGTTCATTCTTACTGTTGTGGCACGCCCGCAATACCGTTCACGACAACGAGCGCGTCGCCATCTGCAGCAAGTTCAATCTCGCTGTCCACCTCAATAGTTGGGGTGGAAAGATGCATCTCGCTGTCCTGCCGTTTGCGTTTCGGGGGACGCTCGTCGACCGACATGATTGTCTTTGCAAACGCGGAAAGATGGTGGAAGAGTTTCGGTCGAAGTGCTGCGCGAGAAGTGACCAATATCCAGCCCCACTTTTTCTTTGCTATTGTTCTCGCGACGACAATCACATGCAAAGTCTTGGCAGCGAGATAGACTTTCGGTAGTTATTCGGTACGAGGATGGACGTCCAAACCAAACGTGAACCGAAAAGGGAACAAACGACCATGATGCAGAGAACATGTTCACTGCTCTCACTACTAAAGATATAAGACCAGAAGATGATATGATGATGATGACGGGGTCATTCGACTCTCTGCTCTTGCTTGCTTGCTTGCCTGACGCTTTCAAAAAAAAAAAAAAAAAAGTCCCAATCCACAAGCAACAAAAAGACGACGCACGCTTCGCTTCGCTTCGCTTTTTCATCAGCGACGGGAAAATATCACCCATAAAACTCCTCCTCCTCCATCAATCGAAAGAAAAACCCCCCAAACGGCAAAAAATCACTCAAGTCCTGGCTCCTTCGCTGTTGTGCTGCTTGCTCGCTTGCTTGCTTACGTGTTGCAATTCGAATAGACCCATTCCCACAAAACTCCGAAAAGCAGATCAAAAGAGGCTCATGTCCGGTTGGTATGAAATACTTGCCCGCGTCTGTCCGAATGCCCCTCGCCAGCAAGTTCCCAAAATCCAGAAAAACAAATCAGAGAAAGCCCACACACACACACACAATTGAGGTACGCCGTCGGAGGCTCGTCGTGGATATGGTAATGTTCGAGGTCGTCAAAGGGGAAGTGGCTGGCCCGCCAGTTCGGATGAGATGAAATACTATTCCCCGCTCATCCACTGGCAGTGGCAGCCGCCCGGAATCGTCCGTTTGTGCTTCTTGGTGCTGGCAACACCTGCACTCTCATAGTCGGCAAACGTGGGATCCTTCTCGGTAAGTTGCACAATGATCGGATTGCCGTCGTCATCGGTAACGAAATTGGCCTGGAGATTGTCCAGGATCTGGTATTGCTGGCAATAAGGTTGCTTCGAGGGTTGCGCTAACCGTCGTTCTTCAACCTTGATCACATACGGGAACGTGTCGAGTTTGCTCCAGAGATCATCTGGGCTGATATCGTCGCGATGAGAGCGTTTGACGGGCGAACCACTGTTCGCGGCAGCTGCTGCTTCAATCTGCTGACGGCGGGCGGACTGCGCTGCCTGTGCGTGAATACCCACAGACCATGCATCGAAGGCGGAAGCTGGGCCTGCGTAGGTAGCTGTAGTTAGGGCATCGGATATGACGGTGGAAATGGCGGGTACTGGCGGAGTAGGAGAAGGTGATGCGGTACTTGGTACCGTCGGCGACGGTGAACTGGTAGAAGTCGGCGGGCTTGCAGCTGCCTTTGAATCCGGTGGGGGAGTGGTAGAAGCTGCAGTAGCGTTCGAACTGTTGGTGGCAGAGGCAGACGAGGTGGCAGCTGGCTCCTGCACGTAGATGAAGCCTTCGATGAATGTCCCGTTCCAAACGCAGAACCACGGCTTCTGGCCAGGCCATGTCATCTGTTTTCGCTGCATCCATTCCTGCGGCAGGCTGAAATCGGGATTGACGAAACCTTGTCGCTTTCCCTTCTTGCTGGAAGAGGATACCGAGATCATATTCTCTGGAACCACAACCACCTTGTCGTAGAACTGTTGGAAGTAAAAGGCCGGTCCATTTTCCGGATCGTCGTTGTCCTGGACCGTGATGAATGACGATAGCGAGGTGTTCATCATGTTCAATTGCGATCCATACGCAATGCTCTCGTTATAGGAAGCGTAGAAGAGGTTGGCGCCAGCTCCATTCGATGTCGGCGACTTCTTCACGACCAAACCGAGGGCGGCATTGGGTGCCAGGTCACAGCTCCAAGCCGGCTGCTGGTTGGCGACGGGTAAGCAGTCACTTTGCGTCTCCTGTGGAGCGCCGAGGGTAAGAGCGAAGGTGCCGGTGGGCGGCGCGCCCGAGGTCGGTGACGCGATGGGACTAGCATCGTATAACGACGTGACGACTTGAAGACTGTTGCAAAATGGTCAGTCAAGTACAGGAGTGTAGGCCATCAGAGTCTGCACTTACTTGCTTGCATTGGCGTGTCTCCCCCCTGCAATGAATCCCCCAAGAACACCTCCCAGCACCGCGCCGATGAAGCCCAAGACGCACAGTGCGAGGAGTATCCACCAGAATGGGATACCACAAAATTTAGTCTTCCGTTTCTCCTTCCACGTCTTCTCACTCCAAGTCTTGTTGAGGTACAGGCTGCTGGAGCGACTTGAGGCACGTGTATTGCTGCGCACCAGGTTCGACGTAGAGCCTCGGTGATCTAAGAGTGCCGATTGATCACTCATCGACTGGGGCGCTGGTGTCGGCGAAGGGATGATATTCTGATGCATCAATGGCATTCCGGGATCCGTGCCAGCCACAGGGGCTCGGCTGTGGAGTGCGGTGGGCATGAGTAATGGCGCCTTCTCAGGTCCATCTTCCGGATATCGTGTATATGGCGGTAATTGCTCGGTGTGTCCATCTTCGTGTATGATGTCCTGATCCTCCCCATCGGGCCCTATCCGCCGTGTGTAGTTTTGTGTGAGACCCGGGAAGCCGACAGGCACGGGATTTTGACTTGTCGCGTCGACGTCGTCGTCGTCGTCGTCGTCGTCCAGATCTTCATCGACACCTTGCGGATACATGGCATAGGGATGTTGTGGCCTGCTTTGCGAGTATGATTGTCGCGGCGCGGGCCTGAGGGTCGATGTCGTCGTCACGCTGGGTGATCTGGCCATGGTTCCCTGTTGGTACATGCCGTACGGATGGCTCGGTCCAGCGCCAAACCGCGGACTGCCCGTCTGGGCATACATGTGAGAAGAAGCTGAAGACACCGACCGCCTCGCGATAGTATCCGGTTCAAACTCCAGACTGTGTTCCCGCTCCTGCGGCGCCGTCTCTTCATCCTCGGGACTCGCAAACGGGTTCACCTGACTCCGCGACTTGCGAATGGAATTCCGCACCGAAGGGCCCCTGGACATTGTCGGCGAGACGGGACCGGGTGCATAGTGTGCGGAGACGGTGCGTATGGGCGGATCGTGAAAGTGGTGTTCTTGGCGCGCGTGGGCGTCATCGCCCTCTCCTTCTCTGTCCACGTTGGGTCGGAAGCCATCCGCGACGCCATCGAACTCGAAGTCCGTCTCAAACTCGTCGCCAAACACATCTCCATGCTCCTGAGCGGGTGTCGCGTCGCCGTCCAGCAGAGAGGATCGCTTCATGGTGATGTCGTGGGAGGATTGGCCGGCGGGGGGCCTGCACAGCCTCCTCGCACAAGACGCTCACCAAAACGAGCCAAGTCGTGCCAATTGCGGTCGATGAGATCCAGTGAATCGGGGCCAGCGAGTGCGATGAAGGAATTGAGAGCGAGCGAGCGAAATGGTCGGAAGGGGTGGTGTTTTTCGTTTTTCGGGTGGTGGATGGGTTGTTGGCGAGGATGGTGTTTTGTTTGTCAGAGCGGAGGAAGGGTTCGGAGGAGAGAGCGAGAGCGAGAGCGCCAAGAAGCAGCAGTGAGCGGCACCACCCGACCTCGACTTTTGCATTGGGGTCCTCACTCTAGTACTAGTACTACTCAACATCAAACCAACAACAATCGCTTCTGCCTACATATATATACCTTACCGTTTCCAATAAGCTACACCAAGACGTGAGACACACATCTCGCACAGTACCATCATCAGATCAGATCAGATCCTCATCAACAACTACTGTATTCCACCACCCCGGACAAGTTCATCGTCCCAGTCCAAGACGCAACGCAGCGCGCGCATTTCTCCTCGCAGCCGGCTCCATGACCCTTCTTCTTTAGCGCAAGGAGACACAGCCAGTGGCAGCGCCCATCCTCCCGACCACTGCCCCGTCGCACGCCGGCCCTCTATCCGACCCTGCCAAATGCCCGTCGTTTCACGCGCCGGCGCCACCCAAAGTTGCTCCACAAGCATTCACAAGCCTTGGCGCCCGCTCGCGTCCATCACGCTCCTTGTCCCAGAGATGCGAGGCAGGCATCGCCCCCACTTTCGTCCGCACCACCACCAACATAATAAATGTGCCGAGTTTCCTGCGCTACTTGCAACAGAGGAATCCTCTTCGCTGCGGGGGCGACGGAATGATACAAAGATACTTCATGGGAATGATACAAGATACTTCATGCCCCCAGCAGGCCTGCTTTCGTCAATGACGACACGGCGCCCCGAGGAGGATGCTCCGCTCATCTTGTTCGAAGATAACATATGCTCTGGGGAATCTCTCTTCGCATGCTACTAAATGATTGCAACAAACAGGCGCAAGGCTTTGGTCACTGGAACCGCATCGAAACCATCAAGTACTACCGTGTACTCCCGCAAGAGCCGCTCATTGCTTGACCTCGTACGACCTCCGGAACATGTCGTCGACGTTGCTCAGGTAGTAAGTTCCGGGTCGGATGGTTTCGATGCTGCCCTCGGGCTTGTAGTTGCTCTTCAAGTGCGCCCGCTCACGGAGTGCGCACATCTCATCGTAGACCTCGGGGGCCACCACGCGGCGTGCTTCTAATCTCGTGTGCAGGTCCAGCTTCTGCTTGAGCTGCTCGGTGCTGCCCTTGATCTTCAGCGAGAACATGGACGCCGCGAGACCGGAGCCGTAGGAGAAGATGGTGACACGCTTGCCCTGGAGCTCTTCGGACGAGACGTTGCTCAGGAGCGAGACGAGCGAGCCGTAGACGGAGGCACAGTACATGTTGCCGCACTGCGTCGGGACCTCGATCGACGGCTGCACACGCTGTGCGAATCGCTTCTTGGCCAGAGCCATGAAGGTCTTCTCAATGGTCTTGTCGGAGATGGATTGCTCGTAGGAGATGTCCTTGACCTCGGCCGGTACCTCCTTGAAGATGGCGTTGTCCGGGTTGGCAAGGTAGTCGTTGTACAAGAGTCGGGCGTAGCTCTTCGACACGAGCTTGCAGGTGGGTGCGTGGAAGCACATGTAGTCGAATCTGTCCAGGGGAGTCTCCGGCGCGGGGTGTACGCCGTTGGCATGTCCATTCGCCTTGCTCTTGATCTGCTCTTCTCTCGCGTTGTACGCCTTGTAGCACTCGTCCACGGCCTCGGTGTAGCACTGGATGGAGTATTGTCCATCAACCAGCGGGTACTCGCTGGTCAAGTCGGCCTTGTAGAAGTCGTATGCGTGCTTGACGTAGCTGCCGCGCTGACCTGGCTCAAAGGCCAACGGAGCGTCGGGGCCGATCAACATGGCGACACAGCCGGCACCTCCGGTCGGTCTGGCGTTGCCTTTCTTGTATAGTGCAATATCACCCATGACGACAATGGCATTCCGTCCATCCCACGCCGACGACTCCATCCAGTTGATTGTGTTGAAGAGGGCATTGGTGCCGCCGTAGCAAGCGTTGACAGTATCCACACCCTCAATGTTGGTGTTGCCCGAGGGTGCAAAGAGTTGCATCAGCACCGTCTTGACCGACTTTGACTTGTCCAGGAGCGTCTCTGTGCCGACCTCCAATCTCCCGATGCTCTTCGGGTCGATCTCGTATTTCTTGAGGAGCGAGGAAACGGTGGTGAGGGTGAGGGAGTAGATGTCTGCCACGGGGAATCAGTCTCGCATTTGCAGCGGCGTGAAGGAAGAAGCGCGTGTGTGTGCTTACCCTCGCGGTCGTCGCAGAAGCTCATCTTGGTCTGGCCGAGGCCGATGGTGTATTTGCCCGCGCTCACGCCATCGAACTTCTCCAACTCGGTCTGGTCGACACACTACGCCGGCGCATATCAGTGTCTTGCGTGTCAAGAGCCGTGCTTTGCTTTGCATGTCGATCTTACTTGGCTGGGGAAGTACAGCTCAATGGCCTTGATACCGACATCCTGAGGCCGCGAACTCATGGCGAGTGATGTGTAGCCTTCTTCGGTCGATTCTGTGTTGTGCGAAAAGAGGGGTCGCGTGTTGCAGTAGCACGGGAAAAGTTGCAGCTTGCGGTGAGGTGAGAGCAACAATGGATTCGCGGGAATTTCCCAAGGTGTGTGTGGGGGGGAGATGAAAGAAAGACGAGGACAATCTCAAGGATGTGGACTTCTTTTTCAATCGGTGGAAGGGGTGAGAGGAGGGCGAAGAGGATGGGCAGATGTTGAGCGAGCAAAAAATCGAACGATATGTAGCGATTCCGGATCGCTGTCGGCGCATCCTCCCGTCGTTCCTGCAGACGGGACTGCGCCACGTCTCCCTTCAGGGTCTGATACTGACTCTCCAGCCACACATCGCACCACAACAACAACACTTACCTTATTATTATTACACGTGCAGCGGTCTTGCTCGGACGTTCCCCACCTAATTGGTCGCTCTCAGTTCGGCGAGCCGAAAATGGCCTGGAAGAGACCTGGAAGAGCCCTGGCAGAGAGCACTGTGGAGATGGCTACGACAATACTACATTTCGCGCGTCGTGGCAGACTTGGATCATGGCCATCTACCTGATGCAATGCTCGGCTTGCTGTTGCCGGACCGTGCCGCATTATAACCGACTCGGAGCTTTTGCCTTGGCCTTCTTACAGCTTGGCCTTCATTCGAAACGACCTTGAATGCCTCCCTCCTACTTGCCGGACTTCTTCTATCAAGAGCTCTTTCGATCGCCCTTTGAGCATCGTGAGCGGTCGCGGCATAGAGCTCGAGAGAGCTTACGTCCTGCGATGTCCTTAAATCAGGCTGGCCGCCCTTGGGGGCTGAGACGAGCTGAATAGGCGGCTTGCAGCTTTGCGCCTATTCAAGGAGCCAGACAGCCGCCTTTGACACGCTGCAGACAATCTCTCGTTGCTCTTCTGCTCCGCTAACCCTCTTTTCTTCAAGCATCACTGTGTAGAGCATCCCTGTGCACTTGGTTTGCAATCAGCTCTTCTGACATGAAGCAGCCAAGCATCACAGCCAGGTCATCAAAGAGCAACTCGGCTTCTTTAGACCTCGACGCTTACCCCTATCTACAACGCTTTGAGAAGCTTCGGCACACATATCCCGCGCTCAAGTCGGCTTTGGATAAACTACGAAACAGCGGAGATCCAGGAAGAGTACTGGTCTCACAACGATATTCCAATGACGGCGTATATCAAGGCACACCTGGCAGATGCGCCGTGCTCACATTTGGCACCAGTAGAGTTGATCGTGAAGGGACTTTTGAATCTGCAGATGCCTTGGACGCCTATCTCAAAAGCAATCCGGCGGACCATGGCAAGACATCCCGCCGTCGACTGTTCATCCTGGAGGACACGGAGCCGAAGTTCGTGGACCGCCTCGGCGAGCGTCTGGGCGTGGATCCTCTGGTCTTCTCCTCTCAAATGAACACATGGTACGTCGAGGGCACATCGCTGCGCATATCCCACTCAGCGACTGTCGGGATGGGATGACCTGGAGTCTGTATGTTGATTTGCACGCAGGAACTTCACAGACTCCAAATCCGTCCCTCACCGAGCGTTGCCCTCTCTGCAGACCCCTGCGAAATCTTTCACACTGCGATACTATGAGCTTCGTACCTTGGACGACGAAGACAATATCAGTATAACGAAGAATCAGATGACGCATGCTGTAAACCGTCGCATCATTGAAAGATGGCGAGACGTCGATACTAAATCTATCCCGGTTGACAAGAGGCATGCGTTCGTCAGGAGATGCGCAAGCTTTTGGTGTTCGACCGACGATCTGGGAAACCAGAGCAGTGGCTGGGACGGTAAGCCAATGATCTTCACATTCTCATCAAGTTGCTATATTGACCCGTCATGCGCAGCTGTCATACTTGTCGATCCACCCATGGATTCCTGCGCCACTTGCAAGAGGCACAATGAGGAGACACACCGGCGAGACAAGTCCCATGCGCAGATCGAATTGGAAGGCAAGCCAGACGGTAACATGTGCAACCCGTCTTGTTTGATGATCGAGGACCCCAGAGAGTGCCCGATCGGCAGAAACTCTGGAACGCACAGTCCTGGGCTGATGGCGTAAAGCTGCGCGAAGCTCGTCACAACAGCGTTCCTTACCATGGAGGATGTCCTTCGATCGCACTCTCGCACGACAAGAATCTCGCGCAGCACCCTCGAAGCACCGCCCTCCTGGATGAGATAGTATTCCACTGGACGAGTCGCACCAATGAGACGCTCGTGAAGAAGGCCTATGAGCAGCCAGTGAACGCGGCCTACCATCTGTTGAAATTTGTTGCGCAGCATTGGAACCACCAACTCGAACTCATCACCTATGGTGTCTCCATAAGCGAGTGGTTCGCCGATGACCATGATGCGACAATGGACCCCCGAGCTTCACTGCAAGACTGGAAGACTGAGCTTCAGAGTATCTCGCAGGTGACCAAAGGTATGCGATGACATCATGGCTGCCGGCAGAGCTGTAGAATTTGTGTGTCTAACTGGAGTGATGACAGACATCAACTACACACGACGGCAAATGGCCCAATTCGAGCGTGCAATCACGCTAAACATCGAGCGCCTGGGCGTTCAGCTCGGCTGCGAGGCCATCGACACCAGTCTCCCACTTTCTCTGGCCGATGCACAAAAAGATTTCCTGGCCATTCTGCGGCGGTTGAGGCCGCTTCGCGAACGTGTCGACGACCTAAGTAATATCGCCAGCAACGTAACGAGCTTGCGGGCCGCATTCAAGGGCCTCCAGGACGGCGAACAAGGCCTGAAGTTGAATCTGTTCGCGGCCATCATCTTCCCACTTACCTTGGTGGCGAGCATGTTTAGTATGGCAGAGGGCTACCTTCCAGGCCAGCGCAATTTCTGGGTCTTCTGGGCGGCCAGCATACCCTTGGCTTTCGTCGTGGGCTTCGGACTTCTGTACAGCCATTTCTCTCGAGTGGGCCGTAGCATGCTGGAGAATAATCTGAAGCGGAGACAAGAAAAGGCCCTCGAGCAGCGAGCTGCGCGTCGAGGAGCAAACTCATTCGCCGTATAATCATACCGACCATACCGTGGGAGTCTGGCCAGACTTGGAAGCTGCACAGAAGCTTCGAAATATGGTATGTTGTTCTTTGCGTTTCCATTGATCGATCATCTTGCATGCTGACGGCGTGACATCGACAGGGCGCGTGTCGGATCCTCGTCGACCCGTGCGCGTGGCTTTGTTAGCCCGGCGGCAGTTTACTACACCAAAGCACGTAGGTCGTACTTCTTCCACCTTTGTTTTGTGTGATGGCGCGCGAAGGCGGCTTTCAAAATCAACCATTCTCGCATGCAAAATATGGGCAATACATGGGTTCTCAAGCCTCCCCGCGGAAGTCGGCTTCGCGAAACGCGTCAAATCATATGGCGCGGCTGCTCCCTTCTTCTTGCCTGGACCAGCTAAACACTTGCTGTTGTAGGTTAGCGGCGGCTGCTCCAGCCACGCTAACAAGCCGATGATGAGGATCGCGACAGCCCCTGTCGATGTTATAAAATCCGCAACTCCTCTCAAAATCTGCGCTGGTCAAGTGATGCGGCTCCCTGCTGACCCGGACACCGGAGACGGTCTGCATCCCGCGCCCTTCCGGACCTTTGGGCATCACACACATTTCCAATCACCTTAGTAGGGCCACGAACACATGCCGAAAAAGGCTCTTCGACCGTTCTACGTCCCCACAGAAAGAGTCGCATCGATGGCATGTGATCAGGCCGACCACGTTTCTTGGCAGCTACGGATGAAGGCTTCCTCCGTACCCCAGCTCCCCACCACGTCAGCCCAGAGGAATCCCTACGCCTTCTCCTCACGCGACAAAGGCAATTTACGGTCTCGTGGTCTGGCGTGTGGTGCGATGTCGTTGCCACTGAGCTGGAAAGCGACCTGGAGATCCTTGCATGCCGTTGACATCCGCCGTTACATCGCTTGCTAGTTCCTGTCGTAGAGCATTATAGCCTCACGAGGTCACGAGAATCAGCAGCATTGAGCTCGAGAGCGACAAGGGAATTCTTCACAAATCAGTAAGCTGTATAAGAGCCCCGCCCGGGGTCGGAATCTCTCTGGGGAAAAAGTCTATCTTGCTTTTCTTGTTTCTGGGACCTGAGTGAGAGAGAGAAGCCCCGACCCGCCTCGCGTTCTCCGATCTGGTCTTGCCAATGGCGTCTTTCCTTTCGAAGAAGCTGAAAGGGGGAAATGGTGGCATGAAGAGATGGAAACCCACCACCACGGTCAATTACGATGTCTATAACCCGAGCCATGACGCTTCCCACCTGGGACGGAATTCCTTGACGGATCTGGACTATTCGCCCCTGCAGCGGGTGACCTGGGCGTCATTCTGGATGGCCGTTCTCGTCAGTATGGGAGGCGTCAGTAAGTACTCTCCCATTGCCCCCCTCAAAACTTGAAACCAGCGAGAACCTCGGGAGCTGACCATCGATTGCGATCTGTAGTTTTCGGATATGTAAGTCCCAAAAAGCTAAAGACCAATACACATACTCTCCCCCCTCACCGTCCCATATCCTGACGAATTTCCCCCTAGGACACAGGCCAAATCTCCGGCTTTCTCGCCATGCCCGATTTCCTCGAACGCTTCGGGCAACAACATTCCAACGGCGAATACTACTTCAGCAACGTGCGCTCCGGTCTCATCGTCGGTCTCCTCTCCATCGGAACTCTCTTCGGCGCACTCGTGGGTGGACCCCTCGCCGATCTCATCGGACGGAGAATCTCCATCACCCTCTGGTGTGTCGTCTTCTGCGTGGGGAATATCGTCCAGATCGCGGCGTCGGAGAAATGGTACGAGGTGATGATGGGGAGGTTTGTAGCCGGGTTTGGAGTCGGAGCGCTCTCGCTGTTGGTGCCCATGTATCAGGCAGAGACGGGACCGCGACATATCCGGGGGGCTTTGATTAGTTGTTATCAGGTACGCGACTCACCCGTTGTCCTTCTGCAGTGGAAAAGAAATCATGATACTGATTTTGATGACATGGTGGCTGCGTGCAGCTCTTCATCACCCTCGGCATCTTCCTCGCAGCCTGCATCAACTTCGGCCTCTACGAACACCAACGCCACAGCGCCGCCTCCTGGCGCGTCCCCATGGGCATCGCCTTCGTCTGGGCCGCGATCCTCGGCGTCGGCATCCTGGCGTTCCCGGAGACTCCCCGCTTCAACTACCGCCAGGGCAAGATCGAAGCGGCCAAGGCCACGATGATGAAGGTCTACGGCGCGCCGGCGAATCACTACACCATCCACGTGGAATTGGAAGAGATTGAGCAGAAATTGCGCGCCGAGGCGAAGCAGGGGACCGCCGTGCAGGAGTGGTATAATATGATGTTTGCGCCCAAGATGGCGTATCGCATCTTGTTGGGGGTGGGGTTGCAGATGTGAGTTCTTGGCCTTGCCATATCTTCCTTTCCCTCCACGCCGACCATGTTTGATGTTGACGCTTTCTTTCTGTTTTTTTCTCTCCCGCAGGTTCCAACAACTCACCGGCGCCAATTACTTCTTCTACTACGGCACGGTCGTCTTCAAAGGCACCGGCATCAACAACAGCTTCGTCACCCAGATGATCCTCAACGGCATCAACTTCGGCGTCACGTTCTACGGCTTGTACATCGTCGAACACTACGGCCGCCGCAAGTCCCTGATCATCGGGAGCGCGTGGATGTTCTTGATGTTCTTGATCTTCGCGAGTGTCGGTACGGAACAGATCCCCCCCTGCATGATCCTTCGCATGGAGAATCATTCTTGCTGACGATGATGATGATTGCATGTGTAGGCCATTTCTCCCTCGACCGCGACGACCCGCAGCGCACGAATTCCGCCGCGACGGCCATGATCGTCATGGCGTGCTTCTTCATCTTTGGCTTCGCGACGACGTGGGGCCCGATGATCTGGGCCATCTGTGGCGAATTATACCCTTCCCGCTACCGTGCAAAGGGCATGGCACTCTCCACCGCGTCCAATTGGCTCTGGGTATGTGTCCTTTTCCTCTTCCCTCCCGCAAATTCAAGTCTGCCCCGGACGCTGACAAGCAGCGCGTGTGTTAGAACTTCCTCCTCGCCTTCTTCACCCCCTTCATCACCTCGGCCATCGATTTCCGCTACGGCTACGTCTTCGCCGGCTGCAACGTCCTCGGCGGCCTGTTGGTCTACTTCTTCGTCGTCGAGGGCCAGGGCCGCACGCTCGAGGAAGTCGACACCATGTACCTCCAGGGCGTGCTGCCGTGGAAGTCCGCCGACTGGGAAGCGCCGCCGCCGGAGGAGATTTCTCGCATTCGCAGGGAGGCGGGGCTTCATCATCATGAGGCGGGGCAGGATTTGAAAGAAGCTGGTGATGACGGGATCACGGCCGCCGCCGCCGGTGCTCTGAGGGAGAGTAGTAACGATTCCGCCGGGAATGAGGTGGATCCCGAGAAGATGGCTACGGGTGGTGCGGCGCCGGAGCATAAGGAGATTGCTGTTTGAATGAAACCTTTAGAGAGAGACACTTTTTTTTTTTTTTTCGCATCGTCTTACTCCATGCATGTATCAGAAATGTACATATCCCAATCTGGGGGCTCAGTAGGCACTCACTCTGTACGCCTTGATTGCATCTCATAATGGATATGTTCAAGATTGTATCCTTGATATTCCTTCTTCTCCTCCTCCTCATAGCCCCCCCCTCCCAACGCTGCTAGCTAGAGAGGATATGTTTTGACGTGTATGAATCACACTCATTCCGGAGAGTCGAGAGAAGGCGAAGCTTCTCTAAGGAAACAATCGTCGCGGATACAAGTCAGCGGCGTGTAGGAAGAAGAGCCACAGCGACGGATATCATTCATCAAGAGTAGTCGGTCGAAGACGGCAGTCTACTACTATAGGCCTCCTCCATCATCAGTGCTGAGTCCCTCGAAACCACCTTATCACCTTATTATTATAGGCTCTCTCCCCGGCTCATGAATCCGAACAAACACTCACTCCTCCAATACCCGCTCTCCCTGGCAAATTTGGAACAGACGCCGACTTCGGCCCATCTCGCCGACCTCACCCTTGCCTATGTACCTAGTACCCTCTCACATCACGGCGCGAAGTCCGATCCGCAAAGCCCAAACCATCCCCATCCCATGCCATCTCTGTGTATACATAAAAGCAAGAGACGTTACACCCACCGATCATGAAACAAATTCGCCCAATTCCCACCACACACAAAAAAAAAACCCCCCCCCTCCATTCCTTCTTGAGCCTTCTGAGGAAAAAAGAATTTCAAAAGAAAAGGGAAAAAAAAATGCCCCTCATCGCCCGCCGCTTCTCCATCACGAATTTCCTCATCGCCACGTCGGCCCTCGGCTTTCAGGTCTTCGTGCTCTACCCGTGGCATAACCGGCTCGATGAAGATTTCAAGGCCCTAAGGGAGGAGAATTTGCGGTTGATGAGGAGGTTTGAGGGGACGTTGGGTGGTGGTGGTGGTGGTGCTGGTGGGGTGAAGGAGGATGTTGTGGTGGTGGGGAAGAAGAAGGAGGATTCGGCGAGATGAATTCTTTTGGGGTTGGGTGGTTGGTTGGTTGGGAGATGGGAGAGGGCTTTCTGGGGCGGGATTAGCGTCAAAAAGATATGGATGGCGAGATGATGGAGTGAGTTTACTACTACTACTGGAAAAAGAATGAATTGTCTGAGTTTGGTTATTGACTGGTTCTTTCAAGGCTAGAGAAGAATGATGTGATCTGCAATCCGCTTCTTCGACCCCCTTCAAGACTCCATGGAAGGACACTCCACGACTTGGATTCCCCCCCAGAGATGAGAGAGTTTCGATCCCTTTTCAAAGCACGACGCTTGCAAACCTCAGAACGATAGGAAAGAAACCATGCCAGCCAGGGATATCCGAATAGCCCCGCCGGGCGGCCGACCTCACAGAACGGCTCGATCTCTGGCCGACAAGAAGAGGGACTGACGGAATACGAGCAACGCGAGAGAGGGAGGGAGAAAGAGACAGAGGAAAACATCTTTCGAGAAAAGATCCAACCGGCTTGAATAAATCAATCCTTGCAAGCTCATCCAAAAACACCCAAAAGAACATCGCAAAGCGCATGGTATCATCGAAGCATCAAGTACTGTAAAAAGCAGTCCAACAACAACAGCAAAAACAACAAAGACATCTTCCATTCACCCCTTCTTCGCCACCTTCCCAAGCGCTTCGACCCCCATCCCTCCCACTTTAAACCCAACCTTCACCCCACCCACAATCACCCAAGCCGCCGCCTTGAACCCCAATTCCATCACCGCCAACGTGCCTTTCGCAAGCCCACCCAATTCCTCCTCGGGCCAAGGAGAAGACTCCACCATCTCCGTGACTTCCCTCCTCTTCTTCAGCCCCAATCTCTTCCCCTTCTTCCCCTTCTCCTTCTTCCTGTCCTTCTCAATCTCAGACCCTCGAAAACTCGGCTTCCTCCCCACCGGAGCCCTCGGAGGCGGTCCGAACGTCGTCGTCTCCCTCATCAGGATATCATTCTCGAGCACCGCAACCGCCAAAAGACTGGAAAGGACCGTATCGAGGATGTAGTGACTCTTCAAAGCCAGGAGACCGGGCAAATCAATCACACAAGCATCGTGCGCGAAATCAATAAAAGCCAGATTCAACGTATCCGCAGCAACCGCAGCCGGCGTCGCACTCGGATGATGGAGGGAAATCTTCGCCCGTGGTCCTCCTCCTGCTCCCCCTCCTCCTCCTCCAGTTGAAGAGAAAGATTTGGATACCGTGACGGCACACGTCCCGATGATGGGATGTACGAGGGCATATGCTGCCGTGACGGCGCCGAGGGTATCCCGCGTTCGGGCTCGTTTGATGAGATTGCAGCTGTACCTTCGATGGGCCTCGTTGACGGCGTCTTGGGCGAGGTGGGCTGCTTGTTGGGATTGTGCGGTAGGGTCGTAAGCGGCGATGTGTTGTGCTTCCGAGGAATCGGCGATGGCTTCAATAGCATCGAGAGCCGCGGCGTGTGGGAAAATGGCGGTAGATTCGTTGATTTCTTTGCCAAGCTTGTCCGATTTCCATTGAGGGAGGGAGAGTTTAGCGACGGAAGAAGTGGCGGGTGCGATGGGACAGTGTTTCTTGATGGCGAATTGTTTGGGCGCAAGGCCAGAGTCGTCGATGTCGTGGTCCCTCGTGAGGGAATAGATCAAGTCTTGAGGCGATGTCCCGATGGCTAGACTTTTCCCGTTTCCGGGAGGCTGGTAGAGACCCAATTGGACTTTTCTTCCGGCAACGGGATGTTCGTCTCGCGACGCTTTCCACAGTGCGACCATGTCGCAATGCGCGGCGGCATGTATGTGCTCGTATCCGTCCACAAGTCCCAGAGCGGAGTCATTCCGTTTGACAGGGGCTCTGTCGACGGGACGGGAGATCTTGCTGAAGCTTTCACTGACGCTAATTGGAGGCGATACTGCGTCTGGGTTGGGATAGTAGCTCTGACGGTCGAGAGGTCTGCTCGGGTCGTAGACTGGGAATAGGGACCTCATGGACGTCGAAACTGTTGATGCCGGACTCGAAGCTGTCTTGCCAGGTGGTGAGCTAGTCGAGTAGAAGCTGGCGGGAGATTCTGAAGACTGCTTTGGGGACTGAAATTGGGTCTTGCTTGGGAGCGGCGATAGTTGGTCGTCTTCGCATGTGGGTGAGGTGGGCGTGTTGGCCTTCTCGGGTTGGATGCTGAACGGAACATTTGGTCGTTTGAGCTGCGAGACTAGGCCTCTCTTGCTAGGCGAGCCAGACCCGAAGTGAGTGTTCACAGGTAGAGGAGCCAATCGATCTTCGGTCGCGGAGGTCTCCTCATAGAAAGAAGGACTTTGCATTAGAGGGTTCGATCGTCGCCTTGTTGCCGATTGACGTCGCAGTGGAGCTTTCGGTGATGAATCTGAGCTGGTCATCAAGCGAGGCTCGGGTGTTCGAGATCTTGATTGTGTATTATAAGGATCACAGAATAAGGAATGTTTGATAGGGTCGGGCGGCGGTTGAACCTGGTGGGAAGATATGGGAGAATTGACGACTTGGAAAGCCACGCCTTTGAGATTGACCTCGCCGTTGGCGTTGGGAGTATTCTGACTCTTATTCCTCCTCAAGCTGGTCTTACGCGGCAGTCCTGATGAAGTCGAGGGTGCGGGAAAGAGCGACAAAGGAGCGGGCGCCATGGTACCAGACCGTGGCTATGAGCCGGAACAAAGTCTACACGGAGATATGAAATAAACGTAACGCCCGGTCAAGAAGGAGCGGATGTATACCTAACAGAGTCAGTCATGTCACTCGAAGGAGTACCTACACTCATATATGCCGCGGTATGCATCACGCGCTCGCAAAGTGCATGAATTCGATAGCGGCTCGCAGACGAAAGGCTGCTTCGCGCTGTGAACGGGTGCGGTGAAGAGGGAGCGTACGCCAAGGTCTCAGGACGGGGCGAATGAATTGCTGTGCCGCCAGGATGAGCGCTCTGGCCGCTGGAGCTGGCCTACGTCTGGAGGCCGTGAATGCTGCATCCTAAGCGCCCGCTCGGGATCTAAGCGCCCATAATCATTCTGCACCCGTGATATGTGCTTGCATGGATTTTCCCATTGGTCCGGCGACTGGAATACGGATAGGGTACGTTATATTCGAGACGTTTTTCTCCAGTCTGGGTTCTCGTAGTCTTCCACATGCTGCCGGATTTGGTCTATTACTCGGCGAGCACCATCTCGTGGCTGCGCTTCTGAGACTTGTCCAGGGCATGAATCGCAACCACGCTATCTTGGTGGTACGGCGCTTTGAGATGGTAGCGATGGTCGTGAATGAGAGCACGTGCGGTGGTGGGTGATGTTGATGTCGATGTTGATGTTGATGTCGTGAAGGAGAAAGTGGAAGGTCTCGTGGCTTCGGTCAAGTCGCGTGCCAGCACAGACCGCCCATGACGAGCCTAACAAACACCCACCACTTCCACTTCACGCCACTCATCACGAGACATTATTCCCTATTACATCCTGAGAATCCCCCTCGACTGCAATATGCTGCGGTAGTCACGCCCCCTTCGACACGATGGTGTCCTTCTGGCCCTTCAAAGGCGACGACAACAGCGCCGAGAGCTTCGAGAAGATCCTGAGCCAGCTCTCCACCAAAATCGCAAAAACCTCCGCCCAAAATGACCGCTTTCGCCAGCAACAGCGACGATGGAAGGCGCTCTGGACACTCTACACGACGTTCGCGTATATTGTCCTAGCTGCGATCTTGACGCTGGTCACGGGGTGGGACAGATGGAGCTATCCCGAGTACACCGCAGTAGCCGGAGCGCCCGTCGTGATATACGGTGTACGAGTCGCGCTCGATGCATACTTCAACTTCCGGATAGCAAATACGGAGAATCACCTCGGTGACCTGAACAAGCAGAGAGAAGCGGCGATTGAGAGATTGAAGAAGGCCACCAAGTACAACAGTACCCAACAGCTGTTGGAGAAGTATGGAGGCTCACCACCTCGGAAGACGCAGCCGTCACCTCAATTGAAGACTAAGAGGAGGTCGGATATAGGCCCAGGGAGCAAGCCAAATACACCTCAGACGGGCAGGACAGGTTTCGCTCCACCGCCTACTGCGAACATTCCCGGCCGACAGCCTCCACCTGGCCCTGCGCCCAACACACCTCAAGGCACACCAGGCTCCGTCCCGCGAGCACCATCCAATCTGGCACCATCAGTATCTCCTCCAGGCATGCAACCCGCTCCAAGCGAAGAATTCGCCCCAAATGCCTTCTCCGATCCCATCCCACCCTCTCCCCCAATCATGCGACAAACCTCCCAATACGCAACGGAAGGACCAAAGTGGTACGACCGCATCCTCGACGTCGTCCTCGGCGAAGACGAGACCAGCGCGAAGAATCGCATCGCGCTCGTTTGTCAGAACTGCAGGCTGGTAAATGGACAAGCGCCGCCGGGAGCGCGGACGTTGGAAGATGTAGGCAAGTGGAGGTGTAGTCAATGCCATGCTCTGAACGGAGTGGAGAGTGAGGAAAAGACGATATTGCAGCACATATCTCAAGGCGCAGGTCACGTGCCAGAGAGTCCCACGTCGCCGTCGGACGCCGTAACAGACCCTGGTCCTGCAACCAGACCTCGGTCGGAGGAAGACGGAGAGCTTGAGGCTGAAGACGACGAGGGGGAAAGTGAGGAGATCGAAACCGCAGCCCCAGCAGCTTCACCACGCAGCAAAGCGCGGCAACGAAAGAAGGCCTGAAACCCACCACATCCCATATCCCACAATGATAAAAAACCCCCAAAACAACACCTTCAATATCTCTTTCAATTCATGAACCCCACTTCACAGTTTACTCCCTTGCTTCCTCCTCACCCAAGCCATCAACGCATCCACCCCCGCCTGCGCAACCTCCCCATCCTGCGCCGGCGTCCCCGTACTCACCCCAATCGCACCCACCACCCGCCCCTCCACCTCAATCGGCACCCCGCCTCCAATCAGCGTAAACCGTCCCCCATTACTGTTGTGAATCGAATACCCCGGTCCGCCCGGCAGGAAATTCTTCGTCGTCTGCGTGTACGTCGTCGTGGGCACGCGGTGGCCCGCGGCCGTGAAGGCCTTGTTGATGGCGATGTCGATGGATGTGAGTTTTGCCTGATAATTTAGTAAATAAATAAGTAGATAAATAAACAAACAACCATCCATTCCCATAAAAAAAAAAAAAAAAAAAGAAAAGGCTTCAGCGAGCGAAAACAACAACAAATTTAAACAAGTATCCAGTCATAAGAGGGGGGAAAACGAGGGAAAAAATGGACGAGGAGGCGAACTCACATTCGGCATCCGCACGAAATGCAACAGGTACAGCGAAGCGTCCACGACGGCAATATTGAAATCGATGCCCATCGATTGGGCCTGTTCCTGGGCGGCGCGGGTGGCTATCTGCGCGGCTTCCAGACTGAGGTTGGGGACGGAGCGGGTCGCCATGGTTAAGTAAGGTCAGGTAGGTTTTTCTTGCCGAGTCGAGTCGAGTAGTAATTAAGATTTTCCGTCTTGCCTTGAGCTTCGATGATTCCAATGCGATCAATGGATAGATAGATATCGGGGTCTAGGGAATGCGACAAGGGAGCAGAATCAATGCGGACTGTTTAGAGGGCTACGGAAAGCTAAGGTACATGTACCTTACTGTACATGTAGAACCGTGACCGACGTCATGCGGAGGAAGCAGGGATCGGGTAGAGCGGTGATCGGATGATCGGATGAAGGGCAGTGTACCTTAGCAGCATCGGAATCCCTTGTCCCGACTTCACCTCACATCTACTGAGTCTCATTAATCATTAGCATCTCTACGAGCATGTCCTGTCCATCTAGACTATAGTAGAGGCCAAACAAAACGCAATCATGTGGATATGCTACAGTGTGTGTACGCGTTTGATCCTGATGAGAAACGGCTGGTTCCATTGGGGGGAGAACAACATATAAGATGCCGTTTGCAGCCATTCATGAGAAGAATCAAAACGCTTTTCTATCCTGGCTTCGGGGCGGAGCCTCAACCAAAGCTGCTGGCTGACCTGCACCTTTTCATGCATCCATGCTTGCGCGTAAGAAACATATGAGAGACGTGGTCTTCATGCTGTTCCGACCACTTTCCCTTTCTCTTTTTATTTTTCAATTCATGTCGCTTAGAGGAGCGTCAGTCCCGACGGCTGGCTGTGGATTGTGGAAATGCTGCAGACGGGCATCCCTCGTGTCATGCCATTTTCCATTAGGTGCGCCAGAATTGGACCGTGATGTTCCAGTTTTGAGTTATGTCGCGTAGCTCGCGCCGAGGGACTGACACTGTGCTTAGTTGGGGTGTTTGGAGGTATCGCGCAGCCGTACAGTTTTCGTCCCTTCGGATTCGATAGCGACCTGGTCGTTCTTTAACCAAGTCTTGTTAGCCAACGACTTTCCGGAAGGTTGAGCTGAAATCGCCGTCACAATTCCTCATCGGAATCCTCCTTGATCTCGCGCTTGCAATCAGGAGTCGATGCCGCCCGCTGTCCTCCCACGCTGGCATCCGCCATGGATGTAGCTGGGAGAGTCTCGTTCAAGCTGGAATCGAGGGATGCGAAGCCGACGCCGCTGTTCGGTCCAGGCTCGCTTGCCCGCTGGCGCTTGAATGGGCTTGCGCCAGTGTCGCCAGTGTCTAGATTGGTCGGCGATAAACCGTCCGGAGGGGTGCCTGCGTTCGCTGCGGTAGAGTTCACCGACTGCGGAGTTCCAACGGGAGGAGAGTCATCGGTCTTCATGAACGGTGACTTGCGCGTAGGATTCTCGGTGATTGCGTCAGAAGAATGCTGCCTCTTGAGCTGCCACGAAGTCAGAATCGTCCTCCCTCATCCCATGCGAAATTACATTACCTTGATCTTCTGCACGCCTTCCGAGATCTCACCCGTGCGCTTGGCATCTTCCGGGGACAGCATGCTACTGCCGTTCTCTTGCTTCGAGTCACCTTCCTCCTCTCCATTCGGCAGCCGCTCGTCATCATCTTCGTCGGCGTCACTATCCATAGCGTCACCGTCACGGTTCTTCTGGTTCTTGCGCTTCGTGTTGGATGAATCCCTATATCCCGAAAACCCGACTGTGCCAGTCGATTTGAGCGGGCCTAGATTTGAAAAGTCCGGGCCTGATGACTTGCGTCGACTGGACTGAGGAGTCTTCTGCGCCTCGGGATTCGAAATGATACCCATCTTGCGGAGTTGCTTCTCTCCACGGTAGAAGAACGTGAACACAGCGTAAGGAGATTCCGGAGGATCCAGGCCTGTGACTGTTTGTGTGCTGATGGTCTTCGGGTCAAGTGTCTTCGGTTTCGCAAAGCTCGTGGTGTGGTCAACATCTCCGTCAGCTCCATCGCCGCCTCCATTTTCCATTTCATCGTCATCGTGGGCATCAAATTGGGGTGAGTACTCTCCTCGCTTGATCTCGCCACTAGCAAGAACGCGAAAGAGTGCTACCTTGATTTGACCTGCGGCTTCAGGCTGCGGCGGCTCGTCATCGGAGTCTGAGTCGGACGAGAAGAGACCTTCCTCCGTGGGAAGGTCCTCCACGGGTGAGCCATCCTCTCCACCATACCGTAGCACGCCATTCCTGTCGAGTCTCTTGGGTTCTTTGCTGTCCTCATCATCACTGTCATCCAGTTCGTCCTTCTTCTTCCGTCTCTTCTTCTCCAGTCTCCGCTGGCGTCGCTCTATCCGCTCCGCCTTGTCCTTGTTGCTGCCTTGCAAATCGAGTCCATTCAGCCATCTCTCCAGACCCACTTCTCTGAACAAGAACTCGCGTTCCGCTAGACCTCCGCCTTCAGACTCGGGCACGCTGACCCAGCGAGAGTTGACCCATGTCTCTTCACCACGTCTGAGCAGCGTTGCGACCTCTTCTTTCGCGCGCCCGTCGAAGTAGATGTATGCCGCGATGGTCTCATTTGGATTGGTCGTGCGGGGAACGTAAGGAGGAATAGCCGCGTCGTATTTGCCACGGTCGCTGAGATTGCCGGGCAGACCGCCAACAACTCGTGGCTTTGGGTTCGGGTCTTCCGGTGTGGGCTTCGGTGTCGAGTACGGGACGTTCAGGCCCGGCGTCAGGAGCGTGATGGATATGGCAAAGGTGGATTGTTCGGGCTTGCCAGTTGTAGATCCTTCAGGAACTTTGGCCGGAGGCACAGGGATGTAGGTAGATATACGGTTCTAAACGCCGGGTCAATACAGCATGTGTGGTGACGAGCATCGCATTGGAAATTGCACCCACCTGCCTCGACTGCTTCTGAACCGAGTGCTCCGCAATTGGGCCTGCGCCGAATTAGCGATTTGGATGTTGGGGATAGAGTGCAGTGATTCAATTACCATTAGGAGTGTGGATGGAGACCGCAAGGCCTGCGACTCATGTCAGTACTCGACCGTGTATTCGAGTATTCATGGAGCAACAAACCCTTGAAGCAGGGCATCTTGCGGCCGGTATATGCGCTGGGATCAAGTACAGCGGAGGTACTGGTGGTAGAAGCCTGTTGTCCTGCTCAAAGTCGCGTTGCTCACGACGCGCCTGCTCCTTCCTGTCTGCTCTGCTTCGCCCTACTCGCCGCTCCTTGCTGCTTCTCTGCTTTTGATTTCCTTACCGAGGTGCACACGAGACCGTGGCAGGTGCTCGTGAATGTCTTGCTTCCGACTCAATCTGAGCCTCCTCGTCTTTCTGTTCACGTGCCGTGTCGGTCGTCCTCGCCAATCAGGCTCGCGCAGATATCTGCAGCTACTGGCCTTTCTCCGCAAGGTGGACGATCGCGCGTGCGCCGAGACTTGCGGCCGCTGCACGCTTCTGCAGCTCAAGGCGTTGGCAGGGTGTTCTGTTGCGGAGTCGGTCCGGGTGCGTGGATGTGTCGAGGATGTCTCCTCGTTTTGTTGATGTTCCTGAACCGAGTCGAAAGCGAAAGACGACGGAGCTAGCTGTGACGTAGTTGCCTCAGGCAGTCAAGACCCCCACGCCTCGGTGCCGAGACCTCACCTCCTACCACGTTGCGCGACTACAGCAATATCGACAACATCGAATGAACAACGGACAAGCGAGTAGGAGACTGGTAGAAGCCGAACGAAAAAGGAGCTGACTATTGCTCACTGCCTTGGATTGGAAGACGCTAAAGTACAGAGATGGCGCTTCGCTAGAATACACAGCTTAATCAATTTCCACGATATACACTGTCTTCCCCATGGCCTCAGCCAACGCCAGGCCGACGTGAACGCGTACAGTTGGGAATCTACGTCCTCAGTCATCGAGGATATATCAACCTTCTGCAGTTGAGCGCAGGTTTGGATCTAATTGAGCCTTCCTCTCCAACTGATTCGCCTGCGTGTCCTCATTCATGTCACCAATCGTAACGTCAATCTCATCGACTTTCGGCTCTTCATCCTGATACAGCGCTTTTCCGACGTTTCGCTTGGGTCGTAGTGACGTCCTCTGCACAACCGGATAGAAGTATGCTCCTTTCTGTAGTCGTTTCTTGGCGCCCGGCGTGGTACCAACATCGGTCTCAGGATCGTGCAGCGCCACTGCCACAGTCGAATTGTAGAACTCGTTGGGATCACCTTCCTGAGCCCGTGTTTCATACGTACGTAGCCGCGTGTACTTGAATGCCCGCCGACCATTGCCAAGGTCGTCGGTGTACAGCTCTGAATCATCGTTCTCCGGGTCATTGACATTGAGCTTGCGCTTAATGCCCCGAGGTGCCGACGCGTCTTCCGGAAGGAAATAGTCATAGTCGTATTCGCGTATGGGTGCGGGCTTCTTTTGGTCGGACTCCTCCCACGCTGCCTGCTTGTCCAAATATGCGGCTTCACCATCCTCGTTCGTGACTGGCCTCAAGATGGCAGTGTCCAGCCGCTCGTCGTATTTCCTACTCTTGTCTACAGGGTTGCCGTTGAATCTCATGACCATGTAGAAGCCAGTGGAAGGTATTGCGTCTAGATCAGGGAGGATTGGATACGAGTCGAGCAGCTTCAGGTCCGGTTTCGAGGGGTGCCGTGGATTCGACCATGCTTTCGCCTCCTGATCAGTCGCGGGTGCTCCTCTTAGGTTCGTAGTACTGTCCTCGCCTCTGTATACATCTTTCGGATACGCGATATCGAAGCCTTTGATGATGTTTCTCATGATGTTGATCGGGTCCTCCTTGTTCACACTTGGCTTGCGCTTCTTGCCATCGTTGCGTAGTTTTACCAAGTCTTTGGAAGTTGACGATGTGAAGTGCTGTGTGCTCTGCGAAGCGGTGTACTCTGTTCTCCGCAAGAACGAGACTGCTCCGCCGGCATTGGGCTTCCCAAGCGCCGCGACGGGCTTGAGCAGGGCCTTGTCTGCAGGATGTAGTGTTTGTGGTCCGGATCGCGTCGAGATAGCTGTCTTCCATCAGCACCCGGTCTTGCCTCAGATTAACATGTACACCGCCTTACCGCGCTCATCGCCGTCGAAGATACCCGGTATGCCTATGAGATCGATTGGCATGCCCAGCTCCGCATCCGCCTCGATATTGAGCGGCTGCTCCCTTGCCAGCCGCGATGCATATCCTGCACTGGTGTATTGTCCGCCTGAAAGACCGGTGCCCGGAATGTCGAGGAGCTTCGGCGGATTCGGCGGTGGTGGTAAGGCGTTCGAGTATCGAATGCGCGCGATGTAGTCTTGATGGACGACCTTCTGCTGGCTGGACGCCATTGTGATGGCGGAGGGACGGGGACTCGATGAGAGTGGTCGCGCAGGTAGTACGACGTCCCCGATCCAGTGCAGGAGAGTGCAAGCGTTCCAGGAGAAGGTTGATGCTGGATGCAGCTTGAGGTCGAAATGCAGGCTGGAGATCGCGAGGGCACGTGACGGCAAAAGATAGTGGTGGGATTCTGTGCCACGCCTCCCGCGCCACGACCGAAAAGCAAAGCTGCACGGCTGGCAGACATTCACTCGACATACGTCAATACTACGTTGGCGCATCCTGGCGCATCCTCCGTTTCACATGCGTCGCTCGCGTCCTACTGCTCTGCTCCTCCCTGGGTTTGGAGACGGTCGTTGTTGTTGTCCTGCTGCTGCTGCTGCTGCTGCTGCTGCTGCTTCCTGTCACGACGAGGCGCGAGCCATACCCCGCGAGGCATGCTGGCACGTTGACGGCTTTATTGGATGAGAATTCCTTGGGCTTCTCTCTCTTGCTTGCAGCGCCACAGCGGCCTTTTCCCGACTTCCGGACGTGCGAGGGATGGATGCAATGGAGACGCTGTCACGGGCGTCGGCATCGGCTGCCACTGCTGCTGCTGCTCACACACTCGACATCATCTCTGCCGGCATCTCGGCCAGCGTGAGCACTTCCAGCAGCACGGCAATCCCCAGCACACTCCCCGACGTCGCCTCCGCCCATGCTCCCACTGACCCGCGCTCGACCTTGAGCATGCTCGGCGGCCTGGCCTTGGGCATCTTCACCGTCCTCCCGAGCGCCCTCTACTGGGCCATCCACTTCGTAACGCTCACTCTCCCAACATGGCTGTTCACCTTCCTGTCCACCAGCTTGACCTTCACCATGAACATGACCACCCTGCTGCTGCTCCTGCTGGTCTTCGCCTCGACCGTCAGTTGGTTCTTGAGGTACCGCTTCTTGAACATGTACTCGCGCCTACCTCCGGAGCCGCAACGAAAGGAACCTCAGGTGGAGATCTTTCCAGAGTCTCAGGAATCGGATTCGAAGCCAGGCTTGGCAAACTACTTCGATGAATTCCTCAGTGCCATCAAAGTCTTCGGGTATCTGGAACGGCCGGTGTTCCACGAGCTTACCCGGACTATGCAAACGAGGAAGCTAATAGCCGGCGAGACGTTACTTCTGGAAGAGGAGAAGGGGTTTTGCTTGGTCGTGGACGGCTTGGTCCAGATCTTTGTCAAGTCCAAGGGCAGTAGCTCTGAACCAGAATCGCCAAACGAATCTGTGATACTGGACGAGGATCAGGGGGAAGATCGACCAAGTGGCCATGGCAGCTACCAGCTTCTCACTGAAGTCAAGAACGGCGCTCCGATGTCCTCGCTCTTTTCTATCTTGGCTTTGTTCACGGACAACGTCAAGTTGAGGTTTGATGAGGAGGACGAACATCTTCAATCTGCCGGCTCAGGTACCAACCTGAAAAGCCATCTCAAGATGACCGTAAACGACGAAGATGTGAACCACGAGTCGGGCACTGATGGTGGACTGCAATGGGGAGCAGCTGGTGGCGCTTCACGGCCTGTATCACGGCAAAGGGCCTCTTCTGGTTTTATGGGAACCTCCTTCAGAGAACCTCCACCACTCGCTCTCGACAGCAGCACGGACAATAGCCAGCCGAAGATATCTAGCCGCCGACCAAGCTTCATACGAGGCAACAGCGTCCGGGCTAAGAAGGCGAAGAAGCAGGCGTCTGCTCATCCTGACATCGTTGCGAGGGCCACCGTTGATACTACCATCGCCATTATCCCGGCGAGTGCTTTTCACAGAATTACGAGGATCTATCCAAAAGCAACGGCGCACATTGTTCAGGTCATTTTAACTCGTCTGCAGAGGGTCACTCTCGCGACAGCGAACTCGTACCTGGGTCTGACGAGCGAAGTGCTGCGCACGGAACGACTGATGGATCGTTACACCTCCTATGATTTGCCAGACTTCCTGAGAGGCGAGGCCTTGCAACGCTTGAAAGACAAATTCCGCAAAGACCAGGAGAACGTGAACCCGGAAGATAGCATGAAGGGTATCGCTTTGCACAATCCTCGAATCGCCAACCGAAGACGGACGACTAATAACTTGCCCCGTGATGCAACTTCGCACGCACAATCGGTCACCCGCAATGGAAGCCTCAGGTCTGAGCATGTTGGTGGTGAGCGAGGTGGGATGAGCGCCGGCGACTTGCTCACGAACATCCAAGCAGCCAGGACACTCGGACGACGATATCAGGCAGGGAGCTTCTCTCAGCCCTACTCCGCTCCAAGACCTTCTACTGGCGATCTGTCCGATCCCACGAAGAGTCGAGATAGAGGCCCATTCAACGCCGACTTAAGCCCTCGCGCCACAATGCATCGCCAAGAGTCTATGGACGAAGACGTCATCTTCCGCGAATCCATCATGGAATGTATTGCTAATGCTATCGGCCTTGCGAACTCCAAAGATGCCTTCCGAAAGACTGAGTCAGTAGCGCAATCACCACGTCTAGTTTCGTACGACTCCAAAAGACAGAGCGCAATCTTCAACAACGCTTTTGGCTTCATGGATCCATACGATGGCTCACAAGAGGACGCTGAGTCAGTTGCGTCTGTGTCAGCCTTCAGCGTCGGTGGCTCCGCCAATATCATGGAGGATCTGATGAATGAGGTCGAAATAGTCTATTTTCCGAAAGACTCGGTGTTGGTTGAGGAAGGCGAGCGCAATCCAGGCCTCTACTATGTGATTGACGGTTTCCTCGATGTCAGTGCTTCCATGGACGAGCAAGAAGTATCATCCTCGAATGTGCTGGGTACGATGGCCAGATCACAAAATGGCCTTGAAGTCCCCGAGCTCCTCAGTCAACGCAGGACCTCAAGGACCTCGAGACCGACTTCGACCAACGGCTCTGAGCATCACCGACGAAGGAAGTCTGGTTATGCAAGAAAGAGTCTGTTCCTGGTGAAACCCGGTGGACTCGCAGGCTATCTTGGTACCATCTCTTCGTACCGGTCTTTCATCAATGTGACAGCCAAGACCGACGTGTACGTGGGATTTCTCCCCCGACGCGCCATCGAAAAGATCGTTGAACGATATCCGGTCGTTCTTCTGACAATGGCGAAGCGAATGACCAGCCTGCTTCCACGTTTGATCTTGCACATCGACTTCGCCTTGGAGTGGGTGCAGGTCACTGCAGGACAGGCAGTATATCATCAGAAAGAAGAGAGTGACGCCATATACATTGTGCTCAACGGCCGACTCCGCGCTATTCAGGAGAGCGACGATGGCAACATGAAAGTGATCGGAGAATACGGTCAAGGCGAAAGTGTGGGCGAACTTGAAGTGCTGACGGAGTCGACACGACCTGGTAGCCTGCATGCCATCCGAGACACCGAGCTTGCAAAGTTCCCCAAGACACTTTTCAACAGTCTGGCACAAGAGCACCCCGGCATCACAATCAAGGTATCGAAGATCATTGCATCGCGCATGAGGACGTTGATTGAGAATCCCTTGAATGAGTGCGAGAACTACAACAAGTTGTCCGTGGAGAGGCCCAAGGTGACGACGACAAGCAATCTCAGAACTGTGGCCGTCGTGCCATGTACAGCCGGAGTGCCAGTAGTGGAGTTTGGTCACAAGCTTCAGAGTGCGCTAGGCCAGATCGGCACTCCGAATGGTGTCTCTGTCCTCAGTCAATCCACGATCTTGAATCACCTTGGACGTCATGCGTTTAGCAGAATGGGAAAGCTCAAGTTGTCACAATACCTGGCCGATCTGGAGGAGAAGTACGGCATCGTGATATACGTAGCGGACACCAGCGTGAAGTCGCCATGGACTCAGACTTGCATCAGCCAAGCCGACTGCATCTACATGGTCGGCCTTGCAGAGGGATCCCCTGCAATCGGCGAGTATGAGCGCTTCCTGCTCACGACCAAGACGACGGCACGAAAGGAGCTGATCCTGTTGCACTCGGAGCGCTATTGTCCCTCCGGTACCACTCGTGCTTGGCTTAGGAACCGACCGTGGATCAACGGAGGACACCACCATGTACAGTTGGCATTCAAAGCAGCTCCCGAGCCCGTTCACCCCAATGGGCCGACAGGGACGAAGAGATTCGGTAACGCTATCAAGCAGCGCGTGCAGGTCATCCAAGCCGAGATCCATAAGTATACCTCCCGTCGCGTCCGACAAACGCCACTATTCTCCGCCGACACACCTTTCAAAGGTGATTTTCACCGTCTGGCACGGCGTTTATGCGGCAAGTCGGTCGGCTTGGTGTTGGGCGGAGGCGGTGCGAGAGGCCTTGCTCATGTGGGTGTGATCCGCGCGCTGGAAGAGGCAGGCCTTCCGATTGACATCATCGGAGGTACCTCGATTGGTGCTTTCGTGGGCGCTGTCTATGCGCAGGATGCCGACGTGGTGCCGATGTATGGACGCGTGAAGAAGTTTGCTGGCCGGATGGGGAGCATGTGGAGGTTTGCGCTGGACGTCACGTACCCGTCGGCATCATACACCACCGGGCACGAGTTCAACCGGGGCATCTTCAAGACGTTTGGCGACAGTCAGATTGAAGATTTCTGGTTGGACTTCTACTGCAACTCGACCAACATCTCCCGATCGCGCTCGGAGATCCATACCAGCGGTTACGTGTGGCGATACGTGCGAGCTTCCATGTCGCTCGCTGGACTCATCCCACCCATGTGTGACGAAGGCAACATGTTACTGGACGGTGGATACACGGACAACCTGACTGTATCGCACATGAAAGCCCTCGGGGCAGACCAGATCTTCGCCGTGGACGTGGGAGCTCTGGACGACGACACACCGCAGGCTTACGGAGACAGCCTCTCGGGCTTCTGGGCATCGCTCAACCGATGGAACCCCTTCTCTTCCCACCCCAATCCGCCCACGCTCTCCGAGATCCAGGCACGACTCGCATACGTGAGTTCGGTGGACAATCTCGAGCGCGCCAAGAACATTCCCGGCTGCAGATACATGCGGCCTCCGATCGAGGCGTACGGAACCCTGGACTTTGGCAAGTTTGATGAGATCTACCAGGTGGGCTATCAGTATGGACGGAAGTTCTTGGCGGAGCTGCGAGACGAGGGCGTGATACCGGGCATTGAGGAGACGGAGGAGAAGAGGAATCTGAGGAGGACCATGGCGCCGAGGCGGGCGAGTATCTAAGAGTATCTAAGAGAGTATCTCATGGGAGGGGTGAGTGTTGCGCTGTGATACCCCAGACATAGCAATGTAGACAAATGAACAAAAGCTTTCAACCATCGGAGAAGGCACACGCGGCTCGCTCTCATCTTGCTTCCGAAGCGTTGGTGGTATGTATGTTGGCAATACATGCGAATTGATAGTGGTATGTATGTTGGCAAAAAGGTACCTAGGTAATGTTCATGCCCGGGCCGGACGGTTTCGGCTGTTGTGATCCGGGGCCGGGGCCGGGCCCCAGGGGAAAACTTTATTTTAGCGAACGGCGGAAGACGCCTCAGAGCCGCTCGCCGTTCGGCACTCGCAAATCCACGGACAACACCACCACCTTCCTCCTCGCACCGGTCGAGCGAGCCGTTACTCTCCCAGTCTGCTGACATCGATCCGGGCAGTCCTCGTGTGCGTTCTGAATGAATCCACCCGATCCGGAGAGGTTTCCGAAGACGCCACCAGTTATTCCATCGACGCGGCCGATGCTGTCGGAGGTGGAGGGGGGGAGCACCAGCACTCCTCCCGGAAACGGGCTTGACGGGCCTCCAGCTGCGCCGCTCGCATCTTCTGTAGCAGCACCAGCACCAGCACCAGCACCAGCACCACCCGCGAACATGACCGCGCCAGGAGAGATGGGCGATGCGTCGGGGCAACCGCCATTGAAGCGCCAGCGTGTCTCCCAGGCCTGCGGGACCTGCCGAGACCGCAAGACGAGGTGCGACGGCGCGCAGCCCGTGTGCCGCGCATGCGAACAGAGAGGCGTCGCCGCCAGTTGTCGATATGATCAGGTCAAACGGCTGCGGGCGAACGCGAGGCCTTCAAGTTCCTACAGCCTGAACACGAACACGAACACTCCTCACCACCCACCACCACCACCACCACCACCACCACCACCACCACAGCAACCGGGGCAACATCCCGACGCCCGAACAGCCGATCCGAGAGCCCACAACGACGCTGCTCAGGCCTTATCCGATCTGGGGCGAGGGTCGTGTGATGGTACGTACACCCCTCCACCTCCACCTCATCCTCGTGCACGCCGTGGTCAAGAGGCCAATGATGATGATGATGATGACGATGATGATGATGATGATGATGATACACGCTGAACGAATTCAGATCGGAGGAACAGCACCCTCCTCCACACCCCTCCCACCTCTCTCCACGCCGCCGCCTACCAAACCGGCAATAATGGCAATGGCCTCACGCCTCGGACCAACCACGCCCACGCTTTCCCAGGAAACGAACTGCCCGCCCCGCGTGCCGATGGCCTGGCCACCGTCGCGGCCGGCAGCGACGACTCCATCTACGGCCCTTCGTCCACCGTCGCCTTCCTCAAGCATGTCATGCCCAGCCAGAGCGGTACTGCGACTCCCGTGAACGGATCCGAATCCGAATCCAACTTTCGGAGCTCGGGTGCCCTGCCGGAGCGCATTCAACACCGTACCGACGGACTCGACGTCTTGCCCAGGCGCCGTCAGGCCGACAACTTCGTGCTGTGTTATTGGGAATTCATCCACCCGCTGTTCCCCGTGCTACACAAGCCGAGCTTTACGAGGAAATAGTAAGTCGGCCGTGGCTTCACTCTCCCAGCTGACACGGAGATGCTAAATTCGATGCCATTCGCAGTGACCGACTGTGGACCGAGGGCAACGACGGGCCGCCACATCACGACTCCGAAGCCGAAGAGGCCATCTTCACGGCGACCCTGAATCTCGTCTTTGCTCTGGGCTGCAAATTCAGCACCCTCGTCGAGCCATCCCAACACTCCTCGGTAGCCGACGACTTCTACCAGAGATCTCGCCAATCCTATCCCTTCGACATCTTGGACTCGACCTCCATCTCTCTCGTCCAGATGCTCGTCCTCGGTGGTGTCTACCTGCAGTCTACCCAGCACGCAAGTCGATGTTGGAACGCGGTCGGCTTGGCTATTCGCATGGCGCAGAGCCTCGGACTCCACATCGACGCTGCAGGCCACCGCGGCATATCGCAGCTCGCACTCCACATGCGGAGACGAATCTGGCACACCTGCGTCAACCTCGATCGCTTGCTGTCCATGACCTTTGGCCGGCCGTCCATGATTGATCGCACCATCCAAGTACCCATTCCGGCCCTGATCGATGACGAATACCTGCAAGAGCATATCGAAGGCGCACAGCCAGCTGGCATTCCATCGCGCCTTGGTCTGTTTGTGTCTTCTTGCAAGCTCTTCGAGCTACTGGAAGAGATTCTGTCTCTATTCTACAGGGATAGCTCCGGTGTCAGCTCCCAGAGACAGGCCAATGGAGCCACGAAACCAACAGAGCTGCTGGCGCCCGTCCTGGACCTCAACCGAAGGCTTGACCAATTCGTCGAAGGTGTACCAGCGTACTTGAGGATTTCCGACTCCGAGCATGTGTCGCCGTCCAAGGATGATCACGTCCACCTCCAGCAGCAGATACTGTACTGCAGATTCCTGTATATCAGACTGCTGTGTCTTCGTCCACTGCTCCTGATGGCGACGCGACTGGATTCCAAGCCACACTCTCTGACACTCGATAGTGACGTTATCAGGAGTTGCTGCGACTCCTGCACCCTCACCGCCTGTCGCCTCATCGACACACTCTACGAAAATCTGGGAACGCTGTACCGAAGCTCGGGCTGGCACACCGTCTACTTCACCTTCGCATCCGCAATCGTCCTCCTCGCATCCTCCAAGACGAGCAGCTATCGACCCCAAATCGCAGAGCGCGACGTCGAAGCATCCTGGTCTCGCTGCTTCTACATCTTGGAACACTACGAGAACCAGATCCCCTCGGCCCGGCACGCCTCACAACTCCTCCGCTCCATGAAAGCCCGGGTCTCCGACATCGCGCGCGAACACCAGGGCAATGCCAATCCCACCCAGGACCCGGGCGATGCGACACTCGACCCTTCCCTGCAACCTCCGAAGCCGGAAGCCGCGACCGCGAGCAACGGAACGGCGCTCTCGCCTGCCATCCACCCGCAGCTGAGTCTGGAAGAGATTGAGGCTCTAAGTGCGGATATCTCCCAGTCGTGGTTCGGACAGCAGCTGGTCAATCTCGACTGGCTGGAGCTGCCGCAGATTTGAAATGCTGAGATGCAAAAAGACAAGGCAAGGCGAGAAAAATGATGATTGGATTAGTACAGCATGACGATTCGATTAGATACGGAGCGGAGCGGAGCGGAGGAGCATTAAAAGGGGCAATGATGATGCTTCCGCTGCGACCTTTTTTTGTTCCTTTTTCCTTTTTCCTGCGACCATCTCTCTCTCTCTCTCTCTCTCTCTCTCTCTCTTTCTCTCTGCCCTTTTCAGCGAAACACAGTGGTAGTGCCTGATCTGGTCTGATCTGAGTAGTAGTCGTAGTAAGATTCATTCCATTCATGAGTGAGTGAGAGAAATTGCAATGCAATGCAAAGCCCCACAGCTGTGCTTTCTTCTCTTTCTCCTCTTTCCTCTTTCCTCTTGGACCGGGGGGGGGGGAGGATATTGAGACTGCGAAAAGATATGTCTGAATCGATCACTTACTTGGTCAGTTACATACTTTCCAGGTATGGTAGCATGTTCGGTCTGCGGAGGAAAAGCGGAATGTGTTCTTGTTATCATCATTCTTCGGATGTATGTATGTATGTATATTTGATTTGCTACACATACATCCCCTTCCTATCGATATACCGACCCTCTCTTTATAACCTTTTGTTTTTTTGTTTTGGACATTAGACGGGGTGGAATCTCTTACCCTTCATTCGTTTGCACTACGATAGCCTGCTTGACATCTTATCTTTGTAGTTCGTTGAAGGCAAACCCCGTCTTGGAATTCACAAGTCTCCCCGAGAAACAAGAGAAAAATCTCGTCGGCTCCGGGAGAGCTTTTGGACATGTAAGTTTCCATGATGTTGGCAAAGCCATCTATCTCATCGGGCAGGGCTTGATCATTGCTTGGTTATGGGAAACGAACCCGACCCTTTCATGACAAGAATCCCATCACTGACTGACTCGTACCTTTCTAGAAACCATCCACCTTACCATCAAAGTCTCCCCCTCGTCCCATCACCCTGCACCCTCGCCGCCAAAACTTCCTTCGCCCGCTCACACATGCCCTCGACGCTCACGTCGGCAATCATGCCATTCCGCGTGTTGATCTCGGCTTCGATGCGGGCGAAATCATCCCCCACGCCGTCCGCCATCCATTCGTAGCAGTCGCCGATATGCCGACTGGTCTGCACGAGCCAGTTGCCGCGATCCCGGCGGAGGTCGTTGAAAGTCTGGAACGCGGCGGGGAGGTCGGCGCGCGTGCAGCAGGCGTGGAGCAGGTCGGCGAGGACGGCGCTGTCTTCGATGCACATGCCCGCGCCGGCGCCGTGGTGGGGCGAGGTGGCGTGGGCGGCGTCGCCGATGAGGAGGACGGAGGAGTGGTTGTAGTGTGGGAGCGGGTTGTCGCCGAGGTGGAAGATTGCCCACTTTGAATTTGCTGTTAGTATCGTGAGCCGCTCTATGGGGGGGGAAAGGGGAAAGGGGCCGAGGACGACTTACGATGTCCAGGTTCGGCTGGCAGAGTTGAAGGAGACTCCTGACATCGTGTCCGTAACCTTGGAAATCTCGAAGGGCATCTTCACGCGTTGCCGGCCTGGTCAGTCGGGTGTAGTCGGGCCAGTCATCTTCTGTGGTGTGGAAAGCGACGATGTTCAAGGTCTTCCCATGGTTGACGGGGAACGTCAGCATCTGCGTGGGAAGCATCAGCTGTGGCATTCATCACGAGTCCAAGGATTGTGGTATCCACTCACATGGCCTCCTGGACCCATCTGCATCAAGAAATAGATTTAATCAGTCAACTCCCTCCTTCCTTGAGGATTCTCTCTTCGTCAGACAGGAAGGGCACTCACATGCATACACGCATTATACGCCTTCTCCTCCCCAATCGCCCGCACCGCATCCTCCATCTCCGCCAGCGCGCGATACGCATACTTGTGCGTATACGTCGGATGCGCATACCGCGACTCCGCCCCAAACATCCACGCCCGCACCTGCGATTTGATCCCATCACAGCCAATCACCGCGTCCGCATCCGCATGCGTCCCGTCATGAAACCACAACCTCCACCTTCTCTCATCCTTAGCATTTTCCCGCCCCCTCTCCTCCAACTTCTCCAATCGCTTCCCGAAAACCGCCTTCTCCGCGGGTAGCAATTTCACCAATTCGTCCAGATACCGCGCCCGATGCACCCCAGCCTGCCCCAGATCATTGCGGATGGAGAATGCAAACGTCTCTTCTTCCGTCTCCTCCCCCTCCCCCTCGGTACTACTCGCAGCAGGCTGGGAACGATGGTACCCATCATGATAATCAAACCAGACCTTCCGCTTCGAAGGCCACAGATTCCCCGTCCGGACCCTCTCAAAGGCCGCATAGACGCCGTGGTGGCAGTGTCGCATGGCCTGGACGGCATTGCCGGTGAAGGCGACGCCGGCGCCAATCTCGCCGAAATGCGGCGCCTGTTCGTAGATCTGGACGCGCAGGCCGCGGTGGTGCAGGGCTATGGCGAGGGTGAGGCCTGAGATGCCTGGAGGGAGGAAGATTGGTTGTTTTGTCAGCCAAAAGAAGAAGAAAAGAACACAATTGTGTATCCCGTTCGGGAGGAAGGGTTTGTGCTGGAATGTCTTTTTTTTTTTTTTTTTGCTGGTTGGTTGCTTCTTACCGCCGCCTATAATCGCTATATCGAAGTCCTTCTCTGCAGCCATGGTCTGTATACACACCGTCACACCAGGTCCTTTTATACCCAATGATGAGAGAATTTGAGGCGATGGGCCCAACTGTTGGAGTGATATAATGAACAAGTATCTATCGACTTGAGGGCATGGAAAGATGTTGATATAGACAATCGAGAGAACGAGTGAGGTCGCTTTCGTCATATGCTAGTGCTAGTGGCAATGGAATGACTGTTACATGCATAGAAACCGACCCGAAGATCCCGAGCCGATCACGACCCGACCGAGCCGAAGCGGAACCACTCCTCCCAGGGCAACACGTCTCTTCATACCTACCTAGCTGTGCCTACCTCGCAAAAAATCTCTTCGTCGTGAAGATGAAGAATTCCATTCACAACGAAGAGACGACAGACATTCAATCCAATTCCCCATCCTTCCTTTCCCACATGCCCAAAAAAAAAAGATAATAATAATCTAGACTACTACTAAGCTCTCCCGTCCCTCTACTACACATTGTTATCGTCTCCCCGCGTACCTAAAATCAACAAGAGGTGAAATAAAGGGATCTCATAAGCCTACGATGAGATAAGATAAGATAAGATAAGACGAGCCGATAGATAGATAGATAGATAAATAGATTACCCGGTAATCTATTATATCTAACCCGATGTCCGATGCCGAAAAATATACGTTTCCGTCTTCTAGGTAGGTCCTCCTCACCGAAAAAGCTTAGGTTCCCGGGGTGTATGATAGGCGGAAGTAACTGAAATGCAGCGATACAAATCATACCTACGGTGAATCTCCAATGTGTGCATCAACCAACCACCCCCTATGAGAGGGAGCACTAGATAGGAAAATCCAGCACCAAGAATATTATATTCTTCATCAACTCTGTTCAATCTATCACGAAAAGGGGAAAAAAAAAAAAAGAGACACCATCGGCTCGACCTTTTCCACTTCAACTTCAACTTCAACTTCACACCTTCCTCCCCCAAACCACAGCAAAGCGAAAGTGCTTCCCGTCCTCGGTGGCAAAAATCCTCTCCGCCTCCGCCGCCAACCGCGCCCGGTCCGCCTTGCCCTCCTCGCCGGGGAAGAGTCGCTCCATGATGGGATAGACCCACTGAATGAAGTGTTTCTCCGCCACATACCTTGCCCAAGCCTGCCCGTCCTGGCCCTGCAACTTCTCCGGGGGATCGAAGGGAGCCGAGACGGGAAGGCCGCCCATCTCGCTGAAGCCCTGCGCCTGGAAGAGGTTCTGGAAGTATTGCACGGCGAAGGGATCACCCTCGGGCCAAGGTTTCGGCTTCGTGAGCAGGCCGAACCACTCCGAGTCCTTGGTGACGTGTCTGTCATCTTTCCACAAGGCAGGCATGAAATGCTCGTGCATCTCCACCCAGCCCCCTTCGCGGACCAATCGTGCCACCTTGCTCACGTGCTCTTCCCAGTCCGGAACGCCCATGCAGAGATACCGCCAGAAGACGAAATCAAAGGTCCCCGGTTGCAGCCTTTCGTCCTTGCCGATGAGGTGGTGCACATTACCCTGGATGAATTCCACGTTCGGGGGTACGTTTTCCAGATGGATGGGGGAGAGATCGACGCCGTAGACTTTGGCATTGGGGAATCTCTCGGCGAGGAAGAGCGTCATGTCGGCGTTGACGCCGCAGCCGATGTCGATGATTTTCTTGGGGTCTTGCAGGGGTGCTTTGATGTGGTCGCCGCCCAGGAGGGCGACGGAGGCGAGGTGCTGGAGGTGCAGTCGGTGTCTTTCCATGTCGCTGTGCTTGATCAGCATGTATGAGGATCTATACCGGACCGCAAGACTTACTCATTGGGAAGCATATAGCACGACGTCTTGTCCCCATGGTGATGCAATGATCTCTGAGCTTGCACAGCGGCCATGTTGTGAGCGGTACTGAAGGTGATTGGCGATTACTCTGACGTTTTCTTGCCTGCATGACTTTTGCTCGGAAGTCCAATATATAGTTCCCTAGGCAAGTCCGATGGCGGTGACATGGTGATAGCTTATACCCAGGTTTGCCATGTCTGGGCCAGCTCATCCTCACGAATGGGACTGGCAGGACTGCAGAAAGTTTGGTGATGCTTGCAAGACAGCTCCGTTTCACTATGCCTGCGTTTCCGTGTGAAACCGAATACTTCAATGCTGTCAGCGGAAAGGGGCATAAACACCTCTTTTCGAAGCGCTTGATGTGTGCCAAACTGCTGCTTGGTCAACGATAACAGTGCCCTTGACTTATTAGTCTCAACCAAGTTCGTGCCCGTCTTCTCAACTCGCCCACGTGGGCTATATACAGCTGTCTCCGTTGGGTAGGGGTAGATTGGAAGTCTATCAAAGCTCCTGCTCTAGGATGCTCGAGATCCAAGTGGACGGAATGTACTGGGACAGACAACGGTCGCCTTAACGGCCGTCCGGAATCGCTTTCACAGGACAAGAAGCCAGGTTTCCGACCAGCCAAAGTGCCTGTCAACGTATATTTGGGGAACGGAACATAGCCATTGAGCAAACAGCTCCTGTTCAGGAGGCGTTCCCCGGGAAAATGGTCTCGCAGGGATCATCGATGATGCTAACGGCACGTCGCCCTTGCCGACTACCGCGCACGTGTACTAGAATAACGCAGCTGCATCCATACACTGCTCAAGTCTCGAACCATCTCCTCTTCGTGCGACAGCGAAATCTTCGAATCGGCACAAAGCATGCTCGCTTCCAACGTCAGGTTCCAAGCAGTATTCAATCTTGGATTCCATCCTGCCAAGGTAGGAGCCGATAAAACCTGTCTTTCGGACCTCCATCTCGTCCTGAATGAGGACTTGGACGGACGGTCGCTGCCTGCTCTCCCTCACGCGCAACTGAGCTTGGATTTGCGCGACGCGCAGGTCACGCTCGCCCTGATGTTGTTTAAGATATTGAAGGTCCTGCTCCGTCATTCTCACCCGAGGAATAGGTCGACAGAGGCCTTGGATGGCGCCTTCGTGGTCGCACGGTACCTTGGCTTTCTTCAGATGGGGGAATCTCCCGTTCTCGATAGCGTCGGCGAGTTGAGATACTGCAGCTCCCGGCACTAAGCAGTCCCAATGAAGGTATTCCAGGCTTTGAGAATGGAGAGTTTGCGGCCCTGTCGTGGGCCCAACACTTGACTGTGATCCTGGAGAAGTTTCCTGGATGAAGCGGAAACGCTTCAGCCGAGTGAGATGAGCGAGCAGTGTCTGAAGCGTTTGAAGTGATACCAACCCCAGTCCTGCTAGTGTCAGTCTGCGGAGCGAGATGGCCAGCCTCGAGAAGGCCAGCTGCTCGATGCCTTGGTCCGTAAGCCCACCCATATCCTCCAGGCGCAAAGACCGTAGCGCTGGTAGTGACATGAGTGCTCTGTCGTTAAAATCAGACGAATGCAGTCCGGAGAGCATCAGATGTTTCAGAGACGGCAGGCGGGAAAGGACTGCAGATATGGACACTTGTCCAAGATCGACGCCTGGGTCTGTCGCCACTACAAGTGTATCCAGATTCGTCCATGCATCGTGGCAGTATACGAAGTCTCCGACGCTGAGTAGTATGGAATCTCGCGAGCTCAGATTCCACGCATGAGACCTCAGCTGCGTGCGTGAAGCTAGAGCATCCAGCAGCGGTATTGTGGAGGGTACGGCAGGCAGTGCGCACCCCGTCAAGTGCTCCAGGCTGGGACTTTGTAGAACCAGCTCTTTCAGAATCGCCAGAGCAGAGCCCTTTCGAGGCGTCTTGCTGAGCATGTCACGCCGAAGCTGGCTAGCGAGCTCAGTCCCAATGTGCATCCGACGTACCGCAGATGCCAGATCAGGAGTCTTGCTGAACACGTCCAGCAGCAAGCGTAACCGACTCGGCTTCCGTTTCCTCGAGAAGAACCTCTTCTTCGGCGCCTTGTTGCTCGGAAGCCACAGCTCTTGATACAGATAATCCCTTGCAATGCGATGCCACTTCTTGTCCACCAGACACAGCGATCTCAGATCGTCCTGCAGGCCCTTAACGTCCACACCGTCCGATGCCGTGTGAACATCTTGGACATGTTCGACAATGCACTGGTATATCTCCCGCGGAAGCTGGACAAACGCTCTCGGCGGAGAATTCCTCGTCCTATCCGCTATCCTCGCCCACCGCGAGCCCGGTCTTTCTCTTTCCAGCTCCCATGGCGTCCACGCGGGCAGAGGAGGTGCCTCGGACTGGAAAGTTCCCGCTCTTCGATCCGTCGGCCAAGTGCTCGTCTTGCGATGCAGAGAAGTCGTCCGTGGGGGGATCACGGGCGTCTGCAGTTCATTGCTCGTGCCGGGCGGGAGGTGGAAGTCGTCACTGGTGACGTGGAGCTGCACGAATTTCGCCTTTACGACTCTGAGAATGCGGTTGTTAGTCGGAGACGAGAAACATTGCGTTCCGTGCTGTGGTGGTTCGACAGCAGCAACAACGACATCATCACGTGCTCCCGAACAAGCCGAAACAACCAAGATCCCTGTCCCGAATGCTCCGACACTGTCCGAGGGGTGGAAAAGCTTCACTCACCTGACTTGTCCATCATCTTCTCCATCTTCCTGCTTCCTCTTCGGAGCCAATCTCTGTATACTCTTCTTGCTCTTCGTCCGCTGCGGCGTACTGAAATTCACAAACATCGACTCCCGCTTCCTGGACGTCGTGGTGATTTGCGTAGCCTCCATCGTTGCTGCAGAGATAGATTCCCTCCGTCCCAAACTCACAATACCAACAAACGAGACCAGTGCGAGGAAATGTTATCTTCTCACAGATTCAGGACTGTCAAGCAAAGGCAAAAAGAAAAGACCACCTGCCTGCTCCTGCCATCATAAAAGCGATTCTAGAATCTGCAACACTTTGGAACCCTCGGAGCGTTCGTGCCTTGGCGACTCATGGCGCGCCCAACGATCATCTACCCGGCTGTCAAGCTTGTCAAGGTCTCGAGCTGCTTCTCGCGCTTGCGAAAAGACCGACTCAGTGAACTGAGCACAGGGCGGTGCCGAGGGACGACGATCCGAGAAAAGTGACCGAATGCACGACTCCTCATCATCATGTGCGACACTGGATCATAATAATAATCAAGGGAAGGAATTCCCTCAGTGATGAAAGAAGAAAAAGGAGGCAAAAGATCGGAATCAAAGGCAAGGCAAGGCAAGGCAAGGCAAGGAGCATCTTTGTGACCCTTTGTTTTTTGCAAAAACACACAACTTTGTTCATTCTTGTCGTGGTTGTTGTTGAAGACCTTCTTCTCCTGAGATGAGATCGTCACTTCGTAAGAAAGCACACGACTCAAACCCCATACAAACGCCACAGCAAGGGTCCAGTCTAGCCCAGCGCCATCGTTCGCTCATCATCTAAACTTATCCCCCTCCCCTCCCCCACCAAAAGACGAAAAACACCGAGAAAATGCTCGTTCGCTCACTCGCACGCACGCTCGCGTGCTATAACAATGTGCTCTACTCGACAGCAACGGCAGAAGACCCGCCATCCTGCAGAAGAGGATTGACACGCTCATCCTTCCAATCCATACGGAAATCCTTTCCGAGTTCTTTGGAAATCGCAGTCGTGACGGCATCCAGGACATTGGCAAAGACACCGAAATTCGCCGGATTGTTCTCGTCATTCTCGCCGCCTTGGAAGACTCCCGTGCGCACGAGACAGGTGTTCCAGCCGTACATGTTCTGTACAAGGGTCAGCGATAGGAACGCGGATAGACAGACAATTGGGGATAATAATAATAATAAAGGTGTTGCTTGTTGTTGGGAAGGGAAGAGAAACTTACACCGCCGATGATGTCCGAGGCAGGGTTGTCGCCCACCATGTAGATGTTCTTGGGCAGCTTCTCCTCGTTGTGGATGATCTCCATCCACGAAGCGAGCACCTCGTCCGCGTACTTGTACGTCGCCTCCTCGGGCTTGCCGTACACCACACGTTCCAGATCCTCGCCCGTCAGAGCCTTGTACATGGCCTCGAGGCCGATGCGGAAGGCACCCTGCGACATTCTCGGGTACGGGTGCTCGGTGGGACAGAGCAAATCGCCCTGCGAGAAGTAGATCGGGATCCTCTCCGACAGAGGGTCCTTGGCACGCGTGTGCAGTCGTCCGTTCTGCGATTGCAGCAGGTCCATGATGATTTGCATATCGGTCGCGTAGTCGCGGGAGTCGGAAAACACCATGATGGCTTCGATGTTGACCTGGGAGAAGTCTCTCGGACGGGAAGTGGCGCGCTCCTCGTCGGTGAAGACGCGGTACGGGGCAATGCTGGGGTCCCAGGCGACGATGTCGTTGGGGACGACAATGTCTTGGAACCCGTATTTCTCTGCTACCTCGCGGCAGCGGTATCCTTCACCCCCGACCACGAGGACCGTATTGTAGTATTCTGCCAGAGCGGACATGGGAGTGTGCGATTGGATGAATTGCTCGACGGAGATGGGCTGGTGCAGAATCTTGGAGAGCTGCTGAACGCGAGCCTCTTCTGGCTTGCCGGAGCCGTTCGTGAGGAAGATGTGGGGAATCTTCATGCCGAGCTCGTTATCGCCGTTCAGGATCTCGAGAGCACGTTGGCCTTCTGGGATGAGGCGGTCACCGTGGACCAGGACGCCGTCGATGTCGAAGACAAAGGCCATGTCCTTGGCAGCCCGGACCTTCTCGCCCGAGAGATCCTGCACCTGAGCAGCCAGAATCTCGCGTGTAGGCGCTGGGGGGGGCATGCCCGGACGCTGAGGTTTGCCATCGGGGTAGTGGACGGAGGAGAGGCGGGATTGACGCTTCGATCGTGGGATGGGCAGAATCGATCCAAACGAGTTTCTGGAGGACCTACGCTCTCGCTGAGAGGGGGATAGGGAGAGCTGGTGCATGAACGGGGACGGGTCAGCAATGCTGGACCGCGAGGCAGGAACCTCGACAGCGCCATAGTTGGCGCTCTGGCCTCTTCCAGAGCTCCCAACTCCCTCGCTGAGGTTCAGGCTTCCATTGCCCTCGACTTCCGCCTGAGAGCCGTTGTGAGGCGCTGGTTCGGCAGCGAAGTCGCGGTCTTCGTATCCAGTCATGTTTGCGGTGTTGGCTCGTTGATACTGCGTCGAAGGTAATGGAGGAGGAGGTATCGTAGAGGAATCACGCAAAATCTTTTCAAAGTCCAAAGAGTGATCTCAACTGGCAGAGACGTCACACAAGCGTCAATCCGAATTGCGTGGGGGGTAGTGAAGTTACGTAGATCAAGTCGAAAATAAATAGCATGAAGAGTTTCTAGAAAGCGTCCTACCTCTCCAGGGTCTACGTACCTGTTTATATTGACAAGCACGACCGAGGTGTCGACAGAGCTTACCCGTGCGGTCGTTGCCTTCCGCAATCTCTTCGACCGGATTGTTTGAAGACATCATCCCCAATATCTCGCGGCGGCACCGACGAGTGGTAGGCGAGCGTAAGCGTTGCGGTGGACGCTTGTCAGGGTCTCCACAGTCTTGCGGCAACGATGTCATTGATGCCCCAGCATCCAGCAGCACTGCGCAGGGACGATTCGAAAGATTCTCGTGTCCGAGATAAGCTTGTCGCACAGAAGTGGGCTCAGCAAAGCGAACAGGCCCTCGTGTTAAAGCTTAAAGGGTGAGCCATGAGCCGCCCACGAGGAGCAGGTCAGCGGACGCCACAGTTGAAGCCGAGAAATGTCTCCAATCAGTACCCACAGGTGCGTTCTCATGTGCAATTCTCTGTCGGCGCGGCGGATCTACAGGATGTCGCTGCAATCGACCAGTGAGCTTCGACCACACTTAGCGTGCTTGCAGCGTGTACGGTGTCCCTGGCCCGAAGTCACAGCCAGGACCTTCCGAGGAAAGACCGCGCTGCGCTGGCCCATGTCTATCGTTGCCTCTTCGGCATGACGCAAAGCTGCTTCATCCTGCACGTCTTCGTCGTGCTGAATTTGCAAATGTTTCCACAAAACGCGCCCACCTTCTCGCCAAGTCTCGCGACTGGTTCCATCGCCGCGGTCAACGTCGGAGGAGACGTTGTTGACATGACGTAGCCTCAGTCAATCGCGCGCCATCTGCAGCCATGCCCTCGTCTGCTGGGGCGCTGCTGGGGCGCTGCTGGGGCGACGATGCGTAAGACCTTGGAGCTCGAGGACAAGTATTATCAGAGACGGCGTCGTCGCGGGTAGATTGGCAGTATCGAATTGACCTTCTTGCGCACTTCCTCCTTCACCCGCGAAATCCCGATCCGTAGAAAACCAGACCAGCGAATATGTCGGACGGCAAGACTTTCAAGCTGAACAACGGCGTGACCATCCCAGCGGTCGGCTTTGGCACGTTCGCCAACGAGGGTTCCAAGGGCGAGACATACAAGGCCGTGACGCACGCGCTGAATGTTGGATACCGACACCTGGACTGTGCTTGGTTTTACCAGAATGAAGACGAGGTCGGAGATGCTGTCCACGACTTCCTCAAGGAGAATCCAAGCGTGAAGCGCAGCGACATCTTTATCTGCACGAAAGTCTGGAACCATCTCCACGAGCCCGAGGAGGTCAAGTGGTCCCTAGAGAGCTCGCTGAAGAAGCTCAAGGTGGACTATGTTGACCTCTTCCTAGTTCACTGGCCGATTGCCGCCGAGAAGGATGACAACTACATGCCAAAGTTGAACGAGAAGGGCCAATATGCCATCAAGGAAGAGCTCACCAAGAACCAGCAGCCAACATGGAGAGCCATGGAGGAAGTTTACGAGGCAGGCAAGGCCAAGGCCATTGGCGTGTCCAACTGGACCATCCCAGGCCTCAAAGATCTGCTGAGCTGGGCCAAGGTCAAGCCAGCGGTCAACCAGGTGGAGATCCATCCTTTCCTCCCAAACGAAGAGCTCGTCAAGTTCTGCTTCGACAACGACATTACGCCCGAGGCTTACTCACCATTGGGCTCCCAGAACCAAGTTCCAACCACAGGCGAGAAAGTCAACACCAACCCCACACTCAACAAAATTGCCGAGAAGGGCGGCTACACACTTGCGCAGGTCCTGATCGCATGGGGAATTCGCAGAGGCTACGTCGTGCTCCCCAAGAGTTCCACACCCCATCGGATTGAGAGCAACTTCAAAAGCATTGAGTTGAGCGACGAAGATTTCGAGGCGGTGAACGCCGTGGCAAAGGGTCGGCACACCCGTTTTGTGAACATGAAGGACACCTTTGGATACGATGTGTGGCCGGAGGAGGTGTAGGCAAGTGTCCTGTAGGATGTCCAGGGCATAGCAGAGTTGTACAGAGGCACGAGCCCTCCCAAATGGAAGGCTCCGGACCACGACGGTGCGCCTGGCGCATGTCAGAAGTTAGCGAACGAGCATGAATATGGGAATGCGTAGATCTGCAGAATACCCATGAATAATGAGCTGACTCTTGTCTGTGTCGCGATGTTGTGTCCTTTCTGTGCATACTGTAGCCTTATCCTTCGAGCGATTCGTTGATTTCGTAGCACTGTTTGGATGAAGAGGTTCGACAGATGCTGCCAGTGCTGAGTCCACAGTGTGTCTGGCAGCCATTTGTTGTTGTGTTCAGGTAAAAGACGGAAATGGAATCCGCAATGATTTTGGCACATCTGATGCTCTTGAAGTCTCTTCCGTGCGAGTCTTCGCTGTCAAATCTGGTTCCACATTCTCCTCCACAAAACGCCACTGCTTCGGGAACCGGCGCTGCATTTCCGCAGTCAGCCAGGCGGCTTCACTAATTTTCCCTTCGCTGCGCAGTAGAGATACTGTCCGGACAAAGAAGAACCACCATCCATGACGCTCACTGCTAGCTTCCAAGGCCGTTTGGATTCGCGGAAGGAATGCTTTCGCACGTGGCGACGGAGGATCGCTGAACAGCTGCGTGGCGACATTGTAAGCCTTGGTTGAGGAAGGTCTCGCAGGATGAACAAGGTCTAAAGTAGCCTTTTCGATTTCACAGAACATTCCTTGCGACCACATGCTGACCAAGGATGCAAACCTCTCATATCGACGGATGTCCAGATCGCCACGTTGCGCCGAAGAGGTCGCGAAGGGCCGAGAAAGCTCTGTATGCAGAACGAGGGCTGCGGGAGCCAGTGGCAACCAGTAGTGGTGACGAGAGCCATCTCTGGCTCTTGGTATTCTGATGTCGCAAGCCATGAAAAACGCATCGAGAGCGTCGTGTACGTGTTGCGTGTCTAGTGTCTTGCCATCATGGTCGAATCGACCGAGTTTCCACTCTACCACGGCGTGCAGTAATCGCCCTCTCCATCGATCGAAGTGGTGCATCCGTCTGAGATTGCTGCGGCTCTTGGCCTTTTCGTGTTCTTTGGATGTAGTAATGTCTTGATTGTACCAGGTCCAGACAGTGCGCTCCTGACCTTCGTGCAACAGGCAGTAGGTCACCTGATCGATGAGGTCAAAATAGTCGGCAAAGACGTCGCTTTCAAGCAGTCGGCTCTCCACCAACCATCTGAAGACTCTGCGGCCAGGTTGGTGTTCTAGAAGCCGCGCTCGCTTTTGTTCAATGGTCAGATGTGCGATGTCATCCGCGGCGGTCCGCAAGCAAAGCTGCGCGATGTCAAGGGTTGCTGCTCCTTTTGTATGGTACTCCTCGAGAATGTCGACGGGATGCTTGTGCCGATTCTTGGCCAGCTCGATCTTGGCGGAAGCAAAGTCTAATGGTTTGCCTCCTTTCACCATCAATGGATTGGTAAGAACCGATGCCAAGTGCTGGTCAGCATAGCTCCCCGAGGAACGCATTCCACTGGAACTGATGTTGGAGACACTCCCCGAGCTACTGCTTGCCTTAGTTCTGTCGGTATCGTCGGGCAGATGTTGTGGATGAGCAGCGTCCAGATGCTTCCTGAAGGAACTGGTGAGAGCCGTAAGTAGGCGCTGGGACTCCTTCACATTGAGAGGCAATTGCGGGTGGATCTTGTCGGCCAGAGACTTCAGACCTTGGACAACGCTACTGCCTTTCATTGTGCCTGATCAACTGCTGCCGTCGCTGTAGCGCGTAAACATCGTATTGGGAGTAGCATCGGTAGCAATAGCTGGACCGAGTGTCGGCTTGGGTGCTCGTCCAGCCAATTTGAAGATGTTATGTTGAAGTTGATTATGAGACCTCTCGACTGGACACGGTAGGCAGCGGCTCATGCGAATGAAGATGCGATACTACTGTAGAGGTGGTAGTAGTTGTCATGGAGGAAGTGGAGGCTGCATGTGGTGTGAAAGTGAAGCCGGGCAATCTGCGGACCGAGCCGGCGCCAAGCCAGCTGGAGGGCTAGCGCGACAAACGAGTTGCGAGCTTCTTGCCAGCAGTGGAAGCGACACCCAACCACAACCACAACTTCCAATATCACTGCAACTTCTCACACACAGCGCCGGTCGTGCTCACTCTGCCTCCGCCGTCGCACTTGCTTCCTCAATCCGGGCAATCGCCTTGCTGGCCACGCCCTTCCCTCGCACTCGGTGCTCTGCGCCGCTACTCCAACCCGAACTCCCAAGGCCTGCTCGGTCCCGTCCTCCCTACACCTGCAGCCCACTTCCACCACCATCCATCTCTCCACGCTGCGTTGGGCCTGAACAGCTCCCTCGCACCTCATTCGTCGCCGTTCTGCTCCGCGAATAGCTACACATCACATCCACACTCACAATGTCGGAAGCCGACGTCAGACCTGTGCCCGCGAGGGGCAGGAGCACCACCCGAGGAGGCAGAGGAGGTTTCGGTCGCGGCGGTCCTCGCGGCGGCAGAAAGGTGAATGGCACATCAACCGACCCTGCCTCAGTCGAAGAGTCGCTCGAAGAGCAAGGCGAGCTCGGCGAGATGAAGAAGAAGTACGCAAACGAGCTCGATATGCTGAGAGACATGTTTCCCGACTGGACCGACACCGACCTGGTCTTCGCCCTACAAGAGGCCGATGGCGATGTGGCTGCGACCGTCGACAAGATCACTCAAGGTGCCGTCTCGCAGTTCGCCGAAGTGAAGAAACCCAAGGACCGCGCCCGCTCCAAGGCCAAGGAGGAGCCAGCTGCGGCAGGTGCTGCCGACAAGCCAGCGTTTGCTGCCCGCGGTGGACGTGGACGAGGCGGTTTCGAAGGCCTTCGCGGTGGCCGTGGCAGAGGCTCAGACCGTGGCAGAGGTGGTCATCGCGGCGGCAGAGGTGGTCACGCGACCGCCAACGGCACCATTAAAGAGGGCCACACGGATTCTGTACCCACCACCGAATCGACCGCCTGGGACACTTCGGCAAACAACACTGCAGGAGATGGCGCTTGGGGTACTGCTACGACTGCCGCTGAAGGTGGTTGGGACAACTCTGCAGATGCCACCAAGGACGCCGCAGACGCGGGACAGAGTGCCTGGGGCAACGTGATCGCCGCTGAATCGACTCCGGCCGCCGCATCGGAGGGCGCCAAGAGCAGTCTGATACCTGAAGGCGGTCCCAAGAAGAGCTGGGCCAGCATGTTTGCGAAGCCTAAGCCTGCTCCTGCGCCTGTCCCACAGAAGCAGATACTCACTAAGCAGCAGCCTCCACCAGCCGAACTTGTCGCTTCTGGTCACCTCCCCCCTGCAGCAGAACCTACACCGTCAGCAGTGGAGGAGACGAAGGAAGCAGAAACGTTGCCGCCCGCTCCCCCCATCCCAGAGCCAGAACAGCCCATCGCTACCCCTGCAGATGCACCTGTAGAGCGACCCTTAACATCAGAAGGCGAAGAACTCACGCTAACGCCATCGAAGGATCCATTGACCGAAGAGAACGTCGAACATCTTCCTGACGAATCGCACCCTCCAGCTACGCATACGGTTGCTAGCACCACGGGTTCCATCGACCCTCGCAACCTGACTCCTCTGCCCTCGCAACCAGCGCCCATCGGCCGGCCTCCTATGGGTGGCTTTGCGACGAGCGCGAACCGTCTGGCTGGCACCGGCGGCAGAAGCGCCAGCTTTCAGCGTAGAGTATTGGAGCAGCAAGAGGCGGTCGTCATGCCAGGTCACAATGCACTGGATCGTGCAGCAGTCCAGTTTGGCAGTATGGGCCTGAACGGCGAACCAGGACCAGACGTTGATGAAGAGCGGGAAGAGCCGGAGACTCGACTGCCACCGCAGCACTCTCCACCATCGCAACCACGCACCTCTCTGCCTCCTGCGCCGCGCCAGACGGTCGCACCACAGGAGCTGAGTGGTGAGGCGGCTGTTCCTACGCCAAAGCAGGCACCTGGTCTACCGCCAGCGTCCGCCCAGAACCAGCAGCAAATGCTGCAAGAAGCGAGCTTAGGACAGAACCTGGCCCAGGAGCAACAGGTGAGCCAGCCTTACAGCCAGTATGGACGTTACGGACAACAGGATTCTGGAGCGCAACAGAAGCCATACGATCACTTCGGCCACCAAGCCCAGCATAGTCAGTACGACCAATTTGGCGGACATGCTCCACAGCAGCCCCAACAGCAAGCTCCGGCCGGCTTTGGAGGCCTCTCGTCTGCGCCAAGCGACTATTCCTCCTACTACACCAGCGATCAATCTCGTGCGTACAACCAATATTATGGCAGCTCATTCGGTCTTCATGACGGCCGTGGCCAACTCGGCCAATCGCAGGCGCAGCAGGACAACAGCGCGGGCCCTCAGCGTTCTGCAAGTGGATTCGGACCGATGCCCCACGATGCATCCTCTGCGTTCGCGTCGCAGGCACCGCAGCCTGCCCAGTCTCGTTTCGCAGAGGCTCCCGGCTCTGGCCAGAACACGCCGAACCCTCCAATCGGCGGACAGCAGCAATCTGCTCAGCAAGTCAACGCTCAGCACTCGCAGCACTCGATGCACCAGCCCCAAGGTCACCAGCAGGGTGGATACAGTGCCGCAGCAGCAGCGGCAGCGGCCGCGGCTGGCTTCCCATACGGCCATCCCTACTACAACAGCCCATACCAGCAGGCGTATCAAAACCAATTCGGCTACACTCCTCAGGCCGGTGGCTATGGTGGCGCGGGTTACCCGGGGAAGCAAGGAAGCATGTATGGAGGACCTCACGGCTACGGACTGGGATCGCAGTCTTCTTATGACCAACACTCTTCCTCCCCGTCCAACGCTGGGGCGTTTGGACAGAACCAGCAGTCCTCGATGCGCAGCACCAGCGGCATGGGCTCTGGACTTGGAGGACTTGACGACTACAATCGCGGATCTCAGGCCGGCTCCCATCAGCAGAGCGGCGGTTTTGGCGCCATGAACGATCCCTTTGCACGCTCCACCTCAGGTCTAGGCTCGCAAGGCTACGGTCAGCAGAGCATGACTACGGGCCCCGACGACGCCCTGAAGCCATTCAACGACTCGAAGAGTGGTCCATCGCCAGCGCTCGGACAGCCTGGCCGCCCGGGGTCTGAGGCGAACAACGCAGCTGGCAATACGCAAACCGGACTGCCACCGCCACAGAACCAGAACTCTGCATTTGGCGGATACCCGGGATTCCCAGGCCAAGGCAGTCAGTATGGTGGCCTCGGAGGTCTGGGCAGCCATCAGCAAGGCCACGGAGGCATGGGCGGACAGAGCGCGTACGGTGGCTACGGCGGCTTCAACCAGACGTACGGCGGCTATGGGGCGTCGCGTGGGTGGGGCGCAAACTACGGTGGACACTAGCATCTCTCCCGTGGGCGCGCCAAGCGCAGTGCATCGCGGGAGAGGGGACACAGTCCCGTCTTCACGGATGACGTTGCACTCCCACAGCCATCGCTAGGGATTGTGTGAGCACGACGAAAGGGGGGAGGGAAAGGGGAAGGGAAAGGGAGGAGGAGGTATCAAATGACATCGACTGGGCAAAGCTCTTTTCACACGGCGAGAATGGAACAACTACGAAGCAAGCGGGGAGGCAGCTCTTCTTTTGTACTATGGGACCACTCAGCTTTCGAATTTTTCGGCAAAACGGGCGAAGAAAAGAAATGGGGCAACATTGAAATGGTAGTGTGTGAGTAAATCTGCTTTTACACGCGGGCGTCGTTTCCACGGGACTGCTGGGGAGTGGGCGGGGGGCGCTTCTGAAGTGGACTCTTACTCGAGATGCATCATGGGACGGGGGCTACTATGTAAAGAGCAGAGCAGAGCAGAGCAGAGCATTCAGGGCGACATGCGACGTTTATGTAGTTGGGAACGGATGGTCTTGAGGGGCCTCTGACGGAGCAACGATCTGTCTTGCCCTTTTCCCTATTGCCGTTCCGCGTCCTCACATTGCTGCGAGAGATTTGTGCTGAAATCGCCGCTTCATGTTGTCGGTTGAAGCGCATTATTACATGAGCATGCCTGCACGTGCATTCCAGGAGAACGAAATGATGCCTGAGGCTGATCTGCAGGGACCGGGGACAGCTGTCTAATAAGTCTAAGTCTGTGGTCGCTGATTGCATTGAGCGAGCGCGAACGACGACACTCATTCATTATTGCCAACTATCGACACTCTTTTGCACCATTCGCCAGTCAAGGGCTCGAGCAGGAGAAGGAGACGACTGTCGCGACCATGTCGACGACCACCACCAAGAACAAATACTCGGTCCTCCTGCCCACTTACAACGAGCGCCGCAACCTGCCCATCATCGTCTGGCTGCTCAACAAGACCTTCACCGAGAAGTGAGTACACCCACCCACAGCAGCAATTCCGCGCCACGTCGCACACCGTGTTATTAACTCGGGCCACACTCTCCCAGCAACCTGGACTGGGAAATCATCATCGTCGACGACGGCTCGCCCGACGGCACGCAGACCATCGCCCACCAACTCATCCAAGCCTACGGCGCCGCGCACATCCAACTGCGAACCCGCGCCGGCAAACTCGGCCTCGGCACCGCGTACGTCCACGGCCTGCAATTCGCCACGGGCAACTTCATCATCATCATGGACGCCGACTTCTCGCACCACCCGAAATTCCTACCCCCGATGATCGCGGCGCAGCAAGCAGGGGACTACGACATCGTGACGGGCACGCGCTACGCCGGCGCCGGCGGCGTGTACGGCTGGGACCTGAAGCGCAAACTCGTCAGTCGCGGTGCGAATCTGTTTGCGGATACCGTGCTGCAGCCGGGCGTGAGCGATCTGACGGGCAGCTTTCGGTTGTATAAGAAGGCGGTGCTCGCGGAGGTCATGGCGCGGACGGAATCCAAGGGGTATTCGTTCCAGATGGAAATGATGGTAAGGGCCAAGGCGATGGGGTTCAAGGTGGCCGAGGTTCCGATTAGTTTTGTGGACCGCTTGTATGGGGAGAGTAAGCTGGGCGGGGAGGAGATTGTGGGGTATCTGAAGGGGGTGATGAGTCTGTGGTTGAATGTCTGAGTGAGTAGTAGTGAGGGTGTGTTGTTTTAAAGAGGGGGGGAGAGCGAGGCGTTTCTGGGTCTGCAGGGAGATGGGTGGGTGGGAAGCCTGGGAAAGGCCAAAAGGCTTTGGGGGGAACCATTTGTGCTTGTGCTTGTGCTAACAGATTCATATGTATCATATTCCAAGAAAAGAAAAGGGGGAAGAAGAAGAAGGCATTCTGTTAAAAGCTCCCTCAAACGTGCCAGTCGTTTCTCATTCTCATGCTCATTGCGCTATTCATACTTCGTTCACACTCATCCGCACCGCCAGCTCCCAAGAGCGCCAAGCTCATCGCCACCCAGAATCATCACCCAGCCCCCGGCCGGCAAGCGCAAAGAACCCACCTTTCGCAAGCCCTCGCACATCTCCAAAGAAAGCCTCCATCCATTCATTCAACCATCCTCCTCCTCCTCCTCATCTCCCGCAAGCAGCGCAGCCCGCATGGCTTGCACCTTCTTCCTCATCTCCTCCTTCAACACCTCCTTCTCCGGAACTCCGTCCTGCTTCTTCGGAGAAACTCCGTCATCCACCTCTTTCGCTTTCCCCATACCTTGAAATACACTCCCCTCGAACGCCGCACCACCGACTCCTCCCGTATTCTGGAACGACAACTGCCTCGGAAGAATCGAAAGACCGTACGGATCTCGCGGGTTCACGCCCAGTTTCAGACCTGGGGAGGCGATCTGGATGTCCCTGAGGGCATTGTTGCGCATCGTCGGAGGCGCGGGGTCGATGGGGTTGTGATGAGCTGCTGCTGGTGGTGGAGGGAGGCGGAGGTCGAGGGTGTAGGAAATAGGGGAGGGCGATCGCGGTGGTGTTGACGGTGACGGCACGCGAAGGCCCATGAAGTAAGCAGGGGATGGCGATCGCGGCGGCGTTGGTGGCACTCGAAGGTCGAGAGTGTAAGCCCGGGAGGAGTCCAGACTGACAGATGGTGAAGAAGGTGGGAGTTCCGGAATGCTGGAGAGACGAGTGCCGTCGCGCTGCGGGAAGTAGTGGTGGTGGTGGTGGTGGACTGTCTCGGGGGTGCGTGGGAGGGTGCCTGAGATGGGAACTTAGCATGCTGTAGACGTGGACGGGGCATGTGTGGTACGCTATTACCTTCAACCTGCGCGCGGAAATCCTCATCGCACCAGTAGAATGTACTCGTACTACTATCTCCTCCTCCAGCAGCAGCCTTCTTCTCGTCCTCGGAAATCTCGCCCGAAGACCGCGCATCGCATTTATAGACCGGGTCGAAGGCCTCCTGGGAGCCGTTCCATTTGTCGCGGAACTGGAGCCAAGTGAGGAAGCAGAGCATGAGGGCGATGTAGACTACAGCGCCCGAGACGGTGGTCCAGGCGATGTAGACAGGGCGGGTTTCGGAGGTCGGCGAGGAAGTGGCGAGAAAGCCGATGGAGCAGACGAGGGAGATGAGAGCCAGCAGGAGGAGGCCGAGCAGGCGGCGGAGGAGGATGTGGTCCATGTTGAGCGGGTTCTTGCGTGTGGGTGGTATGGGTGGCCGCCAGGGCTAGGAGCGAGTGGCCTGACTTGGTGGTTGTGAGTGTTTCTCGACGGGTCGAGAAGAACAGAAAGGAAAGAGGTTTTGAGGAAGAGGAGAAGGATAAGGAAAGAATGTTTGCTACTCAATAGCAACGGACAGTCCTATTGTTGCGGTCCGGGAAGCTCTGACTGCGTGAGGATGTGAATCGTGCTAGGCGACAATAATAGCGCACGAGCCAGCTTGGTCATTCATTCACTCACCTCGTTCCCCCCAGCAACGAAGAAACGGCCCGCGGGGTGACACTGGCAGGCATTGCGCAAAATTCGATAAGGCCGTACGTACTATGCAATCCTCCTATTGAGTCGCCGATTCTCCCTCTGTCGAACAATCTTTCTCTCCTCCCTCCGGCGCTTCTTCCACCCACGATTGAGATCGCCGCGATTCTCGTAGAACCACTTGCGGAATTCACTTTCTTCCTTCTCTCCAACTTCTGCACCGGCATTGGCTAGCGCGGCTTCAGCGTCAGGCATTTCGGTGTCGTCATCGTCATCGTCTTCCTGGTCTTCCGTGTCAAAGGTGAAGTCAAATCGCTTGTCAATAGCAGCAGTGTCCGGAGTGGGAGCAGCGGAGCGATTGTTACGCCATTCGAGATCTTCTTTTGTCCTGGGAGTCTGTGGGACCAGGTCCTCGACCACGACTTCGTCCTCATCCGCATCCTCTTCACCGCCGCCGAAAAAGCTGAATGATGTGTCGATCGGCGCAGGCTTTGGCTTGGAAGAGTCCTCGGGCGCTGAAGCAGGCCTTTTGTACAGCGCCTCGAGAGGATGCACTTCTTTTGGTACTGGTGTTGCCGATGAAACAGGTATGGAGTTCTGCTGGTCGCGCTCAGCGGAGGCATTGCGTTCTGTGTTTGATTTCGCTTCATTCAGTTGGCGGTCCAGGTGATCCTCATGGTCACTCATCGAGGACTCGTCATAAGACTCTTCTTCTTCTTCTTCCGACTCTGACGATGACGGCTCTCCTTCTGATTGAGATTCGGGCTCCGGAATGGGTTCAGGCTCTTTCTCCGCACTAGCTTGACCGCGTCTGCGTTTCTTGGAAGGTGGCTCGGCTTCGACGACGTTGCCGTCTTCGTCTACCCAGCCGACGCCCTCCTCATAGCTTGCAGCCTTTCTCTCACTCTTTATACTCCCCGCAGGGACTTTCGTAGTTCTGGAAAACTCCTTCACCACAGCAGCTTTCTTCCCACTCTTCGCCTTCTTCTCACTCTCGTCAACCTTGCTCTTCGTCTTACTCTTCTTCTCCTTTTCCTCATTTGATGGAACCTTATTCAAGGGCACCTCTGTCTTAAACTTCATCTTTCTCTCATCTAACCCATCCTTCGACTTCTTAGCTCGCCCTGCATCCTCGGTCCATCCACGCTTCACATGTCTGCCCTCTTCCAGTTCATAACCGGGAAGGACGCCTTCTTCGCGCTTCTTCTTTTCTTTCTTGGTCTTCTTCACTTTCTGCGTCTTCTCACCATCTCCCTCCTCTACCTCCGCCTTTCTCTTCTTCTCCGGTCTCGCCTCTTCGATCCGCACCTTCGATCCCTTCAACGTACTCCCGTTCAGCTTCTGCTTCAATTTCTGCGCTTCCATCGCCGGTAATTCGACGTATCCAAATCCTTTCTCCGGGAAGGTCGCAACGCTGTGGAAAGAAATATTCGTTGCTTGAGATTTTAGGGATGGAGGGACGTAGCGGTCCAGTAGTTCGGGATTGAAAGGTGAGATGTGTAGACGCACTCGTTCGGCGGTCGCCATGTTATGGCATTCTCTCGGCGATGCGAGGTGGTGTGGTGGGAGTGGTGGGGAAGAGCTCGAGGTTGGGAGGAAAATAGAGTTCGCCAAGGCTGGAGAACGCGTGATCTGTGCTTCGCGGAACATGTGAAACCGCCGATGCTGACCGTCCTCATCACTTCCTGTATGCCGCAGGATACAGATGCAATATGCAATGACACCAATGTCACACCGACGATCGATCTGGCAATGTGCCCTGCTCTTCTTCACCTTCCTCTCCATCGCTCTGGCAGCCTGTAAGCTCCCTAAACCCCCGAGCCTCTCCCATCTCTAATTTGATATTGCTCACAGCACCCACCTCCTTCTGCAAATGCACCTGCTTCAGCAACAGCACCATCATCCCCCTCAACGATAATGCGGCCTCTCTGAAATCCAACACCTTCTTCACATCCAACAAGACCGCTTCCCAAACCCCCGACAAGGAAGGCCAGCTCATTGACCTCGAATCCGAGACCGCCCGTATCGTCCTCCGCGACTCAGACCCCGAATCTCCAAAGAAAGCTCGTACCTGTGCAGATTGTACCAAGAAATTCTGCCTGTCGTACAATCTGCCGATATGCCAAGGAGCGGATGAGGATGAGCATGTGTTTACGACTTGCTTCCAGCGGGATTCAACGAAAGATCAAGTGATAATATATCTGTTCATTGTGGCCACGGTAGGACTATTGGCTTGGGCTGGAGTGAAGCCATGGTATGAGAGATGGAGAGAGGGGAGGGGGTATGCACGGGTGGGAGGATAAGAAGAGGCACGGAATTGGGAAATGAATGGTATTATGATACTGTTTGGAGTCGATGGAACCACCGAAGATCTCGCAATCATCTCTCGCCCCATCGATGTCGATCTATCACGTTGAAGGAGTACCGCCCCGCCAAGCAACTTTCTCAGTGCTCGAGATCTTGAATAACTGGTGAGGCCGACTCACAGAAAGAATGCAATTGCAGCCGCAACGATGGATGATCCCATGGGGTCGCCGATCATATGCTTCCCCAAATCGACCGCCTTACGACCACCGGAAGATGGCGCTGCTAAGGTGGTCGTCGTGGCGTTGGAAGTGGCAGGGTCGAGAATGGAGCTACTGGCAGAGCTGGTGGTAGGGTCGAAGCTGAAAATGCTGGTGGGGCTGTTGGTAGGAGTGCTGCTTGGGGTAACAGTGACAGTCGTCTGCACGGAGGTAGTAAGAGTGGTAGTCGTGGAAGTCGTGCTGGTATTCTGATACGGAGAATCGCTCGTGGGATAAGCTGTGACAAGCGAACCGCCTTCCGATAGCACAGACGCAGTAAGAATATCCGCAACCGTAGCGACAGCCACATCTGGGACGTCGGCCACCGTCGTAGGTCTCAACTCTGAAACCGTCGAGTTCCCAGCATGCACCTGGACCGGATTAGTGGTCTGGGGTCCTTCACGCTTTCTGTTCGACCACCACGTCTCCGTCATGGTGGTAGCAGGCTGCACGATGACAGTGCCGTCCATGGTATAAGTGACGTCCTCATAAGTCTGGATAAAAGTGGTATATGCTGGGCCGCATATATCGCCACCCGTGACTTGGCATGGATTGCCAGGCCAGACGGTGTCGTACTCGGTTGAAGTGACGATATTACGCTCCTGCCGCGGCGGTACGGCTGTACTCGTTGTCGTCGTAGTTGGAAGATATCTTGTCAATGTGGAATTGTATGTTCCATCACCGGGATTGCCGCTCCGTATCACGGTTGTGAGCCATGGAATCGATTGATAGGTGCTGATGTATCTTGAAGCTGGCTGCGTCATTGTTTCCTCGCTGGAGTGGCTGCTCAAGGTGACCATTGTTGTAGCGGGAACGGTGATGACAGTCGTGAACCAAACAGTAGGAGATGCAGACGCATCATCGCGACGATAGAGAACGCTGGACTGGCCCTCTGGTTGCTCAGTGATGGTCAAAGTCGCTGCTGGAAGGACTTTCGCGACGATTTGTTCCATGTAGGTCGCCGCCGGCTTCGTGGCGGTCGAAGTCGTCGAGATGCAATCGATGGGGACCACTGCATCTTGCAAGACATTGGGAGCACCATCTCGTTTGACTGCGCGTGCGAGCCTAGTGTTGGCTGCCAGTGCATTATGCTGGATCGTCGTGGCAACTGAATAGACTGTCCCGTCCACCGTCAACACTTTGGCTGGTTTCCACAGCGTCGTGACCTGATCATTGAAGGCGACGCTGTAAGCCCATTTGTTATCGCAAGAGACGCTGAGGCCTTTCCAATTTGTCTTGCAGAAGATGGTCTTGTCATCACGCTTCTGGAGTTTGGCATCGACGTAGACAGTCGATATAGGAGCTGAGGTAACGGTAGGAGACTCTGGTGAGATCTCTGGAATCGGAGAGAGGGAACTCAGATAGGTCGTGACTGAGTCGCTCACAGTCTCCCATATCAAATTCGCTTCTAAGCAGCTCGAATCGACTGGTTGGTTGTAGATCGTGTAGTAGCCGTGGGCACCACATCGATAGAAAGCCTTTGCGCCGCCAAACGCCACTGAGCCGTCTCCGCATATGGACCATTGAACTTCGGGTGAAAGACTAGTGGGCTTGTGCCAGCCAAGTTGAAGCTGACCCTGGTCGTTGAAATCGGCAGTGCTGCCCGCTGCCGCTTTCAAGATACCGGGAGATACAAGCCAGAAGGCATCTGTAAATACCGATGGCTGGTCCGTCGAAGAACTGGTCTTGGTCTTCAATGTGAATCGTGCGCCTTGCTCGGTTGCACAACCAGATGCAGCTCTTCGGTACACGGCTGTCGAGTTCGACGGGGAGGTGACTGCTTTCTTGGAATTGCCGCTTGTGATCTCAACCAAGTTCAGCTCTGCAGGTGCGCATTGACTACCATCAATTGGCTTGTCGTAGATGTTGGCAAAGTAAGTGCCATCAGGCCGACCGCTGTTACAGCCCCAGAATGTCGTGTTGTCGTTGAGGGCAAGACGCAGAGATCCCGAAGTGCCACACGCTGACCACCCAGAGGAGTACTTCGTACCAGCTTGTGGTGATGGGTCGAACTGGAATTGGTCGTCGGCGACTATACAGCCAATGCGACCTTGGCTGTCCCTCAGAATTCCTTCCTTTAGCGAGACCTGGGCTAGGGGTGCTGCAGAGTCGTATTGATTGCCCTCAGAGAACTTGCTGTTCGAGACAGCTGCGATGTAGGTAATCGCGAGGTTGTACGTGCCGCTCAGGGTATCTGGACAGATCGAGCCGCCGGCAGGAATCGACGATTGCACGGCGATGACGGGTGATGAGTAGGTACTGCCAGAAGGGCTCTCCGCTGCATTTTCAGTGACTGTAGTAGTGAACTCGAAGACGGTAGCGGTGGCTGCGTCTCCCATGCCTCGGGCGCTGACAGGTGCCTCCAGAGTTGAAGCGCCTGACTGCACGACAGTCTCGAACTCGCAGAAGCCTGGAGGCGCATCGGATCCAGTGGATGGACACTCGATGAAGCCACCAGTCGTGTAGCTGCAGCCGCACCCAATCTTGATGTATTCGCTGCCAGCCGAGCTGGTTGGTGGAGTCGATCCAGTCTTGGTGGTCAAGCTTTGTGTAGGCTCGTGAGTTTTGCTGACTTCGCTCGGATGAACGGTGGCTGTCACGCCTTGGGTGGTTATGATGACGGAATTGGTCTTCGCTTGGTCGTCTCTCATTACGATTACGTTTTCATCATGTCCAAAGACGTCGGCCGGACGCCGCGAAGGGGTGCTTTCCTTTGATACACGCAGAGTGAGGAAGGCTTCACCTTGTGTTACCAGCTCTTCATTCTCCCAACTTAAAGAGGAGGCTCGTAGACTCGGATACTCCAGAAGTCTCGTTGTCGAAGCTGTATCGCCACCGCGCGTCTCGCCAGTGGTCGCGCCAAGCACGCTTGACGGAGTCCACACGAAGACCGCCGCTATGGCCATAGCAATCCTCTTGATCTGCATGGTCGTCTGTAGCTTCTGGTGAGCGAATTGGCGCTCTGGAATCGGTAAAGGAAGGAGACTAAATGACTGGGCCAAGTAGGATGTCGGTTTCCAGGAGGCTTTCGGAGGTAAGATCAAGGGAAGAAGTCAGGGGAGGCTTTTGGTTCGTAAAATTGAGTGCAGTTGGATCCAATTCGTTGAGGTAGAGATTGGTGTTCAGATACAGGCTGACCGGCCGCTGAAATGAAGCCAAAATTGACAAGCTTGTGACATTCGGCCTTCAAGCCTCGCGACAGGGGCAGTGTCGGCTTTGCGAGTGTCTACCCTTGTTATCCTTCACTCTAGAGCATGTCCGCTCCAGTCGACAGGTGGATGCCCAAAATTAATGGAGCTGGGCACAGCCTGTGCTAGTGTTGGCGGCGTTGTACCAGTGTTGTCCTCGGTCGAGTCCAAGAGGCTTCTCCTTAGAGCGTGTGTCGAAGATGCTGCCTTTTGAGGGTTTAACTTTGCTGGAAGTCCGAGCACAGGTTGCAAGAAGAGGTTCTTGGCTGAGAGATGCGGCCAAGTTTGTAACGGGTCGAGATTGCCCAACACATGCTGATCTGCATGAGTGAAGCCGAAGTAAAGCATGTTATCAAATCTGACGGATGGCCTAAACTAAGAATGAGTGCGAGGTGTGCAGTGTCTCTCATGAAAGAGCGCTTACTTGAAAGAGAAATGAGGGTTTCGTACAGGTAAGGGCACGGCATGCGACTGGTGCCTCTTCATTTGATGAACACAGAGAATCGACGGTCCCACCATCAGATAGGTTAGGCAACTAATAGTCGACAATTTTCGCTTTACAGCGCCCGCGCCTCAATCTCGGTACAGATCTTCCAGGTGCTTCACCATCTTCCTCCGAAGGTCCAGAAGTTGGCTCTCCGTAACAATTTGGCTGTGTTTTGGCTGGTCCTCTGGGCCTTTATGATTGGAGACACCAGGATTGTCAGACACAACCAGATGTTCCTTTGTGCCGAAGAAGGGCACGCCTAGGCTCTTGAGCTCCGCCGTCATTGCTGTGTCCATGGCCTTCTGAGCCGAGTAGATCTTTCGATCGAAGTCTGCCAGCTCTGCCTCTTTGCTGATCTCTGGAGACTCTGGAGCAGGTGGAGCCCCGTAGAAGCTGGTATTCAAAGACTTCAGGATGGACTGAGCTTTGGCTGCCGACTGCGAGCGATTGGCCTGCGTCTGCTTCAAATTCTGCCTCTCGGTATACCAACGCATCTCGTGGGCACGCTGGTCCTTGATCATCTGGATTCGGTGTCAATGGGTTCCTATAGCATCACTCGATGACAATCTTACCCTCTTGATGCTTACTGCAAATTGTGAATTCTGGGCGGCGATCTTGGTCACACAACGCAAGGCTTCTGACCAGACTGTGATCGAAGCTGGATCGATCATTGGTCTTGGGGAGGCCGCAGCAGATTTGTTTTGCGGTCTTAGGCGCGGGTCATGAAGCCCCAGGTCCCGCGGTGGTGCTGTACCGGCCTTGATTGCTTCTTGGTCAATCTCGGGAGTCGGAGAGCCGTATTCGTCTCTCGGATTAGGCGCTATCGGGGCCGTCGGTTGCATATGCTGAGCCAGAGTGGCCAGTATGGCCTGAAGATCCGGGACCGCCGTCGTATTGCTGCTGTTCTCCATGACGTCCGCGCTGACGATCCCAGATGCCGAACAGGAGTCTAGACGGACAGCACGGTATAATGTTTCTATTGAGCGACAGTAGTTGTCTTTTTCGACTCTCTTTTGAATCAACTCGACGATGATCTCAGTCAGGTGCGTGAATGTTGTTTGCAAGGTGAGGTTCAATGCCAAGTCTCGGACAGCCTCGTATTCGGGAAACTTGCCCTAGGTTCCGATGACTTCAAGAAAGTCCCTCTGCGACATCAGCATCTGTTCAATGCATCTTTAAACAAGTATCCACGGCTCATCGCCATAATCCCGCCTCAAATCGACCACAATGCCGCGATCACCCTCCGATGCCACGCGCTTCACGTCGACCGGTCCCTACGTCTCCACGAAGCCATCCGGCTCTGCAACAAATTTCGCTGCCAACCCAACTACAGCTCCTCCTTTCAGTGCAGCAGTGCCAAATGCAGCAAATCAGATAAATTTCGGACAAGCGCCGCAAGGCGAAACACCCCAACAAAAGATCGCCAGATTACGAGCAGCGGCCGCAGCTGCAAAACGGGGAAAGGAGAGCACATTCGACAAGTCAGTACGGATAGGACGAGTATGGGCGGACAGGGCACACAGGGTTACGGCATACAGTCTGATCGGATTGACAGTCGTCAGTGCAGCGGTAGCAACTGCGGGTATCACGGATATGCTGCTGCACAACCGAAGGCGGCGGAATGAATGGTTAGCGGAGAAGAAGGCAGAGAGTGCGCGAGAGCTGACAGTCGCGAAAGAGGCGGCTACAAAGGGCGCTGCGACTGAAGATCAAATCCTGCTAATTAATCGAGAGCGTGCGGCGGAGGAGGCGGCGGAGGCGAAGAAGAATCGACCAGGAATGATCAAACGGGCATCAAGCTGGCTGTTCTCGGGACTTCAGAAGGAGGAACAGAAGGGCGGCAGACTTGGTACAACAACGGCTGTGGCGGAGGCCCAAAATAAATCGAGTGAGATCACGTGGACAGGACAAGGGAAGGGCGTTCTACAGGCCGTTGAGGATAAAGTGGATTCCCACCGAAGGCAGGGAGAGACAGTACCGGAGCTCATTTCGCCATCTGGCGGACCTCTAGATCGTGAAGCGCAAGTAGTTGCAAACGATGTGTGGAAAGCAACACGAAGCTGGACGAGCTGGGTCACGGGCCGATAGCGAGGAGACGGGAATGATTCGAGTCCCGTATGTTACCAATAGACTTGCACGGCAACGGGCTCAGCGAGATCATGTGCACATATGTACATTACAATGTACAAAATTTGTCACCCATCAACGACCACAAAATTCGTATGTGAGATGGTGTGGTTTTCCTTGCGCCGGATGTTACTCCATCTTCTTTTGCCTTGTGGTATTGCACATTCACCATTGTTTCACGCACACGCCACCTTGGAAACGAGCTATCGACGAGTTTCTTCCCTGCCAATCCTCAAAGCTTCCCTCGCGAGCCTTATCGGACACGTCTTCTCGGGGCCACCAGATGCTCAAGGCCACCATCATATTCCATAACAATGCAAACTAAGCTTGTATAAAGACGATGACTAGCTCTGCACGGAAAAGCTCTTCCAACCGTCCCTTTCCAGCACTTTGACCGCCCATGCAGCGATGCGCTCTCTTTTGCGTGTCCAAATAACAGTCGATGCGAGCCCTCGAGAGGCGACCTTGCACGTTCCGTCCAAGACTCGTGGCACCAAAGTCAGACGTCCATAGCGTGGAATGAGCACTTCGAAGCCGCGGAATACGAATCAGTCCCCAAATCAGTTTATCGCACCGTATATGAGAGCGACACGGATAAATCTGTCTGCCAAATGGAAGCCGCACCTGATACTTGACTCCCAAGTCGTGGTCACCAAGAAGAGGACCAGAAATGCACAGAGCGGTTCCGATCGAATTAAACGTCCATCCAGGCTGCGCGAGAGGCATGAGAGAATCGAAGCCCTCTCTTCGAGATCTCGAAGTATGATGCCGGCGAAAACAGTCAATCGCGTGAGCCTGTACAATGAGGGGAGTGCATTCGGGAGAAAAAAGAGCAAATTGGCTTCGAATAGACATGAGATTGCAACGACTCTGGATCTTCATATTGTGTACTGCGTAGCTGTGTTGTATCTATGCGGACAGGGATGGAAAGTCTGTCTTCAAAGTGCTCGGAGGCTTTGAGCAAGATGACTTTCGACTGAAGCTTGAAAGGGACGCGTGGAAGGGTGCAAAAGTAACTTCTCAAGTGTCATTTTTGATATGATTTTGCCTTGTTTTCTTGCGCCGTCGAGGTCGCAGGAGCTCTTGGTATCATTCCTTCATCCAATCCATGCCACTCCGAACCATACTTTTATCCGCCTTCGCCGTGTTCGCTCAAGCACGTGAGATTCTGAGACAATAACGTTTATCACTTCTTCTACATTCTCGCACACGTCTCCACCCCTTCAATTATCCACTCGTCTGGTACGCGCTTGATCTCAAAAAGCAAGCGCCTTCGCCAAACTGCCGGACCTCAACAAACCCACGATAAATTCCACCCCAGAAGCAGAGCCCAGCCAAGCCGATCTTCAGCCATTCCCGACGAGGCGTCCTACCAAACGAGGTCATCATCCAGAACTTCCACTAACCGAACCAAGACCAAGACCACTGCAGGAAAACCTTCTGATCCTGGTTAAGTTCCACGCAGAAGAACAGATGCAGGATGATGAAGTAGAAGCCTGGTGCCGCCGGCAGGAAGATGAGAACGTGGACCAGAAGTTGCTTCCAGCCTGCCTCCTCGCTGAAATCGCCGTCACGCTCGTTGGCGATAGTTGGAATGGCTTGCTGATAATCTCGTGTTGGAAGTGCATATGGTGGTGGTTGAGCATCCTGTTTCTCGAGTTCGGAGTTGGCATTGAAGCTTTGCTCTTTCTGTTCTTGCTCTGCCGCCATTTTGGTCGTGTTTCTGATCTTAAGTTTGGGCGACAAGGGGGTGTTGCAGGTCGGAGATCTTTGAAAATTGGGAATGACCTGCAATATATCAAATCGAAACTGGAAACGAAGTCGACGTCGAAGTCGGTGTGCGACTAGAGTTGAAGAAGAAGTCGGAAACGACGACGTGTTCGCAGTAGAGAGGAAGCTGCAACATTGAAGTTACACGGCTCAGCCAGATGCAGCAAGCGCAGAGAAGAAGCGCGAAGGGGAAGTGCAAACTGAACTGACGTAAGAACAGTCCCATGGCTCAGATTGATTCCGTACGTCCATCTCCGCAACCAATGGCTGCGATCATCGGCATTTGGAAAAGGCACCTCGATTCACTGTGTGAGCAGTCCCTCACGAAGACAAGTCGACCCTCAGCTCTTTCAAGGAATCTGCCATCGAACGCCCAGTTGACTCGAGTGACCACCTCGCCTCCTTCTTCTCTTCCGGCCCCTTATAGTGCAGAACGACAGCCTTCTCTTGCCGCCCATCAACCTCAAACCACAACCACTCTCGCTTTTTGCCGCCGCCGTGAGGTCGGCTGAGAGTGCCCTCGCGCTTATCAAACTCCCAATTGCCACCAAGAGATTCTGCAAGTGCAGTGCCCAACACAATAGCTAGGAAGTCGTCTGCGCCAGAAAGCGCATCGTTCAGGCTGTCAAAGGTAATGCGGGTTCCATCCGGAGCTTGAACTGTGGACTGCGGCTCAAGGGCCTCGTCGTGCTTTGTCTCGACATCGACCTTCATCTCGAGAGTGAGGTCGTCCTTCGCAATCACCCACAGTGCACCCTCTGAGATCAGGCCCTTCAGCACAGAGCAGATAAGTAACTCCGCAGTCACGGCGTCTTTGGAAGGCACAGGTAAGCTCATGCGAGCTGGCTGGCATTCCGCTGAAGCACCGGTCATATGCAGACTTCGCACAAGTTTTGCCATGCTGTTGAGGTAGGTATTCAAGCGCGACAATGTCGAGTGGTGTTTCAACAGTTGCACGAGAGGCCGCATAATTGAGACGTCATCCTGCTTGTTGTCTTGCTTGTCTGAGATCGGAGGCGGTATCTCTTGTTTCTTGTGCATCTTTTCCCTGTGCTTCTGACCCAACAAAAGTCGAGCTGTTACGAGGGTTGCCTGCGCCAGAGCATCTGCACTGTGGAGCGCATCGAGAGGAAGCGAGTTGTCTTCGTCGAGTGAGATCAACTCCAAATCCATAGTGTACGCTTCATCCACACCTGTTGCGAATGTGATAGCAGATCCTTTCATCGAAAGGCCCAATGAAGTCAAGCTCCGCGTCTCCCGGATCATCTCGTGGTACAGCTCCTCATCATACACACTGTCCCTAGCATGCCGGATGCGCGCTTCGAGCGTGGTCTCGTCATCGTCCGACAGCGTCGGTAGCCTTGAGCTCCCAACAACTTGGGCCCCCTTCTTCACCAGTGCCCGCACGGCTTTTGGTCTGGTGCCAATTCCACGTTCCAGCGACACCGCTCCTTCAGAATCGCCCACCAATGCAGCCAGGTTTCGCCCTGCAAAGGCGCGCGCGCATCCACTGAATCCGAAGTGGACGCCAAGTAGATGAGTTCTCGGTATCCGGCTGACATTCCACTTGTCCGAGATGGACAATATTTGGTCCCAAAAGACAGTCTCCTTCCTTACATTATCTTGCAGCCTCGTAGCAGCTGCCAGCAAATCATCCGCGCTCTGCTGCAAAGTCTTCATGCGGACCTTACTCGCCAGCAAGGCATCCTGAGCTTCCCGCGCCTGGTCCACAGGCATGGCTTTTTGATCCCACAAATCCACTCCCATGGTGCTAAGAGGCACACCCTGCTTTGTCCATGGGGATATACTCACAGCCGCTTGTCGCGGCAGATACTTCGATTCCAGAAGCGCGACGAAGTCCAGAGACAATAGTGTATCATTCATGGCGACGCTTGCAACCTCCATCATCTTCATCTTGGCTGCGAACAGCTCCTCCCTTGTTGTGGGCGGCTTGGGCCTGCCATCTTTTCCACTCTCGGCTTCCTCTTCATCCTCCTCCTCATCACTCGAGCTGGTTTCAAGAGCACCTTCTGTAGCGATTTCCTCTTGTAGGGAAGCCTCAGTGATGTCGCGAAAGTGGCCTCGTTCCAGATTCACGCGTGCCAGTACATCTTTGAGCGCGGTCTCGTTGGTATTGTCGCGCGTCCACGGCTTGATGGCGAGCGAGGTCGCCGTAGTCGTAGAGCTCATCGTGGCATCTTCTGCAGATGTGTCGTGGTTCGAGTTGTGTTCACGAGTGGTCGAATAATATATGCTGTAGTGAGCTCCACGTGCTGGCTTGAGATCGCGCTAGCGGCTTCTGGAATGTAGATCCGTGCTGCGTGGGTACCTTATCCTGAGAAAGTGCGGTTCACTATCAGCACACACAACTTCTATTTGTTGCCATGGACAATCTGCTATTTCGAAAAACTTCACTAAATTGTGTGAGCGAAAATGACTACGAGATATCGCGTTGAGTGTAAGTTTCCGTCTCACCGCCTATTGTAACAGCGATGCTTACACGTCTCAGACGCCCTCAAGGTATGTTCTACAGGCACAGTGCTATAAGGCATCACAGTACTAATACAGTGCTGTAGACCCACAGAAGAGATCAATTTGTACGTTTTTCTGCCATAGCCATGTCTGATACCCATTAACGCTCGATAGATTGAATGGATCAAAGGACTGCTGGCAGTGCCTTTCGTGCTGCTCTCGCAGCCGACCCACATTCAGGACGATGACAAGCCGACTGTTGATCTCATGGCCAGATCCGCCAACGAGCGGTATGGCCAGATCATGCAAGACGTCGAGGAGCTTGTGGCCGAGCACATCGCCCACGAGAAGCCCAACAGCAATAAGCCACCAAGCACCAGGTCTAAGTTGAGGATGCTCGTTCCTACCGTTGGCACGTTCTTCACAGCGTTGCCACTGAGAGACGCCTTTTCCTGGCAAGACGAGCGTCGATCCATCTCCAGTCGGCGGTTTGTGGCACCCAGTTTCAACGACATTCGGCTTATCTTGAACACCGCCCAGGCCATGTCCCTCGTCCGAGACAGCAAGCTGGAACTCATGACCTTCGATGGAGATGTCACCTTATACGATGACGGCGAGTCACTGAGACCCGACAACGAGTGCATACCCCGAATCATCCAGCGCATGAAGGCGGGAGTGAGGGTCGGCATAGTGACCGCAGCGGGTTACACTGAAGCCAAGCGCTACTACGAGCGACTATACGGACTCCTCGATGCTCTGGCCACCAACAAGATACCTGCCCGTCAGCTAGTAGTTATGGGTGGTGAAGCAAACTTCCTCTTCTGCTACAATCCGCATGCCGAATACAAGCTCGATCCAGTACCAATGGAGGACTGGCAGCTGCCCGAGATGCGCAACTGGACCGAAGAGAACATCGCCGCCCTTCTTGATGTCGCCGAAGATGCTCTGAAGAAATGCGTTTCTGCACTTAACATACCTGTGAACATCCTTCGCAAAACCCGCGCAGTTGGCATCTACCCTCCCACAGGCACGAGGCTCAGTCGCGAGACGCTGGAAGAGACCGTCCTCGTTGTACAGCGAATCCTCGAGCTAAGCCCAGCGGGAAGCCGCCTTCCTTTCTGTGCTTTCAACGGCGGCAACGACGTTTTCGTGGACATTGGCGACAAGTCCTGGGGCGTGATGGCCTGTCAGCGATACTTCGGTGGAATTGAGGGTGGAAGAAGCTTGCACGTCGGTGATCAGTTCTTGAGCGCTGGCGCCAATGACTTCAAGGTACGTAGACAAATCTTTCTTCTTCTTGGAGAAACATCGGCTGACTGGATTCAATAGGCACGACTTGCCTGCACAACCGCCTGGATTGCCAGTCCCACCGAGACCGTTGCACTGCTGGACGAAATCCAGCAGCTGTACGAGATAGATCGGAAGGAGACATAACCTCAACAGGACCAAAATGTACTGATACGACCGTGACACGACCGAAAGCCGTGACACGATTCAACTAGCACAGAGAGCCCTTTAGTATGCCCCATGTACGAATTAAAAACCCAGAGTGGTGATTTCGACCAGCCTCCAACCATTACACGATCCCAAATGCTCCTCAACCGATCTAACATTACACCGTCATCCTCATCTTTAACAAATCCTTCTCAACAATCTCCTCCTTCCTCTTCTCCAACTCCTCCACGTCCCACGTAACATCCAAATACCTCCCATTCAACCATTCCTTCCTCTCCCCACCGGAAATCAACCAAACCAACCAGGCCCCACAAAGCCCACGCGCATCCGTCGACCACTCCCTCACACTCTCCGGCCACCCAGGCGGCAGCACATCCGGCTCCACAGCACCCGGATGCACAGCCGCACAGAAAACGCCCTGCTCTCCGTACATCAAAGCCACCCTCTCCGAGAGACGATTCGTAGCCAAAGCAGAAATCCCAAATCCGAGTGGAGAGCCAGGGATATGACTGCCAACGCTGGAAATGTTAATGATGGATTTGGTAGGGCGAGGGTTCGAGAGGATCGAATGAAGAAGATGTTTGATCATATACACCCTGCCCAGATAATTCGTGTTCGTGGTGACTTCTACTTGGGAGGAATCCTGTTCGTGTAGAGGGGACAGCATGGTGGGGTTCGTCCCGACCAGACCTGCGTTGTTGATGAGAAGATCTAGGTTTCCTTCGAATTCTTGTTTCACTATCTCCGCGAGGTTGATAGCGGATATTTCTTCGGAAACATCCGCAGACACGCGGACGACTTTGAGGTCTTTATTCTTTGCGACCTGCTCGCAGGCTGCTTTTGTTTCTTCGATATCGGCTGCTTTGCGCGCGGTCAAGATGAGACCGGTAGCGCCTGCTTGGGCGAAGACTTTGGCTGTCGCGGCTCCGATTCCTCTGCTTGCGCCGGTGATGACGGCCGTGAAAGGCGTTGGGAGAGAGGCTTTGGTAGGGTCGATATTGGAAGGAATCTCGCCGTTTGTCTTAGGACCGCGTGGAACGAAGGTTGTTCCGGCCCAAGGCGGGAAGGAGAGGAGGCGGTGGGCCATGTCTGGAGTGAAAATGGATACGGAGGGACTTTGGTAAAAAGGGAAGGTGCTTGTAGCCAACTTGAACTTGTGAATGCTAGTGGAGATGCGAAATGGAAGGACCTACAACAATTGAGCCTCTCTTTGTACTTTGGCCCAGCAGCGGAGTTTATCATGATTCCGCCCGACATACTAGAGCTCGACATCTTGTTTGCCTTATGAGGGAGTGAGGTGCCGCCACAAAGACCTTAGCAGTACCCTAAAGCCGAATCACACTAATCCGCTTTCGGTATGCACGATGTTGCGAAAGTCTTCCGTCCGGCGGTCCAATTCCAAACAAAGAGAGCTGTCGATCAACACCCCTGTCGGTAGACGCACGTTGGAAAGCTCGATGGGGGAAGCCTTGGGGAGCTTGTCTGCCATGAATGCGAAACTGCAAAGCGTGCAATCGGTAAGTCCGAGCACGATTCCGATACCACTGGTTATGCATCAAGATCTATTGAGGATCATTAGCCTCTCCAGAGTCTGGAAATAATCATGATCAGCGTGAGGAATGGTTTGCGATCGGTAGATATGACCTTGCGATGCTCAATAAGTAGCTCTCCTGCAGTGAGAACATTTGGGTATCATACACAACAATCCTTGGCTCCAAACTCCGCGCTAATAGCAATGACAGTCGCTTATCCTAGCAAGGCTGGCCCAGCGTTTTATGCGCCGGGGTTGTACTTCTCTCCGGCATCTTTGAAGAGTTGGTCCTGTAGTTTAAGCAACTCTTCCTGCGTCATGCCAGACTGCTCGATCTTGGTCTGCTTCCGTTCGCGATGCTGTCGATCCGAAGTCAGCGTACGTCTCTTCATGCCCTTCCACATCTTATACATACCGCTGCGGTCGCCTTGAACTCCTCGGCCACCCTCTGCAGCTCGGGCACATATTCTCCAAACCCAAGCTCTTCCAGAGCCTTAGTGATGTGTTCGCATGCGATCGTCTTCTTCGCATCTTTCTCCGCAATCTCGTTCGCTTCCGAGCTTAACATCGTGATGAACTCGACACAGCATTCGATCAGGACATCTCGCGCGTCCTTGGCGAAGGTCATGTCGCTTTTGCCACCTTCCGCATTGTTGTTAAGAGCAGGATTGGTGAGGAGGACTTCGTTGATTATTTTCTGGACCGTCGCTGCAGCAAGCGTGTCAGCTCTTCCAACCATCTTGTTCGAAATCGAGCGTCGGGCCGTTGTGTGTTGAGGGTTCGTGGAATTCCTGGGAAACTTTTACCTTTTGGGAGCGAGAGGTCCTCGTTGCCTATATAGCTTCTCGTCAGCCTGGTCCACGCCTGCCGTGTAAATTCGACGAGGTGAATGGAAAGTGCTGGCTAGAGGGGGAAGTCTACCTCCGAACTCCTTATCTGACATCGTGATAGACTCGCTATAATGAATGCAAGGTTTTAATTTGTCGTGTGTAGAGCGACAGAATGTTTGCAAGAGCAAAAGTCCAGGTGTAGTAGTGAAGAGCGAACGTTGTTTCTTGTTGTATTCACATGCTCGAGTCCAGGGCAGCCGGCCCCGCCGCGGGAGTGCCAAGATTCCGGAGATCTCCGAAAGCGAATCCGAATCGCAAATTCCATCTCTGTAGGACCGAGCTTGCTTTCTCTGCTTCTTCCTCCCATCAACATCAACATCGCCAGGTACGTATTCCCTCCCTGCCCCCTGCGATCCTCCTCTTCATGATGATCTTTTGTCGCCCCTATCTTACCATTGACGAACTCCTTCGGGAGGACGTGGTGATTGACCTGTGTAGCCAAAGCACTGGCTGATTTCGAAGCTTCCTTCACACCTATACGTATTTGCATATTCTGCTCGAGTGCGAGCTGACATTGGCATAGGCAGTCTTCGACAGGCATACTACGCACCAATTACAACAATGATGTTCCGATGCTATCGGCGTAAGAGCTGGGCTCACGTGGTGCAGGGTTCGAACACAATGCCTGCGCTGGCCGATTCGCAGATTTGGATACTGGCCACGAAAGTCAGTGCAGAACGCATTTCTACAAGGTAAGCTTTACTGCGAATTGGAAATCACTGGATACCCTGATGAGCAACAAAATGTACTATCAAATGCCGATCTTTCATGACGGAACAAACTTTGGTTCGATTACCTGATACGGACTCGATATTGTTCAGCAACCTCATGTGCTTGAGGGAGGAGCAGCGCTGACTTGATGCAGGTAGGTAACACTTTTGCTGTCCATCACCCACTCGACACTGTCGTCGATTCCTATATGTGAGTCTTGCTCTCCTTCTTACGCCCAATACCTCGCATGATGCAACAAAACATTCCATGCTAAACCTGAGCAGACCTTCGGGTCTTCTGCTGAATAAAATGTATGCTTTTCATCTTTCGACTGATCCGCATTGCAATTCCTCCGCAAGCTCTTCAACACCATTCGCAAGGCAGAAGCTGATGTGGTCTACCTCAATAGATTTGCTCTCACGAAAATATCCTCGATGTTCTCAAAGTCGATAGCCATTGCCATATCATGGTTCTCTCACTCCTGCCATGCCTTCAACTCTGCCGCATTCCACGTCAAGAATTTTCCACTCAAACCATCCAACTTATTCTTCTCCTCCACTGCCAACTTGGCCATAACATGTCCCGGCTGCTCCGGCTTCAACAAGCCTCCCGTCTCTTTCAACTCCTTGAACTTCGCTGCGTCTTTCGGATCCATGGAACCAGAGTGCTTCTCCCTGATATCCCTCTGCATTTCCGTGTCCACGACACCCGGTCTGATCGCTATACTCACGATATCTTTCTCTTCATTCGCAATCGTGCCTGCCAAATGATTCAGTGCCGCCTTTGATGACCCATACGCTCCCCATGTTGGATAGGCATTCCCAGCCGCTCCTGAAGAGGTAAATAGAATCGTTCCATTCGATTCCCGTAGTAAAGACAAGGCCGCCCGTGACAGAGCTACGGCCGAGAAGAAATTCACATCGTAGCTCTTGCGCCATTCTTCGGCTGTGCAATCGCTCAACCTCTTGACCGGGTCTAGGACGCCATGGTTTACGATTACAGCATCTAATCTCTGGAACCGATCCTTTGCGAGGTCGATGGCTTTTTGTGCAAGGTCGAATTCGGATAGGTCGCCGGTGAGGATTGCGATTCTGTTCTTTCCGTAGGTGGATTCGAGGTCGTGGAGGGGTTGCGTGGTTCGGGCGATTAGGACTAGATTGTGGTTCGCGGGTTGGGAGAGGAGGAATTTGGCTATGGAGAGGCCGATGCCGCGCGAGGCGCCCGTTAGCAGAATCGTTTTGGACATCGTTACCGAGATGGACGGGTGCAGACTTCCTTTTAGAGATTTGCAGGTGGTGGTGAGTGAAGAGAGCTGGCCCCACATCCATGTCCCCGCCATGACATTGAGACGATCACACCGACGTCTTGCTCCTTCATGGCATCAACTTCGCCATGATCTTAGAGATGACTTTCTCTACATGCTCTTCGTAAGTAATACTTGGTCTTTCTCATCTCGCTCAGTCTATCATTGCAACAGCGCTCAATTTCTTGATTGCGTATCTACTCGGTTCAGACCACGGAGAAGCACCTCCACCTCACCTCACAGAACTCTTCTTCGCACAATAATGCCAGAACCCGAATCAACAACAGTAATCATCGGCGCGGGCATCATCGGCTGTGCAACTGCATACTATCTCTCTCACTCCCACCCCACGAAACCTCAAAACATCCATCTCATTGATTCCTCTCCTGAAATCTTCGCCTCAGCCTCCGGAAAAGCAGGCGGTTTCCTCGCCTCAGACTGGTTTGGACCCGCAACAGCCTCACTCGGCGCTCTATCATTCCGACTACACGAAGCACTTGCGAGGGAGAATGATGGATACAAGAGGTGGGGGTACAGTCGGAGTACAGGGACCAGTCTGGTAGATGGAGGAGGTGGATCTGTACACGAGGGCGACTGGCTTGCCGAGGGTGGGAGTAGAGCTGAAGCAGCTGGTATGCACGAGTATGGGAATGATGGCGTAGGGCCTAGATGGCTCAAGAGGAGGAAAGGAGATTATGTCGAGGTAATAAGTGAGGAGGGAGGTGTCGCGCAGGTTGATCCGTTGCGTCTGTCCAAGTTTCTACTTGGGGAGAGCCTGGATAAGGGAGTACGGTTGCATCAACCTGCTCGGGCTGTCAAGCTTGTTACCGGGAAAGATGGCGTTATGAAGGGGTTGAGAGTCAGGAAAGATCGTGATGCCGAAGATGGGGCTAAAGAGGAGGAAATCCCATGTACACGACTTCTAATCACAGCTGGAGCCTGGACAGCGAAAGTCTTCGCATCTCTTTTTCCAGGTTCAAAGCTAAGAATACCCGTCTCCCCACTGGCAGGTCACTCTGTGGTCGTTCGAAGCCCTCGCTGGACGAGGGAGCACCAAGCAGAAGGCTGCCATGCCATTTTCACCACCATGCAAAATGGTTTCAGTCCCGAGATTTTCTCTCGCATCGGCGAAGAGATCTATATCGCCGGACTCAACTCGCCCTCTATCCCGTTACCGGACGTCGCCACGGACGCCAAGATCGACCAAGAGAGTATCAAGGAGTTGATGGAAGTCTCTCAGCGTTTGCTTGGAAAAGATGGTACTGATCTTTCAGATATTGAGCTTTTGCGAGGAGGCCTGTGTTTCCGACCGGTCACCCCGAATGAATCTCCGATACTGGCCAAGGTTTCGGGGAAGCAGCTTGGGGATGTGAGCACTTCACCGAATGGTGGAGTCTTTGTCTGTGCCGGCCATGGACCTTGGGGTATCAGTCATAGTCTAGGGACTGGCAAGGTCATGGCTGAAATGCTAGAAGGGCAGAAGACGAGTGCAGATATCAAGCGATTAGGTATGCCTTGAAGTGGCCATCAACAGCGATGACAGTCTCCTTCGAACTGGGTACAATTCAGTGTTGCGGGTTCTCGGATCATCGTGGTGTGTCGCCGGACACTGTGATGGTTGGGATTGTACTTTGCAATGTCGAAGACAGACTCAGCAAGAGACATGTGCTGGACACGCCGAGCTCTCTCACTAGCAGCAGCAAACGCTATAGATCCGGATTGTTGCAATCACGAAGCGTTATGACTCACGAACTACAACACGACAACAGTAATGCGAAGCGCAAGAGGAACAAACGACAATGACATTGAGAGATAATGAGAATTGAGAAGTTTGTTGGATCAATCGTTGTAATTGATGGTCAACGCTACAACTGTACAAAAGAAACCCTGTCCAGCGTGGACATGACCTTCACTCCGTGGCTACCCTCACGACTCCAGAAAATGCTTTGATTGGGGTATAATCGCAAAAGGCCATCGGTAGAATCAAAACTCCCATCACGAAATCTACTCCTCCGCAACGATCCCCTTAGAAGGCGAAGAAACCCTTGCTCATCGACCTCGACATGCGCGAAGTTGATCGGCTCTTGGATGCTGGTGCCGCGACAGAGGCAGCGCGCGACTGAGCTGGTGTGGCAGCCGGAGTGTTTCCAGCAGACTTGACGGACATGGTGTTGGTGTTCTTTCGCGGCGTGACGCTGCGCGATGTGGTGCGGACCAGGTCGTTGTCTTCAGCCTTGCGCTGGCTGGAGTGGTGGAAGTATTTGGATAGGCTGGAACCTGGGAGGTCCTCGACAGTTTGGAAGAGTTGAAGCATGGTGGTGGTTGAGTGGTTTGAAGTTGGTTGGTTGATATGGTTTGACAAAGGTGGAGATCGATTGTGGATCTTTGAAGTTGTTCGAGGATTGAACTGTTGGATTGCTGTGCTTGGAAAAGAAGGTACTCTAGGGTTGAAACAGCAGACATATATACCTCCCAGGACCTACAACACACACTCACCCATCCGAGGCTCTTCGGCGATGGTAATTCGGATGCCTACGCCTCTCTACACGTTGGGACGACGATAGGACAAAAAGGAGCATCCTAAGTTTCAGGCAACGAAATTTCCTCGGCACTCTATGCAGGAGCCTTCAGGCAACCCGATTATCGCTCTCGGGATCCGGGTGGCGTTCCTGTCGATCAGCCTCTTCCCATACGCCCCGACACTTTGGAAGACCGACAACCGAGGTGATTATGAACTCTATCACAATTTTGGGACGTTGCTATTGGTTTGGGAAAGAATTCTGAGGCCTATTGCAGGCGTCAGTATTCAAGATTATTCCCGTCGGCGGTTGCTGCTCATCATCACGTCGTTGAGGCTGAATTTTTGAATGGTGCTTTCGGCATGTGAGAGGACCCTCCCGTCTCTTCGGCGCTTCAGAGCATGATCCGCATCCGTGTGGCTACCGGCTCTCGCCGATATTGAGAGATGAGTGTCTGTCTGCGAGATCGTTGTCGTCTTTCCCAAACGTTGTCTCCGACGTGCGTTGGATCACATCGATGCTGAATGAGAACACATTGCATCTTGACGCCTTCGACTGTCGAGCTGACTCCCGGCGATCGTCTATCCGACATCCGATGACACTTTCTACCACAAGAGTCGCCTCCGATAACCTCGCATGCTCGATGGATGATTGCTTTCTATGCATGTCAAAATCGCGACCGAGCAATGAGGATTTTCATCCTGCGGGAATGTGTGCACGGACCTGTTCTATCACATGCCAAGTTGGCCAGGGCTGGAATTTCGTGTGACCATGCTCAGCATATCTTCCTCATGATCAAGCGCTTTATCAGATTTGGAAATATTCTTGCGCTATTCCTATTTTTCACAATCCAACCTACTACCTCCACCGTGCCGTTTCCGGTCGCTTCCCGCTGCTCGTCCGCAACATGTCCTCTGCTCCAGCGAGTCATAGTAATTCCTTATCGTCTCCGTCTATAGCCTAAATGTAATAGAAGCTAAAGGCTAAATAAGCCTATATAATATACAACCTAAATAAGTATAGATATAATGAATCCTCTAATAGATTCGCTTATCCAGCCACTGTATTTTGCGGTCAGAATAGACGACGTCTCGGACGCGAAAGCCGCCGGCAGAATTGGTAGATGTCGTTTCCCAATGTCGAGAGAAGCAACGCAGATCAATAGAGAGATTTCTTTGCATCTTTGTCAAGGAATCTATATAGACTCTTGCCGGTATTATCATCATGCCCAAAAGATTCTCCGCCTCAACCAACGGGACGCAACCTCCCTATAACGCAAAACCTGATCTCGAGAAATTCAGTACCGGTTATATGCAGCTGGCCCGTCTAATGAACGCGCTTCTTGGTGGCTGCTACTGACACCACCTTCGACTCTTGACTCTCGACTTCAGAACGGTAACGTCTTTAGGTGCCGGCGGCCATTGAGCTCTAATAAAGGTAGCCGCTGCAACGAGGGCAAAGGGAAAGTGGTCCCTAGCGCCCATGGTTGGCGGTGCGTCAGTCAAACACGCAGCGCAAAAGAGAAGAAATACGGACGGTCTGCTGTTACATATTCGAGCAAACGAGGGCGCACCTATTAGACTTTTGTGGGATGCTCCCAAGAATATATATGTATCCACAGATAGTACAGGTACAAAGTGCGATAATGTACAGCGATGTGTGCACGTATCGACCATCGAGACCCAATAATTATTAGTCGCCAGACGCTCTGGGCGTCATGTCCGCCTCTCGGCGTTATTTACAGCATTATTATAGTATTCTGCATCTGCACTGGTGGACAGGTACGTCGTGTGGTGACTCTGTCTCATCCGCTTGATGCCCCATCGCTCGTGAACTAGACCACTCGCGATTCTTGCCTATCCAGCTTACTGGGTCTCAACTGGGAGTGAAGAGATGTCCCATCCAGATCGGTACTCCGCCCATGGGACCGGATTTCTTGGCCGGAGTGCTGTATGGCGCGTACGGTGGCCATGATTTGGGGCCTACAGCTCGAGTGAGTGTTGCTCGGGCGCTAGTCTGGCGACAGTCGCGCGGCTTGTCGACGCCGAGGAGTGGAAGAGCCCGCTTCCATTGTGCGGCAATAGGTGTTCGCAATCCAGTGTTGTGGTGTTCATTTCAGGGGACCGCCAGATGAATAGCCAGCAAACCAAGCAGAGCAAGCCAGATATCTGGAAATGCGACGGAATGTCCTGTGTTCGAAGTACCCGTTGCCGCTGCGCCAGATTCTGTTGGTGCGGCTGATGTGCCTGTGGCACTATGCCTACCAGATGCTGGGTGGTTGCTATTGCTTCCACCTGTGGACGCTTCAAGGTCGTTGCCGGTACCGCTGCCATTGGCGTCGCTGTTGCTACCACCGTTGTTGTTCACACTGCCGCTGCCGGTACCGCTACCATTGGCATCGCTGTTGCTACCGCCATTGTTGTTCGCACTGCCGCTGCCGGTACCGCTGCCATTGACGTCGCTGTTGCTACCGCCGTTGTTGTTCACAGTGCCGCTGCCGGTACCGCTGCCATTGGCGTCGCTGTTGCTACCACCATTGCTGTTCACGCTGCCGCTGCCGGTACCGCTACCATTGGCATCGCTGTTGCTACCACCAATGTTGTTCACACTGCCAGTGCCAGTGCCGGTGCCGGTGCCGCTGCCATTACCGTCGCTGTTGCCGTTGCCGTTGCCGTAACCATTGTCGTTGCTATTGACTTCGCCGTCGCTGTTGCCGTTGCCGTAACTATTGCCGTAACTATGGCCGTTGCCATTGCCGTTGCCACTGCCGTCGCCGTAACTATGGCCATTGCCATTACCATTGCTATTGCCGTCGCCGTTGCCTTCGCTATTGCTGTTGCCATTCGGAGAACTCTGGATCTCGCCTTGCCCAGAGCCTGAAGGGCTATTGTCGCCTTGTCCAAGGCTGGAAGGATTCCCATCGCTTTGTCCCGACCCATCGCTGTTGGATCCGCTACTCGTCGTACCGAGTGTATCGTAGGCCAGTTGTGGAGCTTGACCTGACTGGCCAGACGCGCCATCACCTTGTACGTCGGACCCAGAGCCGTCGGAATTGCTTGATCCGTGTGAGTCAGGATTCGAAGGATTGCCGTCTGAAGGTAATGCAGCAGATCCGGCCGAAGGTATATCAGTAGGACCTGGCGTCTGCATAGGGCCGGGCGTCGGCGGATGTAGTGCTTGACCTGACTCGCCAGGCGAGCCATTTCCTTGTACTCCAAGACCAGAGCCGTCTGAGTTGCTCGATGCTTGTGAGTCTGGATTCGAAGGATTGCCAGCTGAAGGCAATACAGCAGACTCGGCTGGAGGGATATAAGTAGGTCCTTGCGTCTGCACAGGGCCGGGCGCCGTCTTTGGAACCGTGATACCGGGCGGGAGAGACGGAGCTGCAGCAGGTTGCTCGGGCGAAGGGGCATTCGGGTTATCTGAATGCGCGCTTCCAGGGGGCATAGTAATTCCAGCGGCGAACGAAGCCTCAGTCAAAGCAATGGGTGGATCGTAGACGCCATAGATCACTGGAGTGCAAGACTTCCATGGACCTTGCAAGCCAGTGACTTCCGATGGAAGCGAGATCAGAGCTCGATATTGGCCTTCGAAAACAGTACTGCACTGCGGATCGGGCGTTGTGAAGTTGCATCCTGATGCAGGCGTCGGCTGGAGGTAATATGCTTCGGGCGGTGGGTGTCTGTAGTCCTCGAAGGCCAAAGACTTGTACGCCACTTGGCCAGCTAGACTACTCTCGAAGAACGCTTGCATTGCGCTGGAGTAGGCTGGCAGACCATGTGCCAGAATGTCAATCGTGCTTGACGCGTTGGACGGGCTGTAGTCCATGACTACGCTCTTTACCTCCCCGGGCGCGAGTGCTGGCCGACGTTAGCGCCTGGCACTTGCGATACATCTCGTGCAACCTACTGATAAGTTGACCGGGAATCGTGGTTCCCTCTTTCTTGATGCCCAAGCCACCATCCACGGCCATCTGCTGACATCCTTGTTGATTGCATGTAGTACAATAGGAGTTGCCATTGGATTGGATGAGACGTTGGCCAGAGAGGTAATCGAAGGACAAGTAAACTGAGGGCGATGTGAAGGTTGTTCCCGGAGCAAAAGAGTACACAAGCGGAGGCGCCGTTGGGGCTGGCGACGCAATGCTCGCGTTGAATGTCTGAGTCGGGAAGTAGAATAATCGGACGCTGTTGCCATAGATGTGGCAGTCGTCAGGGGCATTGTGTTGTGAGATCACATTACAAGTGGTAGACGGTTGGTAATAATATTCTGGGCAAGGCTGCGAGCTGTTAGTATGGAGTCCGAATGACTGGCTGGAAGATCTGTTCTTGGATGATAGCTAGCAAGCAATAGAGGGAGAGTGATACGTACCGGCGAGTTCGAGGGAGCTGGCGTTATTTTTGGGACACTAGCATTAGGTGAGAGACCCAGGCTTGATACGTATGATGCGTACAGGCGACTGCAATCTTGTGGCGAAAACGAACATTTTGGCGTCCCGGTGGGAAGGACAGTCGTGGGGGTAGTAAGCGTCACCTCCAACGTCAGATTGTAAACTGTGGGCAGCGAACGGGTGGGCGTGAAGCTCCCGCTTGCGATGGGTATTCCAGCCTTGGTAGTGTAGACATCTCCGGTGCCATATACGAGCGTCGTGCTGACGGCCTCGTATTGAGTAAGGGTCGTCGTCACATTGGAGATATGGGACGACAGCTGAGCAGAGTACGAAGCCCAACTTGTTGCACAAGCAGCGAGATTATGAGTTGCATTGCCGTCGGGTCCGGTTGCGTTCTTGAACCTCACTGTGCTGTTGGCATTATGTGCAGAGCCAAGGCCAGCGCGAATGTAGTCGGAGAAGCCTCTGGGATGGTGCGCGAACGAGGGCGAAGTGCAAAGGGCCAATGCTGTGAGCAGGACTAAAACTGAGACAGCGGTCAGCGATTTTCAACGCAATAGTGTGTATTAACCATTACCTACCAGGTGAGAACCAAAGCGAACCGGGTCGAGGGCTCATCGCTGGCGGACGCTTGGGATCAAACGATTGTGGGTGAGGGTCGAGAATGCACCTGCCATGAGGAGGGTATCTCAGAGATGCGGCAATCGTTGGTAGTCGGTAGCCCAAGTTGCTGCAGACTATGGCAGTAGGGTGAACCGAGGTAAGTAGGAGGCAAAGTAGGAGTTTATAGGGAGACGCGAACGCACTACAGAACCTGGATGCATCGGAAGTTTGTTGTGTCTAGCACCTTTAGCGGAACTCAGGGTGTCTTGATGGACTGATTGGTCGACCACCCTCTCTTATGACGCTCTACGGGCAGCGACATGATCTTCCGATGCACGAAGACTCTGTAACGTCTGCCCAGGGTCAGGCTGGGAGCGCAACAACAAGCTGTCTGCGAGATGGTAGACTTCGTTACGAAGAGTGACGAGTGAGGCAAAGAGCTCGGTGCGCTCTCAGCCTGACCCTGGCAGATGTTATTGCTAGGACTGTACTAGCAAAGGTCAGTCGTGGATCCCTGCGCGCAGTGACCGGGCAGGGGCGACGCTACGAAGTCACGGACACGCTCTTACAGGCACATCCAGAGTGAAGGAATCTCGGCGTGTCCACATGTCGATGAGCCACACGACGGATCTCGGCCAGTTCCCAAGCGGGCTCCGCTTGTCTATGACGTTGATCTGGTTGTTGCTTCGGTACATGTAGTCCTTTGATTCTGCGGAGACCTCGTCTCTATGGACGCGTCGCTAATGCCTGTCGGTAGACCGCCGTCGGGCCACCAGCTTGGGTAGAGGGCGTAGTAGTGATTTTCCTAGTGGTGCCAAGGAGATGAAGGCGATTGTTCTCTCTCCCGGACGCGAAGATTTCACGAGGTGATGTCGTGGGATGGTCCGTGCATCGGGACCCACTCGGCATCCCCCGGCCGGTCGGGTATCTCAGGCTGTTTCACTTCTCCTTTTCCTTTTCCTTTCTTTGGACCCAATGCAAATTTCACGTCACGTGCATCCACCAAACAGACACGCATGGCTCGCGGTTGATGGCAGAACACGTCACTCTCACATTATTTACTGGACGAATGTAATAGGGAGTCGTTTCCGCCTTCATATGATGATGAAGGAAGGCACGTGCCGTGGATGACTAGCGCTGACATGCAGGACGCGCGCTACATCAGCATTGACGACGTTGCAGGAGTCATTCAATTCTTTCCCTTCAAATCACATCGAGGGCAAAGCAAAGCATAACCCAAACGAGACAGGCATCCGGCCTGGACGACGTCGCCGACGCCTTCCGCATTGTTGACGCAGAAGCACCAGAGGGCGGATATGGCTGGAATCGATATTGGATGTGCAGGTCTACTGGCCTTCTAGTCCGTTGGAAGCGTGTACCCATGGGGTGTTCGCTAAGCCGCATGCATCCCGCAGAGTCTCTTGAAGCCCTCTGTTCTACTACCGTGGGTTGGTCCTTTGTCCGTCGCATTCGTACCCTTCGAGGCTATCATAAGCGCCAAGACCTTGAGCAATCCTGGTTCGTAGCGAACCGGTTTCCTCGCGGCAAGTTTCTTTGGCCTTGGCGAACTCATCAGCAGCTTCTCAACGAAACACCTGGTAAGCTTCCTTGTCGGCACTGCACTTATTATGGGATGTAGCGTCGCTTTGACCTTATTCATGGTGCTATCGTGCACTGCAGCTCAGTACTTCAACAGAAGATGTGAACGGATTACTGGCACAATCTATGCAATGGTACGAGCACTCCCTTTTTGTGTGGTAGAGCGAGAGCTAACCGGAACAGGGAGGAGTGGGCGGCGCAGAGATCAGCTTCGTAAGCCAAGCACTCGTTGAGAACACCGCCATAGCCTGGACCTCAAGACATCGGCTACCGCTCGACCAGCCGCATTCTTTATCAAATACCGCATCGCCCCTAGCAGACGGTCTTTCATCGACTCGGACCTTCTCCGCAATTCACGGTTCGTCTTTCTCGTTCTGTGTGGAGCGATCGCAACCTTTCCACTCCCAGTGGCACCATTTTCTGCCATTGTACAGCGCCTACATCGGCCTCCTTGGTGCAGCAGGTCGCAGTGCGCATGTTGGCGCTTTGGCCAGTTTCGAAAACGCTGGCCCCACTAATCGTATTCGTGGTCATCAACGAATCTCTACAGTAACGATGAGATGACAAAGCTAATACCGCCTTTGCGGCTACTCGCGCATAGGCGGCCGTCCACGCCATGGCTTTGCTTCGCCCTGGTGCTCCTCGAACGCATTCTTTTCCATCTCCTCGCCGCAATCTCCGACCTCCCGTCGACGTCGCACTTCTTCTATCTGGAGACGTGTCTTCCCATCATGCTCACGTCTCCGCTCGCGACGCTGCGCTCGCTTGCGATTCGCTTGCTAGACGGCGACGAATCATGACCTGATCATCTTGCCGCAGTGTCATCATTGATTGTTCAGAAAGAATATTCCGAATCTTCGTCCCAGCGGAAATGATAATCGTCGCTGTCGTCAAATTTTTGCCAGGCACCATGCCGCCTCGGAGACCCCAGCCGTAATCTCTTCGGTTCCAGAAGCTGTTCATACCGCTGTGAAAAGAGAACGCATGGAAAGCGCGGAGTAATAGATTCCATCGTTGTAGGGAGTTAAACCCGATGCCTGCTTTAATCTCTGGCACCCGAGGATCGTGTTTCACCATGCATGCTCCACCAGCATTACAGTGAGCTTGCCTGGAGTATTCGAATACGAAATAATCGCTCCCAGCAACTCGGGCGCATCAAAGACTCCCCAGGCGAGAAGTTCAGAAATAAGTAGTCAGAGGCATGATATCGCAGATTATTGACGAAGTCGCGTAAGTCGTTATTGTCGGGCGCCTCACGCCAATTTTCCCTGCTCCTTCACTTTCTGTGTAAAAACAGCTGGAGAGTTCGTTCAGACTGGATTGCAGCAGGCTTTGGTTTTGCAAGAGGTGTTCCGGTGGCGTCGTAGGATAGGAAGAAAGTGTGGTTGCTGGTTTTTGAGCCGAGGCGGTCGCCTGTGTAGTCGATTGAGAGATATAGGTCGGGAGAGGGTGTGGTAGGGGAGGCGAGAGTCGGTGGGGAGGATGGTCGTCGTGGTTGCTGGTAGAGGGAATCGTATCGAAGGTCTACGTCCGCGGATGCGCTGTGCTCTCTAGCAAGTTCTGAAATGCCGAAGGCAAGATTGGTAGCTGGAGTTGGAGTCGAAGTTATAAAGCGCGAGCAAGCTTGATGCCTTGCGCACAGACCGCATAGCGGCCACCGAATTCACTAGCGCTTAGCACACGAACTGCACATGACAATCAGCCTCGTTCACTCCAACACAGGTCTAAATACTACATTTTCATTGGAATAAACATATATTTTACAAATACTCCTATGTACCAACATCTGTAGCTAAAACCCGCATTGCTTTACTATACTGTTCTTCGAGAAATGTCTTTTGACTGCCGGAGAAAGAATCGATTGCCTGTCGTGACCGAAACGCCCTGAGCATAAACAAGTCGCTAATTTGCTGTTGTCTCTCGATTCTCAGATAGATTTCTGGTTCTCTAATGAGCGCTGCCACCATTGTTAGCTTCCGCTGTCGCTCTGTAACGCGCCGCGGCGAGGCCGCCCAGTGCCGTTAGAAAGCCGCTACGCCACGGAATTGTTCGTTGACACTGGCGGCCCTTATGACGGAGCGTAAGGCATCATCGACAAGGCATTCGATCCTTTGATCCATGCACAACGGGATGACCCCAATGTAAGCTCGAATTGAAGCTCCGCAGAGCCGCCTCCAAGGCAAAAGTACCGAGCTCATGACATGCCGGAGTTTCCCAATTGGAATATCGCTGAGTCTCTTCATTAAGGCTGTGTAGCTGCGAAAATCGCGCTGTAGAAGCGGCATTCTGCCTGCTCGTGTCGTCGTGATGATCAGTTCGCCTGGACGTGGCTGGCGGCGCTGCGAATCCGCCCCCTTGGCATGGCAGGCGGCTTTAAAGAGCCCGAACGCCGCCAGCGGTCACAAGACATCTGGATCTATTACATGTAAGAACCTCGGGATGATGGAACCGGTGACCTTTGTAGATGTTGACGGTGATGGGAGGACAAATCTTGACGTGAGACGTCTCCATTAGAGCAAGACAGCGGGAAAACGTTCTTCCGTGAATTCTCGCGGCTTTGAATATTGGTTGGCGTCATGGCCACCTTGTCCGAGACTATGAGCCTCATCTTTATTTTGTCAATTTTGTTTGATGCAGTACGTCCATCAAAGAGCTGCGTTGCTGCCGTGTCTTGGTTTTCGAGCCTCGAATCTCTTCCCACATCGACGCGATCTGAGAAGTAGCCCTACGGCAGAGTCGCATGGGCTCCACCTTCGTCTTTGCATTGCTCGCCGTTTGTCTTTCCAAGCCGACCAGCCTTCATGCAGCTCAGACATAGACCCTTGCAGAGTCGTCTGATCTGAGAAAGCGACTTGTGGAATCTGCTATCCGATACGTGGGGGTAGTGGTGGCTATACTGACCGCACGACCGCTCGTCCTTCTCGACACGTGGGAGCACGATGCTCGCAGCTCGGCTCAACACAGTTTTGATGCTTTCGTTATACATCGTATCCAGATCTGACTCTTCAATGGCTTCGCGGGTCTTTCTGTAGTACGTCGTTGTCCTTGGACAGTCGATTGCGGTTCGAGGGCAAGGCTTTTGGTGCAGAGAAGCCGTCATGTTGATGAAGCCTTGCAGGATCCTGCTGCGCCGGTTTTCGAGAAGAACTTACGATCTTGTCAGCCTTTCAAAGTCCAATTTGACTTTGGCGTGGGAGATCCAGCGGTGCATATACGTACGCCAAACAGCGGATGGAGCAGATAGACTGAGAGTGGCAAAGCCATTTCGGTCAACTTTCTCCGGACAGAAGTCCAACAACAAGGTCTTCGTGAACTCGTAGAACAAGCTTGAGTGACCAAAAAGGTAGGCAGCCGATGTCAAATCAAAGACCTCGCGATAGCTGGGCTTGATGAGGTTTGGGAACAGCGCTTTCGACGGGAGCTTGAGCGCTTGCGTGAAGCCATACTTGTCCGCCACGACGGCGAGCGCAAGCAATTCATCCGCAGCCATTGGCGTTTTCAAGTCGTGACGCATGTGCAGGATTTTCATGAGCACCGTGAAGGCCTCAGGGTCATCGTCCTTCAGTACCAGAGCCTTTCCCGCTTCAGCTGCCGAGCCTTCCATGAAACGTGGCCCTAGAAGAGTCTTGAAGTACGAGGAGGCGAACGACAGGTGAGCTTTTGAGACCTGTATGCGGATCTGAGAGTCGTCTTGACCGACGATCAAGGCGAGGTCGCCGCCAAGATCCACCATTGGGAGGTCCTCCTTTGGCGCTTCTTCCATGGCGACTGCTAAGCTTGTTAGCTTTATCTTTGTGTTATGCGTGGAGATGCAGCTAATGCGTACCTCTACGGACGTCTGAATCCTGGAGAGCTGTGTTGTTGTTTGGTGTGTTGTCAAGATCAGTTTTTGGTCGAGGAAGTGACGAGCGGAAAGCAAACGTCGCTAGCGCGCGAATCACATGGCGGCTTCCCTGCCAGATCCCTGTCAACGCACGATGCAGCCGCTCATGACCTCAATTGTCCTCACGTTATCGAGCATTTCGAACGCCGGGAATTGTAGCCTGTCAGCTCGATCCAGGATCTGCCCAATCGTACGATCTCCCGCGTCATCTAGGCCTACAGCTTGGACTGCTGGACTCAAGCAACTGGGGTACGATGCGCCTAGGTCGGCGTAGCACCGAGCAGATCAACTTCACAAGATCACGACGCTGCTCAAGCAAGACTTTGAGACTGTCAGCAGATTGGAAGCAGAGGATAGCTGAATCAGACTAACACCAGAAGCGGAGTGTCATGGTATGACTGTGTCCGGCAGAAAAGTTTGAATCCTGCTGGAAAGGCGGCACTTTCTTGACCCGGTACTTTGTCTGCCTCAGGAACCGATCCGGGTGGTCTAGAAGATACGCGGCGAAGACCAAGTCATGAGGTGATGGCAAGTGAACCAAGTACGTCGGAAAAAGCGTACTGAGTGTCAGCCGCGTTGCTCTCGTGCATCCACACTTGTCAATGACAAGTGCCAGTAAGGCAAGGTCTTCTGTGAGAGATGGTGGTTAGCGATCATTTCGCGCATGAAGAACCCTCACCACGATGATAGAGACGTCCAAGAGCTCTTCGACGATGGTAATGTCTTTGCCACTTTTCGTTGATCTGGCTTCAGCAAAGTGTGGTCCAAATAGTGCTCTGAATAGTCCGACGCAAGAATCAATAAGCTTTGCTGATACAGAGGCGAGCATGATCTCCATCTTCTCATCAATGACAGATCAGATATCGCCGTTAGGGTCAATATCGCCATTTCGTTGTCTTTCGCCATGGCGGCTCGCGTGCGGGAAGTCAGCAAGGCCACTACACGGCGTAAGATCAGGAAGTAAAGCAATGTCGTGACTGTTCAGTGTGTTAATTTAGTGGTCCGTCGGGGTGAAAGACAATTGTCTCAAATATCAGAAACGTGGAAAGCGTGGAAAGCGCGTGCAACGCGTCGATAAGATTGGGATGAGAAAAGAGCCGACGCTCGAACCATGATTATCCTTGTCGATTGGAAACGACGACATCTCTAGGGCTTCGTCCACTTCAAACACTAACCACACTTCAACTACAAATGTTCTTGCTGGATCTCATGAAGATCGAGAAGAATAGGCGACGGCGTCTGCAAAGAATTCCGGTCTCTGGCCAACTGCGAAGGGAGTAGAGATTGTTACGAATGGATCTTCTGCAGCTCTTTCAATACCTGTCCTCTTCCGAGAACTGCATACTGCTTGACAACAGCTCTGGCAGACTCTACATGCAACTATTGACCTTCCTAGCTCCATTTGCAAGTGACGCTGCGGTTGGAAAGTCTCCTCACCGCTCTCCCGCTGCAGGACACTTAAACGGACAGCAAACTCGGAGACAAACCTTCCTATCTTCCTTGCGCCCCAGAACTTGATGCCCTAAAGGATAGACACTGAGTGTCTCCAGAGAAACGTCTTAGGAACCGCCAGAATGCCTTTCAAACTACGCATGTTCGCGCCGCCCCCTTGAGGTCTTCAAACCCAGATTGCATGCCCCTTGTTGCACTTCACGACTGGCTGCTCGCAATCGCCGGCAACAACACATTCGAGGCAAGGTCGGATGACGCTCCGTTCGACCTCGTCTGCCCTGGCTCGGAACATGTTCGCGACTTCGGATGTCGTGGTCATGATCGCTCCAACACATCTTTTAGGATATCGGGGCGAACAGGTGGTGTCCTGGCTAATCCATCCCGTTCCAAACTTGCGCAGCTCGTCGCATATAGCTCCGAGTTGCCGCAACGAGATGGTGCCCACGGGAGGAATCTTGGAGGATTCGAGGCGACGGACGAAGGAGACTCCTCTCAAACTCAAATACCGGCAGCCAGGTTGGCAGCCTTCCACACTCGAATTGTAGCCATTGCACTCGCGAAACATCGATTTTTCGATGGTGTCCGTGAGAACCTTGGCGAGAGTCTTGCGATTATTCTGGAGCTGGTCTGCGTTTACTCAGCACATGCTTGCTGGGATATTGAAAGTATGCACTTACCAAGAAGCTTTCCGGTAGTGTCGGGATGGTGCTCCGCCTTCAAATCGATCTCAGCGGATTCGACAGTGTTCATCTGTAGGTCATATCCTAGCCGCTGGAACGTCTCTGGCTCCTTAAACAGAAAGCTTGCCACGAATAGCATGGCGCGTGAGTGCCCGTCCGTGCGTGCCGACTGCTTGTTGATCCAGTAGTACGGTAGAGCGCTCATGGCTACCAGACAGTCGTACTTGTCGACTACAACTCCCAGTTGAAGAATTCCGCTCGGAGACATATTCTCAATCTTCATGTTGTAACGCATGTGAAGAACCTTGCAAAGGACGACCATGCTGTCTGGGTCGTCTTCGGGGAAAGGGACGGTGACCTGAGAGTCGCGAGAAAGCGTGCTGCCTTCTTTGAAGTGCGGCGAGAGCATGGAGGCGAAGACGCTCGAGCCTTGACTGAGTATGGCGGAAGAGGCGACGATCTTGATACTATGTGAGTGTCAGTCTGATGTGAGATCAATCGTCGGTGCATGCGGGAACTTACATCTTGCCGACGCTGTCGCCGCCTCCGCAGACGAGGATCACATCGCCGTTACGCGCGACCTCGACAGTATCGTCCGGTGCCGCCATGTTGTGGTGTGATGATGTTCAAGATAGGGAGTTGGAAATAGTGAGGTTGTGTGTTCCGCTTTTGTGAACAAAATAATAAGCAAACAGCACTAGCGCATGAAACACATGCGGGAAGCGGGCCGCTACGGCATTAAGCGACACACAGTCGGAACCCGCTCGCTGCTCCCAGCTAGTACTCACGTTTCAACTTCCTGCGCTTATCGTCTGCCTCGATCTCCTCCGGACTACAAGGCCAGATCACATGCCTCTCGCACCTGTTTTCCAGGCTCCCTAGATCCCCCTTTATGACACACTTCAAGCAAATCCGCAGCAACTGCTCTTCCACCCTCTCAGGAAGCAATTTGAGCCGCTTGATGATCCCCGCCACCGTCTTCATGTACGTTCTCGTGCACCCGGTCTGGCAAGCACCATCTCGTGCTGGCCAATCCGCCTGCAATTCCCGCAACGCCTTGCAAGCCTCGGAGAGAGATCGATAATCGAGAGAATCCGCAGGCCAGAGCATTCCGCGACTGAGCTTACGCATCAACCCCTCGACCCAAGCGTTGAAGCATTGGCAGGAAGAAGAAGGAGGAGGACCATCGCCTTGGAAGAAGCCGTGCTTTCCCAGTTCTCGATGCAGGATCCTTTCGATCTTCTGGCCCACTGCTCCCCTGATACCGTTTCGATGCGTGTTCAGGCCCTCTGTGAGTTTTTTTAGTCTCCCGTACAACACTTGTCCAGCGATTTAAACTCACCCGCAACTCGCCGTAGGATCCCGTTCTCATCCTCCACCTCTGAAATGATCCAGATGTCCGTGGAGTTCCACATCTGCAGATGCCACCCAATCTGCTGAAATCTCACCTTATCCTCAAGCTGATAGCTCATCACCAGTAACGCCAAGCGGTCGTCGTCCAGCGAAGTCCCCAAGTCGCCCCTGAACCGATGGCCGGTGATCTTACGCATGACAGCAGAGCAGTCGTACTTGTCCACCAGCCTACTCAACCTCTCAAGAGACTCCAAGTCTAACTCTCTGACATCAAGACTCTCCGTGTGTAGAGCCTTGCAGAGGATGAGCACGCTCTGTGGGTCATCCGGAAGCGAGATGATGATCTGAGACTCAGGGTCTCTGGTTTCGTCGGCAAATCGAGACCAGATCTCGGAGTGAAAGATGCGAGAAGCGCGGCTGAGTGTGTATGAGGAGGCAAGGATGTTGATTCTGGCTCATTTTGTTAGCTGTATCGCCCTCAAAGCTGTCCGAGTATGGCGAGACTCACTGGAGGCTGTCGCCACTGCCATTGCCGCAGAAGAGCAATACATCTCCATTCTCAGCAAGGTTCACTTGGTTCGGTCGCGGTGCCATGGTGATTTCGCCCACTGCAATCAATGGTGGTTGCTATGGTCGTTGTCAACTGGCTTCGACAACGACTCGAAAAGTGTAAGGCGGCTGACGGCAATAGTGTTAGGGTCACATGCAGACTTTCGTAACCCGCGCTGACATGTGACAGCGTCTCGCTATCTGGAACCCACACCTCATATCGGCCCTATTCAACGAGCGTAGGAATCATAAGCAGAACAGTAGGAGAGGAGAGGGCGCATGTCTTCGTGTAGGAATTCCCTTTGAAGGCTGGTAATGTTCAGGGGAATGCTTCGAATGCCGGCCTATTGTCGACCTTGCCCTGATCAAGGTGTTCATCGATCCGAAGGAAGTCAAGAAGGCGACGAAGCGTGCTGAGAAACAGTTTAAGACGACGTTCTAGTCCAGTGTGTTACTCTTCGCTAGCTATTGGATATGGCATCCATAGAGCTGTTATGAAATTAGCGCAAGCAAGTACGATTATTGATTGTGCCAGGGTGAATAGTAGTTTGAATTCCGGAACGCAGGCATTTAGTTTCATCTTATTCGTCTGCCGATAAGAGGATAGGTAGTGCCCGAGACGGCCAAGTCATCTCCGGCTAGTATCGTGCACTCTAATCGATACCGTCGCGACTGGCCTTCATTCCTCAGTGTTCCAAGCTCCATATCTATCCCCAGCCAAGTCGGTGACAGCTTTTCGCGCACCGCAGCAATGTGCTTTCTAGTCTCTACGGCGATTTCTCTTGTTCTTCAACTTGATTTCCATCGCCGCAGACATTCTTCCAGTCGTTTTCGGAAGCAATCGCCACTCCAGGAAGATCGATGAACATCCTACTCGTCTTGAGAGTTACGGGACGAAAGCCGTCTTGAACGAGCTGCGTGTGAAGCTCAGCAAAGCTCTTCTCCTCAACATTGTGGTACTGAGATCCGGTCCGATAGCGATTTGCCTTGGCATTCATCATGGCGTCCCAGAGGTGAGCGATTCTTATACCGTCTGGCTTCTTGACGCGTGCGTCCAACCGACCTTCCGCGGTGTTCTGTCCACTTTGTTTCATGCACCAGTAGAGTTGGATATCGGCCAGCCGGCAGGGCGGATCAGTCAATTGACTGCAGAACCAAAGTCCCTGGTCTTCAAGGGAGCGGTAGTTCAATTGCCTGTCAACAGCGAACTCCACCTGCTCGTCCTCAAACCAAAACATCCACAAAGGCATCTGGTAACGGGTCCGAAGCAAAGGATTCAGTCTGACTGGTCTGAATTGTCCTCTGAGTTCTTCTTCCTTGAGTGTAGAGGGATCACCAGGTACAGAAACGAATTGTATCATTTCATCCCGGTCTCGACGCAGCTCCCACACCTTGTCATCCGGCAGAGTAGGCCGAATGAACAATTTCTGCTGAATCATCACCGAACTCTTGACAATGTCTCGAAACTGCTGGCAGACACGCTGCGAGGTGTAGGTGGTCCTGATGGGGAGATGCAGCATGATGTTCTCGAGCAGCTCTGCCGTGGCGAAGACTGCCTGTCGGGGTCCGTCGGTCGTCATTTGGCGTGTCACCCGCCGCTGAGTGGGCACGAGAGAGGCGTTCGTCGCGTTCCGGCGCTGTAGCTATTCAGATGTTAGTACACTCGTAGATTGGAGTTGGCTGTGTCGGAGCTCGGTAGCTTACCTTCTTCTTTTCCGCAGTGCCATCATCACCGGCTTTACGCTTGGTTGGCGCCATGTTGGTATGGCGTGGTTGATGTTGTGTGTCCGAGTTCGCGGATGAGTGAGGGGGGAAGTTGAAGTTGAAGTCGAAGTCGAAATACGCGAGCTCGGCTAGGCTCCAAGGCAGTCAGTCGCAACTTCCTCTTCTAGAGGAACGAAGATCACGCTATCACGTGCACGACATTCGCAATCCTCTACGAACCCATCAGCAGTCCAGTTGACACGGTAATTTCCAGCGAAGTGGTGCCTCCATTTCCGAGAGCTTTAGAACTTTTGTCATTTCAAGGTACTTTGGAAGAGGTTACCGTGCCCACAAAATCGGGTTCAGGCAGGCTGGCTTCGGCCGCTCTAGTGCTGTAGGTCGACTTTGCACAACGGTCTCGAACACTCTACGGGTTCTTCGGCTTGCGCTTGTGAAAGCACTCCGTCCGTCGTGGGGTGGAAGTACGGGTATCTAATTCTGACTCTTCCGCCTTATACCGTCCTCCGATCCGACATGACACGGACGATGCTTCCCGGTCCGACCATTTCCACCAACTGTTGATGTCGTTAGTACACCTGAACAGCTCGTCACCACATGATCCATCTTTACCTTCTCATGCCAGCTCAACAGCACGCTCATAGCCTGGCCGCCGCCCTCTCCACCACCAAAGTTACGTCCGCCAGCTTGCGAGAAGCCCGTCGCCTGAGGTGTGATATTCCTCGTCGTCGAATTGCTCTGCGGCGCCGGTCCCTGTGACATTCCCTTGTAGAGGTACTTCATCAACGTATCGCAAACCTCCGAACCGCCCTCAGATTGGTATATTCGCTGGAGCAGCGGTGTCATCTCAGCTTGCCGAATCGATTGTAGGATTTCGGTGACAGTTGCGAGGTGTAATGCCTGCCGGCCACACGATCTTAGTATCCCCTACTTTCCCAATGCTTCCAAATGGTTGCTGCCTAACGTACTTTGCCCTGCTCGTCCGCTCCATACGGTGGGTTCTCCAACGCCCCTCTCAATGCTCCTTCTGCATTGCCTCCTCTTAGAAGCTGCCGTATTTGACCTGCGAGGGTCTGCACGTCTGCGGTTGAAACGGGTTGGACGGCTGGCGTTAGAGTCGTAAGGTCGAAGTTGTATGATGATTCGGGATCGAGCGCATCGATGTTGATCGTTCGCCAATTGAATTCTGCCATCTTGCTGGTTCAAAGTATCGGTTTCGCTCTGAGCTATTCTGTCGGTGCAGGTGTATTGGCCGAATTCGTTGTTTCTCGACATCCTGCCTGCCAATGTGACGTGGAGGTTGGTTGGCACGTGCGCAACCAGTTCCGCGGTTGAACCTTCTACGCGTCCTCCGCGCTCTGAACAATTCACTCACGACACTACCTATTAGCCGACCAACACTCTGCTAGGCCGATTGGATATTTCCACTGGAGTCCCGAAGCGCCACAATGATCGCTCCCCATTTTCACAATTCCGAGACAACACGCATAGCTGTAGCGACACAGAGAGCCACACCGTACCACACGCGCAACCGGCGACTCGAAGACGAATATACACCAGGCGCGTTATAGGCACAGGCGTCATTCGGCTCAGCGCAATACTATACGAATCATCGCACGCATCTGAACGCATCTGGACGCATTGCTAGAGCATATGCAATGGCGGCCAAACCATTCTCACGCGCTCGCCCTCTGGGCGGGCCCCCACTTACTGGTCTTCTCGATGCAGGCAGAATAGATCTGGCAATTGAATCCGAGATAGCCAAGGAGACGTCCAGACAGCACCGACGCACTGTTAGTGAGGGTGAAGAGCCGCCGCTGAGCATACCACGTCAATGGGGAAGAAGGCGTTCGAGACCGAGCAGGGACTTCACTCGCAGAAATACAGAAAGGCCCCCGCGCATACAAGATGAGGATTCGATTCTAGGGTATGAAACAAGATATACCGGCGACGAAGACCCAGACGATTTCAACATGGACTCGGTCATTATTTCCACCCCAGCGAATATCAACCGAAGAGACCGACCGATCGATCAATTGATGAAAGAGGACATAGATGTGGATATCGAGACAGTCGTTGAAACTCATATTACAAGACCAATTGAGACGGTAGAACAGGAGCCAAGTCCGCCTCTGGAGATACCAACGCGGCATAAGAAGGAAACCACAAAAGCAGTGACCTTTCAAAGCCATCGACAGGGGCATGAAAGCGGGGATTCCATGTCATTACTCCGGAAGCTTGCAAGGGCCACAAGCACCTCACCAAGTCCCAAGGCAGAAGCAAAGAAGCGGGACATGGCGACAGAAGATCGGGAAAATGCGCAACCTCCCCATGACGGTATCCCCAAAGCCAAGTCATTGCGAAATCCTCGGAGAGTCATTAGCGAACCACCGCACCCAAAGTCAGCGCTCGAAGCGATTGTAAACGAAGCCAAAGAGAATCACGATCCTCAGTACGGCGATAATACGATCGCGTCCCTGGAAGACATTATCAGCCCAAACTTGGAAGCAACGAATTCGACTCTGAACAACACCCCTGACGCATCGAAGAAGGAGGAAAAGCCCTATCGACGACCTTCGAGACTGGCTGAGAGTGTGAGAACCGAGGGTGCTTCCGAAAAGCAGGGAAGAAGCCATGACACGGATGAGAGCTTAACGCAAGCACAGAAAGAGCGCCAGCAAGAGGAAGTTGCCTGGGAGGCGCTTAACAAGCGCCTGAACACTGCGCACAGTACTCTCTCAGACGCAAATCGCGGCCTGCGCCGGATCGAAAACAGGATTGAAGGTGTCGAGGCTGTTGACTCGGCAGGCCTCAAGGCCGTCACCTCAGATGATAAAGGCACTGCGGGCTCCAAAGCTCCGGCATCCAAGACTATAACAGGCCAACGACCGCAATCCAAACCCGAAGGTCAACCCGAAGTTCCCAAAGCCCACGTCTCAGCGCCGACCACCATCACCACCACCTCCACAGTCATGAAACAACCGGAGGTGCACGTCTGCGCACGCTGCGGCGGACCATCCCTCTGGCAAGGTCTCTGGGCGGAAATGTGCAGCAACTTCTACTGGTACAACGCGGATAAAGGATACCGCTTGACATGGCTTGGATGGGTCCTGTTCCTCTGGCTCGCTTGGCTTACGGCGGAATTGTCGCTGCATGACATGTATGCGGACTATATCCACGGACCCATCTTCCCGTTCATTACGTTCAATGTCACTGTTAGGAGTGTGCTGAGTTTGTTTGGGAGGGGATGGTGATGGCAGCTCGGGCTATTGAGCGAGGCGTTGGCTTTGGATGATTGTCTCTTGAGAGCAGGGCGCTTGGCGGAACTGTGATTGATGTCTAGATGTTTGAGATACCTCAGTTGCTTAGGGAAACGGCTTTTGACGGACAGAGTCTGGGCCCCGAGCTCTGCTCATCACGTGTATAGGATTCGATTGACGAGTTTACGACACCACCTGTTGCTCGAGCTCAAGCGTCTCACACGTGCCATGAAAGGATCGATAGCAGGTGTAGCCGGTACGAGTCTTAACCGCTTTAGGCTACCACGCGTATTGTTGGATCACCTCAGCAATCCGAGCTGATAACTGCTCCGCATCTCCACTACCCGGACAAAGATGCGTTCACACGTTGTTCTCAAGCTACCTAGTATACTAGTAGGTACCTTCGGGCAGCCAAGGCTCCACGTTGCACCATCGACAGCTTTCAACCGCACATCACTCCGCTCCGCCTCACGGATAGATAGCTGCAGCTTGCTATCGCCCATTACAACAATAGTCGTCGTTCGTAAAAAGAAACGAAGCCAGGAATGCGTGGGCCTTATGACGCCATCATTTGGCCATGTCACCGAAACCTGCGACGGGAGCCATGATGATTGATGGCACCACCACCACCACCTCCATCTACCCAACCCTGCCAACCTGCTCGACGTGCCACACACCACCTGCACACTGGTGCGGGTCGAGCTGTGTCTTGAGGCAGCGGGCAAACAGGTTGCAGACAAAGCACTTGACGTCTCCGGACACGGCGCGTGCCTGCCGCCAAGGGGGGCTATCGAGGCTCCGCTTGCCACGACACCACACTTTCTCCGAAACACCTGCACAGCGGCGATAAGGATGGCAACTGGTTCAGGTCTGGCCCATGACATGCTGATGCCCTCGCCAACCCAACCGCTCTGTGCTCCCCGTTCCGCCCTCCCACACTGCTGCGTGCGTGACGGCGCGGACAGCTGGAGACGTGCGGCTACTGCAGGTACGGGCGCGTATCAATGAGTGTGGCCCGGGTCCGGATGGTTGGATGGGCAGTGGTCGACGACGAGATTGGTGCTCTGCGCGAGGTACTGAAACGGCGCGGCGGGTGACGTGCCTGGCGTGTGAACATCCGTTTGCTCGGTGACGTACCCACTGGACGCACGATCGCATCCCTCTTGCACTTGCACTTGCTGTGTGATCGATGGTGCCTGCCGGTCCGTTTGTCCAGCACGCCGCCCTGCCCTGTACATGTAGCTAGCCCGCAGACATAAAGAGCTGCCGCGCGAAGTAGGTTCGTATCTTGAACCCTCTCAAACTCTGGTTTCCCGTTTCCACAAACCTTCTCGTAACCCACATCAACGACATTGGACTACCATACAGCGAACAACCCAGTCTTCGACGGACCAGAACAACAACATGGCAAGCAACTTCAATCTCGTCCGCGGTGCCCTGAAGAGGAACCCCCACCACCAACGCAATGGCCTCAAGTCCTACGTCCACGCCATGAAGAAGTGGAACTTTACCCCAACAATCGAGGGACCATACTGCGCGGTTCAGCAGGTCCATCAGCAGGGACAGCAGGCGATCTTCAAATTGACCGGCAAGAAGATGTGAGCGCCATCATCAACAATCACCAAGAATCCAATGGCTGATTTTCATGCAGTGGTGGCCGCGCCCATGTCAAGGGCCACGTCCTTGCCAAGAAGGACCCAACCAGCGGACAGACTGGTGAGGTCCCGGTAAGCATTGCCCGCATATACAGCTCCAACGCCTCTCTGACAGCTCCCAGGCCGAAGACGTCGAGAACAATGCCGAATACCTCGCCACCGTTGGCATCGGCACACCAGCTCAGAACCTCGCCCTCGACTTCGACACTGGCTCTGCCGACCTCTGGGTCTGGAGCACCGAGCTCTCTTCCTCCGTGAAGCAGGCAGGCAGCTCTCACACCATCTTCGATGCATCCAAGTCTTCCACCTTCAAGAAGTCTTCCGCTTCGACTTGGCAGATCCAGTACGGTGACGGTTCTACCGCTTCCGGAACCGTGGGCACCGACAACGTCAATGCTGGCGGCTTGATCGTCACCAACCAGGCCATTGAATTGGCCGACACTCTGAGCACCCAGTTTGCTCAAGGTCCCGGCGATGGTTTGCTTGGTCTCGCCTTCGTAAGACGCTCCCTCAAACTAAGGAGTTGAGTCCACGAGCTAACCCCACACAGGGTTCCATCAACACCGTCCAGCCCAAGGCAGTCAACACCCTCGTGGAGAACATGATCGCCGAAGACAGCATCAAGAAGAACTCTGAGCTTTTCACAGCTTTCCTCGGCAGCACTCCCCCAGCAAGCGCCACTACTGGTAGCAGCAGCGGCAGCAGCGGCTCCTCTTCCAGCGCGGCAGAGAGCTTCTACACTTTCGGCTACATCGACCAAGACGCCACCAACGGCCAAACACCCGCCTACACCGCCGTCGACAACTCGCAAGGCTTCTGGATGTTCGACTCCGCCTCCGCCAAAGTCGGCTCCCAAACCGTCACCCGCTCCGGCAACACCGCCATCGCCGACACCGGCACCACCCTCGCCCTCGTCGGCGACGACCTCTGCCAAGCAGTCTACTCCGCCATCCCCGGCGCGAAACAGAACACCCAACAACAAGGCTGGGTCTTCCCCACTTCCACCGACCTCTCCTCCATCCCCCAGATCCAAGTCGCCGTGGGAGACGCCCTCTTCACCATCAACCCCGAAGAACTCCCCTTCCAAGATCTCGGCGACGGAACGTACTACGGCGGCATCCAGTCCCGTGGCGATCAGGGTTTTGATATTCTGGGTGACGTCTTCCTGCGCTCCGTGTACGCCATCTTTGACCAGGGCAATCTGCGCTTTGGCTGTACCCAGCGGGCTTCGACTGCGACTTCGTCGAGCTCTTAGAGATGGGATGATGATGATGAGGATGATGATGGGAGCATGGAATGCAATGGGTAGATGTCGCTTGTGAGAACAGAGCAAGAATTACTGAGATGAACTTTTTTTTACGAGATGGATTATGTAGATCCGATAAGAATGAATGACTTAGCTTACCTTAGAATTGATGATATTGCTCAAGTGAACATGAGCAGTCTTGTGCATTTATCCATTGTATCCACATGTGGATAGCTACCCTTTCTCCCGTGGTGCACCCTTTCCCACCCGCCATCCTCTCTCGTTGTATCTAGTACGGATACTTTCCACGTGATACAGCGGAACGTGCACAAACAAGCTTTTTTCACGCGCGCTTTCTCATGAGCTTTTTCGGTGGTCTATGTCGTGTTTCCAATGTACATATTAGATCTATTCCATGATCGATTGATTTTCCTTCCAGTTCGACAGCACACAGGTAGATATAACCTCTCCAACAAGAAAAAAAAGGGAGAAGAAGGAAAGCAGATTCCCTCTTTTTTCCCTCTTCCGCTTTCAGGAATACACACAAAGTGCTGAAAAAGAAAGAAGAAGAAGAAGAAGAAGAAGAAGAAGAAGAAGAAGAAGAAAAGCAGTCTAATCCCATATGCACTTGTGAAAGAGAGGCTCCAAGAAACGCCGGGCGGGGGAAATAAATGCGTTTACACATCCAGTGCGGTCGGGCGCACTCGTTCCATTCCATGCCATGCCATCCTTTCCTAAACTTCATTGCTGCTACTACTGCTGCTGGTGGTTGCTGGTGGTGGTGATGATGATGATGATGATGATGACTTTAGCTGCCGAATGCAGACGTGGCGGACGTGTATCCTGCCGGAAGCTGGGGCCAGAACATAAGGAGAACAATGACGACAACGGTGATTCCAGCGCCTGCAATCAGGGCTTTCGTGCGGGCCGGGTTGTTCTGGCGCATTTGCCCGAGAGAAAGCTGAGCATCGCGGGCGAAGTTCTTGACGCCGTCCGCTCCGAGCTTGTAGTAGACCAGACCACCGAGAGCAATGGCGTAACCGAAAACTTGGAGTCCCGAGACCGGGTCGCCGAAGATGACCATGGAGGCAACGACCAGTAGGATGTCCTTGAACACACCGGAAAGCGTGAGAACGACGGCGGAGGTCTTGCCAATCTGGAGAGAGGTCAGTGAAAGAGGATTGAGTGAGGGGCTTGGCACTGCACATACCAAGAAGACGACGGAAACGTTCAACATAAAGGCAACGGCAGCGTTGGCAATGAGAGTGATGAGACCGAGGTTGTAGATGTCGGCCATTTGCATCTTGGGCAGCTCGAAGAGGATGGTCGGGATGGCGTTGATGGCAGCACATGCTGGAGCGTAGTAGTAGAGGGACACAAGTGGGTCCATCTTGAATTCAGGGGAGCTCAAGATTCGCTGAACCATGACCAAGCGAACAGCCTCGAAGACGATACCGGCCATCTGGATGAGGAAACCCACCAAGACAAACTTGATCTCTCCGTACGAAGCGATGATGACTCCGACCATGATGGCGGAGACGTTGGCCAGCTTCTTCATGTCGGGAGGGGAGATGCCGAAGGCCCAGGTTGCAACGAGAGTGGCGACGGCGTTGGAAGCCTTGAGCATCTGGATGAAGGAGACGGAAAGGTAGAGGTAGGCGATGTTACCGCAGATCAAGCTGAAGGAGAAGAAGAGACCGATGGGTACGATGGCTCTGGTGTAGGTCTGGGTGTTCATGGGGACCTTGTGGCGAGAGTCGAGGACGGTGGTGAATTTGGCGAGACCTTGCGTCGCCAGCGTCGCGAAGACCATGTGCCATGTGGTCAAGAAGAGAGCTAGATTTTATCATGTCAGATGAAATATCATTCAGTCGATCGATGGTGCTGTCGAACATACGAAATTCTAAGGATCAAAGTCAGCTTGCGCGTTGCTACATCTCGTGACATGGGGGGGGGGGAAAACTCACGGAATTTGGCGGTATGCAGCACCCACTTGTTGAACAGAATGACACTTCCACTCAATCCGATCCACAGACTGCGATGGTCGTCAGCATCTCGCGGTGTTTGTGGACGGGCGGACTGCCGTACGCGATGTAGAGAGCCGGGTGGATATCGTTCCTGGGGGCCTCTGGCTTGGCTGGCGGCGGGGCGGCGGCCTCTCCGCCCTCGAGCTTTCGCTCCTGCTCAGCAGAGACGCGCGTGTCCTTCTCAGCCATGGCGATGGATGGGGAGAGGGAGCGGATGGAGAGTGGTGGTGGTGGTGGTGGTGGTGGTGGTGATGGGAGGAAGTGCAGGCGGCGGCGGGAGAAAAAGGCAAGGTATGGGAAAAGGAGGACAGAGCGGCGGGAACGGGGCGGGAACGGGGCGGGAACGGGGCGGGAGGGCAAGGTTGGGGCGTTGGCCTCAACCCGCGACGAGCGACTCTTCCCTCTGCGCGCCGCTGATTGGCGCGTTTATATCGCGGAGATCTTGTGCGGAGTGATCTGTGCGGAGCACGTGCCCCCCCTCCTGACACAGACTTGAGGGAGCGACGGAGGACGCGCCAGCCTCAATCTCAACCATATGAACCCTTTTGCATGTGATTTACCTTATCATCACCTATCCCCCTTCTCGGCAGCCACCACCGCTCATCTCCCATCTCATCTGCACATGTCATGCAACCCAGCACGCACTCGGCACTGAGGCTGGCGACATGCACATGCGGCAACATGCACACAGGATCCATACCAGAAACGGACCCACAGCCACAACATGCATGCTGGCCGATCAGACATCTCACTTCCGAACACGTCGCCGCTGCTGATGACGGTATGCACACCGTGTGGGTGTCGACGGGAGCACCGAATCTCCAACGGCATCATGATCGCTATTAATTTCAGACACTAACAACCAACAACAAAATCTCAACCCCAATGACCCAGGACATGTGTGGGAATATGGCTTGATTGCACGCGGCACACGGGAGACAGATCAACAGAACATTCTGAAGACATCAAGATGGAATGTTGCTATGGACTCCCAACTACTATGGTTCACACCGCCAGGCGCCCTTACGACACCCTCACTCTCAGTCATCCAGGATGTATCTTCCACCATAGACATCGCCCTCGTGGACCTTGGTTTGGTCCGACGCATGAGTGTCGCCATACTTATTTTGGTGCCCTTTGATATCCCTCGGACCGTCATAATCGCTAGCTACAAATGTGCCTCTCAATGCCTTGGCCTGGTCCGTCAACGTCAAATTCCCGTAAGTATGGCCCGTCTTGTTCTGGACGATCTGGTTGAGAACCTCCTTGAGCTGCGGATCCACTTGCGCCGTCGCTTTGAGAAGTGCAGCCGCTGCGACTTCTGGCTCCTCGACCTCGGACGGCGGGACAAGTTCTTGCGTGGCTTTGGTGAGCGCGTTGCCGTCCTGTTGGACGTACTTGGTGAGGGCAGTCTGCTGGACCGGGTATTGATTCGCCGGGAAGAGCTCCTCAACATCCTTGATTTGCCGGGTCAGCGTGGCGATGACTTCGCTGAAGAATTTCTTATCATGCAACACCCAGCGTGTCTTCTGTGCAACAGACGTCTTCTTCTGGCGCTCCAGGCTCATGGTCTGTACCTTTTCCTCCAGCGCATTAATCGTCCAGCTGCCATCCGCAGGCGGTGGTGGCGCTGTCGGGTTCTTGAATTTGTGCAGCTTGCCGGCTTTCTCTGCGTCCTTGAATTTCCCCTCGATGGAGCCCAGAAGGTCTCCCAGCAGTTCAGCTTGCGCCTGTGAAGCGACTGGAACTCCATAGTTTGCTTGAGAAGAGTCCTCGACAATCTCGACCGTCTCACGCCAGCGCGCCAGACGTAGCTGCAGTGTCCGGAGACTCAGCGCCGCCTCTTGGTAATCTTTGCCATAGGCTTTTCCCGACTCGACGCGATCGAAAGCATTCATGCAGACGTCGAACATGGCGGCAAGACCAACGCCTCCTATGACGAGACCTGCTACTTCGGCCATGTTGATGGATGGGCGATGGAGAAGGAAAGCAAAGCGGGATGAGTATTCTGGTCTTTTGTATTCGAAGATGTATGTCGCAGTGTAGTGTTTGCTGTGCTCTGGTCTCTGGTGAAAGATTCCTGGAAACGTATGCGCGAACGCAAGGCGCTGTGCAGCTCCTGCGGGAGGTGCGGCCTCGACCAGTGCGTGGCTGCGGGAAGGTTTGGTGGTGGCTGTGTGCAGATGGAAGCGGCTTCAGCTGACTCCACATCCCTCGCATTCTCATCCACAGCAGCATCAACGTTCGATATCGCTGCACGAACGGCGTGGAAATCATGGCCATGACCGCTTCTGGTCACGGCCATTGCTATGGTGATAGTCAACTCAAAGGCCATGCTCGGGCGCACTTTGGTGACAACATATCGGTGCATAACAACTACCTCTCGGCCGAACCGCAGCTCATCGACTTGCCAACAGCACCGGAAGCATCTTTTGATTCTCGCGTCAGACAAGATGACCCTCTCTGTCTGCCAGGCACACGCGTCGAGGTCCTGGAACGAATACGATCGTGGATCCTTGGCGATGAATCCAGTTGCATCTTCTGGCTGAGCGGAATGGCGGGTACTGGCAAATCGACCATTGCTCGTACAATTGCTCGAGAGTCGAGCGAAGGAGGGTATCTCGGAGCAAGCTTTTTCTTTACACGCGGGAAACGAGCTACGGCGAACGCAGATTTGTTCTTCACGACCCTGGCGCTTCAACTCACCATCAACAAGCCTGCGCTGAAAACACATGTGGCTGAGGCTGTACGAGCTCAGCCCGATATTGCTTCGAAATCTCGAACGGCCCAATGGCAGAGATTGATCGCCCAGCCAATCGAACGCATGGCGGGTGGTCTGCAGCAAGAAGTGCTGGTGTTCGTTATCGATGCACTAGACGAATGCGGTCACGATGCTGACATGGAAGCTATCGTAGGCATCCTTGCGGAGGCCACGGAGATCAAGTCTACTCGACTGCGGATCATCTCTCACGAGCAGACCAGAGGTTCCGATCCGTTCGGAATTTCGGCAAATGCCTCAGTACACACATCACGATTTGCACTTGCACGAAGTGGCGCGAGCGACGGTGAATGACGACCTCCGTCTCTTCTTCCATGACCAGTTTAACAGAGTCAAGCGACGACAGGACTGGATAGCCAAGGACTGGCCTGACAATACTGCTACCGAAGAACTCGTGCGATTAGCAGAAGGCCTCTTCATTTTCGCAGCTACCATTTGTCGGTTTATTGCGGGAAGTCGTTCTGCGCAGAAATCGCTCGATCAATTCATATGCAGCATCCGTCCATCATCAGCAGAGAAAATTAGCCCGGCGCCTGCCAGACTAGTTGGACCCAGTATGCTCCCGTTAGACATGCTGTACACGAATATCTTGATCCGCTCCATAGAGGCCGATGACCAGTTCGATCTGGATGGAGATGATTTCGATGAAACACGCGAGATCCTAGGCCTGCTCCTGGCGTTAAAAGAGGAACTATCAATCCAAACAGTAGCCGGAATCTTAGGGCGAGACACTAGTGAGATTTACTCCTGTCTCCAAGGTCTCGAATCTCTCATACACGTTCCTTCCGCCGGAAGTTCTGGTGGCATTCGGATACTTCATGCGTCCTTGAGAGACTTCCTTTTTGACCAAGAGCGATGCAGGCGGGCTTTGGCGAGACACAGTGCAGACGCTCGGCTGGAGCAACCAACTCTTGATCGGCTCTGGATAGATAAGCACGTGATGCACGGGGTGCTCGCGGAGCAATGTTTAGCAAGGCTAGCAGGGTCATCGGGGCTTAGATACGACATGTGCGAGCTTCAGGATCCAGGGGCAGAGCGAAGATACGTGAATGTGGAGATCATTCACAAGATTTCACCAGACGTGGCGTACGCTTGCTGCCACTGGGCCAACCACGCGACCGAGGCTCAGCAAAAGCTACGCTCTCGCGGCGTAGTCCACGATTTCCTCAAGGTATACCTTCTTCACTGGCTGGAAGCGCTCAGCTGGCTCGGAAAGCTTTCGCAAGCAATCTATCAAGTCAAAGACTTGGAGTCTCTCGTCGAGGTGCGTCCGTTGAAAGAAAGTCTGCGAAGTGAAGGCGATCTTCTCGCTAACCTACCTTCAAAGACCGCTTTCGCAGCTGATCTTGCAGGCTTTCTTTATGATGCTTGGCGGTTTCTGTTGGAGAACCGGAATATAATTGACACCGCGCCATTGCAAGTGTATTATGGCGCGCTGGTTTCCGTGCCAAAGACCAGTGTATTGCGAAGCTTGTTCTTCGACCGTGTCAGTGCGATGCTCGATCTGATCCCTGAAGCGCCAGAGAGGTGGCCGCCACAGACTTTGGCGTGTGTAGGTCACACTAGCTTTGTGAACGCTCTGGCATTCTCTCCAGATGGAACATTAATAGCATCGGGTTCTGACGACGGTACCATGCGACTGTGGAATATATCTACCGGCGAAGAGCTTCACAAATATGAAATCCGATCGGAATGCGTGTGCGCCGTGGCTTTCTCCGCAGATGGTCAAACGGTTGCAGCTGCTACAGAGAACGGTACTGTTCTACGGTGCAATGTAAAGACTGGCAGGCCGGTTCATCAGTTCATAAGCATTCCGATTGACTCGTCGGCTGTGCCAGCATTTGCTGCAGACCTCTCGACAATAGCTATGGGCTCAGGGAGGAGATTGACGGTATGGCACCTGGACAAGGAGCCCGAGCTGAAGCTTGACGCGGAAATAAACACAAGCATATACCAGCCTCAGATATGCATATCCCCGAATGGCCAATTAATAGCGATTGCGACAAAACGTGGTGCGGTTGACATTTTCGATTGCGCGGACGGGAAATCTTTCCAGCTCACGGGCCACACAACGGGAGTCGAGCAAGTAGCATTCGCTCCGAATGGTGAAATGCTAGCGTCGGCATCATTCGATCAGACGCTTCGACTTTGGGACGTGCGGAGTAAACAAGAATTGTCGCGACTTGATCATGACGGGGACATCTTATGCATCGCGTTCGCTTCTAATGGCATGACGCTGGTCTCGGCATCGAAAGAGAAACGAAGATCCCCAAACGAGCTAGTCAGCATATGGAATTTAAGAAATGGGACCACATTCAGGCTACAAGACCGTCAGGAAGTCACGGGAGGCCTCAACATCATCAGCTGCTCCTACGACGGTAATACTATAGCCTCAGCAGATTTCGATTCTGCTATCCGACTCTGGACCGCGCGCTCAGATGGACAGACTAGAAATCTGCCAGGACACACCAGCGTAGTGCGTTCGGTGACGTCGTCCACACAAGGAAACATTTTCGTGTCGATTGATATGTATGGGACCTTGTGCGCGTGGGATGCCGAGCGAGGCAAAATTCTGCGAACATTGCATAGCTCTCCATCCCGGACCACTTTCGATTGCCGTATATGCGACATATCGGGGGATGAAAAGATCGTGGTCTCTTTCGATGCCTCTGCGATGATGGTCTGGGACGTCGGATGCGGTGCACAAGTCTGTAAGATTGAAACCACAATCACCCGCCGCAACAAAGTCAAGCTTTCTTGGGACGGCGGACTGGTAGCCGTGGAGCGTTTCTTGACCGCCCGGCTGCGCTCACGTGTCAGCCTTTGGAATGCGAGGACCGGTCAACATCTCCGGGACTTCGACTGCGAGCGCTTCTGTCGTTACTTGTCCTTCCAGAGCCATACCTTGCACACCGGGCATGAAGAATTGGAGATTGGAGAGTACTTGACATCTCCTGAACCGACCTACTACGAACCCCGGAAAGAAGTCGAATATTCTCGCTCTATCGACAAAACTTCCAGTGGCTGGATACGGTACCGCGGGCACAATGTCCTGTTGCTCCCGTTCGACTGGAAAGGCACGCACTTTGATATTGACTGTATTCATGGAAGAACCATCGCTATCGGTCAGAAATCGGGAACCCTCTCATTCTATCGGTTCCGCGCGCATATACCTGAAGATATCCTGCGAGTTTCTGAGATGGAATATCAATCTCCACATCTATCTGCAGATGAATCTCCCAATGAATCCTTGGATGGAAGTTGAAGATCAATCTTTCGATGAAAACCTTTCGATGCGTCCCGAATCAAGTTCAAACTCCGTTGGTTGGCGCTGCGCTCGCTACGATCCGTTCATCCTCATCGCCTTTTTTCCACGGAATGCGAACATAATCCTAATCCGGGATCGAGACCTGATCTTTCTAGGGGATGCATGCGTGGAAACCCCCAGATCTGAGCTTGCTAAAGAAAGACGATTGCTACGCGCAACTACCTCCAGTCGTTGCTTTATTCGCGCACATTCAGTCTGGGGTACGGCTTATTTTTTCCCGAAGACGCATTGCAGCGCGAGAGCAACACCCCCATGTGAGATTCACGTCCGTGCACAAAGTTTGGGCGATCGAGACGTTCCTCCCGCGAGGAAGGAACCGGATCATATCTACCTGCACAGTATGGGATGTATCAGTCATTCTTCCGCGGCATTTTGGCGGATGATACCCGCCGATTGATCAGCATTGTTGGCAAGACTACACTACAGCTTGAAGAGGAGGGGCGTCGTGTTCACACTTGTTCAGCTATACATCTGCTGTTATTGACATCATTATCATGCTCTCCGTCGTCATTATCTTTTCCATCATCTTCATCATTACTACATCGAACCACATTCCTCTACTGGGTAAAGCCTCATCACACTTGTCTAACAGCCTAGTTCTAGACATACTCCGCACAAATCACCGCACCCCTCGAATCCAACACCTGGCCCGCGCTAACATTCGGCAACAGCCCGACCATCCAAAGGACATGGTTCAAAGTCGTCTCGCCCGCCGGATCCCCACTGTGGCTTGTGAATTCCGGCCCTGGAGCAGGCCATCCGCTTGCCTGTAAGAAGCCTGCGGTAGGGACATTAGGGCCTCCGATGGCATGCAGGCGCTCTGCTGGAGCGGCCTGTTGCCATTCCCAGTAGAGCCGGTCCAGGTTTGCGTCTGTTGAGGGATATTAGAGATATCGTGAGACACACAGAGGGTAGAGGATAGAGAAAAAACCGTACGATGCATGAAGAAAATCGGATCACCCGGAGCAAGCATTCCATCCGCCATCTGCCCAGAGAAAAAACCCGCTTCATCAGCACTGTAGCCCATCACACGACTGCCGAGGAGCTCAAATACTCACAATCCCCCCCGTCCCAGCATGTCCCGCCCAATGCGGCAGATTCGCATAACAATCCGCCGCTTCCCAAAACGTTGGAATCCCGGCACACGTCGCGACATTCTCCTGCCTGGCATCCGCGAAATTCCCCGCGTTGAGTTCTCTGCTCAGGCAGACTTCCGCGCCGGGTTGTGCTTCTTCGTTATAGCGCAGTCGTAAGGCTGAGAAGGGTCCGTCGGGGACACAGCGATTGGGACCGGCGCCGTTGCCGCCGAAATCTCTCCAGATGGGCGAGGCGAGGATGTTGGGTGCGTCGAGGGCTTCGTTCCAGTATCTGCGGGTTGGATGATTGTGAGGAGGATTGTTTTTGGGGGGGTCCGCGTTTGGGTGGGGGAATTTCAGGGGTTGAAAGATTTGGACTTACGGTACGCCGCCGCGATAGCCGCAGTGGGTTTGTAGGAGATGTTCATGGAGTTTCGTGTAGTATCTGTGCCATGGTAGGAACGCTCCCTTTGAATCCTTATCAGTCCGGGTTAGACATTCGTCGCGGAGGACATGATTGCATACCACGCCGTGGATATACGATGACTGCCGTACGTGAACGTATTGCAATTCATCCCAGAGGCTGGTCGCTCCGGCTATGCCGTACCGTGCAGGGGAAGTCTGCAAGCATCTTTCAGCATTGAGATATGCTTGTTTCTGTTGCGCGTCGAGGGCGGTCCTGATGGCAATAGTCAGTAGACCAGGAGCTCGTTGCGACAGTACGTTACCCTTACCACGATCGTCTCTGTACCGGAGATACACAACCAGCTTGTCTCTTCGCTGTAGGTTTGCCATTCACAACGGAGGGAATAAGAACACATATGGCGGCAACTTCTGTGATTAATCTCATGTTGGTGGAAGAAGGCAGGTGTCCACTTTGTAGCAACCGGGAAACGAAGAGCTCGACGGACGAAACGACCCAGGAACAGGAAAGTCATTCCCCATTTACTTATTATGCATCTGCGCTCTGTTCCGCGGGTATCTGGCTTGCTCTCCACGTTCCACGACCATCGCATGATGCCCATGAAGTGGACGATTCGCTGGTAAGGTTGTTCGACTCATCCCGAGAGTCTGGATGCGAACCGCGTTGTTGGCAAAGCTGTTCCCTCGGTTTTGACCTATCGTGATCGAAGCAATCAGCATTACCTTCGGCCTTCAGCCCATGCGATTGCATGTGCAAGTCTCTTCAGACAGTGCTCTCCAGTTGAAATTGGAGTCATCTGTTCCCTGAGTTCTTCGGTCTGGACGCTAGACGGTGGCCTGTGATCTATTGAGCAATTCACGAAGCGCATTTTACTGTTTCGTTGTTTTCGAATGTACATCTCCCGGGAACGTCGTCGAGACATCCGAAACGCTACTTCAACAAGATCTAAATGCCGTCAATCAAGGGAGAGTCTGTGGTCAAGTAGTCTTCCTCGGACCTGGTCGTAGACGGAAGCTTTGGCACTATCGATTTCCAAAGTCACGGTCGTTTCCGTATGATAAAAGGTCTCGAACGCGGACCTTTCGACTTCGATACGTAGATATCTGTCTAGGTAGGACAAGGTCTCGGCGGGAGCGTCTGAACGCATAATGCGGGATACCACAGAGTCGGGTTTCCGTGCATCTCAAGCGATTCCATGACGCCCGAACTCTTGTCCAGGCCGCGCAGGCCGCAACTCTCCCAGCATGGTGGCCGGGACGGAAGAGCTGCAGACTTACAGTGCCTCATCTGTCGGTAGAGGGGGTTCGACGCTCAGGTCATGGATAATGCAATACATGCGGATCCTGCGAGCTCTATCATCGTATCTCTAGTCACACAACATATCATTGCAAGCCAGCCAAACACTTCGACGTGCTAGAAGAGGCAGGATCCATGGCCTTTCCAGCGACAAGTGGGCCATTCTGTCGCTTCACCCACTTTGGAATCCCGCATAAGAATGTCCTATTAGAGGGCAAAACTGCTGCGGACTTAGTCGTCCATGCCTTTACAGCATCCGTCGGTCTGGTGGTTGCTTTGTCAACGAGCATCATGAGGCGTGCATTCCAACAATCAGCGCTGGAGTTTGCCAAAGGAGACACTGGGGTTAGAAGCGTTCCAATCATCGAACGCCAGAGCGTTGCAGACCTCCTGAGAGATGTCGGGATGCGTACCCGACTCGGCTCGCCTGCTTGGTTGGAAGGTCCTCCATGTCCTGGAGAATGCTCCAGACGATGTTTCGAATCTTCATCAAGCGCTTTTGTCTTTACTTTGGATACTCGCGGGAAAGACCGTGATGACCGACGCGATGAGCGTCGTCGGATGTAGGTGTCCTGGATCGTCCTGGAAATACACGTAGCTTCGTATTAGCTGACGGATATTAAAAGACGTCCTACCGCAAGGATCACCCTCTCTCCCGCTTGTTGAAAGACGCCATGTGCCTGCCGTGATTCGATGGAGGTGACATGGGCGTATGAGCAGAAGGATCTTCCCATCTGGATGACTACCTGCCTTTGAACGGCTTCCTTTCGATGGTAAGAGTCGCCCGGCCTTGGTTGGACAAACTGTCCGCCCGTCGAATGAGAAGTATTTCCCTGATCTGAACTTCTTCCGGCAGCATGTGCCGGATGTGCACTATCTTATGCGGGCCCTCGCATTGACAGACGGCAAGCTGTCCGCAGCTAGCACACTACCTTATCGATGCATGCATGCATATCCTTCGCTTCCAACGCCCGTGCGAGAGATTGATCGCCTTAGCACTTGCGTAGCAATTGCGTAGCAACTGGCATCAACACAACCCTCAATAATAATGCTGGTCTTATCTGCGGGCAATATTAATGCTGCAGCCCGTGGAGTTGCTCGTTGTGCTCGTGCGCTTCTCGTACCCCAGACCCACGTCAAGGTGTCTGATGATATCTGTGATGAGATCTCTCCAAGACTACAATCCCTCACGGTCATGCCCAAGGCGGGTGACATGGATGTAGTAGGAGTGAGCTGTCCGCAGTGCCGACGGCGATGAAGTTGTGGTATCCCGGGTGGAGAAAGCGATTGATCGCTGCAGTACAATGTCTCATTTACAATTCTTGGACGTAGGGAACCCGGACTTAAACTTGTGCGGGCGAAACCGTGCACGTCGCAAGTATTCTTGGATCCGTATTCTGTGACATTTTACTGTTGGTGACGTTAATCTCTCATCCAGATATAAGAAAGGACTCATTCTGCCGCGGTATACGACCAACAGTTACGCATCCTAGTCCATTCTACCACACAACGATGCAATCCGTCTTTGTTATTGTTGCCTTCCTAGGCGCGGTTGTTCTGGGGGTAGGGCCTTGCACAAGAACCGGACACATGTGTATAGTCTCGTCCCTGTACGAAGACTACCCCGTTGAGTGGCAGGTACGTTGATTCTCATCATCGACAAAGCCGGCATCTTTTTAACGCTAATATGATCGTAGTGTCCCAATGGCGCTGACGAAAACACTTTGGGTCCTGGTACTCCGTGCGAGTCCGAACTCGGCTCGATTCTTTTCTGTGTGAGTATCTCGCTAGGAGTGAGGTAGACGACCACACTAACTAGTGAGGAAGTGTACGAAGTGAGTTGCTTAGCGGAAAGGTGGAACTATGTGCGTAGCAAGTATTCTTGGATTCGCATTCTGCAGCATTACTGTTAGGAAAATCCATGTGTTTCATTATAGGCTTACGAGTGCTCTCATCTCCATATAAGAAAGTGTCATTCCCACAATGGAGACGCCATCACTAGAAGAAACTCGGGCTAGCCTCTTCTAGCACGAAATAATGCGATCCATGTTTGTTATCACTGCTTTCGTAAGCGCCGGTGCTCTCGCGGATAACGTTTGTGGTCCAACCCGAAAATCGTGTCAATCCGCGATTGTGGAATTGCACACATTGTACCATTATGAGTGAGGTGTATGTTGATTCTTGTAATCGCAAAGCCGGCATGTTTGGAACGCTAATAACATCCAATTCTCGCGGTGTCCCGACGGCGCTCCACTTCAGACGTTGGCGCCTGGTGGGGGATGTGAGCAGGCCTCAGATCTTTCAGCTCGTATTTATTGTGTGAGCATCTCGCTTGGGGCGAAGCAGATTGCAACACTGAACTCGTGCATAGTGTGTGCTTTCGGGGTACTGAAATGCTGAAGGCAAGGAAGGCGAAATACATGTCAAATACCTGTTATAGATTCATCATGTTGCACAAGTCAATCGGGAGTGAGTGAAGCCTGCCTCGCCAGAGACCTACATATATGGTCCCTCGCGCCTCACCTTTCCTTTCAAGCGCAACCACCGATGCCATCCACCTTCCTACACCGCACATCATGTCCCATCTGCGGCAAGTGAATATCGTCTCCTCTGTTGATGAACGACAGTGAGGCTGCTCAATAGTGAGGCTGGATGGTTCCACGGCCCACCAGGTCTGCATCATAGCCTCCCTCTAGAACGAGCACGAGCACGAGCACCACACGAGTGGGTGGCGACCCTTACACCTTTCCGAGCGCCATTGGCACTTGATTTGTTGATATCGGCTACTTGTCGATCCCCGGGCAAGCTTCGGACGTTACTACTGCAGCAGTGTGGCGTACCCGGCCGGTCGGGGTCGCCATTCTCAGTGCACAGAGTGGGGATGGAAGACACCTTCTTCGGGGGAGAGGGAGGAAGAGGGAGAGGAGAATGCGCTACTTGTATGGGACCACGCAGGCAGGCGGAGGTGTTCGCTATCAATGCGCGACTAAAACCGCCATATATGGTCCGAACCGCCGCACTAGACTCCTTGAACTGCCCGGTGGCTCAGCACGACCTTTTGGAATAATATGTCACAGACACGACATTGCTAGGGAACTAGACAGCAACAATGGAAGACGCAGAAGGACGCAACGGCATCACTCCCGCCGCCGAGGTGCCTAGCGGCTTGGATTCGGCGTACAGTGGAGACATGTACGCCTGGACAGCCCTCCAGCAAAGTTGCGAAGTCGGATACTAATGTCCAGCCAGTCAATCGGAAACGACGTCCCTCTCATCCTCCATCGCAGCGCACAGATTCGAGAATGGAAGACGATACCACACCTACAAGGGTGCCGCCGACACACAGTACTGGGCTCCAAATGACGACGACCAGAACGACCAACTCGACATCGCACATCACATTTTCAACCTCATCATGGATGGAAACCTTTCCCTGGCTCCGATTGACAAAGAAAAGCCCCATCAAGTCCTGGACCTGGGGACGGGAACCGGCATCTGGGCCATCGACTTCGCGGACGAGAACCCGCAGGCCAACGTGATCGGTGTCGACTTGAGCCCTACCCAGCCTCACTGGGTACCTTCCAACTGCTGCTTTCAAGTCGATGACATTACCGAGAACTGGACCTTCGCCGAGGACAGCATGGACTTCATCCACATCCGCGCGCTCTACGGTTCCATCAAAGACTGGCCGGCTCTGTACGAGAAGTGCATGCGTCACCTCAAACCCGGCGGCTGGCTCGAGCAGGTCGAATACAGCGCCGACTGGATCTCCGACGACGACTCGATCCCCGTGGGACACATCTTCCATAAAGCATCCGACTGGTATAACGGTGCTGGCGACAAGATGGGCCAGACGTTCCGCATCTGGGAACTCGCCAAGGACTACATCGACCAGGCCGGATTCGTCAACACGGTCGAGAGGAGATTCAAGATGCCCCTGGGTCCTTGGCCGGCGGACAAGAAGATGAAGGAGATTGGTAGGTGGCATCTGCTGGAAGCCTATCAGGGTATCGAGGGTTGGACTCTGGCTCTGTATACGCGGATTCTTGGCTGGTCGGTGGAGGAGGTGCAGCGCTTCCTCGCGGAGGTCCGAGCAGGTATGTACAAGCAGCTAGGCATCTTTTGGAAGGAAGATTCCCGGTATTGACAATTTGTAGGTTTCGAGGACAGGAGTATCCACGCGTATACCCGGGGCAGCATCGTCTACGGCCAGAAGCCGTTGCATTCGACAGCATCATCATTGTGAGACTTGTTCACCCACGCAGTTTTCTTTTTACGTTAGAGCGTAGTACTTTCCTCCGCTCTTTCGAGTCGTGTTGATTCAGATATCCCATGGCTTTTCAGATCATTGACAACCACTCTTGAATCCCACCGATCTTTTCCTTGGCTACGGATTGAAAAAGGAACAGTCAAGCGTAGCATCTATATCCACACCCGCCGTCTTATGCAGCTCAAAAGCGAACCTGCGAGACCACAGCTGTCCAATATGGGGTCTTTCTCTGCCTATGCGAGTTCTTTTCCAAGAACACCCCTTGTGCCTTGTTTGAGATTGACGAGGTAATTTCACATTCTCCCTTTCGCGCGCCCGGTTCGAGCCATTTTTGTGTTTTGGAAAGTTGTTGGTCCCGGGCAGAGGTTCGGAGTATCGTGGATTGAGAATTGCAAGTCATGCCGACTGGTGTTCCAGTAGACAAAAGGCTCGGCTCTTCCAGATGTATTTTCCGTCTTCAACCGCGTCGTGGTAGAACTCATACCAAAGCGTAAGGGCTGCAATCTCCACGATGTGCCCGTGCTCATTTTGTTTTCGCCGTCGCCATTGTAAGACTGACAATTTGCTGCGATGGCGTCGGCGTCAACGAGATTCGGAAGATGCTGGCGATAGAAAATGGGGAGAGGAGCTGGGCGCGGACGAGTGACTTTTTGAGCTTTTTGATTGGCTGCGGGAAGCCCGCCGCTAATGGAGATCAGTCTCAGGCTTGTGATCGGGGGGGCTTGGCACTTAGGGCACGTCGGTACCACGAGCCGGTTTCCGCGCTAGTGAGGCTATAAGCGCCCACCATCACCTGCATCCTTCCATTAACAAAACATCTCGTTGGCTTCTCAGGCATCCCTCTCGCGTCTTGTCTTGTCGTCTTGCGTGACTCGCCTTTTGCTGCATTATGAAGAGAGCATCGCCATCACTACTACGTTCGCTCACACTGTCCCGTCATATCGGTTCACAAATCAACGCACAAGGTCCTTCCATCGGGCCAGGTCTTCATGAATATACCAGCGGCCGTTACCTGTCAGTTGGAAGTATCAAGGGCGACGAAGACGCGGACATTGAGGTGAGTTAACGCGTGCTCCAGTTTCAACGAAGGGCTGCGTCTCAAGGAGCGACGCCTGAACTTCGATGTCAGTGGGCTCGCAAATGTCATCTGCCAAGCTCTAGGTCGCCCGCTAGAGGAACTCCAAAGTCTGGATAAGTTTGCCGAAGGCGGCTTCAATCGCATGCTCCAGGCGACCTTCGGCGACGGGAAAGAAGTCCTTGCTAGGCTTCCATTCCGACTTGAGGCTCCGACACGGCACTCAATAGCAAGCGAGGCGGCCACTTTATCCTTTCTCGGCCATCATGATATTCCAGTACCCAGGGTCCTGAGATATTCTCACACATCCGACAATCCCGCAGGTATCGAATACATCATACTCGAGAAGATGCCAGGTCGGCCGCTTGGAGACTCATGGTTCTCACTAGACAACAAAGCAATCTCCAAGGTAATGAAGCAAATTGTGCATGTCGAGCAAAGGTACATGGCCCTTGCACTGCCTGCTTCTGGAAGTCTGTACTTCAAAAGAGATCTCGAGAGTCACGAGAAGGCTGCGCCCATCCCGGGTTTTTCGCAAGATGATACGAGCCTTGTGGTTGGTCCCATAGCTTCCTACGCCTGGTGGTATCGTGAGAGAGCGCTATCGGATGTTGATCGTGGCCCTTGTAAGTGGATTGTGCGTAACAACGCTGCGATGAGTTGCTGATTTAGACCAGGGGAGGACTTCCTGTCTTGTTTCGAAGCTGTAGCCAAGCGGGAAATCTCCTTTTGCCAGCAGTACGGCAAGCCGCGCCACAACGTGGAGCTATATCTTCGGGAGCTCGACAATCTCGAGCCGCAGTATCCATCTCGTCACGTCGAGCTCCTCCAGGATTTCCTGAAACTCGCACCTTACCTCGATGTGTCTCGCGATAGCCGATTTGCGCGGCCCACGCTTCGCCACCCAGATCTTTCGCCGAACAACATTCTAGTCAACGATGAACTTGAAATCACTGGTATCATCGACTGGCAACATGCTACCGCCCTACCTCTGTGTCTGTGCGCCGGGATCCCAAAGTATTATCAAAACTGGGGAGACCCCATCTCCGAGTCGCTCCAAAAGCCGGAGACCAAACTCCCACCGGACTTCGATGATCAAGATTCGGCCTCTCAAGAAGCCACAAAAGACAGCATGCGGCGGCGTCTGATCCATTTCTACTACGCCGCATTGACCATGAAGAAAAACCAAGATCATTTCGACGCATTTCGAAGTTACAACTTGATGCTTCGAGCCAAGTTGTACGATCGCGCTGGAGCGCCTTGGGAAGGCTCTTCTGCTTCTCTCGAACAAGTCTTGATAGAAGCGCAGCGACACTGGCCCCTGAGAATCGAGGATTCATCTTCTAAGGAGGCGCCAGAATGCCCTCTTTCGTATCCTTCTGAAAGGATTGAATCCTGTTTGAAAAGAGTCCAGGAGGAAGACGAAAGACTAGAAGAGCTGGACGATATGAGAGCAATGCTGAATACTGACGCCGTTGGCTGGGTCGAGGATGATGAGCACCTTGCACAAGCGAATGAACTTCTGGACTCCATGAGAACAGCATTCCTCCAGGAGGCCAAGACCGACATTGAGAAGATAGCAGCGCGGGATCACTTTCCCTTCGACGACCATGAAGAGTGACTGACCTCTAGTGATTGCTGCAACGATAATTGGCTAGCTCGAGCCGTGCTCAGTGCATTCATCTGGAAATCCACGCAGAGTCAAGGTATTATATCTTGACGGGGGTGGCGTCGATTGGATCTGAATCTCTTCTCACAGTGAATATCGGGATCAGCACTTTCTATTATTGAGAGCCAGAGATCCGCGGAATTTTGCTTTGAACTTACGCCACTCAATCTCAAGCCCATCCCATCAATCGTGGATAGGTAGATCTAATATGGACATTCAAGTTCAACGCGGCCAAAACAGAAGACGAAAATAAAAGGCTTGACAATCTCAGAATTTCGGCGTACGGCCCCCAGACCTCACTTGTCCGGCATCAGCCTCATCACGCAATTTCGAGAATCTCTACAACGCCTTCAACTTTTGCAACAGCTCCTCCATGCTGTCCGCATACAGATCGAACTCCCCGAACACCTCGGTAACAGGATCATGTTCCTCGAAAGTCAGATAAGCCGTCTTGAACCCGGCTTTCCGCGCGGCGATCAAATCCCACGCGTGCGCCGCTACGAACCAACGACTCCCATCGCCATCCCGCCCCAGGCCTCGAGCCGTCAAGTGTTGGTTCGCGGTATCGTAGACTCTCGCCTCGGGTTTGGCGACCTGGATCTCGTCACAGGACAGCAAATGGTCCCCATCCAGCTCGATCTCAGCCAATCGGTAATACTCCAAACTCGTCTCCTTCCCCCCATTCGTGACGCCGTACACATCCCACCCGGCGCCTCTCAACCCATCATAGCACCCCTTCAACCCCGGTCGCGGCTCCAATCGTTTCACCTCCTGCATCACGGCATCCACATCCTCGTCCGAAATCGCCTCCAGGGGAACATCGCACACCGCGCAGGCTCTCCGGAACGTGGCTTTGAGAATGGCAGCGATGGGCGTGTATGACCCCACGAGGGAGGTGTAGGTGAAATCTCGCTGGGCGGCGAAGAACCAGCCGAAGAAGACTGCTTTGGCGGTCGCGCCGGCTCTGTGGATCTGCGGTCCGAGACGTTGGTCGATCTGGTCGATGGCGCCTTGGAAGTCGAAGCAGGTTCCTAGGACGTCGAAGCAGACTGATTTCTTTGCGTTGGGGGGCATGGCTGTTGCGGAGGTTGTGCGTTCCATGTCTTCTTTTTTTTTGTTGGTTGGTTGGTTGGTTGGTCTTTGGCCTGGCTTGGAGGTGTTGTTAGTTGTGTTTTGTTATTAACCGGCTATCATCAATTCGTATGGAGTCTTATCGTGAGCGAAGGATTCAGGCCGTGTCTTTTGTGTTCTTGTCCTCGTTATCTCTGTTGCCGCGGATGTCGCTCTTCATGTGAGGTGGAGATGACGCACATGATGTCCGTGCGCGAGGTGTAGGTTTCTGGACAAGAAGATCGTTCTTCTTCTCCCGCTCTCGACTTCTCGAGATCTTGTCGTATCTAAATTCCTAAGGAAAAGCCAGACGTGCCGCTCATACCAGCCGCATACCTCACCACAAGCCATCTCTGGTCCCTCTGAGCAAGAGTTGGCGTCACGGTCAAACGCCTCGTAATGCCCTTGGGATGGCCGGTATGGACTTGGCTAACAAAGGCCGTTGCCGTCTGCCTCTTCTTGTCGAAGGCGACGTCTCTATCTCGGACACATCGACATGATACTCCTCATTCCCCTCGGCAATTGTTGAAAAGGCTTGAAGTATCCCGTCGAAGGCCGAAGAGGAAGTTCCAGCTGGGAAAGACAGTATAAACTGTTCGGCTTCGAAATCGGGTGCTACATCTGAGCAAATTGCATCTCTCCGATCGAGTTCGCGCTGGTTGATGCTTTTGATATATCCTCGGATTCTGTTCTTGATCATTTCCGCTGCTTGGGACTGGCCTTTGAATGCATCTTGGATACCGCGTCTCATGTCGTGGGGATTTGCCCTGTTCAACAGAAGAGACTGGAGATTTGGCATCAATCCGGTATTGTATTGCGACTTTCCTACCAGCTCTGTTCTCTCTTTCGCCTCATCTTCACGGCGAAGCCGCCCGCGTGCCGTGCGAATCTCTCGCAAGCGGTTCATGCGGAAGACCCACTCGCGAAATCTCGGCTTGATATGCTCGCTTGCTGTCTGCAGTCGGGCGAATACGCCGCATGAGCGTTGCAGTGCCTGCTCAAGCTGCGTCGCACTAATCACCCTCTCTATCTAACACAGCAGAGATGGCGATGTCCTGAACTATCTCGTTTGATCGAGATCATCCTAATGGATGCCAGCTCGTGCCACAAGCCAGACAAACCCTCCATCAGCCTTTTGAGAAGGACGCAATTCGATTCGCACGCTTTCGTCCGGACAGCTCCCCTGGCGACATCAGCAGGTGCATCACAGTTCTATCAATTTATTCTGCTCATAAGTCTCTCTCCTATAAAGCTCTCTCTTACTGCTGCGGAAGCACCGGCATTACTGAGAATGTCACGTTGGATGGTCGGCGTTTCTTAGTTCCAGCCAACCTTCGACTGTGTCTAAGTACCACCCACCGATTAGCGTACCAAGGCCGCTTTCTGCGCTATCAAGACCGCTACGGATTGGCAAAGCGGCACCGAGGACAGGAGGCGGCTCATGCAGCACAAGAGTCCAGAATGTGGAATTCACACCACTGCAGAACGTAGGCGTAGGGCAAGTTGCTCTCAGGACCGTGCGTACATACCTTCAGAGCATTCTCATGTGAAAGCGCGTTAGCTTCTTGGCGCGCCTGCATCCTGCTTGGCTTAGCCAGGGGGATCTTCCAGTAAAGCGAAAGCACGCTACAGGGAATTGTTCAAACGAAAGGTGCTCTACAAGATGAGAGCACTAGCATCCGTCTCATGAGAAGGCATACGTCAACTGCGAGAGCGAAGATCTCAATGTAAGACATTTCCACCATGAATTTGCAGGAAGAATCAGAGTGAGGGACAACAAGAGATCTCTTCCTGGTTTCCCCGGCAATGAGAAGACTGCTGATGGCTCTGCCCGTCTTTCCTGCCTTCGATTAGGAGAAATGGTGAGGTCTGACTCGGACGGGTAAGTTTCATGACTTGGCAATTGGCCGCTGGGAGTATTCGTGGGCAACAAACAGCTTTGTGCTGATTATTACACCATGTCGTTGACCAATATATCTATTAGCCAGCAAAAGGCCTTTCACCAAATTCCCTATCCACCATTCTTAATCAGCAATCCAGTTCTGGTGTGTATAAAAGCCCTCATGGCATCCATCCATTCCATCCTCCCCAACCAACCAACGTCATGCCCAGTTTCACATCCCGCCCCTGAAAGCTACATGTAGTCAGCAAGCAAGGTGCACCCAAGGCTTTTTTACTCAGCCTGCAGGGACAGACGATTATCTCCTTTGATTGGCCAGCAGGTGAGTTTGCTGTTGTTTTAGAAGAGCAGTGTCTCGAGGGGTTTTTTTGACTCGGGGCATGGCCTGTGTGTGTGTGTGTGTGTGTGTGTGTGTGTGTGTGTGTGTGTGTGTGTGTGTGTGTGTTGGATTCTCCTCTACTACTACGACACGACGCATTAAATTTGCTTTTGCTGTGTGGAAAAGTTCGACGACGAGGTATGTGACTGCTTGATCGATTGTCTCAAGAAGGAAGAAGGCTGGTCGGGTGCACTCAGGGAAGAAGGTTGAGAATCGCAGAGGATCTGGCGTGTACGGAATTCTTTCTTCCAAACCGGACAAATACCACCACCCCATTGAGAATTTGGTATCGGGCTCAAAGACAGCAACGACTCCAACCGACCACGTGCCGACCTACAACACTATTTCAGAGGAGAACAGACTCCTTCGCGGGCCCAGCCACAGAGCGCTTCGCTCCGTCACTTCCAGTTTCATCGCCCTTCCTTGAGTCGTAGTCGGGCCAACAGTGTGATCGAGACCAGGCCCTCCTAGATCTGTGACAGTGATACTTAAAGTCTGCTCGTTTCCTGACCAACCCTGATTCTCTCGCTCGTTATACTCACTAACCTCGCTGCCACCGTCCGTCGTCGTGGAACAAGAACGATCGCTCTTTATTGCTTCTTCATCAGCATCGCAATTGCGAAGGTCGAGGGAATAGAGATCAACAGTCAACATGAAGGGTCTCACTGTCGCGACTGCTTTGGCAGTGGCTAGCTTTGCCGCTGCTCAGCTTAATCAGCTTGATCAGTTGCCTAAGTGTGCGGTATGTTGTCGCATAGCGAGCTGGGACCCGAGTGGAGAGGATGCTAACGTAGTTCGTATGGTAGATGCCATGTATCGACCAATGCATGTCAGCATCGGGTTGTCAGTCCACCGACATCGCGTGCCAATGCGGTCCTGGACTCGAGAAGATGATGGAAGTCGCTCGCCCTTGTCTTTGCAAGAGCACTTGCACGCCGCAAGACTTTACGAGTACGTCCCGTAGGAATCTGTTGGAGCAACGTGCGCTTACCACTTTCCACAGAGATGGAGCAAGCCGCCAATTCCATGTGCGGCGAGGCCATGAAAGCCGCTGGAAAGCCCTACACACCACTACAAATGAGCGCCGACTCGTGCAAGGCCATGGCTGGGAGTACAACACCGCTGCCTTCGTCCTCAGCAACTCCTGCTTCTGGAAACCAGCAGCAACAGTCTTCTTCTTCTGCTGCTGCTTCTCCTGCTACTGCTTCTCCTGCTACTCCTTCCCCTGCGATGACGACTCCTGCATCGTACGGTGGCGGAGTGAACAACATGACGAATGTGACCGGAACAGGGAGCGCGCCTGTGCCGAGCTACACGGGTGCTGCAGCAAAGGTTGGAAGCTTCATCAGCCAGAGTGCGTTGGTTGCCGGACTAGGATTCGGTCTGTTTGCACTCTAGGCACGAAAATGTTAGGGTGGACGATGGTGGTGTTGATATTGTCGAGGCCTGTGGGTACGATATGGCGCAAAAAGGTGGTAGCATCCGAGAGAATAATATTGTACCTCATCCCACTGCTTCTTCCCATTTCTTGCTCCAGACTGTGAACTCATCTTCTTGGCCGTCCCAGCTGAGTCTTGATATTTCGCATGCCCCTTTAGCTTGCTTGACGCATTCGTCTAATCCGGTCTTGGCCTTTTCCTCGTCCAAGTCGTAGAAGCAGCTCGCTAACTCGTCCACATCGGTCTGTACTTGTTTCAGATACTCCATCGCTTGGTCCAGTCTCCTCACTGCCTCATCGCCTGCCAAACCAGGTTTGTACGTCCTGAATCTCCGCTTTCCAAGCGCAGTGTAAAGCAACACAACCTTTTTCAACCGGCCCTCTGCTTTCTCCACCAATTCTCTCAGCTCAGGTCGATCTTTGGGACAGCTGTTCGCTGCATTGAAAATGTCATCAATGCTGTCTGCATCCCCATCTACGCCTTCGTCTTCATCATCCAGCAATGCATCATCCTCCCCTTCATTATCCATATCCGTCCCTTCTCTCCATTCCTGCAGCTCTTCAATCGCATCCTTGATTGAATCTCGGTATTGTTCCGCTTTCTGTACCGCAAGTCCAGCGACTCCCAGCTTTTCCAACTCGATCAGCGCGTCGCAGCTTTCCCAGACTACACCTGTCGATCTCAGACTGTCCATTGTCGCTGGCGGGGCATTTCGTTGCGAGACCGACTGAACTTCCAGTAACAGGTGTTCCATTTCTCTGAACACTCTTGCGACGCGTATCTGTGCTTCTTTCGCCATCATCTGAGGCCATGTGTTCTTCTGTTGTGTGCAGATTTGTACCGCGCTCATCATTGCGGGAAGGCATGTTCCGGATAGCTCGCGGAGGACCTTGGTGATCGCGGAAGGGGTGAAGGGCTTGTTGATAGCCAACAACGATACCTTTGTAGTGTGTGCTTTGAGGAGGGTTGCGGAGTCCTTCAGGACGTTAAGAGGATTCGGCGCATTCTCGATGGCTGCAGGTTCGTTCGATTTGGCTGTGAGGGAAGCCGAGAATTGTTTGAGGAGCGCGAGTGTCGACTTTAAGAGGTCGTTCAAGGTCTTCGCATCTGCGGCGTTCGAGGCCGCCATATTGCAGCGATCCGCCGGCGATGTAGGATAAGAGAAGACGTAGTGGGGGGAAAAAGTTCTGGAAGATTTACATGTGACTCGGTCCAAGTCCCGCCAAAACTCTTGGCGCGGACCATCGAGGCGCCACTTCACGTCTACCGAAGAAACGCGACTTTCCATCGCCACTTGCCAACATCCAAAAACATGGCCAGATCAAAATCCACCAACACTGCACAGCCCGCGGCCCCATCAAATCAACTCCAATCCAAAACTCTCATCTTCGACAACGGAGCACACACAATCAAAGCAGGCTTTTCCACCCCCAATCCATCCCCCGATGACTGTCAGACAATCGCAAACTGCATCGCCCGCTCGCAGCGCGACAAAGTGACCTACATCGGACAAGACCTCGACACATGCGGAGATTTCGGTGAACTGCAGATCCGCAGACCGGTGGAGAAAGGCTATATCGTGAACTGGGAAGGCGAAAAGGCCGTTTGGGAGAGGACTCTCCACGACAAGAGAAGTTCCCTGCAATGCGATCCGCACGAGACGAATTTGATCTTGACGGAAGCGTCGAATGCTCCGCGGGCGTTGCAGAGGAATGCGGACGAGATGGTCTTTGAGGAATTTGAGTTTGGGTGTTTGTGGAGGGTTGGGGCGAGTTGCTTGAATGCCTGGGCGCCGTCGCCGTTCACTAAAAACTCGAACGATGGATGTGAAGTAAAGACTACACCGCTGGAATGCTTGTTGGTGGTAGATGCGGGCCATTCACATACTATGATCACGCCACTCTATCAGGGCCGCCCGCTTCACCCCGCTTGTCGAAGATTGGAAATAGGCGGCAAGACCTTGACGAATTACCTGAAAGACATGCTCAATAGACAATACGACATGCACCGCGAAGAATGGATCTGTCAGGAGATCAAAGAAGATGCCTGCTACGTGGCTCCTGATTCCACAACTTTCGCTTCCAACCTGGAGAAAGTCTGGAAAGGTGGACAGAAAGACCCTCGAGAAATCGATTCAAGTATTGTGGTAGATTATGTTCTACCGGACTACGAACAGCTGAAGAGAGGATTCGCGAGACCTCATGATCCGAGCAAGGGGGCGAAGTTGAGGAGGTTGGGCATTGGAGGGCAGAGTGAGATGGTTCTCCCGGTTGGGAATGAGAGATTCACTGTTCCGGAGCTGCTTTTCACGCCGAGCGATGTCGGGATGCAGCAAGATGGTATCGCCGGAACCATCATGCAGAGCTTGCACGCTCTACCGAAGGGCTTATGGCAGCCGTTCCTTGCCAATGTGGTCGTCGTGGGTGGAACAAGCAAATTCCCTGGCTTCGTGGAGAGACTGGAGGCCGATCTTAGGTCAAGAATTGACGAGGACTATCTCGTCCGCGTGGCGAAAGCAGCAGATCCGTTGAAGAATGTCTGGCTTGGAGGCGCAAGGCTGGCTCAGAACGAAGACTTGCTCAAGTCTTTGGTGGTGACAAGAGCCGAGTACCTGGAACATGGCGATCTCTGGACAAGACGAAAATTCGCGGGAAGATTGGGCAGATGAGGTGATGCAGTTCAATTTGGCGCATGCGCCTCTGCCGTACCATTGCTTTCACTCAATGAAAGCATGGCCTCTTTCGCGAGGTCTCCGAATTGCTCCTGATTCGCTGCACAGTCCCTTCCCAGTGCTCGAAGGAGCTTGACGCCATCCTGTTTGATCTGAGACATTTCGTGTCGACACAGGCGCTGGAGCGAAGGTAGTGTATCTTGCCGAGAGCCCATATGCTCCCTCACTGGCACGGAAGATCGACTCAGATGAATGAGCACACCTGCCATCGAGTGCAAAGCTGGAGCATTTGAAGGTCCGTCCACAACCCGAGTGATGGCCGAGAAGAGCACATCATCAAGGCTATACTCCACTACGAGGCAAGCATAATCCTCCGGCTCGCTCTTCCAGAGAACATTACCCAAGACCTCGCACGAGCCCGTCAACATTGTCTTATTTGCCACATCAGCTCCAGTAGAATCGATGTGGGCATGTGTCTTGATCTCGTCCACGAGAATCTGAATCAGCATGCTCCCGCGCGCAAGCTCCGCGAATTCAGGCTGCGCAGCGATATCTGACAAACACCAGATCACACTCGTACACAGCGGATCCAGAATCTTCTTGTCTTCTGGATCTCCTGCCTGCCTCGATTTCTCATCCGTGATCCGCAGAATCTGCAAAAGCTGCGGCACACCTGCCGACATACTCTCCTGCACCAAGGAATCTCGCAAGAAAACAAGCATGGCCTCCAGAATGCAACCATAATTGTCCACATCCGCGGTCTCTGCATAGAAACCCGGAAGAAGGAGCAGCAGCCCCTCAATTTCCTCCGGAGGTCGCTCAGATAGATTCGCTTCCAGTTCCGCTTTATGCCCAGATATCCAGAAGAGCAGATCGATCGCGGGACTAGCATTCTCATCTACATTTCCAATTGCAAACTCGGTTCCCAGAAAGGGAATGAGAGCATAGTGTACTCTCTCCCGATAGCATTGCTGTTGCGAGGGCACGTGTTCGTGACAAATATTAAACAGGACTTTCGTCGTGAGGAGTCTCGTTGCGTTGTTGGTTTTTCCGCCGAGGGCTCGGATTGCCCAGTTGAATCCTAGTGGAATGATTGCTTCTCGCGCTGCGTCGTTGTCCGCGCATGCATTCCCGATACAACGGAGTGCTTGATCTAGATTTTCTGATGAAGAAGTGCCGAGATTGCATTCCACGATTTGGATGAGGATTCGTAGTGCTTCTGGCTCTGCTAGTCTGCCTCGAACGGACGGGGAGGATTTGCTTGCTTCGGCCAGGAGTCTGGTCGCTTCGTCATTGGCCTTGTTGCGCGAGAGCTTCTCCAAGGCATTTTCGACTTCAGGAATTTCTCGTTCCATGAATCAATCAATCAATTTTCCTTTCAGAAACCAGAGAAAGAGGCGAAATTTGTTTGAAATTCGAAAAGTATCTCGATCCCATAATAAGATATGCCTTGCCTTGCCTTCGGAACCCGGCAGCTGACTCACTCCCAGCCCTAAATTCCCAAAGCTGACCACCTGGCACGTCTCGCGAATTGAAGCTCAAGGGATACCTAATAACTTCAATCGCAACTCGGGTCCAACTCCTCATCAGTCACTCCTTTTCAAACCAACCCCATTTCCATACTCACAATGACACGCGCGCAACAAACCCTCTCCATAGGCCTCCTGGTCGCTTCCGTACGCCCCCAACAATCCAAATCCCAAACCAGATCCCAATCCAGATCCAAACCACAAAAAGCTAACGTTTAGACAACCAAAGCTCTACACAATCCTCCTCCTCGGCCTCGTGCCCTTCCCGGCGAAAATCCAACAGGAAGTCATCCCCGTCGTGAGTCATTCCCTTCCCTCCCTATCTCCCTCCCATACCCCCCTCCCTCCTTCCTCCCTTTCTTTCGCTTCCAAATCAATTACAGAATCTCACTCGCTGACGCTTCCAATTCTCTTGCCTTTTTATAGCTCCCCCTCTGGGCCCTCGTCTCCTTCGGCTCCTTCCTCCTCTTCAAGCTCGGCTACGGCGTGCTGACCTTCAACGATGTCCCCGAGGCGCATGAGGAATTGCAAGCACAGATTCAACAGGCGCGAGCGGATCTGAAGAAGAGGGGTGTGGAAGTGGACTGAGATGTTTGGGGACAAAAGCGTTTTGGGTCGGGGTTGGGAAGGGGGAATTAAAGAGCGGAGGAGTTTTGGGGCGGGAATGGACAAGGGGGGAAGGGAGGGAGAGACCTGCATTGCGTGTATATTGTAGTGTGTGAGAAGGAGGACTTGATTGAGATTGAAGGACTGCCAAAAGATACCCTCTGTACGGACTAGATGTGAGGAGTGCTACACGGTCTCACTCCTTGAATCCAAGTCTTCCCCCGCGACAGTTGGCCTCGAACCATCTGGGCCGATGCTCCTCACAGATGGGACAATTCTGATGCTCATCCGGATGATATCGCTCATCATCCCGGGCTTCTACCTCCGGTACTTGCATAGCAGGTTCTGGTAACCTCGCAGTCTCACCCAACGATGCCCAGAGACCACCAGAATTGGAACTCGGTGGACTCATATCCAGAATCGGGCTCAACGCGCCTCCAAACCTCCGATTCCAAGGCACGGTCACATGCGTCGAAGCCGGCATCTTCGTCGCGTATTTGGATGCAAACTTGTCCTTGGTCAGGATGAAAGAGTCCTTGTGCCCAGTCATGAGCTCCTGGTTGATCTTTCCCTCCATTTCACGTCGTCGGATGTAGCCTGCTGTGATCTCGACCGAGTCGCGATGGGAGCGGAATTTGATGTCTTCGGATGGCAAACTCCAGAGATCGCGGTTGATGGATGGAGAAGCAGGAAGGCTGCTTCGATGCCGTGGCACGCTCAGATAATCATTCGAAGGTGTCGTCGCTCTCGGTGTTGGTTGAGTGCTGTGATGAGGCTTCTCTGCGAGGACGGCTCTTACATTGAGCTCAATAGGCGAGTCTTCGGATTCTTCCTCCTCACTTTCTTCGGCAGCAGGCGTGTATTGGCCGGAGTGCCTTGCAGATGACCTTCCTGTGTTGGGCGGTGCAGGAGGATCCTCAATTCCAGGTGAATGGTCGGAGAGCCATTTGCGCTGCTGCTGTTCAGCATCGTTCAGTGGTAGTAACGGCAGTGACCTTGAACTTTCATCGCTGGCGTCATCTGCAATCTCCCTCTCCCAGTTCCAGATCGCCAGCTTCGTTCTCACCTCACCAAGCGGTATACCGTCATGTGGTTCGTTATGCCGTAGTGAACTCCAATCATCTGTGACGATGACGTTCAAGCCAGGGTCGACGAGGAGCGTGACGATGCTGGATGCGGTCGATGGATCAGGATCGTCCCAGAGCATCTGGTAGGTCCCGTGATCTGACTGTACAGTGTGCGCAAACTGTCTTGAAGCACGACGCTCAACGGGTCTGAACCGCTCAGCTGGGCTCTCGTACACTGTGTTCAGCCTTGGAGACTCTGCAATGTGAATACTGCAAGCGGTAAAGGCAGGGCTAGCTGGACTAGCCTTCAATGCGATGAATGCCGGCACTTTCAATCTCCCCTTCACTCTTGCTGCTTGGGTCATGGAACTGGTCCGGCGAAGGACGACAGGCGTAGCGTCGATATTTGTCAGTGGGTGACTGAATGAGGAGCGGCGCTGCTCCATCTGCAGGCTCGCGGGAGGAGCGACCTCGATATTGTCTCGATCAGATGCATTCTCTTCGTTGATGAACGGCAGCTCTTCCACCTCTCCAGACCACTCCTGTACTTTGTGTACATGAGGATCAACCTCGAGCTCTTCAACAGGGCTCTGCCTGGAGTTCTACCCCGGGCTGAGCAAAGAAACTGTTTCCCCAGTGAGAGCGTCGTCTTCATTGTCTGTGGGCTTGCCGGCGGTGCTCTCTAACTCAAAGGGGTCATTTTCATCATCACGCTCAGGGCGCGGATCTAGAGAGTTCGTCTCGCTGCTGTCTTGCGTATTGTCCTCGTGATCGGCGTCTTCAGCGGCATCAGATGCGTCATCTTCCAGATCTGCTTGCTCGTCTGCTTCAGCTGCCTTTTCAAATGTCCGCGCGATGCGTGCTTGCTGCTCGAACACATTCTCGTCTTCGTTCGGGATCCATGGCGAAGTCGCGAAAAGCTCGTCTTCTCTGCCATTGTTAGGATGCGGAGACAATTCTGGCGGAGCAGTGAAGCTGCGTGGGTTGAGAACAGCTGGAGTAGTCGGCGTAGACCATGTGTGTGTAGCCGCTCGTCCGATGTTGAATCCCGCTTCCTCCTCATCGCCCACGAAGCGTGTCGACTTTTTCTGTTTGGGGGTGCCCGGGTCGGATGAGAGTGAAGGAGGCGTACTTGACTGTGGAGACCGGACCAAAGCGCTCTTCAAGGGTGCCCCGGTCGAAGCAGAGGCTGATCGTGCTCTGGGTTGAGGCTGTTCTCTGTCTGACCGAGCCAGTTCGGTAAAGTAGACGTGTCCATGATGTGAGGATAAGCGTTGCTCTCCAGGCGTGACGTAAACGCTCTCGTTGACCTGCTCGTCGATCTGTTGAGTAGGCTCTTCGAACGATCCGAACTCGTCTTCGCTGCAATCCGAGGCCGTTGAATAGAAGGTGTTTGCTGGCGTCAGGGTAGGGAGTCGTATCGGGATTGGGTCTTCGTCCTCATCGTCTTCGTCGTGTGAGAGGATCATATCCTTTGCCCGGTGGCTGTAAGAATCTATGATATCACGCTCCCGAGGTTCCCCGTCGAAGTCTTCAACGTGTGCCAATGGAAGCTGTCGCGAATGTCTTCCCAGATCAGCGGCGCTTGCTCTTCGTTCCACGTCTGATTCCGGTCTGGCGGATGATTCCGAGGAGCTGTCTGAGAAGCTGTCCGAGGACTTGTCTGAGGCCCTGTCGTGTTCGTTGTCCGGGGCATCGACGGCGGTCTGATCTCCCAGCTCAGACACCCCCTCGAACTGATCGGACTGTACGGATGGAAATTCCTCCTCCTCCTCCTGCTCCGATGGTGAAGTCTCGGTTGAAGCTGACCTGTTGCGAGGAGAACGATTATGACGACGGGGAGAATGGGTGATGCTCGGACCGCGGGGACGCATCAGGGAAACAATAAGGGTAGTGAAAGGAATGAACAACGTGGGAGACAGGTGAAGGGATCACACATGCACTAATTGGAGTGCTGAGATGTGGGCGTCGCTATGTACAGATTCGCGTCGTAGGGATGTAGGGTGTAGGGTGTGTTGGGGGTGAGTCGATGCGTGCATGTGGTATTCTTCGCGGAGGCTGGTAGCATTGGACTTGCAGCCTCAGGCAGGACCGATCAACAGTAGAGCGCTGGTAGTGATTGCGTTTGGGGAAAGAGCGTTCCGCGGATTCGCCACGGTGTAACGGCTTTCCCGTACATATCCCATTGGAAATAATCCATCGTAGATAAGGTATTACAATGGAATATCTGTTCTAGGCCCATCAAGTCTATCAACTCCGATTCCGAGCTTCATGACCTTCGAAGCTGATTCAATGGTGTAATGCCCCATATCACTTGAAGCTGCTCGACGGATTGGGCCGACGTCGAGGGCGTGTTGGACACTGTAGTGAGGTTGCGATGGCGATGGATGCAGCAGGTGAGGTGGATCTGGGGACGAAGCTTACACAGTTAGGTGGTACGGCGGGCCGGCGTGTAAGGTACCTGAGACGGGACCAGACAGCTGTTGAAAGTCGACTTACTGCTCCCGAACAAGAACAAGAATCTGCCCTCGCGCATGACACATTTCTCGCCATGAAGAGCGTGGTAGTGGCGCTGGCAGCCCTGCAATACGCCTCGAGCGTATCTGCTGCATCCACGCCGCGAGGTGTTGGGCCCGAATGTACGTCAAAAACAACCAAAACCTCCCCGGAAGCTCTGCTAGACATTTCCCTTCCTCTTCCTTGCCAAAAATGCCATTCTAACCCTCCCTCTCCCGAATAGTCGCCCAATTCTACCAGGACACGAAACGCTTCACCTGCGTCTCCAACCCCAAAATCACCGTTCCCTTTTCGCGAGTCAACGACGATTACTGCGATTGTCCCGACGGCTCAGACGAGCCGGGCACTTCGGCCTGCGCACATCTCTCCCCTCTATCGCCGCACACACCCGCCGACAGCATCCCTTCCGCAGTGAACGTCACAGCTGTCCTCCCGGGCTTCTACTGCCAGAACAAGGGCCACCTCCCCAGCTACGTGCCCTTCACGAACGTCAACGATGGCATTTGCGACTACGAGCTCTGCTGTGACGGAAGCGAGGAATGGGAAGGCGTAGGAGGCGTGAAATGTAAAGATAAGTGTGACGAGATTGGCAAGGAATGGCGGAAACACGACGAGGCGCGGCAGAAGGGACGCTCCAAGGCGTTGAAGAAGAGGGAGGAATTGGTGCAGGAAGCGAAGAGGTTGAGGCAGCAGATTCAGGATCGCTTGCAGAGCCTCACGACCGAGAAGGAAGGACAGGAGATCAAAGTCAAGAATCTGGAGAGGGAATTGGCCGAGGTACGGAAGAGTGAGGCTGGGAAGGTTGTGAAGAGTTCGGGAGGCACGGGCGGGAAGATTGGACAGTTGGTCGATCTGGGATCGAGGAGGACTGAGGAACTGCGGAGCAAGTTGAAGGATGTGAGGTTCAAGCTCACCGACAGCCAGTCGAGGCTGAAGCAGCTGGAGAGTATCATGAGTACATTCCACGAGGAGTACAACCCCAACTTCAACGACGAGGGTGTGAAGCGGGCTGTGAAAGCCTGGGAGGACTACATTGCCGGCTCTGGTTCTCAAGACCAACCCAACGACGCCACGGAGCGTGATTTGGACGAGATCGTGAAGTCCGACGCCGAGAATGGCCTCGACTGGACCGCCTACGCCGAGGAAGAAGAAGAGGAGCTCGTAGCCAGCAAGTCCCCCACAACCACACTTGCCCCAACTCCATCCACTAACCTCTCTCCCAGTCTACTCCTTCCTCGAATACCTCCCCCCATCCCTCCGCGGCTGGCTCGACGACTCCCTCCGCTCCCTCCGCCAAACCCTCATCGACAACGGCATCCTCGCCTCCTCCCCCTCCTCCACCCCCAACGAGAGCAAGAAAGTGCAAGACGCCCGCGCCGCCCTAGAAGCCGCCCAGAAGGACCACGAAACGCACGCCAAAACCCTCCAGGAAACCACCGAAGATCTCGCCCGCGACTTCGGCCCCGAGGACGTCTTCCGCGCTCTCAAGGACCGCTGCGTCGAGCGCGACAGCGGCGAATACACCTACGAACTCTGCTACCTGGCCAAGACGACGCAGAAGCCGAAAAAGGGCGGCGGGAACACGAACATGGGCAATTACGTCGGGCTCACGACCCTCGCCGTCGACGAAGACTTGCCTCCGAACGGCAAGGGCCTCGGGTCCGGGGAGCGGATCGCAATGAAGTATGAGAATGGGCAGCATTGCTGGAATGGGCCGCATCGGAGCACGACGGTGGTGCTGGCGTGCTGGGAGGAAGATGAGATCTGGAAGATCATGGAGGAGGAAAAGTGTGTCTATCGCATGGAAGTGGGCACGCCTGCGGTCTGTGCGGAGGGCGATAATCATGTGCGAGCGGGGAAGGCAGGGGGCGCTGGTGGCAAGGATGAGTTGTAGAAATGCCGGAAAGGAAGAGATTGCATTCGATGATTGATCCAAAAAGGGTGTGTGTGTGTGTGTGCAAGGAAATGGAGTGTTAGATTATACAGAAATCCAAGACGGAAAGTAGGGGGAAGAAGAAAGAAAAAGTAGAAATGAGTCAAACATTCTCCTCTTGCCAGATGGAGAGATGGATGTGGATTTGCATCGAAGAGTGAAGCGCGACATGCATGTTTGCAAAGGACGAGGAGAAGCATTTTTGGCATGGTTATTATTCCGTCTTGAATCTCACGTCTTGTCCTCCTTTCCTTTCCTTTCTCCGGAGTTTTCTCAAACGGAACAAGTCGACATGGAAAGTAACGTTTTGCTCCACGTGCATCCAAGAAGTCAACGTGCTGTGGCAGGAACGTCCTTCCATAGCGGTGCAATAGGGAGAGAGAGAAAGAAAGAAAGAGAAAAGAGAAAGAGCAAGAGCAAGAGCAAGAGAAAGAGAAAGAGCAAGAGAAAGAGCAAGAGCAAGAGCAAGAGCAATGGAGAAAGAGAGCAAAAATTCAAAAAGCAAAAAGCAAAAGAAAACAAAAAATGATGATTACTGCAATCATTCGCGAGAGCAAAAACGCAAGCCAAAGCGCCGAGGGCTTCCCTACCTACCTACCTATCTACAGGCGAGAAGAAGAAGATCGAAGCTCGCAGCGTCTTCGTTCGTACATCGGAGTTGTCATGATCTCGACAGCTCGCTACTACTACTACTACTACTACCGCTGATGATGGTGATGATGATGATGATGATGGTCGTGCTGTGCGACTCGCTGTTACCCTGTGCTGGTTTGCTGCTGCTAGGATGCTCGGAACGAGTCGGTACGAAAGGGGAAAGAAAGATCGCTGGATGCCATGCCATGGATCGAAGCTGTTCTGGTTCGTCTCATCACTGACAATGGCAAGCAGAGTGCGGCAGACAATGATTGATGAGCGACAGAGTGCATGCATGTGCAGCGTCCTCCGTTCTGTGCCGTGAACTGGTTCTCCGTTGCAGACAGATCTGCTGCATGCTGGATTGCACCAATCGACTACACCCGTGTGTGATGAACTTGTTCTGGTTCGAGACGAAACGGTTCGGCCTTCACCAAGCAACGCAACAGCCAAGAAGAGGAAGGAAAAGATTCGTGTTCTGGACTCATCCATCCGCATTCGCCTCGGCATCGACATTGCCCGCGAAAGTGCTCGTCCCGGTCAACGGGGCCGATGGACAGGTGAAGTCGTGTCTAGAGCCCCGAAAGTTCTCAGGGAGGATCGTGGACAAAGAAGGGAGCTAAAACGACAAACGTCACAGATTTCCTCATCATGTCACCAGTCTTATAGGAAAGAACGCGGTCGGTGGGGGATATCCCTGGCCGTCTCCGCCTGGGAAAGCATGGAAGAAGCAAGTTGCGCTTGGAAAATTCGAAACTGCCACGCTCCTCTTCTGACTTCGGGCCGGTAAGGCTCAGGGACAGAGTTTCAGGTCCCTTCGGCGTGACATGGTCCAAGAGATGATGGTAGACGAGGACGGCCGATTGCGTTGGACATGCGAGTCGTTTTGCCGGAACAGATCGGGTTGGACCGTCTTCTTTCTGTTGAAAACAGCGATAGGCAGGAAAGTTCGCTTATTGTCCTACAAAAGGTATTTATCGACATAAAAAATCATGTTGGAATAGGACGAGGCTGCAGCGGGAATAACGAAGTGATGTCCAGCCGTCACTTAAGTCTTGCTTGGTCTGGTGTGGAGAGTTTGCATGCGCGAAGGTCGACGATGGTGTGAGGATATGACGACGATGGTTTGAGGGTATAGCTGATTGTGAAGGCCTCGGGCGAATGATTGTTCTGACTGTCGGCGGTCAGCGAGAGGACAGAAGGCTCCTGTCGGAATTGGCCCCTCGTATTCTCACACGATTACAATCAGCATTGTTCACACGATTACAATCAGCATTGTCTTGCGCGGGTGTTGTAGATGGAAAGCAGTATCATGTCGAAAGTGTGGTCGTCCCAATCGATCGGTCGAAGAACCTTGAGTGCGATGCTTTGACACGCTTTCGATGAAAGAGACTCCGATCTGGAATAGTCGTACTACCTCAGCGTGGTGCTGAGAGGCTGTGCCGCGGTTGACACGCGTTACCTCTTCGCGTTGTAGCGATGAAGTCTGGCGACGCAATAATACGCTACCATGGCGGCGACATCCATTCAAGCATTGCGCGAGTGGTTCCCCGGCGATGGTTTGGATGTCACCAGTCATGTTGCTGTCCTAATCGAATGATAAGTCTGTTTCGCTGTGCTGGGTGCAATCTCCAACACCAGGTGCCATGATTCATCGTCTCCAACGGCTGTCTGGAAGGGCGCGCGCGCATGGGCGTGCATGTGATCACCAGGTGGTTCGACATATACAAACGATGAGAACAACGGGCAGAGTACCGCAGCAACGCAGATGAGGTCTCCATAGTGCCGTGGCTGCACCGCCGAATCAAGGACGTAGTGGCACGGGCTCGGGTCCGATCGTTCGCAGCGGCCGATCTCGCACTTGGGTTAGTGAAACGCTGCGACGTCTTTGATGATGCTGGTTGGTGGTCCGAATGTTGGAAAGCTCGGAGGCGAAGGCCGGGGAGCGTTGGTGGACGTTGGTGCCAAACGCGAACGCGACTGCAGCGCGCTTGCAAAGTGTGACTTGCTCGGTAGGTTCCGGGTTTGCTGCACACACGCTCACGCGGAAGCGGCAGGTCCTCGTGCGAACGCGTGGAGAGTGCCTGACGTGGTTTGGGACGTCGTTGGGTATGAAGGTGAAGGGCCTGCCAGAAGCTATATATACATTGTGCATGTCAGACGGGGTGAAGAGGAGACCCAGCAGTTGTTCGCAGATGGACCGGGCATGTGCATGAGGACGAGAAGGTGCAAGGTTGTCCAATCTGTTTGAGATGTGTTGGGGATGTGAAGGGCCAGATGGGGGCGATTGTATGTAATCGACTGGCAGGGGGATAGACGGGGGGGAGGTGCAGCGTTGGACACGGTAATTATTAGTAAGGGAAGGGTAAGAGCTGCGGGCGACTCCAAACAGCGAGTGATGCGCGAATGCAGAATCGTCGGCGGCACCTCGTGGGCGGTGGGCGAGAGGCGAGAGCGAGGAGTGGAGTGGAGAGGAGAGGATGGCGTTGGTGTTTCACAAAGAAGAGGGCGCGTGTGTGGTCACGTGGTAATGAATGGCTTGGCTTGGCTTGGCTTGGCTGGACGGCACGATATATGGGATATGATGGTGTTCCTTTTCCATCATCGTTCGCCGTGTCATTCGAGGCCGCCCCTGCATGGATGATGGTAGATTCGATCTTGGCGGCGACAGGCAGGAGGAAGAGGTGCAAACCCACGGTCCCGGCGCTGGATCGGTGGATGGTCGTCGGCGACGGTGGCATGCCGCTGGTTGGGAAATCATTGCATGACCCATGCGCGGGGAGGAGTAGTAGTGATGAGGAGAGGATGCTGCTGACGGGAGACCTTGGCGACGGGCGCTAGAAGAGGAATGATGCACCGCTTGGGGTGGAGTAGTAGGAGTAGTAGGAGTGTACAGTAGTAGTGAGGGATGTGATAAGGTGGGAAGGGATGGCGGATGGCGGATGGCGGATGGCGGTCTCATCTGCCATGCCATGCAGCGCAGTGTGCAGCATGCAGCCGGGGACGCAGGTACATGTGCATGTACCGAACACAAACACGCTTGTGCAATGCTTGCACAACGCCATGCCTGCACACGGCCCACGCCCCGTCTTCCCCCTGCGCCCGCCGCCTGACGAGCCGAACGTGTCCCGATCCCGCGGAGCATCCTCCCACAGCTCCTCCTCGTCGCTCACGCACACCTCATCAATAATGTCCCCTCGTCCATGGCGCGCGCGAGCTCAGCGATGCTGCGGTGATGCTTCTTGGTGACTGACGCACGTAGGAGACGTCTAGAGCAACGTTGACGGCCTGCATATCGTGGCCATGCATCCTTCGTCCTTCATCATGGTGATGATAAGGTGTGCATCGAAGGGGTAGCTTCTGTCACGGGCTGGAGTGGGCCAGAGTTGGACTCCGGTGCTCGATGCTGGGTGCTTATTCGTTGCAGAGTTTAGTGCATCTGCAGGTACTACTGCCCGCCCTGTCCGCCAAGTCAGCCTGTGAGGGCGAGATGCGAGATGCCTGCGCTGTAGGACTTGCTGCCGGTCCCTTCCATCTCCTACCTTACACGTCGCCACCATGCCGCGCTGCATTACTAGACCACCGCCTGTCCCCCGGCCGTCGCACACCGATTATTATTATCAGTTGTCCATATCGGCAGTGGCGCCAGCCCGTGAGCCCGCTCCCATCGCGCCGGTCACGTGCGGGAAATTAATATTGAAGCCGCTGCATTGCCTCGACGTCCATCCAGCCCTTCGGCTCCCACTCCTTCCCTTTTCGACCTCCCGCCAAACCACTCCGGGGAGTGGAAAAAGGGTTACACACGTTCGCTCCTGAGACGCTGGACCGAAGATTGCACTTCCGCCGGCTCTCTCGAAACGCTAAACTCTCGCGTTCCTCCCGCGCCGTTAGCACCAGAAAACTCACATCATCACCCGCTCACACGCCTACGATTCCTTCCTACTACTGCCGCTGCTGCTGCTGCTGTTTCTGCTACTACTACTACTACTACTACTACTACTACTACTACTACTGGCGCTGGGCAGCCACTCGCGCTCGCTCTCGCTCCAACCGCATCGCCTCCAGCACCGGAGTCCTCCGCCGCACGCGTCTCTGCCTCCCTACCCATACTGTCCTTTCCTACCGAACCACCACATCTCCTCCACCGTCGCCACCACCCCACCATCGCTACTACCACCATCACCGCCGACGGCATACCCATACACATACCCATACCAACACCCAGACCCAACCAAGTCGCCGGCACGAGACCATCTGCTTCCCCAGCTCTGACGATCCGCGCTGCGCTGCGAGAAACAATTTGTTGGTGTCCGCTGCCCACGCCAACATTCCACAGCCGGCATCCGCTCCTGCACTTGCAACACACGCGCACGGGTACCTGCAGCATCGCCCTCACACTCCACCCCATCGCACTTGCCCTCGCCCTCGCCCTCGCCCTCGCCCTCGCCCTCTGTGCCAAGCCATCCCTCGACGACGCACACATCCATCAGCGCTGGTGACACCCCCCATTGGCAATGCTGCATTCGGGTATTTGGAAGCCCGCGACACGCACATGATCACTATCCTAGCTGCACCACCCACCCACACCGTCCCGCCGCGTTTGGCGACGCGAGCATTGGAAGCGCTCCGCCAGCGTCACTACCTTACCCACGGCTTCGATATTGTGAGAGGCCTGCCAGGTGCGCTCGAGGTCGCACCGGCCATCGCGGTCTCGTAAGACTCGGATAACACCTCAGGGAAACATCCACCCAACTCTCGTTTGGTATGTCTCACTTTCGCCCTCCCTGTACAGCATCGCACATTGCCGCGTTGCCATTGCCTTCAATGGCCCATCCACCTCGAACCTCCTCACTCACTTCTTCTTCTTCACCCTCTACATGTTCGTGCACTGACTTCGGCTGGCGCAGCACCATGAACAAATTCTTGAAGAAGAAGGCCGCTGATGGGCCCGCCTTCAACGACGATGATCTCGCAATCTCCACCCCGACCTCGCCCGTCCTCAACCCCACCTCCAAAAAGTCATCCAACAGCAGATGGAAGAAGAACAACAAGAAACAGCCCGAGCCCAAACCCCAGCTTGACCTCACCGCAGCCCTGCCATCGACAGACGATTTCCGCACCAGCTTGATCATGCCCAGTCTCTCCACTCGGTTTAGCATGCTCAGAGAGCAAGACGACCCCAAGTCGCTGCTTGGCAAGGCTAGCGACGACAGCGTGCTCCAGTCGCGTCGGAAATCGCGAATGAACGACTTCGGCTTCGGCGTGCCGGGCCTCGCCGATATTGCAGAGGTCGCATCCATCCATGGCTCCGTTCGACCGCCTTTTGCGCACGAGAGCAGACAACACTCGCTTGTGTCGGAGGAAGGTTACAGCAGTGAGGCGGACAATGCATCGCACAGCGTGATGAGTCGAGCTCGGCCGGGGGAAGGGAATATACTCTTTGGAGGTCGTCAGAAGATTTACAAGATCCCTACCGGTGGTGCGACTTCCACCCGGAGCCTGGGGAGGCTTGTCTACGAGGACGATGTCGGCATGTCTGCCTTCCAGAAATACCGGCAAAAGGAGAGAGAGCATGACGAGAGCCAATTCCCTCGAAGTTCCGACGAATCGCAAGCCTTTGACTTCGGACTCGAGCCCGTCGAGCCTCGATATCACGACGACTCGGGCCTGGATACGCTGCCCAACGACTCCGCAAAGGATCTCTCGCATTCTCCCTCGCTCTCCTCGTACGACAAGAAGCGGTCGACCACCTCCTCGACTGCGCGGTCAGAGGCCCGTTCTTCGACTGCCGCGACCTCCGTTGCCTCCCAGCCATTGACGAGCGCACAGCCGTCACCGGCTCAGACACCGGCAACCATGGTCTCCAGTGGTAATACCGCGGCGCCTTCGCCGACTCCCGGAATGTCACTCGAGCGGTCGAACACGAAGCAACGCAGGTTGTATGAACAAGGTCTCGATCAGCACATGCAGGAACAGCAGACATCTGCACTCACCCGTCTGAACTCCATCCAGCGACAGAGAGCTCTCAGCGGCAAAAAGTCACCTCCCTTCTTGCATGGTGCTAAGAGCGCCAGCAATCTGCAGGATCGATCCGCCCAGCCCTTCTACGCTCTTGGCCCGGCTTCACCACCACCTACCGCGCCTCTTCCTCAGCTGAAGACTTTGGGATCGATTCGACACCCGCACTCGGGCACAAACAGCCCATCGCTGAGCAATCCCCAATCCCCGATCGATCTCGAGCAGAATGATGTCTGGACTCGTGCATTGGAGCCTGGTGACAGGGGCAAGGCCACGGCGATGGGTGCATTCAACAAGCCGGCGCACGCATTTGACGAGAAGCAGTATCTCGAGCGTCAGAAAGCGCTTCAGCGATCGAACTCCAATGCCGTGATGAAGAACAAGGCTACTCCTCAAGCTGCAGCCGGCGCACCGCAAGCTGATCAGCAGGAAGAGCCTTCGTCTGTGGATGCCGCCGCCGCCGCCGCACGAGCACGCTCGGAGTCGGTGCCGAAGAAACACGAGCCGACAAAAGCCTACAACGTATTTCAAAATGCAGCTAACCAGTTGCCAAAGCCACCGCAGCCAACATCTGCAGCGCCCGTGAAAGCCTCCCTTCCCGACACCCACCGAACATTCTTCGGCAATATCAGCGCAAGCGAGGACGAGGAAGAGGATGGAGAGTCGTCCATTGCACAATCTTTCTCAGAGTATGGATACGGAATCTACCAACCACAGCGATGGCAGCCCACGCCCTTGCAGCCCGTGTCTGAGCATCCTGCTCTGAGGAGCGAGCACTCGAAGACGACATGGGCCGAAGAGGACGAGGAGATGGAGCCACGGCTTCCGAAGCAAGCGGCCTCTGCTCAATCCCTGAAGATCGATCCTGCAAAGTCCAGATCTGCGACATCACCGCCCCTCGACTCACCCACGTTGGGCCCGCAGGCACAGCCTCTGAACGGTATGGTACATCATCTCCGCCAGCGAAGCAATCAGTCTTCGCTCTATCCCAACGATGATCGGGTACCACGGGACGACGATGTCCCTGACGTTCCCGAGGTGCCGTGGAATTCAAAGACAACAGACTCCTACGGCCAGACATTAGGAGCAGGAATGGACAACCACTCTCGTCGTGGCTCTTATGCCATCTCGAATCCGTGGGACTTGGACGAGCCGAGCTTCACCGATTATTCTCACGCGAGCCGTAGCTCCCTGCGACCGTACGACGAACACTCTGGCATGGACATGGCTTCAAATCGTGGCTCTGAGACCTCTTCCGCGCAAGAGGGTGTTTCCGAGACTCGACCGACAATGGTGAGAGAAGACTCTGAGATTTCCTTGCTACCAGGACCGGAGCCTGCGTGGCAGCGCGAGTTGCGCAAGCAACACGTGCGCGAGGCCAGTACAGCAACGCAGCAAGAACGAGACGCATTCGCCAACGAGCTCGCGGCACGGCGCAATGCTATCCAAGAGAACATCAAGAGCATGGTAGAGCGCGATACTCATTCGCGAGGTACAAGTCCCGCGCCTTCGGCTTCCAACGCAATGCGGGCGTTCGGTATGTTGCGATTGAAGAATAGTAGAGAATCGATGGCACATGTGCACGATCAGCCACCGAAGGCGCTCAAGAACCTTGCCCACGGCATGGAAGGCGGCCGCCCTCGTAACGATTCGTCGCCGCGCATTTTCATGCCAACGGCTCAGCATCCAGCTTTCAAGGCAGACGGAGCGGGCCCATCGCGGGACATGGATGCCATGCAGGCTGAACGTGCTCTTGCCACCAGTCGATCTTTCCAATCGAGCGAAGAGCATGCGAGGAGTCGCTCAAACTCGGCAGCCACTACTGGACGCTCTCGTAGTCGCACCGGACCCTACCGAGACGATCTCGAGAAGGCCATGGTCGAGGGCAGAGGCTCTAGTGCAGCTGCACGGACACCCGACATATGCCCATTCGCAGGAGCATCACCAGACATGATGTCCAGAAGCAGTGACGAAGACAAGAGCCCTTTCGATACGAAGAACAACTCGCGCATCGCACAGAACGGGCCTTCACCCGTGACACTTGCGCCCAACGTGTACGCTCCAGGCCGACCTGTCCCCATGGCGAATCCGTACTCGCAGAACCAAACGCCTCCACTGGAAGGCTCAAGCCCCAGTCTCGGCACAGAAGTATACTCTCCAATAATGCCTTCATCTGGAAAGCCCGGGCACCTGCTACGGAAAAAGACCATCTCCAAGCATGAGATTTCGGAGCCCACTCTGATCTCTTCGACATCCAACGTCGACACTGTGGACCTGCCATCAGGCGCGTCTCTCAAGAACGGCATGGAAGATGCTCCTCCGATACCACCGATCAACCCAAGACGTCGAACAACACGCAAGATCTTCCGTCGAGGACGATCAGACTCGAATCCGCATGGCGACCACGAGCCCAAGGCGACCGCATCCGACCCTGCCTTGAACATCTCGCCGAAGCGGAACAATGAGTACCCCTTCCCGCCCAGCAGTGTGGTGCGCTTGCCTTCTGTGCGGGATGCGGACAACAGCCCTGCCATGCCACAGAATGGCTTCAACCGGACCGATAGCCCTGACCTTTCAGTCCCACCTGTTCCTCAGCGGCCCGTCACCGCACCACTGGACGGAGGCATGTTCTAGCGGAGCCTGTCCACGCACCGATCCGGGATCAAGCGCGGTTGAAAGCGCTGCGCAGAATTTTCACTTCACTGTATAAATTAACAATTTCTCCTTTTCAACAACAACAACAACAACAACTCCTCCATACGGCCGGCAAAATAATAGAAGTGTTCTGATTTTGGTTTTGCTGGCGTCATTACAAAGATTCCCCATGTAGCAGTACGATTCGGACGGCTTTCCTGGTGCGCGCGGCGGTGTTCTGATTATGGCATCGGAAGAAGAAGAGAAGGGGGGATGCTGGAATGAAAGCCGATACTATTGCTTGCATTCTGCTGCTGTGCTTTAGCCTCTCTGGGGTTCTCATTTAGCGTCCGCACGATACCACAGATCACACAACGGCTGCTACTTCGTGCTTTGTCTTTTGGAAGCGGAGAGGCGAGGCGGGGTGGGGAAGAGAAGACAGGTGCATGCAAGGAGGGAATGAAATGGATGATAGAAACAAGAAGAAAAGCAATCAAAAAATCATATCACTACATTGGCTTTGTCTTTCCTCTCTCCTATTCTCTTTCTTCTAGGTAGCGTAGCGGGATGGCTGTGCTGTGTGCTGTCCAGCCAGATGTTTATGACATTCCCATGGAACAAGATCAGATCACTATCGATCTCCTTCCATCCTCTCTCTATTCACGATGGAGGATAGTGTACGTAGCCCTTGGCTCTTTCCTCTTTCCTCTCCTCTCCTCTCCTCTCCTCTCCTCTCCTCTCCTCTCCTCTCCTCTCCTCTCCTCTCCTCTCCTCTCCTCCGTCCTTCCTTTACTACTACTCTTAACTACTCTTCTTAACCACTCTTCTTATTAACTCTCGATCAACCACTCTTCTCAACAAAACTCTCAACAACAAGAAATCAGGAAAATGTGCCACACCTCTCCCTCTCTCTACATGTACATATACCACCCACTGCAAGCATACCAACCACCCTTTTGCACGCGGATCACCTGCTCTCATTCATCCTCCCTCTATTCCATCCACCCTCTAACCCTCCTTTTTGCTTCTTCTTCTTCTTCTTCTTCTTCTTCTTCTTCTTCTCCAGCAGCAGCAGCATCGCAAATCCCCCCCCCCCCTTTGATGAGGAGGATCCAAAGTAGAATCCGCGCAAAGTGTCCCGACTGTCAGGAAGGGGGGACCGGTTGGAGGAGCAGAGGAGGGGGGAGGAGAATCGCGGTAGATGATGATGATGAAGAAGGCAGCATCGTGGATCAGGATCGCGATCAGGATCACGACCAGGAATTCTCCTCAAGAGGGGGAAGAAATGGAATGGGATGATCCGACGACTTGTTGTGGGGATGATGATGATGATGACTCTTTCCTGCGGAGGAGGAGGAGAGAGCAGAAAGGCGCAAAATCGTGGTGTGCGGTGCAGTACAGCCGATGAAGAAAGGTATATATATATATCTACCGTATCTATAGACCAGAATTGTTTGAGGGGGGTTTTCCTATGAGAAGCAAGCAAAAACTAGGTAATACATCTCTTTCTACTCTTTCCTTCTATAGGTTATATGCACTGAGTCGCCTTGGAAGATACATCTCACGCGAACAACCCTCTGTAAAACAAACCCCCAAAAACTCCATGCTCACGGCAAAAAAAGCAATACACTCCGACCTCGTCATGATGGTGAGGCTACGATGAAGGCACAGCCACACTGCCAGCCCGCGGCCTCTGGATATTAGGCTCGTCCGACTCATACGTCTCCCAGTTTTCCAAGATGTTTCCGATCCTGGGGCTCTTCGTCAATCGGTACACATCCTCAAAGTACTCCTTCGTAAGCTCAAATGGCTTCGCGGTAACATTGGGAATGTATTTGCCAACCAACTTGCCGGGGTCAATGCTCGTCTTGTGAATCTTCTTAAGCAAGAACGATCGGAAAGGCTTGACGCCAGAGCGCAAGAAGGTGCTATGGAAAGGCACATCAATACCCTTGAGAGGGATCGTGGCGAATCCACGCTGCAGGTCCAGGGGCTTGGGCTTGGCGTCCGTTTGCTTGGCGCACTCCCTGATGATCTCAGTCAGGTGAGACTTGACGTCCTCCAGGCTCATGGTCTGCATGAGCTGTTGGATGTCGATCTTCTGAGCCTTGAGATAGTTGGTGACGTTGGTGAGGCAATCCAACGCGCGCAGATCACCGGCACAGACGTACTGCTGGTTGTGGACGTTCAAGTTGACAATCTCCAGGAGCCAGCCGGTCGTTTCGGCAATGTTCTCGACCACGTACTGAAGGGCTTGCTCATTGAAGGTCTTGCTGATACGCGATGGGTTGACGGCGCACATGGAGTAGTTGGAGCGACCAGCCTCGTCACGCTCCACGGCGACTTGCATTGTCAAGCCGCGGTAGAAGACGACCGACACCAAGCTCTCAATGGGCATGACCTCGGCCAAGGCGGCCAGAGCACTGTACTCACCAAGGGAATGCCCAGCAAAGCTGCTGTCTCTCTGAACCAATCCCTTGGCAAACATATCCTCGAAGGAGGCCTTCTCCATGAGTGTCAGAGCAGGCTGAGTGAACTGAGTCGCAGAGAGCAAGCCGGTAGGGGAGCGGTAGGTGTACGAAGTTGTCTCCTCGGTGATCTCCTTGAAGATCTTCTCGGATTTGATGCTGCCGTCTGCCGCCACAGTTTCGAACGTCATGTCCATGTAATTTTTGCGAATGGCCTTTCCTCGGGCACCGCCGAAATGGATGGTAAGTTCCTTGGGGTTGTTCTTGACGATGTTGGTGATGGCAAACCCTGAGAATTGTTAGCGTTGCTGACCCAACCACCCGAGGGTCTACTGATTGGCTGGACTTACCATAGTTGTCGAGGAAGTGCTTGTCGGCACGATCCCACACGTCCTTTGCGACGGCGCTTGAATTGTAGAGCTCCATACCCATTCCTTGTTCTTGCGATCCTTGGCCGGTGAACACGTAGGACGAGACTGGCTGTTCTACTTCAGCTTCCGCGAGGAGCACCTTCTCTTCGGTTTCGGCCTTTTGGGCTTCGATCTTGATGATCTTACGTCCAGCCACCATACCGACGTGCTGCAACTTGACTTCAATTGTGTCATCTGGCAACACCATGCCGACCAGTGAGGCATGGAAGCTCCGAACACGGCCGACGTTGTTCTCGGCTGCCCATGTCTCGACGAGGCTTCGCACAGCAGCACTTGAGTACATGCCGTGAGTGATGGTGCCCGGAAGACCAGCATACTGCGAGAACACTCGAGAAACGTGGATCGGGTTGTAGTCTCCCGAGACGCGAGCGTACGCCTCATTAGATGAGGGCGCCTTCAGTACCAGAGGGGTCTTGCCACTGAGTGGAATTGGATTTTCGAAGTTGACAGGCTGGTCAAGCGCAGAGCCATTGCGAGTCAAGTAGTCCAAGACTGGATTGCCGTATGAGGCACCAGCTTCGTACTCCACCGAGGCAATCTTGATGATCTCCTTCGTTGACAGCTCGAGTTCAACGTTGCCAATAGTCTGGACTGAAGAAAACACAGTCTTGTTCTTGTACCGAACCAGGCTCTGCAGCTTAAACACTATAGTCTGGCCGAGGAGATCAATGTCGGTATTCTCAAGCTTGAACCACTCCTTGGATTGCAGGACAGCGACATCCTTGGTGGAGCCAAGGTGCACTTGCATGGGGGTCTCGACCTTTCGCTGAAAGGTGTTCTCGAAGTCGGTGTACGCGCCGCGGTACAAGAACTGGCTGGTGACCTCCATGACTGGCTTGCCATCACGGGTGATGGTGCCGCAAACCTCGACCATCTTTCCTGACTCCTGATTGATGACGGCGTTGACCTCAGCAGTCGTATCCAAGACGTCGCCCCTCTTAAGTGGAGCGGCACCGGGGATCATGCGGAAGCCGTTGGAAAGGTGGACAAGCTTAAGCAAGTCTCCGTCAATCTTCCTCGGAAAGATGGGCTTCGTAATCGCCTTCCACCCCACGACGATGGCAAAGTCCATTGGAGCGAACACTTCCTTACCAGGTCGGTCAACAAATGCTTCTCCTGTGTTACCGACTGCGTGGACGAAATCATTGATAGCCTCGCTCGTGACAGTCGCTCTGCCGCCGTCGAAGCGTGAGGTGACAGGAGTGTCAAACGGTACTGACTCGTCTCCGAACCAGATGCGGTAGTAGAACTCCTTGATGCGATCGTTCCTGGTTTCCATGACTTCACGGATTGGCGCATATCCGGTCTCTGGATGGTAAGTGAAACGAAGAGGCAGAGCAACAGGCCTGCCAGAAACGGTGCGATCTTCGATCATCTTGACCACAATCTCGTTGTTCGACATGGGTCCGACTTCGATGGTCTGCTTGTACTGGGTGCCATGGCTGGGCTCCTTGACGCTGATGACGGTGCGTTTGGGATCGTTGGGGTAGAGGATCTCAACGAGCATGCCAGGCGTTGGTGCGAAAATGCGGTGCATGGGGTTGGTCTGGTATCGTTGACCTTGAACAAAGACATCGGCCGTGAAGAAGGCGTGCCTCCAGGTGTGCGCTCTGCCGGCGAGAACCTGCATCCAGTTCTCGACGGCTACCATTGGTGTGCTCGACATCGCCGACAATCGATACAAGATCTTGTGCTCCGTCTCATTGACGGTCAGACCTTCCAGATTGGTGTCGTCGCTAGCCTCAATGAGCTTGCCTCCGAAGTATTCTACGTGTGGAATCCTGCTATCATTGCCGCCGTATAGGTCTTGTGTGAGGCTCTTGATGTGACCCTGGTGAACACTGTCCAAGATGTCTTTGATCGGTTCGTCGACAATCTTGGAGTACTTGACAGCCATTGGACCCTGCAAGATGGCAACGCGCCCAACATCTTGGTCGACAACGGCGTCCAAGTCCTCGGATTGCCACAGAGAATCCTTCTTGAAGAAGAATTCAAAGGTGTCATCGAGGCAGGGCACGAAGGGCACTGGCTTCTGTCCACGGCGTTGGCAGAGCAGCAAGAAGTGCTGACAATCCTGGGCGTTGATGAGCTGCACATCGGACTCGGGGTAGGCTTCCAACACCTTCTTGACGGTGTTGAATGGATCTTGGAGCTCGCTATAGTTCTGGATGATCGATCCGGCGCCGTCGGGTGCGAAACGCTCCTCGATACGGCGGATGAAGTCACCGGTCAGGCGTGCAAGAGACTTGTCGATCCAGCGCTTCTGGTGCTTGACATACATCAACTCGACCATCCTCTGGAGGACCTCGCCGTACGTCATATCCTCAAGATCAACGCTCTCGCCGGCCTTGTTCCTGCCGAACCAGGGCTTTTGGAAGTCGTCGTTGAGCTTCTGAATGATGTACTCGCGGTTCTTCTTGAGCTCGGGGATGCGCTTGGCCTTGTCCAAGCTGAAGATCTTCTGGTCCATCTCCGCCCAGAACTTGATACCACGAGTTGCAATCTTGTGGATGGGCTCGCCCATCTCAGATCGAACGGTGATCACACCACCAGCTGGGCCCTTGTAGGTCTTCTCCCACTCATGGTCTTCAAGACCCTCTGCATCAACGATAGCCTGCTTGGCCATCTTCGAGGTGTATGCCTCCTTGGCGACCATGCATCGGCTTCCGAACATGACACCATCAAATGGCATTGGAGGGTAGCCATACTTGCGCGCCCATTGGCCATTGAGGTATGGATAAGTGTCCTCGGCGCCGCCAAACCCGGAGCCAGCGATCAAAACAATGTTCTCGCAGCGCCTGATGCGGCTGTACATGGACAGAATTGGCTGGTGGAAGTCCTCGTAGGAATGATGGCCACCGCCACGGCCACCTGTCCACTGCATGAAGACTGGGAATTTAGGGTTGGCCTTGGCAATGTTGATGACCTGCTGGATAGCTTCCATTGACCCTGGCTTGAAACCGATGTGCTTGATGCCGAGCGTCTCGATGTACTCGTTTGCAACCTCGATCGAAGGAACACCGGCACCGATGACCAACCCTTCGATAGGCACGCCTTCAGCACGCAGTCGTGCAATCATCGGAATCTGCCACGCCATGGCACGAGGAGCCACGTAGATCAAGTTGACCGTGATACCACGTCCAGCTGGAATTGACTTCTCGAGCTTCGAAATGGCCTCCGACATGCTCTTGTCGTTGTAGTACCCTCCGCCGGCCAACTCGATTTGGTATCCAGCGTTCATGGTCGCCGACACGAAGTCCCATGGGACTGTGCAAGGCGTCATGCCCGCAACCATGACAGGCGGCAAGCCGAGCTGTCTGCTCATCTTGGTATCCACAAATGTCTGCCCGGCAGATGTCTTGACCAACTTTGGACCGTACTCTTTCAGCCAGTCCACGGCGTACTTGACCGCATGCTCTGCATCACGATCGAAGATTTCGGGCTTGTATCCGACCTCCGTATTCGTACCGTCCATTGTACCAGCAAGAATGACGCGAACACCAGTACCGTCCTTGTTGCGGTTCGTGAGAACGCCGAGACCAGAAATCCCACCTGGACCAAAGTCAAGGATGTGTGTAGCGTTTGGCATGACGGTTGCCTTCTCCCAAAGCACTTGATCCTGGCAGATCATCTTGATCAGCGAAGGCACAATGTTCTCACCCTTCTTCTCCTGTAAGTCATCGCCCGTGTAAGTGTCGTAGACGGGGATGCCCAGCTCAGAAGCAGCAATGACGATTTCCCCGAGATCGCTCTGGAGATGCTTAATGGCCTCTTTCAGGTACGGGCTGTGGAAAGGCGCGGTAATGGGGAGGAATCGGTTCACGAATCGGACTTTGCGCTCAGTAAAGGGCACCCGAGTCTGGTCTAATCCTGTGGGAGCTTTGATCTTGCGGAGCTGCAAGTTCAACCCGTAGAGAGACATTGGGGGTCCAGTGACAACAAAATTTCTCGCGCTGTTCACTAGGGAGATGCCAATGTGTCTGTCTTCAGGCAGATGCTGGTTCGTGGTCGCGATGAGCTTCTCAACCGTCTCACGTGGCAAGTCGCGAACTGTGAGCATAGGTGTGGGTGCGCCCTCACCAGCATCGATCGAGTCTTGCAGGACATTTGGTGAAAGCGATGTCCTCGGATACGCCTGCTGGCTTCGTGCGCCGATCCAGAACAGGATTGTGAGGGCATTGCGGGCCTGCTTGTCGAAGGTTTCCCAATTTGACGAAGCAGCAATGGCAGTTGCTGTGACGACACCCTGCGAGTGTCCAGTGCTTCCGGCAAGTCTGTCGCGTACATGGCCTGGGTGTGTGCCGAGCACTCGGCATGTGACAACATAGTGGGCCAGCTGGGTGAGTCCGATCAATGGAAAGCTGACGGGTGCAGAGACCAAGTAGTCAACATCTGGTTCCGAGTCTTTGTTGTCCAGCCATCTTAAGATATCCAAGCCTTTTGCATAGCTCTTGACAGCTCGGGGGTCTCTGGAAAGGAACAAGAGATGTTGCGCAGCGACCTTGAGGAAATCTCGGACCAGCGAAGGGTAGGTGGTGTAGATCTCTCTCAGCTCGTCGAAGTACTCCTCAATGTTGCCTTGCCCGCCGAAGACGGCGTAGATGTAGGCATTCTCGTCTGCAGCCTCGCGGAGAAGCGCCGACTCGTGTGCTCGGACGGGTCGCTTGGTTGCGGCGCGCGCTGCGTAATAGGCCTGGACTGTGGCCAGCTTCTTCTCCGCGATGCCGGGCAAGTTGGCAGCAATGGCGTGGACCTCATTGCCGCGCAAGAAAGCTCTCTCGAATTCTTGGAGAACCAACTTGAGGACCTCACTGAAGACCTCGGGGTCTTCGCCTTCCTCGACTTCCTTCGCAACGAAGCCCACATATCTGGCGACCAATTCGGTGACGGATGAAGGCTCGTCATCCTGGGCAAGCTCATCTGTCGGTTCGGGGAGGGTCTGAAGGAAGGCGTCTTTCAGCTGTGTCGCGTTGAAATGTAAGGCGGTGGGTATTAGGAAGTTGTATTCGAGGGAGCCGTGGGTCAGGGTGAGGGGGCGAGAGACAGCTTGTGAACGTGGCGTGGACACGCCGGTCTGGGATCCAGAGCCGTACATCTTGCGCTTGGTGGAGAGGTTGGTAGGGGATTCGGGCTGGTCAAACTGGACATTGGACGTCAGCTCTGATGTGGGAGTGCTCATGATGGCGAGATGGGCTGGCGCATCTCCCACTTCTTGGAGGTGTCTCCCAAGCAGCTCCCAACAGGCTGGCGAATGGCGCGGGCGGGTGATTTCGGAGGGAGATGATTGGAAGTGAAGAAGGAAGGGATGAAGCAGCGATGGAGAAGGGGAATTGGCAGCGTACGCACTTGTGTCAAGACGGATGCCTAGAATCCCATCTGGCAGTTGTGGTCGTGGGCTGGTGGAAGGCGCGAGGGCAGCTGTTTCCTTGTCGGAGCTCCACTGGAATTTCTCGCTAGGCCAGGGAAGCAGCGCACGCGGCAGAATCGAGCTTTCCCGATAACGAGGAGGGCGTGTCACGATGCGAGAACGAGCGATTCTCACCCTCAAACGTGTGTTTTGGGGGGTGGTGGAGGTGTCAGGTGTAAGGTAGAGAGGAGGAGGAGGAGGAGGAGGAGGGAGGTTCAATGGCAGCAGGCATGGAAGTAGCTGGAGACCGACGGGTGGTCACGCATATCATCACTGGCCAAAAGCTGTGAGAGGCACTCCCGCAGGGCTCGGAGGAAAGAGGTGCGTGTGTGCGGGCGGTGAGGTGGTTGGGACGGAAGTATCCCTGCCTGGCGTCAACGTGCAGCAGCCTCCAACTGGTGGACCGTGATCCCGTCGTTCCCTCTGCTACGTTCCGTCATACTGTGATACTCGTACCTCCAGCTATGTGATGGAGCTCTCTAGGTAGCTGGCCATTCGCATGCACCGCATCTGCCATATTGTTTCACCTGCTGCCCGGTAGCTTCTCGCTGCTGTCTTGACCTCACCTGTTGTTGCTTGGTGCTTGACCGACGTAGCAACCTAGTCGTGTGCGAAACCGTGCACGGGTGTCACGGCGATTGAGCCGGTCGACGTCTCCGCATCCACGCGCGGTTTCGCCTGCCGCCAGACGCAGACCTGCGGCAGACGCAGACGCACCCGCAGCCTGCAGCCTGCAACCAACAAGGTTTTTCTTGGAAGCCGGGGAAGCTCTTGCTTCCCACAACATCTCTTCAACACCTCAACGCTCCGCCCACCACTCTCAGCCTGCAGCTCACCCCTCAAACCCGCTGGTTGAGACGGCGGACGACGGCCGACATCACCGGTGCTCTTATCGGAGGACTCGCCCAACCAACTCGCCTCTCGCTCACCCGAGGGCGACGTGAAACCACATCCATACCACCACAGATCCATCCGTCTCCAGATTCTCTGGGTCAACCATCCTTCTTCCCTCCAACCTCACACCCGCTCACCACACCTACTCCTCCCCGTCATTGGACCTCTCCGCGGGCCCATTGATGCATACACTCTTTTCTCACACATCACACACACCTACTCACACGCTCCCGGACAGCAATCGCCATCATGCGTCCTGAGGTCGAGCAGGACCTCGCTCACACCCTCCTGGTGGAGCTGCTGGCATACCAGTTCGCATCCCCTGTGAGATGGATCGAGACTCAAGATGTAATCCTCGGCGAGAAGACGACGGAGCGGATAGTCGAGATTGGTCCTGCCGATACTCTGGGTGGCATGGCCAAGCGCACACTCGCGGCGAAATATGAGGCATACGATGCGGCTCGATCAGTACAACGGCAGATTCTGTGCTACAACAAGGACGCAAAGGACATCTACTACGATGTTGAACCCATTGAGGACGAGCCTGCTCCGGCACCGAGCAGTGGAGACAGCGCTCCCGCACAGGCAGCTCCGGCAGCCTCAGCGCCCGCTGCTGCACCTGCCGCTGCCGCGCCAGCACCTTCGGGCGGGTCAGGCCCTGCTGCCGCTGTGGACGACGCACCGGTTGGCGCAGTTGACGTCCTTCGCGCTCTGGTTGCGCAGAAGCTCAAGAAACCGCTCAATGACATCCCCTTGAGCAAAGCTATCAAGGACTTGGTTGGAGGTATGCACATAGGTCCCATTTGAGAGTAATCCCAAGCTTACTGTCTGTCTTTCACAGGCAAATCTACCCTTCAAAACGAGATTCTCGGTGACCTCGGAAAAGAATTCGGTTCGACTCCAGAAAAGCCGGAAGACACACCTCTGGATGAGCTTGGAGCCTCGATGCAAGCGACTTTCAATGGCCAGCTTGGCAAGCAGTCTTCATCACTCATCGCCCGCATGGTCTCCTCGAAGATGCCCGGTGGCTTCAACATCACAGCTGTGCGAAAGCACTTGGAAACAAAGTGGGGCCTGCAATCAGGTCGTCAGGACGGTGTCTTGCTCCTCGGCCTGACAATGGAGCCTGCTTCTCGGCTTGGATCTGAAAACGACGCCAAATCCTGGCTCGACGACACTGCGCAGAAATATGCTTCGCAAGCTGGCATCAATCTGTCGACGGGACCAGCAGCTGGAGATGCTGGTGCTGGTGGTGGCGGCATGATGATGGACCCAGCTGCCATTGATGCCCTCACCAAGGATCAGCGCGCGCTTTTCAAACAGCAATTAGAGCTCTTCGCAAGGTATCTGAAGATGGATCTCCGTGCTGGCGACAAGGCCGCTATTGCTACCAAGCAGAACGAAGCAGCTCTCCAGGCGCAGCTCGATCTATGGAACACAGAACATGGCGAATTCTATGCTGCGGGAATTGAGCCATCATTCAACCCTCTCAAAGCACGTGTCTACGATTCATCTTGGAACTGGGCCCGCCAGGACGCTCTTCGCATGTACTATGACATTATCTTTGGCAGACTCCAGGCTGTCGATCGTGAGATCGTCTCTCGCTGCATCCTCATCATGAACCGATCGAACCCGAACCTGCTCGAATTCATGCAGTACCACATCGACCACTGCCCCACAGAAAGAGGAGAGACATACGAGTTGGCGAAGCAGCTTGGACAGCAGCTCATCGAGAACTGCCGCGATGTTCTGGGCGAGGCGCCTGTGTACAAGGATGTCGCCCTTCCCACAGCGCCGCACCTCGTGATCTCTCCTCGTGGTGAAATGAACTACGAGGAGATTCCCCGCGCCAGCGTTCGCAAGCTGGAGCACTACGTCCGTGAGATGGCCGACGGCGGCAAGATTTCTGAATACGGCAACAGGACCAAGGTGCAGAATGACCTGCAAAGGGTGTATAAGCTCATCCGACAGCAACATAAGCTTTCCAAGTCCTCGCAGTTGGAGATCAAGCAGTTGTACAGCAATATCGTTCGATCTCTATCGATGAACGAAGGCCAGATTATGCCGCACGAGAACGGCAAGCTCAACGGCAGCGTCAAGAAGGGCCGCAATGGTCGCATGAACGGTGCTCTGGGCAAGCAGGGCAAGATCGAGACCGTGCCTTTCTTGCACCTGAAGCGCAAGGAAGAGCATGGATGGGAGTACAGCAAGAAGCTCACGAGCATTTACCTTGACGGCCTCGAGCAAGCTGCCCAGTCTGGTGTCACTTTCCAGAACAAGAACGTCCTCATGACTGGTGCTGGAGCTGGCTCGATCGGCGCTGAGGTTCTGCAAGGCCTCATCAGCGGAGGTGCCAAGGTCGTTGTCACTACCTCTCGCTACTCACGCGAAGTGACCGAGTACTACCAGGCGATGTACGCTCGCTACGGTGCACGCGGCTCGCAGCTTGTTGTCGTGCCGTTCAATCAAGGTAGCTTGCAAGACGTCAATGCTCTTGTGGACTACATCTACGACGACAAGAAGGGCCTTGGATGGGATCTGGACTTCATTGTTCCGTTTGCTGCCATCCCCGAGAACGGCCGCGAAATCGACAGCATCGACAGCAAGTCCGAGCTTGCCCACCGTATCATGCTTACTAACCTGCTTCGCATGTTGGGTGCGGTCAAGGCACAGAAGGCCGCGCACAGCTTCGAAACCCGTCCAGCACAGGTCATCTTGCCCCTGTCGCCTAACCACGGTACCTTCGGAAACGACGGTCTATACTCTGAATCCAAGTTGGCCCTGGAAACTCTGTTCAACCGATGGCACTCTGAGAGCTGGGGCAACTACCTCACCATCTGTGGAGCTGTTATCGGCTGGACTCGTGGTACCGGTCTGATGGGTGGCAACAACGTCGTTGCCGAAGGTGTCGAGAAGTACGGAGTCCGCACCTTTTCGCAACAGGAGATGGCTTTCAACTTGCTCGGTCTCATGGCGCCATCGATTGTCAACCTCTGCCAGCTGGAGCCTGTCTTCGCCGATCTGAACGGTGGCCTGCAGTTCCTGCCCAACCTCAAGGACCTAATGACTAAGCTTCGCAAGGATATCACCGAGACATCTGAGATCCGCAAAGCGGTCACGCGTGAGACTGCTGTTGAGAACAAGATCATCAACGGTGAAGACACCGAGGCGTTTTACAAGACGGTCAAGGTTGACAAGCGTGCAAACTTGAAGTTCGACTTCCCCAAGTTGCCTGATTGGAAGAGTGAGATCGAGCCTCTCAATGGCGACCTCAAGGGCATGGTCGATCTCGAAAAGGTCGTTGTCGTCACTGGTTTCTCTGAGGTCGGTCCCTGGGGTAACTCCAGGACTCGTTGGGAGATGGAGGCCTATGGGCAATTTTCTCTGGAAGGCTGCGTCGAAATGGCGTGGATCATGGGTCTCATCAAGAATCATAACGGGCCGCTGAAGGGCAAGAGCTACTCAGGCTGGGTCGATGCTAAGTCCGGCGAGCCTGTCGATGACAAGGATGTCAAGGCCAAGTACGAAAAGCACATTCTAGACCACTCGGGAATCCGTCTTATTGAGCCGGAGCTGTTCAATGGTTACGACCCCAACAAGAAGCAGCTGATGCAAGAGATCCAGATCGAAGAAGATCTTGATCCATTTGAGTCGTCCAAGGAGACCGCAGAGGAGTTCAAGCGCGAGCATGGAGACAAGGTCGAAATCTTCGAGCTTGAGTCGGGTGAATACCAGGTGCGCATGAAGAAGAACGCGACGTTGCTCATTCCGAAGGCGCTTCGTTTCGACCGCCTTGTTGCTGGCCAGATTCCAACTGGTTGGAATGCCAAACGCTATGGTGTGCCGGACGACATCATCGAGCAAGTCGACCCGGTCACTCTCTACGTCCTTGTATCGACGGCGGAGTGCCTGCTGTGCTCCGGTATCACCGATCCATACGAGTTCTACAAGTATGTCCACATCTCGGAAGTTGGTAACTGTATCGGTTCTGGTATTGGTGGTACTACCGCCTTGCGTGGGATGTACAAGGACCGCTTCCTTGACAAGCCCCTCCAGAAGGACATTCTGCAGGAGTCCTTCATCAACACTATGAGTGCCTGGATCAACATGTTGCTCATGTCCTCCACTGGTCCGATCAGAACACCTGTCGGTGCCTGCGCTACCGCTGTCGAGTCGATCGACATTGGTTATGACTGCATTGTTGAAGGCAAAGCCCGTATGTGCTTTGTTGGTGGTTTCGATGATTTCCAGGAGGAAGGCTCCTACGAATTCGCAAACATGAAGGCCACCAGCAATGCTGAGGACGAGTTCGCCCACGGACGCACACCGAAGGAGATGTCTCGTCCGACCACCACCACTCGCAACGGTTTCATGGAATCTCAGGGTTGCGGTATGCAAGTCATTATGGACGCTCAGCTTGCTCTTGATATGGGCGTGCCAATCTACGGTATTCTTGGCTTCACGGCCACGGCTACTGACAAGATTGGTCGCTCTGTACCAGCTCCAGGCCAAGGTGTCCTGACGACCGCTCGTGAGCAGCCCTCCAAATTCCCATCGCCGCTCCTGGATATCAAGTACAGGAAGAGACAATTGGATCTCCGTCGCAAGCAGATCAAGAACTGGCAGGAGTCCGAACTTATGTACCTGCATGAAGAGGCTGCTGCCATCAAGCAACAAGGCGGTGACTTCAACGAGACCGAGTATATGGAAGACCGCGCTGCTCACGTCGAGCGCGAGGCTAAGCGACAAGAAAAGGATGCTCTCCGACAGCTGGGCAACAACTTCTGGAAGCAGGATCCTCGCATCGCTCCTCTGCGTGGTGCACTCGCCACCTGGGGTCTCACTGTCGACGATCTCGGCGTTGCTTCTTTCCACGGTACATCCACCGTCGCCAACGACAAGAACGAGTCCGACGTCATATGTCAGCAAATGAAGCATCTCGGCCGCAAAAAGGGCAATGCTCTTCTTGGTATCTTCCAGAAGTACTTGACTGGTCACCCCAAGGGTGCTGCAGGTGCCTGGATGTTCAACGGCTGTCTGCAGGTCCTCAACTCCGGCCTTGTACCAGGCAACCGCAATGCCGACAACGTCGACCAAGTTATGGAGAAGTTTGATTACATCGTCTACCCGAGCCAGAGTATTCAGACCGACGGCATCAAGGCGTTCTCAGTGACCTCTTTCGGTTTCGGACAGAAGGGCGCACAGGCAATTGGTATCCATCCCAAGTATCTGTTTGCCGCGCTTGACCACACGCAATTCCAGACATACAAGCAGAAGGTCGAGGCTCGCCAGAAGAAGGCTTACAGGTACTATCACGACGGTCTCATCAACAACACAATGTTCCGCGCCAAGAGCAAGTCGCCTTATGAGGATGCCCAGCAGAGTCAAGTGTTCCTCAACCCTGAGGCTCGTGCTGTCGCCGACAAGAAGAGCTCCGAGTACTCGTACCCGAAGACTGTGCCCGAGAAGATGAAGGACAAGAGCACGACCGAGATGGTGGAGACGTTGATGAAGGTCAACGCATCGGCCAACTCCAACCCTGGTGTGGACATTGAGACTCTCGATGCCATTGACATCCACAACGACACTTTTGTTGAGCGCAACTTCACACCCGCCGAGATTGCGTACTGCAGAAAGGCACCTTCTCCTCAAGCCAGCTTCACTGGCAAGTGGAGTGCGAAGGAAGCCGTGTTCAAGAGCTTGAAGGTCCAGAGCCGAGGAGGTGGAGCAGCGATGAAGGACATTGAGATTGTCAATGATGAGGCGGGCGCACCGACAGTGGTGGTAAGTTCTTGACAATGTCTTTGTTTGGTCTGAATGCATACTAACGAGTCTTCTAGCTCTACGGCGATGCCAAAGCAGCAGCAGAGAAGTCGGGTGTCAAGTCGACGACTGTGAGCATCAGCCACAGCGATGCCCAAGTTATCGCAGTGGCCATCTCTGCTTTCTAAGGCATTTCTTGCATTTTGATGAGCGTGTATTGTACAGCGGGACTATTAGAGGGGTCGCATTCTGTGTACTTATTACGGTCGGACCGCCTGGGCGTGCTTCCGAGAGAACGGCGTAGGAAAGGCTTGTTTGGCCTCACCATCCTAGATGAATATGAGATGGCTTAATTGCAATTCAGACCATACCAGTAGCGAGAAAGCATTCAATCGTGATGCGTGAAGGTCATGTCGTAGAATGTTCGCGTGCCCCCACGCGTCCCATTCACTGGTTCACTCCAGCAACGCTAGCGCGGATCTTGTTTTCTAGAAATAAACGCCGGATCCCTGTCCTCGAGCTACAACTAGCAGCTCATCTCGACTTACTCGAGATCAACCACCACCACCACCTTTACTACCATTTGCATCTGGACAAGCACGAATTGGTACCACGATATCGCGTTCATTGTAATCGGAGAGAAAGCGACAGAGACAAACAGAGGATGGCGCATCGGGGCCATGAGTCCGGCATGGACTTTGAATGGCAGAATGGTGCTGGAGCCATGGATTCTCGATCGCCTTTTGCGCAACTGAGCCGGAACACACAGCGTTACCCGGGAACGCCGAGTGGGAAGAGTGAGTGGAAGGAGGAGTGCGTCCTTGGCCGTTCGCATGGTTGTATTAACGGGGATGGAGTAGGATCGCCGCAGAAATCGCATACCAACCTAACCTCTCGAACCAGCCCCGCCAAGGCCCTGCCACCGACACCTGCCTACAATGGCCTGTTCAGAACGCCACGTAAGATGGACTCCATGGAAATTGATGATTCATCTGCTGGGGAAACACCGAAATCGCCGGAACAAGAGCAGCAGACACCTGATACGATGGGACGGAGTGCGTTGAACAATGCGCCTGAGTCAACGAGCAAGAGCATGTTTAGAGCTTTGCAGCCTTGGGATGGCAACATGGGCACCAACAATACGAGCGCGCAAGCTGGTGCTGAGCGGGAACGAGGCAGTCCAACGAAAGAGAAGGAGCGGCCGCTGCCCGCCAGGAGAGAGAGCTGGATGGTGCGCTTCAAGAACAAGATGTACAGCCCCGGAAGAGGCGAGGTACCGCGAGGAGCGGATCATGAGAAGAAGATCAGCAAGAGAAGACGGGACAGGGATTTGGGGCGTCATATTTCTCGACGGAGACGGCATAGCGTGTCGGACTCTGGAGAGGACAGCGAAATGGCCAAATCCTCACGCAAGTCCAGCCGGGAGCAGAAGGGCGAGCAAGCCAGCGAGAAGAAACCGCACTGGCTCTCGACGGCTTTCACATTCATTGCTCAGCACCCGACCGTCCCCCATATCCTCTCCTTCTACGCGCAACTCGCCTTCAACGTCTTCCTGCTGGCGGGATGCTCGTATCTCATCTATTGCTTCTGGTCTGCTGTTTCTGGAGACGTGGACAAGAAATCTCATGAAGCGATGGCCGACATCATGGCGGAGATGGCGGCTTGCGCGGAGCAGTACACCACCAATAAATGCGATCGATCAACACGCGCGCCTGCCCTGGAGACCGTCTGCGAGAACTGGAACAAGTGCATGAACCGCGATCCCTCCAAAGTCGGCCGTGCTCGCGTCTCCGCGCACACGTTCGCGGAAATTTTCAATTCGTTCGTGGAGCCGATTAGCTGGAAAGCAATGGTATGTCTCCTTTCACTCTTCTACCCTGTCACGAAATACTTGCTGACTCTCATCGAACAGATCTTTACCTTCCTCCTCGTCTTCGGATGCTTTGCAACTACGAACTTGGCCTTCGGCTTCTTCCGGGACAAGTCGAATCAGTACTACCATCATCAGCAACCGCCTCCCTTCTACCACCAAGGCCCTCCGCCTCCGACTCCGCAGCGGAGCTTCAGCAATGAGAATCCCGGATCACAGTACTATGGAACGCCCTGGAGTCATCATGTTCCGGCGTTGGAGCCGCAGCCGAGTCAAGGCTTTGGACAGATCCAAGGGCGTGGGAGTCCGGTGCGACGACTTGTTTATAATTAATTCAACAGCGAGGTTGGGAATCAAATCGGGCCGGCGTTTTTGAGGAGAGGGAGGATAGGCTGCATCTGATGGGGCGAGAGGCGCTCTTTTTCGAGAAAGGATTCTCTTGTGGATAATTCGGACATTGCATAGCGAGGCGTTTCTGGTCATGTCTCCAGGAGCGCAAGAACATGTTTCATTCCCTCGAGGGCACGGATGTCATTAAGGAAATGGCGAATACGACATGTTCTGCCTGCCTGCATGGGAAATACATGCAGATGATGGGAAGCTCCTTGATGACCGGGAATAACCGAGTCATTGTTTCGAATTTTGCATGTTACGTTGGTCTTTCCTCTTTTCTCCTTCCTCCTACACATGAAATGTCCATCAAGGTGGAATGATGCTAGCGCTTGTCGATTTACACTGCATTCAAGGTCGTCTCGAGGTCTCTCCACAGACGTTTACTTACTTTCACATGCAGGCCTGCTGAGCAATCGGAAGACCACCTAGCGTTGACCATGACCACCGGCTCGTGCTCTGTGGCGGGAGAGGTCGGCGAATCCTTCCCGGGATGGTTAGCTCCCTGGGTCAGAAGTCGAGAATGAGAACCAATCGGAAGGTTTCCAAACACCAGCGATCTGATAATCTGTCCCCGGGAGTTGTCCGTATCATGCCCGTTCTTTCGTGTCTTCTACTCCTACGACACACATCAATCCATCAAGAACAGCACCTGAAGCAATTTCCCTCCGGATAAATTTCATCTTCGAAAGGACAAGAAACCTCGACAGAGCTTCCAACGAGATACGCCATCATGTCCGCCCAACCCACCTCCGCCATCCCATCGACCTGCTGCGGCCGCGCAGGAGGCTGCCTCTGCGCCCGCGAAGCGACCTGTTCCTGCGGCAAGCAAGCCGCCATGCACTGCGACTGCGAGAAGGCCGCGGCGGGGGAGAATCAGATCCAGGGAGCGAGGTGTTCTTGCAGTGAGTAGAACTATTCCATCCCCCTGTTTTCCCATTTCCCTTTTTTGGAAGAAGTATTCCAGCTAACGCCTTGGGGATGTTTGTTGTTTAGACCAGCGACCAGCAGGCGCGTGTACTTGCTCGAGGCAATCCAAGGAGAATGGGAAAGTTGAGGGCGCGAGCTGTGCTTGTGGCAAGCGGGCGGCGGATTCGTGCTCGTGTGGTGGGAGTGAGGCCGCGGCTGGGGCGGGTGCTTCGGGTCTGGAGACGGATTTCACGACGAGGAAGAAATAAGATAAATGTCCCCGTCGTGCGTGTCATGTCATGTCATGTCATGTCGTGATGTCTGTATGAATGCGTTTCCGCGAGGAAAGGGATGGGATTAAAAGGAAAGGAAAGACAGGTGATATGGGAATTCTTTTTCAGTTCAGATAATGATACCAAATTTCCAAAAAGCAAAACTGTCGACTTCATATGAAACACATTTTCAGCAAGAAAGTTTTTTTTTTTTGGTTCAAGAGCTCAGATGAATCCAGGATTACACAGAGCAGGCGCCCTCCCGATCCATTTCTTCCCTTCCAGTTCCTGTAACACCCACACCGCCATACTCTTCCGACTCAGAAAGATCCCATCTTGGCCCTCGCCTATCATCCCGGCGCGTACGGGTTTCGTTGCCCCATTCGTGAGCAATGGGACCCTAAACGAGGAAAGGAAAAAAAAAGAAATCAGCAGCCGTAGTCATACCACCAAGAGATAGCAAAAAGAGAAAAGGTGGTTGCGAATCTCCTCTTACCGGAAAACAGTCCATTCCATCCCATCCGAAAGCCGCGAAACCACCCTCCCGATCCCATTGACTTCGTCATACGCACTCCCGCCCAGCAGCTTCACCCCGAGGACGAGGAACCACCATTTCAGAGATCTCCGGTCTTCTCGCCATCGGAACGAAGGCGTGCTGCAGCATAAGCACCGCTTGAGGGATGTTTCCGTGTCGTTCTGGATCATGGGGAAGAGCGTCTTTTCGTAGAATTCGGAGACGGGCTTGGCGTTCATCATTAGCATCATCATCATCATCTGCTGCTGCAATGGATGTTGAGGCTGGGGGGTTTTTGGACTTGGACTCACAGTCCCTCGATCAGGTAATTTGGGACCAGCAAATGATACAAGAACCGTGGCGCCCGTGCGCAGGGATCTCCTCACGGCTGCCACATCGTCAAAAGTCCCCTGGATGATTTGCACATTGGGGTTGTTGGCGATGTTTCGGGGCAGTTTGGAGGGATTCCGTGCGTAGATGGTAAGGTTGTGGTCGGCGTGGAGGGCTTCTTTGAGGAATGCGAGGCCGGAGGGACCTGTGAGGGGAAGATTGTGTGAGAGGTTTCTCTTTTGGGGTGTTGATTTGATGGATAATAAATACCTGTTGCTCCCAAGACGAGGAGATGCATTTTGTCATGCGGATGGAGAGGTTGGGATGGGCTTTTGGTGCGTCAGACCAGCGAGCGAAGCAAAGAAGACTATCTCGACTTTGGTTCCTTCTCTGCACAGTGTATTAACTTTTAAAAAAAGTGTCCTCGACGCAGTATTCTATGGAGTGGAATTGTTTTGCACTGCCTGCTTGAGTTTGCCCTCAGTTAGCGCGTAGGAGTCGGGTATCTTGGAATGCAAAGCGTCATCATCGTGAAGCGACGTCCGTACTACCCGAGGGATTCCAGAAATCCAGCAGCACTTTGTACACTTGCAGCTTTTCGATTGATAGGGACGTCTCTAACTTGCAGGTAATGAGCATGGTTGCCTGTCAGGACTTGAATCCATTTCCCGGCAAGCTGGGCAGAGGAAGGGCGTGTCGCCCAGACCAAAAATGCCATATATCGATAATGCTCTTCCGGCATAGTAGACATCCAAACGCCCCTGTGTCTACGGAGGCTTCGATATAATAAACCTGAGAGTTGGGCGCGCGCATACGTTCGTTCGTATGTTCGCCTTCGAGTGCAGTCTGCCGTGCTAGAGGATTAACGCGCGTATTATTGCAGGTCAATAATAATAATGATGATGATAATACGCAGATATCGCTGTGAAACGCGGAAAGGAGTTGGGGTTGGAAGCCCAACGATCACGTGCAAGATGATGGCATTGGCCCAAGCTTCCTCCAGCCGTGTCCCAGCCTTCTCGTCTGCTGGTCGCGGTGATGCGGACCCCGACCTCTCCCTCGCCCACAGGAACCTCTGTCCTGCCCTTCCGTCCCTTTCCCCAGTAAGCTCCCAATTCCCTCCCCTTGACTTTCCATCTCTCCCCCCTTCCACTTCTCTCCGTGTCTCCCTCTCTTCCTGTACCCGCAACAATGTCTACCCGCAAGCGCAAGCAGGACGCCCAGGAGCCCGAGGAGCTCGTTGAGCTCCCCGAGGACGACGACGAGGAGGAAGAGGAGTAAGTACTGGCTCCCTTTTGACGTCACTTTCTCAGGAGGTCGTTCAATGCGTGGTCGCGCGTGCTCGATTCTGTCGCGCGCGCTGTCGCAGGCCGACAGAGATGCGATGCGCAACGCTTCGTTGGCATTGGAACTCGTCGTCTCGATTGCGACGTGGAGTGACGGGCGCATTGCGGTTGCTGACGATGCTGTCCAGGTACGAGGAAGACGAGTACGATGAAGAAGACGCCGAGGAGGACGATGATGACGCCGAGGAAGAAGACGACAAGAAAGCCCCTCAGGATGACGCTCCGCGTAAGTTGTCCTGCCCAATGGACGCGATCGCGCTATCGCAGACACTGACATGTCTCGCAGCTCCTAAGAAAGCACGAAGAACCAAAGAGCCCGCCGAGGAGGAGGAGGAGGAGGAGGAGGAGGAGGAAGCTCCTTTTGACGAAGAGGACGGCGCTGCTCCGGAAGACGAGGATGAGGACGACGATGGCAAGGACGCTCCCGAGGACGATGAGGAGGCCGAAGACACTGCCAAGACTGGCAGCGCTGCCGCTGCTGCGAAGCACGCCAAAGGAAAGGACGTCCCGCAGGAGGACGATCTCGAGGAGGTTGATGAGGTCGTCGAGGCGGACGAGAAGGGCGAGTAGATTTCTCCAGCATCTCTCGCCTTGTTTGGTAATACAACCTGCTTTGTCAAGAGGCATGCCCCGACGTCGGTGCGCACGTCTGTACGAACAGCAGAGCTGCAGAATAAAAAAGTCTTGATTGAAGATTGTTTCGTGTCAATCCTTGTGCTTGGTTGTTGTTTCGCATTGCTTCCTCACGACATGTGCATCTCAGCATCTCACATTGAGCCGGGTCTCACAAGTCAGTAAATCATGCAGTACATGTCAACGCAACCTACTACATCTCGCAATCCGTGATATTCAACTCCATATGAGCTGAATAAACCACGATGACCTGGCCGTACCTTGCAGTAGTCGCTACTAGTGAGCCCCAGCTCGCGTGCAAGTGGAAAACGGGGGCACCACATCTTAGGCATCCCTTGGCTCGTTGGGTGGGAATTTCGCGAAAGAAAAAGGTGAAGTAAACAACCGACGAAAAAATTTGACAGGCACGCGAGCGAGCAAGAACAAGAGCAAAGAGCTTGCTGCTGCCAAGCAAATTTCGCTTTTCTCACCTGCCGACACGGTGTCAGCAACCGTGTATTCAGAGGTCGAAAAAAGGAAAAAAGAGCAAAAAAAGAATTATGGAATGAATGAATTGCCTCCACCCTGGATCGACTGCTTGAATTATTAGTGGGTTGCTGCAACGACGCGGTCGGTTCGGTTCGGTTTCACATACACAGAGGACCTCGTCATAGCAGAGCGAGAAAGATTTTCCGGGAGATCCATATGGATATAGATGGATACTAGTGACGCGCTCTACCACTATGGGATTGTCAGTTTTTTTCTTCTAATTTTCCCACCCAAACGAACGCTGGCGGAATTTACGAACCTGAGCTATGAAGGCCTTTTGTAGTCACGTGTGGTGCCTATGACCGGAGAATGAATATATAAAGCTTTCGAATACGAGAGCACAGAGCGATATCGGTGTTTGCGGTTTCAGCATTGATGGCTGGGGTGTGGAATCGTCAAATCGCGTCTGTCTTACAAAGGCTTGGTTTGTGGCAACTTTCATGTCTTTCACATTCTAATAAGATGAACGTGTGCATGGAGATCTGCCGACAGGAATGATGAGCGAGGAAAGGCTTAAGAAGCTCTTGAGATCGCTCATGTCACATTTCAAGTATCATCCAGCGGAACGGATTGACAAGAATTCAAGCCTCCATTCGCCTTGAGAGGTCATTACTTCCGACCACCCAGGCGAGACCGCAGCTCTTGAAGATTCCTGTAGAGGCGTACTCGCGTCCGCTGGGACAATCGGGCACTATCAGGAGTGTGAGACGCTCCGCCTCCTTCCCCTTCCTCTTTCGATCTCGTCCACCTAGCTTATGGACCTCCCGGAAGAGCTAGATCTGAGGTCGTGGTCTCCGCAAGAAGCTTGGAAATCCGTGAGGCCTATGGGAAAGGCATCGCCGACAACGAAGTTGCGTTGCCAGGACGGGAGGCAGTCTTGTAAATCGCAAGGTCGTCTCCATGACTACTCATCGCCGCTTGATCTCAGGCATGATGCAAACTTCTGTGCAGCCGCACAGCGTTCCAGTGGCAAAGTGGCATGCTTCTGGCTTGACTTTCGAGGATAGAAGTCTACCACGCATCATCACCGCCTGCATCGTCGCCGTCGTCATCACCACCATCGCCATCGTCAAAGTACTTCTCGGCATTATAGTCATTGCCGAGATCATCGTCATCTTCCGAGAAATCATCATCCTCCGGAAGTTCCACCTGATCTTCCTCGTCGGCCTGCTCTTCGCCCTCGTCGTCGTCGTTATCGGCCGTGCGCTCCACATCCGCGCCATCGTCGAACTGCGCCAGCTTATCGAGCCGCTTCTTCCGCAGGAAATCCAGGTTCTTCTTGGTCGACTTGCCCCCTTCTTCGTCTTCTTCGCCATCGCTCACGAGATCCCAAAGTTCCCTGGGCAGCGCGTCCTTGACTGGAGTGTGTCTTAGCCGCTGTGCGCCAGCCTGCGCCATTCAAGTCGAAGAAACCTACCAATGGGGACTTTCTTCAGATTCGGCAGACCATCGCCACGCTTGACCTTCTTGTTCCCGTAGCTCTGAACTTCCTCAAACGCGTTGTACTCCGCCGCGTCGCGCTTGCCAGTCTTGGGTTCGTCGACGAACAGAGGGCCGTTCCGCATGGCGGCGTTGTGCTCGCGATAGATGTTGATGAGCTCCCTCTCCTGTTCAGTGACTAACGGCGCCAGGCGCACTCCTCCCTTCAGCAGAAAAGTTATTTCTTAGCGCGCTTTCACATGTCAGCGGCGACAGCCTCCGCAAATCAACGTACTTTGATGTCTGGATACAGCATTTTGGTAAAGTCGTCGTTATCATTGTTATTGCTGTATGCTGCGACCTCGTCCTGCAGCGCGGTATCGATGTCGAATGGCAGAGTTGGGCCGCCGCCGCCGCCACCGCCGCGTCCACGGAAGGCCATGTTCTTTTCTCGAATGTATGGTCGATGACTGAGATGTGCAGGTACAAGCGTGCGTGGTGCCGCAAGAAGCAAAAATGAAGCAAGTCTATCTCTCAGTGCGCGGTCTTGGTCGAGCGACAATCTGCGGCGTAGACAGGTCCAAGGAGGTAGCTGGTGTTGTGTTCTGATGTCGAGTGCGAGAGCTCTAAAGATTTCCCAGTTCGAACTTGCAAGGATGAGCAAAAGCAGGGCAAGCCGCTAGTCACGCTAGCGCCAACCCTATCTGATGGCAGCAAAGTACATTACAGTATCATACAGCCGCAACAGCACAAGATCGCTTCCAGCCAACAGATTAAAGTATTGTCTGGATGAGACTACGAGCGCTGTGTGAGGAGGGAGCAATATGCATTCTACTATACATCTACGATCTATACGGGGTATCTTCAACAGAAGAAGTGCGCGCATAAAATGCTCCTGTACGCATGCACCGCATTACATTCTACTCCCCTGATGCAGTCATCCAACAGAAGTAATCCGCCCCCCGTCCTCGCCCTCAATGACCAAACAAGTCCATCCTTCACTCCTGATCCTCCCGCAACAACTCCACAAGCCCCGAAACAAACTTTTCCCGCACAGGATCATCAGCGAGGCTCTGCCCATCCCGCACCTCGCTCAGATCCTGGAAAGCGCCATTCAACATCCGTCCCAAAGCCTTCTTGAATTCTAACGTCAGCTGTGTGCCGTACTTCCAATCCAAACACCTGATCTTGAACGGCAGCCACTCATCCATGACGAGTCTTGACCAGTTGCTCGTCTCAAGCTTGCCACCGAAGAGCAAAGCCATCAGTGGCGTGACGCGGGTGCTTTCGCGCATGAACAAGGAGTCTCCCGTTGCGGCCTTAGCCAGGACATTGTATGTGAAGAGCTGGGCTTCACCGTCCCTAGAAACGGGTCTGAGGCGATCCTGAAATTTACCGGGGGGAGCGATACCCCTCTCTGTCCTAGTCCGACATCCCCTGTGTTTGCCGGCAGGTTGAACTCCCAGGTTTGGATGTAGACCAGCAAGGAGCAGAGATTTAATCAAGGCTTCGTTCTTCGAATTGCGGTTCAAAGCGCCGCCACCGAGCTGGGACGCAGATCGGGTTCTCGGAAAGGGAGCAATCAAGCCGGCATCCAACAATATCTCTTCAATCTGTCTTGCTGTGGATGCTATAGACCGAAAAGCGCCCATGTGCAGGTATTTCGCATGTGCATAGCGCATAGCTGCAACCGGAGAATTCTGGTCACGATATCGCCGAAGGTCATCGAAAGCGGCCAAAGAAGTGAGCTGATCAGAATCGGTCTTGCCATAAGAATTCCGGATTTTCCTGACAATCTCCTTGGACCCAGGAGGCGTGGCGAAGAAAGACCGCTCATCACTCATTGCGGCAAGCACAAGCATAGGCTCGAGACATCGGAATATGATTCCCAGTATAATCATCTTGCCAAGCGACGGATGTACTGGTAGCCGGGAGAGCACTCTTCCCAACATGGTGAGTTCCTCGTTCTCGGTCAATGCCTCCAAAGCCTTCAACTTCTCCACTGCGTTGTCGACAGCAGTGCGAGGCGGCGCCTCGATTGCTTGACTTAGGAACTCTGACACTGGCTCCTCGAATCTTTGAGCCTTGATAGCTAGACACGTCTCCTGCAAGTCACTGCGCAAAAGTTCTGGCAGGCCAGAAGCGGGCATGGCTTGTCGCCTCTCCCGCGAGAACGCTGCATAGTAGTTACCTGCTTGCACACGACCCGCACGGCCGGCGCGCTGTCTGGCGTTTGAGTTGCTCTCCCACGTACACTGCAGCTTTGTTATGCCACGCGTATGATCATATCGGTTTTCGCGGAGCTTTCCGCTGTCCACCACAAACTTCACATCCGGTACAGTGACGGACGTCTCGGCGATGTTCGTCGATAGAATGATCTTACGACATCCAGGAGGCATGGGCTTAAGAGCGATCTGCTGCTCCTCCGGGGGAACGTTGGAGTGGAGCAGACATATCTTGAATTTCGTGTCGTCTGCGAAGTTCACGCCCAGAACGCCTTTGGGCTGTATCAATAGCTCGCGTGTCGCAGTCAGCTCTTGAAGTCCTGGTAAGAAGGCAAGGATAGCCCCATCCGCGCTACTTTTGCAGATATGCGCAATCATGGCGCCTATCAGGTTGACTGGAACCAGCGCTTCCGACTTTTCTTCTGCTGCCGTCGGCGAATCGTCAGCAACAGCTTGCTTGTAAGTACGTTTCCAATCAATCGAACTATCCCTCGGCGTGCCACTGGTAGACTCTGCGAAAGCCAATTCCGCATAGACAAAGTCCTTCGACGCTGCATCGGCTTCTATCAGAGCGGTAAAGTCATGAGCATAACTCGCTCTCATCCTGGGCAGCAGGTCGCCAAGATAGGATTCCTCCACTGGAAACGTTCGCCCAGGCACGCTCACGACGGGACAGGGCACCAACTGGCCATCCTTTCCAGTCGAGCCAAGGTATCCCGAGAAGAGCTTGGCGTCCAAAGTGGCCGACATGAGAATAACCTTGGGAACCGGTTTGGAAGCTTCTTGCCGAGCTTTGATAGCTTTCTTGATGATGATCATCAGGAAGTCAATCTGCAAGTCTCGTTCGTGTACCTCGTCTATGACGAGATGGGACACCGAGTCCATGATGCCATTGGGATCATGTTTGAGCTGCTCAAGCAGTATACCAGTAGTGCAGTAAGTGATGCTTCCGCCCGGACTCGGAAGCCTAGAGTCATGCCGGACGTGATAGCCCACCGTTCTTCCGAGTGGCTCGTTACGCTCTGCAGCTACTCTTTGTGCCACAGAAGTCGCGGCAAGTCTTCTCGGTTGCGTGCATATTACATCGCAGTACCCACCCTTTCCACGGCTGATGGCGTCGTCCAATATGATTTGTGGAACTTGAGTCGTTTTACCACTGCCGGTAGCCCCGATAACGATGCCGTAGACACAGTCAGAAGTCAGTTGGAGCACCTCTGAGCTATGCTGCGCCATTGGTAGTGAGTCTCTTGCGGCTCGCTTCTCGTGCAGTGCCGGGTCACTCTCAAATTCTCGAAGGCATCTGGTATGTTTGCCGCTGGCAAGATCGCGTTGCTTGTCCGAGAGCTCTCTGTTATTCCGCCTCCGATTCGAAGAGTCGTCGTGAATCTTCTCGGCTGTCAGCGTCCCTTTCGCGTCTGAAAGGCCAGCCCGTCTCGCAGCGGTGAGAGTTTCTCGCATCAGTTCCAGAACTGCCGATTTCACATTGACTTCAACCATCGGTGCATCGCGGATGACCTTCCCATTGCCCTTCTGCATCGCCTCAGTGAATGCCTGCAACATCTCAGGCGATTGTCGCGCGATATCTACAGCAGCAGTGAGATAAGCCACCGCTTCTGCGGTCTTCTTGCTCTTCATTGTAACTGCTTCGCCAATGGAATCTCCGTCCAAAACGATTTGCGCCTTGTGGAACGTCTGAGAGCCGATGTTCACGGGTTCGTTTTCCACGCTGATTTGGCAGCCTCTGTTGCGCGACCGATAGAGCTCGAAAAACTCAGGTGCACTCTCAACACTAAAGAGGCCGTGGTCTGAGCCTTCCAGATGCGACTGAACGGGCGCATCGCCCGCAAGCTTTTGTTGCTCCTCAGCCTCGCGTTTGAAGGCTATAGCGGCGGCGACTTCGGCGGTAGCCATGTCTTTACCGACCTTTACAACGTCAATATTGAGCTCAGGTACTTTGATGGCCACTTCAACTGGCAACTTTGCCTTTCCCAAAGCACGCTTGAGCCGGCGAGATCGGGGATTCACAGTACGAAAGCTGCAATCTGGTATCAGACCAAGGCTGGCGGCATAGTTGTATATCTCGATCTTTGCGTCTTTCTCTTCACGCAGTGTGTGAGCAGCGACATTGACCAATTGAATTTCCTCTTCAGCCGTACGAGACTGCACGGTGTTCGTCTGGTTTCGGGGATCGCCGTGGTCGGAATACAATTGACGTAACACGCCATTGGTATGTAAGATCGGCAACATGTGCACCCATGCGTCTCGCTTTGCCGCAACTTTGCTGGGTCCTTTGCCTTTGGCGTTGGTACGTGTCTTGAGTATATCAAGCGTAAGACGGCAAGAGGTGTATTCTCGCTTCCCGAACTTGAATGTTTGGAATTTTATTTCCTGCCTACACGGCTCTTGAAGTTTGGCGCATGTGCTATGCAGTGTTTCTGATATATTCTTGGCGTCGAACAGCGTTTCGGGAGCAGAGGGGTATTGTTCGCGTGTAGGAAATCCCGGTGCACTACCGGAAGTGGACAGTCGTTCCTGGTGGCCTCCTTCCTTCTTGTCATCGCTAAGCGGCAGTTGCTCTCGATGTGGCTTGTTTCCTCCTTGCGCGCGCGAATTCTGCTTCGATTCTTTCTGCCCAAGCAGTTGTTTGAGTGCACCACTGGTGTGCAATCTTGACAGCGCGTTTGTCAAAGCTGCCATACCCGCGGAATCTTTCCCCGATCCTACACCGGCGCTCCTTTCTGTACGCAGCTGGCCTATGCTAACTTGGGCAAAACATGCCCATTGGTCAGCGCCCATGGCCTGTTTGTACACATCCAGAAGCTCTTTCCTGGATTTATAGACACATGAGACTCGGAGTTGAGCTTTTGCCTGCTGACACAATTCTTCAAGTATCTTCCGAGGATAGTTTCCGTCCCACAGTTCCCAATTCGATTCAGGATAGTCTTTTGGGGTGGGAAGCTCCTTGTGTCTCCGGATGAACTCCAGAGTAGCGGATTCGAGAATTGAGGCAGCTTCGGCTTTGTTTGACGGCGCAGAAGTTAAGGGTAGATCGGGACAGTCTAGAGTCTTAAATGCTGGAGTCGCGAAGTCCTCGATACCTTTTATCGGGTTCTCACTTTCCAGGGCCTTCACCAGTTCCCCGTACCAGATGCGCCTGGAACTCGCTTCCGTTGGCGCGCATATCGACAGTTTACCAAGCAAATGATCCTTTCGCTTAACCGAAACCTCCGAGTGAGTGTCCAGCGCCGAACTCGCTCGTTTGCGGATTTCCGACCACCGGATGTTGGCAGGATCAGGTTGACGCTCGTCCTGAGCTGTGGTGGCATACCATCGGGGGAGACCCGAGGCATATCTTGGTCCATGGTATGCATTCACGCTCTGAGGAGGTTTGCAGGCCCGAAGGCATATCTGGCGTGAAGTTGCCACCGCCATAGTCGTAGAATTGTCCCGGCCAGCATCATTCCAGCGGCTATGTCATAGCCAAAGTCGACGACTCAACAGTGAACAGTGTTTCCTGACATTCTCGGGCCTGATTTAGATAGTTCTCCCTGTCAAAGGCGTTGGATGTGATGAATATGACACGATCATGTTCGAGGATTTGAGATTCTTTGGGGATGGCGGAAAACCTCCCGCAGCTTTCTTGGCACCGGCCATACCCGTTCCCACGTACTCTCGTCCCGCCGCTTCCACTGGAAGTTCCCGTCGTCGTCCGTCGTGAAAGTCGCCTCCAGCCTCGATCGACCCAGACGCACTTGCATTGGTATTTTGCTATCAGATTCTTTTGCTGCACATGGAGGGCAATACACCATCACATGCTTCCCTCATGTGCCTAAGGCCTCAACCAGATCCCGGTCCATCTGCATCATAACTACGTAGGTATGCAGCACAGGTCAAGTACGAAGACATATCCCTCTGTGCCCTTCCAGTCTCCTCCTTTTCAAGTGCTCAGCGAACATCTCACACCACGCAGAACGCACCCTCTCACATCTCACAACCAGATCCCAACCCGTCAACATGCCCCGCGAAGGATCCGGTCACGTCGCCGACAACGCCATTGAGACGGGCGAGAACTTGACTCACGGCGCCCCATCTGGCAATGAGGTCGGGCTCAGTCCTCGCTTCGAAGGCTCTTCACATACACTGACCTCGTCCACAGGCTCCCACTTCTTCCGGCGTCGACCGCTCGAGCAAAGCCGCACCAGCACCCGACCACGAAGCAGGCGAAGGCCTCAAGCACGCAGATGGCAGCATTACCTCTTCAGGCCAGGGAAGCGATAAGTCCGGAAGTGGGAAGGGGCCTATCAAGGCTACGGTAGACGAGCAGGCGGAGAAATTGACGAAATAGAGGAAAGGATGATGTCTTGATGGTGGAATATCATACCCTGTCATAAGCTCCGCCACCAGAATGGAGAAGGCACGGAACTGAAGCCACAAGACATTACGTCTCCTGCCCGATCAACGGCACGTACGATAGCTTACAAGGGGAGACGGACACCATACACCATGAGCCACGAGCCACAGAGACACTGTTGTCTCTTTGCTAGAGAAAAGCCTTGAACTGATTAAACAAGCTTAAGCTGGAATCCACCACCTTTCTCTTCTCCTTCCCGTCCTTTGAAAATGGAGCTGAAATCCACATCACCCTGCAACCCAGGCGCTGCACCACGAATAGGCGCATTCGGACTGGCATGCCTTCTCCGCTTCTCTTGTCCAGCCTTGGACGGGAAAGTCGGAAACATAGAAGTCGGCTTCGGCCTCGGATTTTCCTGAAAGTACTCATGCTGAAGCATCTCCTTCGCAGACGGCCTCTTCGAAGGATTCAGCGACAGCAGGTCATTCAGCAACCCCACTCCAGCATTCGTTAACGTCGAGAACTTGGAGCGTATAATCGACCCTTGAGCACCCCTATTACCAGGGGGCAGACGTAGCGAACGCGCATTTGGAAGTCTCTTGAAACCAGGCCAAGTCTCCTCTGTCGGAATTCCGCATAGCTCGAATATCTGCATATACGTCAATAAAGGGGACAAATATCTCGCATCTGATCTTTCCAGCCCCGTTGAAGGACTGGGTGTGCAACTCACCTTACTGAGCTGATCTACTTCGTTCTTGCCCTGGAGCAAAGGATTCTTGGTTAGCAGCTCGCCGAAGATACAACCAATGCTCCATATGTCGATTGCTGAGTCGTATGTGGAAGTGCCGAGGAGCAATTCGGGAGATCGGTACCATAGTGTAACGACCAGTTGAGTGAGGTTGGACGGTGGAGTGTCTCCGTAGAAACGCGCCATGCCGAAGTCTGCGAGCTTGATTTCCCCGCGGTTGTTCATGAGGATGTTGCTTGTCTTGAGATCTCGATGTAGGATCCAGTGGTCGTGTAGAAACCCGACGGCGCTTCCCAGTTGCAACAGCAGAGTCTTTATTTCAGATGGTCGAAATGGGTCCTCCATCTCTTCTTGCAATGTCTTGAGATCATGCTCTAAGAATTCCATGACCAGATACACGTCTCCTCTGGCATCCCCTTGGCCTGTCACGACTTCTCGAAGATCCACTATATGCTGATGCTTGGCCGCGTTGAGGCATTGTATCTCTCGAAGCGCGGTGACCGGAAAACCTCCATCTCTCATGGGATCCATCTTCAGCTTCTTGATTGCCACTATCTCCCCAGTGGCCTCCTCTCGAGCTCTTGACACAAACCCATAGCTTCCCTCTTCAATGTGGTTCAGCCGGTCGAATCGCTCTACAGATCGGCATGGCTGCCATGATGGAGCGTTGAATCGTAGCAGCTTCCACTCGGGCTCCGCAGTAGGCGCTATCTCGTTGGCACCATCCCGTGAAAGTCTGCGTCTCTTGTGAGGCCTCCCGTCATCCTCTGTTTCTCCGTCCGCTTGTGTTGCTGCTGCGCGCTGTGCTTCCTCCGCCTTTCGCTGCTTCTCCAATTTCAAACGTCTCTTCTCTTCCTTTTCAGCCTTCCGTCGCGCGTGTTCGGCCGCGTCCTCTTCCGTGTCCGCCCAGCGAGATGGTGGCATTGTGTGATGTCCGTGTTGTCGTCGATGTCTGCGGAAAATTGCTACTTCGAGCCGGGAATCAAGCTTCAGCACGGACCATCAAGTTCCAGATGAAGATGTCGATGTCATTAACGCAACGACATATACCTCGTAAATCGCTTTCAACCTTCCGGAGGGATATAATGAGAAGCAGCCTATCGCGTACGACGAGGCAGCTCTCTCGCCATGGCAAGCTGCTACATCTTCAGCAATGCCGAGCCTCCGGCGCAAGATGGAGCTCGACAGAGAGTGGCCACAAATGGTCTACACCTCTGGCGAGACAAATAGCTGAGGCGATCACCGTAAGCACGATATATCAGCAGCCGAGACAATAGCTGATGGATGTACAGATCACTGGCCCTCTCCCCGTAGCATCGTACATGAGGCAAGTTCTCACTTCAGACCTGGGCGGCTACTACACCGGAGCACTATCCTCAGATCGGGACCAGTTCGGAGCAAAAGGAGATTTTGTCACATCACCAGAGATCAGTCAGATATTTGGAGAGCTCATTGGTGTATGGGTCGTTGCAGAATGGATAGCCCAAGGAAGGAAGAGCGAGGGTGTCTACTTGATGGAAGTCGGTCCTGGCAGAGGAACATTGATGGATGATATGCTACGTGTAAGAGAGACTATACATGGAGTGGAAACTTTCCAAGCTGAGATTTCTTTTGCTAGACCATTCGCAATTTCCCACCTCTGGCTAAAGCTGTCGAAGCCATCTACTTGGTTGAAGCGAGTGAGACACTGCGGCATACGCAGCACAAGCTTTTGTGTGGAGACAACGCGATGAATCAAACAAAGATCGGCTGGGAAAGCGTGAGCAGACATTCACCTGACTTGAAAATCGTCTGGACAGAAGATATTCGCTTCGTGCCCCGAGAAGCGAACAAGACCCCTTTCATCATCGCTCACGAATTCTTCGACGCTCTGCCAATTCACATCTTTCAGGCTATCAAACCTTCGCCGGACGAACGGAACACAATCCAAACGCCGACCGGTCCAATTCCAGCTCGAAAGAAACAACAAGAAGGAAGCCAATGGCGGGAGCTCCTCGTATCTCCCAAGCCACCTCACAGATTAAACCAAGGCGAACCCGAATTCGAACTATCGCGTTCCAAAACCGCAACACCGCACTCGATGTACCTCCCGGAGATCTCTCCCCGCTATACCGCATTGAAAGACACCGAAGGCGCCACGATTGAAATCAGCCCGGATAGTCTAGCCTACGCGCGAGAATTCGCAATCAGACTCGGGGGCTCGAATCCGGAAGAGATAGCCGCTGCGTCTAAACCTCAACCCACCATTCCGGGAAGAAAAGTTCCATCCGGGACAAGAGAACTGCCATTGCAGAAACCGGACCCTTCAGGCGCGGCTCTCATTATAGATTACGGACCTCCAGCTACCATCCCCACCAATTCCCTCCGGGGCATCAAAGCCCACCAACGCGTCTCGCCGCTCGAATCAGCAGGCGCAACAGACGTAAGCGCAGACGTGGATTTCATGGCTTTAGCGGAGACAGCCATCAATTCCTCCCCAGGCGTGGAAGTCCACGGACCACTGGATCAGGGGAGATTCCTGACGGCTATGGGGATTGAACAACGAGCTGCGCAGCTGGTAAAGAGGGCTGTGGATAAGGAAAGAGGAGGTTCTACCGGGGAAGACAAGAAGGAATTGACGGATATTGTGAAGAGGGTTGAGAGTGGATGGAAGCGATTGGTGGATCAGAGTCCGCAGGGGATGGGGAGGTTGTATCAGGTGATGGCTATTGTGCCGTTTAAGCCTGTGCCGGAGGGACAGCCGAGGAGGAGGCCCGTGGGGTTCGGTGGTGATGTGGCGGTATAGATCGTTCGAACGACCGTCTCCCCCTCCAAGTCTTGCCCACGGACTCTCTGGCCACCCGAGAGGAGTCTGATAGGAAAGTCAGACGCTAGTTTCCTGGGGACGTAAGCTAGGTGCGAGGCGAAGAGGCAGAGAAGATGTGTTATGAAAATTGGATGCCCGGATATATTGTGGATCATTCGGTCAACTTCCTCCTGCTGATTGTACTGCTGCAAAGGGTGCCATAAGCTTTCTGGGCCACAAAGGAGGGCGCCGGCGCCGAAAGGCCGCCTGGTCATGTGTATGCCTCGACTATCTCCATCTCTGCTTCGCCTTGCCTTCCTCCCATCCTCATCTTCCTTTATATTCTGGCCTGTCAGCTGGATATAGATGTGTTCCTCCACCGCCTTCCGCAAGTCCAGCCACTCCTCCGCGACCACAGTGTTCCCGTTAGGGACAGCACTCAAGGGACCGATCACTCACTAGCCTCGCCGATATCCCGCTGATAGAACTCGAACAGCTCCTGGCAGATCTCTTCCTCGTTTGCTATCTGTTCAGCAGCGTAGTAGTTGAGGAATGGCAGATTGGTCACGCTACAGGAGCAGCACCGGTTAGCTCTCGGCGTGCGAAGGGCATCCATGAGTCGATGGAAATACATGCGGACGAATACGCTTGGCGGTTGCGAAAGCCGCGAGCCCGTAGACATGTTCTGCTCTTTAGGAGTACCCATGATCCGTCTCTGTGAGGGAGTCGAGGTGACAAGGATAAAGTGGGTTGATCTGTAAGTAGTTGGTTTTATCAGTGCAGATGTTGGAAGCGAAGAAGAAGAAGAATTGTTAGAAGTGCGCAGACCACCCCAGAGTGACTGACAAGACCGACGTCCGTTTGTTGAAATACTTGTCATTCACTTCCTGGGCTCCCATCGGCATATACCTGGCACTGGCCTGCACGCCGGGAAGTACGTGTTCAAATCCTGCTGGCGTGACATGAATGATCTTCTGCTCGGTGCAACGTCAAATTCATTGGGAGATATCTCCCCTGAAACTCGCCCTGTAAAACGTATTTCATTCCCGTATCATGATCTCATATCCCTCAGCACGCCAAAGTGCCGCATAGCCCCCTTTCCATCTCAAAGAACTGCACGCGCCAAACTCCACGCCTACACAGCATTTATCCCCCCTCGAAACATGGTATCTCAGCTCCTCAAAGCCCTCAATCGCTCCCCGAGCTTGTCCTCCCTCTCCTCTTCCGCCGGCTGCTGCAGTGCCCCCGACGGAGTCTTCCCGGCCTCCATCTCCTGCGATAATTCCACGCCCGCCTCATCCGCCACCTGGTTCATCAACCGATCCACATCGTCCTGCGGCGTCGCCGTCGCCGTCGCGGACGACGTGGCGTTTTCGTAGTATCCGGTCGCGACATCGAGGTCTTCGAATTGCGTTTCGAACCGGTCCATGACGACGGAAATCTTAGTAGCACCACCGACCGTCAGCCAAAAACCGCTCACTTTCCTTTCTTCGTTCTAGGGATCTCTCCTTCTTTCTCACCTGCTCCAGATTCATACTCTTCATCGCACTATCCATCCCTTTGACCACATTCGCCATACTCCCCGTGACCTGCCGCATTGTGACCGCAGTCTGCACCCGCGATGCGACAGCATCGATCCGACTCGCCAATCGCAAGAGGTTCAGATTCTCATTCCTCTTCCGAATCGCATTCTGGGCGTAGATTTTGGCAATGTCGCTGTGGTTTTGCGAGATGGCCTATAAGTAGAGATCGATTTCCCCCGTGTCAGAACTATGTATTATTGGATGTGGCATGTGAGGGGGCCTTTTGGGTGTTGGGTACCTTTTTCAATTTCGCTTTCTCGGTCTGTTCGTCTTTGCTGGCTTTGGCGGCCTGGCGGTTGAGTTGCTTGGCCGTGAACTGTCATGCGCCGACGTCAGTCACGAGTGCTCCCATCTAGCCCTGCGATGTCCCGTTTGTTCCTTACTGACCTTCAGATTGAAAAGCGCCTTCTCGAGTCCAGACATATTGGCGGTATGGAGTGGATGTGTGGAAAGGGTATCGTGTGTGAAGACTAGAGATGAGGTCGCAAGCTGGAAAGCATAAGCCGAAACCCCGGCTGCCGACGTCACGTAGGGCTGATAAATCTGGCCGGCTTCACATGTGCTTGGCACGTGCTCTGTGCAACGGCGCGTAGACCGAGTAACAAACAAAAAGCTATTGAAATCATCACCATTCACACTTGCCCAGCTCAATTTCAGAACAGGAAAGAAGACATTTCATATCTACGTCGTCCATCATCATACAGAGAGCACCACCGTCCGTGAACCAGCTCAATGCCGTCGTTCGTCCCAAGAAGAAGGAGCCTTCTTCGCTCTGTGCGCCTCGCGCTATGCCTTGCTAATTACGCGCAAAAAAAAAAAAACTTTTGGTCTGGTCCAGTTTCTCTCAAACGCCGGAATATGGCCTCATATTCCCAAAATCGTCTTCCTCGCCGAATTGGTCATTATTATTCCGGCGGGGTGGGCTTCTGTATGGGTTGCTAGAGTTGCTGGCGTTGCGGTTGATCTGGCTCATCTGCAAGTTGCTTACAGTAGGCACGTTTCTTGCAGTCTGATACTGAGTCGGCTGCGTATTTAAGCTTGGTCTCGATTCGTATGGTGATGCAACTGTCGAGGAGCCTGGCGTCGGAGCTTGAGGTTCATTGATCGTGGGGATGTTGGATGGGTGCTGGTAGAGAGTGCGAGATTGCTCACTGCTGGGCTTCCTCTTGCCTCGCGTACTCTCACGACGCAGCAATCCACGGACGTCGTTCAAATCTTGCTGGTCGATGCTAGGACGCTCGCCGAGAGTGCTGCTGTCGTCGCGACCTGAAAGCCAGGCTTCGTCTCTAGCTGGGTCGGAAGCCGGGTCACGAGATGTCAGGTCATTGACAACCCGCTGGTCATGCAAAGTGAGTCCAGCACCAGCCTGTCCACCCGAGTTCGCTGATGCAATCCAAGGATTTGCATCCCTCGCTTCCTGGATCTTCTTCGATGGAATAAGACGAGCTTTTTCTCTGTCTGCAGCAGTACTTTGCGCGTTCTCCTTGGCCTCCGAGTCGGAAATTGCGACAGAGTAGTTCGGCTTCGCTGCACTGCCTGCAGCATCGCCACCTCCGCCTGGCGCATAGATTGGAACAGCACGCAGAGCAGAGACGAGCGCGCACATGAACTTGCTGCGCCTCGTTGCGCGGAGCGACTCGTTGGCCCAGTTACTCTTGTGCGCAATCTCAACCTTGAGCTGCATCTTCGACATGTCCGTGGTACCGAGGATCTCCACCTCCACATCCTCCTGGAAGTCGCGACTGTTTTCCTTGTCGCTTACAAACTTCTGAAGCTCGTTTCGGAGGATCTGGATGTCGTCGAATGTGGTATCGAAGGAGATGTCCAGAGTGATCTGCTCCGTCATTGCCTTGCTGCGAGAGACGTTCTCCAGAGCCAAGGTGTTCAGAACGATGTTGGGATACTGCACCAGTTGACCAGTCTTCAGCCCCTGCACTCTCCGGAACACGGTGAAGAGCAAGCTAATGTGCTCGACGGTCATGGCTTCGCTGGCAATATCCACCCGATCACCAACATCGAAAGGATGCTTGACGAATAAGAAAATGCACGAGCCGAGAAATTCCTGAGCAGTAACCGAGAAGACGAAGGACAGGGACAGCAAAGCCGTTCCTGCAGTGGCCAGAGTGGTAACGAAGCTGGTGTTCAAAAAGGCGATGATAATGAACACGACGGCGATCAGAACGACAGTGCAGAGAAGACCGTCGAGAACGTTGATGGCAGATGCGACATCCACCATGCTAGTTGCGATGGCCTTCCTCTCGCGGCCCCACTCTGTCACAGTCATGATCATCTCATCCAGGGAGATATCACCATTGCCATCGCGATCCAGAGCCCAGTATGCCTCCTCAGCCTCAGTTTTCCGGTCCAGTCCCAACACATCAAGGATGTCTTCCTCAGCGAGCTCTTCTCGGCCCTCAACGACAAGCGACATCCAGATACGGCGGGCAAGCGCCTCTGAGGTTCGCTTGCGTTCGAGTGCTTCGACGACGATCGAATGAGAGCTGTTTGGGTTGAAGACCTCCCTGCCGGTAATCTCCTTCGCAACATTACCGAAAGCAGACGTGACCTGATCTCCAAACCGACCGACATTGTGCAGAACCCGCATCGGCGTAGCCGAACCAGAGCGCTTGTGAGACTGTTTCCCACCAAGAGCTGCCAGTTGTAGCTGATCGGAGATTGTATAGTCCTCCTCGGCGAACTCTGGACAATACATGGGAAACAGAGATCTCGAGGCGTCGTAGAGGAGGCCAAGGATGTAGACATGTCGCTTCGATTGCACGATCCTCGAGTTGAACTGCTTCCTATGATAGTTGATCGAGATGAGCTGGATGATAGTCTTCTCCGCCAGGAACACGAGCGAGGACACCACAGCGGCTGCCAAGAGCTTCTGCACGATGTTGACCCAACTGGACGAGATGCCGCCGTTGGTGGCATCGTGCACAGCGTTGAAGGAGTTTCTCGTCATCAATGGCTTGAAAGTGGCTAGAGCTGTTACCGCCCAGCCGACCAGCGACAGAGGGATTTCCAACTTCTGCAGTACTGTCTTGTATTTGCGGACTCCAGAGCTGACGGTGCCAACGAGGATCTGGAAAACGAAGGGCATGAAATGGGCGACAATCTTGGCCCCCCACAGGGAGCACCAGACAATTTCGACCTGTCCATTGTCAGTGTAATGCTCTTTGAAGTAACCTGCCTTGCCAGACATACCCATGTGAAGAACCACACAATCGGCACACCACCAAACTTGGGTGCACCAGTCTTGTGATTCAACGTGATAGCTCCGACGATGATGGGCACCGCAATGACGAGACCCAAAGGCAGAACAAAGAAGAAGTACTTCGTTATGATGGAGAAGTTGGAAATCTTGGTATAGATCTTGCCCATGGTCGTCAACGTATCCTCTTCACCATCATATCCGACTCGCCCCGTGCCATGCTTCTGTGTTCCTCCAGCTTTCGCCCGGCGGCCTCGAAAGAAGCCCTGCTTTTCATGCTCATGGAGTTGATTGTCGGGAGAGACATGCTGAGCATTGACGCTCGGATCGCGGAGACCGCCGCCAGAGCTGGCATTGGTCTTGACCTGCTGGAGCGGAATGTCGATGGTGGCATCGCCGTTGTTGTAGGCCATGTTGGTGTTGTGGTAGGAGGTGGACTGCTGTTCAGTTCCAGGAATCGGGGAAAAGCCTTCGCGGCTGAATCGCTTCCTGTTGCTGTTGCTGGGGTGCAGATGGGTTGCCATCTTGTGAAAGAGTGGTCAACGCCTCTCCACCGTGGTGAAGGCTTGTTTTCGTAACGAGCGTGAAGATTCGCAGTGTTTCAATGGGTTGAGCTGGCGAAGCAAGCCAGCGGCGCAAGCTTTCCTTTGTTGTGAATAATTGCAGGTCGGTTCGAGTGATGCAGTAATTCGTTTCACACGGTCCAGCCGCTCGTCGAACTGATATCGCAGGCCTCCACTGGAGGTGATGCCGGGGTGGATCAAGAGCCGGTCTGTGCCTGAGACGGTAGAGGATCTGTCAGATCCAGCTTGAAACCCACACGCGAAGTCCACACGCGCGTTCCACGAGTGAATGGGTCAATCAGTAGATTCGGACAGCCGGAGCAAGCAGACACAAGGAGTAACGACTGGTGAAGATGTTCGGTGAAGTGCGTGATTCGTGCAAGGGAGAGCTGGCAGCAGGTCTGGTTCTTCAAGAATCACGAGGAAGAGAGATCCGAAGATCGGCAACGAGAATAGCGAAGGTACTGTACCGTCCGGAACGCGGCCAAGACGCTAATTTCAGGGGAGCAGGTGCACGCGCCCGTTGTGGCGCGGCGGGTGGATCCGTAGCCGAGCGCCCCAAGCGCCCGCAACAGTCGCCGAGTCGCTTGCCGGGGAAAAACATCTGCGTACAGCATTCCTAGTATTACGTACTACCACTCCATCTCGAAGTGAGTGGAAAGGGATATGCCGTTGCATGTCTCCTTCGCCGCTCATCTTTCATCAATACTATCACGATGCCCTGTTCAAGCGTGAGCATGAAACACTCGCAACAGTCCACACGTCCTCGCTTCTCGAATCCCCCAACCCTGCACCACGCTAAGAAGACCCTGCTCGGCACTTCGTCCAGTCAGGCAATTCCATCCCTGCTATTTTCGATGGAGGCGAGACCCAATCGTCTTGCCACGGACGTGACCTGCATTCGTATTTGTTGCCTTGCGTACGTTGCATGCCCCAAAGTCGCTCGATCTAGTACACACTTCCCAGCAAGATATCCTCAACGTGAGCTAGAGGAAAGAACACCAGCCTAGAAGGAAGGACGAGCTTGTTAGCCATGGACAATCGCAGGCGACGGAGGGCCCTACTCACCGATGTACATGCTCGCAAGCCGGAAGTGGCTCGTAGCCTGCTGGATCAGAGCGTCCACATATCCCTCCACACTCAGTGGAACCGTCTCCCCCCTCAGCAACCCCCTCAACTTCGTGTCCACGCTCTCAAGAATCTCAGCCGGGGTCTCGGGAACGCCGACGGTGGATCGCTTCTTCTTTCCCACGAAATCGGTAGTGGGATCATAGAGAAATGTCTCCAGGACAGTCATAAGCGTATCCCGTTCTTGTCGCAGCAGTCCCAACGTTAACTCGCTCGATTTGCGGAAAGGTCCTTCATGTCCATACGGACCCATGGCGTCCTGCATGTTGGGCGTCAGGCGGAACGGCACCATCTCGGGCTTCTCGAACGTGAGCCCTTTGTCGAAGAGACAGTTGAAGTCCACGTGGAAGACTCCACCCGTGCTCTCTTCCAGGAGGATGTTCTCGCCGTGTCGGTCGCCCAATCCAAGGACGTGCCCGGTCATCGACATAACTGCCGCAGAACGCGCGTATCTCAAGCGTGCTGCGAACCAGGTATCCGGCTCCGGATATGTCTCGGTAAACCATTCGTGTAGTGCCGGAGGGAATTGGCTGAGCACCTTCTTTGCAAAGACGGGTGCATTCTCCGGAGCCGCCGAGGCAACGTCCAGATCTTTCTTGATCTCCGCATAGTTCGGACGAATACCTTTGCGATTATAGAGGCCGAGAAGGATATCTCGCAGCGGCGTAATCCCCTCAACCCACTCGATACAGCCGGACTCTTCACTCAGCGGCGTCACTGCATACGTCTTGATGTACAAGCGACGCTTGCTGCTCTCGGTATCACGCTTCAAAGCACGATTGATGATGCCGTTGAATTCCATCAGTCGCTGGTCTTTGCGAAGGTCGTCTTTCGGCTTGCATAGTAGCCCATAAAACTTGCCGTCTGAGCCTCGAATGGTGATCTTCCGAGGCCTTTGAAGAGAGTTGAGCACCAACACTTCGTCGGAAAAGCCCTGGATGATGATCTTTTCTTGCGTGAAAGCTCTGTGCTTCCGAATAGCTTCACTGGTCGTAACAGCCGGCGGCGCAGCAATGAGAGTCGCCTGGATGGGAACCACTAGCTGGCTTGGTGCAAGCTTATGATTGAAGGCAAGATCTTTCGCCAGAGATATCTGAACCTTTCTTGGCTCCACCGGGCGCTCCGATGCCTGGAGAAGGCTGTCGCAGAGCTTCTGGCCATGCTGTATGAGGACGCGCAGGTCAATAGAGCTATCAGCAGTCTTCGGCTTGTTCTTGGGGTCCTTGATCTTGCTCAGGATCTCGACTCCTCTTTCGACTCTTACTGGATCTTCGGCTTTGGTCATCGGGAAAATGCTCCATAATGCCTGGCTTGGATGCGAAGCTCCGATTCTCGTTAGAATGTTGGACAATTGCTTCCAAATATCCGGATGAGGATGGGTGACGCGGGAGATCAATTGTGGCAGTGCATGGTAGAACACGTACGGCGGCACCCTGTCAAAATACTTCTGCAGTTGTTTGTTGCACTGTTGAAGGGACTTGACTCGCTTGTCGAATGTTGCCTGCTCCTCTTTGGCGTTCTTTTGGCGCGCCTCCATTCCAAGCTCAAGCCATAGCGTAAGTACTCTGGGTATGGTTTCGTGCCAGTACTTGTTGCCGAATGGAATTGATCGGAGCGAATTGTCGATTACGAGCTTGGAAAGTTCACCAGTCAGGAAAGCAGCTGCCTGCTTGTTTTTTGGTAGTGCTTTTTGGGCATCAAGCAACTTGCTGTAATGTTTCCCAAGGTAATAATGCCCTTTTTCCCAGCGCTGATAGCGTCTGGCGGCAAGTTGATACCGATCAGTCATGTCCTTGGTCTGACTCTGCCCGGAAGCATCAAGCCATTTTGCAAGAATCAGAAGAGCCTTAGCCTCGAGAGGGTCTTGGCGATAGCCATTGATCTCGTCAGATTTTGTCACGCTGACACTGGGGTCGGACATGGGCGTATCTCCTTCTGGATCAGCATTTACAAAGATGCCCGATTGGATTGCTGCTTCCAGTGCTTGAATAGCCTGGCGTTGATGACCCTCGTGCCAAAGCAGACGAGCCTGTTCCAGCTTTGCACCGCGCTCGTCATATTCTGCAGCTTTAAGAACAGCGTTGTAAGCGCTGCTGATGTTTTTCGCTTGGCGAGCGAGTTTGGCTGTCGTGAGCCAGGAGGCCCCGATCTTTGAGTCCTTGTAGGCTTCTGGGCGAAGTCGCATCGCTGCACGCCGGATGCCTAGGACATACTGCTTATCATGTATGTATGACCCCATTGCAGCAAGTCGCTTGTCGAAGGCCTGTAGCATTGTTGACGCTTGAGCTGCGTCCGCATTCATCAAAGCTTCAAGTTCGTATATCACATGTAGGTTCCGAAGCTCACTGTGGCAATTCTGCAAAGTGTCGGTCCCCGCCATGGACAAACTCTCAGTGATCGACTTGCGTAGGCGCTGTAGCTCGCCCAGAAACGACCCCTCTGAAACATCGGCGGCTCTTAAGAGACACTGTCCAATTCCTACATTGAACTCTGTTGCGTCCTTCTGTGCATGATTTGAGAGCACTTTTTCGAGGCCGTTGAGATTCTCGGTCATCCAGCAGGCTTCGGCTGCAAGAGGAAGATGCATCTCGGTAGTGAAGCGCTTCTCATTGGTGCCGCGGCTGGCATTGAGAAAGGTCTCAGCATATTTCAGTAAAGGCGTATACTGCCCAGTCTCTTGAAGGCACCGGAGCACATTGTGCTGCAAGTCCGGCACGTCAGGCTGCTCAGCTAACTGTAGCTCATACCAAGCCTGAGCCGCCGCCCAGCGACCAGATTTGGCATGGTTGAAAGCCTGCTGATCCTCGCTTATGATAGGTAGGTGAGCAGCGATGCCCTCAAGACCATCGGGTTCGTCGATCTGAGAGTATATCTCCTGGAGTCTGTCGTACATTCCATCTTCCTTTTCCGAAAGACGTCCCGAGGGGATGAGATCACGCGCCTGCCGGATGTACTGCTCCCAGTGGAAGAGCGCACGCGCATAGGATCTGCACTCCATAGCTTGTCGCGCAATTATCTCGGCCGGTATAAGGGCAAAAAAGGCTTCCACAGTTTCAATCTGACCCATATCTCGCGCCTCATCGAATTCATTCGGCGAATGGCCTGTCTTGTATGCCGCAGCTCGAGTCTCAGACAATTCTTTTCTCTTCTCTCTGAGCCATGTTGATAGGTAATCAAGCACTGAAAAGACAGTCTCGCTGCATAGCCGTATGGTTTCCTGCTGAGAGGGGGTTGCTGGACTCGCATTGAGAACAGCAAGAAACTCCTCAGCTAGCCCTTGGAGCTCGGCCACAGTACCTCCAAGTACCACATTCAGCACGGCGAAGGGGAAAACAAATCGGCCTATCGCCATGTCATGACCACGTACAGTCCTCGCCAAAAGCGGAAAGATCTCCTTGGCGTTGTCTCCGTTCGCTCTTAGAAGTAGATCTCCTGTTAAGGATCGAAGCCACTGGCTGGGACTGGCGTCTGGTGTGAAAGAAGGATAAACCCGCGGTTCCCCGGCTTCAGATTTGCTGTTGCTTGTGACTGTGTAATGAGAGCTCAGGAATGGTGTCAGAGTTGTGCGAATGTGTTCGGGTAACTCGTTCCAGCGTCCACAAGCCAAAGGAGCCTGCGAAGCGCGAGTTCTGAAGGTAGCTTGCTCGTTCAAACTGCAAGCCTTCAAGAGCTCCTGCATGGTGAAGGCGAGAAAGCCCTGGGTGCGAACATTTGTGACCGACTTGAAGGCTTTCACAAGCACGTCCTCGAAGAGAGCCATGATCCAGTCAATGGTCTCGTTGGCCTTGTCGAAATTAGACAGAACCAATAGTTGTCTCTTCTTTCGATTCGCCTCGACTCTGTTAGGGTCGAGAGCTCCAATGATACCCAGCGCTTTGCCACAAAGAATAGCAGTATTATCGTCGATGCCAGAATACTTGACGGTAACGTCGAGTAAGGCACAGATCAGCTCAGACAAGACCGGTGAAGGTTGCTCGCTGGATGCAGTGTCGTGGACGAAGTCTTGGCGTGTTTCAAGGAATGGCACCAGCTCGTGAAGTGCTTGAAGCACGACAGTATCCGTATCGTCTCTCAAACGAGTCGTAAAAGCCGTGCAGTGGCTCTCGGTGCTCTCTGCATCCTTCAATCTCTCGAATTCTGCAGCAAACTTAGACAAAAGCGGAATGCCAGCCAGAGAGGGTAACATCATAAGGTTGTCCTGCAGCATTTTCTGGTGCTTGTGAATCAGGTCAGCAATCATATCGTGAGTCCTTCGCTGTAAGTCCGCCGAGAATGTTGACCAATGCCTCACCACCAGGACCAGAAATTCATCAATAATGCCTTTGATGTCTGCTTCCTCGAGGAGTGGCAGTAGAGCGAGCCAATTACTGAAGGCAAGCTCGGTCAACTCCGGCTGCTCAAGACCACATTGCAGACATGCTCGTATTTGCGGGAGAGCTTTGGATACGCTCCCTTTGGACAAAACGAATACTTCTGCAAGACCCTTCAGGCACCGAACCTTTTCCGCGAGACACTCGGTTGTAGGTTTGTTCTCTTCCAGTCGAGTGGAGAAATGCGCAATGATTCCCAGGATGTGTCCTTCGAAGAAAGCCGCAACTGATCGGTTATCTCTAGACTTGGCCTTGCGTTGGCTGTTGGGAGCTTGTTCGATGCTCGCGAGCGTATAAAAGCCTTGGTATGCTCTTGATTTGCGGTTGTCACTTTCTTCTCCACAATATTTGAGTACCTCAGCTGCAATCAAGGCTGGATCTTGCTTGATCAGTTCGTGTAGAGTCCAACGCTTGAGTTCAGGGTCCACCTCAATGAGACATGCGGATGCCGACTCTTCGATGTCGGCAGAAGGGGATTGAGTCAGAAGACTGGTGAGTATGGATGCCAAATTTGCCAATGGCGACAAGCAGACTTGTCTTACTGAGGTACCTTCACCTCTAGTATCTGCGATTCGCTGAATGATGTCTCTCTTCTTGGTGAGCACTAAGGCTGGAAGAGTATCTTGCTGTGTCATTTTGAGGAACGACGCGACGTCCTTGCAGTGGAGCACTTCGCAAAGTCTCTGCGTCTTCTGCGGATTGACGTTGAGCTCTTGAACCGCAAATACGGCCACGGAACGCCAGAATGGTCGGAAGAGATCCAATGTACTCATGCTTTTGACCGCAGCAATTGCCTCAATTTCGGCGAACGCCAGTCCTGCCACTAGAGGGTTGCCGTGGCCCAAGTAGTCCACCAGCCGCAGGAGGACGAGGTTCAATTCACGCTCACCACACGCAACAGCAACCTGACCCCAGGCCGCTATGAGCGTCTCATGCTCGTTGGGTGCATTTCGATCCGAGAGTGTTCGAAGGTACTCCAATGCAAGTTGACGATTCTGTGTCCGCACCTCCTCGGGCAAATCTTCCCTTAGAAAGCTTGGAAGCGAGTTTCCACCTGCAATTCTGAGGTTGCGAGTCGAGCTATGAAGGGCCGTCAAACAATACTTTCCGAACTGGGAGTGTCCTAGTGAGGTATAATCTGCGTCGGCGGTACGTTCGACGCAAGCTTGGACTGCAAGAACGGACAGCACGCGTGGAAGCTGGGTGTTGTTAAGCTCAGGTAGTTCGATAAGCTTTGACACGGTCTGGAGGGTCGTAGGAAGGTCGTGAGTAGCCAAGTCAACCAAAGACTGCCAAGCTGTGCATTTGTTGTCCTCATCGAGAGTTGCATACACAGAGCTTGCCACCTCGGGAAGCGTTGATAAATCGGTGGTCTCGATGCCAGTAAGCAATCTGGACGCAAGCTGCATCGCGGCCGTTCGCTTAGTGTCAGACGCTTCTGCTGAAATTCGACGGCGCTTTCGCCTCCTTGAACGCGCCATTATTGGTGATTGAAAGACACTCAACTGCTTGAAAGCGGCTTGGAGATCATTGTCGCTCATGAAATTGCCCTGGCGGAATGCTTCTCGCACATCAATCGCTGACTGGGGTAGGTCATCCTCTGGGTCAAATCGGCACAGCCAGGTAGTGATGGCAATTTTCAAGTCTCCGTGCAGGCCGTTCCAAGCTTCGCCACTCGCGATATTGCGAAGACACGGCATTAACGCATCCGCTGCGAGGCCAGAATGGTACCGCAGTGTTTCCAGAAGAGCTCTCCCGACCCCCGTTTGCACAGAGTTAGAGGAGCTGTTTCTTGCAATTTCCTGCAGTAAGGTAGGGAGCAAAGGCCAACAATCAAATGAGCGAAGAAGACGATTTAGCAATTGCTCCCACAGTCCTGTCTGTTCCAGTTGTGGTCTGAATCGCATAATAAGAATCTGCAGTCGACGCTGAGTTTCGCGTTCCCACGCAGCGCTGAATGCTTGTACTCCAGAGAGGTCGAAGGAGATTATGAATGCGCGAGAAATATCGTTGATGGTCGTTGTGCTGCCATTCGGTACAGTAATGCTGTTCTCTGAGCTCGGCCATAACTTCCCGACGCTCCTCGCGGGAGGCAGCCGGAGGTTGAGAGCAGCGTTGGGCGTTGGCAGGGCTTCGAGAGCAGAAAGAGTATCTGGGATATGAAGTAAGCCAAGAAATTACTTACCAAGATGAGATCGCCATACCGTCCACGCATTCCCGGATTACTTCCTGGAGGACAAGAGCTTGTTGCCAGAGGTGACTCGATTTGGATAGTGCTGCGAGAGCAGAACTCAGCAGCCGAGGGATGGGTAGCTCTCGGCATTTTGGTGGCCCACAGGCCGCAAGGAGTGTGGTTAACAGAGTCAGGAATATTTGAGGGCCGTCTTGCGCAGCCTGTGCCAGTAAAACATCTGGTTGACGAACGATCGTCTTCTCGATAACAGCGATGCTGTTTACGGCCTGTGGAATCAAAACATCCCAGTTGGAAAACGGATTGTCCTTTGTAATGGGCTCAAGTCCCATCTGGGTTACGACACTAATGAGTTGGACGTTGACATTGACGTCTGTCTCCTGGACGGCGGAGTCATTGTGCAAGATCTCATGGAGTAACTCTTGGAAGGTGGCAACCCCTCCCAGATGCTGGCTTGCATCTTGTCGACTCTGTTGTTGCACGAGCTGCGCTGCGAGTGTCGAAGGTGGCGCATCTCCATTGACATGGCCATTGACATGGTTTCCAACCACTGCGAGTGCTCGCCGGGCCATATTGTGGACTCGATCTCGTGTCCGGCGAAAGAGATGATAAACCTCATCTCATAGAGCTTCGGAAAGATTCTGTGCACTCTCGAGGAGGTGGAAGTCGTGCAGATTGCTGATGAGTACGGAAGTTGCGTGAGTCCTTATAATGTGGTGGAGATTGAGAGGCTATCGTCAAAATTTAAGTCCAGGCAACCCTCACGTTCGACGCGTCGTTTAGAGCTCGCGCATTAGCCCCACATCGTTCGAACTCTAAATCTGACCTCAGAACCACGAAGTGCCAAGCCATATCCAATCTCAATCATTCACTTCGCTTTCACACTCAGACCGTCGCGCCCATCTCACCAAGCACTGGGACCGACAATGCCCGTGTTTCAGTCTCGAAAATTCCGTCCCTCTAGTTACGACTCCTCGATACCCGCCAAATACCGCGCAGCGCTCGCACGGCATCCTTTCGCGCTCTTCGGACTTCCCTTCATCGCAACGATGGTCCTCGGATCTTTCTTCCTCACGCCCGCAACGGCCCTACGATACGAGAGACATGATCGGAAAGTAAGACAGATGACGAAGGAAGAAGAGTTAGGAATCGGGAAGGACAAGCGCAAGATTGATTTGAAGGAAGAGTATTATGTGAGTACACGTAGATGGACCAAGCTCGAATGAGGTCTGGTGCCGAAGAATCTCTCGCTGATGGATCGTCGCAGAAACTGGCAGCGAAGGACCTGGACAACTGGGAACAAAAGCGAGTCAAGCGGTTACCTGGAGAACATGACGGGATACTGTAGAATGGGGCGGCTTGGAAAGGCTGTATGAGGGGATTTATGATTACTTGGATTGAGTGTGTATAGCGAGGCGTTGCAGGCGTTATAGATGGCACTTTCAAGACTTTTGTATCATGATTGAGCGCTTTTCCTCATCAGCGCTGCGGGGCTGATAACTCGAATTTCTACTGGAAAGTAGTAAGCCCCGAGAATAATGTACTGAGAGTCATGTTACTCTCATTGCTAGTGATGTGAGCACCAAACATGCTATGAGCTCTATCTAAGTTGAGGGCATAGCAAATGTCACGGATTAGGTAAGCTAATGAGGGGGCTAGTCCCAAGGTAAGATTAGCGCCAAAACACCTCATGTTGGCAGGTGGGCGGCGTCCTCTTCAACTGCCCTGCATTGTCATTCGCACCGCCGCCAGATATAGTGTCTTTCCAGATGGGAACCTTACTCTCCTCCTGATAATCCTAACAAAGACCAGGGCTACCACGAGTCGGCTAGCGCAAAATCAGCGGTAGCAGCCGTCGAGATAACACTCCGATGTGCGAGGGCGCTGTATCGTGATAGCATCGAATTACGGGCTGCTGACATTGAAAGGGACTTCGAAAGGGCAGCGTCTCTGAGTCATGCCACTCTCCGAATCGTGGCCCAAAGGCCAAGCCTTTGAAACTCACCTGGATGTTTCCTCCTTTGCTGTATCGCCACAGGCATACCATGCGGCCAACCCTGATTCGAGATACTCTTACATCGCGACTGGCGCTATCGTGTTTGACAGATCTGGAACGGCTGCTCGGCGAGTGCTATTACTGCAGCGCTCGAACTACGATAGCATGCCTGGCCGTTGGGAGATCCCCGGAGGTGGCTGCGACGAGGACGACGAAACCATTTTACATGCCGCAGCTCGCGAACTTCAGGAGGAGACTGGGCTCAAAGCTGCACGCATTGGCTCACAAGTCGGCGAGGGACACTTCTTCACTAGTCGGTCTGGCAAGAGGATTTGCAAGTTCACTTTCGTGGTTGAGATCGGCGAGAGTGCCGAAGGACATTCAGCAGTCGAGCTGGATCCCAAGGAGCACCAGAACTATGTATGGGCAACGGAAGCGGAAGTCAAAGCACACGCCGTTGGCTCTGTGAATCTCGACTTCACCACAATCGATCAGGAGCAGGTGGTACTGGCATCGTTCGCTCACAGCGACAGATGAACCCTATCCACAAATGATCCAACGTTACGGGAGCCCAAAAGTGACACTCGGCTTTATTTCAATCTGTAATTTACCTCACTTTCCAGACGATGCTGCGAGCCTAGCATGGGAAATGCCCTACAAGCAGTCTAAGCTTCGCCAACTAAGGGTTCCGATTGCAAGGGATTCAAGATGCAAGCCTCTCAATTTCTCAAAAGACACAAGGAATCAAATGCATGGAGATGCAGCCATTAATCCTCACGCAGGAAGTTCATGGCATCAAGAGATCAAGCTGGGTTTCTCAATCCCTGGAAGCATTTCGGGCACCAGACTATATACACTCACACGTCGCCGTAGACGATTGCAGATTCAGACTTAACGTGAGCGAGTCAAAGGCCGGCGATCATTTCATTTCATTTTCCGCCTGGTCATTCATGGCCGAACCCAGTCGAAATCCAAATCATGTCCATTATTATGCACGCCCGGTCTGAAGTAGAGCACACAAACGCCAAGTAGCCATTTCTCCTCGCTGGACGAGATTTCTACTCCATTCCGCCGACCAAAAAAAACAATGTCATCTCCATAGAAGAGAAGACTCCCACGAACCTCACTCAAACAGAGCAATGAATCTTCTTCTCCCTCCGTCGGATCGGGGTGTTGTCCCCTAGCTACCTCAAAGATCTACAGGCCACCGCTCAACTTACTTACACTTCCCAAGCCCCTCGCGACGAACGAACGGGAAGGTCTATTCTATTCTATTATTATTACCGTTAAACCGCGACAGTCCGACCCTTTCCTCAAGGAGTGACAGAAGTCTCAGCACCGAATTGAACAAAGATTGCAAAAACAGTAGCACTCTGGTGCAAATGAAGGGAACGCGGATGACGAGCTGGATGGATGTTCATTTTTCTGAAATTCTTAACTTGCACGAATCGCGTTGGATGTTTCTAATAAACTTGATGGAGCGCGGGTAGAGTAGGTGGTGCACTTCGAGTCCAATTTGTATGAAGAGCTCTCGGACACAGCGTCCTCGCAGAGAACGGACATGGTGGAAGCACTGCTGAGATCCAATTCCATTATTCGTCACCTGTCCAAACCTAGAGATGAGTGTCCCGTGCGACATTTCGCTCTCTCTCTCCTTCTCCCAACGCCAAACTCCACATCAAACTCCCTCGCTCAAGAGCCCAGCCGTCACGTCATCCCGATCATCATCATCTACTTCCTCCCATTCGTCTGCGCCTGCGGCTGAGCAGCCGGACTACCGGGGATAAGAGACTCCGTGACCTTTCTTCTTCCACTCAGAGTGTCCACAACTTCAATCAATTCCATCCAGTATTCGTCCTTGGGTCTCCGGTCCTTCCAGTCCGTTTCTTTCTCCTCAATCACTTCCATCGGACTGAACTTCACTCTCGATCCACGAATGCCAATAACGGCCGCGGACATGGGATCGTCCGCGATTTCCTGCTTGCTCTTGCCTGCAAAAGCCTCCAGGTACTGCAGAGACTTGACACCAAATCGCACTGCACGAGTCCGGTCCATCGGGCTAGGAGTGCCACCCTGCTGGTAATGACCTGGAACACCAAATCGAGTGTCGAACTTGCCTCCACTCTCTTCCTTGATAGCCTCAGCGATGAATTCGGTCGTGTAGACTTTGCTGGCCTTTTCGTTTCGGAGGATGATCTTTCCCGATCGGGCATGTCCCTTGTCCTCGGCGAACTGTTCCTGGAGGAACTTGATGTCTTCGGCCAGCATGTTAAGGTGAATACCCTCCTCAGGGGTGTAGACTGCCACGGCTCCGACAGCAAGTCCAGCAAGTGTGGCGATGTAACCCGAAGCTCCTCCTTGGGTTTCGACCACGAATACTCTGCGACGAGAAGCAGACGCGGACTGCTTGCATCGATCACAGTATTCTATCAGGGAGTTCAAGCAGGTATCGGAACCAATAGAGTACTCTGTACCCGGAACGTTGTTGGACACAGTAGCAGGGAGAATGACCATGGGAATCTTGAAGGCGTCGTAATCTTTGCGGGCCTTACGGAGCTCTGAGACGGCAGTGAAAGCTTCAAAGCCCCCAATGCAGAAGAGTGCGTCGATGTTGTATTTCTCAAAACAGTACGCCGTGGTTGGGAAGTCCTCGGAGGGGAGGGCGCGGTTGGTACCAATCTCCGAACCTCCTCGAGAAGCCCATGCCTCAGCGTCAAGCCAGCTGATGTCGCGGACGGAGCCTAGTGGTTTGTCGTCATGGTGTCGGCACAGTCCAGGGAATCCGTTATGAAGTGCGACAGGCGTGTGGCCCTTTGTAAGGCAGTAGGCAACGGCAGCACGTGTCGCCGCGTTCATTCCACCCGCCGGAGCGCCCACGTGGATGATGCCGACGCGCATGCGCTTCTCCTTCGGGAGAAGCATGCTAGTCTTGTCCGTGGAGGTTGTGATGTTGAAAGCCTGGTAAAACTCCTCGAACTCGGCGTCTCTCCCCCTCATGGCTGCAGCAAAATCCTTCTTCTCAATATCTGCAGCGACTTGTTTTGTCAGCTTGATAGCCTCCATGAGATCCTTCTCGACGATCTTGTTCTCGACGATGCAAATGACTGGGGAGGGAGTCTCTGGATTCGCCTTGAGAACAGCCTTGACTGCCTGCACTCCTTGACGTGTCGCGAGATAGCGGTCGTAGGCCACCGGCGCACCTCCACGCTGAACGTGACCAAGAGTGGTGACTCGAGTATCCAGGCCATTTTGGTTGGTCAGAACATCCTTGACCATGGCTGGTGTAATCTGGTTGAGCTGTCGGTCGTGCGCTCCTTCGGCGACAATTACGATGGTCTTCCGCTTGCCCATCTCTCTGTGCTTGCTGACAATCGAGCTCATCTCCGCCGCCCAGTCCTCCGAGGGCGGGTTTTCAGGACAGAACACAAAGTCAGCACCACAGCTGACTCCCGACATCAATGCGAGCCAACCGCAGTGTCGGCCCATGACCTCCACGACGAAAGCTCGCTTGTGTGAGTAGGCGGTCGTGTCGATGTAATCCACCGCTTCGCAAATCCGCTGGAGAGAGCTGTAGCAACCAATTGTCGCATCTGTAGAGCTCAGGTCGTTGTCGATCGAGCCAACCAAGCCGACAATGTTCAGGTGTCGGTATGGCTTCACGGCCTCTTCAGTACGCTTTCCAGTCGAGACCAGCTCGTCCATCAGGCTCGGCCACTCTGCTCGGAACTTGTCCGCACCAGTCAGAGATCCGTCTCCTCCACAGATGATCAGAGCGTCCATTCCTCTCTCAATCATGTTGTTTGCCGCAGTCAATCTTCCGGCTCTTTCCATGAACGCTTTGCAACGTGCTGTGCCAATGAGTGTACCGCCTTCTGACACCCAGCCTCTTACGTCTGACCATTTCATTTCCCGGATCATATCGCCGCCGTCGACTAGGCCTTGGTAGCCCTCGTAGACGCAGTATGGCTAGAAGGCATGTTAGCAGTTGACACATCTGAGGCAAGTCTTTGTGGCCGCTCACTGTGCATCCCGAATGGAGTGTGTAGCGGACGACAGCTCGCACGGCTGCGTTCATACCCGGTGCATCACCACCAGAGGTCATGACACCGATGCGCTTCTTGCCATGAGGCATCGCGGGCGGTGGAAGTGTGTCTCGCGCCATATTCGTAGGTGTAGTATGTTTTCAGTGATGGGTTCCTGGAATGGTGCTCCCGTAGCTAAGGCAAGTGAATAGGTGTAGTGGAAGAAATCTTTACTCTGTCCCCAATGACGACGTGGGGCCGTTCGTCACGGTGGCCCTCAACAGCAACGACGATTCTTGAACAATCGGCCTTTCGTCGGTTGCTGAGATGAACGGCCGCGGGATGTCGGTATGATGTCGATGTGATGCTGTTGCTTCTTCCTTGTTCTGAGTTGGTGTGTCTTCCAACAAGAGCAGAGGCAACAGGAGCAGAAGCAGCAATCGAAGCTTCGTGCAGTGAAGTTATATGTATCTTTGATGCGTTATCACAAGCAAAAAGCAGCTTTCCCGGACCGTGAACTCAGACGGAGCTCCCACGCGCGCCGGAAGCAGGGATTCGCGCCGCCGGAAACCTTGATTTATGACGCAGCTCAACGACGGCCGTGGATGAGAAGATCAGGATAAGAACAAGATATTCTGATGCTCCCTCTCCGTCTCGAAGGCTCACGAGAAACACGTCCCTTGAAATGATACGCCTAATTGATACTCATACGGGCTGAGACGGAGACGGAAAAGCCCAACTGCCAAGACCCCGAACACATCCAAGAACAACCCCCACTTCCGGGAAACGGACTCAATCTGCGCAGATATCTGTGTATCCATAATTCTTCGGCGCTTCACGCTCGGGCTGATCGTCCGCCGTCTCTCGTTAAACACCGCAAACTTCGCGAAGAGGTATCTCATCCATCCGCCAAGCCCATCAACGCCTTCCGTCATCCCATCGTGAGCAGTGCAACATGTACAATCTTCAAACCGCGCAATTCGTCTTCTACTCCTCCATCGCATCCCCATCCTGTTCAGCTCCCAACTCGGCGTCCGCATGTGCGTTGACGGCCTCTTGCTCTTCCCATTCTCTCTCAACTTCGGCCGCAACAAATTCCTCGTACGACTCGAGGGACGTTTGGATGTGGATTTTGAAGTTGATGATGTATTGCAGCATCCTTTCCAGTTCCGTGTGCAGCTCTTCTCGGAGCTCTGCGGATCGCAGTGTGAGTTGTTCGTACCTAATGCCTTCGTTAGCAAGAGCTTTATCTAGCTCAGCAAAGCAGAGTCAGCACTTACTCAAGGTTGACGTTCATCTCCCTTTGCTCCATCAGTTGCACGCTCTCGCCCAGTGTCGCCCGCATCTTGCTCAACTCTTTCTCCATGCGCTCAATCTGAGCTTCTGATGCCATGCCTTGCTGGTTCGAAATCTCACGCATCTTCTCGAATTCTTCTTGCGCTACGCCGACGCGATGCTTGAGCGTCTCCAGTTCCGAGTGCTTGTCTTCGAGCGCTTCACGAGTCTTGTCGAGCATGTCGACCTTGGCCATGTCTTCCTCCAGAGCCGCATTCCGTCGGTCCGAGATGTCCTTCCGCAGGTCCTGCAGTTGGCGCTTGGTTGTCTTGAGGTCGGCGTGTGGGAGAAGACGCTGTGGCTGGTACCCGTTGTTTGCGTCTGCGAGAAGTCGATCAGAACCAGAGAGGGAGTGGGAATGGCCAAGCTGCGAAGCGGTGAAGTCCGGTCCAGAGTTGACGTTCAGTCGAAGCTCGTAGTCATGCCCTTGCGCATTCTGAGCTGTCGACGGAATGATGCCAATCTGGTAGCCAAGGCTATTGAACCGTTGTACAACGCTCTCCAGTTCGTCGAGCTTGCTGCCAGTCTCGGCCTCTTTCTTGCTTGTTCGGTCTTTCGTCTCCTCTAGTCGGACCTGAGTGGTCTCGACGCCCTTGCTCAGTCGCTCGCGCTCGCCATTCATTCTGTCGATATCCTGGATGCTCAGACCTTGTTCATCGACCTTCTTCTGCAACTCCTCCCGCTCAGCTTCGGCCTCCGCCATCTCCGCCTCGCATTTTTCAATCTCCTGCTGAAGAAGCTCAGCTCGGTTGCTGTACTTTTCGACCTTTGCTTCCATGCTCGCATTGTAGTTCTCAAATTTCTGGCGGTCTTCTTCCAAGACCTTGATGGTCTCGTCCAGCTTCTGAAGTTTTGGCGCTGACTTGCCTAGATCGCCAATCTGCTCCTGAAGCGCCTTTGACTCTGCCTCAAGCTGCCGGACTTGCTCCAAATTAGCAGCATTCGATTCCTCGAACTTTCGTGCCATGGCATCGATATGTGGCTGAATCCTCTTCTCGGTCTCGGCATCCTCGTCTGTCACGTTGTCCTCGATCGAGAGCCATTCCTTATATGCCCCAGACAAGAACTGGAAAGTGATGCGGTCTGCACTGACATCGAATCCTGCCTCAGCGCAGGCCTCATCATACCGTCCCGTACTGTAGTGCTCCATCATTTGCGCGAGCTGCATCATCCAATGCAGCAGTCCAAGAAACGTGTGCCAATTATTGCCTCCAACTGCTCCAAGCGCGCTTTTCGAAATGTTCTTCTCAAATGGATAGCGCATCTGTTTCAATAATGGCGGTACTTCCGCATCGATGTTCTTCTGAAAGCGATAGGACGGATCAACCTGGTGATACAGGAACTGGAAGATCAAGCTGAAGTCCTTCTGTGTTGGTTGGCTCATCGTCTTGTGTGTCAAACTGTGCTTCATCTCCATTTCGAAGTTACGTTGAGTCAGGAACTCCATAAGCTCCTGGCCCATTGTGGCCTTGATGTTGGGATCTCTCAGACGTCGCGGGTCAGGAGGAATGCCATTTGTGGGAGGCGCGGTCGCAAAGAAAGATTGATGTCCGGCGGGTCCAAAGCCGGCCGAAGGCCTTGCGCTATACACGCTACTGCGCCTTGCAGTGCTTTCCTGTAGCTGTATTGGATTTGCAGGTGTGCTTGTCACAGGCGCGAAGCTCTTTCTCCCACCTGTGCTCGCGAAGAAATTCTGGGAGCTTGGTCGCTGTATTGTAGAGAAGCCCATTCCTGCCAGATTGTCACCGGAAGAAGAGCGATGGAATATGGGCTGCGACGGTCGTCCCGGCGCAAGTGACATGCGCGATCCTGATGTCGAACGCGCATTGTTCGTGGTATGCGGTGCCTGTCCGAAGTTTGTCGTCGAGGTCGATCTCTTCATCGCAGACGCAGGCATTGGGATCGCAGAGACATTGCCAGAGACTGGGCCGAGTGTCTGTCATTGTTTTTGTCAGTATCCCCTCCATTCTGCAGCAAGTTAACAAGCGCGACTCACTTCTCGCTGTCGACGCGCCGAGAATAGTCCATTTTCCTGTGATGTCGACGGTCGCGACATTGCAACAAGAGTCCGTGAAAAGCTGCGGCTAAGAAGGTTGTGTGTGAGAGTGCACCCAGTCACACGTGCTTGACAAGGTGTGGTGATGTTTGAGGATGGAGTAAGTCGCGGCTGCCCCAAGTTTGCGTTGGTAAACAATGCCAAGGCGTTGCCAGCAGCGGCAGCTTCCCGTCCCACGTCTCGGCAACGCCCGCCGGAGTCGCCAGGCTGTGCAGTGCTTCCGCGAACCCTCTGCCGGACCCTCTATTCTAGATTGCCGAAGGCCTTCTTCGAAATATCCAAGGAGATAGATCTCTAGAATACTTTATTAAAGACAGTCTGGCCAAGCCTGGTCTTTATAGGTAGTCGTACTCGGTGTCGGCGTTACTATTTCGTAACGCCCCTAGTAATCGCGAAGATATCTACTAAGATTATACGATATATGCTACGCCTACTATATAATCGAACAAACTTAGCTCTTAAATCCTATACCTCTATGCGGTAAATCGTATCCCTTTAGGACTCGTTAAGAAGTCGAGCATTGCTATGTATCGGGTGGGGTCCGGCCGAGTTGTTGGGGTCCGCGGAAGCACCGGGGGCCGAAGCCGAGGCTCTCCAGCCATTCGCTGATGAGGCCGACGAGATGAAAGCACATGGACTGATCAACTTGGCTCTCCCATACATTTCGACATTGCGACGGATTGTCTGTGCGCACGAATCTGTCTTGCTACTGCGTGGAAGTCGTCCAAGATGGTCCGCGAGGACCTGATAGAGGGCGCCGTGTCCTGTGCGCAACATTCGCGTGCTCTCTCTCCGATGCTCATTCTAACGAATCTACAGTTCTCCAGGATCCGTCCGTCGCCTCTGCGCCTCTTGAGCAACGTATTGCCTTTCTCAGATCGAAGAACCTCACACAAGAAGAGATTGACGCCTCGCTCGTGCGCGTTGGGCAAGGCTCTGCCTCCACGAACTCCGAACCTCCTCCCGTCCAATATCGACAACCGCCTCCGCAATATAACGGCTATCAACAAGGCCAGTATGGATATCCATCACAATGGCAAGCGCCGCCAGAGCCTCCGAGGCGAGACTGGAGAGATTACTTCATCGCTGCAACTGTGATGGGTGGTGTAGGGTATGGCTTATACTGGACTGCTAAGCGATACATCTACCCACTGATTGCGCCGCCGACCCCTCCGCAACTGGAACAAGATAAGGCAGGTGTGGACGCAAGCTTTGACAAGGCGTTTGCACTCTTGGATCAACTGGCTACGGACACCAAGGAACTCAAAGATGCCGAGGCAGCTAGGAAAGAGAGATTGGATGCCGCTCTTGCGGAAGTTGAAGGCGTCATTGGCAGGATGAAGCAGGCAAATGAAGAGCGAGAGCTCGAATCTAAACGCATAGCGAGGGAGATCAGTGAAATTCGAGATCAGATACCAAGGGCGATCGAGAAGGAGAAGGAGATGAGGGATAGCCGACTGAAGGAGCTGAATGGAGAGATGAAGAGCTTGAGAACGCTGGTCGCCAACCGAATGCAGGGCGGAGGAGCGCCAGGGCGGACGACTCCCAGCTACTCAACCCAGTCGCAGCAGCAGTCACCAATCTCCGCGACACCTGGTGCCTCTGGCCCAGGGAACGGCACAGCCGCAGCACAACCATCGGGTCAAGATTCTGGAAGCGTGCCCATCCAGTCGTCCACAAACGGCACGTCAGACACTAATGGTGTTAACGGATCTACATCAGCCAGTGAGCGTAGCAACTCCCTTCCTTACTCCAGCGCTCCAAATCGAGACGGTGCTAGCACACCATACAGCAGACTGCTGGGTGGTAAGGCTGCGATTCCAAGCTGGCAGCTTGCAGCCAAGAAGAAGGCAGAGGAAGCAAACGTGGACGCTACTTCCAGTGGAACATCAACTCCCGTCCCTAATGTCAACGAAAGCGGAACTGTCAGCGACGCAGCTGACGGACAAGCGTAATAATCTTCTCGCTACGTGTATAACGAGATCTGTTCATCTTGAATGTATCTGGCCGGGTGTTTGGCATGGTCAAGATTCAAAGTGCGATTTCTTCAACTTCCATTTCTACTGTTAGAATGGACCAGAGCAGGCATTGCGTTTGTGTTCGCGACTTATATCCAGCGTCTTTCCAGAGCGAAAATGTTATCCTGACGGCTGCTACCGCTGATTCGATGCTAGCCGACTCGCTGTTGCCCTGGTTTTGGCTAGGATTCTCGGGAAGACAATAATGGTCCGCTGTGGAGCCATGACATGGTGTAAGGTCCATTCAATTGATGTACTCCGACTCGTTTGGTTTGTAATCAGACCGGCCAGACCGAGCTGTCGTACGTACGGATAAAGCCCAGGAGATTATCCCGTCTTGGCGGCGGCAAGGCTATATACGGTATGCTTCGGACGTGTACCGAGCCGCTGTCTTCGCCAGTAGCCGACCTATTTCATCCGTATGAGCCCCTGTTAAGACTGTTATGCAGTCGCTTATGGACGGTGTTCGAGTGGCGTATGCAGTATGCCAGCCTGTCGCTTGGCTCTATTTTCTCGGTAGCCACCGGCATTGCAAGCATACTGTATGTCGGTACATGCCGCCAGCTAGGAATGCATGCATTAAACCGCGCTCTCAATGTAACGCAACTCTGCGCCGCGCTCGTGTTCTGTTAGACTTGTGCTGTAGTTCACCTATATTCGAGCTCCAGTTCGTATTGTAGTTTGAAGCGGTTTCCGCTCGGCGCCGGCAGAATCGACCAAAATAACAATTCCACACGCTTGGCTCCATTGGGCAACTGTAGTTCCTGGCGGCGATCTTGCCGGCATGATGACACCCTGACTACCTTTCGTATCTGTGGTATCGCGAGACGAAATACACTGACCCCTGTGCGGCTTAAGATTCGCGGTACGAAATACACTGGGCCCTGTAGGGCTCGAGATATTTAATAGTTGGGAGGGAATCCTTCATCATTCCTTCCGGTACACACAAAGCACATCATCCGACCTCAACCAACAATCACTCCACCAACTCCAACAATCAATTAATCTATTAATCCAACAATCAATCAAGATGCGCTTCTCATCCGCCCTCGCTCTCACCGGCGCTGCTCTCGCCGCCGCGTCTCCTCTCGTCACCAAAAACCCGCTTGAGGGCAACAACTTCAACGTGACCAACTTCATCTTCGGCTGCACAGCAGGCTGCTTCTGGTACTTCGATGTCTCGATCGATGGCTCTGAGGCCAACCACCCGGCCATCGACACCCCCGTCCACTGCGAGGGTAACCTGGACGACAACAAGACCTACAAACCCTGCGGAAACGTGTCCGAGACTCAGCATATCTCCGCGTACATCGTCAAGGACACCAACGAGCTGAAGCTTCAGTACGAGGTCTTCAACTACTACACTGCAGCTACATACTGGTACCTCGGCAACACCACCGTCTACGCCGCCACCGGCGACAATGCTGCTCTTCAGAAGCCCAACTTCAGGGTCAACGAGACCAGTGCCTACGCCGTTGCGTGAACGCCTCTCTTGAGAACTTGAATGAATCCGAGAAGAACTATACGAAGGAGCTTGATTTATGATTGAAAGCCAACAGAAGGAATAATACAGACCTTTGCGTGCACGCACGCATTAGCATTTCAAAAAGGCGCTATGGCATTTGCACTTGTAATATAGAACCAGATGTATACTTACAATACCTGACCTCATTCTCATGCTCCCTTGTGCCTCCTTTTCATGGCACCTGTACCCTGTCGTGCTTGGCACCAAGTATTTCGTCCCGCTTCTCAAGGTCTCTGCCAGAGTTCTGGCTCTGTGTGAACAGTTGATCGAGTGCTCTCCTGCTCTACAGCATCTTATCGCATGGGAAAGTTATTTCGATGGACACTACAGCTGGTTCGCTGCCGTCCGACCGGCCGTTTGCCCCGTGTTCGCTAGGATATCCGGAAAGCAAACAACCTTCCAATGCGAAAAGACGCTGTACATCCCTCGTATCGCTTAGCTTTTGTGTCGATCCATCAGATACCTTCGCTTAGGCGTATGTGCACGGGCATCTATCCCCCGACACTGTTGCAGCTGCGATGGACCAAGCCAAAAGCCTCTGGTTTTCATACACCCCAATTTGCGCCCCCTCTTCGTCATTCACAGCATGATTCGTGGTGTTGGCCGAGCGCGTCTGTCGGTAGAAATTGTGAATGCGCGGGTACCTTGCCCCTGCTTCTCCTAAAGTCGTGTTGCCGTGAATATCGAGTCGTGCAGCGAGGTGGAATATGGTCGAATGTTCGGCGCGAGAGGGAGGGAGGAGAGCAGCGTCTTTCCGCGGCGGTCGCAAGAGGCCACTACTCTTTTAGTACGCCTTGCTCAGCATTTCCGTATACATCCCAGTATCCGCTGGAGCGCAGCTGTGCGATTTTGTTCTTGTAGTTGCGATTCCCGAGGCCAGTAGCATGAAGCCCGCAGGTTCGTTCACGAAAGGAGGTTCGCGAGACGGGCGAAGTCTTCAGCGTGCAAGTTGCAAGCTGTGACCCGAGTGAGAACACGACGAGGGTGTCCAGCCGAAGATCCATCGCTCGCCGGGCATCCGGCACAAGTACGCAGTAGTAACAGAGCTGCATTAGAGCGGCTAAGGACCTCGTAGGGGGAGTTTGCCGAGTGCGAGTCGTTGTGTGTCACAGAAAGGGGCGGAGAAGGGATAGAAAAGCTCAAGGAGAAACAAATGATGGGGCGAAATAGAAATGAAATCCAGGGAGGGCGAAAGGTGCCTTTCGCTTAGGAAAAGAAGGGAAGAGGCACCTAAACCCAAAAGGGAAGTACCACCAATCGAAGGAAAAAGTCGCACGACAAATTTCATGGACAAGATCATCTCCAAAAAGATTGAGACGTCCAAAAATCGTTCTCGTGTTTTGCAAAAGAAAAAGACACAAAAAGAAATAGGCAATCCCACAAGCGACGTGGTGTATATAATACACTGAAAGCCGAAGCTCACGAACTTGGACCACTCTGCCACCACTGAAGGTAAGATGAATGCATATCACAAGCTGCTTTATGGGATTGGTGGAAGCAAAGCGCGCGAAATTAATTATAGAGCTTTGAGCGCGGGGCTTCGTGGACGGCGGTGTCGCTTCGTGGCCTCCAGTCAGGCGTCCTACATTCCACTGAGTACCTCGCGAGAGGTCCAAGCTATGTCGAGTGCGTCCTTCCGTGTAATAAGTGCCAGAGCCTCGTGTATCTTGCCAAATAGCATGGTACATCAGATATGGCAGCCGATGGAGGCTGGAGACCTGCGCGGTGGCTGTGTCGTGCTCGAATCTTCGCTAAGAGGTCCCGCATGCCGCGCTGGCGACGATCCAGCGACGTTCCGGGGTCTCTGAGTGGTCGTAAAGCGCTCGACGCTAGCCAATGTTCGAAACTCAAATTTTTTGCATGTGAATGGCTTGTCTGAGGCAGGACTCCCGAACAGCCCCGCCACAATGAAGTCCTCGCGGATTCATTAACCGAGAACCTCAACGCTGAATGGCCAGTTTGCGCTCGGCGCTAGCGAATGTTCGTCTGCTTGTGATAGCTGCGCCACAGTTGGAATTTTCGAGTGGAGATAAGGCGAGGGTGAAGGCGCTAAACTTTTGCAGCGGCAGCGGCAGCGCATGTTATTCGAGCAGCGTACTTTTTCCACATCGACGCGAGATGGCTGTCGTAGTGACCAAATTATGAGATTGATGATACGCCAGTGATCCCTCGCTTCGAGTGCTTCTATTCCGGGCAGGCGAATCATGGTTGCGCGAGGAAGTCATCGGACGCGAACCCAGGTCTGGCCAGCGATGGTCACAGTTATTGCCTAAGTCTTCATTCTTTTTATGTTTCCTCACATGAATAGGCTTGATGCTCGAATCGTGTCCACTTCCAGCTCGTCGTCGATAGTCACTGTACAGGTAGCGGCTGGAAGATGTGAACGAAGGCCTCCGGTCGCGAAGAATTCCTGGACTGCTATTTCTCTCACTATCTGAAGTACAGTATGTCATTACTTACTATCCTTTAAGGTCGGAACATGTGATGAGCCGACGCAGCTTCGCACATGAAAGGTAACGTCACGGAAGAGCAGGTGAGTGAATGAAAGGTGAAGTGAGCGAGGCTCACCTCCTAGCGCCGGGACCACCCGCATGCCCAACCTCGAATCCATACTTCACACATAACTTTGGCAGCATCATCGCCCGCCATGGGCTGAACGAACAGCACCACCACGCCCGTCGCGCACGGCATCTACCACTCTAACCACCCAAGATGTCGTCCTCTGCGCAGCGGGCGCTGGACTACCTCGAACAGCTCCCCGGCACCACTTTCAACCAGCTGTACCAGCAGCCCTCCGCCGCCCTCGCCATCTTCCGCCGCATGCTGCCCCATCTCGCGAAGACGATCGTCATGGCAATGCTCTACCTTCCGACGCCTTTTCCAGTGGCCGATCTGGATGTGTGGGTGAAGCCGGATCTTCAGAGTATGCAGGCAAGGGACAGGGCGCTTAACAGGCTGCAATTGCTTCGGATTCTATTCGATGACAAGGAGAATGGACAGCCGGCGTACAAGCTATCGGCGCAATTTGCAAAGAGTCTCAGACAGGCCCTGACTGGTGGAGGAAATCACAGTTCATTTGGTGTTCCTTGTCCGACGCCTGACAAGCGGCCCGTGACGGTTGACTTTCTGGACACGTTCGCGGGAAAGCAATGGGAGGCCATACTGTATTACGTAGTCGGTAGTGCGAACTCAAGTCTATCGGGGGAGGTGGACATCTCCATGGGTACAAAGAAGCTCCTGCAGAACGGGGAATACGTCGCATTGAAAAGTGGAGGCAGGCAAAGGCTCATCACAACCAAGGGCTTTACATTCCTGCTGCAAGAGGTAAATGCACAGATATGGTCCCTCCTGATCGTTTATCTGGAGATGGCCCCAACTGTAAGCATGATCTGCTCTTAGTATGTCTGGGAAAACATCTGACCTCTTGTGAAGCTCAGTATGGACCCCGTCGAGGTCCTTTCCTTTCTCTTCACCCTCGGCTCTCTGGAACTAGGGATCTCCTACAGCACCTCCAACCTGACCAACACACAACATCAAATGCTCGAAGACCTTTCAGACTTCGGTCTCGTCTACCGCCAAGACCCCTCGGCAACCCGCTACTACCCTACCCGCCTCGCAACAACCCTAACATCCGACGCCCCAGCCCTCCTCAACAGCAACCTGATGAGCACCACCGTCTCCTCCGCCTCCGCGCCCGCAGACATGGCCTCCAGCGCAAACGAAAAAGGCTACATCATCCTCGAAACCAACTATCGCCTCTACGCCTACACGTCCTCCCCTCTCCTCATTTCCATCCTCTCCCTCTTCGCCACCTTACACACCCGCTACCCAAACCTCATCACCGCCAAAATCACCAAACCTTCCATCCAAAACGCCATCCAGGCGGGCATCTCCTCCGATCAGATCATCAACTACCTCACCTCCCACGCCCACCCCGTCCTCCGTCGCCAAGCGGCCATCCATAACGCTCCTATACTACCCCCCACCGTCGTGGATCAAATCCGACTCTGGCAAATGGAAGGCGAGCGGATGGAAACGACAAAGGGCTACCTGATCAGGGACATGGGGCCGGATTTCGAGGCGGCGCTGGAGTTTGCGAGCAATATCGGGGTTCTCCAGATGGAGTTCCGGAAGAAGGGCATGTTCTTTGTTAGTCGGATGGATCAGATGTCCGGGTGGTTCAAAAGAAGAGCGGAAGAGAGGAAGAAGGCGAAAGAGGCTGCGCTGGCGAAACAGCAAGCGGCATCGAAAGAGTGAAGTATCATCAAGATGGTTGTTTCCGCATAGCGAAGGCGTCGGAAAGTGGAATAAGCGGATCCGTCTCGGAACACAAGCATATTGTAACAGTGAGTATACCATTATCTCCGTTTTCTTTGCACTACTACATGCAGCAAAATACAGCAAGCAGGAAGATAGTGCTGAACAACTTCCAAGCCCACATCCACCACATTACGGACTTTCACACTCATTGACCTACGCAATATTATTGCCTAGGCTCAGGTACCAAAGCAATGCCACAACCATCAATCTCTAGAACGTCCAAGTGGAACGAGCAAGCACATCCTGGAAAATCCACCTCTTCAACCACTCGCTCCCAAGATCTTCGCCTTCTTGCCGAGCAACCGATCCATAAAACTGATCTTTCGCCCCGTGCTCAACGGCGTCGATCCCGATCCACCATACTCGTCGCTCTCGCTCAGACTCATCTGCAGCGCACAATTCTTACCGCTCCCTCCTACGGGCTTCCCAAGTTCCGGATTGTCCATCACGGCTGTGAGCTGCTTCTGCCACTTCAGAAAACTCTGCCTGGCGTCCTCAGTCGCACATTCGTCGTACAGGTACTTAACAGCGCGCCGCATGCGGGACTCGGTAGCGGCGGGAGTGTACATCTTGTCGGTGTCAGCCTTGGAGGTCCAGGTAGTGGGACTGTTGGACGAGTCGAGGTTGAGGGCACGCATAAGGTCTCCGTTGCGGTACTTGTCGTTGAGGGAAGAAAACCGTCCAGTCCAGTATGCGGATGGTTTAGCGATGTGGATTGAGCCATTGGGGTTCGGCTTGTTGGCTTCTGCAACGATCCTGGTAGCTGGATGAGGCGGTCGTACTGCAGCTTGCATTGGGGTCTTATCAAGAGACAGGCGAGCATTACCAGAGGCAGCAGAGCTTCTTCTGGGTTGGCTCTGGCCAAGCATATCGCTGCCCAGTGGAGTCTTGGGTGGCGGTGGAGTCGGCGGCGGCATCGTCGACATGAGGCGGGTTTGCTTGATCTCACCGAATGAGGAGCGATTGGATCTCTGCAGAGGCGGGTTCGCATTGTTAGACACTGACTGGGATGACAAGAGTGGCTGCGAGTTCCATCTCTGCACCGGCTGTCCAGGAGTCGGAGCCCTCTCCTTTGAACTTCGATAAATAGGACTACTGTCGTACTTCTGGGAAAGTCGCTTGTATGCTCCCTCGGGAAGTTCGGCGTACTTGGTCAAAGACAACGTGGAGGCTGAAGCCGTTGGGCCATGGCCGTGTCCAAATCCCAAGTTGGCCTGACTAGGATGACGAGAATAGGAGAAACTCGGCTTTTCGTGGTAAGCCCGCGAAGAGACGTTTGACTGCGGGTAGTAGTATCCACTATCCTTCCTCTCGTGGAAAGCGGTTGGTCTGGTCGGACTGCTCGGGATGTTCTCCTTGAAGGCGGTCGAGCGTCGAGTACTTGGCTGGTCAAAGCTGAAGTCGAGCAAAGGCTCAGTATCCGAGCGTGCAAGAGACTCTCTGGTTGTGATGTTGCTATCGATGGTTGTCAAGCGCGTAATAGAATGCTTGCGGCTGGACGGGTGTGGAGAAGGTACGCGTGTTGAAGGAAGTAGCGCAGAGGGAAGGCGGGCGTGCGACTTGGACTGGACAAGCGAGTTGCTCGTCTGCTTCTTGCGAATGGGGATTGGCAGGTTGCTGAAAGTTCTGCTTCTTGGCATTCCTCCTATCGGATCGTCGGGAAGGCAGATGTAGCTGGCTTTGCGAGCTGCAGCCTGAGACTCTCCTGGCAGTGCTGGAACTTCTGGAACGGTCTCGGGGCCGATGGACTTCTGCGAAGATGGAGGAGTCTTGTTGGAGCTTGGAGCATTGGCCGCGGTGCTACTCAAGGAGAGATTGCTGGTAGAAGCGGGAGAGTCGGTGGCGGTGTTGTTGGAACGGCGGCGATTGAAGGGATTGAGCGTCTGCAAGGAAGCAATGGAACCGAGGCGGCGGAGAGAGGTGCGGCGAGACTCGGCTTTGGTCTCGCTCGAGTCGCTTTTGCGGGACGGCATTGCGGCGGCGGTAGCGACAGAAGAAGTAGAGATGAAGGTGAATGGAGAATGGAGGGAAGAGGTGGTGGAAGACTGAGATGAGGTGGACTTACTCCCGATCGGATCGACGCTAAACCAACGCCGCTACCTAAGCTATAGAAGAGGAAGGCACGTTCGTCGGATCATTCCTGCTCGAAAGGTGCACCGCGACTTCCCTCATCTCCGCGTCTTCGTACTGGAGGGCACCTGCTACGCACCTGCGGCGACAAACCATCAAGCATTCGATTCGGGGAGCAAGCACTGCGTGATTCCTTCCTGGGCAGCCAGCGCTTTCCGTGTTCCCTCCTCAACAAATCCTGGAGACATCTCTCTTGCCCAGCCCGACCGCGATCGTACCGGTACTTACTCATCAAGCGATCCTGCAGCACGAAACATCGAAGCCGCCCCACCAGCCTCACTTTCGACACTCAAGGCATCAGCTACCACCTTCAGGGATACCACTCACGCAAGATGTATGTCAATGGCAGCACTACATTTCCTCTCTGTCATTGACTCGCCAACAGCATCTTCAAGAAACCACGCTTTCTATCACGGATGTCGCTATGGAACATCCTCAACCCATTAATGATAGGCTGGGCCCCGAAGAAGCCCGGCATGTATGCTGTTAGGCTGCCTCGAGCTCGCTTCATTAGCAGACCGGCAAATTCGTGAGACGAAGGCTGCAGAACCGCGACTCTGAAGGTACCCGTGTGGGCTGACACTGAGATGACATATAATCTCAAAGCGTCAATCACGTAACGAAGCCTGTGGCTCTCATGGAACAGGGTACTCCTTTATAGAGACAGAGCTGGATTTGCGTCAGGTGTCTCCCAGTCTCAGAGGGGAAACACCTTCAGGTCTGGGAGAAATGGAACCACGCAAGAGGCGTCCGTCATGCTGGAACAAGCACCGACTAATCGTTATTGTCGCCAAAGATCGATGAGTAGCGATTGGTAGCTGTCAGCGCAAGACATCCTCGTTTTCCGCAAGCCAATGTCTTGATCTCAACATGTCCTTTCCACCTTGCTCGAGTTTATGATCTAGTTGTGTAAGACAACTGTCTTAGAATTCTGTCGCTTCGTGAGTATATCTTCGAGGCCCTCTTTTGTATTTTCAATGTCCCACGCTGGCGTCAACGCAGATCCATCCCAAAAGCTTTACAGAAAACACATACATACCACATTCATTCCGAAAACGAATAAGTCTTGTCGATCGAGATAACGCATCATCCACACTGTCAGAAATACCACAGAGCACAGCAAGACCACAACAACATCTCAAGCTTCCAGCAATAACAAGACGTTCCGTTTCAATACACACAAAAGAAAAAAAAGCCAACACATCCCCCCTCTCTTCATCAAAATCGAAAACCTCCATTCACGCACAACGAAACAACATGTCCGCCCCATCACCAACAACAACCCTCCTCCCCCTTCCCCTCCCCAGCGCCAGCACCAGCAGCACCACCACACCACCCAGCAGCACACCCCTCCTCGGCACAGTCCAGTCCTGCATCCCCGTCTGCGTCACCATCAACGCCCTCGGGCACTGCGTCAAGACCGCCGGGTGTGGATGTGTCCTCGGCGAGGGCGTGCCGGGACATGCGGATTGTACGGCTACTTCGGGAGCAAGCGGAGGGAAAGGGAAAGTGGTGGGGGTGTTGGGGGTTATGATGCTTGTGGTGGGGGCTGTATTGGGCGGAGGAGGGGTTTAGAAAGGGGCGTTCGTTCTTTGGGAGTTAGTTGTTGGGTTCTCTTGAGGGTTAGAAGGGCGGTGGGTGCTTGTGTTCTGTTGTTGGATTTGTTGCTTTGTACGTACGTAGGTTTTCCTCGAAAGGTACAGGTGATATCTACCACACAAGTTTTGTTCTCTTGAGCTTGTGGTGCAGTACTTCTTCGCTTTCGCAGATTTATTTGCTCTAGTGTCGTAGTCGTAGCAAGCAGGAGGGTAAATCCAGCATAGCAGGGTTGATTCCTTCCAGTGCGAGCAGAGAACGCGGGAAACACCACAGCCTAAAGACCTGATTCCACCACCTTCTGCTCCGGTCACACCTCGTTTGCTCCTCCTTTCACTATTCCTCACCAAAGACACAGTGAAACAAGAAAGGCATTGTCGTCTTGATGTCCCCCGTCCTTCACGAGGGAAAGCAATATCTATATATCAGCTTCTCCTCTTTGGAGTAATCTCCCTTTTCTTCCCCACAATCAGCGACTCTTCCACAAAATGCTCGCACCACACCCTCAAGCACCCATGATGCCCTACAACGATCCAGCGCACGAGGAAACCAAGGGGATCATTGGACGTGTGTACCGCAGCTCTGGCTACGACAGTGGGTATGAGGGAGGTGATGAGAAGGGATTCAAGTAAAGCCTTGAATCGCTTTCGTGGAAAGTGGAGGCTCTGGTTGGGCTACTGTCGCGGGATCATGTGTTCCTGCGATTGAGTGTAGCATAGCGCATTGACAGACTTTTAATTTTACTTCCCTACCTTGCAGTCTTCAATCTCTCAGCGACCATCTTCTGCACCATCTTCTCGAGCATGGCACCGCCGCTGCCAGCGTTGCAATCGAAGTAGGCCGCGACGCTCTTTTCGACATACTTGCCCACCATATCCACCTCCACGTTCACATCTTCCCCGGCCTTCTTCTTTGCCATTACCACCTTCTCCTGAGTATACGCAATGAGCATGACCTCCCACCAACCTTCCTCGTCATTCACCGCAGTTATCGTAAGCGACGCCCCATCGAGCGTCACGTATCCCTTCTCCACCACATATCTCAACACACTCTTATCCCTCGGCTGCAAGCGAAAGGTAATCGCATTCCCATCCGGCCTCGTCTCCGCGATAATCGCAACGGTATCCACATGTCCCTGCACGAAATGGCCTCCCATGCGCGTACTCCCACTCACAGCCCGCTCGAGGTTGACGCCGCTGCCCTCTTTCAACACCCCTAGATTCGTGCGTCGTAGCGTCTCCGGCGCTACACCGACCTTGAACGAATTCTTCTCGAATTCCGTCACGGTCAGACACGTTCCGTTGACGCTGATACTGTCACCCAGATGGCAATCGTCGAGAATTTCGGCGCAGTCGCTGATGGTGAGGGAAGTCCCTCCGCCGCCGCTGGAGGTTTCATCGAGCTGGACTAGTTTGGAGACGGCTGGCCGAGGTTGTCAGTCCAGCGTTTCCGAATAGTCCGTTGCGGGAATGAATGAGACATACTGCCAACCGTCTCGACGATTCCGGTGAACATTCTGAAACAATTCGTTGGTTTGGTAATAAGGTGAGGTTTTGGTTGCTGGGAGCTAGGACTGCAAGAGCGTCCAATCGTCATTCATCTGCAGATGCCGAGATCGGCGGTGCCGGGCCGGAATTACCTTGACCCGACGCGGCTCCTCTCAGTGTTACGTAGAGGGGGTAAGTCAGATGTGTACATCATGTACAACTCCTAAGAGAACATAGCAGTAATGTCTTTGCAACGTCCGTCCAGGCTCTTGAGCCGTCCTATATCCTCTCAAGTCGCCGTGCGAGCACCAGCGCAGCGCAGATGGCTAGCTACTCCAGCGGGAGATGCATCCTCCTTGCCATTGGCCGGCATCAGAGTGCTTGATATGACCAGAGTCCTTGCTGGGGTTAGTCTGTGGTATCATGGTAGAGGGTTCGAAGGCTGACTCTGCCCAGCCGTACTGTACACAAATTCTTGGCGATCTAGGGTACGATTGATGAGCCCAGTATTGACCATCTTTGGGTCAGACCTCACGAACTCTGTAGGCTTATTCCGAAGTAGAGCAGAAGTCATCAAGATCGAACACCCAACACGAGGTGACGACACGAGAGCATGGGGTCCACCCTACGCACCGTACGCCAAAGACAGCGGCAAAGAGGGTCAAGGCGAAGCAGCTTATTTCCTGAGCGTACGACTTCATTGCAGCTAAAGTCCGAATTGTGCTGATGTCGAGTAGGTCAACCGCAACAAGAAATCGATCGGTCTCTCATTTCAGAGCAAAGCCGGCGTGGAGATCTTGCATAAACTTGCCAAGGACTGCGACGTCCTCGTGGAGAACTACCTACCGGGAGCCCTGAAGAAATACAACATGGACTACGAAAGCGTCTCGAAAGTAAACCCCAAGATCATCTACGCCAGCATCACCGGCTATGGGCAAACGGGACCGCACAGCTCGAGAGCAGGCTACGATGTCATGGTTGAAGCTGAGATGGGCCTCATGCACATCACGGGCCATCGCGATGGACCACCGGCCAAAGTGGGAGTAGCAGTGACGGACTTGACGACAGGCCTCTACACCAGCAACTCGGTTATGGCTGCTCTTCTAGCCAGAGCTAAGACTAACAAAGGTCAACACATTGACGTGGCGCTCGCGGACTGTCAGGTCGCTACTCTAGCCAACATCGCCTCTTCCTGCCTCATCTCTGGAAAGGCTGACTCGGGTCGTTGGGGCACAGCTCATCCTTCCATTGTGCCATACAAAGCATTCAAGACTAGTGATGGTGATATACTCCTGGGAGGTGGAAACGACCGGCTCTTCGGTGTCCTGTGTGACAAGATCGGCAAGCCAGAATGGGCCACCGACGACAAATTCAAAACCAACGCCGACCGAGTGAAGCGAAGAGACGAGCTCGAAGACTTGATCGAAGGAGTCACGCGATCCAAGACGACGGAAGAATGGCTCAAGATTCTGGAAGGAAGCGGGATGCCCTATGCGCCTATCAACGACGTCAAGACGACGCTAGAGCATGAGCACAGTAAGTCCACCGCCTGCCTCCATGTTTCTAACGTTCTGCTAACTCTATCGCCAGCTCTCGCTCGGAATATGGTGACCGAAGTAGACCATCCTTCCTGCGGCCCCATGAAACTCGTCTCTCCACCCGTCAAGTTCTCCGAATCCAAACCCAGCATTCGTACGCCACCGCCGACGTTGGGTCAGCATACCAACGAGGTCCTGTCCGAGCTGCTGGGCATGAACAATAGCGAGATCGAAGCGCTGAAGAAGGATGGCGTGGTTTCATAAAGCGCCCTCACAAGCATCATCGATCAGTCCGCAAGTAACCGAGACCACTGCACGATTCCAGCCGAAACCATTTTGGAAAGTTTTCGAAAAGTAATGATAGGCGGCGAAGTCGCCCGACAACGTAGGAGATTCGAGTAGTAGTAATAGAAAATTTCTCGCACCGAAGAATAAGATGCTATGCTGTCTCAGATGATGATTTTTCCCCATTGCCATTCTTTCGGCCTCCTTCTCTTCTTGAGATACTCGCTGTACAAGGAAGAACGCTTTTGCAAATGGTATACCCGCGCCAAAGGAACGCCGATGGGATGTGTTTTCTCTCCAGCTAGCTTCATGCATCTTCTACTCGCCACCTGGTAGGCTTAATATGGGTAGGGCTGACTAAGTCTTTCTTCCATGCATTTCATGAGAACGGGAGGGACGGCCTCATCAGTTGCTCGGATCGTGAGGCGGTACATCTAGCAGAAATCAGTAAGCAAAGACCTTGGGGGGTGCGATTCTTGTGTGCTAGTGCTCACCTTGTTTTCATGGTTTGGCTCCAACCTCAATAAACAACCGAATTTCCCAGCACTGGTATGCAGCACCGTGGCACCGACGAAATTCCTCGCGTTTGGGTCGACGCCATCGAGAATGCCCCATTTCAAGCCCTGAAGAGTCCTCCTGGTATTCTCGGTAGAGACATCATAGGCCTTGAAGATCTTTTGCGCTTCGCGAGGCGCACCGCCGATCTGTTTCCATCTTTTGAAAAAGTCGTCGGAACTGAGTACCGCGCTGTCCATATACTTATGAAGTAACAAGGGCAGTTGGAGAGTTAGGGCCTGCAGGGCACCAGCCATGTAGGATATGCGGATAGTGGGAGCGTCGGTGAAGATGCCCTTTGCCTCAAACATGACGGTCTGTGAGGTCTGCGCGCCAGGGCTGACGGTCGTATCCGGAAGCCCCTTGACGTCGATCTTGAGGTGTTCCGATGACCTGTTGTCCAGGGTTGTGGTGAACGACTGGATGGGCGCCGAGGACTTGTTGGAGAAGTAGAGAATTAAGCACCCGACTTCGGCTCGGTACTCTGACCGAAGTCCGACTTGTATCTGCACATCCTCGTACAAGGTTCCTTCAGGCTTAACCAACAATCTGTTGTAGCCAGGCTCCCAATCTGGGGAAAGGTGATTGGCGCTTGCCATGTTTGGCCCGCCGCTTGAGAAGTCGAGGCCAGCCAGCTCGTCAATAGGTGGATTTATGCCGCCATTCGTATGTGTTCCATTTGTACCGTTGACGGCTGTACCATTGACGGCTGCACCATTAAGCGCGCTCGATGCGCCATTGGAGAAGTTGCGCTTGAGAGTTGCGCTCCTGTCCAACGTGGGTAGACCATCCTTTCCAGTGATAGCCCACGTGCGTTTGTCGCCAACAGCGCTTTGTTTCTTGTCTAGTTTCGAAAGCAAAGCAGATGCTCTCTCCGGAAACGGCGGCATTTCGTCGCACACAGTTCGTAAAAGGTCGTCCGATGGCATTGTTGATATGGTGAGGTACTCGCACGCGCGTTGTTGCAGCTCTGAGTCTAGTGAATGGCTGTAGTTCCGGAAGGCATTCATGATCTGTGGTCGGATCTCTGGGAACAGATTGACAAATTTGAAGAAAGCAGACAAGATCATCGCCCTTGTATTGGGCGGACTTGATGCGAACTTCGCCTGCAGCGCAAGAAACTGCTCAATTGGACTGCAACCTTTGTTGTCTGCGATGAGATGACCGAACTCGCCGAGGATATAACTGCCAATCTTGACCAACGTCTCATGGCAGTGGTCGGCTTTGCAGTATTGTAGGATGTTCTCAGCTGCATAGACTTGCAGCTCATCATTGTTCGTCACGATTTGTATAATTCGCTGCCAGACTTCGTCGCTGACGTGATCGCCAGCCATGGCAATAAGCCGCATCGAAATGTCGACATACCACTTAGCATCTGTCGCATATTTCTCAGTGAGGATGGCGATCTTCAGCACCATCTCCTCACGAATGGCGTAGTCGGCAGATTGAAGGTATTTCAGGAGCTCATGCACAATCTTCTGGGAATTGGAATGACCGCACATGCTGTACAAAAGATCCAATCCCTGTCGTCGCACAGTGATGTCTCGGTCTCTGAGGGACCCAAGGATAATGTCCTGATGCTTCTTTATAGGATCCAGCGTCTCGGCGCGCACTGCCAGATGTGTCATGGCTTCTAGGCCTAGATATCGCACATTCGTCTCTCTCGAGCCGATGAATTTGCCCAATCTCGTCGATATTTGGACCATGAGATCCCGCTCCGTGTCCAGGTGAATGATGAGATTGATAGCTTCGAAAAGCACGGCATTTTGTGCATTGTTTTGCTGCACATTCTTGGGTGCTTCCATGGCGCTGTCCAGGATGTTTTGGAGAGAGTCGCGCATCAATTGACGGATATGCGAATCCTCCGAGGGAGGGAAGTACTGCATCAGCCGGAGGAGCTTCACTTGCAGCCACGGACAAGGAACTTTGTAGTAGACATAGTCACCAGAATACTCCTGTTCGACGACAACCTTCCGTAAACGCTGAGCAGCCTTGACGTAGCTTCCTTTGTATGAGTCTGGATCGTCTTGCGCGAGGGTCATGATTAGGGACGTGACAGACAGCGCAACCCCCATGTCCGGATCGTCCATGATGGCTATTATTCGCTCCGCCCATTCCGGCTGAACGATCGTAGGCACCTTGCGGTACAGCCTCAGCAGTGTAAGAGCAGCCTTCTTCTTCACGAAAGGTTTGGACGCAGGTGAGATCAAGAGGCGGTGTACGTCTGCGCAGAGAGCTTCTCCCATCTCCCTGCCACCAACATTGGCAATTGCATGTAACGCCAGGCAGTTGTTGAGCTCATTGTGGTCCGCCAAGTCCTTCCTGATGCTGTTCACGACCAAGTGTATCAACTCGTGCTGCTCGTGGAGAAACAGCGTGACAGCCAGATACCCGATCTGCTTCTCCGAGTACTTGTTGGCCGAGATCAAGTTCACAGCCTCCAAATGACCGAAATCGACGTTCCAGCCCAAGATGTAGATGTATAACAGCTTGCAGACGTACTTCTTCTTGTCGTAGCCGGAAAGGTTCCCTCCCTTGAATTTCTGGCGGATGTTGGCAAGCTCCTTGTTTATGCGCTTCTCTTCGAGTTCGCGTGCTCTTGCATTCCTCAAGTCGGCTATGAAGGAGACCAGGCCGCGCATAGTATTCTCCTTCCCGCCGTTTCCCATCCCCCTGTTGAAGATGGCAGAGGCCGCGGCGGCCATGGCTGCGGTAGTGCCTCCAGGGCAGCTCCGTCGACGAGGACTCCAGCCAGCGCGCGGCGCGTTGTGATATCAATGATAGACAATGGACTGCCCTTCGTTCCGTGCTCGCTGTCCCGGCGATGCGGTGGTCGTCAACCCGTCGTAGCCGTTGCGACCGACGCTGGTTGGCATTCGACTTGGGGTCTCCAACTTCAAGGAACGTATGGACAAGGATGGTGACGTGAGGACGTCGGAGAAGGGCGTTTCAGGTAGGCGATGCGGCGATGTTTCGAAACGTGTGTTTCCAGGATGTTCAGCAATTGACCTCCCCTCCCGCTGTGGATGCAGCTCGACTCGAGTACCACGCTCGCTCGCTCGCTCACAACCAAGCCACGGAGTCGCCCAACCCAGACTTCCGCCGTGGCCGGCGCATCGGCTCGCTGGTACGGAACGGGCCTCCCCGGCGGCTGGTCCGTGAGGCTCGTGCACGCCGCCGTCCAAGGAACATTCGACTTCACCTCACTCTCTCCTCTCTGAACCGAGTTGCACACCTGATGAGCATCTCTGATGCCTGACTGTCATGACTGACAGTCTCATTACACGCCTTCACTGCGCTATACTCTGCTTCACGCAGACCCCCTTAGTGTCGCTCGAGATACTCTGCAAATCATGCTTACCCTATCCGATTAATGCCGAGCAGGTGAAGCGCAGAAATCTTTCGCAGCAAGGTCTCACGTATCGGACCATATTCATGGATTGTCTCCGGCCGTACTCAAAGACGAACTCAAGTTCATCAACGGCAAGCCGCTACAGCTGGTCTAGAATTTGCATCAATCTAAGCCAGGGTAACTCGATCCATGTCTGTTGCTTGCCGGACGCAATCCCATTCTTCTCCTCCGCTGGAGCGTGTGATTGTCTGGGCGGACGTGCCATCTGATCGAGCATGGTCAGGCTCTAGTCCGGCCCCGCCCCGCTTTTGATCGACAAAGTAATGATTGCTACAGTCTCGTTCGGATCCTCGGAAGATTTGTGCATCGTGGTATCCCTAAGGACGAAGGCCTGTTGGCCATTATCGGATTACCAGGTCTACAGGGAGATTGAAGAAGCGCGAGTCATACTGGACCCTCAAGACGGCCGCCCCATTTCCATGCTGCGTTGTCCCCATCGTTAGCGGGTCTCCTCCTCGGGATCCTCAACATCTTTAGCCTCTTCAGCCTCAGCTCGATTCGATCAATGAGCTCGAGCCTTTCGTAACATCTTTCCCGGGATTTTGTTGTTTTATTTGGGCCACAGTAGCCCCTACAGGCTTGAGAGCAGGCTTCCCGGAGGTGCTAAATGCGCGGGACGCGGCCATATTTCAAAGACGCTGTGATATGTGTGTACGGATAACGATACTCGGAGACAGGGCAAAGTTCGACGTGTGACTTGTTCTGGCAGGATTTCGGGAAGGGATTTGTATGATCAGAAGAATGCTCAACGGACAGGCACCATGTCTACTTGTACTCAAGTGAACTTCGAAGCACTCATCAAGGCGACGTATGCCAAAGTTCACTGTGAAACCTGGTCTGCTCTGAATGCTTGCGGCACAGCAAATTTATAGACTGATAGTGGAGGGTAACCCCAGCCGGTCGATTAGTTTGGCGCTGTATGAATATTCTCGCATCTAGCGATTGATAAATTTGCTTGCAATGCAAATTTTGAGGTAGCTTCCGGCTTCATTGCATTGTAGGGCTTTGCTTAAGCATATGCGCACAGTGCACAATACATAGACATTGGAGCTGGCTCAGCGATAACGTAGCTTACGCAGTATAATGTGATATCGACCGACTTTGAGAGCTGTGATGACTAATGCAGCCACCTCAACTTCACCTCTACTTCTGGATGAACCATCACTATACATGTTCCCGCTGCGATCGCCGAAGAAATAGAACAACACAGAGCACGCACATGGACGCGAGAACCACCTTTCATCAAGTCACGATTGGATAGCATACTTTCTTGCGGCGCAGGCGCTGTCCGTCGTCAGATGAAGCGCCCATCATAAGGGGGTTATGTACGCCGCGCGATTGCAGCGGCTGTTAACCCGTAGTCGCCATGTTCGACAAAGTCTTTCTCTGTATCACTCCAGTGGGCGCAGTGAGCATCGACTGCTATTTGGAGACCGTTTGACATCAATGGGGAGGTCCATCAAAAAGCCGAATCACATTGCAACCTTGGCCACATCGCCGCATTTTGAGAGGATCGATTCCTCTTACCTCGTCGAAGAAGAGACAGTGAGCGGCTATCAGCCCAAGAATTACTATCCTGTCAGACTAGGGGAAGTGTTCGACAATCGTTACGAAACAATCGGCAAGCTTGGATTTGGATCAGCATCGACAGTCTGGCTCTGCCGAGATCACCAGAAGGAACATGAGTTCGTCGCACTCAAGGTCTATATCAACAATTCCAAATATCACCGAGAACTTCCCATATACGAGGAAATCAACAATCTGCACACGAATCATGAGGGCCGGAGATATCTGTGGAAAATGTACGACTCTTTCGAGCTGGAAGGACCACATGGTACGCACATCTGCCTCGTTCACCAGCCGCTCGGCATCAGTCTTGGCGAGCTGAAAGAGGTGACTTCGGATGGCCTCTTCAGCGCCGATCTTGCCCGACAAGCGCTGCGATGCATATTGACCGGCCTGCAATTCTTGCACAAAGAAGTCCAAGTTATACACACCGGTAAGTCGCCCTGAGTCCCCCGAATAGAGCGTCTACGGATTCAGCTCATCCCTACAATGCAGACCTTCAGCCGTCGAACATGCTGCTTGGGATTCACGATGACTCCGTTCTGGCTAAATTTGAACAACACGAGTCCGAGAGTCCGTGTCCGCGAAAGGAGCTCGACGACCGCACTATTTATGTGTCGCGACCAATGCCGTTCACGAAGGGAGAACCGTCCATTACTGATCTCAGTGAGGCAAGATTTGGGGATCGGACACACACCGATCGAATCATGCCCAACGTTTACCGTGCACCGGAGGCTATACTTGGTCACCCATGGAGTTATCCAGTTGATATTTGGGGGTTTGGAATGGTGGTAAGTCTTTTGCTTTATGCAGCCTTGGATTCGTGGCTGTTGGTTATATTCGAGGCTAACGAAGGTGGCGTGGACGACAGCTATGGCATCTCATTCACCCGAAGCCTCTGTTCTATCCCCGGGATTCCAAAGATCGGTATTCAGAAGCTCATCATCTTGCCCAAATGGTAGCAGTACTAGGTCCGCCCCCTTCAGAATTCTTGCAGCGATGCGGTGAAAAGGCCCGAAAATATTGGGAGACCGATGGTAAGAGTGTTTAGTTTCAACTTGCCGTCCTCTTACCAAAGCCGAAGCCCTGCTGACATTGTAAATTAGGCACATGGAAGAACCTGGTACCAATTCCAAGTACGAGTCTGGAGCACGAAGATCAGAGATTAGAAGGCGAAGAGAAGGAGCGGTTTATGGCTTTCATGAGAAAAATGTTGCAGTGGAATCCTGAGGATCGACACGACTCTGAAAGCCTTTATTGGGACGAGTGGTTGCTAGCTGACTTGATAGAGAGCGGAGAAGTTGTAAGGGAAGACTGACTGGGATGCATTGATATCCACACATTACTCTAATTCTTGGACTCTCTGGAACAAGGACACATGCTTTCAACAATTTGGACTGGAAAACAGGGAAATATACAAAAAGCGCCAGAATCTGTATCAAGATTTGAGCTGCTTCCTCATACACCGGTGCAGTGGCATGGAAATTGCCAGAGATAGCAATCGACAATTTCACAGCATACACGTGATGATGGCGCTCCCGATTCCTCCACGACAGTCGCTGGCAGATGGCACAAGCACGTGTTGTCTTCGCGAGGCATCATCACCATTACGAGCGTGCACGGACAAACAGCTGCCATCTATCACGAGCTCTCCACGCGCCTTCACCGCATCCACGACGCTGTCACATGCTTCTCACTTCTCGCAGTGCTTCTAGATCCCTTCAAAGGCCACCATAATGGAGACAATAGCATCCATTCTCGCGACAATAGCAACAACAGCACCGCCAGACTGAAAGCGAAATGGAGAACTCCTGGGGCGGAAGAATCCCCGACGAGTACTTCTCCAGCATCCACGAGGAGATTCTTCATGGCCGCAACAAGAACCCGCAAGCAGCTTGCAGATTTGCCGAACACCTTCTCGAGGTAACATGTCAACTGCACACCATATCGGACTTTTCACTCACTAACGCCCTAATAGTACGAATACCTCCCAATCCACATCCGCGCCTCGTGTCATATGCTACTTAGCCGTGGAGCCGGCCATGCAGGAGTTCTCGACATCGGCCATGCAAAGGAAGCGTACCGCCTACTCGAGCAATTCACATACGCCAACTACAAACACATCTCCGACGAGGACTGGAAGAACCGCATGCACTGGATGTACAAGATGAGAAGGGCAATTCAGAATCGGCAAACGGAGATCAGGAAGCAAGAGGAGCAGGCGAAGGGAGAAAAGATAACAAAAAAGTTGAATAGGAGAGTCTACATGCACACGAACGAGCAGGGAAAGACGGAATTTGGCATGAAGGAATTTGGAATCGGAAGCGGGGATCGGGGTGGATGTCGGGGTATGGGCCTCGAGGACCCGTTTGTCGATATTCCTTCGACGGAGATGGCCGCAAACGAAGAGGAAGGATGGAATACCGCATCGGCTCGAATCAGCACGCCTCCTCCACCCGAGTCTCAGGCCTCAGAACCGGACGACATTCTGACCTCGCGCTGCAACTTCCTATCAAGCGAACAGGTCACGCCACCAGCACCACTATTCGCGACACGGAAGACAGCCTCATCAAGTCACAGCTCTCTTCGGCCTTTCCATCGACCTCAGACTCCGCGCACAGTGCCAACACACGAGGCTACATACTCACATACGCGGAGCATCTCTCTCTCCCACCCCAGCACACCAACACCGCAACAACCCCTCCGTAAGTCCAGCACGCGTGAAACCACCAAACCTCCAGCCTCCACACTCCCTCCGTCACGTACATCCCATCTGTGTCATCCACCCGGATCCTGTACTCCCTCACCAACCCGTCAACCTCCCAGCATACCACCACGCACAGCAAAACTTCCTAAAACATTGACCCCAAGTCCTCCCTCAGGAACTCCAAATCCACCACGCCGCACGAGGGAGACGAGTTGGAGGGACGCTCCCAACCCCATTACTGCTCTGCTCAAGGAGTTAGAAGCGAAGGGGGAGGCGCTTCGGAAGTGGATTTAGGCGAGAGGGAACGGGAGAGTACGCGAGATTTTTCAGATCCGATTTTACGACAACGCAGAGCTAGAACAATAGTGCAGATTGTATGTATGGTATCAGGACAAAGTAGCGGGCATGACTGGAATGAGACGAGCACGCTTGGCGTAGAAAGCTACTTGAGGGAGACTATCGCAGGACTCCTCACGACAACGATAAAAAGTGTATTCAGGCCTGCACAAACAGAGGCCTCAGGTCGTTTGCAAGCAGGTAAGCATCCATTTCACGTGATATCGGGTGTCTCAAAAACTTCATCATTATCTCTCGCGCGGTAAATCCAACGACCTCCTACCTATACTCTTCCCGAAGCACCCACTTGCCCCTACCCCGACCGCCCTTCTCCAGGACCGCGATCTGCTTCAACATTTCCTTGAACTCGGCCGTCCGCTCTGGCGTGCCACAGAACCGATTGAAATGATCAATCAGCATCTGAGTGTATGCAGATCCCTGTTGAGCGATAAGGTAGTCGCGAATAAGTCTGATGAAGTCTTTGCCCTTCGGCTGATTCTCCGCTCTGGCGATCCGACCGCCCCGACCGGCAGGCGTAGAGGCTCGGCTGGAAGATGGCGAAGAGGCAGCGGCGCCCGTGGCATTGAGATTGCGACTCGAGAGATTGGAGAGTACGGAGGAGGAGGATGGGCCGCCACGACCAGATGCACCTCCTCTACCTCCGCGCAAGCCCATGCCGCCGCGACGAGGAGGTGACGGATCGCGACCAGCGCTGCCATGCTGTCCGGTCCAAGTCACGCTACCAGCAGGCAGAGAGCGGGCGATCTCGCCAGCTCGCTGAAGTTCCTTTGCAGCTTCAGCAGCCACGCGCTTCGCTTCGCGGTTGATCATCTCGGGGTCAGCGCGGACGGTCTTGCGGCCATTAATAATCGCGTCGTGGTCCTGGGCAGCTTGCACGCCTGTGCGAGAGAAAATGGAAGACAAGACTCGGTCGTCGCGATTCTCATCATTCCCAGGCTTCTCTTCGTTGTCTTCGCCGCGAAAATCCTCTTGTCGAGAAACTCCGGCCACATCGTTGATCTCGGCACCGTCTCGATCTTTTTCATTCTCTTCAGGACGTGTGGGTAGACCTCGATCCTGCTTGCCCTTCGCACCAGAGAGCTTGACCTCGGTGCCTTTAAAGATACTACCAGTCTCCGTCTCACCGCTCTGCATTGGATCGCCGAGAGTGAACAGATCATGCAAATCTCGCAGCTGGAAGGTTTGTCGCTGCTTCGGATCCCGTAAGATCTTGTTCGTTAAGAATTGCTTGAAGATTTGGCGATGGTATATCTTCTCTTCAATAGTGCCGGCAGTCATGAGACGATAGATCTGCACTTCTCGCTTCTGACCAAGTCGCCATGCACGCTCTCGCGCTTGGATGTCTGTCGATGGATTCCAGTCCGGGTCGTAGATGATGACTCGATCCGCGCCTGTCAAGTTGACACCGAGTCCGCCAACCTTTGTCGTCAACAGAAAGACATGTAAATTGGGGTCTTTATTGAACTCGTCAACAAGATCTTGACGGTCCCTGATTGACGTGTTCCCGTCCATACGGCGATAGCTGAAGCCAGGCATTGCCTGGACGAACTTCTCCAGAATGTCAAGCATGATCCGATGCTGAGCGAAGAGTAGCGTCTTGTGGCTGCCCCGCTTCCAGATTTCCAAGAGAGCCTTGACGACCTGCATCTTGCCTGACTTCGCCCCGTGTCCGTAATCATAATTTGTCTTCTTCGACAGTGTCTTGTGCTCGGCGAGATCGGGGTGGTTGCAAATCTTGCGCAGTATGTCAACGCCGTATAGCGCTTGTCGCTTCCCTGCCATGATTGACTTCATCTCTTCTGAATTCAGGAACCACTGATACGCATCTCGCTGCAATTTTGTAAGCTTGCAGAAGAGCACTCGCTCGCTCTTCTTCGGCAGATCCGCGGCGACATCAGCTTTGAAGCGCTGCAGCAGGTACGGCGAGATGGTGTCTTTCAACGTCTCGGCACATTTCATCGCCGTCTCGACTTGTAAGTTTGAAGCATTCGCGTAGCCACCTTGCTTGATAGGAATCTCGAATTGGCTCTTGAAATTGATCAACGTGCCAAGTCGCATTGGGAAGACGAAGTCAAACAGCGACCACAATTCGGTTAGGTTGTTTTGCATGGGCGTGCCTGAGAGAATGACACGGTTGTGCGTTCGAAGCTCCTTGCAGTAGATCGTGATCGCTGTGTTGGGGTTTCGAATCTTGTGACCTTCGTCCAGTACTGCATACTCCCAGTCAATTGGAATGAGCAGGTCGGCGTAAGTCTGAAGACCAGAGTAGGTCGTAACAAGCACGTGCCCATCACGGAGTACTTTGTCAACAATACGTTTTGCGGATTTGTGGCCTTTGCTTTGAGTAGGCTTGCCGGCAAAGTCATCATCCTCGAGGTCATCCTCGATGCGTGCTTCGCGTCGCACATCCAGCATGCCGCTCCCAGAAGTATGTAAGATGGAGACACGCAGCGCAGGCCACCATCGATGGAACTCATTGACCCACTGCTTCATGACGGTGGCGGGACAGACGACGATTACCGGCTTCGACAGCTTGCCCGAGTAGTGCAGCCCGGCCAAGAATGATATGACTTGAATCGTCTTGCCCAAACCCATCTCGTCGCCGATGATTCCACCGACCTGTTGAGAGTACAGCTCCCAAAGCCACTGCACTCCGGTCTTCTGATAGTCGAACAAGGAAGGGTAGATGTCTCCGGGTATTCGCAAGCCACCCTCAAACAAAGCATCTGTCCTGCTTGGATGAGGCATGTGCCACTCTTCCTTGACTTCTTCAGCCTGCTCGAGTGCAGGGTCTGCCGCATCCTCAAGGTTGACGTATCCCGGATCACCTTCTTCTGCTTGGGATGCCGCTCGTTGCTCCTTCACTCGCCGCCTCGCAGCACTACGACGCTTCACCCAGCTCTGCAGCCGCACCTCATAAACATGTTCGTTGCCATCATCAATGCCTGCAAGGTCTTCTTGGTCGTCGTCAGCGTCGTGCACGGCTTCCTGCTTCTTGCCCCGCTTTCGCTTGATGCCAGGAGTGGTCTCGAACGGCAGCTCATCTTCTGCTTCCTGATCATCGAGATCGTGGAGGGCTCGATCTGGAACGTAAGCATCCGAGTCGTCCCCTGGGGCGCTGGCTTCTGGTGAAGCAGCTTTCGCCTGTCGTCGATTCTGAAGTCGTCTCCGCTTCGCAGGCCGCTCAGAAGCAAACTCCTCATCCTGCAGTCTGCGCGCCAAAGCTGCATCGTCTTCAGTCTCACCTGCAGCGCTGGTGGCAGCGCTCTCATCCTGCTCAAAACCTGGCGCAAGCAAATTCCGATGTGATATAGGCTCAGCTCGAATCTCTTCCTGCAGTGAGACATCCTCATCTTCGCCCTCGCCCTCCTCTTCTTCTTCCGCATCGAGCAGAATGTCTCCTAGGCTCGATGAAGTCTTCAGTAGCTGCTTTCCCTTCTTGGAGAAGGGCGTGATCTTGCCAGTCCGGATAAGGAACTCGCGTTGACTCTCGCCGGGCATACGCTTGTTGCCCGCGTTGTCTTCCGTGGCTCCATCGGACGTCCTCTGCTCTTTTTTGCGATCATCGATGCGCTTCTGGATCTGTTCAAGGTCCTTGTCGAGGGGGGCGATCAGAGCTTCGTAGTGGGCGATCTCTGAACGGTACTTGTCTTTCGTAGGCTTATTGCCGAACTCGCTCAGCTTCTTGTCCAGCACATCGATACCAGCTTGCAGTCTTTCCCTCTCTTTCCGCGTCTTCTCCAATCGTTTCTTGTCGCGCTCATCTGCCTGCTCCTGCAGTAGCTGGTCCGCTTGGCGACCGATGTCTCGCTCTAGGTCGTCTTGATCGCGCACGCCAGCTGCAAGCGCTGCTAATTGCGCCTCCTCGTCGCCCTCAATCGTGTTGTCATCGGGGATAGAGTCGGAGTTCTGCGCATACTCGGCGGGCTCCTCTGAGGGACCCGCAACCGGTGCTTTGTCTTGCCCGGATAGGACAGAAGGGGGAACGACGTCTCCATCTCCTTGCGGAGACGCCATGGTGGTATCACTGGCAGGACAAGAACTGTATGTCCGGCATCAAGAGAAGAGATCAAGTGGAGTAAGAGACAGTCGAAAGGTACTCAACGGTAGGGCGAAAGATAGTCTGCCCAGGCATCACTGTGGCGCGTGAGCATAGAATTCTACCTGGTAAGTAAGTAGTCTCGATGTTGCAGTATCCGGTGTTGCGATATGTTGTCGTCCGTGGGTTCGTCGAGGGAGACAAAGAACAGCATTGGAAGCCTTTTCCGAGAACCGAGATCAGATGAATCGAGTGCATGTGCTTGTTCAATTGTCCCAACTCGTGGATGACGCGCCTGCACGCGCACAGGCCATCTCACACCTCGGCTTCAACGGCTGCCTCAGCTTATAAATCAACGATAACGTTCCGCCGATTTCAGGTCTTAACTCATTGGGACTAGCCCTAAAGCTCCGTTGGCGACTCCCTTTCTTCAATCTCCTCCATCTCAACATGATCGATCGTAAACTTTTACATCCTCTGCACGAGAGCGAGAGCATCCGCTCAACATAGCAAATACAATGTTCATCTATCATCGCCGCTTCGATCTTCTCATCATCACTTCAGGGCGTTCTCCAAAGCACGAGCGATCGAGATACACCTGCAACACACGTTTCCATACTCCGGAGGTCTGCATTAGCAATCTAATCCCGCAAAGAACCCTTTCTCACAAGAATCAGACTGGTCCGTCTAGTCCTGAACGTCGAATATACATGGTCTAGGACTGGAACAGGAAGGGTTCGCTTCAAACTCCCTGACTCACTTTCGCGGCTGCACATTGAAAAGGGGTCTGCTAGACACGCGCTTCGCGTCAAGACATGCGACTTGATACGCGCTCTACTCGATATCTCACCCAAAATTCGGATCTGACTGCAAGTGGACGTTTCCACCTTCAATTCCATATTCACTCCGGATTCTACATGACAACTGCCCCTCCAAGTCACACTGGATGGCATACCATCGCCTGAGCCACCAGCAACGAAACGAATCCCGGGTTCTCCCTCGACATACGGAGGGCGAAAATTGAATCAAATGCATGCGGTAATTCAACAAGAGATACTGTTCAGCTGATCTGGACTTGTAGAGATCTCAACATCGGTTCTACAAACCATTCACCCAAAAGCCTACTCAAAGCTAACTACTTCCCCGCGCCATCCCTCATATAAGCCTCCATATGCTCCTTCAAAATCTCCTGCTGATCCTCCCCGATAGTCTCTATTGTGTCCAACCCCAAATGTAATCCCAGCTCCGCATAATCCTTCAACCAAAGCCCCGACGCATCCCTAGGATACTGGCTCCTAAAGCCTAAATACCTCTGTCCTCGCCTCGAAAGTTTCTTCGCTGTCTCTAGAGTAACAGTGAAGGGATGTGCTTCAGTGGGAGTAAGGAACCCAGCGACCGTGGACATCTGGATACATTTTCTCTCCGTGGAGGTGCTGTTCTCGCCCATTCCATGGACCACTTTGCCGCTGAAGAAGAGACAGTCGCCCGCTTTCAGGAGAGCTGGGATGGATTGGTCGATTCTACCGCGCTGATCGTAGGACCATTTGTTACTTCCCGGAATGAGACGGGTGGCTCCATTTTCTTCCGTGAAATCCGTGAGGGCTACGAGGAAATTGACAACGGCTTCCGTGCTCTCCGGTCCAAGCAAGACATACGGCGGACTCTGCTCCAGATCTCTATGCAGCGTCTGAGCCGCTTGTGGGCCTGCTGCATTTAAGGTCGAAGCTGCCGAGAGCCAATAAGTCCCTGCATGTCCGCCTTGCGTGAAGACATGTTTGAGCAAGGAATGCAAAAAGTCGTTTTCGATGAATTTCTCTCGAAAGACGGCGCTGTGGTTGACGAGATCGCCAGCTCGTTTTGTTTTCCGGCCATGAAAAGCTTGAAGGTCTTCGTGCGGGATGAGAGAGCCTCGTTGGACGGTTTGGAGGATGGGCTCGAGTTCGGTTTGGAGTTGGGAGAGTTGTCCGGGGGAGAGGAGATTCTTGATGATGACTGCCCCGTCTTCGTTCCAGTGCTCGAAGATTTCCGGCAGAGGAGTCTGGACGCTGAGTTCTTTGAGGGAGGTGTGGCCGTTGGACTCTGCCGTCTGGGGTATATCTTTGGGTATCCGCCACATGACGAGAAGGTGTTTGGCACAGCAGTCGTGGAGGCAAGACCTCCGGCGTATCACGCAAAGAGAACGGTATCAATCGTGCGGTCTTCTGAGCTTTTCGAACGACTATTCCTCCCAGCTCGCTTGCGACTACAACGCAGCCCCAGACTCCGAAGCGATCCTATGTTGCATTCGGACTTCGGCAACTTTTTCGTTCTCTCGCCCGGTTCCTTGGCCTCTGTACGTCAGCTGAAGTCGGTATATGCCTTCTTTCGACACACTCCAGGTCCCTGACCCCTACCTACTAGTGGACCCCACCGCTGCTGAACATGATCCTCCGCCCGTGTGTATGCATTTTAGTGTCCGGGGTTAAGGTAGCGAACACGAGGTTCCGCTAGGGTTCGGATCCACCGACCGGGGGGCTCGATCCCACGGTAGGTAGTAGTGGATCAGATGAGCAACAACATGACAACATGGATGAGTCGTTAGCTCCTCTTGCAAAGCTAGGTGCTGACGGGGGTAGAGATTCCTACAGTACCGAAACATCCGCGGGAATTAGGTACTTGTTAAGCGAAGGACGTACCGCGGTAGGGGCCGACCTTAAGCGACGGGGGTGATTCGGAGCGCTACCTAGTTGTCCTGGAGCTTACGAAGGGCTAGAATGTTAGCGAACGAGTAGACAGCATCCCCTAAGCGTCCCGTAGCGTTTAATATAATGATTAAGAAGGAAAGAAAGGGGGGTCTAAGGGTCTCTCCTAGTAATAAAGTACTACGTAGTAGCTACTAGAGATAGAGGGAGTAGCGTAGTAAGTATAGTAGATATAGTAGAGCGTAGTAAATATAGTAAATATATTATACTTATAGATAAACCTTAATTCTATATTAGAGTAAATAATTAAGCTGACTAGCTAAAAATATTTTATAAAATTACTAATTAGCTAGAATTATCTATATACTTAAATACTTTATATATAGTAGTAGTAACGACCTGTTACCTAATCTATATTTACTACTTTAAGTCAAGTTATAGTATATCTAGTATAGCTATTTAGTTAAAAGTATATACGCTATCTTAGTTAAGGGCTATTACTAATACCTAATCTAGACGAGCTTATAGTATAATAGAGTAGAAAAGTATTCTCGAATAGGCGAGAATTTTTAAGTAATAGAAACGGTTGGTCCCGATACAACTGGAATAGCGATTGTGCAATTTCGCGGCTAAGGAATCGACAATTTTGGCGAGAGAGCAGACACAGGTACCGGTGCTCTGATCGACCACAGCGCCTTTGCATTACATAGCTGTTCAATCTGTAGCGTCCTTGCTAGACAACGTCTTCAGACGCAGACGCAGGCCTCCCTCAGGATTGATAGTGATGACGCCAGACAATGGAATATCGCCGTCCGTCTCGAGCGTCCATTCGAAGCGCATCGCAAGTGCAGCAGTCAGACATCGCAACTCTGCCCTCGCAAAGTTCTGTCCAATACAGTTCCGCGGCCCATGGAGGAATGGCAGGTAATCAACATTGCTCTTCATGCCGCCGCTCGGATCGAGCTTCTGCTGTCCATCTTCATTGCGTATCCAGCGCTCAGGCTGGAATTGATCCGCTTCCGGGCCCCAGACTTCTTTTGACCTCTGGATGAGCCAGGGCGAGAGGTAGACTGTTGTGCCCGCTGGGATATGGAATCCCGCCAGAGTGGTGTCTCGAACGGCTACGCGCTGCGTCACGGGAACGTTCGGGTACAGACGCAATGTCTCGTTGATGACGCCGTTGAGGTATGGCAGTCCTTCCAGGATGCTCGCGAGATCATTCTGGCTGTCCACGTCGGAAAAACCGCCCAGAGCATCCCTAATCTCGCTTCGGAGTAAGCTTTGTCGACGAGCGTCTCGGGCGAGCAGGTAGTAGATCCAATTGATTGCGCCGGCAGTGGTCTCTTGCCTGCGGGGTGCAACCATCAGTGGATGCGGGTTGACATGCAAAGGTAATGTGAGGTTGTATCATTTGCACTCACCCTGCGACCAGGTACGTCAACAGTTGTGAAGCAATCTCATAGTCGGTGAAATGACCAGACTGTATCATATGGGATGCGAGGTCGGCGCTCTCGGGGTCGGTTCGCAGCTGCTTCCGCTTCTCTTCTACAAGCTGGAGACACAGCTTCTCCAGTGCCGCAGAAGTCCTGACAGCTTGCTGATACAGGGGGTAGGTAACGTATTTGCTGACCCAAGATGGCGAGTAGAAGGTCAAAGCCACGTAGACAGTGGTAGATGCTGTCGGTTTCAGGAAGAATTCCAGCAGAGATCTCAAGTGGTCGAAGGCGCGATCGCTGGATGTCTCGTGCGCCCTACCGAATACCTTTGGGAGAACAAGATTAGCGGATGTGTTTGTTGAACAAGTAGATTGCAGAGACGGGCAGAGATGGCAAGACGACTTACCGTTGTCCCAATTACCTTGAACGTGCTTTCATTCGTCAGATCGGAAAGCTCAACAGTCCCAGTCAAGGTGCCATCGTTCTCCGGCACGATGTTGTTGAAGTTGGCTTCGACGGCGCTTGCGAAATGTGATGCCTGTCGCCACATCAAAGGATAGAGATTCTTGATAGCACGAAAGCTGAAATGAGGCAGACTGCGTTTCTTCAGAGACTTGTGCTGGTCTCCACTCACAGTGAACAAGCCATCCAGAGTCAGAATCTTGAAGAATCCTTGCAGGGCCGTCGACCTCTGAAAGTCACTTGCGCGGGAAACGAGCAGCTCGGTCAAGATGGAAGGCCGGGTGATGAGCAGCGTCAGGCTTGATGGCTCTCGCAAGGCTAATAGTCCGTCATTTGGGGTCTCTGTTGCAATGTGGGAGAGAAGTTCGGCGGGCGTCTTTTGGAGTACGAGCTGGTTGTATAAGTTTCGCGACAGCCAACGCTAATAGTCACACGATTAGCATACGCTCAGAGCTATCCACTGCCAGCAGATCTTGCCTGAGCTCTTGGCACATGGCGAAGAGGGTTGATGAATTCCGGATGCAGAAGGATCGAGTACAAGCTGAAAGCCAGGCATAAAACGGCAAGTAGGCGGAACGTAGTCCAACTCCATTCGTTTTCTGGCGACGCCTGAGCGTTGTCGAAGCTGGCTTGAACAATTGGTATTGAGCCGAGGCTCGTTGAGAGGGCTGCAATGATGGTGCGAAAGGTCATTGTTCTGCGAACGCTCGATAATCTGATTGAGAGAAGACACGGACCGACCTCCTTAGATAGATATATACTGACTTAGACTACCTCCAATCAGGCGCTTCGCCGGAGAATCCTTTCCCCGCTAGCGAGGGCTTCTTACCAGGTAAGGAGAAGTTGGGCCGAATTAATAGGTACGCCGAGTACAGAAAGTCAAATATCTCGATACCTACGTTAAAATCGTAAAGTCCCTACGGTAGATAGCTAGGAAATTCAGTTAAACATAAGATAAATCTAAACTTCGAATCTTGTTTATTAATATTATCTCTAGTAATTTCTATTTGTTTTACGTTAAATTTTAAAACGTAATATTCGTTATTAGTATACTAGTATTAGTAGTCTATATAGATAGAGAAGGAAAAGAAATAATAGATTCCCCAATTAAGTTATACCTAGTAGTAGTATCCGTAGAGTAAAGGTAGGACTACTCGGCTACCCTAAGATCTGCCGGGACACCGATGGGCGGGCCGGTTCATTCCCGCGCTCCACAAGGCGTCCTATGGATCTTCTTCGTCTCCAATTTCGGCCTTTCTTAGTAGATTTAGTAAGTTGACAGATCGTATGCAACCTTCCGCGCCCTTGTTGATGCGCATTGTGTCGGCATTTGTGCGGTCTCCACCTCGCATCGTGTCATGCACAGCCATACATAACCGTGCATCCGGTGAGTGCCCCTTACCTGCCCACCAAACCGGACCTTAGTGCCGTTTGCCGTTGTCGCACAGCAACTCGGAAGCTTCCATCTCCCGTCCATCGCAGACCTTTCCGAGTCTCGACGGCAGCACACATTGTCAAGACTGTCTGCCACATGCCCGACGGCCTGAGTGAGGACAAGTGCTCCATCTCTCCCCCTCGGCTGGTCGGCTATGGAAGACGTGAAAGGTCTGGACCCGGCTCGGGATGGCGTCGACGGCAACATCGTCGCTGGCAATAACGAGGCCAAGCCAGCTTCAGAAGCTCACATCGACGGTATCGAGGATGCGTCGCCATCGACACCACCACCGGCTGGCAAGTCATGGCGCTTCAAGCTCGCCTTCCTGGGCCTTGCTTGTATCGATTTTGTCTTCCAATTCGATGCTACAGCGCTCGGCGTAGCACTGCCGGTATGTTGATGGCCTCCTTTTCCCATCTCTTGCTCTGATACACGGGCTCACCTTTCCACTAGACAGTCGCCCACGCACTCGGAGGAACCACAACACAGTCCTTGTTCGCTAACATCAGCTACCTCCTCTGCGTCGTCGTAGCAACACCCATCTGGACGAGTGTCTCCGATGTCCAGGGTCGCAAGCCACTTTTGCTCGCCGCTGCAGCCTTCTTCTTCGTCGGATCAATCGTCTTCGCCGTCGCGCAGGACATGCCCACCTTGATTGCGGGTCGAGTACTCCAAGGGATCGGAGGGGGCGGCATCAATGTTCTGGTGGAAACGATCGTGGCAGACATGACAACGCTGAAAGAGCGTTCGTTCTGGCTGGGTATCATGGGCGTCCCGATTGCGACGGGCAACGTGCTGGGCACCCCTCTGGGTGGCGTCCTCGCGGGTGCGGACTGGAGGTGGCTAGGATGGATCAACTTGCCTTTCATTGGCGTCGGCTTTCCCCTCGTGCTGGTCTTCCTACGCCTCCGATCTGTCGTCGGTGATGAGTCCCCTTGGCAAAGACTGCGAGGCCTAGACTGGATCGGCATGCTCGGCTTCAGTGGTGCAATCATCTCGCTGGTCCTCGCTCTTGGCTGCGCGGGTGAGCTGTATCCATGGGACGCCTGGGAGACTTTGTTTCCACTGCTACTAGGCGTGGCACTTCTTCTGGCCTTTGCATTCTACGAAAGATATCCGACTTCACCCATCGTTCCCCACCGAATCTATCGTCCACGAACAGCATGGGTGACACTATTATGTGGCTTCCTACAAGGACTGGCAATGTTCTCCATCCTGCAATACCTGCCCTTGTTCTATCAGTCTGCCGCTCTCCTGCCAATCCTGAAAATGGTGGTCTATCTCCTACCCTCAGCGTTCGCCAGCATCTTCCTCTCGCTAGCCGCAATGCTGCTGGTCGGTCCTGTCGGACAAGGCTATCGGTACTTCATATGGGCACTTTGGGTCATCGCAACGCTCGGAACTGGTCTCCTCTGTCTTCTAGGCCCAGGCTCATCGACCGGAATGCTCATCGGGATCCCGATCATCTGGTCGTCGGGCGTGACAGCCTTACGTATGCTCATGCTACCACTCCAAGCCAGCGTAACGCACATCGACGACACCAACCTCGCGATCGGGCAACTCCTGACCTTGCGACTCTTCGGCGGCGTCGTCGGCCTCGCGATAGCATCAGGTACTTTTGGCTCGGTCTTCTCCGCATCGATCTCGAAACTCGGAGCTCTGACGGGCCCTCTGAGTGTCTTGAACGATTCGAGCAAAGCCATAGAGTTCATCCCCGAGCTGAGGAAGATCGACGTGCCAGCCGAAGCGCTTCGAGATGTTTTGAAAATCTACGCAAAGGCTTTCCATACTGTCGTCTACATCATGACGGGGCTCGCGGGCTTGGGACTTCTTGCGTCGTTCTTCATGGAAGAGTTGGAGATGCAGAAGGAAGAGCTGGGTCAGCAGCGGTTTGAAGACAAGGCTCCAACCACAACAACAACAACAACAATATAGTCTCTCTCTGTAACTGAGTCCAGTACTCTTGAGCCAACGCTTGTTCTCATCGCAATCTATCATGAACGAGCCACTTTTTCAGGGTTTGAATCAAACAGGACATCTCTGCACTTTTGCGGTAGCACAATGCTTGGGAGTAGCTCCGAGCCCAGAGACAAAGTTCATAACATACGCAATTACTCGAAGCCAAAAAGTACGACAACAATCTAACTGACGAAATACCACCCAGCGACTCTCCGCAGCTAGCTACTACCGCTCAGAAACACAAAAACCAGCCTACCGAGCCATCAGAGCATAAGCCTGCTGCGCCGCAACCGGAACCTTATTCTCCTTAACCCCATCCTCAATCTCAATCATCTCCCTCGCCCAATCGCCCACCGTATTGGCCAAATGCTCGACTTCCCTTTCCGTATTAGCAGCATGGAACATCAGCCGGATCCTCCCCTGGCCCTTGGGGACGGTGGGGTAATCGACCGGCAGGGCGGAGATGCCGGCCAGCTGGAGGTGGAAGACGAGGAACCAGTTGTAGCGCTGGCGGGTCCACAGGGGGACGATGTGCGCGTGCCAGTCGGTGGTCTCCCAGTCTTCCGCCACGGGGATGGAGAGGATTCCCGTGTCGGTTGCTCGTGTCCAGATGGGGTGGGCGGTTATTGTGGCGAAGAAGTGTTTTACTAGGTGTTGGATTCGGCTTTGAGGCTGTGGGTTGGGAGTGGGATGGTGAGTCTTCTCTCTCTCTCTCTCTCTCTGGCTTCTTTGTGTTTTTGGGGGATGTTGCTTACCTCCTGAGTAGCTCCTGTCCGGAGGAGTCTGTAGGCTGAGCGAACCGCTGCTGCTGCGGGGAACGAGGGCGCGGTGGTGTAGATGACACAGCGGGCGAAGTTGATGAGAGTCCGACGGACGGTGTCGCTGCCGAGGATGAAGGCTGGTAGAGAGATTACGGTCAGTATGGATAACAATTCCGACTATTGTGTGCGGATTTCCTGACCTCCGGAAGATCCCAAGGCTTTACCACAAGTATGCAGACGCACGGCAATCTCCTTCTCCAGGCCCAGGGCGCTGACGAGACCTACGCCGTTTGGACCGAGAATCCCAGTCTATCACGATCTATCGTCAGTACGTTCAAACACTCCAAATGGTCGGGAATAGACGTACAGCGTGGGCCTCGTCGACGATGAAGACGGCATTTCCCTTGGGGAAGATCTCTTTCGCGACCTCCACGAGCTCTTTCAGGGGGCAGACATCGCCATCTGTTGTCGAAAAGTGTGATCAGCAGAAAGCTTTTGAGGTAGGTGGGATGAATTCTATCGAGCTTACCCATGCTGTACACCGACTCCACCGAGACCAGAACACACCTCGACCCATCCCGGACCATGGGATAAGAGTCGTGCGCAGAAGTCATCACATCGCGAAAAGCATCGAGATCGTTGTGCCGGAACTGCAATTTCGTAGCGGCAAGCGAGTGCGCCATGCCTATCCGTTACACAAAGACCATCAATCAGCGAACGCACCCCAACACTGGCCGCTGGAAGCCCAACTGGAACTCACCATCATGCGTACTCGCATGCACCAACTCATCATAGACAACCACATCCCCCGGCCTCGGCAGCGCCGTATAAATCGCCATATTCGCCTCGAACCCCGAATTCACCATCAGCGCCGCCTCCGCGCCATGGAATTCCGCAACTTCCCGCTCCGTCTGCTCCAAGTACGCATAATTCCCATCCATAATCCGCGTGCCCCCGGCGTACATCTGAAAGTCCGGGTGCGCCGCCAGCTCCGCCAGGAAGGCCTCGCGGATCGCGCCCGTCCGGCCCAGCGAGAGCAGGTCGTTGGAGCAGAAGTCGATGGATGCGCCGGATTTCCAGGCCGCGATCAGCGGCGGGAACATGGCGTGGGAGGCGCGCTTCACGTCGAGGGATTCTTCTAGGTTGCGGGTGAAGGTTGGGGCGGACTTCATGGAGGGGCCGAGGGGTTTTTGGGATTTCATCCAGGAGGAGATGAAGTCTGCGCCTGCGGCCATTGTGTTGTGTTGGGTTGGTTTGAGGTTTGAGAAGAGTGTGGAATGATTTGTTTTTTTTTTGTTTTTTCCTTGATTGATAGATTGGAATAACAACAACAGGCAACTGACGGAAGAGAGAAAGATGGGAAATAGAGGCGATGCTGGCTTGCCTTGGGGTGTTCAGACGACACGAGACGAGCCTGGCCTCCTCCACCTCGACACGGAGCCGACCTCGTGGCAGCCATTGATATCTCCAGTGAACCAAGCAGACGGCATACTGAACTGATACAAGCGCCGTAGATGATCCAGCTTCCCATCCGCCGGGGTATATCATCAATACAGAATACAGTATGCACTAAAGGGACCTGGTCCTTCTCAGACACGGCGCCCGGAACACCCTTCTCCCCGGGCCCCGAGATGCGCCAGCATATATGTTCGTATGTAGATAATGTTGAGCCCGCTTGGCTTGGCGCGGATACCGGGGAATGCCTACTAAGAGTACCACACCAACTCGGTAAATTATTCGGTGTCTTGGCGACGAGCTACGATACGAGTATCTCGCACCAAACTGCATCAGGCCCTTGGGGGCTGCCGGATTGGGACTAGGTCGTCGGCTCGGGTGTGACTTGGGGGGGGTCAGGGATACCCCAGAATCCTCCAGGTTTGGGAAGTACGACCTTAACAAACCTGGTCTGGGCCCGCAGAAGGGCGTGAGTCCGTCGTTTTGCATGTGAAATTGTTGTTGTTGTTGTTGTTATTTGACAGCATAGGTGCTTACGGTGGATAGCTGGGCCGCCGGATAGGAGATGGATATCTAGCGGAGCAACCAAGGCTAAGGTAGTATGCCCCCCTCCCTCCCCCCCCCCGTTCAGCGCGGGAGTTGAGTAGATCCGGCCAAAACTCCAATTGTCGGAAAAGCCCTCCCAAAAATGAAGAGCCAACTTGATTTGCACGGCAAGGTGAGCCAGCCAGCAAGGAGTAAATCGGGTGTCAAGTCAAGTCAAGTCGAAAAGTCCTTCCAACTGACAATACATCTCCAGACAGCCTTCATAACCGGCGGCTCCGGAGGCCTCGGATCCGCCATCGCAGAATCCCTCGCCCTTCGAGGCGCGCACATCACACTCTTCTCCCGTCGTCAAGGCCCCTTGGACCAAGCCAGAGCGCATCTTTCTTCCCGTTGCCCGGATCCCGAGCAAGAAATCAACGCCTTTGCCGTCGATCTGGGAGATGCAGTCCAAGTCGACCACGCTTTCCGCTCCCAGTCCCGGATTCCAGACCTGCTGTATTGCACGGCAGGAGGCAACCATGCCGAGAATGGCTTCTTCGCGGATATACCTGCCGGAGCGTTGGAGGGTTGTATGCGGAACAACTACTTCTCCTCTGCGTTCGCAGCGAAAGCGGCGTTGGATATTTGGCTGGAGGATGATAAGCGCGGGACCAGGGGTAGGGAGGAGGAGAAGAAGGTGAGGAAGATCATCTTCATCAGCAGCGCGGCTGCCTTTGTGTGTTTGCCTGGTTCGGTGGCGTATTCTCGTAAGTCGAGTCCGACTCTCCGAGGTGTCGTTTGATGCTATTGCTAATTAGTGATGGTGGGGCTGCAGCGGCGAAATGTGCTCAGCGTGCGTTGGCTGATACGCTGCGCATGGAGCTGCTGAGGCATAATTCTGCGCAGTCCCATTACTCTGTTCATTGCGCTTTTCCCGGTCAGAACTCACCCACCCACCCACCAGCCAGTCGGAATCTGAGCTGACATCCTGCAGCCGACTTCGTATCCCCCGGCTTCCTCGCGGAGCAAAAAACCAAGACTGCCCTTACCAAACGCATCCAAGGCCTCGACGCACCCCCCTCCGAACTAGTGTCCCGCTTTCCTACTTCAGAGAAAGTGGCCAGCCTCATCATCGCGGCTGTGGATAGAGGAGACTTCACCATCTGCGAGGACTCGCCTGCTGCTTCGGCGTTATTCACGGCGATGACGGGACCCTCGCCGAAGAGAGGATGGGGAATTGCGGACGGACTGCTTTCCATCGTCGTGAATTGGTTTGTATGGCCTTTTCTGAGGTGGAAGTGGGAAGGGATGGTGAAGGACGATGCAAAGACCGCGGGTCGCGGGGAGAGTTCGGTGACTTAGGTTGGAGGGACAGGTTTGAAGGGAAACTTGTTGGGAGTCGGATTTGAGGAAGGCGGCATGCTGCATCGAAGAGCAGGAGCGTGGGGGATGTTGATCCAGAAAGTCGCAATGACGCTGTCAGTCAGCGGGTATTGAAAGTCTGTGCGTTGCAGCGTCGAAACCTTCGTCAGAGCTTCAGAAGTCTTTTGCTTGGGGCGTCATGTTTGTTCAATGACGATGAAAATGCTTCTTTACTAGAGGATCTTGTGCGTCAGGACGCGGGAAAAACTCATCTGATCTCCGGAGCCGTTCCATATTGCGACTTGGTCCTCTTCATCACAGCTGTGATGGCGTGCCGTATCGCAGTGCCGGCCTTCTCCGTTTCCTTCTTTGACAAGGCCGCACTTGCGGAGACCTTGAGTGTTGGCTCGGGCTGGTACTCCCTGGCTGCGTCTCGCGGATGCAGTCCATCCATGATTGGCATGCTCTTGAGTCGGGTGACGATGATGGAGTGGTTGTTCAGACACTGACATATATGTTAGCCATGTTGTTGTTGTTGCGACATGACTCGCAGAAGCTTTCCCTTACCTCGTCAACACACTCCTGTAGCAGGGCTTCCTGCTCCGGCCGGGTGAGGCGACGGTTCTGTACATGCTGTGCCTTGAACGTCAAGTGAAGGACGGGATTGCCCGGCGCACTGACGCAAGTCACCCATTCACTTCGGTCCAGCTGCTGACGCAAGGATTCGATACGCTCTTGTAGAGTCTGCAGGGCTTTCGCCCCATCCGGACCCTGGAGTCTTGCGATGACCGCAGAGGCCGTGGTGGCCAGAAACATGGGCAAAGACGCCGAGAACGTCACAGCGGGAGAGTTCAAGCGTTGGTGTTCGACCATGATCCTGTATCCGGTGCAGAACCCGCCGCCACTTGCCATGGCTCCTGCTAAGCTTCCGACAATGATGTCGATGTTGGTAGCGTCGACGTTTTGCAGTTCTGTCACGCCCCTTCCGGTTCGGCCCAGGATTCCATACGACCATCTGTTGCAGAAAGTTGGGTCAGTCACCGGTAATGGATGCCTTCTTGACACGGGCGCACCTTACGTCTCATCAAGGACCAGACGGAACTTGTATTTGTGCTTCAGCTCGAGCAATCTCGGCACATCGGCCATATCACCAACATTTTCGGACAAGCCTTCGGTAATGATGAACCTCCGCGTCAGCGGTCGTCGCTCGCTGACGAGCTTGGCGAGTACCCGGTCCAGATCCTCCATATCATTGTGCTCGTACCAGCGAACGATGCTTCTCGATGCCTGGATGCCTTTGCGTATGGAGAAGTTGACTGCACGATCGGCTACTATGATATCACCTCGCTTGCAAAAGGCCGAGATGACACTGCTGATGGTGGAGAAGCTCTGCGAGTAGACGACGGTGTCCTCGGTTCCAAAATGCGCCGCAATGTCGCTCTCGAGCTTTGTGTGTACGTCGAAGGTTCCGATGAAGCCGGGTGCAGAGCAGGGGCCGACGCCATAGTCACGGATGGTGGCCACGGCGGCGTCAACGAATGCTGGATCATTGGAAAAGTTGTAATGATTGTAGTTGGCGAGGTTCGTCACGATCCTGCCATCGCAGAGCTTCGTCTTGGGTCCAGTAGGGGCCTCTCGATGCAAGACGGGAAGATTTTGAGCAAGCTTCATGCGCTCCGGCTGCTCCTCGACCAAGGGCTCCGGCGTCCACTCGTCGATCAGCTCATCGACCTCCTCGTCGCTTAGAGGGAGATGATTGCCCTGTTTGCGCGGGCTGTACTTGGGGGCGAGAATGTAGCGCACCGCCAGCAGGGCCAGGAGCAATTCGATGATGGTGCGGACGGGGTCGTTCTGGTGCGAGGAGCGCACGTAGCGGACGACGACGGCGGAACCGGGAAGACGGTGCAGGGCGGTGGCGGTGGCATTGGCCAGCCACAGCACATTCCGCGTCACCTCGGTGAGCGTGTCGGGAAGGGTGAGGGGTGCTGATGGTGGTGTTGATGGTGGGGGCGCCGAGCAGTCCATCATGTGAAGCCGCACGCAGATTCAGGTACAGCGGCGCAGGTACAGCGAGCGCAACGCGACGCGAAGGTTCTGTGTCAGGGACGAACGACGGAGAGGTCACGTGCAGCCGACCGGAGCGGGTCGACCCACATGGTCCCGACCCCTTTCACATCACAACATTGTAACATGGTGGTGAGACATGTTGACAGCCGACATCCAATTCCTTGTCAAGGATCATGGTATCACTGTGGTATCCCCATAGTGTGATAAGCAGTAGTGTGGTAGCACCGTAATAACACCGGCCACCCAAGGCACCGGGTTGCCGGGTTGCCGGGTCGCCGGATGGCCCGGAGCGGGAAGCAGATTGCCGCTTACTCATTCTTCACGCTAAGTCACGTGCTTGACGGTCGTGCCACCTCACACCTCACCTGCTCCTCTAACTTGAAGCTAGTGTCACCATCACATATCACATCATGTGCATCATGCCTCTTTCGTGCTGCCAAGACCTACCGGCTCGTGTTCGGCGTGGCCTACTTCTCTCGCTATCCGACATTCTCACAAGTACCCTCCGGTAGGGTTCAGCATACCATCCGCGCTGGCCCATTGTAAGACATGGACCGCTACGGAAGCCGATTCTGGCACTAATATGTCGCCGACGACGCGCCCTGACACATGTGACTCTGACGAGATTGTCTCCAGGAGCGTCGAGACCATCCGCAATGGCAGACTGGTGCCACCAGAGACGCGAGGCTTGGTCCCTTGAAGCGCGGACTCGCGTACAGCAATGCAGCCTGCTACGCATACCTATCGAATGCAACGTTCTTGCCCTACCCTGAATGGTTGCAAGTTCAGCTGAAGGGTGCGAATCCTGCCTTGCCTAGAGCTATGCCAGGACAGCATGAGCATAGAGCATCCGGCAGAAGCTGGAGGCAGTAATGGCCGGCTTCTATAATAGCGTCGAGAATTGTTCGTCAATCTGCTGTCCACAAGCAAGAGTCTCGAAGCTCTTTGCTCTCCGTTCACGATTCTTCCTCTGTCAAGTAATACTCCCCTTCCCGCACAAGTACTTACTACCTTCCCTCACTACGTCTCTCGAGATCGCTCAAGATCGCCTAGACTGTCACCAGCCAGGACTTGTCCACGATGCCAGCTCCCGCTGGCGTCCAGCACGACGGTGGTGCTCCCATTATCGACGGGCTCACTGACCGAGTCACAAACGGCATCACCAATGGAATCACTAATGAATTCACCAATGGAATCACAAATGGAATCACCAATGGCTTACCCACTACGAACGGAACCAGCAGCCCGAGCGCCTTGGAGCATTCCGTCACCGATGCTTTTCATGCCGACTCCCACAGCCCGCCAGAACCCATTGCGATTTGCGGTATGGCCTGCCGTCTTCCAGGCGGATTGAGCTCGCCGGAACAAGCCTGGCAATTCATCTGCAACAAGATGGACGGCCGAATCAAAGTACCTTCCTCGCGATACAGCGTGGACTCCTATTACAACCCAGGAAGCGCAAAGCCAGCCACTGTTTCGACTCAATACGGCTACTTTCTGGACGAGTCAGTCGATCTCGGAGCCCTAGACACATCATTCTTCACTCTGCCCAGAACAGAAGTAGAACGGGCGGACCCTCAGCAACGCCTGATGCTCGAAGTCGCAAGAGAATGTTTTGAAGATGCTGGTGTGACAAATTGGAGAGGAAAGACCATCGGTTGTTACATCGGCAACTTCGGCGAGGACTGGATCGAAATGTATGCCAAGGAGAATCAGCAGTGGGGATTGCATCGTATCGTTGGAACAGGCGATTTCGTCATTTCGAATCGCCTCTCTTACGAATTCGACATTAACGGACCGAGCATGACCATTCGCACTGGTTGCTCTGCTGCTCTTGTAGCGCTGAATGAGGCTTGCGCTGCACTGGGCCGTGGTGACTGTGAGGCCGCCCTTGTTGGCGGGGTCAACCTTATCATGGGCCCCGGCATGACTACGGCGATGACTGAGCAAGGCATTCTCTCCAAGGACGGGGCTAGCAAGAGTTTCTCCGCAGAGGCGAACGGATACGCTCGCGGGGAGGCTGTCACAGCAATTTATGTCAAGCCACTAGCTGCTGCCCTCCGAGATGGCAACCCCATCCGAGCTATCGTCAAGGCAACATCGCACAACTCGGATGGTCGAACGCCGGGCCTGTCGCAGCCAAGTACGGATTCACAGGAAGCACTCATGCGCAGGGCATATGCTCTGGCCGGCATTAGCGACTTTGGAGAGACAGCCATGGTAGAATGTAAGTGCTCGCTGAGAAGCTAGATCCATGTTGTCATCTGCAGGAAACTTGCTGACGTTTGACGTTCCTTTCCAGGCCACGGCACTGGTACCCAGATTGGCGACCCGATTGAAGCAAAAGCTGTAGCCCGTGTCTTTGGAGAGAAGGGTGTCTTCATTGGCTCAGTGAAGCCCAATCTGGGCCACACCGAGGCCGCTTCAGGTCTGGTATCTCTGATCAAGATGGTAAAGGCGCTGGAGCATCGCACAATTCCCCCCAATATCAAGTTCGCCACACCAAATCCCAACATTCCTTTCGAGGAGGCCAAGATGGTGGTCCCACTTGAGCCAACTCCATGGCCAGAGGACAGACTGGAACGTATCTCATTGAACTCCTTCGGAGTTGGAGGAGCAAACGCGCATGTCATTCTGGAATCAGCCGCTCACCACAACATTTACCCAAGGGTTTCCGAACCCTCTGACGCTCCTCAACTTCTCCTGTTCTCTGCAAACACAAAGTCTTCGTTGGAACGGATGATCGCGCAGTATAAGGACTGGGTAGACAAAAGTCCGGACGGCGTCACAGATCTGGCATACACTTTGGCTCGTCGGAGAGAGCATCTGAGACACCGAGCTTTCGCTATTTGTCAACATGGCGCCTTCGAATCGGTGTCAGCAGCAACAGACGCCAAGGCTGCATCGACTGCAGCCAGCAACGTGGTCATGGTCTTCACCGGTCAGGGCGCACAGTGGCCACAGATGGGGCGTGACTTGTTGCAGTCTAACGAGGTGTTCCGCTCCACGATTCGCTCACTGGATCAATACCTGGAAGGTATCGCTAACTACTCGATCGAGAAGGAGCTCAAGAAGCCTGCCAAAACGAGCAAACTGTCTTCGGCAGAGCTATCTCAGCCTTTGTGTACTGCACTTCAGCTTGGACTAGTGGACGTTTTCAAAGCGGTTGGCATCGTACCCTCTGCCGTGGTTGGACATAGCAGTGGAGAGATAGCTGGTGCCTATGCAGCAGGAGCTCTGACTGCCCAGGAAGCTATTACGGCTGCACATTACCGTGGAGCCGTAACTATACAGCAAACGAAACCTGGCTGCATGGCTGCGATCGGCATGGGTTGGAACGAGACTGAGAAGTACCTCGTGCCAAACGTCCGCGTTGCTTGCGACAACTCTCCTCTGAGTGTCACCATCTCTGGTGATACTGAAAGTGTTGAAAAAGCTGTTGCCTCTATACAGGAACAGAAGCCAGATGTTATGGCTCGCCTACTCAAGGTCGATAAGGCGTATCACAGTCATCACATGGCAGAGGTTGGCGATGCTTACGTCTCGCTTATGGGTGACAGTGTCCGTGGTGGCACTCCATCGATACCATTCTTCTCCAGCGTCGAGGGAAAACTGGCCAATGCGGGAACAACTTTTGGGCCTCAATACTGGAGGACCAACTTGGAATCGCCAGTCCGCTTTCGCGAGGCGGTCAGTGCCATTTTGAGCGACGAGAAGTACAAGAATGCCGTCTTCCTTGAAGTCGGACCACATTCCGCCCTGGCCGGTCCACTGCGACAAATCTTCAGCCACGCATCCTCTCCCGCTCCATACGTCTCAGCTATGCTTCGTGCACAGGACTGCACGTCATCATTCCTCGCCGCAGTTGGGAAGCTCTTTTCTCTGAGAGTATCTGTCGACCTCGAAGCTCTGTTCCCAGCTGGCAGTTGCTTGCCCGATCTACCCAGATACCCATGGAACCACGAAGAAAGCTACTGGTATGAGTCTCGGCTCTCAAAAGAATGGCGTCTGCGAAAGTTCCCACTGCACGACCTCCTCGGCTTGAAAACAGCCGAGTCATCCGAGCTCGAGCCAGTCTACAGGAACTTGCTTCACCTTTCCAACGTCCCGTGGGTTCGCGACCATCGACTGGGCGAAGATACAGTATTCCCGTTTGCTGGTTATCTGGCCATTGCCGGAGAGGCCGCCAGGCAGATCACAGGCATCGAAAACGGCTATAGTGTCCGGAACATTATCGTCAGCACCGCGCTTGTTGTGACCGAGGGCAAGCCCACCGAAATGATATCCACATTCAAGCCACATCGCCTGACTAGCTCCCTGAACAGCTCCTGGTGGGAGTTTACCGTGTCCTCATATAACGGCCACGCGTGGGTCAAGCATTGCGTGGGAGAGGTATCGGCTATGGCTGGGCAGCCTTCCCCTGCGGCAGAGGTCCCGTCGCTGCCCCGCAAGATCAATGCTAAGAAGTACTACGAGACGATGCAGAAAGGTGGTCTGGACCTTGGGCCATCGTTCCAGACCATCGAGGCCATCGAAACTTCCACTGGTCACGAGAACAGAGCAGTCGGGAAGGTTTCGAATGGAAAGCAAGGTGACGAGGCCAACTACCATATACATCCCGTCACCCTCGATGCCACTATTCAGATCATGGGAGCTGGCGCCACCAATGGGTCTCTCCGCAAGACCCGCACATGGCTGCCAACCAGCATTGATTCCTTCACCGTCTGGCGCTGCGCTGCTGCCATGCAAAATAACATCACGGCCACGCTTTCCAGCAACCAATCCGTTGTCGGCAGTGGGATTTGCGTCTCGGAGGGCAAGGCTGTCGTGGAAGCGACTGGCGTCAAGCTCGCGCTTGCGGATGGCACGCTGGGTGCTGCCGGTTTCGGCGATACTCACGCGGCTGCACGTTACGAGTGGGCGCCTGATGTTGCTTTCAAAGACTTTTCGGACTTCAGTTCCCCACGAAGCGATAACACTGACGTCCTTTCGCGCCTGGACGAGCTTGGACAGCTGTGCTTGCTTCTTTCCAAGAGACGCATTGCAAATCTGGACACCCCAATTGGCCAGCCACATCTGGAGAAGTATGCTTCTTGGATCTCGTCTCAAGCTCACTCAGTTGTGGTGTCTCTCGCACCAAACTACAAGAGCTTGGACAATGAGACCATCGTCGCCAGGATCGATTCTCTTGTTGCACAACTTGCTGGGACCAAGGCGGGCCCCGTGGCGAGAGCCATCCAGCAGATATGCAGCAACACAGAAATCCTGCTTTCGAACGCTACCCTCAGAGATTTGCTGTCCGAAGAGGATTTGGCCGGTGTGCAGAAGTTTGTTCAACAATCTCATCCAACGGAGTTTATTCGCTGTCTGAGCCATTCGAAGCCAAACCTTCGAGTGATGGAGCTCAGCACTGGTGGAACGCCAAAGCCCTCTGAGGAGATCGTCGAAGCAATCAAACATGTCAATGGCCAAGTCTTGTGCTCGAACTACACTGTCACGTCCACAAGTTTCATCACCGCCAAGGACCAAGAGAAGAGCTTCCCCAACCTCGAAGTCAAGACGCTGGATATCCGTGACGACCCGGAACAACAGGGCTTCGATGGCGCACAATTCGATCTTATAGTCGCCTCTAATGCGCTTCGGGCCAGCACCAATGTGCAGCAGAGCCTCGGGTACCTCAAGAAGTTGCTGAAGGCGGATGGCTACCTGCTCCTGCAGGAACATTGCTCATCTGCTCGATGGGTCACTTACGTCTTTGGCTTGCAGCCGGAATGGTGGTCTGAGACGCCGGAGGCCAATGGAGAGGGGACTCCGCTCAATGCGGCTGACTGGAAGACACAGCTGGCTGCCGCCGGCTTGGGCAGGATCTCGAGCAGTTCTGACGATTCCCCATCCAGCGATCCACTGACAGTGACTTTGGTTGCCAGGCATGCTTCAATTGAATTCCAGAAGATCCCAAAGCTCACTGTGCTTTGCGACGAGAAGGCTGGGCACAACACTGAGGTCATCATCTCCCACCTTGAGAAGACTGGCCACCAGGTAACCAGATGTTCACTGGAGGACCAGGTCCCTGCTGGACAGAATGTCTTGTCTCTGTTGGACGCAGACAAAGCCTTCTTTGCAGACATGACAGAAGCCCGGTACCTGGCATTGAAGACCTTTCTCACAGGTGTCAAGGAGGCGGGCGTCCTTTGGGTCACGAAATCTTGCGAAGTGGGATGTATAGGTCCTCAATATGCCCTCATCATCGGTCTGGCTCGTGTCCTCCGCTCTGAACAAATGGTCAACATGGCAACCATCCAGATCGACGATCTCCAGCAGCAAAGTAGTCTGAAACAACTCTCTCGGGTGATTGCCACTTTCCAAGACCAGAGTGGCGATGATGAACTCAACCCCGACTTCGAATGGGCTATCCAAGATGGAGAGGTACTTGTGGGACGGTTTCAGCCGTTCACCTTGCTCGACCAGCTGCTCGAGGACGAGCCGAGCTCCTGGGCCAAACTTGATGTCGCGACGCCCGGTCGTATCAATAGCTTGCATTGGGTGCAGCAGCCTCGCGAGGAATTGGCTCCCGGCGAGGTGGAAGTGCAGGTGCATGCTGCAGGCCTCAACTTCAGAGTAAGCACCACGTCATTAATTTGGAGCATTCTTCATCATACTGACCATGTTCACAGGACATTTTAGTCGCCCTTGGCATTGTTGAGCTTCCAATCCGACAGTTCGGCCTTGAAGCAGGCGGTATCATCACCAGAGTCGCATCGGACGTCGACCCCAACGAGCTCAAGGTCGGCGACAGAGTCTTCTGCCTCAAGAAGCAGGCATATTCGACATACCTGACGACACCAACGACATTCTGTGTCCGCATTCCGGATCATCTGAGCTTCGAGGATGCTGGGTCCATGCTGATGCCCTACGTTACAGCTCTGCACTCATTGGTCAATGTCGCTCACTTGGAAAAGGGGCAATCCGTCCTGATTCACAGTGCTTGCGGTGGTGTTGGACTCGCTGCTGTCCAAGTCTGTCAGATGATCGGCGCTGAGCTCTACGTTACCGTCGGAAATGAGGAGAAGGTCAACTTCCTCATGGATAACTTCAAGATTCCAAGGAACCGCATTTTCGATTCTCGCAGCGCATCTTTCGTGGATGGCGTCAAGCGTGAGACGGATGGCAAAGGCATCGATGTCATCCTGAACTCACTCTCCGGTGAGCTGCTACACGCAACGTGGACCTGTGTCGCTGAGTTCGGCACTCTTGTTGAGATTGGAAAGCGAGATCTCATCGGTCATGGCAAGCTTGATATGAACCCTTTCCTGGCGAATCGCAGCTATTCTTGCGTTGACATTGATCAACTGTGGAAGAAGCCCCAGCTCCTGCGCAGGTTGATCCTCAATACTCTGGACTACTACGTGCAAGGACTCACTACGCCCGTTCGGCCCAACAAGGTTTTCCCGGCCTCGCAGACTCAAGATGCATTCCGATACATGCAGAAGGGCCAGCACATTGGCCGTGTGTGCATCTCAATCCCGCACAAACCTTGGCCTTCTCGCGAGACCGCAGAGATGGAAACTTCTCGGACAACTGGCACCATTGCCTTCGGAAGCCAGGCATCTTACCTCATGGTTGGCGGACTGGGTGGACTTGGTCGTGCGATTGCTGCCTGGATGGCCGAACATGGCGCCGGAGAGATGATCTTCCTCTCACGAAGCGCTGGTACCACCAACAAGAACGACGATTTCGTCGCGGAGCTGGAAAGCATGAACTGCGGTGTCAAACTTGTTGCAGGGGACGTCACCCAGGCACAAGACGTGCAAAGGGCGCTCGCGACTGCATCCTACCCGGTCAAAGGTGTGGTACAAATGTCCATGGTCCTCCGAGATCAGAATTTCAGCAAGATGAACTTTGAAGACTGGAATGCTGTCGTGGCGCCCAAGGTACAGGGTACCTGGGCGCTCCATGAAGCCACCCAGAGCGTCGAAGCGGACCTGGACTTCTTTGTGCTCTTCAGCTCCCTCTCTGGCGTTATCGGACAGCCGGGACAGGCGAACTATGCTGCTGCCAATACCTTCCTGGACGCTTTCGCACAGTGGCGCAACCAGCAATCCCTGCCAGCATCTGTCATCGACATTGGTGCTGTCGAGGAGGTCGGCTATATCTCTGAACAGCAAGGCATGATCGGCTCCATGAAGGCGACCGGATTCAAGGGTATCTCGGAGCAGGAGCTTCTCGATGCCATGACCGTCGCGATGCTGCGACAGCCTGGCGGTGGCTCTCCCCCCAAGATCTCCGCGAGCAATGCCGGGAAGTTCAGCAGTCCCACCGCCTTCGTCCTCGGCCTCGGCTCCTCCATCCCCTTGACCAGCTCCAGCAACCGCGCCGTGTGGAAACGCGATCGTCGCATGGCCGCATACCACAACGTGCAACAAGACGGAGCATCCGCATCTTCCTCCGCCGAGACGCTCAAATCCTACCTCGCGCAGGTCAAATCCGACGCCTCCCTCCTCAAGACCGCCGAGGCCGCGAACCTCCTCGCCGTCGAAATCGGCAAGAAACTCTTCGACATGCTGCTCAAGCCGTACGATGAGATGAACACGTCGCTGCCTCTGACGGACCTGGGTTTGGATTCGCTCGTGGCTCTCGAGTTAAGGGCGTGGTGGAAGCAGGTGTTTGGGTTTGATATTACGGTGCTGGAGATGTTGGGGATGGGTTCGTTGGTGGCGCTGGGGCAGCATGCGGCTGATAGTTTGTTCAAGTTGATGGCGGAGACTGCCGGGGCGGCGTCGGCGTCGGCGTCGGCTTAGATGGTATGGGGACGCGCTATGTTTACTATGTATTGGGTTACGTATAGATTTCCCTTTTTCTTTTATATATATATACACTAATTAGAGAGAGAGTCTTGTCCAAAAAACAGCTAGTTGTATAGCAGTATAGGCCCTAGTAAACGTCGGGCAATAAGGTAAGTAGGTAAGGTATCCGGGTAAATCCCGGGCTGAAACCCTCTCTTCCTGGCTCGTGCTCTCCCTGCGACTTGTCTCGGTTTTGGATTCCGCCCTCATCTTCCATCAAACCATCAACAATTACCCAGAAATTCCATCCATCCATCCGTACTGTACCATCGCAGGAAGAGACTTGCCCCAACGTGCCGGGCACCTCACTTCACTCTTCCCTTTTCACTCTTCACTACTGGGATTGTCGGCGGCCCACTTGTTAGACTTCGCTCGAACACTGCATCACAAAAAAAAAATTTGATCCTGCAGGACTGTGATCACCTACGTCTCGTCTTGATGAAGAAGAGATCTCGAGATATCATGTGCTCCTGGGAAATCAAATGCTCAGGGCAGACCATCTTTCACGAGTCGCTACCAGACCACTCATACTACCGCGTAAAGTCACTACCGCGGAGAATGCCAACATGCTTCAATTTGAAGACTGGCCCATCACAAGCGTGCGAGGGTCCAAGGCCTCAGCAAGATGAATGAGCACGGCGGTCGGCGGTGCTCCGGGAACTCTGTCCTCCGCTTGTGTTTCAGCCTTCACTGACTCCACGTGTCATTGCGCTAAGTACCGGTCGGTCCTGCTGATGATCCATGCTTTTCGGGAAACAATTGGAGGCGCCCAAGAAATCTAAATCTTCAACGGCTTCACTTATTCGCAAAATGGCGATTGGCACATTCTTCCCGCAATACGGTCGAGGACGAGACCCGTTGCGGAGTCTGGAGCGACGTTCCCAGCACGACGGAGAGAGACAGCACCGCCCGCGCCGATTGCATGGTGTTTGGACGCCCAACCGTACTCTTAAGGCAGAGTTCGGATGATCTCAAGTCATTTGCTGTGCGGGAATGCGAGAAGCTTTGCTGGTGCAGACCGGGGCACATGTGATGGACACACCTTACCGGGATAGCTGAAGGCGAGATGTGCGTGCTTGACCGCTAGACCGCGTTGCATACATACATATCCGCTACGTTCGACAATCCGTACGCCTCCTCTCCAGCGAGGCGCTTTCGTTTCTCTTCACTCGCCGAGTCGCTGGACGCCTATTCGTTTCTGTCTCCCTCACCTGCAGGCACGTCCGGACGACAGGTACACAATACCGATCTAGAACGTTACGTCGGAAAGGTGCACTCGGCCTCTTACAGCTTTGTTTCCTCTTCTATTGAACATCAGCTTCTCGCGAGTAGCCCAGCATGGTTGCCGGTGGGCATGTGTCGGGGCGCACTGTCACTACCACCATCATCACGTTCAATACCATAGCTGGCATCTTGACCATCCTGCGGCTCCAGACGAGAAGACTGATTGTCCGCAATGCCGGGATCGATGATGTTCTCGTCTCTCTCGGTTTGGTGGGTGGAAGCGACGAGGTCTCAGGGGAACACGAAGCTAACGATTGTTCAGATATGCTCTACTGTTCTCACCATCACCATGTGTGAGCAAGGTCAGAAAACAAGACGCTAGGTTTTATCTCCCCAAGCTGACATCGCGTAGTTGTGTACGGCATGGGACGGCACGAGGCGACACTCACGCAATACGATGGCATCATGTCGCTGAGATGGTTCTGGGCCTCGGTCTGGACTTACTATCTTGCGCTTTGGGCGGTCAAGATGTCGATTCTGTGTCAATATCTCCGCATCATTCCAGAGGGTGGATTCCGCCGCGCCTGCTATGGTCTCATGGCGGTCGTCTCCGCATGGACGCTGTGGGCTTTCCTCAGTGCCCCATTCCCCTGCAACCCGGTCGATGCCTTCTGGGATCCGAGTGTCAAGGGCTCCTGCTTGAACCGGTTGGCGGTCTGGTTCACCAACGCTGCCGTTAACATTGTCACTGGTAAGCCCCGGAAGATATGATTCGCTGCCACACAGGGATTTGCGGCTGACAACATACTCTCCGACAGACCTGGCCACGACACTCCTACCACTGCCTACCCTGAACAGTCTCCAGATCCCCAGGCGACAGAAGTACATTCTCATGGTGGTATTCGGTATGGGCGGCGTCACCTGTCTACTATCCATCCTCCGCCTGCAATCGCTCTACGTCATCTCCAAATCAACAGACATCAGCTGGGACAACCCGCTGGCCGCCACTTGGTCCAGTCTGGAGGTTAACGTAGGCATCATCTGTGCCGTAAGTGTCATCTCGTACCAGCACAACCCCGAGCTAACAGGACAGCAGTGCATCCCAACGCTCAAAGGTCTCATGTCTCGCCTGTTCCCGACCTTGACCTTCGGCGAAGTCTACAACATCACTCCTTCCGAACAGAGATCCGCCGCGCAAAACGAAGAAAACAGAGTCAGCTTCCGCATGCTGGGCTATCACCTGCCAGAAGACGCCGAGAAAGCAGTGACCGTCGAGGCGCACGAACTGCCCGCCAAAACGACTCGCAGCGCAACCCTCAGGACATCCGGTCCTCCTACCCCCGTCCATCAAACCCGCGACCCATCTCCAATCAAGGACTCCGACGAAGCGACGAAAGAGCCGACCAGCAAGTTCGTCGGCTTCAACAAGAGCTGGGAGGTAACGAGGCAAGACTGCATCCGCATGCCCTCCCCGGGCTTCACGGCGATCAATCAAGAAGCGAAAGAGAAGGTCCGCTGGTACGTCCAACGCCGACCCGCCGACTCCAGCTCTTCTTCCTCCAAAAAAGCGGAGAAAATCCCCGGCCGCAGCAGCAAATTCCACGAACGCGACAAGTCTCTCTACGCGGAGGAAGAACGCGCCGGTTGAAATGAAATAAAAAAAAAAGAGGGCGACGTTTATCTCTCTCTCTCTCTCCTATGAAAAATTCCAAGGACCTTCTTTCTCTCTCCCGGAGGGTGCGGTCGAACTTGTTTCAAGAACCTTGCTCTTACTCTCCTCCTCACCGCGCCGGAAACTTTGCGGAAAAGAGCTATGGAATCCGGCCCAACGAAAAAGTTCCGTTTCGATGCTACCGGATGAATGATGGTACTATCATTCGGGCGTGGTATGAGGCGATGCTCGCTTTCCAGCGCAAGGCTGTTGAGACCGATCGATCGATGTACACTGCCATTGTACGGCTACAGGCAGGCAGGATTCCACGCTGGTCCTTTGCGCGCGACTCATGCTCTTGCGACTGACTTTCATCGGCGGCCCTTTGGGGAGACTTCCAAGAGCCCGGGGCCTTCGTGAGCGACTGCCGATACTTTTGATGACCAAAACAAAATTGCCCTTGGCGTGGCGAACAGCGAGCATACCCCCATTCGATGTGGCATGGCAGGACGCTATTCGCCGAATGTCCCGGGGAGCACAGAATTCACCCAGTGGCATTGCGAGACTCCGAAGCAGGACCGATTCACGAGTGTACGAGGATAGGACCCCGGGTGCGGATCCATTTGCAGCTTCTCGGTGGTTTGCTGGTGCGACGCAGGCCGACGAAGCTGAAGCTTTTCCAAAAAAAAAAACGCCAAGCATCTATCCGCCCGATGGAGTCACGCATGTCCCTTTATTATGGTAAAACGAACTCTGAGTCTGAGCGACGCCATGTGTCGGCTACAGAATGATTTCGACAACACGCCCTTCGACGTGGCGTCCTCCTGCACCGTGATGGACGATATCGCGTGCACTCCTGGATCCTTTGACTTGCTGCTGAGGGCGGGCGGACGGACGGACGAAGGGCTTACTAGTATTAGACTGGCCTTCTGTGTGTGGGTGTGTGTATCCTTTTACTCAGTTCGACGTGGGCGGTCGGTCGATGTACAGCAAGCATGTCGAGGGCGGACGGCAGGATGTATAGGGCTAGTGGGACGCCCGTGGTCCGTAGTCACCTAGCTAGGGTAGAAGGAAATGCTCATCAGCCTCTAAGAAAGCACTCTCGAGATGATTTCTCCTCTCTCTACCTCTCTTCTGGAGCTTCTCGCGACTGATTGCGTGCGAGGAGAGACGTAACGACTTTTTTGGAAGGCAGGCGAGTGTTCGTGTCAGCTTGGCAGCTTGTATGGCGAGATTCGCCTGAGTTCGGGGGACATGTTGAACGCTTGTCTAAGTCGAGTCACTGGACAGCAGGCGTGCTCTTGCTGTGCTGCGAGTCGGGCAGCATCGGCGTAAGTTGACACCACGAGCGCGAGCCGTTATACTGCAGTGACTGACAAAAGGTAGACTCGCAAACATCTGCTCAAGTACCGATCCTTCTAGCATCCCGTTCTGGTCTCAACTCGATGCCGTCTCGGACACCGTTACCGCGCCGAAGAATCAGCAGTGTCTGAATTACTTTTCACCATCGGTAGACTGTAGCGCGCAGCCCCTGAACTTCACACCACTAAATCCGAGCGCGCGACCAACGTGCCCGCGCAGGGTTCGCAGACTGTCTCGAACATGGCTGGTATTCTTGCGACTCCGGCATCTGCAACATGGGTTTGGTCCATGGCTAGTGACCTACAGCCTGTGACTGCGGCCACTGCTCGAGGTTCTGCTGGGGCGGCTCCAAGTGCTGCTTCGTCCGGGTCTTCCAGAGCGAGCAGTGGCGGAGGCAGAGGGTGCATCTGCAAGCGCTACTCCGACTTCTACTTCTAGCGGTTGTGCTTCCACGAGCACGGCAACCAGGGGTGCCTCCGTTCGAGTTCAGGCCATCGTCCCATGTTCCGTGGCATTCATGGCAGTGTCGGCCGTTGTGTTTATACTGCTTTGAGGGGGGAATCCAGCCCCGGAAACAATCCAATAGATGCGCTTTGGGCCATTCAGTTCGGCTATCGACTCCCCGGATGTCGGGAATGATGTTCCCGGTGTTACGGTAGATGGCGAAGGATACGAGGCCTATGATATGTCCTTTCGCTCGCGTGATGCGTCTCTCACTGCACTGTGCCGTCTCGCCGCGCCGTTCCTTCTTCGTTGGATCAGCCAGCGAGCGCGTATCGATCAATTGCCTCCCGGACAGAATGCCAAGAGACCTCCTCACCTCGCGACATGGCACAGAGGTCAGCTGAAGGATTTACGTGGCGCACTAGGAGTCAGTCTGAGGTAAGCTTCCGGCCTTTTCTCCATCATCATCATCATCATCATCATCATCAAGGCTGACTCCCCCTCTGTCTCTCTCTCTTCCTCTTCTCCCCGGAAGGAACAACGACATTGAATGCGCGAAATGGAGGAGATTCGAAGATTCGACAGTGCGGTGGAAGTGGAAGTGGAAGTCAAGGGCGAACACGAACACGAACACGAACACGAACAGGACACGTCGTCGCGGCTGGACCCTCCCCCACTCGCCACAGCCAATCAGGAGGCACCACCCCCACCCCCGTCACCCGGACCGTCCCGACTCCTGTCCCTCCCGCGCGAACTCCAGCTCAGCATCTGGGAATTCGCCGTCATCGAGGACCGACCGCTCCACATCAACTGTCCCTGCGACAGCTCCTACGGCGGCTGGACCGACGCCTACTACGCCGATCGCGAAGCGTGGGAGAACGGCGACAAGCACCCGCCGTGGCAACCCCCCTTGACCCGCGTCTGCCGTGCAATCCGAGCTGACGCGCTGCCCATCTTCTACCAGCACAACCGCTTCCAGGCCGGCTACTGCTACGAGACCGACCACGAGGCCGTGGAGGACTATCTCCTGCGCATCGGCAAGCAGAATCGGGAGCTCTTGAGGCACTTTTACTTCTTTGATGGGAACTGCCGACATGACGTGAATCGGCCGCGAGACCTGAAGCTCGTGGCGAGAGGAAAGGTGGTGAGGGGTTTGTCTGGGCGGTTGCAAAGTACGTATACGGATGATCATTGTAGGCATGATGTGGTCTTCGGTGGAGAGGAGGATGGATTGGAAGGGATTGAGAAGTTGTTTGGGGAAAGTTAGGGGCGTTGAGAGAGAAAAATTGAAGGGTTTGAACATAACACGATTACTCCACTTTCTGGCTATATCATTGCTCTGCCGACCGACTCCGACACTAATCATCTGCGTCACGCCAGCGCTCTATGCGTGGCTTCCGTCTGGTCCGAAAGCCATGCATTGCAACTCAATCAGCACAAGAGGAATGCATCTTCTTCTTCTCCCCACCAGAAGCAATACATTGCCATTGCGTTGAAGGGTGCGAGAATGTATCTCTTCTCCTTCTGCACGACGACAATGCATCTTTTTCTTCTCCCTCCCACCAGAACCAATACATTGCCATTGCGTTGAAGGGGCAGAAATGTATCTCTTCTCCTTCTGCACGACGACAATGCATCTTTTTCTTCTCCTTCGCAGGGCCATACATTGCCATTGCGTTGAAGGGTGCAAGAATGTATCTCTTCTCCTCCTGCACGACGGCAATGCATCTTTTTCTTCTCCTTCGCAAGACAATACATTGCCATTGCGTTGAAGAGACAGCAGAGTACTTCTTAGCGAAGTAGTCGTAGAGACTCCCCATCAACCTCCTTGCCCTGTGGGTCTTGGACCTGGACTTTGTGCTCCTTGGCAGACTTGTAAAGGAAGCGATCAATAACAACGTCTTCGTCTGGGTTGTTCTTGTCACGATTGAAGGCTCGTACACGGATCCCACGCATCTTCTTCAGTTCTTTGCCGGCGCGGGCGTTCATCCTCGCCCTTGGAAAGCAAGTTGACCGAGTCAGGCTGTGCGCAGACCCGGACAGCAGCGTGGTGGAAGGGTTGCTTGATCCAGAAAGTGCCGTTCGCAACACCAAGGTTGACGGAGTCGTTAGAACCGGGTTCGGGATATATAGGGTGATGCCAACGCCCCAGGGCCCGAGTCCTACATTGCCATTGCGTTGGGGCAACGACGATGCATCTTTTTCTTCTCCCTCAGGAGAGACGATGGAACGGCCGCTTGGGGAGACGCAGTGTAGTCGGGGGGAGAGAAAGGAGGAATATATCTCTTCTCCTTCTACAGACGAGGATGGATATTGTGTATTGTGGATATCCGTGCTCGAGGTTGCGTATTGTGTATATTGGTGCTCGACATTGTGTATAACGGCTCCAGCAAGGCGAGATATACTATGCTCTTTAGCAATGGATTTGCAAGAGAGTAGCCCTCTAAGTTATGCCGAGCATCGTATAGTTTATATAGTGCGCGTCCAAGAGCGTGTACGATGTTGTGATGTGTTGTTAGTTTTGGGTTATGGAATGATGTGGAAAGGATTCAAGCTAGGATGGAAAGTGCGTCTATTTATGTAAGAACTCGACCGAGTACCACAATGAATTGTACCATTAAAAGTGAATCGTACAAAGCAGTGACTCGAAGAAGTGAAAGAAGCACACAAGGTATTGTGAATGTATTCATTGTACATAAACAAGGACCAAATCTGACCTTTGAAATTTCAATGTCCTTGTTCATGGCTTTAATGCCGTTCTTAGCCCATTGGCAGTGTTGACCTCATGCCAGTAGAGGTCTCGTCGGCAGTTGAAGGAATGCTACTAGCAACTGATAACAAATGCATCGGCAAGGATCTTGGTGGGGGACTGGATAGAAAGTGAAGACCAAGCAATGTTGCATGTGACAGAAGTGTTCTCTCGCTAATGAAGTTTTGTGCAGTGACAAAATTCGGTGGAATTCATGTTGTGCAAAGCGTGAAGATGTCATCATGCCATGCCTGAGGCACGAAACTCCAATCAGCGCCAGTCGTCACTTAAGTTCGCCGACCCGCAAGTGAATGTCTCCAACTGTCAACTCAGGAACAAAAGCCAGGTGACATTGTATCAAGACTGCCGCTTCCACTGGTCCGAGTCGCATCTACTACGAGCACATATACTCCCATCTCTATTCGAACACCACAAACGGACTTCCCCCGGGGCGAACCATCATTTGGAGATAATTCCCGCGCGAACCATCATCATTTGGAGAACAACCGAAAAACGACAATGGCCACCCGCGCCGCTCACAAGCGCCTCACACGAGAATACGCCCAACTGCAGAAGTCTCCGCCCGAATACATCGTCGCCCACCCCAACGAAGCCGACATCCTCGAATGGCACTACATCCTCACGGGTCCGCCAAACACGCCGTACGAGAACGGCCAGTACTGGGGAACGCTCACCTTCCCGCCCGACTACCCCTTCGCCCCGCCCGCCATACGAATGCACACGCCTTCAGGTCGCTTCCGCTGCAGCGAGCGACTCTGCCTGTCGATCAGCGATTTCCATCCCAAATCGTTCAACCCGGCGTGGGAAGTGAGCACCATCCTGCTGGGCGTGCTGTCTTTCATGACGAGCGAGGAGATGACGACGGGCTCCGTTTCGGCCTCGGAAGCGGATCGGAAGGCTTTTGCGCAGCGGACGAGGTGGTGGAATTCGACGGGTGGAGGTTCTACTTCGAAGACTTTGGCGGGGCATACCGGCAACACGAGGGGGTTCGGGGCCATCAAGGCGGGTGATGGAGGGAAGCGATTTCGAGAGCAGTTTCCGGAATTGGATGCTGAGAATTGGAAGTGCATGGAAGAGGAGAAGATCGATCCGCAGACGGGGAAGAGGTTGGATGCTACACCGCTGCAGCAAGGTTCTTGTTCGCCGGAGATCGATGGTCTGAGGCGGAGAGCAGGTGGCAGTAATGCTGGCTTGGGTGCCGTCGTGGAGGGTGGACAGGCTGCGCGACAGGCTGGTCAAGGCTGGCTGGGACGCAACAAATACTACCTTCTGGCTGCCGCGCTGTTCCTCTACGTTATCGCCGCGCGGCTTCTGAGGGAGGATCGGCAGCAATGAGACGGTTGCTTGCCTGCCAAAATTCATCCATTCACGATCATATTACCCATCAGAGACCCCAAGTCACAACAAGACCGACGATGGGGCAGCATTGTTTGCGTTGTTTAGGAAAATTTGCACTTCAGTATAGCGCGTCAGCTTTAGCGCGGCGTTGAGTGGTTGAATCAGGACCAGCAAATGTATGAGATGGGCACATCCACAGCTTCATGGCCAAATGACAGACAATATGAAACTCCAGATTCTTTTCGTGGCACTTCGGATTCCTTTTCGCATTGCTTCATCTACCGTGACTAGGCAGCACACATGAGGACCAGGCATCTTGCTTTTGGCAAGCCGTTCCTCGCGACAATGTCACAATCAGCAAATGCTTCCACTCCTTGCTCGCCATATCTCCCACCACTGCGAGCCGGAGCGCTCACAGACGACGACCACGGCGACCTCCCTTGCGGCGCGTTGAATCGGAGGGAGTTGGGGTGACGTCCTCGATGCGGCCGATCTTCATGCCTATGTTGTCGAAATTTTAGCGAAAAATCCAGGACCTGAGGTGAGGCAAACAACGTACCGGAACGTGCAAGAGCGCGGAGGGCCGACTGAGCACCCGGACCGGGAGTCTTGGTCTGGAGTAGGTTAGCAGACGTCTGAGACACTGTGGTCTGGATTTTCCTTACGCCATTGCCGCCGGTAGCACGGATCTTTACGTGGAGAGCAGAAATGCCCAACTCTTTGCAGCGCTGAGCGACGTCTTGCGCAGCAAGCATCTAGAAGCGAGAGGTAGAATGTAAGAAGTTGTCTCCAGCATGAAGTGGTGCCTTCCACCCATGACTTTACTCACAGCGGCGTATGGGCTCGACTCATCGCGATCGGCTTTCACCTGTGGACGAGTTAGCTAGAGATAGTCATAAAAAGGGGCAAGTGCCATCTTGCCTTCATTCCTCCAGTCACGCGGCTGATGGTTTCACGGCCACTGGAATCACCCAGGTTAGCCTTTATACCATATCATGTGTATTTCTACCAGGTCGTCTCTTCCGTGGATTGGTGGGCTCAGACGTACGAGAGATCGGTGACGTGGACGAAGGTATCGTTGAAGGAGGCGAAGATACGGGCGACACCGAAGACGAGCTCGCCTGTTCAATGGATGTCAGTACCTCCATGTCGGGTGCGTTATGGGATGCGCGTACCTTCGCGAACCTGGGGACCGAGGGAGATGTTCTCCTGCGCGCTGCGCTCGACCTTCTTCTTGGGAGCCATGTCTGCCGTTTCGAATGGGGGATGGAGATGTCGAAAAGCTTGCCTGGTGCTGTGAAAAGGAAGAGTGAGGTCCAAGCCGTGCGGTCGAATTTGTCTGTCGGTGCATCGGCGAAATTCCGCGCTGGATTCTTGGCGTGAGCTCGGACCTCCCGCAAGCAAAATCTCGACGCGCGCGCAAAGAACTTCCTCCTCTCTCCCACATCCACTCACTCATCATCCATCACCCCCATCACCCGCATCCTCCCCGTCACCAGCGACGGTACAGCATCACGTCGCTGCAAACAGTGCAGTGCAGTGCAGTGCACGTGCTGTCAGGGCATCGAGGTGCTGCAGCGGCGTTCGACTTGCCTCATGCTGAGCTGGACGCGGAACAGCCGCCATCATGGGAGACGCCGTGGTGGGAATCATTGGGATGGGTGACATGGGCAAGATGTACGCCCGGAGGATCAGCGATGCCGGCTGGAAGTGAGTGTCTGAATCTGCCAGCCGGTCTGGAATTGAAGGGTAAGTCCTCACTGCTCCCGCTCACATCACCTACCCAACATTCACTTGCAATGATGACTTGAGTGCATTTGGCTCGAGTATGGTCGCGCCGGCACCAGTTGCTTCCGTCATGGCGCTTCTGACCGGCCGGCCGTCAATGATGTAAAATCTCAGCTACCTAATTTTTTCTTGTCTGACACGCAACTACTCCCTTCACTCCACATCACGGCTCGCAACGAGGTCGAATGAAGGCTAACTCGATTGCAGGAATGCTCCGTGCCATGCTCACATGCCTGTAGAGTTCACGCTTGTGATCTGCCTGAGAAATACGAGGCACTGAAGGCCGAGTTCGCCACCAGAGTAGGCTCTCATCTCTGTAAATAGATAGTCTAGCTTTCGCTGAAAGGTCGATAGAAGAGTGTAGAGATTCTCGAAAACGGCCACCTCGTTTCCCGCAGCAGCGACTGGATCATGTACGCTGTTGAAGCCAGGAACATCGACTCCATCGTCGCAAGATTTGGTCCGTCAACTAAACTCGGCGCCATCGTCGGCGGCCAGACCTCAACAAAGGCTCCCGAAATTGCTGCCTTCGAGAAACACTTGCCCAAAGATATCGAGATTGTATCCTGTCACTCCCTTCACGGGCCTGGTGTGGACCCAAAAGGCCAGCCTCTTGTCATCATTCGTCACCGTGCGTCCGAGAAAGCGGTCGCGCTGGTCCAGCAAATACTTTCGTGCTTTGAGTCAACCATCGTCAACATATCTGCCGAGAAGCATGATCGAATCACCGCGGATACGCAAGCGGTCACCCACGCCGCTTTCCTCTCGATGGGTACGGCCTGGCAAGCGAACAACCAATTCCCGTGGGAGATACCACGCTACATCGGCGGCATCGAAAACGTCAAGATCAACATCATGATGCGCATCTTCAGCAACAAGTGGCACGTCTACGCTGGTCTCGCCATCCTCAACCCAGCAGCAAAGGCACAGATACGACAGTACGCAGAGAGCGTGACGGAACTCTATAAACTGATGCTCGCAGGTCATCGTCAAGAGCTGTCGGAAAGAATACATGCTGCGAAGGCCGCAGTCTTCGGCAAGGATCGGAAAGACGAAGAGCTTTTGCTCCAAGACGACCTCCTCGACCGCTTCAGTCTAGGTGAGAAACCCGGCGCGCGAGTCAAGAACAACCATCTCAGCCTGCTCGCTATGGTCGACTGCTGGTGGAAGCTCGGCATCGTACCGTACGACCACATGATCTGCTCCACCCCTCTCTTCCGACTCTGGCTCGGTATCACGGAATACGTCTACCGCAACGAAGAACTCCTCGCGGAATGCATCGAAACTGCGATCGAAGATCAGAGCTTCCGTGCCGATGACCTTGAATTCACGTTTGCTGCCCGCGACTGGAGTGAGAGGGTTAGCCTGGGACATATGGACGGCTATCGGGAGAAGTTTGAGAAGATTCAAAGGTACTTCGCACCCAGATTTCCGGAGGCGAACAAGATGGGCAATGAGATGATTCGGACTATTGAGGAGAATTTGCAGGCGAGGAGGAAGGCAGGTGGGCAGTAACAGCCAAGGCGGAGATCGCTGCACAAGGCCTGACTCTGCTCTCCGATGCGTCGATGCGGAGACTGCGTGGGCCGTAGGGGCACGACGATACGAAGCAAGCTATCGATCCACGGAAATCGCACACGCAATACAAGTCTCCCCGACGCTTCTGCTGTTTCGAGTAGGTCTTCTCTAGGCGATCTTCGACATGATTGCGGCGGAGAAGATTTCCACAAGCCGGCGACGGTCTCGGCTCCGGCCTCTATCGACAGCCTCAGTTTCAAAACTAACTCCGACCGAGGTGGTTGGAGGATGCTAAGTCACAATAGAAGGGGAGTGCCGGCTTTGATACTAGGTGCACAGACCAATCAACCAAAAGGTAATTTCAAGAGTGACAGATGTCACGAATGACAAGGCATACGCTGTGATGTGCTTATCCTTTGATCGGTAGGATTGCATTGTCATCGATTTCCAGCACCATCACGCTCTGCTCGTGTCTTGCGATATCTCGATCTTCAAGCACATGGACGAGACGTGCGTTCCATTCGACCCGTGCAATAGAAGCCAACGGTGACGTTGCTGCGATGCCAAAGCTTTCGGTGGGACAGACACAGAGCAACGTATATAAGCTGCCGCGTGTCATGCTGTTGGGAATGAATCGTCGCCAACAGCATCCTCTCATTTCACCCTAATAACAGACTCTAAGCTTACACTCCTTTGCAAGATATTATCTTGGCTCGGCTCTTACATTCCTTGATTCAAGATGCACGCCCCATTCGTCACATTCGCCTTACTCGTGGCCTCGGGGCTGGTCGGCGCTCGCCCGCAACCTGACGGGGCGAACATCGGGCAAGATCAATCGCCCCTCTGCACCGGTTTCACGGGCGTTGCGCAGTGCTGCGAGGTTTCAGCCCTCGGAGTGGTCGCGACTACCTGCAGAGCACGTGAGTACAGTCCCCTGATATCTGTGACGGTATCTGTGACCCCCGGTGGGTTTGAGAGCTGACTCGGGATCTGTTCTGTGCATCAGCGAGCGGACAACCCGGCACCATCCCCGAGTTCCAGGCATGCTGTGCAGACGTCGGCCTCACTGCCCAATGCTGTGTTCTCCCCGTTGTAAGTTATTATTATGGTCTTGTTTTGATTTGAAGCTTTCCTCGTAAGGGAGACAGACTCATGCTAATTGTTGTTGCGATCCATAGGCTGGCTCAAGCATTGTTTGCACCCCTCCCTAGAGATTTCGTTCCGAGTTGGCGGAAAGTCCATTATCCTAGGTCTGTCATTACACACAGTGGGCGCACATGAGGGCGTTGTTGGAAGCATACATTAAATTTTTTTTGATTTCTCCGGCCAATATTTACTTTGTACTTAGCGAACTGCAAAACTGCAAACTTGATCAACCAATATCACAATCGTGTTTGGGGACACAGCCAGATGACCAGATGTGGAAGATTTCCAAGAGTGGCCTGGAAAGGCACTGAGCACTTTACTCGCTGCGTGCCGGTTTCTCATTAAACGGTTAAAGGGCTTGTCTGATGGGTTGTAGGCCCTCCCGAGTCTCGACTCTTCAAGTTCTGGCCACTGCGATTACTAGAGCGACAATACCTCCTGTCCTAGTCCACTGGAAGCTCATCCTCGACGCCGTCGAATTCGCTACTAACACTGTCACCGAGAAAATATTGTCGAGCAAAGCATGTCTGGCAAGCAGGAAGACGCTCTGTGGCGAATGTCGACCGCCTGGAGGGCATTATGCCGGGTACGTGATGTCGGCCACTTGCCGGTGAGGATCCGTGATTCGACTCGAGGATATCACAAACCTTCCGTCTCTCCCTCCACAATCACATGCCGCATCCTCTCAACTTTTGTTTCGAGAAACACTTCGCCTACATCGTCCTCAAACACCTACTGAGGCGCCTCGTACCTCTGCCTCGGGACATCACAGTGCACTCATCAGTTATTGCTGCTGGTCGCCAGAGACGGTCTCGAACGTGTACGTGTGGGGCTGAATACTCAGGAATACCAAGGCTCTGGGCAGCTCCCTACTTTCCACTAAGGGCAGCTCTCCTCTTTAGGCATGCGCTACTCTGTCCTGCTAGCTTTACGAACACTTTACTCGGTCTATATGCAATGGATCTTGGCTGCGATTGCTTCTCCGGCGAGGTATAATGCCTCTCCTGCTGTGAATCCGGGGAGGGCTATAGCAGAAGGGCTCTCGAAAAGAGACGAAGGATGGCGTATAAGGACCTAGAATGGCAGAAGGCCGGTGGGAGGCAGCATCAATTGACGGCCATTGATTGTGTAGTCTCTAAATATCAGGGAAATAGGAGCTAGCCTTAGCGAAAAGTAGGAGTTGCCCGGAGCCCCGGTGACTTGGGAACTTGCGGTCCACCATGTTGGAAATTCTCTAGGAAAATTTTGACCTGACTCGGTCTATCACATTTAGTCTGCTGTGCATCTGCGTAATTGTGGTAGGTTAGCACTTGACTCGACACAGGTCGGCGTCTCTTCATGGCTAGACTCATCAAGCATGCAGAATGGTGTCGAAACCCATCACAAGGTGATAGTGTCTCGACTACCGGGGTTTCAATCAAAGAGACATCGACCCAAAGTATGGGAAATATACAAAACACGGCTTGGAGCACCTTCTCTTAATCGAAAGTCAGTCTTTCGCTAGGGGCCTCACCATATCCTTCACTCCCTTTTGCATTTTGCAATACACTCGCTTCCGGCAAGCAAGCATCCGCACTCTTTCACCAACAATCACATTCGTTCAACATGCATACATTCGCTGTTACTGTTGGGTCGCTGGCGCTGGCCGCAGCTCTTCCTGTACCAGGAGACCAAGCAGCCCAGAACAGCCAGGGCGCACAAACGTTCCCCGGCTTCGGAATTGGAGGAGGAAATCCCTTCTCTAAGTTTGGCGGACAACCTTTTGGATTAGGCGGAGGAAATCCCTTCTCCAGGTTTGGCGGACAGAGCGGCGGCGGAGCATCCTCGCCTTTTGGAGGCGGAGGACATAGCCCGTGGGACTTCTTTGGTGGACACAACCAGTTCAACCCATATTCTGGAGGGAGTCAAAGCGGCTCTCCTTTCGGCTCCTCCCAGAGCGGTGGGCACAGCCCGTGGGACTTCTTTGGTGGACACAACCCGTTCATTCCCTTCTCTGGTGGGAGTCGAAGTGGATCTCCGTTCGGCTCCTCCCAAAGTGGTGGGAATAACCCGTTGGACACCCTTTCCGGCGCTCAAAGGGGCTCTCCGTTCGGCTCTCCCCAGAGTGGTGAGCATAACCCGTTCATTCCCTTCTCTGGTGGGAGTCAAAGTGGATCTCCGTTCGGCTCCTCCCAGAGTGGTGAGCACAACCCGTTCATTCCCTTCTCTGGTGGGAGCCAAAGTGGCTCTCCATTCGGCTCCTCCCAGAGCGGGGGGCACAACCCGCTCGATGCCCTTTCTGGCGCTCAAAGCGGCTCGCCGTCCGGCTCCTCCCACAGCGCGGGCAACCAAGCCGCCCCGGCCGCGTACGGTGGTGGCTCCTAAGCTATAAAGGCATTGAGCGGAGGTGGCTACCCCTGGTCCGGGTTTGGTGGTGGTCAAAAGGCAAAGGTGAGCATTCTGCCCGTCTCATCATGGAAGAGTTCGCATGCTGACGTGTGTCAGTCCGTTGCAGGCTCCCATTTGGGGAATCTGTAGGAGCGAGAGATGGCCTTCATTCGTGGCAAAAGATGTGAGGGCGCTTCGTTACTATCCGACCGAAATATCGAATTCGGTACGAGGATGGTTGGTTCTTTCTTTCCGCATACAGACTGCTCTTGTTTTGATCAGGCTAGTCACGGTCAGTAGAGGTAGAAGCAGACGATAACACGCCCACCCTGGGCATTCTTCATTCCACTGATCATAAGCCTGTACATGTTCTCCTTGCCATTTGCAACCACGTGACAGAACCGTGGTTCCAGCCAAATTTGCTGGAACGTCTGATCGACCATGATATGAATGCGACGATCAAAGTCGGCCGAATAGAAGCGTCAGTGTCAAGGTGTGCGAGAGGTGCGTTGAGAGATGCTTTGAGCCACGTGTTGTGCGGATCACATATTGACTTCTTGCGGACTGTAGCTAAGCTCCATGTATCTTCGGGTAACAAGGGCAGGCAAGGCCGAGGGTCATGTTTTTGAGCTCATGTGTGGGCGACCGCGCCGTCGCTGTGACGAGTGCACTGTGGTTGCAAAGCAGGTGATGTAGTGACGCGTTGGTACAAGCAGGAGCCGAGGAGGGAAAAGATGCGTCGGTCAGTTCCGCGGAAGTGTCACCGAAGATATACCGATAGCTACAGGCACGGACCAAAAGAGTCACATGACTCGTATACGTATAAACAAAATGTCTACAAAATCAATACAAGGGAAGTTAAGCAACACAGGAAATTCCATCACCCCTTAGTTCATTGTGAAAAGAAAAGCCCTTTGCCTCTCTCTTGAGGTTTCCAAGGTACTGTAAGAATTTCCCCCGATTTTGAAAACAAGGACCCGGTCCTCGTTCGTTGAAAGTCGCTCCAGCGCGCACAACAAACAACGACTGCGCGACATCTGCACATATATGTCCATGTATTTAGCAAAAATCTCAAAAGCTGATGCGAACTGCCGGATGCCTCTCCGTCAAGGAGAGCTGAGATCACTGTTCAGGGAGCGCTTCAATCTCCCCATCATCAGCCGCACTCTCCAACACCCCAGCCGTGCTCTTTCGATTCCCCACTAATTCCACCAGTCTCGGGCGGAGTGGCTGCTTCGTGGCCACGGCCTTGTGGACTCTCATCTTGGCCCGTCTCACGGAAACCTGCCTCGCCACGCTCACTTGGACAATCTGTCGTTCGAGATCTTCGGCACTCTTGACACGGGGATAAGGCTCTGGCGCGCTTTCATCCACATGTTCCGGGGGGGAGGGGATCGTGTCGGGTTTCGAGGTCATCATATCCCAAGCTGATTCTTGCTGCCCCAAGGCCCGACCGATAGATTCCGTGTCTGTGCATGTGGTCATGGTGGTGGGGGTGGGAGGGAGGGAGTTCTCGCTGTAGATTGTGTTGGCGTCCACAGAGTCCATAGAGGACGGGAAAGTTTCGACGGTATCCTTTCGGCCTCGTGAGAAAGCTGAGGTGAGGGGGGAGATGGCGCCTGGCGGGGCGGTCATGGAGCGTTGAATTGGTCCCGGTCGTTGGAGAGAGGTGACAGTTGCCTCGCTCCCGTTGCCTCCTAGTGTCTGCTTGGAACCGGTCTGGATGGAAAGTGATCTCGTCAAATGAGTCGATGGTGTCGAGAGCTGGGAAGGATCGGGCGGTGGCACATCCCCTCCGTTACTCCTCTCGAGACCTGATATTCTTCTATGGAGTCGACTCTGGCGTCTCTCCAGCAATGAGGGCCTCGAGTCATTCGACAGGAGCTTCTCAAACATGACGCTATACCTCTCAAACTCTGATTTGGGGATATCAAGATCCAACCTCGGCATTCCGAGGGTAGCCCCCGCTACGTTGGCATTATGACTTTCCACTGCAGAGTCGTGACGCTCTGGCGGTGTCTTGAACATATCTGTAGATGCTCGGGTAGGCGTTGTTCGCGGCGAAGGCGTTAGGCTGCATCTCATCTTCGATTTGAGCTTAGGCATGGGAGAAGTCCTGTCTGTCGGTGTGGATTGCGCTGACCACATATGTCCAGTACCTGCGGACGCTTTTCTCGAGTGCCCTCTCATGCTTGAAACAGGTCGAGGCGATGGTAGCTCCGGTGATGTTGCTTCTGAAGACGCCAATGCTCGGATTGGTGGAGTGCAAGCAGATGGTGGTGTTTGTGCATGCTCTGGTGCCGGTATGCAATGTGTACCCCGTCTGCTGGACGACCTGCGGAACAAGCTCCCAAATACCTTCCAACCAGACTTTTTCTTGGGCTGTTCAAGACCGCAAGCCACTGTGTGGCTTCGCTGCGGTTGAGGCGGTCGTGGCGGCGCGCGGCTGGGCGGTAGCGGATCCGTCCGATCAGATATATTGTTGATCGTTAATGATCTTCCCCAGCTCGGTGGCGCTTGTGAAGGCGATCCGATAGCAACTCCAATCTTCGGCGATGGATAGTTCAACGGAGACGAAGAGGGGGGTACCGGTGGAAAAGTTGCGCTGTGCGGCGTCGTAGGCGGAGGAGACGGTACTCTCGGCTCAGGTGTAGGAAATCGAAAAGTATCGAGGCCATCAGTGTATTCCAACGTTCTTCCAATCCTCTCCAGCTCTTGAAGGCTGGTGGGTTCTTTTGCGGCCATGATCATGTGCTTCGTAGCATTTGTGCCCTCCGAGGAGCCGCGCTTACGCCTTTCCTCGACACCGGCAGATGTATTCGGTTGCCTGCGCATAGACTTCCCATGCTCCAGTACTGCCTCATCGATAGAAGCAAAAGCCTCCTTCCGACCTATCGCCATAGCTTCGTCCTTCGCTCTCGCACTGTTCGAACAAGACCGATTCGGCTTCGTTTGACGCAATGTTCCAGGCAGGGTCCAAGAAAAGCCAGATTTCCGAGACTCGTCAAGGGGTGATAGCGAACACTCAGTTTCAACGCGAGCAATGACTGCTGTGTCGTGCTGACATGGATACTCAAACGAGCGGACACACTCTTCCGGAGAGTGAAACGGCGTTCTTGAAGCAGGCCAAGGCTGCAATGGGGGGTATCCTGAAACCTTAGGAACAGGAAGGCTGGAAAGCGACAAAAGAGATCAGCCAGCAGGTAATAATAATGTTCGGTACGAAAAGAAGTAGTTTGGTAGCACAAGAAGGATGCGAGAAGGCGCGCGCACCAAAAAGTGGTGTTCGCATGAGGAGCAAAGCAGAAGGAGGAGACAAGAAAATGAAGGACCCGTGCGGCGCATCCAGCCAGCCATCAATCACGGCGTCTGCCTGCCGCGAACACGAACATCCCAGTCCCTCATCACGACTGTCGGAAAGATTGCTTCACATTCCCGCGGCTTCGATGTAGTGTCATCTACCCGTGTCCCGAAGTACGGCATCAGCGCCGTGTTCCGTGATTCGCAGCTGCACGGCGAGATTAGCAGTGTGCAGTCACGGCGACAGTGCATATTGTGTGCTGGCAATGTTCCGAAGGACGACGATGATTGCTGCAAATATCCGTCTAGCGAGTGAGAAGAGTTCAAGGTCAGTTTCAGAAGTATGAGGCGCTACCCACTTAACTTAAATTTCGTTTCGTTTCGCGTCGCGTCACGTGATGACAGCGACTTCCGTAAGACGAGACATTTCATTAGCGCACCAGCGGGTAGGGCGTTGCCTGGCTCGGTCTGCTGGTTGGTGAGAGATTTTAAGATTGTCACGATCGACCTGCCATGGATGTCGTATACGAATGGCGGAAACGTTGAAATGCCCAGAGCCTGATGAGCGACCGAGCCTCCATTACCACAACACTCACGCACTCACAATGTGCGGTATCCGATTCCATCACGGCCAAGCCCTGCTTTCCGTCTCGATGCAGTTGATGATGCGCTCGATACATCTCCGGGCCTGCAAGATACAGAAGCTGTAAGTGAATATTGATCGCTTCGGCCTCGGTACGCTCGACAGCAGTAGCATTCTAGTTTTGGCGTGAGATGAATGTGCCTTCTCGTCATCACCATTTTGACGTCCGGGGGAACCGTCTGAATGGTCCACATTGGGGATATTGAGAGGACAGCATTCTCGAAGCTTGCAGGATCGTTCATCCTCCACCAAGTCCGCGATGGCTTCGAGCATCTCATCCCGTAACGTCGAGGATTCGAGAATTTTCAGAGTGGTGGGTAGACACTCTCGCAAGTCAGGTGAGAAAATCAGCCTATCGAGACGGGGAGCAAGAGCTAACAGCATGCTTTTTTGAAGGGCTCGTCCCAACCTTCTCTGCTCCGTTCGATCCATAGCTCGACCTCGTCAGACTTCAATTTAAGGGTGTTGGTCATGATGTCGCGAAACAGGTCTCACTCCTGGGTGTCGAAGAAAGACTCAGCCATGTTCCGGAGGCTGAGGCCAGTTCTGCTCATCTTCATGCGGACTTTCTAGGCGCCAGTCGCAGGTATCCCACTTCGCAACGCCCGACCGTCAACCGTAGGCGATCATGCTGGACTCGGTACTGGCGATGGTCTCGGTTCTCGCGCGCGCGCGGGCGCAGGCGGAGGCGGAGGCGCAGGTGTCGATATGTCTCTTTGCACGCGAGTGCCGATGGGAGGATGCTATCGGGTGGGACGAAGGTCGCGATGGCCGCACCCACACAGCCCAGCTCTTTCGGCAGGCTGCCGAGCCGCCAAGCTGCCAAGCTGCGGGATGCCACCGGTGTGGGGAGAGAAGCATTCGAGGTGAAAGCTGAGCCGTGAAGGGCTCCGTCTCATCATCTCACATCTCACCAATACCACAGCTCCCGACACCACAGCTACCACCGGGTTCGTGCCTGGCCTCCTCGTGCTTCTTCTACTCCTTCGCTTGCGCAGCGCCCTCTACCCTACACCGTCATGCAGGAGCCAGTACTACGCCAGCCGAGAGCGCAAGCTTTCGCTCGCCAGCTACAACTACACTACAGCAACAGGCTGACGGGCCTCGTGTCTCCGCTGCGCATCCATCTGGCTACCATCTGATGACCTGCCGCATACGGCCTTCACGCTTACGCTTATTAGCTTTGTAGTACCTGTGAGGCTGATCCTGGCCCCCGAACGCCCCAGGCTGTAAGCACCTACAATTCCTCTCCGTCACTCTTTTTTCTCCCTCGCTCCTCTCTCCACGCACATCTCCAGAGGCCTCGCAAGCGGAACAACAGTCGCTAAAGAGCTAAAGAATCTCGTGGCCGCCGCCTGCTGACCGCTGCAGCCATGGCAATGGCCGATGTTATAGGATGCGTCACCGCTGTCGCTTCGGCATTCCAAGGCGGAGCCGACCTCGTGGCGGCCATCATGGAGCGCAGGGACAAGAAGAAATGGCGGAAAGACAAGGACCAGGAATTGGCGTTTCAGGAACGGATGCTGCATCGAGCCCTCGTGGACGCCGCAAGTCAATGCCACAACACCGCTCAGGACCGCAGGCAGCGCTTCGGTCAGTCTTTCGACACGGGAGATCACATCGCAGTCTCCGAACTCAAGGATGTCATTATCGGGCTGCAGTCAACCGTCACCAACAGTCTGCAACTTGCCCGGAATGACAGAAATGCGGCACTAGACTTGGCGAGACTGCACGAGCATGTCACCACTCAGAAGGGCAACGCTTTACGTTCGATAGACGAGCTCTGCCGCCGCGCTGTGAGGGCCGTTCCAGCTCAGAGGTCATACACTATCGATTGTGCGACTCCTGTGGTGTATTATCGAGAGAAGCAAGAGTATGCATCGCAATCTGCGCAGCGTAGTATGTCGGCGGACTACCACAACCCTTATCAAAGACCCGCAATGAGCACAATTGCGCTGTGTTACTCTGGAAATCCTGGGTATATCCATCAGGACCTCGTGCGAACGCCATCTTCAATACAGCACACGCCTATCTCCATGATGGCTCGTCATCCTTCAAGCGCCTCGACATCGACGTACAATAGCTGGTATTCGCAACATCGGCGCCCAAACAGCGATATTGCGAGCGTACAGGAGAGCGCCGCGATGGACAGTCAGTCTGAAGGGCTACCAGCATTAGACGAAGTCTCTCTACATGACTCTGCTGTCAGTGGCAGCCTCGTCAGATCCAGGCACAAGCCTGCTGCGAGCATCAGCTCCGTGGCCATGACAGGAGAGGGACGAGATTCCTCTGGTGGAGGTTCATCTCGCGAGCAAAGAGGCTCAAGCGAAGACACAGCTAGCGAAGGCCGCACTATGTCCGTAACCTCCGACCCCAGCTCAGACTGCCGCACCGCTTCCTCAACCCCACCCCAGTATGCATCGCCATATATGTCCGCGCCAGAAGAGGACGAGGAAGAAGACGACTACGTGGACCTAGAAGCGCGAGCAACTCTCGCTCCCGAGGTTGTCACGAAAAAATACGAGTCAATGCTCGCCCATCAGGCTCGTCAGCACACCGTCCGAATGAAGCATCCCACCCACTACCAAAACATTCATCCTGCCCACCGACAACTGTACATTGCACCCGAGCCAATGGGTATCGATCCTGACCCCGTGAGGATTTGGGACCCTCTTCCTCGTCCTGCCAAGATCAACAAGTACCACGGCTTCTGCAAATCAGCGTGGCAGATTCGGGAGAATGTCCAAGAAGGTCTGAGTATCGCCATGATTCCGGCAGGCAAAATCGGCGAGACCTTTCCCCATTGGAAATGCAAAATGTGCGAATTCCAGACCAAGGCCACGAATGACTCCAATGCCCTACCTACACAGGTCTACCACGCGTCGTCCGGGGTACGCTACAAATGGATCTTCCTGGCGAAATCACATATACCTACCAACGACGCCAAGCCCAAACCTGAGGCGTATGCGTATGGATGCATTTTCTGCGCCGCGCAGGGGAGGGAGACTGCGGTGCATGCCAATCTGAATGCGCTGATGGGACATATCGTTGGCAAACACAAGACTGCGATGTTGACGCCGGAAGTCCTGGAAAAGACGAAGTGCATTCTGGGAGGAACGTCGGATCGGGGGCACGAGTGGGACATCAATCTGCCAGAGAACACCGGGAAGCGATTTGCGGCCAAGATCGGACATCGAGTTGTCAATGCCATGACGAGTATTGTTTGAGATGCTCCGGTTGCGGTTGGGACACCTCCTCTAGCGAGGCGCTCTCTCGGCTAGCGAATGAGCTTTCGACTTGACATCCTCACCGTGGCAACTTCGCCAACGGATGTGGATAGGATATAGTTTATAGCTGATATCTGACTTGAAGATAGAGTAGATACGAGACAACGATGGCCTTCATATGTGTCATATTAACAATGGAGATTCTTCCCTATCCACTTCTCGAAGCCTCTCAATATTAACGACGGGAGGAATCCTTGAGCAGGTGAGTACGTGAACCACCATTCACTTCCACGGCTTCCACCACATGCTCGGAAGCGACCCGAAAGCTCATGACAACGCTTTACGTCACACCCATGCACGAAGCACGTGGGGAGAGCCAAGAAACAGGCTGCTCGTAATCAGATCTGACATCTGGACCTTGCACTTCATTACACAATCACCAATTGCACTGCCACTGACTCCGCCAACAGCGGAAGGCGATTGTGCCGAAGTGCCGGAGCAAGCAGGATTTCCGGGTGAGGCATCGACCTCGCTCTCGCTCCTTCATCCACAATCACCTGACGACTTTGCGTCGACAACGATGGCCGAAGCACAAGCTCCAGAGCAAGCTCAGGGAAGTGAAGAGTTTGGACCTCCGAAGCAACGGAAAAGCCTCATTCCCACGATCCCACACCACACGCACCGGGAAATTCGCAAAGCGTATGTGTCGACCAGCAATCGACCACGATGGGTGTTGCATATGCAAGCCGTCTTTTGGCGGACTCTGATGAGTCTGGGCATGTTCTTCCATCGTCTCGCGCCTCCTCAGCCGCCGAAACCGAGCTTTTACAAGACGATTGATACGACGATCAGTGGGAGGCCGGGACAGATAACGTTGTACTTCTACGTTCCGGGGGATTATCATACGCAGAAGAGGTTGTGGTTGGATCCGAATGGCGATGTCGATCCGGACGAGGAAGTGGAGAATAGGGCGAGGAGGGTGAGGCAGAGTATTACGGGTCTCGGAGATGGAATCAGGAGGAGAAGGAGTGTGAGAAGGTGGGGTGGATATCCTGTGATAATCAACTTCCACGGAGGTGGTTTCACATTGGGGAGTCCGCATGATGATGCGAGGTGGTGCGGCACTGTCGTCACGGAATGCAATGCCGTTGTCGTGAGCGTGGATTACAGGCTTGCGCCGGAGAATCCTTTCCCTACCGCTGTGGAGGATGGAGTCGATGCTGTGGTATGGATCCATAACCATGCTGAGGAGCTCGGAATCAATCGGGATAAGATTGCTCTGTCAGGCTTCTCGTCAGGCGGCAACATGGCATTCACCGTACCGTTGCGACTTCACGATCAGCAGACTGGCTTTGCAAGAAATGAATCGGACCTCGACCTCTCCAAGCAGCAAGACGGAACCGCGGAAGCGAGCACACTCCACGCCAAGCCCTCCATCTCCGACGACAGAGAGCACACAGCTTCCAGCTCCTCAACAGAAGTCACGCAAAACCCGGATGCCAGCACAGCCCAGCTGGTCGACCCCAATGGCCCATCGCCGGAGCCAACACCTTCAAGACCTCACAAGACTGGCACAACATTCACTCAGCGCACGTTTGATATTCCAGAGATCAAAATCCGATGTATAGTACCCTGGTATCCCTCTCTGGACTACACTCGTACTCGCGAAGAACGCCGTGCAACCTGTGTTCGCGCAGACCAGGAGCTACCCGCCCTCTTCACAGACCTCTTCGACGACTCCTACCTCCATCCACCAAAAGATGTTGCTCTTGACTCCCCTTATCTCTCACCCGGCGTCGCTCCCACTGAACTTCTGAGAGATGGGCTGCCAGAGGAGATCATCATGCATACCTGCGAATGGGACATGCTCCTCGACGAAGGCGAAGTCTTCTACAAACGCCTCACATCCGACGAAATCGGAAAGAAGGTGAATTATACCATGATTCCCGGTGTTCCGCACGGATGGGACAAGGCACCTAACCCCTGGAAACCCACACCCGGCGTGCGGGAACATTATCTGAAAGCTTGTAAGGAGTTGAAGAGGATTTTGGGCCAGAGGGAAGTGGACGAGAGTGCGCCGAGGAAGAGCATTGTTAGGTGAGGTTGAGACCCCGACTTACTTCGGTGCTTATCTGGTAATGGGGCTACGGGGAGCTGACTACTGCGCGAATTTTTTACTCTCAAAGGCGATTCAAGGAGCGGGCGAGCAAGTATCTATTTGGGATGAAGGAGCACAGTACGTGATATGCAGTTAATGTCGTTTAGTGCGTCTCAATCGACGAGCGACTCGTCTAAAACTCCTGCTTTCTCACTCCCAAAGACACCCCCTGCAATGTGCAACTTGGAAGACATCATCGTTGGCCGATGGCCTAGAATAACAAGGGACAAGTTTCGATCTGTTCGTTTGAGTCTATCTGATTTTGATGAACTAAGAAGCTTCAGAAAGTGGCTTTCAGTCGACTGAAAGCAATGCACTCTGACCCATCTTCAATCATTGAATTGCCTGTGAGCAGCTCCAAGCGCCATGGCAAGCAATTGGTGTTTCGAACAAACACCGCTGAAGTTGACTCGTGGTCTCTCAACCCACAGCTTCCATACGAGCTGCCTGATGAGCTTCTCATTCCACTCGTCGTCGTTCATTGGCATCGTACAAGCTCCGGGTGCCCTGACATCGTCTGGACTTTCTTCGGTAGAGGGGACGTGGCCGTCAGGGCCATAGCCGAGGTCTTCGACTACAAAGTGATTTCTCTAGCGCATCTTGCAATGGTGCATCATGGCGGTTTCCAGCATTGGTGAAGAGGCTGTTGGAGATATCACCAAAGCCGCCCTTTTCCTTTTGTGTATCAGGGTGAGTTTGGTCTGCCTCGAGATCGAAGGTATCGCCGGCTCTTGGGCCATCTTGGAGCGTTCAAATGCTTTCCCTTTTGGTGTAAAGATAGACGATGGGGACGTCGAAGCCTTCAAGTTCAAGGTCTACGTACACAAACATACCGCCACGGAAAGCCCCACGAGCTTTCGACCATGCTGATGGGGGTAAGAGCTTCCAAATAGTCATTCGCCTTTGCACGACCACCTAGCATCATCTTCCGTAGCAGAATCTTCACGAGAGGAAGGAGAGACTGAGAAATTGGTCATGCTTTGCAGTAGATGACGTTCGGCTAGGTTGCGTGGCTGGGCAATTTTCGGGATATAAAGCCGCATCCTTGCCAACGGAAGCAGCATGCAGACCAAGTCAGTAGAGACCTGCCATCCGCTTCCAAGCGATATCAGGTATTATTTTGCGTTGTAGAGTTCAGTGTCGGGGGCATTCGATTGCTGTGCTCGAGGCTAATGCATGTGACGAGGTGATCCGTGCGCTTGAGGCTTGTCCCGATTAGGACAGCTCTTGGACAACCGTCAAACAACACCATCTCCGTGCCATCCACTTTCACATACCACCAACCAACCGCTCGTGATCTCAGAAATGCCATAGCGACATCCGAGAGACCTCAGCGACAATGCCTCACTACACTGTCCGCGTCGAGACACAATCCGGCCGCAATTCGCCCAAACCTCCTCCAACCCGCGTCTACAACGTGAGCGAACCTCCCTATTACGGCCAGCTCGAAACCGACAAATCCGCATACCGAAACAGCAACCCCGACACCGCGATTGTCATCGATAATGGCTCCTCTTCCGTGCGCGCAGGCTGGCAAACCGACGCCTCACCGCGCCTGCAATTCCCGCCTCTCATGGCGCGCTACACAGATCGCAAACTCAACCGCAAGCTCTGCTTCATCGGAAGCGAAATCTACTTTGATGGAACGGCGCGCGGTCAAGCGAAGAACATATACGAGCCAGGAAGTAATATTGTGAACAATTGGGATGTGCAAGAAGGGATTCTGGATTACATCTTCCTCAAATTCGGAATGGAAGATGTGGTGGATCGGCCGATTGTGATGACGGAACCGCTCGCGAACTTGGGATACACAAGAAAGGTCATGAGCGAGATTATGTTTGAGCTGTATAATGTTCCCAGCGTGGCGTACGGGGTGGATTCGCTGTTTAGTTACAGCTATAATGAGGGCAAGACCGGGCTGGTGGTCTCAAGCGCCAACATGAGTACGCATCTGATCCCCGTGGTGGACAAGCAACCGCTTATCAGTCACGCGACGAGATTGGATTGGGGACGGGCACAGTGCGCGGAGTACTTGACAAGGTTGTTGAAGGCAAAATATCCAGGGCTTTTGACGTCTGGCAAGGTCAACGAGACCCAGATAGAGGAGCTGGTGCGGTCGCATTGCTACGTCAGCCAGGACTACGATAACGAGGCCATCCGATTGCTGGATTGGACGGGACTGGAGGACCGCGATCACGTCGTGCAGCTGCCGTTTCAGGAGAAAGAGGTTGTGCAGAAGACCGAGGAAGAACTGAGGATAGCGGAGGAGAAGCGGAAGGAGTCTGGCCGGAGATTACAAGAACAGGCGGCGAAGATGCGGCTGGAGAAGCTGGTACGGAAAGAGCAAGAACTCGAGTACTACAAACAGGTTCAGCAGCAGATTGCGGAGGCTGTCACGAAGAAGGAAATCAGGGCTTTGCTAGAGGAAGAAGAGTTCAGGGATGAGAATCAGCTGGATAAGAAGATCAAAGAAATGGAGAAGAGCATCCGAAAGCAACGGAACAAGGACGTTGGCGATCTAGAGGAAGAAGCAGAGGAGCCTCCAACATACCCACTTCTAGGTATTCCTGACGAGGAGCTTGACGAGGACGGTCTTAAGCAAAAGCGCCAACAACGACTCCTTAAGAGCAACCACGAAGCCCGCGCCCGAGCCAAAGCAGAGAAAGAGGCTGAAAAAGCCCGTCAAGCAGAAATTCAACGTCTTGACGATGAAAGACGAGAGAATGATCTCGATTCCTGGATTGCAGAACGCCGGGCAGAACGGCAAGCTACAATCCAAAAGATCAAAGAACGTGATCGTCTCAAAGCGGATCTCGGAAACCGCAAATCTCAAGCCAGCCAAATGCGAATGAAGCACATCGCCAATCTTGCATCAGACAATCCACACGGTCGGAAGCGAAGACGCGGCGGTAATGACGACGACGGATTCGGAGCGGACGACGCAGACTGGATGATCTACCGGGAAATTCAACAAGGCAAGAACGACGACGACGATGACGACGAAGAGGAAGACTTCGCTACACAACTCAAGAGCATTGAAGCTCAACTCCTGAAACACGATCCGGACTTCACAGAACACAGTACACAAGAGGCACAGAAGGACTGGACGAAATCCCTGCTCCATGCTTTCTCAAGAGGCCCGTGGCCGTTTGATCCCGAATCTGCAAGGGAGTCCAATCAGTTCCATCTCAATGTCGAAAGGATCCGCGTGCCGGAGGTGGTGTTTCAGCCTTCGATTGCGGGTGTAGATCAAGCGGGCATCGTCGAGATTGCGGAGGATATCCTCATGCAGCGACTTTCAGGCCATCCCTCTCGAGATACCATACTGAAGGACGTCTTCATCACGGGTGGCTACGCTCTGTTCAAGGGGTTTGAGGAGCGGCTGCGAGATGAGTTGCGAGCGGTCTTGCCTGCGGATGTTCAGCTGGGGTTGAGGAAAGCGAAGGATCCGGTGCTGGATGCTTGGAGAGGAGCTGCAAAATGGGCTAATAGCAGGGAGAGTCGGCAGAGTTTTGTGAGCAAGGCGGAGTATCTGGAAAAAGGGGGAGAGTATATCAAGGAGCATAATCTGGGGAATGTTTACAGCTAGAGGACATGGGATATCATGACGGGAGGGAAGACGGTGGTTGATGCTCGAAACAGCGTTGGCGTTGGGACTGGGACGAGGAACGCTGTTGGCACGAAGTGAAGAACTTTTTATTCTTTGCCTGCTATTTGTTCAACCCTCCCTTTCCAGCTCGTCGACAATCCGGAAGACGCAGATTTTCCATTGCCATACGATTCCCTTACCAACATTTCATTCGCGACACTCCGAGGCGGCCTCGAATGTGGGATGTGTGAATGTAATCGCATGGACATCATTTGGAAGCTCAGCCCATGTCGGCTTATCTCTTGTGGTGTTGGAACCAGAATGGCTCGAGCACATACTTCTTCTTCCATCGCAGACTGGCATTGCAGACCTGCGATTAATATTCTGGGCGTGCGTTGATCGCATGCTTTTGACATGAGATGTTCTTAGCATGTATCATCTCCAATGGTTGGGAATGTCGCACGACTCGTGCAAGTTCGCTCCCTCGCGAACGCACCTGAGGCAGAGTCCATCGCAGATCCGATTCAGCTTATCGTTGAAGCGTTTGACTTTTTCCTCTGAGACCAAATCATTCTTGCAATTCGCACTTGTGCCTGGCAACTTGCGGCTTCTGTCAATTGCTTCGGCGATGGAAATTCTTGGGCCAGGCCAAAATGCGGTGTCATACACAGCCCGTAGCACTGCTTTGAAGCCGCCGTCGCACTGACACCCATTCCCCGTAAAGCAAAGAGCGTAGAGCTTAGGAATTCCATAGACGAGTTTCTCACGGGCGATGACGCGCTTGTTTTCGATAGTATCTGCGACTTGTTAGACCAGGAACAAAGGGCAAGGGGCAAGATTCATACTGACTCCAGACGATCTCTGGGATAAGTTCACGCGCGTGTTCGGGCCCGCGGAGTCCTTTGCTTTCAATCGCCAGACGCCGAGTGGCTTTGTGAAAGAAATGGTTGCTGTCGAAGAGGTAGGCTGCAGCCACAAGGTGCTCAAGTGCAAAGGTGCGCCAAACCTCTCCAAATCGATATCTGACATGTGTTCGTCGCTGATGTTCTCCAGCCAATGGTAGAGCACTGCCGTAATCTGCAGTCGAAGCTGTGGGCCGCATGCGTATTTATCTACCACTCGAGCGAGCGCCAACACCCGGCCAGGGTCTGCAGAGTCAATACCAGGAGGTGCGATTCCGTGTAGCATCAAGCACATGTCTTTCATGGCAGATGACCTGTCTTCCGGAAGAGGGATCACCAGTGGGGAGGCCACGCTTCGTGGAGCCTGGCCTTCTCGAAAATGTGGTCCAAGCAGCGCTGCAAATACCTTCGAGCTCCTCATCAGAACGGCGGAAGAAACCCGAAGCTTCACTAGAAGAGGTGTAGTGCTGAAAGGACCGAACCATTTCGCTTCTAGAATCACATCCCCATCCGCCGCGATGTTCTCAACTCTCTCTTCCCGTGCGGAAGCCATGGCGGCTGCCGGGCGCTTTTTCCCTCGTTGTATTGCGGTCAACGATGAGATAGCTTCCAGTATTCAAAGGGATTGTGCTGCAGCCGCAGCGCTGGATTTGGTGCTCGAGGATGGTGTAGAATCCGAAGAAGGTGGTGAAAGAACTTGAAAAAAGAGCGCCGTCAAGCGAAAAGTGAAGTGCGGCACGCACAGACAATTCACAACAGAAACAGAAGGTTCGCTGCGGAACAAAGCCGCAAGGAAGGAACGCCGCGGGACGAGCCGCCGGTTGCATGTGATGACCGCACTAGCGCCTCAGACAAGGCTTGTCAGCCCGAGCACATGAGATGTCGTTAAGCGCAGTCGGAGCTATAAGTTCCAACGAACTTTAGTCTAGAATTCGCGTCTGCTTGAATCTAAGCTACTCGATCTGAAAGAAATAGTGTCGGAAGAAGCAGAATGCGCGTGAAATTCCATGCGCTTGAGATCTCGTCTCTTGCGGTTCTTAATGTCGCGCTTGAAAAGGAGGCCACTTTACTCCCCGGAGTAGCGACAACATCGTCATCACCGCCTCGTGACTTCCTGCTCTGAAAACCATAATGACCATGAAATGGAAGAAACAACGGCGCCCCAAAACTGTATGGGCGACCCGTACCCATATAACGTATACGCCCACAGGCGCCTCGAAGGATTTGGAGCTCTGAACGAGTACGTATGGCCGACGAGACACCCAGCAAGATGCCGACGTCGTCTTTCTTCGGCAGGAAATATCCATGGATGCCGAAACAGGTCGCACTCGGTTGATGGTCCTCAAAAGTAAGAGGCCGAAGGGGGTTTTGTTGGTTTGACACGTGACTAACAATGATGTTCAAAGTCAAGACCAACTTCAGTACTCCAGCGGATGTTTGATTAGAAGCTCTTGCTGCCAATACCACATGATAATAGACAGCGACGACCCGCGTGGACGGGAAGAGCCGCAATCCCATGTGACGCTAGGTTCAGAACTCCATCTCAACGAACATCTTGATCGCACAGCGCCGAAAAAAGTCGTCCAGATGAAGACTGCAAGTTAACAGATCGTCATCGACGCCTGTAGATCTATTCTCTATTCACCGTGCTAGTCCGGTTTATATACATTCTGCTCCGGGCCAGCGTGGAGACTCCGGTTTTCCAAGTTCCGAACGCCTCGCTGAAAACCAGTGTCCGCACTCAAGACCGTAAAATTCCTTATCCCCGACATCATGATGGTCTGGGTCCACAAACGCCAAAAATCGGAAACGCAACTGTCGATTTCACCCTCACCGCATTCTAGAAGCGAACGGCGTCCTCTCATCCGCATCCGCCGCACTCGAATATCCACTGTCATCGTGCACTTTGATACGAACGACCGAAGGCCGATGTTTTCTCTGCTCATCGGGCATGAAGTGGCACGGAGCGACCGTCCGTACGCGATGCTGAGGTCCTTGACTAACGCGATTGATGAAGAAAGCCTGGATGGTACCAGCGAGAGCCACCAGCGCGGAAACCCACCAGGCGAGAGCGGTGAATTCAATCTTGACGCCGAGGCCGTAGACGAAGCCTGCAATGGGACTAGCGATTGTGCGAGCTGCAGCGCCGGTGGAAGCCGCCAATCCATTGATTCTGCCGAAGCACGACGGGCTTGGCGAGGCTTCTTTGATCAAGATCAGGAGGACTGGGTAAGCCAGAATAGAGAACAGATTTCGGACGGTTAGGCAGGCGTAGATGCCTACGTATAATAGCTTGCTGTCGGGAAGAAGTGCCAGATATGGCACAATGAAGTACACGATAGGATGGCCAATCGCTGTAAAGATAAGAGTCTTCCACACTCCAAGCCAGCTTGCCATGAGGGGGAAGATGATTGCTTGAACGACAAGTGCAATGATGCCGTTAACAGACATGATGATGCCGACCTGCTGGATGCTCAATCCCAGACCACCGGCAAGCGAGCCGTGTTGAGTTGCCATGCTCTTGGCCAGAACCTGGAGGATCTCGCCTCCTGGAACTCTACCGTCCTGGCAGAAAATTGGGAACAAATGGTCGTAGGTCATGGAGTGATACGTGAAGATGCCGAGAGCGACCGTAAGCATGATGACGCGCTTCGTGAAGACTTTGTCGTCGGATGCGCTGCGAATGCTGGGAGTACGCGTGGTGCCATCTGGCTGGACATCCCATTCCTCCACGACTGCCTCCTCGTCGACGGGGTTGAAAGTGCCGTAGCTTGACTCTTGCTCCAGGTTGACGGCCGGAGTAGTTGTGCTTGCCTGGGCTGGTATTAATGGCGTTCTTGCGTTCGTCTCTTCGAGATCCTGCGGGGTGCTCCAAGGTTGCATGTCGGGGTGGGTCTCTTCGAGGCAAAAGTAGGCGGCAAAGATGGAGATGGCCATTAGTGCAGCGCACACGACGTTTGGCAGAAGGTAGGGAAATCTGTCAAAAAGTCCACCTCGGGGGACGAGATTTGGAAAGTTTTCAGCTGGCTCGGCGAAGAAACCACCTACAGAAGGACCGACAATTCCACCTATCGACCACACGAAGGGCATTATAGCGTATGCTTTCGCTGTGCACGTGTCAGCCATGTGTCGAAAGATTTGTTGCCCAGAACTCACGTTCATGTTGTGGGTTTGTAACCAGCTCGCCGACCATGGACTGGATGACACCCTGATTTCCATTCAGTGCGCCGCCTAGAAAGCGAGCGAAGAGAGCCATCCGAAAGTTGACAGAAAAGCCGACTACGAGCAGGGAAATAATAGTACCACAGCATCCCATGATCAAGACTGGTTTCCGGCCCAGCTTATCACTCAGCCCTCCCCAAAACCTCATCAAAGTTAGCAGGTAGTCTCGAACGACGCGTCAAGGCTGTTTCCGAGCACTCACATGCCCGAGAGTGACTCGGCGAGAGAGAAGGAGGAGATGAGGACGCCGGCGTAGAAGGGGGCATTGCTGGGGTCGCCAATTCCAAAATGGAGGACGAATTTCCAAGCATATGGGAGGATTGATAGGATTGCAATCGGTTCCGCCGCCCGTACGAGTGCTGTGGGATATGGTTAGCGGTTGCGAGGTCGAGGCTGAGGTTGAGGCCGAGGCCAAGGAATGGGTCGCGTCTTCGCCACGTACCGAGTAGAAAGAGCTGTGTAGCCGGGAACTTGGTGGGGTCTCGAGGAGGGGTTCTTCTGCTTGTCAATGCCATGTCCTGTGAATACGGCTCCAGTCTTACGGACGCCCGTCCACCTCCACGAAACCAGAATGGAATGCAAGAGGCCGCGTGGGAGGAGGAAGATGTAGCGGATTGGCGCTTTCCCACTGGAACGAGAAGCAATGGCGCGATCCGACGAATTCAGGAAAGCAAGGAAGGTGGGTTGTTGATGAAAGTGTATGGGAAGGAGCGAATTGTTGGTGTTGTGGTCTGGGAGGTGCGAGAGTGAAGAAGTGGGACAGGACGGCATCCGAGTCTTCTCAACTGTCGTGGGATTCTGCCTACCTTAGCGTAGGACCGATCCGCTATTCCGCGAACGCCGGATCTAAGAGAGCAAACTTAATTGTTCTGCTTGCTCTGTCCACAACATTTCAGACTGCTTCCGTCGTCATCCTGCAACCTTTCCCATTCATTCATGTTTTCTCCAACATCAACCCTCAATCTCCCCACGGCCCCAAGATCGTGGGATCGGCTAACCGGCGCTAAGCACTCCACGGGGCTGCCCGTGCACTAGTACGTCTCGTCCGGGAGCCGCCATTGGCTGTCCACGCCTATCGCGGCAAATGATGAGCGTTGAGTGGTTCGTGTGCACAGACCGGAAGTATCCCCGGCAGAGCAGTTCTCCCGTCGGACCAGACTCCGATTGCACACATGTGTATGATTGCACCAACTCCTTGGTGACCGGATGAAATATGCGATGGTTTTGCACTTGCTCCGGCTAGTGATGGTGCACGACATCACCCCCATGCCATGGACGATAGGCTACGGCAGTCATAGCCTAAGGTAAGTAATTCCACATCGAGAGACGCCATGTCAGGAAGACGGAGCAACTGGAATCGTCCGAGGACTGGAATCAATACGACGCCTGCCAAGCGCTCTACCTCTGAGACCTCCGCGATGGGAGAGCAAGTCAAGTAGGTGTAGGAATTTCTTTGCCGAGTGCAGAGCCCTCGACTGCTGCCATCTTCGACTCTGTCGTATTTCATTACGTGATACTTATAATACACTGCGAGGTATCTTCATCCATCAGTCAGTCAGCCGACCATTCGTATTGGTCTTACACTTCCCTCCCCCTGAACACAGCAAGACGCCACCGCTATGTTCATCAGGCCTATTATTATGTCCAATGCAATAACAAACTCACCCCCCCCCCCAAACTGCAAAGGTATAGCTCTCTGTCGCCATTTAACAACCAACCAATCAATCAATCAATCAATCAATCAATCAATCAATCAATCAATCAATCAATCAATCAATCAATCAATCATAGCTCGCATCTCATCTCATCTCATCTCGAATGCCACCCAGCATCCGCAACACCACTCGTAAGGGAAGCCAAACTCCTCACAGCCAGCGGCCTCCTCTTCCCGGTAGGAGTAGCATATACCATCGTAGTAACCCATTTCGACGTGTCCGGTCTCGCCAGGGAAGAGAAATTCGACCCTTCACTGCTGGGAGTTTCATGTCCCAGGATGCTCCAGATGCGGCTGTCCCGTACTTGCGGCGGCGGCGTCTACCGTTTCCTCTCATGCGGCCACCGGCGCGGCACCTGCAGGACGCGCCGCATCAGCAGGCTGAGTAGCATGAACATGGGCTTGTGGTGGAGGTTGAAGGTCTTGTTGTGCTGGCGCTGCTTCCTGTTCCTTTTCTTTCTCACCGTCGCTTTCGATGCCGGTGGCTTCTGCGTCGCGTTTGCGGGCGTGGGTGGATTTGGCTCCGAGGCCTTTTTCGATGTGCTTGAGGGAGTAGAAGAGCAGGATGCAGCTGCAAAAGCCATCAGTAAAGTGCAACGATGCTGATCGTCCATGACTTCTTACCTCCCAATCACACTGAGAAGGCCTGGCCAACAGAATACTACCGCTGCAATTGCGCGCCCGTTGTCCCTGTAACAGATTGGGGTACCGCCATCTTTTTGAAATTCTGAAAGTATGCTTGGACCGTTGCTGTTCGGTCGTACTCCTCCGCTGAACGTCTGGCAACGCAAGGCCGTGATGACCGTCAAGGCGAATGCATCGGCCGTGTAGAATATGCACGCCATGATGCCGCATACTTTCCACGCTATGCGAACTCCTTTCGACTCGTATCGCTCAGGCCAGAAGAGATCGAAGAAGAAGGCTGCTCCGAAGATGAATGCGACGAACACACCGGCGAAGATGTTGTATGAGGCAACTCCGACGTAATCATTGTTGAAGACGTAGATGTTACCGAATTGTCGTCGAATTGCCTCACTCTTGACGAAGTCCTGCGCATCGATGTAGTCTGCCGCGGAGGTCAGTAGTGTCTGGCTGGAGTCTGAATGCGAATCGTACCCGATAGTGCTGCCGTGCCTAATGATTCGGAAACCACACAGAATATGAGGGCGCATTGGTAGACGATGAACTTGGTCCGTCGCAAGTGGTATTCAGAACTCCACATGTTCTTGTTGCCGAACTTGCTCCATTTGATCTCTGCGAGATCGAGGCCCCATATCACCGGCGCCATGGCGTTGTATCGTTATCCCAAGCACCTGCTATGAAATGGCTCAGATGAGGTATCAAGGGATAGATCCAATCGATGGTGCTCTTCTGGGTGAGGTGTGGCGAGATAGAGAGTCGGAGAATAAGAATTAAAGAGGCAAGAGGAAGCTTTCCAAAGTATAGGAAAAGGGCGAGCATAACACCATAAGGCAAGTGTGATGCCGCATGACGAGGGTCGCCTACCCTATTACACATCCTTCCTGTGTGCTGTCTCCGGGATGCGCACACACCGTTGTCCGCCGTGTCTGTCTGCTAACGCAACCACGGTTAACCCTGACGATCGTTGCTGGAGTCTTGTTTCATCACATCTGGCGCGTCGTGCCTCTCCCAATCCTCCGCCATCCACCCGGCTTTGTGGAGAGGACATTGCGATAGTTCTTGGATGTTCCGAACGACAAGGGTGTCTCAGAGCTGTCGTCACTCATATGGGTGGCGATCCGCCCGGAGAGCGGCGGCATCTTGCGTAGGCGCGGTGGTGCATAGTATATCAAAGTATGATGATCAGAGATGTGGAATCGGCCAAAAAGCTTTGTCCGGGATGCCGACGTCATGGCGCAGATCCCGGCCGGCGTTCGCTCGGACGAAAAACCTACCGGTCCGGTCCGAACCATCTTCTTAGCTTCAACTTCTTCCTCGACTGCTAAGGATTCCATCTGGACACACCTCCATCATCCTCTGGAATCCTCTGGATGATCCTCTCTAGCGCTACGATGAGGCAGAGGGATGCCATGCGGGCGATGCCCAGAGCGGCATGGATCGGATGCTACGGCACTCCGAGCATGTGAAAGGGACAAACTTGTGCGGGAGATGGTGACTGGACAGCCCGACGAGCATCTCAAACAGCGCGCTGGATTTCCCGGGAGCCCCGGATGCTTGTCTGGCTCGAGTGGTGCCGACACCAGTCACGACGACAACGAAGGCCAAACGGTGTAACAGTAGCCCTGCTGTGCTCGTCTATCAGGAGGTAAGAGTCAACGCTTGAACATATCCCACAGCAGGCCAAGTCTCCATCATGGCCAAGGAAAGTCTAGCTGTCTGGAAGTCAACCGGATGCCACTTTCAATGCTCCCTGGCGGTCAACTCCCAACGCTAAGATGCTCATTTGGAAAGCTTTGGGAGATGAATTGGCCAGTGGCAGATTACACATTATACCTCCAGCTACAGCAGAGCTTCTTGCTACAACTCAGCAAACACCCAAACCAATGCTCCAATGGCAACAATCAAAGCACTGATGCTGCTCAGACCTAACTCGACTCCCGCAGCCGCGCTCGTATTCCTCAAACTCGCACTCGCACCCGCACTCGTACTCGCAATCATAATCGCACTCGGAGCAGGCGAACTGTAACTTGCCGAGCTGGTAGTACTGTTGGTCATCGTGCTATTTCCACCAGCAGTCGTGAGATTTCCAGGGCTCATAGCGCCCATGCTCGAAGTCATGGTCATCGAACTGCTAGTCGAGCTTGTCGAGGAGTCCGAGCAGAAACTTGCAGCAAATGTCTTGACGGTGTTCTGATCATTAGTATTGGAGCAAGCTTTTTGGACGGCGTTGTTGAGGAAGGGTTGGAGGTCGGGCTTGCTGCAGAGACATTTTGTGTCGGTTGCTCCGCAGCCGGATGTCGTGAGGACCGAGATCAGAGCGGGCGTCGCGCAGTCGGGGAGGTTTGCGGCGCTCGAGGGGACGTTGCTGATTCCTGGGACTGAGGTGGTCTGTGGTGTTGCCGTCGTGAGAAAGCACAGGGCAAGAAGGTTGAGGCTTCTCGTGAGTGAGAGCATCTTGCTTGGTAAGTTGTTGGAGCGTGAGGCTCGGAGGATCTCTCAATGGTGACAGAAATGAAGTCATGCGTCACTTACCTCTTCGTTTTTCGGCTTCAGCGCTCTTGTTGATGAGCCAAGGTAGCATCGGACGCGTACATTCCAACACCGAGGCGGGAAAACCACTGCAAGCAGAAATACGAGAGAACGTTTCAAGATATTATTTTCCACATGGACACGAGACACTGGGTCACGGAAGATGACGGATTTTCCCGGTGCTGGTCAACCAATGCGGTACGGTTGGTCCTGCTTTCAATGCTGGCGAGGAATGTTGCCACCGCAACCGGCCTGGAATGCTTGTCCCACATCCCTAGATTGTGGCTTCATTGTGCCTTTCATATTGCCGTTTGCGGAAACAACACCATGGAAACTGGAGATGGACCGGCCCGTGGGAGATATGAGGTTCAAAGTATGGGGTTCAAAGAGCAAGTCTAGCTGAATAAAATATGATGTAACCCACACGCCGCCGTAGACCTCAGCATGAACCCTCCGTCTTGCCCTCCTGGACGTTCGAGGAGTCTCGTTGGCCTGCAAAGCGAGAATCAAACAACCACAACATGACCAGCAGCAACCAACACTCCACGCTGGTATCCCCGCCTCCCGTGCGCGCCGACAACCTCACAGCGTTCAAGTACGCCTGCGGTATGAAGAAACCGAATTGGGCCATGTCCCCCTTCGACCTCCCCGATCCGCGCGACGAGCGTCGCAGAAGCTCATCCGTGCACTTCTCGATTGATCCCAGGACGGCGGATTCGAGACAACTAAGACAGATTGTTAGCAATCTCGTCCCTGAAGCGACACTCACACAAGCCTCCGGAGAAGATGAAGAAGAAGAAGAAGAAGAAGAAGAAGCAAACAAAGGCGCAGTCGTTCGAGTCCACAGCTATTCCCGAATGATGCACGCGCATACCAGACAACAAATCGATCATATGTCCTCTCCCAAACCTCACTCCTTGCCGAACTATCAAAAGTCTATGCACGCACTCACTTTGGATCAGATCAAGCTTCCGCATAACAGCATCGTCGCCCATCGTCGGGTTTCTTCCGGCGAAACAGGCTCCCTTCATATCAAGGCCCAGCAATCTATCCTGCCCTCTCCGGTCTGCGTGGATTTGAATCAGTTGACTATTGACGAGGCGCCGGTGCCGCCTTGTAACAGTCCTAGTCCAGGGGAGAGGATACTGATTGATGAGAGGAAAGGGATGAGAGGGAGGAGTACGACGCAGCCTGTCCCGAGGGGGTATGTTGGGTCGACGAGGCAGAAGGGGCTCGGTGTTGATGCTGGTGCTGTATGAATGGAATGAGTATGGCGTCGAGAATGAATCCAATCTACTACATTGAAATATGATGATAACGATGACAGAAATACAGATGCGAGTTCGTCGTACCAGGCACCATTGATGAGATGGTGGCCTGGATTCCTGCATACTCAGGCTTATGGCAATTGAAGCTTAAGACACCACCCCTTGAACGCGTATCCTAGTCTTTGTAAACAATGCCAGGCAGACACAAATGCTCTTCAAAAAGCAGAGACACCGCACTCACATTCCATCGCTCTGACAATTTCCCAAGGACAGGACATCTCAGTCAAGCAGCCCTTATCATGGCCGTCCCAAACCGAGAAATCTACGCAGTTGAGCGCGACGACTTCACTGACCAATCATGGAACGACAGCACCAACGCCATCTCCCTCCACGATAGCATAGCAGCTGCCGTCACGGCCGCAGAGGAACACACGGAAGAAATGGCCTTCTTCGCGTCGTATCCTCAGGAAGTGAAGCGGTGGTCACCTTTCGGCAATGGTCGTGACGGGACCCACTCACACAGACTGCAGTACAGCAACATGGAAGAGTTGCGACAGGAGTCCATCGTGAGGGTGAAGAAACGGGAAGAGAGAGTGATGAAAGGCTCGAAGCTTCGAGGACAGCCGAATCAGCGTGTTTTGGAGAAGAATCGATGTGGGTTTAAGGTTGGGATTCCAGTTGGGCGGGCTGGATGTCTTCAAAATCTCGGGATGAAGGCGAAGCGTATTTTGGTTGCCATTCTGCCTTTTTTTTTCGAATTTTCCCATCTCCGGCAGAAGCGATGCTAACAGACGCTGGTCGAGTCTCCCTTTGTGGAGAGTTGGAGACACTTTCACGCCGGGCCGCGGAGCACGCGGTTGAATTGTACGGCGGGAGGTGTGTGAACACTCTGTCCCTGGCGGACTACGCGGTGGTCGGCAGGAAGGCGTGTCCAGATGTGAGTGAGGACGTCCGATGCCAACAGACAACAGACGTGGATGCATGGATTGGAGACTAACACCGATGGATGGCAGGAATTGGAGTGGTTGAGGAAGGCTGGTGCAGAGACGCCCGATGAGCAAGGCTTTTATAGCCTGCTAAAGCAAGGAGTGCCCAAGGAGAAAGCGATGAGAGATGTTCGGTACGAAGACGGTCGTGGGCTTGTGCAGGTTCCTGAGGATGAGGTAGGTGAAGTAGTCGAGTTGGACGAGGTTGTAGAGGTTTGGGATGAAGCCCCCGTCGGTCTTGAAGAGGCCTGACCGGCTCGAAGAAGACGGAGCTGTGGAGGGTTTAATGGAAAGTCTGCGTCAGGTGGCTATTGACGTGGTGTATTGTCCGATAATCAATAATTGAAAGTCGCCAGCCAAATTTTCATGCCGCGCCGGACTAACAACGCTTCACCTACGCGCATTCCGGATTCAATTATGTCAATGACACGAGCCATTGTTACAACTCGAAACATCCCGAGCTTGCGTACTTCTCTAACATGACTAGATGATTGGATTGCCACATGGCATATGATAGCTGCAAACTTCGTAGGATTGCTGTGCGCTTGGCGTGCAGCGACGAGCCTCGAGGCAGTTCGTACCGCTGCACGCTGGATGCTGGGATGCTGGAATGCTGAATGCTGAGTGCTGAGTGCTGAGTGCTGAGTGCTGAGTGCTGAGTGCTGAGTGCTGAGTGCTGAGTGCTGAGTGCTGAGTGCTGGATGCCGAATGCCGAATGCCGAATGCTAGATGCTGGATGCTGGATGCTGGATGCTGCTGGGTGCTGGATGCTGGGTGCTAGGTGCTGGGCGCTGGGTGCTGGGTGCTCGGCTTCGTTACGCCCGGCAGACTCATGAGTTCGTCTTGGCTTTGTGATATACCATGTACCTTCCCAACCCATATGTCGCGTCACGCGGACAACGTCGGGCTCGCTTCTCAATCACAAAAGGTGCAGGTACGCGTGCGTTGGGGCTCGCCGCTTCGATTCCGACATCGACATAGACATCGACATCGACTTCCACTGCCACCTTTGTCGTCGTTAGTATGTGGGGAAGAAAAAACATCGCGGTGATGTCGTTGGTTTCGGTACTGGCGGCTATATTGCCTGTTGTTGTGCAGGGATTAACTCCGGAGTGAGTATTCATCACCGTCCTCCACGACCAGATGCTAACACAGTCTTTCCTTTCCAGAGGCTTGATCACAGCTCCTCGGTACACCAATGCAATTCCAAATCCAAGTGGAGAATGGGCGGTGTTCAGCTCCAACAACTATTCTTTGGACACGCATCAAAATGCTACAACATGGAGGTTGATGAGACTGTCGACTGGAGCCATCACGGATCTACCATGGGACTCGAATGTTACTGAAGTCGTCTGGGTTGGCAGCACGAATACGAGTGTGTTGTACATCAACGGGACAAACGACCATGTGCCTGGGGGTGTCACTTTGTGGACTGCCGATTTGGCCGACTCTGCCATCCGAGGGTAAGTGGAAACTGGTCTTCGAATGGAGGGTGCGAAAGCTGAATCGGGTAGAACGATGGTGGCTTCTCTACCAGCGCCTTATGCTGGGCTGAAAGCTGCAAAGACTTCTACTGGCTCAATCAACTTCCTTCTCAACTCTCTGGCCTATGCGAACAACGGCTCCGCGTACAACACAGCGCTCGCTGCAACGCCACTCACAACTGGAAGACTGTACGACGGCATTTACGTCCGGCACTGGGATACCTACCTCACCCCAGAGAGGTATGCCGTCTTCTCGGGATCGCTCACCGCGGGGCCAGACTCCTCGTCCTACAGCTTCAATGGCACCATGAAGAACTTGCTGCACGGCCTGTCCTACAGCGTCACTCGACCGGAGTCGCCAGTCGGCCCATACTTCGACACAGGCGCAGGAGATTATGCTCTCAGCCCAGATGGGTCTCAAGTCGTCTTTCTCACCAAAGCCCCACAACTTCCCAAAGCAAACTACACCGCCAGCTATCTATATCTCGTGCCACATGATGGATCCTCAGTCGCGCAAGCACTGAACGGCCCGGATAGCACCGCCCCAAAGACCGCACAGGGAGCTTCAGGTGCACCAGAATTCTCTCCAAACGGAAAGAAGCTGGCCTATCACCAGCAGGACGGAATCTCGTATGAATCAGATCGCGCCAAGCTCTACATCGCAGACTTGGAGACCAAGGAGATCTCGCTTGTAGCTGGGAACTGGGATGCTTCTGTCATCAAGGCCAAATGGAGCCCTGATTGCAACGACTTGTGGATCTCCAGCGGCTACATTGCCAGTGACAGACTCTTCATCGTTCCAGTCGATGCAGGAGCAGACTTTGTCCCGAGGAATATCACCGGCATCACTTCTGTCTCAGACTACTACATCCTCCCCGACAATCAGGCCTTGGTCTCTGCAAATGCAGTCTGGGCCTCCTTCCTCCTCTACACCACCACAGCGTCCGGCGCATCGAGATATCTCTACAAATCGAACGAGCAAGACGCAGAGCTCGCCGGTCTCGGCCCAGAGGACGTCAGCTTCATGTGGTACACTGGTACCCTCGGCGACTCTCAACAAGCGATCATCGTCTACCCGGAGAACTTCTCTCCCCACAAGACGTACGATCTCGTCTTCTACATCCACGGCGGACCGCAAGGCTACACGGGCAACACCTGGTCCCCGCGCTGGAACCTGAAAACCTGGGCCGACCAAGGCTACGTCCTCGTGGGCCCCAACCCCACCGGCTCCACGAGCTACGGCCAGAATCTGACCGACCGCATCCAAGGCCGCTGGGGCAGCTGGCCCTACGAAGACCTCGTCCTGGCCCACGCACACGCCTGCCACACGCTCCCGTACATCAACTGCTCCAACGCGGTCGAAGCCGGTGCTTCCTACGGCGGCTACATGACGAATTGGATCCAGGGCCACGACCTCGGGCGGGAATTCAAAGCCCTCGTCTGCCACGACGGCGTGACATCCACGTACAATTTCTACGCCACCGACGAATTGTGGTTCATCCAGCACGATTTCAACGGCACCCTCTGGGACCATCGCCAGACGTACGCGGCGTGGGATCCGCTCTCGCACGCGGTCAACTTCTCCACGCCCGAGTTCATCGTGCACAGTGATTTGGATTACAGATTGCCTGTCTCCGAGGGCATCACGATGTTCAACGTGCTGCAGGAGAGGGGCGTGCCGAGCAGGTTTTTGAACTTCCCGGATGAGGTGAGTTGACGACGGATTTCTCCCTCGTATATCGTAGTGGGGCTAAGGAGCAGAGCTGACTTGCATGTTCTCAACGTAGACACACGGGGTTTTGGACAGAGAGAACAGTCTCTTCTGGCATCGCGAGATTTTCAACTGGATCAATTACTGGACTGGCAAGATCGACAGTCTGGACAACAACGCCATTACCATGTAAGTGTGAGAGGCAACATGTAAATGAGAGAGGAAAGCCTTCCTTCGAAAAGCATAAAATTCGGATTTGCAAACGACCGATCATTGAGAGTAGAGATGTCATGTACGACTTTGCGTAAAGGATATGGTATCATCTTTCTCCTTTGCTTTTACATGTGAAGTAGAATAAATAAAAATACACTTGCGAATGCCGAAAAATTTCCCGCACGATAGACCTCGGCAAAACTCCTCCCGAATGAATGTCCTTTTTCCTTTCCACCTCTTCTTCTAACGAGTTTGGTTCGCTTAGCTGCTTTCTGATTGGGGCTGAGACCGAACCTTCTTGTTTCTTTCGTGTCACATCATGTCAATGCTCTAGTGTCCAAACTGCTCATGCTTCCAATTGCTTTGGCCAGAGTGATCGGGCGCGCTTGGAGGAAGAACCGAAAAATCCCATACCGGCACCTCCGCCGCCGTGTACGCCGCCGCCAAAGCCTGTTTGCGAACCGCCATTGCCGCCTGCGCCGAACTGCGCGCCTCCACTGAGGGACATGTCAACGTCGAAGCGCATTCCTCCACCAAGGCCAAGGTTCCCTGACCCTTGGGAGGCTCCCTGTGCCGATCCCTCGGCGACGACACCGGCATTGACGTAGACATTGACACTGAGGTAGGCGCACCAGTCTAGGATGTTGGCCAACGTCATGTCCTGATCGAAGTTGATAGGGGATCTTGCGCCGTTGGCAGCAATGGCCACGCTGGGGAGTCCGCCCGCTTCGATACCGCCATTGGCATTGATGTTGATATCTGCCTTGAGAGCTCCATCAACATCAACGTTCGCCTCCGCTCCTAGGTGGGCGTGCAATTGACCCATGATCGCGCGGATAACGCCGCCCACATTGGCAGAAGGAATGACCTTATGCAAGGAGTCAGAAGGCAACGATGCAGTCACATGACCTAGCGCATCTGCGATGCCCGGAGCCAAGTTGCAGGATGGTGCCGGTGGCTGCTGGACATAACCGGGGCTGTCGGGGCTTTGGCGTTGAGCTGGGGAGAGTTGATTGGCTGGTTGCCCAAAGCCAGGAATTTCGTTGCTTGCTGGTGCGGCTGGAGAGGCTTGAACGGGACTAGATTCACTGCCGCCCGGGCTGCCACCCGGAGAGTTGCCTTCGTGACCACCTCCGTAAGTTGGTGGTGAATTACCTCCAGGCGACTGATTTCCTGCTGGAGCGGCGCCGATGGGAGAGTCTGCAGTACCGCCCTGGGGAGTGGGAGCTTTACCAGAAGGTGTATCCATTCCATTACCACCTCCATAAGCTTGTGGTCTGTTACCTCCAGGCGACTGATTTCCTGCTGGAGCAGCGCCGATGGGGGAGTCTGCAGTACCGCCGGGCCCTGTGCCGCCCGGAGGAGGAATGGGGCCTTTGTCAGAAGGTGAGTTCACTCCATTACCACCTCCATAAGCTTGTGGTCGATTACCTCCAGGCGACTGGTTTCCTGGTGGAGCAGCGCCGATGGGGGAGTCTGCAGTACCGCCGGGCCCTGTACCGCCCGGAGGAGGAACCGGGGCTGTACCCATTGGAGGAGGTGGTGGTCCGGCTGTTGGTCCGGACACTGGCGGCCTTGGAGCGGTGCCGATAGGAATGGAACTTCCTGGAGGCGGCTGGTTGACAGGTGGTGCGGTACCGAGAGGAATACCGGAGGTGCTTGAAGGGGGCAAATTCACGGGTGGTTGAACCGGAGCAGTTCCAAATGGTGGCCTTGGGCCTGGAGGAGGCTGATTGCCAGCCGGAGCAGTACCGAGAGGGGAGCTCAATGGTGCGCCGGGCGGAAAGCTCGAACTAGGCTGGTTGGCCGGTGGGGGAGCAGTTCCCATCGGTGGCAGTGGACCCAAAGGAGATCCCGATGGACCAACGCTAGATGTCGGGGCGAACGTGAAGGGCGGTTGCGTACCTGTCGGTCCCACCACAGGTCCTGAGGAGCCAGGGACTGGGTATGGTGGTGTGGGTACATGCGTAGCCTCCTCTACGGGGCACAGAGTGGTCGAGATCGCAACAGTACTGGTCGTGACAGCAGTGCTGTGTGCCGGGCAGTTTGTCACCGATGGGCCGCACGATGTTATAGTGAACCTCGCTGTTGAGTAGATAGTGGATGAGGAGTATGATGAAGTGAGGGTTGGGCTGCTTGAACCGGGGATAGGCGCGACTCCAGTGCCAAGCGGCGGAGGCGCGACAGCTGGCGAGGAAGAAACAGGCGAAACTGACGAGCTGCCTGGAAGTCCTGTTCCGAGCGGCGCCGTACCGGGAGGCACCACCGCGCCTGGAGTGCTCGAGCCCGTTGGATAAGGTGGTGAGCTAGTGCCGACAGCGGGAGTGGTCGAATAGGGAGCTCCAGTACCTGGAATTGGAGGTCCCTGACCTGGTGGGACTACAGGCGAGCTGCCACTTGGAGCATTGCCTGGCGGTGGCGGCATGCCGGTCTGGGTCGGACTAACCTCTGGGCTGGCAGAGGTGGAGGAGATTGGGAGTGGAGCTGCAGTGCCAGTTCCATAGCCAGCGGACATCACAGTTGAGTTGCCCGGGACAGGATAGAAAGGCGTGCCAGATGCTGGCACGACGGGCGCTTCGCTGCTGGAAGTAATGACGGTAGGCTGGCCAGCCGCGTTAGTAACGGTGGTGACCGATAGGCTGTAGCCAGGCGTGTTAGGCTGCGGTGCAGCTGGCGTACCCGGCATAACAGGGCTAGACTCCAGAGGTGTGGGGATGCCACCAGCATTAGTGCCTGAAGCAGGATAGAGAGGCGTGCTGGACGGTGGCGAGACGGGCACTTCGATGCTAGAAGTAACGACAGTAGGTTGACCAGCGCCGTTGGGGACAGTAACGGTGTAAACCGATAGACTGGAGCCAGGCGCGTTTGGTTGCGGTGCAGCTGGCGTTCCCGGCATAACAGGGCTAGACTCCAGAGGTGTGGGGATGCCACCAGCATTAGTGCCTGAAGCAGGATAGAAAGGCGTGCTGGACGGTGGCGAGACGGGCACTTCGGTGCTAGAAGTAACGACAGTAGGCTGGCCAGCGCCGTTGGGGACGGTAACGGTATAAACCGATAGACTGGAGCCAGGCGTATTAGGTTGCGGTGCGTACGGACTGGAAACAGGCGCATTAGATTGCGGCGCATATGGACTGGGCCCAGGCGAATTAGGTTGCTGCGGTGCAGGCAGCGTCGACATGACAGCAGCGCTAGACTCGGAAGGCGTGGGCATGCCACCACGGAAGCCAGGGGGTCCAGACTGCGGTACAATTGGGGTTGACTGGATACCAGCGCTAGACTCGGAGGGCGTGGGCATACCACCACCATAGACAGGCGGTCCAGACTGCGGTGCAACTGGGGTCGACATGACAGCAGCACTAGACTCGGAAGGCGTGGGCATGCCACCGCGAAAGCCAGGCGATCCAGACTGCGGTGCAATTGGGGTCGACTGGGTACCAGCGCTACCGGCAGGCGTGGGCACGCCACCGCCATAGCCAGACGTATTAAAGTGTGATGCGATTGGCGTGGACGAAACCACGGCGCTAGACTCGAGAGTTGTAGGAACGCCACCAGCATTGGTGGCTGAGACGGTAACGAGAGAGTGGCTGTAGGATCCGGGACGGCCAGGTACTTGAAAGGGGCCGGCTAGTGAAGTAGGATGAGCTGCCACGGTGACATAGCTCGTCTGGACGACCGTGGTGGTATGAGGGATACAGTTGGCGCCACCCCCTCCAGCTGGGCTGCAAGCGCAAGTCGACGGATCGGGTGGATATGCTTGTCGTTGGTCGACCTTTGGGATTGCGTTGGCCATGCCGGCCACGGCCAGGAAGGAAGAGAAATACTTCATGCTGACAGGCTTGTCTGGGGCTTGGTATGATCGGTACTAGGTAGGTTGATTGGGGGGTATTCTCAGAGACGGTGGACACCCGGATTGTTAAAGGAATGGCAGCCTCTCAGGCCGAAAAAGGACAGTAATGCTGGAAGAGCGTAAAGAAAGCACACAACTGAATGCAAAGAAGGAACCTAACAGCGTGAGTGGCAGTAACCCGTTCGTCTTGTGGAGCGTGGAAAGGGAATATATACACGCCCTCGGCCTTGAGTCCCTGGGATAATACCTCTTACACCTACTGTAGCGTTGAGACTCCAGACCCCGTTCGATGCCGTTCAATGGCGTCGTAGTGTGTGGGTTGAGAGAGAAGGGGCAGTTGGGACATTGCGATTCAAAACGACGTAAGGTTTGAGGCTCAAACCGAATGCGCGCGCATCGGGGAGCAGATCGGGGTCGGGGACGCGGGCCATTGGCGGCGGCAACCAGGCGCGAGGGGAATGTGTCGCGTCTCCATGCTCGTCTCGACTGCGCTGTTTGATCGTGTTGATGATGTTGATGATGTTGATGATGTTGATGATGTTGATGAGGGATTGAGCGAGGAAATTCCCGATGTCGTTGAAACAGGCGCAGTCTCAGGCTTGTGACGGCAGACGGGCCGCGCCGCTAGCGTCCGTCCCCGCATCTCCGACAACGAATGCCTCAGCAGCAGATTGAAGCACGACACGACACGACACGACATCAACAATTAGATTTCCTCGTCGCGTGCGGCCCTGAGCACAGAGAGATCAGCCTGTCACATGTGGCGCGACTCCATCGCACGCCGTCGTCCAGAGTCACGGGCTCGTGCCGACAACAACATCCCGCCGTGATCGTCACGGCTGCAATCCCGCTCCGTCGTGCCTGAATAGGTGCTCCTTTTTGCTGCCGACTCTCATTGGGCGCCGAAGAGTCATACCTTCGCTCCACGACTTCAACATCCAGTCTCGACCTGCCAGCCTGCGGTCCTCGATACACACGCCATGGCGCCGATTGCGGGCATCTCCCACCTGCTGAATCCCCTCGCGACTTCGCTCCAATTGGAGACCTCTGCTAGTCAGCTGGACGGCGTGCCTAAGGATCTCGAGGACACCATTCGCTTTGAAACCGCGCGACTCACACAGGCAGCTGGCATCCTCCTCAGGTTGCCTCAGGAGATCATAGCTCAGTCCATCATACTTCTCCAGCGCTTCTGGCTTGGCCCTGACGGTGGCAGTCTGCTCGAGCACGATGCAAAGGTCTGTGCTCCTCGTCCATTCTGGCAGGCCTGTGAAACTTAATGGGCGTCGAATCTGACCCACATGCAGGACGTCGCAGCTGCATGCCTATTCTTGACAGCCAAACCATCTGCAAATGCCAAGACCCCGCGCCAGATACTCACCACCTTCGCCTATCTCTCAAGCATGCAGCCTGGACAAATTTCCTCCACCACGATCGAAGACAAGCTGAGCTCATCCTGGCGGCTGTCGGACGGCGAGTATGAGATCGCCAGGAGCACGCTCTATGACGTCGAAGCACACGTCTTGCGTGCTCTTGGATTCCAAACGCACGTTGTGTTGCCGTACACGCTCTGCATCAACTATCTTCAAGCTCTCGATGTTTTCAAGACGGGAGCGGCAGGATCTCTCGTAGCAAAGGCCGCTTTCGCCCGCCTGAATAGCGCACTGCTATCTCCACAACTGCTGTATCTCACGCATCAGCCATCGGCCCTCGCGACCGCTTCCATCTACCTCGCGGCCCGAGAGACGGACGTCAAGCTGCCAGAGGTAGAATGGTGGGAAGTCTTCGATGTCGATCGGGAGGAACTCGGCTTCCTGATCGTAGCCCTTCTGAGTGTGAACAGCTACGCCGTCGAGGTACGTTGAATTGACTCTGTCAAACCATCTCCACCAGACCACTCGAAGTCAACCTTGAGCTAACCTTTCTCGGCAGGTGACCCGAAACTGGGCCACGAGAAAAGTTCCGATGAGTGTCGACGAAGTTCAGGCTGATATCGAGCGACATCAAATGCTGGAATCTGAACCCTCCAAGCAGTGAACCTCGCACCAACCAAATCTCCGAGGCACGCGATAGAGGGTACTTCAAGGGGGTTTTTTTGGTTGCGTCACACGTCTTCTGCAACCCTAGCTGCCGAAATGTGCAACATATGCCTTGGAAACCAAACAATGCTGGAATTGGTACGTCACCGGGACGAGAAAAGTCTTCATGATCCGTCCGGTGGAGGGCTTTGCGGATGGCTCATCGTTTTTCTTGCAGCAGGCGGGAGATTGCATTCTCGTTTCTGCAGCACATGGCGATTCAAAAGGAGGTCCAGTCCAGACCGGAAAGCCCTGTTCGTTTCATGATTTCCATACAGGAGGGCTGTTTCCGCTTTCCGCTTGCCGCTCCCAGATGGGTGCCGATCAGTGATAGGTTTGGGATCAGCTGTGATAGCAATCTCACGCCGTTACCGTGAACGCAAGGGATAGTCTAGCCTATTGCTCTTGTTGCTTGATGCAGGGCAGGAGAAGTGCCCAGAAGGGGGTTCACACGCTCTACGACGCTTTGGACAGGCTGAATGGCTTTCACAAGATCTCAGAGTATCGATTTCGCATGGCTAGAGAGCGGAATGATCCAAGTCGCATTTCTCTGTACCACATGCAAGATATAACGCCTCGCTATGTCGTGTCAAAATTTCAACTTTGTCCGTGTGCCAAATGGATGTCTCCTAAGCGGCGGTCCTCGCACTTCTCCGATCATAATCCAGAATCCTCCGATTCCGATGCATTTGCACCATCTTCCATCTCACATAAAGCATCAGTGCATCTTTGCAGACAACGAAAAGACAGCCGCCGACGAGACTCCTGGCCCATTTTTGACTGAGAAAGGTCCTATTAGAAGCGGGTTTGATGTTCCAGCGCCACGTGGATGTTGGAGCGGGAAGGGAGGTCCATGACCGAGGCAGGACAAATTTGAGTGCTTCGCCTGCGATTCCGGCGATAGTGGGGAACAGGAGGGCGCCCAGAACGCTCTCTGCGATCGCGGTGGGTGAGAAAGCGAGACGGCGTTGGATGGGTTGATTGCCTGCTTGTTGTTGAGCCGGTTGCTGTGGCTGTTGGACGGGCGCTTCGTTTCCGCCTCCGTTCGGCAGTGGCCGGTTGTCCTCGACGTTCGGGCCAGGTGCGGCTTCATCCTCTCCTGCTTGCTCCTGAGCGGCGTTTGCGGCTCCTTGAGCAGCAGGCGCTGGACCTTCCCAGTCATCCCAGATGCCTCCGTCGATCCTGACCTCGAATTCCCCGTCCTCTTGTTGATCTGCGTTTGGACCCTCCCCAGCGTTACCATCACCACCACCATCTAGGTTGGCTCGGGGTTGAAGCTCTTCCAGCCATCGCTTTTCTCTCTCCGCGAAAAGATGCTTGTAGCCTAGATTGTAAAGTCCTCGCACGTAAGGTAGGAGGGCAAATGCGAAGCTTGCAGAGGGAGGCCATTGTGCGAAGTCTAACGCATTGTTTGGACTGTGTACCTGGGAAGCGAAGAAGACAACGGGAAGGACCGGTAGTACGCCATCTGCCAAAGATGTCTGGGAGATGATCAAGATGGGAGATATCAGTGGCACACCGATATACAATCTCCAGTATGCGGCATGGTCAATCAACACCTGAAGGAATTGCCGACCAACGCCTTCTGGCGTGCCGATGTATACCTCAGTGGGTGGTCTTACTGCATTGTAGATAAGCGGGCGCAGTACTTGCCAGCCATCTTCAGCTCCAAATACGGTGTAGATGGAATGCATGCCCCATGCCATACTGGCTTGGTACACCATACCGCCGAGCGCAGCGCCAGCGCCGTGAAAGACCAATTTCGCTCCAATTCTGTCCAGGCCCCTTACAGCATCGACCACGTAGTCTCTGGGGCGTGCTAGCTTGATTTCCGATTTGCATTGAGGGCATTCAATTTTGGGTGCGGCTATTGACCCGCCTCTGCTCTTGTTTGGAGCTTCCATATCGGCTATCCAGTCCAGCAAACACTTCTCATGTGCAACTAAAGCGCAAGGGCATGGGTCTCGCCATGGTGACGACTCTGGAGTATCTTCTGTCGAGTCGCAATAGCATACCCAGCATTTCTTGAGATTCGCGTCGTCCTCGGCTTCTTGTTGTTGCCCTCTCTCCTCTGCTTGCGGCTGTTGCTCCTCCTCGGGTCTATTGACGACGATGGTTTGAGAGTCTTCTGACCGCGATCGGATCGATGATGTCTGGGATTGCGAGGAAGGAGTCTGTGGCCGTTCGGTAGGCGAGACTCTTCGTTGCGAGGGCCGACGTGCGGGAAGTGAGGCCATCTTGGGAGGTTATGACCTTTTGCCAGCCAACTACTGGCGCGCGACTCGATGAAGTGGTGGGATGAGGTACTATCGCTTCGGTCTTCGAAAAGTTGCCCCTGTTCGAAGGGAGGGTGTTGGGTCCTTTATTCTCGCAAAAGCCGAACTGGTATGTAAGGTAAGGTAGTTGGTGAAGGTTGCTCGAGGTTTGGTTTGCGAGTTGTACCCGCGTCATCGTTCGACCTCGCTTCGAGCGCACGCGACTTGCGGATGAGCTAGCGGGGGTCTGGGCGGTGGCCTGATATCAAGCTCAGCTTACAAGTATGCAATAACGTTTTCGGCGTTATAGGGTTTCAGGGGTTCTGAGACTCTGTATTCTTTTATAGTCTACTTCTACTGTTTTCCCTATTTGCTCTTGCGTCTATATTTCCTCCGTAATATAGTACCCCTACCATACGGAAGAAGTAATATAGATTATCTTTAATACCATTATCTAGTAGTACTAAGTAGGTGATAGCAAGATTAACGCTAAGCCCAATAAAAACACGCCCGAGTTAACGTCGATTATACTTAAGTACTAGCTCGACAGGGATCCTTTGTCATAGTTACCAAGATTGTAGATTTCGGTCTCTATACTAGACTCTGCCGGCTCTATACATACAAAGCCGCTTCCAAATCCCCCTGGACAGCAAGAACATGAAACCGAATGCGTTACTTCCCATCGGCAGGCTCGTCGTCCACGATTACAGTTGAATGGTTTCAGAAGCAGGGCATCAAAGACTTCTCAAGCGACATACTCATTGCTAGCACGTCTCTCCTTCTCTCTCTTCTGCTCGCGGCCCTTCTCACTCCACGGGACTGGAACAAGATTAGCAAATTTCCACTGGGGCGAAAGAAGGAACAACGAGACTTACAGTGGAATACAGGAATCACGAAGAAGCTGTTCGACGTGTCCGCCATACCAGCAATCATATTGTACCATGCCAGAAAAGCGGCCACAATGCCAACGCCGCCTCCACCTCTCGTCAAGGCCACGTTCGGCATGCCTTCAGAGTTGTTCTGCGCGTCGATATAGGACAGCCCGAGGAGAAGGAAGGTCAACCATACCGTGAGAAGGAGTGAGCTGAATGCAAGAGTAGCCTTGAGCGTGAGGATCCATAGCTGAATTATCGGGTCAGCATCTTGCTATCACTCGGCGATTTGTTGGGTGCTCATGCTTACGAGGAAGGTAAAAATGAACCACCCAAGCAGGTACAGGCCGAAAGCACCATAGAAATCGCCGGTATTCGTGTATGCGTCCTGAACCGCAAAACCACCTGGTGTCAAGATGATGCCGATTGAGATCCAAAACCTACAATATGGATTCAGCTTGAGTATGGCGACTTCCGATCCCAAACTTACCCGCCATACGAGGACAACGCGGTGCCACCGAACGTGTTTCCGATTGCGAGCTCCCTGGTCGTTCGTTAAGCCCGTTTTCTCAATCCAAAGGGTTGATCCACAAACCACATGCCGGCGAGAAGCTGGCAGAGACCTCCATATGCGAAGGCTGGACCGATGACCTACACAAGTCAGCTCACATCCCAGATACAGGGCCGTACGGGTATCGCGGAGACGTACGATAGACGGAGTTGCCAAGCCTCTTGTTCCCAGGTTGATGATCGAAAGTAGGAACGTTGTGAAGGCGAAGCCGGCGAGACCTAGAGGCGCCTGGACTCTGGAATCAGGTGCTGCCGATGTTTGAGAGTATGTCATGGCAACGACTCACTGGATTCGCGAAATTGTTCTGTCAATCATCGTTAGCTCCTGTTCCGGAACCACACTCATTATCCGACTTACAGTAGGCGGCCGGTAGAGGCCTGGCTGGAAGGCACCTCCGAAAGCTGCCAGGCGTACCGAGCCATCTTCAGAGGCATTTGTGGCCACATGTGCAAGAGGATTTCCTCCATCTGTACACCACTTGATCAGACCAAGCTTCAAGAACATGCGGCGAAACTCACAGTCACCCCAACCCCCTTGGCGCTTATGGGAAGCCGAGGCTCCATTCGTGTTTTCCACGACTGTTGCCGAGCCGTCCGACATCTCTGTGGATTTTTCAAAAGTCACCGATGCCGCTCTCGTATAAGTGATTAATGTTCTTGGACAGCACAGCGCTGTAAGGTCTGCTCAGGAAACATGCGGAGAGACGAAGTTGCGTCTTGCGCGCGGAGTAGAAGGGAGTTCGGAAGAAGGAATTACTCCTCATGACGCCGCAGGCATGGGATTCAAGATCATCATTGGTTCGTCTCTGGCGATAGATGACCGTTTCAAGCTCCACTTCATTAGCCTGAAGTCTGGTAACACCGTGGACCTCTCTACCGCTGTGCCGACCGTTCGCCCCACAACTCCGTGGAGTACCCCACAGATTGATTGTGGAGTAGGCAAAGTATCCATGTCGGTTCTCTTTGCGAATGTAACAATGTCGCCGCAGAAGAGAACGCGAGCTGCACATTACTTACGCGGTATGAAGCATCAGCCGCACAGGAACTTGGCCTCGCCGGCTCCCGTCGAAAGGATGGTAGTCTAATTTGTACCATTACGGAACGGCAAAGCAAAAGAATGTGGGAACCGAGGCTAACACAGCCGTACGGACATGCATCATATCGGTGTAAGAGACCAGCAGAACCACACGTTGGGCGACAGCATTCGTGCATACTTATAACTGTCATGGTCGTGATGGTTATCACGAGCCCAGAATCAATCCAATTTATACACTTCCGGTCTGTTCGCTGCCCTTCTGTGTGGCGCCCAAGTCGCCCTGGCATTCGCACGATGCACGTTACTTGATCCAGTCTTAAAAAAGCCGAAGCACCTTGCTACCAGCAACATCGTTGCACACGCCCTCACCAACTTATCAAAGGCCTTGGAGATCGCAGTCAATACGAGCAGCACAGCGTTCGGAAGCATTTCCAGTGATACCACTTCTTCCTCGATTGACACCTTCGACACATCTTCGACCGATATAACTTGTAACTTTCTTACATCACGCTTCTACCTCGTTGCAACAGTCCAAAGAAGAAGTACGGAATGTCAACGGCATTACAGTCTATCGTAGCGGCATCTTGTCCAAATTGTCACACTCTACCATTTTCTCGTCGAGATTGGGCCGCAATACTGGAATGTGCCAATCACTAAACATGTCCGAGAGCTCAAAGAGGCTCCAAAGAACTGCTCTGCTGCTTCTGACCCGATACACTGCTTGGATTGCAGAGGTGTGAGCCTTGGAGCCATTGGAAGCCAGTCGAGCTGGTAGCACGAGAGACTACTTAGGACTTGGCGAATTGTTTTCAAGGAATCTCCCTTTTCTCCAGTACGGTCTGCCTCCACACCCAGCTTCTCAGATCTCTCAAGTCCCAGATTGCAATCTTGGAACGGTCGACACTTGTCCGACGAAATTATAGGCCAACGGCTTCGCAACTGCTCATCCAATCCATGCCCGATATACCACGCCTATCTACTCCAATGGCGCTTTTGACGTGCTCGGGTTGGCTTTGGAGAGGACCACTGCCAGAGCATCGACTCCATTCTTTGTCAACATCATAACATGCTGATGTACCTTTCGCAGGGAAGAACATCTCTGAGACAATCGGATCGCGCCTCTTCCAACCTCTGGGCATACCACGCTCCAGCTACGCGGCTCCAATGGCCTTGACCACGCAGCAATATCAGGAGGCGCAATTGAAAGCGGCTTCATCATCTACTACGACATCGGGCGACCATTGTTATGTACGAGTTCCCGTTGCGCCAAGGGGATAGATAATGGGGAGACTCGAGCATGGCTTTCTATTCGCTTTCCACCAATGCTTTCCAAATGTCTCGATCTCTCCCAGCTAGACATTTTACACGTGCGCACACGAATTCCGCCTTGATATGCTGCTATGAGAGGCAAGAGAAATCTTGGTACCTGTCGTAAATGCACCCACAGCGTGTAATACGTGAGCAGTGCGCAGTCGAACCGTTCGCGACACGTCACGCTGTCATGCGATGAAGGCACGTGTGGAGGCCCTACGAAGGCCCTACGAAGGCCCTAAGAACCCCCTACGAACCGGTGGCGAAACATACTTCTAGTCGCTTTAGGGTTATCGTAGTATACATTGCCATACTTACACTACTGCATTCCAAGATGTTATACTTACACCGCTGTGTCTCTACAGTGTCGCATCACACAGCATGTCTTAGATCAAGCCGCAAACCCATTGCTTTCCGCCTACAGCAAAACTTCGGCAAAGAAGGTGGAACCGAATGCATGTGAAAGTGACAGTCACAAGCAAGCTTAACTACGGCAGACTGCACCCAAAGCGGAAGTCACCGGGACAGCTAGGCGTATTTCGGAGTATAGCGTGGGACAGTACGGAATAGTAGATCAGCGGTCACTTTCTTTTCAGTTCTACCTAATTCTCCTATCCCGGTCGCATCAAGCGTACCCGATCTTCACTCCAACTCACAATCCTCGCATGAGCTCCAGTCCATGACTTGTGGCCAATCAGTCATCTGTCGCATATGCAGATAGCGCAAGCAAGAACAAGCAACCGTCCAGAAAAGCCAGAGCGTCACCCTCATAATGCGCCAAACGGAGCGCCAAAGCTGTAAACCAGGTGTATGCATGCAAAGCCTGCCTCCTGTTCGTGGTATCATTTTGTGCAAAAAGCAGTTTTGGAAATCAAACGCCAGAGCTTGTTTTGTGGGGAAAGGTCCGGCCTGTGAGAGTTGCCAAGAGACAGCGCTACCCGCACCGGAGTGACGGAGCACCCAGGTGCACAGGCACTCAATATTCGTCGGTTGGTCGTAGGGTGTTCGTAGGGTGTCCGCAACCATTTCGTATTCTAGCCGCACGGTGTGATATAGCTAGGCAGGGTAAGCGAGACGTCGCTGGGTGACCGGGGGCAGTCCGTCAGCGTCGCGCTCTCGAGAAAGGGGATATCCTGGTCGCATGGTATTCGCAAGTTGTTCGATAGCCGGCAGTCGTAGGCTAGACGTCACTGAATGAGCGACGGTGCTTGTCGGCGATGCGCAATTCAAGAGAACAATCACGCAGCCTCAGTCGCAGCGTTGCTGCGCGTACGCTTGGTACTGCCGCTCTCCAGCTTCTCGCCAGCGCGTTTCGCACCAGACTTTGTACGCGGCCAGGAATCGAAGGGACTCGGAACTTTGCGCTTGCTGCTGGACGATGATGGAACGGGAGTGACATCACGCGGACCAGCTGAGCTTGACTCTTGCTCGTCCTCGATGAGTGGAGAAAGATGGGAAGTCGCCGTCTTCTTGCGGGTGGAGCGACCTGGGGTAGGTGGAGCGCCTTGATAGCCGCTCATCGGACTGGCTGCCTCGGGCTCTGGTGTTCTCTCGTCGTAGACGGGGATCGGGTCAATCGACACCTTCTTCTTCGATGACTGCGCCGGAGTGGGCAGAGCAGTAATCTGCGACTCGACGTCGTTATCGTACATTGGCCCCTTGCCCGCATCCGTCTTCCGCGAAGCGCGGCTTCTGCTTGGCGGACTCAACATGTGAGCAGCACGTCCCTTGGCTGGAGTATTCGGCACTGACGGCTTAGACGTCTTGGGCGCTTCTGTGACGGCAGATGGTGCTGCGATTTCGATATCCGTCTCTGCCTCCTCGTCGACGTCGCTGGACTGAAGAGGCTGATCGTGGCGAGGAAAGAGCAGGCGTGGACGCATTGAGCTCCGAGTAATAGTGCGCTCTGCGGTAGGTCCAGCGGAGCGACGTAAGGCGCGCTGGCGGTGTGATGCGCTGGGGTCGCGAGCATCCGAGTCAGAGCTGGCATCGACCTCGCTGGCAAACTTGCGGAATACCTTCTTGCCGCGGCTGAGTGGTACGTTAGCTTTGGAGATCCATTTGAGTGGTAGTGGAATACTTACAACATGTAGACGATGCCCTCGTCTCTCTCGGCAGCCTCGTCCATCAGGCGCTCTTCCTCAATCTGCTCAGCGCTCTTGCGTGACTGTCGTGGGGAGGTCCGTCGTTGCGGGACGGTATTGGCACGCGGCCGCACGAACGGGTTCTCATCAGAAACATCCATTTGTGGTACACGTGCGTGCGACTCGGTGTAGATCTCGAAGCTGGGGTTGGTGCGCTTCTTGCCACGTCCAAAGTCGGTATCATCGAGAGAAAAGCCAGCGGCGTTTGCAGTATGCACATGCTTACGGGTGCCACGGCGGCCCGCCATGACGTCAGCAGGGTTTTCCGACTGGAAGTGCAGGATGCGGGCAGACTCTTGCATGCTGGCGGTGCGGTTATGTTTGCGTGCGGACGTTGTAGTTGGGGTTTTGGAGGGTGTTTTGGAAGGAGTAGGGAGAAAGGTTTTGTGAGTTGAGGAAGAAGGGTCGGTGTTGTCGTGGAGATTGGCAGCGTTCTGCTTCCCTAGTCGACGTGGAGTCTTCGTCAATAGGAACGAATTCTGATTGTCGTCGGCTTGGCGCGGCCTTTCGGGAGAAGTAGGTGGTGACGACAACAAGTCGCTGGGCTCAAACCCCAAGCTGAAAGTCGTCTTCTTTCCACACAGCGGCGGAACGTTACCCGAGAGCGGCTTGGTTATGTTGGAGGAGCTGAAAGGGTTGTTGCTGGTGCGAGTCGAGCGTCGCGGCGAATAGGGCTCGTAGTCGTGGTGGAGTGGTCCGTGCGTGGGAGATGGTGGAGTGCGCGGCCTGTCATGTCGCCTCGCTGAGCGCGGAGGCGTGGAAGGGGTCATCTTCTCAAGGGATGCGCTCAATGCGTCTACAGCGTCTCTACGCATGCGCCGATTGTCCTCTTCACAGAAATCCCAGCAAGTCTTGATCCGCCTCGGAGCGAATTCAATGACAGCCGTGGGGAGAGCCTATACCACTTCTTCTTTCACGCGGGAGTCTTTCGCACAATCTTTCCTTCCTGAATCGTCGCTCTTTCAAAGTATATCCTGTGCTGTACGGCTCGTATGGTATGCGATGCGGATTGAAACGCGGTGTGCAAGTTGAAAATCCAGAAGCTGGCGCTTGTCTCAGACCCAGCGATTTGTTTGCGAGCAATACGCGACACTTTCGAGCATGCGCTGATTCAGACTCTTGCGCAATGTTTGTCTTGTCCCAGCTGTTCTGTCCTGTCCTGGATGCGCTGGTTCGTCGTGTGTTTGAATCCTTCTCCAGCCTCCTGTCGCGCGCAGAATCCGGTATCGATCGTGTGAGAGGAATACTTTATCGCGATCGGAAGCAATGCGCTGCTTCGGAGGATCTCACGGTACGAATGCGGCAAATGTGAGTCTTGGGGATATAGGAGGTGTGTGAAAGTCGGGAAAAGACGAGATGGTGAGGTTGGCTCTCGGTCGGGATGATCATCTCTCCCTCCCGCCGCCTAAATCCAGCCACCAAACTCCACTCCCACGCGTCGCAAAACATCCTGGCACCATTAACACGACACGTCATTTCTGCACCACCATCAACAAACACGGCCTCCAAAATCCGGCCACCGCGTTCAGAATACCAAAAGACGCGAGACTCGCTCATCAGAATATCCGCGCAGCCTCGTGGACATGTCTAAACGCGACGCCCCGGACATCGCCAATCTGCGCCTCTCCGATCCTGACGAAGACCTTTTCGCGAGCCCCGAGAGCGGCGCTACCACGCAAAAACACACGCCGACATCCAATACCACCCCCAGTCAGAAGCAGCAACAGCACAATGGACCTAAACTGTCGAAACAAGAACTCCAAGAAGCGCGCGAGGCGAAACTGCACGCCGAACTCGAAAAGGTCCGCGAAGTGAACCGCACGATAGAAGGAGTCACGGCCTCCCTCACCAAAGCGCAAGCCAACATGTCCACCGTACACGAGACTGTCAACAATGCTTCCACACTTCTCGCGACGTGGACGCGTATACTTTCGCAAACGGAACACAACCAGCGGCTGATTCTGAATCCGAATTGGTCAGGCGCGACACGGGATCTGGAAGACATGGAGAATGACGAATTGAGACGGCAGCAGGAAGCGGAGAAGAGGGCGATGGAGGAGCAGAGGCGGAGGGAGGAGGCGCAGCGCAGAGCAGAGGAAGAAGAGAGGAAGAGGGCTGTTGCGGAGTCGAAGAGAGGAAGCGTGACGAGGACTAGGAGTGTGCGAGGCACGCGAGCTAGCAGCCTCAGGAGTGGTGCTGGTGCGGAGAGTTCGAGAGGGAGAGGCACGACGTCTAGTTCGGGTGGGACGAGAGGGTATGGACGAGTGGGCAGTGTTGGGACATCGAGAGGAAGAGGTCGCGGGATGGGTTGAACGCGGTAGGAACGGGAAGGAAAGCATTGCCAACATATCTCAAGACGACATCTGTGGAACAGCAGAATGCTGCTACCTACTCCTCCTGCGCAGCTGCTTCAGGAACAGCCAGCACCAAAGGTGTCGATTAGCCAAGCGCTCAAGACAGGAAAGGATCCGGAAGGAAGAAGAAATGCACAGCCGCCGCTCTGAGGAATGTAATCGATTCAGCATCCATACAGAGAAGCAAAGAGCAGCTCGGCTCGATATACACAGTATGCAATACTGTAGTAGTGTCATCTACATCATGAGACCCAATCGCAGGCCATCGTCGTAATCATCCCCATCATTCCTCTAATCCTTCGATGTCTTCTTCTCGGCCTCCTCATCGAGCGGTCCGCTGGGGTTGCTGCCCAAGTTCTCCAACTGGTCCTTGCTCTGCTCGGCGGCCTTGTCGCCTGGAGCAACACCCTGCCTAACGTTCCACCAATATCAGCATTGTGTGTTATGGATACTGTATTATGGGTGAGGTGCATACTCGTTGGGGTTCGAAGCGGTGGGCTGGTGGAGCTGGGAGTCCGCCTGGCGCTCTGGCTCAGGGGATTGACGGCCTTGGTTTGGTGCAGACATGTTGTGTTGTGTTGTGTTGGTATGCAGAGCGGAGTGTTTTCGCCGAGTCTAAGGATATATCAGATCTCGAGGCAGTGGGTTGGTGGAAGGTATTGCAAAGCGTACAAGTTGAGGACTGTTGCAGAAGGCTCGTCAGTATTTGTACTTCAAGCTTTCACGTGCTGTAGGCTTTACTCACTTGCTGTCCTTCTGTTGAGTCGTTGTTCGAGGAGGTTTCAAGATCGTTGAGCTCACACGCGACTTTGAAGTCCCTCCATCTAACGTGGGGCAGAAGTGACGTATCACAGCGTCATCAAGGGAAACAGCGGCCATCGAGGGAAGAGAAAGAGGATCAGACACGTGTGCAATGCTTGGAGGCCCGATATCGTGCCGCAGGACGCTGATTGATGGAATGGTTTCGCTTTTCTTGCAACGTGGTGCGAGGCTAAGCATGTGAAAGTTGTAAGATTTCGGATTCGGGATCGCCAGATTATGTAGCCTCTCCAGTAAGGTACTTCATGTGTTTTCACCGGCCTATCTGCCGATCACCGCTGAATCAGTCGGCTGGTCCTTCCTCTAAGCATAAGCAAGGACCAAATCCAAGAGGGCCCCTTGCGAGCGGTATGGAACACTTCAGGTAGCTGGTCCATTCAGACGGGCTTGGCATTCTGTCCAGATTGATCGGTTCGCATGAGGAATGTAAGATAGTATACAGTGATCGTCGGGTAAGAGATCGACAGCAATGTAAATAAGCAACCACACAACCATAATCAACGATCCCTGGGTGCATCTGCCAAACCTCGTCAGCATGGTCCACGCAAAGCGCCTAGTTGCGCTACTACTCGCCACGACCGTCTCAGCGCAAGGACTTTTCGACAAGTCTGCTGGTGATCTTCTCCTGACAGCAACAACAACATCGTCAACATCCTCTTGCGACAGGACCGTCTGCGCAGACTTCACCAATGCCTGTGGCGTAGGTTACGGCACCTGCTATGCCGCATGCCCGGGCTACTCGACACCTACCATAACACCGCCAGCCTGCAGCAAGGAAGCCCACCCTACCATCACTGTCGCGCCCCAAATCGCCTTCGCTGCCGACTCTCCGACCGGCTTCTCCGAGACATCTGGGACTTGTGGGCAATCCCTCTGCATCGATTACATCAACACCTGCAACATCAAATATGGCGGATGCTTCCCAGTCTGCTCCAGCTACACGACTCCGACTTTCTTTGACCCAGGTTGTCCAAGCGTCCCGATCGCTAGCAAGTCGTTTGTCACGGCGATGACCAACAGTTGCGGACACAAATGCGATCTTTACGTTGACCAATGCGGTCAGACGTTCGGTCCAGGCTGCTATTCGACTTGTTCAGGTGTGGCACCGCCCAGCTACACGACGCCGTACTGCGAGACCAGTCTTGTTGTGCCAACCAGTGCGGATATGCCTTGGACCAGGGCTCTGTGAGCTGTGCAAGGAAAAGTGTCGTTGGCCTTTCAAGTGTGGGAGTGATACACAGACGTTAGAGCGTCGAGCTCGACTTCGAAATTTGTACATATTCGTGATGGGTTCCTGCTTCAAATCAGCGCAACTATTGACATATGTGATGAGGAAGTGCTGCAAATTGACCACTTTGCTTTAGCAGACTCCGTGTAGCCTCGTTTCCAGAATCGAAGCATCTGTAAATGCTTTTGAGAATTAGCTCGCTTCACACCCATATCGCTTTGTCTCGACCGCATGAGCAATCTCGACAGCTTAGAGGCAGAATCAAGACCGACGTAAACGTCTCTCGCGAGCATGATGCCATGGACTAAACGAGGAGGGCAACACAGTAATGATGCATCTTCTTGTGACAGTTTCGCTCCAGCCTAACAGTTTCATCGATGTCCGGAGCGGCCAGCGAAGACAATGACCATGACACGCAGTTGATTTTTGCTCGTCAGCACAAGGGAAGGGCCGGGTAGTGGTGCACAGGCTATGCCTTGCTCGATCGTGAGCTTGGTCCTTCGCCCTGAGAAGTTGTGTCACTCCGCGGTGCTTCTCTCCAAGGAAAATAGCAGGAGCCGACGTGAAAATTGTTTGTCCACGCGAATTGTGTAGTCGCTGATTCAGGTGTCTGGCCACAGGAGACGAGTACGATGCTGACGATGTGAAGGTCTCCGCTATTGGGGAAATGAGACCCACGATGTTTGTGCACGTGACTTTTATCTCTGCCCCCCCTGTAATACATGTATCTAGCCCACACCCGACGTCATGATAATCTCCCGAGTCCGATACCGATACAGATACCGGCCCATCTCCAATCACGACTCCATCTCTCCCCACTCGTACTCGTAGCAGTCCCCTAGCCGCCGTAGGCAATCAAATCTCTCCTACGACCCGGACCAGTTCAGTCTTGTTCATCAAATTGTCTCGAGAACTATTCGCTAGACATCTGCAGCTCCTGTTCGCCCCTTATGGAAGACACCTGCTCATAGGCAGGCGACTTCTGCCTCACGATCGTCGCCTGATTCCCAGGCGGGCATATGTGTACACAGTAAGACCACACACAACAGAACTACGATGCTGGATCATGACATGCTGCATGACGCAACACTCCCACAATACCTGCTTCATTCGACTGAGATGGAAGGCGGAAATTCGCATAGGGCGGCGCGGCAAGACGAAGCCCTTGAGCCCTTCACAGAGGGTCCATTCGTCTAGCCACGACTTCGACTCACGATGCTTTCCGAACACGTTTCGCACTTCAAACTCCATCACCATTCTTACTCGTCTCTCGCAACTCATCCTCCAGTATTGGTTCAAACTCGCTTGGATTGTTCTACTACCTTGGAATCGGTGCTAACATAACTATCTGGGCCTGTTTGCTAGCTGGTCTGTCGCTTTGAGACAGGCTGCACAGGATTATAGGCTATTATTCTGACTTTGTTCCGTAGGCGAAAGAATTAGAGGTGACACGCTGGCTTGGCTGGCACTATTAGTGGTCGCTTTTATTATTGTCCGGGTCAACCCTTTCTAAGCTACGAGCACGCTTCTCCGATGCTTTAGCATCCATGGATGGATTCTAGCTCATGCTTGCTAATATGTGTAGTAGGCTAAATCGACGATAGGTACTATGTTGATCTAGTGTAATCGCCTATTCCGATGCTGCCTGCTTCTGATGCCCTGGAGCTACAGACCTGTCTCAGAAGTAAGGGCTATCGGTCGCGTGCATCTCAACCACATCAGCTACCGACTTTGCAAGACCCGAGCTCAGTCCTGAATGACCAAAAGTGGCAAAAGTGGGACATGGTTGTTCCGCAACTGCTGCATGATCCAACTTTGGACAGTAGAGTCGTCTGAAAACGGTATCTGCTGAATTATATTACCATAAAAGCTAAATCCTCTGAGAACGACTACACAGACCACATCCTTGACGTCTTCGAAGTCCACACGTCGCTGCGGCGGGGAGTCGGAGTCCGCCCGCACCAGGATCGATACACCAGACAAGTATTTTTTACGAGCTTCATGACAAGAAGCACACCGTGTGCACGTCGGAAATTGGAAGTTTCAGGAAGCCCCAGGTAGTCTTTCGAGTAATTATCCTCTCCGGCAGAGCGAAGGGCTTTTACTCTCTGAGCACAAAAGGAATGTCAGTCCCTTGATTCCTACTGCTTCACTACCATCCTACGAGCTACATTTCCAGTCGCTCCTACTGTCGTTTACTGGTTATCTCTGATCAAAAGCTTGTAACCTGCGTATCACCGCATTCTTTACCTATCTCAAAATGAGATACGCAATTATCCTGCCGGGCATGGCCACCATGGCCCTCGCAGCTCCTGTGCCAGCCGAGCAAGCTGGCCAGGCCGAGCAAGGCGCTCAGCATTGGCCTTTCTGGTGGGGCGGTGCCGGCCGTGGTGCCGGCGGGTGGCTCGGAGCCCACTTGGACATTCCCTTCCTTCACCATGGAGGACTCGGAGGATGGGGTCCAAAGCCCTACGGTTGGCGTCAAGGTGGACCGCAAGGTACGGACCTAGCACTTACAATATCTTCCAAGTCCACGTCGGTATGACTAACTCTGGATTTTATAGGACAAGGCATTGCTAGCCCTTTTGGCCAGCCTGGCGCGGGTCCCGGCGGTTATGGCAATGCCCATGGTGGATATCCTTGGGCAGGACCAGGTGGTAAGTCTGATGATATGAACCGAGACGCGACACGGCAGACTGACGCGAGACGCGTAGGTGCTCAGTCCTCTCCAGAGGGCCAGGAGGGCCATCCATTCGGTCCCCAGGGCGCCGACCAGCGTCCACAACAATACGGTGCTGAGTCCTCGCCAGAGGGTCAGGAGGGCCGTCCATTCGGCCCCCAGGGCGCCGACCAGCGTCCACAGGAATACTCTCCTCAAGGAGGTACTGAGTCCTCTCCAGAGGGCCAGGAGGGTCGTCCATTCCAGGAGGGTCGTCCATTCCAGGACGGTCGTCCATTCGGTCCCCAGGGCGCCGACCAGCGACCAAATGAATACTCTCAAGGACCAGGTGGTGAGTCTGTCTGCTACGAACTGAGTCACGACGCAAGCACTAACTTAAAATGTTTAGGTGCTGAGTCCTCTCCAGAAGAGGGTCAGGAGGGCCACCCATTCGGCCCCGAGGGCGCCGACCAGCGTCCACAACAATACGGTGCTGAGTCCTCGCCAGAGGGTCAGGAGGGCCACCCATTCGGCCCCGAGGGCGGCGACCAGCGACCAAATGAATACTCTCCCGAAGAACAGGGTGGTGGGTGTGTCTGCTAGAAATTGAGCCACGACGCGAGAACTAACATGACATGCTTTAGGTGATGAGTCCCCCGAAGGCCAGGACAACAACGACCATGGAATCCGTCCCGAATCCGGCGATCAGCAACCAAATGGAGGTCCTTCTGAAGGACCCGGTGGTGAGTCTGTCTGCTACGACTTGCGTACGACACGAGAACTAACCTGACATGCATAGGTGCCGAGTCCTCTCCTGTAAGCGAGGAAGGATTTGGATCTGGACCTCGTCCACGTCCATATGGCCAGCAAAGTGAGTCGGAGATTCCATCCTGGATAAAACTGTGACTGATGATTTCTTTAGACGGTGATGAGAATGGCGTCGCCAGTCCATTCGGTCGGCCAGGTCAATTCTCACCTCAAGAAGGTCAGCCATTCGGTCGGCCAGGTCAATTCTCACCTCAAGAAGGTCAGCCATTCGGTCGTCCAGGTCAATTCTCACCTCAAGGACAACAGTTCCCACCATTCGGTCGGCCAGGTCAATTCTCACCTGAAGGACAACGGTTCCCAAACAACAACCAAGGTGGTGTGCCAGGCCAGTTTATTCCTCGACCTTTCCGCCCTGATGAGAATGGTGTCGCCAGTCCATTCGGCCGGCCAGGCCAATTCTCACCTCAGGGAGGTCAGCCAGGTCAATTCTCACCTGAAGGACAACGGTTCCCAAACGACAACCAAGGTGGTGTGCACGGCCAGCCGATTCCTCGACCTGATTCAGTCGGAAGCGACTCGCAGTCGCCTCAAAGCTACGGCGGTGACCGGAACGATGACCAGAACAAGGACAGCGGCAGCAATGGTGTCGCCAGTCCGGTCGGTCAGTCAGGTCAGAACTCACCTCAGGGACAACAGCCAGGTCAGGTCTCGCCTCAGGAACAACAGCCGGGTCAGGTCTCGCCTCAGGGACAACAGCCTGGTCAGGTCTCGCCGCAGGGACAACAGCCTGGCTCGCCCGCCCGCTACGGCGACAACCATAACACTGATGAGGGTACCGATGCCAGCCCAGTCACCCACGATGGCTCGTCCGGCAGCTCGCCCAATGAAGTGCCTCAGAGCCAGGGCGGCGAGCAGAACAAGCAAGGCGGTGGCGCCGTTGCAAGCCCAGACATGAACGGTGGATCCTCTAGCGGACCCGTACCCGCAGCCTACGGAAGCACCTCTCAAAACAAGCACCAGAAGCGATCCGCTGGCCGTCAAGCTCACTCGGGTGCTTTCCGTCCAGCTTAAATCCGGGGGTGTTTATCTCATCTCGGGATACACTACAAGTAGCAGCTAACATTTCAAATGAGTAACTCCTCCTCTGGACGGGTTCCTTAGGCGACAAGATGCGTTGGTGCTTGAAGCAAGCAGGATGGTGGTGGCAAAGAAAAAAACAAGTCTTGTTATTAGAAACGCTATCCAAGTCTTGTCCTCCGTTCTGTTCTCTCTCATTGCTGCGCAGTAGAGTCGTACTTGATGACTGCTCCATGTGGTAGTTGACCGAGATTTCACATCGCATTCCATCTGGCATTTCTGGATAAGAAACTGTAGACTAGTGCCTGTTGGGTAGTGCGCTCTGTCTATCTCTTTGTTCCAAGGGAACTGGATACTCTATCGTGAAATGCCATGGTCTAAGGAGAGCAGTATGTCTCGTCCCACCTAGCATGCTAATAGGGGCAGCATCCTCAATCCGACCAACCTAGCGAACGACTCATGCTGAACTTCTGTACCGCAAACTCGTCATCGATCTCGCCCCAAGGATCATGCTCGTGCTCCTGCGTGTAGTCCGGTCGCTTGATACATTGCAAGCAGGCGCCGACGCACAATCGGCACACCTCGTTTGCACATGCGATCACGGTCCGATGGTTTGGCGCGTTGAGGAGACGGCTCGTGGAGGCAATGCCAGCATCCCAGTCATCCTCGGACCTATATGAAGATCCTGGTCCAGGGATCTGTTCCTCTGTTGAGATGATGGGGATCTCTACTCGTTCGAGACGCCAAAGATGGAGTCCGAGCGTCGCTTTCGTGAGCTTCAGCGGCCAGAGCTCCTCTCTTGCCAGGCCCGACAGAAGCTTTATTGCGAGCTCCTCTCGGTGTACCTTTCGAGCTGCTTCGGTGAAGTCGTTGATAAGGCCCGTCACTTCTTCCGTCAATCTGATACGGGCCAGGTTCTGCTGGCTCTGGAGCAGATTAACCAGGTCGTATGAGAGGATGTCGAGGCTCTGTTGATGGAAAGTCTTGGCGCAAATATGATTCTCATTGAGCACCATTTGTCGAGTGAAGCGGCGAAAGTGCTGCGGTTGATCAAGAAGGTAGGACGCAGCCGTGAGTATATCCAGCTCGCCATCCTGGAAAAAGAAGTCCTCATCAACATGGCGAGCCAGTAGTGCATCCGTAGGTAGCTTAAGGGCATCGACGCAATCGTACTTCTATCGATGATCATTAGTAGCGCTACGCGACGCTTGGAAAGCATCCCAAGCTCCTAGGGTTACTCACATCCGCAATGACCGCGAGATCCAGAAGCATGCTTGGGCTCAGCTCGTTCTCGTCATCTTTGTCTGATATCGGATATTGATGATGCAGTAGGCGACACAAGTGCTTGAGCGGCACGGGCGCATCCTTCAAAGCGACCTCGTGCGGCTTATCGGCGCTGCGTTCTTCAGCGAATTTGCATTCCGAGTACTTGTTGCTGAAAAGCGCTTTCAGGGGCTTGGAGCTCATCGCAATGATGCAGCTGCTGACTCGAATCTTGAGGGTCGGGTAAAAGCCATCGTCGGCCACAAGGATGATGTCGCCGAATTCGCAGATGGTCTCTTCTTGTGGCTGCAAGAGCGTGAGCAAGTCGGGAGCATCAGTGTCCGTCATGTCCGCGAATGTGCGTTAGTATAAGGCTGATGTGGCCTTGAACGGTTGGAGAAGTTGGAAGAAGTTGCAGCGTTTGCGAGGAAGTTCGTGGTCAACGTTATATAGGGCGGCACGTGAAGCCCAGAATTTGCCGGCCAGCCAGCGACTGCACATGCTTGCAGCATTCTTTCCGTTTTCGTGGATTCAGTCCCTTGTGAAGAGCAACCTCTGAGCTGTGACAGCTTTCGCGGTTGGCGCTTGGTTCGAGTAGACCTCTATCCTCGGGCCACCGCTCTTACTTAAGCGTTTCAGCGCAGCCGACGAGATGGGGATTACAGCGTTTTCGCACATCGGAAGGCTATTGTCTTCCCGAGAGTACTGGCAAGAAGTAGGCTCACGGCGAATCGAACGGTGTCAGATCAGCGGTGGCAGCCGGCGAGATGCTGTAGGAGTTCACAATCATCAATCCAAGATAGAATATTTCATATGAGTAGGGTATCTTCGCTCACCAAGCAAACTGTATACCAGCCGAACGCCTGGCCTCACCAAGATGTCCCAAGGCGCCCATCACTACCGGTACGCTTTATGCCATGTGCTTTACAACCACTTGCCCACAATCGGAATCATCCGGTACATCTCGTCATACTGTCGGCCCACCCATCCAGGCGCTGCACCACCTCTTGCAATCACGCCAAAGCTGCCTGCCATCCAGAGACCAGTCACGAGCGCTGACAGGCCGTTGATGATATACCACCTCCTCTTCTTGCTGAGCTCTCTCCGAGAACCCATCTCAGTGACCTGGTCCGGCGTCCAGCCCAGCCACTTCGCCCATCCCCACGTGATATGGAAGCCTCCCACAGCCAGCAACGCCGAGAAGCCAGCAAAGGAGATTGCAGGATGCCGAGCAAATGCGTGTGATACATAGTCCAGCCCGACATTGCTGCCACCGCCCGCTGAGTACATCTTTGGGATGAGACGGTTGATGGCCATATGTCCAACGATCAAAGGCGTGAGGAGGAACCCGAGCTTAGAGGTTCCGCTCACTTTTGGCCAGAATCTGGTCAAGAACGCAGCTTTATTCTCCTTTGAACGTGCCTCTCCATATCTCTTTGCATTCTGATTCCTTCTCAAGACTCTTATCGCAACACCACTTATTACGTGTGCCCATATCGGGACGATGACCATCAAGGGCTCAGCTGCCGGGGATTGGTAGTAGGGTCGAGTAAGGAGTAGGTACGGTTCGCTGGCCGGTACGGAGCGCGTTACGAGCGGAATGATTGAGGTATTCGTGATGTGCATAGTTGCGAAGGCGGAGAAGGCATAACTGCTGTACTTTTGGATTCGCGTCAAGTACCATATCGCGGAATGTTGCGAGAGCCCCGGTCGTGTCGTTGTAGGTTGGTAGTGGGAGGACTTGTCCTCGATCGAAGAAGCTACATCGTGTGTAGGCATGGGCTCCAGTTCATGAAGGCCCGACTCCAGTCTTTCCAAGTCCTCGGTATCGGCCATCGTGATTGATGAAGTGCTGGTGATGTCGTTCACATGCCTGGTAGATCTCGTCGAATTGCAGGTGAGGCATTACCAGAGCGCGCTAGCGAGCCGCGCCGGAAGTCTGCCGATGTGAAACGCCGAATCCGAGCGTCTCGGTCTCCTGAGACTCGATCCATATCAAGGAGACTCGATCCATATCAAGAACCTGTTGGTCTCAACTCCTTCAGCTACTCAGGCCGGACAGACGACTTACATCGGCATGCTTTCCTCACTTCAAATTCTGCGCCTTTGCGGCCATCTTCTTCGTGAGGTGCTACATGTGCACCGAATACAAGCAGAGGGAAGTGGAAAGCGTCACGAGATAGTGAAAATGGTCTAAATAGGAAAGCAGTGCGTGTTATGCAAGTAGAAAGGGTGAAGTCAGAATATTCCCGGATTGTTTGGAGAAGGAAAACGTGCACTCCAAGTCACCTCATCTTGGAAGATGTGTGATGATGATTAATTCATATCTCATCTATCATTCAACCCAGTCCCCAAACCAAGCCATGTGTACTGTCCACCCACAACCCAAAATACTGTCGATAGGTATAGAGATTACCAAGCCTCCCACTTCTGTCCTCCCATAGCAATTAGCCGATTGAAAAGCTCTTCCCTCAGAATCATAGCCGTGATGATATAGCTATTCCCCTGCTTGTCGATAATTTCCAATCCATCCGCTACTTCGCGATCCAGGGCCCACCCAACAACCAATTTGCTCTTCCACCCCAGTCCTCCAATCTTCTTCAACTCCTTGATATCAGCTACAGCCACTGTCCATACGGGATGCAACTCGTCGTTCAAAGTTCCGGTCTCCTTAGATGTTACATTCTTATCAAGACTGAAACCCACGCAAGGGATAGTGGCTTTGCTGGTGATGTATGCATGTCCCTTCTTTCCGTGGAATCGGCATTTGAAATCCACAGGACCCGAGAGTTTGTTTTCTTTCGTGGAGGGAACGACGCCCAGGCGCTGTTTGGAGGCTTCGCTTCCGGCCTTGGCTTTCACATGATCGGCTCCGAGCACAGTGTCCACGGTGCCTTTAATGGTTCCCTTGAATGCGCCTAGAATCTTCGAGCCGCGTTTGCCGTGTTTGCTGTTCTTGGAAGCATCAACGTCCGTGCCTGCGGTTTCGTGCGCGACGTTGGGATCGGGCTGAATCGCTGCTTGGATTTCCTCCTCGGTTGCATTGAGAGGTATATCCGCTCCGACAGCTTTGAGATGGTCGTCGGTCAGTTCAACTGGTTTGTCCTCTGGAGGCGCCGCGCCATGATGTGGTGGAGGTGGCAAAGGTGCCTTATTTGCTTCGCCAATTCGGAGGAGAGTAACGGTTAGCTGCGCGTTGGTTGGAACCCCTTTGAGGACAGTGTTTCGAAGTTCGAGCAGTTTTTGCCACTTGGGGAAGTGAGAGTTCAGGTATTCGAGACCGCGCATAATGACCGGGTCGCCGAAGAAGCCGAAGCCGACAGCAAGGGTGATGCCTTTGACAAGCATGTAGGACGTAACAACGAGCGACACGGCGAGCGCAGGTACGATCAGAGCTGCTATGCGAAGTCGATACAGATCGCGGGGGAAGGGAGGTGTGGGATCCAGAGCGTTGCCGAAGCGTTCCCAAGTGTCTGAAATATCCGCGATGGTGTGCATAACTGGTCGCATCTGGTTCCAGATGGCCGTCTCCATTGGCACCTTGGTCTTGTCATGTGCTCCAACTTTGCCTCCCGATACCTTGGTTCGCGCCTGACTGGCATTGACCGCCATGGCAGTTGGATCGGGGACTGAGTCGCCAGGTCCTCCTTGCTCGGCGTGAGGTGGTTCATTCTGAGGGTGCTTCCCACTAACACTCGTCAAGGCCACGGTGGCGATGCTGTTGACAAGGTTGGTAGCCTCCTGCTCAACAGCTTCACCTTTGTGCTTTTCTGGAGCGCCAGTTGCGGAATCTGTTGATCCTAGTACACCTGCTTTGGGCTTCTGTACGCCACCTGTCTTCGCGTCGACCAGAGCAAGCGGAGCTGGAGGGAAGAGCATCTCTCTGCAGGGCGGATAAACAATGAGAGCTATGATCATAGCAAAGAAGGCAGGAGCAAGGAGGTCAAATAGGCATGCAACGAAGTAGGCGACGCAGAAGTAGGTAGTCCTTCGGGTTTCCCGCCATGATCGTAGTCGCATGATGTGCTTGCCAAATCCCATCAGACCGATAATGACGGTCATGTACAATCGCTCGATGTTTGCCCGAAGCTTGTCAGGCGAGAACTCTTCTTCGTCGGCGATGCTGAGATCCAGCTTGCCTGGTAAGGGATAGGGGTATTCTTTGACATGGTACATTTGCTGGGAAGCGTTAGTACGGGCAGGTTGCACAAATTCAGAATGGAAGCTTTCACATGCAAATGGCACGTACCTTGTTAAACCTTCGGACCAGTACCCACAGCTCGTCGTTGGGCATGCCGCCTACGAGGGGATTGGGAATGTTGTCGACATCCTCAGTCCATCCAAGATCCTTCCCCTCTCTAGAATGGCCCTGTTGGGCGGCTCCCTTCTCGTCGTGGTCCGCGGTGGCCAGAGCATGGCTGTCCGTAGGTTTCTGCTGCAGGGAGGTAGCAGTCTCCATTCTGTCCGGATCCGTCACAGGCGCCAAAGTGTCCGGAATAGGGAGGAAGTCGCTGATGGCCTGTTTGTTAATATCGAAGGCCATCTCGAGAAGCTAGGGCGGTGTGGTCAGGGAAGATATATTTACTTCCAAGTTGGATGTCGCGTGGGGAACAGGCATGGGGAATACCCGGCCAAGGACGCGACCGAAATGACGTCGATATGGTGTGATTGGCTTTTGTTCTAGCCGACCTGGGCTAGCGCGATCGGATCTTAGGTTCCCTTTCCCTGAAAGGCGCGTCTCCCTTCACTTGTCACGCGACATCCAACCTTTGGTATACCGATACCTTACCCTTCTCATCGGGGCCATCGGGCCATCGTCCTATACCGCCATGTGTGTAGAGAGGCGTGCGAGCGATACGGGCAGCATGGCAGAATACACGGCCACTGTCCCCACTGCCTCCCAGCACACAGCCATTTCCTCCCCTTGTCTGCCTTTGTAGTCAGCAAATCTCCAGTCTAACCTCTACAGGATGCCATTGCGCAGATGGAGTTCAGAAGAGAATGAAAGACGGCATGAATCACGCCCCCAAGGCCTGTCGCCTGCTCAGATCTCGCTCCACTTCCCTTGCAGAACGCCTGCGGCTATGCATCACAAGCTATACTTGCGCGACTTCTTCACAGACCGCCGCAACAATAGCTTCGGGATGGATACGACAGCGAAAAGAAGGAGCAGAACATTTTACAATGCTTGCAAGAGTCAAGACTTCGTCGGCGCTCCTGGACAGCAGAAGAGACTCGGCTCTTTATGGACCTCCGCGCGAAGCAATTGACATAGTCTTGCGGGCAATTTGCTACAAGAAACAAACGTGCCTTGCTCTTTCGAGAAAATTGATTGGGATTGTCTTATAGCTTGACGCCCAATCGAGACGCCTCGACACGTGGTCGTTGGACAAAGTCTGAGACGACACAGCTCCTAGAGTACATACGAGAAGGGAAGCAACCATCCGCAATCGCCAAAGAGCTGGGACCCTCTGTCATGGCGGTGACCTACAAGGTACGGAATATGAAGATGAAGGAAGACAGATGCGCTCAGACGGGAGAGGCGGACTCCCAGAAGCAGAAAGACACCGATGTTGGCGAGAAAGAAGCCGATACTATCTGGCATCCTAGCCAGTCTGACATGGAGGATGCAGAGATCGCTTTTCCGCCCACGGCTTCCCATTCTCACGGTCCTCAACGCCATCGCTTCCAAGATGCATTCGCTCCACGGATCCAATTGCGCTGAGGGACCGCAACGTTGGACAGAGGAAGATGTCAAGGACTTGATGAAGCGCACCGAGTAGAGCGTACGTCCTGTGCGAACGGCCAGAGAGTCCGGGCGCGCACACAGTGGGGTCGCCAGCCCACTCGCAAAGCTGCGGAGGGCAGGTCGCGTTTCTGCTAGGCCTGTGGGCAAAAGGGCATCCAAGCCGAAGTGATCGGGAAAGGGCTAGATGACCAGGTATCAACAGAGTGTGTAGACTAATTGCTCAAGATAGGCGACAATGACAGCACGCACAGATGCCACCCCCAATCGAACCCGGCTTGCTCCATGATGTGAATTAGGACAGTCTCTCTCTCACTCTCATTGCCCCCCTCGTCCCCTACAGACCTCTTGAGACAGTCCTAGTTAACGTATCTACAAAGCACCTAACAAGGTAGACAACGAGTTTTCCCACCCAATTCCCTGCCTGCCTAACCATACTACCCACTCCCCCCCCCCCCCCCCCCCCCCCCTCCCCTCTCAACCCTCCCATCCCATCCACTCCAAACCCCTTCTACCCACCAATCAACCCAATCCCTTTACCATGAATCTTAGCCCCTCTTAAGAGCTCTTCCCATCCCAAGGAAATCTCGCTTTTAGAGGATATATATTTGCCCACCGTTCAAGCTGACCAATCATCACCGCGCCCGCTTGGCTTAGTGGTACAGCGTCTCACTCGTATTCATTCTGCAGTACGGCAATGAGAAGATCCTCGGTTCGATTCCGAGAGTGGGCATGGATATATATATATATCCTTTTGCGTCTACTTTGATTTTTTTTTTTTGGCTTCGTACTAGAGAGCCAATCTCATGCAGCGGAAGAGATTATTAGGGAGGGGGTTTTTAAAAAACGGAACGCGACGTGGTCACGTGACGGTATACCTGGATACGTTAGACGCAGATGCCATGGCAAAAGGAAAATACCTAGTAATGCTTCGATGGGACCGACACATCGAAAACTGACTGCATGTGACCAAAACGGAGACTTTCATTCATTCCTTCATTCAATTCTCCAACACTAGATCTAGCGCATTCAGTTTGCATAGCCTCATATCTACATGTCCCAACTCACTCACCCTTCACATTAAAGAGCCTTTGTGACTACCAATGGAAGTTGCCCTCTCACAACGTCTTAACAACGCCAACGCATGCATGCATGCCTATGCCGATGCTTATTGCCCATGCCCATGCCCATGCCCTTTCCAATCCCATCCCATCATCACAAAAGTTCTCCCAATAACCCAAATCCCCAGTCCATATCCCCAAAAGAAACGCCAAGGCCATCAAAATCAAAATCAAAGACTGCTTCTCTCATCACCCCGAATTCTCATTCTCATTCGCATTCGGGGTCCGAATCGTCGTGGCGGAGGAATCTTCCTGCTGCTGCGGCTGCTGCTGCTGCGGATTCGGATTCGGATTTCCCTCGTGCTCACCAGTCCTGCGAGTCCGTATTCGCAGAGCATTCCTCAACCTCTGCCGGACACCCGCTTCCCCTTCCGGCTGCTGTGCACCCTCACTCTCGCCTTGGGAACCGCGCTGCTGATCCCGATACTCCCTCAGGGCGCGAACACGTTCCTCCCTCGTCATGCGCTCCGGAACCCGACTGCCCAGTAACCCGATGATTAGACTCCTCCGGACTCCCATTCTGCCCCCAAGCGGAGGCGGGAAATCCTGAGAAGATTCCCCGTCCTCGCCTCCTTGTTCATCCGCCGGTCGCAAATCTATCCTGCACAACGGACAGGTTCCGCTGACGTTGAGGAGCCAGGGATCGACGCATGCCGGGTGGAAGCGATGATCGCAGGGGAGGACGCGTTGGTCTTCGCCGGGTTGGAAATCTTCGGTACAGATACTGCAGCCGGGGTTTTCTGCTTTGGAACTTTCCGCGTTCGGGCGTTCTGTGGCGGCTGCAATGCCTCCAGAAGATGAAGTTCCTGCCTCTTCTGACGGGCCATTTATTGCTGTGTCGGGTTGCTCACGTGTGCCGTCAGTTGAAGGAATGGTGGTCTCGTGCTGCTGAGCCGTTTCCCGCTGTTGCTGGGTCCGACCTTCTTCCAATTCCGTCTCCGTCGGCTTCGGCTGACGATCTTGTTCGCCGTCCCTAAACTTGACAATCGGAATCGTCTCCAACATGGCCATCGCCAGGCCTCTTGCTCTCGACTGCCTGGGTCTCCCCACTCCATTACGAGGTCCGTATCGTTCCGGATGCCGATGTGCCCTCACAGCTCCGGTGATGATAATGGCCAAGAACAGTGCCGTGATAATGCCCGTAATCGAATACAGAATAATCATAGCAACCGCTGTGCTCGGCGACGGGCCCAGAGGGTTCTGTGGCTGCTGTGATGCAGTCGACGATGCGCCTGGCGCGGAACTCGTCTGTGTGCCTGTGCTGTTTCCCAATTCATCTCTTGTCCCTAGCATGGCGTACGCGGAACCTAACGAGTTGGTTACGTCCAGCATGATCTTTCCGTCGCTTGCCGTTGTCAAGGTATACACTCTCTCCGAAGTCGCTTCGTCTGCGCCGCTGAGTGCACAGCCTGCCTCTTGCGTCGAGTAGAGGACGATTCCGGTCGCGTTCCGTTGGGTTGCTTGGGAGAAGACGTCGGAGGGCTGGATGTTTCCGGTATATGGATCGCAAGATATGAGGACGATATTAGAGGGTGCTATCGCTAGCTGGGAGGAAGCATTGGCGAGGAGGATGGGGCCGGAGAGAATGGAAGTCTATACGCAATCGCCACGCAGAGATTAGCCCCAAAGTCAACGAACGATGCTAGTCGTAGGGGATTTTGGATTTGAGAGAGTGAGTTTATGATGACAGAAGCCAGATGCTGTCGTCCGCGGAGAGGTGACTCGGGAGGGTGTAGATTTCCCTGGCACCAGGCATCATGGCAGGCAGGTTACGCGGAAAGCGTTTCAGAAGGAGATATACGTACCGACGCCTGTGTCGTTGATGTCCCCAGAGAGTAGAGCGGATATCTCGCACTGGGGGTGTTGGCGCCGCCTTGTCCTATCGCCAGCTCCCAAGAGGCAGAAGGAGACGAGGTGGAAGTCGCATTATGGTCGTTCTTCACTACTGCTGGTGCCACGGTGTTGGTGGCCTGGATCGTTTGCGCAGCGGCCGGGAAGACGGCGAATGCCAGAACGAGGCACAAGCGCCGTGTGAAGCGGTGCATCCAAACCATTCTGTCAGATTCCAGTCGAGCGCGTGCAGCGAATGTTCATGTCATCATCATCATCATCATCATCATCATCATCATCATCATCATCATCATCATCACCATCATCATCGTCATCATCAGAGACATCGGTCGCGGGTCGTCCGTCGTCGCTCGCTCGCTCGCTCGGTCGATTCGCCTTCCGGTCTGGACGCCGACGATACAATGCAAAGCGAATGGAAGATGGCTGAGATCGACACGGATCTGGAGCGGGAGCCGCCACTTCCTCTCCCACCGCGGCGCAGTAAGTACAGTACAGTAGCAGTAGCAGTAGCAGTAGCTGCCCGGTTCTGCCCGTTCAGCCGGATCGACGGCGGGCAAAAAGGTGGGGTCACTGCTCAGCCTCCGCACACATATCCGCATCGCGCATCGCATTCGACGGAACGGATTGGATTGGATTGGATTGGATTCTTCCACGGATGTCAGCGGAATGCCCGACCTAGATACATGTACCGACTACTACTACTACGAATACTGCATCACGCATCACGGGGACAATGGTTATCGCCATGTCGCTACTCCTGCTCACGGACGGGAACCAACAGCAAGAAAACTCGCCGACGCTAGGTATGAATATTATGGTCGGGAAGCAGTGCAGGCTGACACGCACGTGCTGACATGATGTGAAGGGAGCGGAGAGGCCGCCCACGAGAACGAGCATCCGCAATTCACAATTCACAATTCACACAAAGAAGCCTCGCCGAGCCATGGACCGGAAAGTGCCGAGTTGCGGATAATCGTAAACGAGCCACACGCTATGCATTCCTTGGATCAAATCTCCAAACGATCCAGCTCAGAACTATCCATGATGGTCTTGGAAACTGCCGTTTCCTCTTCGCTCATCCACCCCGCCCATCCCTATTTTAACGTACAGCGGGCGGAGGTGTAGTGAGATCTAAAATGCAATCCTCGCCGTAGGTCTCCCCATACCCATATACGCCTGGCCAATCCACGCTGATGCAATGTCAAAAGCAACACCATTCCTCCTTCTCTCTTCCTCTTCTCCCTTCCCCCTTCCTCTTGTCTTCTTCTCTCTTCCCCTTCTCTCTTCCTTTCCCACCCTTCTCAAGCTCCCTTCGCAGCACGTCCTTGCTCCACCAACCACTCCATCACACTCTCATAGCAAAGCACATACTGCCTCAGACACTGCACCATGCTCAGTCTCTGGTGTCGGAAGTCCGAGACCGTCTTCTCCACCAAGTCCTGGTCGTCGCGGTGCAGCCAGGCACCGTCCACGCCGTCGCTGTCGTGCTGAACCTCCGAGGCAAAGAAGCCGCCGTCGGATCTGCTCCGGCCTGCAGAGGAGCGCTTGCTGTCTTTGTCCACGTCCATCGGCGTACCTTGCCGCGGAGGAGCATTGGATCTCGTCATCCGTTGCCGCTTGAGCATGTCGATCACCGAGTCCACCGTACAGAAGGTCCCGGTCCTTCCACACCCAGCGCTGCAGTGCACCAGTACTGGCCTTGCGTCCTCGGGCTCGGGCTGCTCAGACGAATGAGAGCGGTTGCTTGCCCGGACAACCGCATCGCATTGCTCTACCAATCCAAGAAGGTGCGCAGGATGCGCGGGCGCTCCAAAGTCGGGCCAGCTAGAGTACTGGAGCTGGGTAAGCTCGCGCATTGGCGCGAATGGGTGTTTGTCATGCTTGATGGTGAACTTGCGCACTATCACAAACGGCTGATCAGATCCACTACCCTTCTCTTCTTTGCTATCGACCGGCGCCAAGGGGACCTGCGGATTCTGCGACTTCGTAGACGCGCGCCGAACAGGACTCGGCCGTTTCTGCGATTGATGTATCCGCGAGGGTTCCAACGATGCGCGCTTTTCCGAGAGAAAGTCTAGCTGTATAGAGCCATATTGCCTCTTGTCCCAATAGTTGTGCGCTTTGACCTGCGCACCTTCCTTCTCCGCCGTCAACATGACAACGACGCGCACATCTTGCTGCCAGACCACATTCCAGAAGTCGTTGAAGGTAGCAGGTATGGGCGCCTGCGTCGAAATATATCGTTTATTACTCCAAGAAGCCTTGATATGACTTGCATTGAAATAGTCGCATCCATGGCTTGGAACTCCTTGCAACCTCACACGCGAGTGCTCGAATGGCCAAATGTTGTTGTATCGGTTCTTGTTGCCCTTCTCCAAGCCGGCAATCTGCACTTCCCCGTGCGCGGGCTCTTTCGTCGGCGTGCCAAATGAGACTTTCCCAGATAGAGCATCCTCCATTCGCTTCTTTTCTCGTCGCTCAATTTGCTCGAATCTGTTGGAAACCTTCTTTCCTTGATCCTTCTCATCTGCGACGGCCTTTAGCCATTCCGGATACTCCTGTTCGGCAGCTTTCGTCTCCTTGGATGGGTGCTTAATGGCCATCTGGCCCACGCCCCCAATAAGGTCCATGTTCTGCCGAATGTTGCCGAAGAACGGATTCGCTGGTTTATCGGTGGAAGGCATTGGGCAGCCTCCGACCACAGGGGCTACTTCAGGGCCGTCGCCATCTGTAGCAGCGCTTGAGCCATCCATGCCCTGTTCGACGTATGACGGGAACCGCTTCGAGAACTCCAGGAAGCCACCTTTGACGATGTACAGTGCACCTTCGAAACCCTCGCTCCGGAACTTCTTGATGGTGTTTGAGCAAATCGTGGCATCTTTCAGAGTAGCCGAGTTCCCGTCATACACTATGATGTACGAAGCATTTCTCCAGTTTTCAAATCGACCTCGCTGTTCGTCATCCTTGAAAGTCTCCGCAAGCTTTTGCACGTTGAAGGAGGGTCTCTTGAGAAGCGTCGTGGGAATGCAAAGATTCAATGCGCCTACTGCGTGTGAAGTCGCATACTGAGTCGCCACTCGGAGATCCAGCAAGAGTATCTCGTCAGTCTTGGAATTCAGCAAGTTCACAATGTGTTGTGGCGTGGCCATTGATTGTGACTCCGGATCATTGGTAGTCGCGGGTAATGTCTCGGCTCGGTGCTTCACAGAACTGGGATACCCTCCGTTAAGAGTGTCGAGTGGCAGTTGTACTCGCGGGTGCATCTCCGGAGGTGAACTCGTCATCCTCTCCCGATCTGAATCATACTCGGGAGGCGATCCTCGCCGATTGCTATCATATTGTGAGCCCGGGGATAACACCCGCTTTGGCGATCTTGCCAGCTCGGTAGGCGAGGCTTCCTGCAGGCCCGACCGATGCGCTGCCGGTATTTGTATGTCTTTCGGCGCAACCGGTGTGGACTTGGCCGGCGACGTCTGCGGATGTGAGTTTGATGCCTGGTGGCCGTTTAATCTTGCGCCCCCCGGCCTTGGGCTCGGCATGCTCATCTTGAAACTGTTCAGCCCGGCCAAGTTGAAGGCCTTACCCTCCTGCGACTGTTTCCGGAACGCATCGAAGTCGGGGTTCTGCTCGAGGGGAACGACACTCGGAGACACTGCAGCAGTCGATCGCACTGTACTAGAGGGCGGGCTCCAATTGCCCTTGGCATGCTGCGGTGAATCGGTGAGAAGGGAAGCGCCTTCGGCTTGGAAACCAAAGTAATTGGGACTTGGTGTCTGCGGCGCTTTTCGTTGCGGACTCGATCGACGAGGCGATAGGAAGGGCGTCATGGCGGGTGGATTCGAAGGGGTCGTGGAAGGGCGTTGCTGCTGCGAGCGAGCCTGGGAGTGCGAATGGTAGCGCGGGGATGTGGCGGTGTTGGTCATGGTCGTGGCGGCGGCGAGGGTCTGGGGCACAGCGCGCATGGGGAGCGGGCCTTTGAGAGGGTGAGAGGTCAAGACAACGGTGCAGTCGTGTGCGCCACAGCCCGATTACAAAGTGATGGCGCCATTCGGCCTCGCGGCGATTCTAGACATGGCGCGGAGGGTGTTGAATCATGTGAGAATGGCGCGGTGGATGGGGGAGGACGGATATGACGTAAGGCGGAACGCTGCAGGTGCAAAGGCCAGGGCGAGTGGGAGGCAATGGCGGGCGAGAGATTGGTCAGACGGCCGGCGTTGATTCGTTGGGGTGGTGCAAGGTGCAGTGGTGGTGGAGGAAGTGGAGGCGGAGGAGTCGGAGGAGTGGTGGTGGTGGTGGTGGTAGAGAGGGAGAGGAGGGAAGGTAAGGTAAGGTAAGGTAAGGTAAGGTAAGGTAGAAACTGAAGGGTAGTGTGCAGGGCACCTCACAGCACAGCTGAGGTCGGGTGGGCTGGGCCCTTCACACAGCAAAACCAGCCTGGAGACCCTGCAGCAAAGCGCTAGCACCCGACTCACGCGACAGCCGGGACCCGCCGACGTCATCACAGGCTACCAACTCATCTCATCTCATCTCATCTTTCATCTCATCTCATCTCTGCTCTCCCGTACTATTATAAGTCAGCCGACCGCTTCCAGCACCGCTTGGAGCATCGCCTTCCTTCAGCCTTCGTACCTATATCGCTGCCGCGCCCTGCTCCTCTCCCGTACATCGCAGGCCTCAACGAATGACCACGCAACGCACTGTACAAGTAAGGCTGACACTGCGCTGACGGAATGATCATCCTCATGCATGCATGCATCTCTCGAGTCGGACCAAGTCTTCGAAACACTCCGTATCGTCGCAGGTGTCAAACGGTACGCTGGTTCGGTGGCGTGGCAGCGCTGCCAAGGAAGCCTTCCATGATCCGCGCACTCTGCGCGCGTCATCAGCGGAGCCGTTTGCGGTGCGCGGGGTGTTTGACATTTTCCCCGATCCGCAACTCTCTTCAAGTCCACCAATTCCTTTTGGGATGCATGATAGGAAGGGTCTGGTATCGGAGAACACGTGTGCCAGGTGGTACACTCTGCCTGTGATGAACATTGACGATGATCGGGCCAGATCCCTCCTGCAGTGCCTCTCAGCTGACAGTACATAGTTACATGTACCAGGTAACGCGCACGTCATTTGTGCCGGCAGAGCATTCTTTCCCGAAGCGGCAGTCAGGAGCAGCGCTAGTGCACGTGATCGGTCCTTCTGGTGAGACCGGCTCCTGCCTGAGAATTTTGCATCTTGCATCCCAGCATCTCTGTCCGACGACACCGGCCAAATTTGCGTGTCGCCATTACATCACATGCAAATGACTTGCGAGTAGAGTTGAAGCTCTGCAACCCAACACGAGTAAGCGGAATGCCACGTCAAGGAGATACCACATCACCGGATATTCTACGGATCAATGCGGTCCCGTCTACCTCTTGTCGTGGACGTACAACACGCAGAAACGTCGCAGTATGAGTATCGCAATCCTTCAAGCCGGCATGCATCAATGCACCATGCATCAATGCACCATGCTATCTTCCCGCAGCTCACGCACGGCCACAGCTGGTCCTCCGAGCTGCACAGTTGTCTTCATCTGTAGGTTGCACGACACCTCAACCTCTTCTCACCAACCTCACTCGACATGGACCTCCACCTGGTCGAACAGACATCTCGGGGCTTAAAGAGCCCGCCGCCGTGATCAATGTACGACTCGAATATCTTAGAAACTGGTCCACGACGTGCTGAGTGGACGTCTATATCCGGTAGCATCGAGTCGTGCCTAGAAGGAAGCATCCACCGTGGGCAAAGTTGCCGGCTAGTATGCCCAAATCCGTAAGATTCACAGACTCGTCACCTCGACAATCCACTGCCACTTGGCGATGATGTATACGAAGTGATTGCGGCGTTGAAGTAAGCTTAAGGCTTTGATCCATATCTCCTCTCCGAAGCACCGGAGCAGATCCTCGATCGTCCAAGAATTGCACCATTCACGAAAGCCTGGAGTGATACTCGTGTTGCTGCAGCTTGTCGGCCATCGAAAAGGCTGCTTCGAAAGACGGCCTCTTCGTCCTGGGAGGCCTTCTACCTAAAGGCGCTGCTTCCGGACAGGCATGGTGATGAGCCGCACATATACGATGGCGGCGTACAATTGCGTGCAATGGCAGTACTGGCCAAGATTGTACCTTTATTAAGCCTTCCGGACGACCCTCGGATGGATCAGACTACTGGCGCCTGGTAACCGTGTCACGCCTGGGTTGGTTTCGGTAGTATGGAGTGCCAAGACGCTCGAGATGACCTATACTCTCTGGTCTTTATCTGTCCCTCCATCGAACTGGCTATAGACTACACCCTGTCTGCCCCTATGGTCCACACTCAATTGGTCGCGAGCCTCGATAGACATGGCTTATTTAGCGTTGTCTTTGAACAGTTTTAATAGGAGCAGATCTTGTCCGACAAGCGAGAGAAGTGTCTTAGTGAGTCAACTCCCGTCATGGGCGCCCGATTATAGCCGCGTAGTCGGACTATCGCTTGAGGCTAGCGGTAAGAGTCACTACCGGGATTTGCACGCAGTAGTCCTTGTCTAGATGATCGGAGACTGTGCTGCTGACCATACTGCTTCGGTGTAGTACACGATGTGAAACTGGACCTTTCACGCTTCGCCTGTTCCGCGCTGCGGTGTCGAAGAAAGTCGATCTCACAAATACTGAATAGAGTGACTCGAGTATACTTATCACGATACAGGACTTTGCAATAGAGCCCCGGGAGACCGAGGTTGCGTCACGAAGCACATTGAAATAGCAAATCAACATTATTGGCCTGACAGATGGGTCATGTTCTTGCGCCCTGTAGAAGACTCGTAAGGTTTTATTAGTATCGTACGTCTAGCCGGTGATGTTCCTAAGGAGCAAGCTATCTAAGGTCACTTCGGCGGTATGAGCAAACTGCCATCTAGGACCGAACTCATTAATTTGTAGGTTTCCTGAAAACAAAAAAATAGACTTCGCGCAGATTCCGCACCGTGGTCGTTTTGCCTTTCATTCACTTACGTTGACTTTCACATGCCGAGCTAGGGCCGCCATCAGAACTGAGAATTACCTATTGCGGCTTCTTGCCGAGTTACCGACCACATTGCGGGCAGTCTTAAGTCGCCAAAACGTGAAAGCGCTCCACGTGCCGTGCAAAACTCCGTAGTACCATATCATGGCTCCCGCTGGGTAAGCTTCTATATGCGCTGGCTATCGAGCTCGATACGAATGCGCGGCAAAGTCCGTCTTGGTGCAACAAAATTGGAACCACCTGTACTGTGCTGTGCAACATTTGAGAGCATATGAGCCGATCACGGAAATAGTCTAAGCAAGTGAGCCCGTGCGGAGGCCTGGTGGAACAATGATCTCCTGAATTCAAGCGCTCTGCTGATGATGAATCTAGTAGTAAAAATACCGCACAACTCTCGACACAAACGTTAGCGCGACGGTGTGGGACCAAAACCTCGTACCACTCATTGCCACCCTCGCGCAATGCACATGTAAGCCATCCCAACGTCGTATCACCGCGTCGCGCGAGCGACAAGGTATAAGTTGCCAACGCCCTTTAACGCCTCTCTCCGTATTGCACCGCTCTGGGCGGTTGACACTAGCCATTTCTTACTCAGCAGAATAGGGCATGTAGGTTGCCTGGCTGGCTCCGTACGGTAGGCTCGTTACGTCCTGAGCATACTAAGCTGCAGTAGGCTTCGAGTCAGCGGTCTCACTTGCTGTAGTGGGCTCCTCGGGACGCGATGGTGGCTGCTGCGGCTGAGGTTGAGGGTGAGATGCTGGATACTCGCCACCCAAGCCATATGGAGACTGGTGCTGCTGAGGTCGACCTTCTTGAGCGGCAGCTACTTGGAGCTGATTCAAGCCGTCATGGCGAGCTGGATCCTCACGTGCGACGACTGGAGCTGGAGGCAGTTGCGGCTGATCGGTCCTGTGCTCCATTTCGCGCCGCAATTGCTGCTCCGCTCCGTACGATGACTCGGCGGCGACAGCCGCGTGAGGTGGGCCGCCCGAGGAGAGGTTGATATGCGATGGTGCTGGTGGGAAGTCGGACTGATTCTCGAGCAAGCGGCCCTGCAGATTCAGGATGTACTCACTATCTCGCGTTAGTGTCGCGTGCAGCCTACTGCCCAGCTAGTATTCATACCGCAGTTGATAGTTCTCATTCTGAAGAGCCTTGTAGTTGTGCTCCATGGTCTGAAACTCCTTCACCTGCTCCTCCAGCTTCTTGATGTATCCCTCCTTGCGCTGACGGAATGCGCGCTGAGCAGCACGGTTCTGGGCGGCGCGCTTGCTCGTTGAGAGCTCCCTCTTGCCCTTGCGATCTTGGCTCATGCTATCATCTCCTGCGCTGTCGCCGCTCATACCGTAGGGGATATGTTGGCCGGTGACGCTTGGGTCTAGATGGTGCTCGTGGCTGCCATCCGGAGGTGGGTACTGGTGCTCGTGGCCTTGGTGAGTAGCAGCAGAGGGCGGATATGGCGATGGAGCAGAGCCCGAACTGCTCGCGGCCAGGAGATGCTCGCGCAAGCCTAGCGATAAGACGCTCGAGTCAGTCGGCGGATCGCGAATGTCTTGTCACATACAGACGCGGATGTATGCCATTTCGCGGACCAACAGAGACTACGGAGCCGAGTGAAGATCGGCAGAACGTGGCGAAGTCGTGGAAGAAGAGGTGGACTCACTCATTTCGATCGGTTCCTGCTACAGAAGTACAGTCAGCATCCGTATGTACAGCCGGGCCAAAGCAACCTGCTTGGGTACAAGCGGTGACGGCGCTTGCGAGCTTACCTGAGCAGAACGCTGCATTCTTGTGCGGGCAGCTGGTGCGAGTCGCGCTGGTGCCGGCTACTTGGGCCGCGACCTTCGAGCTGAGACTGTCGGGTGTACTATCGTGCACAGCGCATGCGATACCGTCGCGACTCCTGCTGAGAAGGACGGAGGGTTCCTGTGCGCGCATATGTGATTAGCGTCGCGCATTTGATTCCGGTCGTGCTGTCGTCAGGCTCCGGTCGTGGCCGATGAAGCCGTGTGCCATGATGTGCGGTACGGCGTGGGCGGCGAGCAGCATGTGCAGGAAGTCCATACCTCGATAGCGATGAAGTCGAGAGTCGGTGATGTGTAAGGTGTGGGTTAGTCAGTAAATAGTCAGCGAGAGGACCTGCGTGCTTTAAACCAGGACCTAGGAACAAGCTGGAAGTCCGTGCTGGACGCTGCGATCTGATTCGCTCATCTGCAGGTCTCGGGCTCTTCCCTTCCGAGCCGAGAGCATTCACGAGTGATTGAATTGGCCATCCACCAAGTTAAAAAGGCTCCTTTTACAATGGGGCACCGGCATACGAGGCTTGACTCACCATGCACGAGAAATCAGGTTGAGACCTCGTCGTTGCCTCAAAGCGGAAATTATGCGAGTCGTCAGCAACGAAGCCGAGCGTTCCGCAACGACCCTATGATGACAAATCTCGCGTTGTGCTTGTGAAGGATGCAGGCTATGCCTTGGTTCAAGTGGTCGCCTTATGCCACCTCGCTGGGACTCAGAGTTGTCTCACGGCACGACAGTGACTGACTGCGTTTCTGTGCCGTACAGACCAGCTCTGTCGCGGGGACTGGCTATTCTGACCTCCTTACTTCTGACCCATCATCCTCCTCAGCATCAGGACCTCGTGTTTGGTTACGAACAGTCCGTTGCCCGTCGGGCCTCCGCTTACGCCTTCGACGTCCTCCATCCCGCCATCGATGCTCTCCACGAGCGCTGCGACCTTTCCGCCCTCCCACTGTCCTGCGTCGTTCGTCCAGAACACCCTGCGTATGCCGAACGACTCCATGAAGGCCATGCAGCGATAACATGGGCGGGAGGCGTGTATTTTAGAATGGTGCAGTCCGCACGTGTCTTTCGGCCGGGCGTTTGCAGGAGATGGTGATGGCTCGCGGTTGGTCAGTTCGTCGTGCAACGACCCTGTGGCCACATGCGAGCTTGTCGTCGAAAGGCTAGAAAGAGACGATGTACTGGATGAGAGGGTATTGTATCCTGCAATGCTCGGAGCTGGAGGTGGCGGCGGTGTGCTGACCGCGTCCTTCCTCGGCTTCTTCGAAGACTTGCCAGACCATCCCAGTCTTGCAACATAGAGGTCCGCTCCTTTCAAGCTTCGGTACTTCCTGCGATCAGACAGATTGCTCCCGTTCTCGCCAGCACGGCCCGTGGGAAGCAAAGTGGGCTGGCTGGATGGCAGGTCATCGTCGGAGTACGGGCTCGTTCTCATCTTGCCAGACTGCTTCATGTCAGTGACGGATTACATATTACAGCTCATGTCCTGTCGCACGCACCCTCTTGTAGTCCTTCTTGCGCTTCTGATCCAGGGTGGAGGCTGCCGAGCCCGAGCTTGTCGTTACAGTCGTGTCCTTGTCGTTGTCGTCGCTCGTTTTCATGGCATCGTGGTCTCGTAAGTCGTCTGCTCGTTTTTCCCTTTCTCCAGAAGCACGCCTCGACTTAGACACAGAAGGCTGTGCCTGTGCTCGCTGCCCGTACTGTGTCTGTGATCCATACCGGCCGTACTCATACTGATACTGATACCCCTTCTTCTTCTCGTTCTGACCTTTCACATACTTCTGGTTCTTCAGTTTCTGATGATGTTGCTCTCCATTCTGAGTCCCGTGAAACGCCGCGCCAGCGTCGCTCAACGCTCGCGCCAGCGGATCCATTTCCACATTCTCCCGCTCGTCCTTGTTGTTGTCGTTGTACTCCTTGGACTTGTTGTAGGCCGCTTCCGGAGACACCTGATCGAGATGCGGAACCTTCAAACCCGCACTCTTGAACCCGTGACTTGCCGGTGGAGGTGGAGGTCTCGCAGACGGCCGCAACATATGCCATGAGGAGGTCGCGTCGTAGTCGCGCTTTGCGTTTATCACCACCCGATAGTTTGAAGTACGGTTTTTCGCGGGAGAAGGTCGTAGAGGATTTCGTCGAAGAGGAGTGAGGTAGGGCGGAGTAGATTGCCATCATTTCGGAATGCATGGAGAGGGGCTGGTTGACGGAATGACCACCGCCCATGCTGCTACGATCTTCGAAGGGAGTGAAGGTAGAAGAAGACTGGCTTAGCTGCTGGTGGTCCGACCGCTGCTTCTGCTGCTTCTTTTTATTCAGCTTCGCCTTCAGCTCTTTCATAGCCTCGCCATCGAGGCTACCATGAGCAATCCGGCCGTGCTTCAAGGCACCTCCGTTGAAACCCGGGCGGTAGTCATTGAAGCCGTGGCCGATGACCTTGCCGCCGCGGACGATGATAGCTCCATGGCGGTAGTGGAGCGGCGACCTGGCAGCCTGCTCGAGGCAGAGACTCAGATAGTTGTCCGTCTTCATTTTGCTTGTTAGAGTGGGGGGTTTGGTAGAAGTGGTGAGAGATGTTGGCGTACGTGTGATTGGTGGTGTATTGGTAGCTTGAGCTTGCACAGTTGAACTTGAGCGTGAATTTGAATGTGAGTGTGAGTGTGGGTCAATTGCTGAACCTGTGTCGTGTTGTGGGCACAAAGTATGAATAGTTGATGTAGTCAGACGATGTGGGATGAAGTACCGACGTGTGATTTGCTGACAGAGCGCGGGAGCTAGCGGAAGACCGTGCGAGGATAAGCCCCTCGGCCTACTCTCATCATTGCCGTCGAGTTTCTCAAGAGCTTCGTCAACTTGAATGGCACCAAGTCTGGGGTGCTAAAGGCTGCGGGTTTTCCGGATGCAAGAGCATTACGTGGCATAGCAGGTGGGTCGGTAGAAGAAAACCAGTCATCGAAAAGGCCGAAGAATTGAACGCTTTGCAGCCCAGAAAAATGATAAAGACCGGTACCACCATCGCGTAGTCGCCAGCGGTTTGAGCAGTCCAGGGCAGTGAGCAGCACATGAGAGACGATGATCGAGCTTGGCGTATGAGGGGTCTCCAAACGGAAACGTTATCAGTAGCCCGGGAGGTCTCCGAGTCGATGACCTTCGGGGTGTGCTGAGTCGATGTCCCTAGGATCATGAAAATCTATCCGTGCGGTTTGGAGGCATCAGTAGACCTAGAGCATCTGAAGAGGAAATGGTGTTCTTACCAGTGTCACAAGAAATGAAGCCCTAGCAGCAAGGTGTATGAATTAGCCAGACCTCTACGGTTGCTGGGAAAAGCTGGAAGAGGTGCCCGAGACATCAGACATATTCTATTGTCATATAAGCTATATGTGGTCTGTTCGTATCCTTCGTTATCGCAAGACTATCAATAAACTTTTGTTGACCCGATCCTTCTCTTCATGCAAACTGACCAAACGCCTCCTTTTGATAGAAAATGCCATCCAAAGTCACGGCTCTTGGGCGACACATCGACATCCTGTAACTGCTCGCGCCCATGCAATGCCATCCAAGGTGACATACATTCTTACTTCATTGTTGTCAAAACACCGTGTCAGGTGTGCCGCTGAGATCCTCTAAATCTTCATCTACCACCTCATTCATCGTCACGACAACATCGTCTTTCCTCTCCTCGCTAACCAAAGAACCTAGATAATGCGAGAAGACCTGCTTTTTGGGCGAGAGCTCAGGCGGTGATCTGTTGGAAAGAGACGTAGGCAATCCCTAAGAGCCCTGACCAGACTTGATCTTAATCAGTCCCGCAATCTTTTCCATCATGTGATCCACGTCGTACGCATCCGATGCTTCACCATAGATCCGAACTGCATCTTCCGTTCCTGAAGCGCGTACGAAGCAGCGGCCGTTCTTGTACTTGGCAACTTCGGCATCGATCGACTCTTGTAAGCCTTCTGGACTTTGAAGCTTCTGCTCGGCTGTGCCAGGCACGGTCTTGTAATCGTCTCGACGCTTGACCACCTGCTTGGCGAGCTTGTTCGGCATGTCAGTGTACGTGGCTAGCCACTCCTTGACCGTGTATTCCTTGTGGGCGAGAATTGCCTCGACGAGCAGGAAGTCTGAGATTGCATCCCCCACGGTCTGGTTGATGAGGTCTGTAGTACCGCGTAGAGCCTCGAGACTCTCAAGCTGTGCGGGAGATTCCGGTTGCTGCTTCCAAATCGTTCGAAGAGCGTTGTTGGAGAACAGAACGGTACCATGACCATTTGCTTCAAAGTAGACACCAATGTCGTAACGTGCTGCGGCGTGGTGGAGATGCTTCACACCAGTTGGAGTGAACTCGGACTTGAGCTTGAGGCGTTCTTGAATGTACTTTGAGCTAGCACCATTGGCGTACGCAGTCTGCACGACACCAACCTTGATCTTGTCAGACAAGCCGGACTTGTCAACTAGTTCGCCAAGGAATGATGCAGCTAGAGTAGCAATTCGGTCTCCGTCCAAAAGGCGGAAGATGCTGCCATCTTCGTTGAAATAATATACGATGCGATCTGCGTCCCCGTCGAAGGAAGCCCAACGTTCGTAAGGCTTGCCAGTGAAACCTGCTGGGACCTTCTGCTGTGTCTTGACAAAATCGGCACCACAGTCCTTGTTCAGCACCTCGGCCTTTTCGATCTCGTCATTCTTGATCGTAATCCTCAACCCAGTCTCATCTTCCGATGGTAGATATTTGAGGAGCTCCTTCAATTTTGGAGCACCCACACCATTCGCACAGTCTACCGTCACTGGACTTGTCGCCTTTGTGTTCTTCATGACAGTCTTGAAGGCAGCAGCCAGCTTCTTGTAGTAGCCAGCCTCGGAAATCTCGCCATATGGATTCTTGTCATTCTGGGTGTTGGTAGCGCGAACGAGGTAATGCAACTGCGGGGTCGTGAGGATGCCAAAGTCCTTATAGTCCACGTTGGTAGCCTTGAGTCCGGCCTCCAATGCCTTCACCAGCCGCGCGCCTGAGGGTCTCGTATCCCGAGCATAGATGACGTGTGCTGGCTTGTCCTGAGGGATTTTGAATTGCTCCACCACCTCTCGATAGGCCTTCATTGTGTCCTCGGGTGTGGCTCCGTTGACAATATGTGTAGCCCACTTCTCCCAATCTTGCTCCAACATCTCGCCCATTGGGTCGACCAGCTTCACGCCGTTGTCTTCAGCCTTGTTGTGGGAGGCGGTGATCATGACTCCTATCGTTTGGCCATTGAGCTTGCGAGATCGAAGACCAGCGAGCAGGCCCATGCCGAACATGACATGATCCAGCCAGTCGCCCTTGGTGCGGAAGCCAGCGGTGCCATATGTGAACTTGTCGACTTCCGCAGGGCGTGGGTAGTTTTGGACCGAGTCGACGATGGCTTGCTCGGTGTCGTTGGCTGCCATTGCGACGGCGGTGGAGGCGTAGGATAGACGGTATGTTATAGAGTTCTCGGTGCAGACACGAGGAAAGCGAGCAATGGCGTCGTGGGAGCAGTCGAAGATGTGTACAGCGCAGACCTCCAGGCTCCAGGCTCGTATCAAGAAGGCGCTTGTGGGAGCTATCTGCGATTCGCTATGCAAAGCTGCGCCTTCTGCCTGAGTGGCCCAGGATAGGACAGTTGTAGTCTACAGACTGAGCTCGTCTAAAGTGAGATTTGTGGGTGCTGTCGTGGTGTTACAGCAGAGATGAATGTTCACATCCTCCCACTTCCACTGCCAGGCCAGCTTATGCTTGTGCTTGTGCTTGTGCTTTGTGCATTGTGCCTGTGCACTCCTCGTCACCAGATCTCCCGCAAGCTTTCACGGTTTCGCCCCACGTTTTCACCTGCAGCGGCCCGTCCCCTCCAACCCGGCGTCTGTCCTGTAAGGAGAGTTCTACAGAACGACGGCCTTCTGGACATCACGCGTCGATACCATCACCAGTATCAGCACACCACCGCCATGTCTTCCACGAAGGCGCCGTCAATGGCTTTACTACGAGCATTCTCACCTGCGATACGAAACAGTACCCTGCCGTGGACAATGAGAGCGAGAGGATGCCTGGCGCAACACGGCCGTCAGCAAAACGCGAACTTCTCGAGTTCACAACAGAGACAGGCCAGGAAGAAACGCGGTCCTGTGAAAGATCCCAAAATCAGTTCGCTACCCCATCAGCCCTTTAGAAATCCAATCGAGGCAATTCTGGACTGACACCCGACCAGCACAAATCCGCTACCATCTTTTCCATCCCATAACACCGCGCCCACTGCGCGTATCTCGGTAACCATCATCTTCCATGTACCACACTCTCTCACGCCCCTCTAACATCATCATCCCCCAGAAATCGCTACCTCCGCCATTGGACCATCCACCGCGCCTGGCAACGATATCAGGACCAGCTCCGCCTTGACCGCGAAGCAGAACTCCAAAAGCAATTCGACAGCATGGCAAATGCCTGTGAAGCGCTTCGCTTAATCGACAATCACGGTCTCACTGCCGAAGATCGATCGAAGTTGGGAGAACCTGAAAAAGCGGACGAGAGTAAAGAGATGGGAAGACTGTACAGGATTGCGATGCAAAAGGACGGTGTCTGGGACAGTGTGCCTATTGAGTACGCGAGGATACAGACCGAAACGCCAGCGAGGGAGGCTTGGAATCACGGATGGACAAGATGATCGCGACTCAGAGCATTATTGTAGGATTGAAGGACGAATGTACGGTATGGAAGGCTGGGAGGCTTCTGCCCTGTGTAAGATGCACATATGTGCTGGTCCGGCTTGAAAATTCACATCGAATGGAGCATGAAGACGCATCAACACTTGACATGCACAGGAGGACTGGAGATTGCGCACAGCTTCCGGCGGCATGTTGGACGGGAGCGCCGTGATGTCACAAGCTGGAAGTGGCTCTGGACGGCCGCCGGTACAATCGGGCTAATCCACGGGACAGATCGAGACGTAGCCCAAACGAATCGAGAGCTCTATCGAGCAGTCAATGCGCCCGACATAGCGCTTTGATCAGAGATTGAAACACAAAAGCACGACGAGAAGCAGGGCATTAGTAAAGACAATTCGCTATATTTCATCGAGAAGGTGACTCAGCTGTGTGTGGTGGCGCGCCCACAGTGGCAAGTCCGTAAACAATATTACAATCGTCCTTCAACAACCTCCGCGGCCGCCAGTACTTCCTCGATGGCCTGTTGTAGCATTCTAAGTGGTACGAGCATGTGCGCCACGAAACGGCTGTAGAAGCCGTCGAAGAGAACGTCTGTCCAACATCGCACGCTGAGTCATGTTGGGAAGCAGAGGACGGCGGATAGAAGGCATGCTGATACTCGGTAACTAACTGCTGGCAGATTCAGCAGCTTCTTTGCATTGGGCAAGACGCTGGCTTTTTACTCACGCCTTCCTCGGAGCTGCAGTCTTTGTACGAAACCTCCACCAGTCTGCCCTCAAAGCTAGCATCCATGGTCCTGCCAAGTATGATGAGGTACATCGCGTTGCACTTGACAGACACGGAAGTCTTAGATCTGTCACACCACGCGTCTTCCGACGTGATGTACTACAGTATATGTACTGAGATCATCTCGATCGTACAACCGTGATGTCTACGTGGGACTGTTATAAGAGGACGTCTTGCGCCAGCGGCCTATTTGAGTAATGGACCGCAAGGCACCAGTGCATATGACGTTGCGTAATGACTCCTCACGAGCCGCGGGCTCTATCGAGACTCCTCTCTCGATGCACAATTTGGCTGTGGATAGGCTTCACCACGAGTTCAATCAGTCGAGAGTCCTCGTCTCAGAGCGTAAAACAAGAAGAGCGGCGGGTGATTCTGCAGTGTCTTTCTCTGGAAGCTGGAATTCTATTTGCTGATTCAAGAGCCGGTGTAGCTGGCGGACAAGTGGAGATGAAGTCGAAATAGGCTAATTCTCGGGCTAATGTAAGTGAATAATATGCCCTCTGTCTGCATGAGTAATTTGCCACTAGTCAGCAGCTAGCATGGTCAGATATGCGAGTCTTGCAGCGCTCACTGAATGGGCGCAATGGAAGGTTGATGTACTCTGAAGAGTAGTCGTATAGGTCCGGGCTCGGAGATGTGACAGCGGTACCGGTGGCTGTCGAATTCGGACTAGCTCGTCCCTCACCACAGATTCGCAACCGGACATCCCACGCACCCAGTCACCCAGTATACCTACAAGTCACTCCTTGGCCGCATGAGAGTACGGCGCCCGTCAGATTCGAAGAAATAAGTCCAACTCCTTGGCATGATGATCCGTTCAATCATCTTCTCATCATCTATCACTCCAGGTCTCTTTGCGTGATCACAGCCTCTCCGATGTTGTCTTCTCCTCCTTATGACTGGTCTCCGTTGCTGGTCGGCTTGGCTTATATCCCTGTTCTCCGGGGAGTTGTTCTCGCATTCTATGTTTGCAGAGTCTGTGACGCCCGATTCATACTCTGGATGGCTCATCGCAACAACGGAATATCGGAGCCTGAGCACCAGCTGCCACGCGCTGGCGACGTTGCTGATAGACTGCAAGAATGAGATCATTATTGCCATGATACAGATTGCGAATCTCGACGAGCTTACGCTTTACGATTCATCCGAACGGGGCACCTCGGTCGGAGAGTTAGTTGATCCTTCAAAGCTTGGTATCGGAGCCTCTGACACGCAAGTCGGCGTCTGACACGTGCGCGCATCTCGCTAGCGCGTCTCAGGCTAGCTTCACGGCCTTCTTGGCAAAGATAAGACCTCGCTTTGCGCTTTGCTTTGCTTTTTGGAGGCTCCCAATTACTCGCCTTACCAATTCAGGCGCCACGAGAGGGTCCACCGCGTCAAGCTCGTCCTCTCTCATTCTGATGTCGATCGATCTTTGCGGATCCAAGTGCTTGGTGTCCGCCACAGCAACTTGGCCTCGGCAGCGTGATTGAGAAGACACAAGACGACGTGGCATGCCTCGCAGCTTATCTCATCTCAGACTATCTCAGCTTATCTGATTGCGCGCAAGGCAGCAAGGTAGACAAATAATAACGCAGCTTCCGAATAAACTCGTGGACAGCTCAGTCCTATCGCCAGCAGTGCGCGAATGGCGGAAATTCGCGAGCATTTACTTCCCGAACGGAGCATTGTCCGGAGTCCCATGCTACCCTCTGAGGTAGTCGACGACGACGAAGAAGTCCTCACCCTTAACACCCGCCGCAATTCGCTACAAGCAAACGACATCGTCCGCGACGCCATCAGAGAATCGATCATGACTGTGTCATCAGATACCACATCAACTTGCATCCGCTGCTCTGGAAATGGAGTCGTTCCCAAAGCCTGTCCATTCTGCGATGCGACAGGCAAAGTCGGAAAAGCGGGTAATTGCACGCAATGCGAGGCTGAGAAGAACGGTTGTGGGAATACGAATTGCCGTGATTGCCATGGGTAAGTAAAAATTGGTCTATAAGTCGGGCAGAGACTGATCTACTCCACAGAGTCGGCCGCGTGATCTCGTCGGTCGATTGCACTAACTGTCAAGGCAGTGGCAATGGTCTGCAACTGAGATGTGGAGACTGCGGAGGCTCCGGGCATAGTACACCAGCATCGCCTGAGCGCGGACGGTCGAGCTCGGCGACTTCTTGCGACACGATCGCGGAAGAGTAATAAGACTTGTGGTTTTGGCTAAGCGTCCTGGGAGAGGCCCAGATTCGCGTGGACAATTCTCAATGAGGAGCGTGCATGCTCTGGCGAGGTTCGTATAGATTGGTGTAAGAGGTAGTCTGAACGAGCGGAGTGTGGAGTATCCAGGATTTTGGGCAGATGAAACGAAGCTTTGGTACGAGATTTCCTGCAAGATCACGCCCAGCACCGACACATACGTCCCAATCAGTAATAACATGGCTTTGTTGGCGAGACGCATCGCCTCGATCGTAACATGAGCTGCCAGGATTTTGTGTGAAGTCGGCATTGTACTTCAAAAGCCGATGTTCGAGGCGATGACGCAGAAATAGAACGTTTTGACGGGCCGTTCCGAGGCTAGTCCAGCGCGTCGGTGAATACTAACAACTTCCACCTTGCCCTTCGGGCCGTACATGGACTATCTTTGTTCTGTATACTTCAGCTCGCCGTGCGGTTTACTCCGGGCCCGAAGCAACGAGATCTCATCAGGAACACCCATGAACGCGTACAGCACAGCATTTACCTGTACGAGCCTTACGTCTCAGTCGCGGCACCGAGCTGCTCCGCCTCGTCACGTTTCCGATGTGCGCAAAGTATAACAAGAGCTCGAAGGAGTCGTTTACTCGGCAAAGTACCAGCAGCCTGGAACCATTGCCGTTTCACGACATAGCTTCTCCTTGAGCACGCGTCTGACCGCTCTACTGGCGGGAACCCATGCAGACTGAGGAACCTAGCTCAGTGGGGTAGACGCAGTGGGCATTGGGAGCTGTTGTTGCCTGCTTTTGCGAGAGACACAGGTCTAGCCCAAGTTCGTCTTTGCTGGACTCCCATCCCGAACCCGACTACCATTTGCCGAATGCACTACATCGGCCACAAACGCGGCAATCGATTGCCGTTATGCTGGTGAGGCGCCTTTCTTCCCGGGCCGAGACGGCAAGAGAACGTTCAAGTCTTCTTCGACTCGCGGCTTCGATCTCGCAGATGCTAGCTTGGACAAATTCGGGCCATGGAGGCCACGTTTCGAGCAGTCGTATGCATGTACATCGGACTTACCTCTCACATCACTGATGAAAAGTCCGGACTTCTGTGGTCTGTCTTTTGGCCGTGTTGCCGGGCGATTGTTCTTCTCGCTTCTGTGTATCAGCAATTCGATCAAGGCAAAGATCTTGGTGAAACCCATTGTCTTGGGAGTACGATCCTAGTGCTCGCCTGATGCCTATCCTTGAAAGCACGAAGTCAGGACGTCACACCACCTCTACACGTGGACCGGCGGGAGCCCTATCTCGGTCCTCTCCCCAGCGGCTACATGTATTCGTGGCGGACTTCAGCGCAGCCTGTGTGCCATAGCTTTTGTCGCTCACCGACCGTGGCTCATCTTAAACGTTTCGAGGCCACTTCTGGAGTACATGGTTTTCAGAATTGCTCAACAGGCTCAACGACTCAAGACGAGTCATCAGCCTGTCATTCGTTGCTCACGCTGCGAGGCACCGGAGAAAGGTAGGTATTCTGGTAGCGCAAGTACGGCAACGGCTCCCGGCAAAGCCGACGAGGTATGTTCGACCGGGCAATTCAATACAAAGGCAACTGGAGTGGCCAGATTTATCAGGGCCTCTGATGTAACGTGTGAGGTGTCAGTCCCCATTTCAACAAGAGCTCCGCCATGCTGGAACCCATGTTGGAACCACAGTCGCCAGCAAATGGCATTGCTGGCAGCAACGTGTCGCATTGATCAGCTCCGTGGCTGTAACAGACGGTCTCAGAACTTGGAGCTAACACGGTGCATGAGCCTCATCTGGTTGATGAGAGCATTTTGACCACATTGAGGCCTGATTCCTCGCCTGGCTCGCCATTCCCGGCTTGCCTGGGTACCTTGTTCGGACGGGAAGGGATCAGATATGCGGAGCCCTGGAGCTCGTACCGAGCTCCAGCCCGGCCTCCTTTTGATTGAGCGTGCACTGGCTACGTGCGTCGACCACTTCTCAGGGACCTCCTTCATTTCTCTATCTGCACGGTTCGTCAAAATTGCCTGCTGCCTTGCTTTGTTAGCTATAACAGGACATGGCGGGCGTGCTCCTGGTGTTGACCAACAAGGCAATTCGAGAACGCGTTAGCCGTAATATGCGTTCTTTGTGGTTCGACAAGACTTTGAAGTCCCAAACAGATCATACAACGGTGTTCCCGTGCGAAATAGCCGGAGTACGAGCCGCTGAGCGATGAAGAAGCTGCTGACTGCTCCTACAAGCTCTAATGGTTGCAACAATCCTGGGAGTGGTCACCCAGTGAGATTTCTCCCCGTGCAGCTCTATTGGGTATTCCTGGTGAATATTACTGCATTGCATGGAGTCAAATGACCATGCATATGACAATCAAACACCCGGATGGCCAAGGAAACAGATCAAGCCCCTCACAATCCATACGCTGGCACACTTCCAACGCTGGGGAGGACGGAACAGCGAATATGCTGACCAGCGTCCAGCGCAAGCTACGATGGCACGGCTCTCCCGCGCGGCGCCCTTTGTATAAGATCTCTCCGATCGATCTAGGACTCCAGAGGGTGTCTTCGTTGAGACTCAACCAGATACTTGCCTTTTTGCGTTACGCATCATGGCACCTCCAGAGAAGCTCGGGGTGACCCACACTGCCGTCGTTACACCAGGCTCTCATATCGAAAATCATCGAAAGAAGTCCCTTGACGAAGCCTTCGACTTCATTCGCACGCATGAGGCGACCGTGGTGTACGATGAGGCTGCTCTCAAACGCCTGCGACGCAAAATAGACTGGAAGGTCGTTCCTTTCCTGTACCTGATCTTCGGCATACAATACTTGGACAAATATCTCATGAACTACGCGATCATCATGGGTCTAGCCAAAGACTTGAAGCTGGAAGGACAAGATCTCAACAACTGCATATCAGCGCTTTGGATTTCGTACCTCATCGCTGAGGCTCCCATAAGCGTCATTTTGAACAAATGCCCGGTCGCGAAATGGCTCGGTGCAAACGTAATCGTTTGGGGATTCCTAGTTACTTGCACAGCCGCTGTGAACAATTACGCTGGCATGCTGGCCCTTCGAATTCTTCTCGGAATTGCCGATGCGTCTCTACCGCCAAGTCTGATGATCATCAGCAGTCAATACTATCGAAAGGACGAACAAGCCACCAGATTCGCATGGTAAGATCATTGAACGACTTGACTACATTTGAACGTCTACTTACCGATGTCTCTGCAGGTGGTTCAGCGCCATAGGACTTGGACATATTCTGGGTGGACTAATCTCTTTCGGATTTCAGCACGTTGTTCACGCGGCACTGGCATCGTGGCGTATCATGTACATTGTGCTCGGATGCATCAGTATTGTCATCGGCATAACATCTTTGATCTATCTGCCGGACACTCCAATGACGGCGTGGTTCCTCACCGATGATGAGAAGGCTGCTATACTCCGCCACGTTGCAGTCAACGAGACCGGAGTTCACAATTCAAAATTCGAGCCAAAGCAACTGGTCTCCCTTGTCGCTGACCCTCAAGTGTGGCTGCTGGCTTTCTGTTGCATTTGCGCCTCCGCGGGCCATGGTATCATCGGTAATTACTCAACGACGCTCATCAAAAGTTTCGGGTACGACTCAAAACAAGCTGCTCTCCTCAATACCCCTGGTGGAGCCGTCGGGATTGTCTCTATTTTTGCTGTGGCCTTTCTGATTCGATACAACAAGATCCAACGCTGGGCTGGTATCACAGCGTGTAAAGCCGTATCCGTGATTGGATCGGGCCTGCTCGCTTTTGCGAAACCCAAGGGCGCCAGACTTGCTGGAATTTGGATCTATTCTTTCGCTCTGCCAGCTGCGGGTATTGTATACCAATTGACTGTTGCCAATGTTGCCGGGCACACAAAGCGCTCTGGAGCTGTTGCTACCATGAGCGGTGCCACCGCTATTGGACATATCATCGCTCCCTACGCGGTACAGAAGAAAGACGCACCGGAGTACAGGACCGCACGGATCGTCATCCTGGGAACGCAAGCAGGCTCTGCAATCTCGATTTGTTTACTGGCATTGTACTATCTATGGCAGAACAGACGGCGCGACCGCAAATATGGCAAGCCATTGTTGAATGATACGGACAGTGAGACGGTCGCAGAACACGACGAGACGTGGACGAACCTGACGGATGGCGAGAGGAAGACTTTCAGATACGTTTACTGATGTCCTCCTGTGTTTACTTTTCTATAGCGAAGGATGATGATCATTGCTTCTTCGAAGACTCATAGTTCGTTGCTACATTGCGACAGAATGCTTTTCCTTGTGGTTGACGCCATCGCAATGTCTCACGGTACCGAGCAGCTCAACGGTTGGTTCCATTATCACCAACCAAATCCTCGGAGCATGAACTGACAGCAGTCAAGACAGAAGGTTTGGGAGTCGCTGGGTGGCCTAACTCTCTATCCTACTCTCAAGTTGAAAGATCTTCCATTGCGTACGGACGCTTCGATTATCCGGGGCCCCGGAGCGAAACATGTACGACAGCAAAGGGCTATCTCATTCTGGCCATTGCTGTGTTGTCGATACCTATGTCGATACCTACTCGCATCTCCTTGCGTAGGTAAGTCAGTACACGTATCGTTGTTGTGGCAAATCACCACATAGTTGATCACGTTGTTGAGTGGAGATATCGTACTGACACGAGGCAGACCAGCCCACTCTCTGAGAAGTCGAATCTTCTCAGGACTGGCATAGGGCTTGCGAATTGTCGAATTGGACGAGTTTCAGTGTCTTCACTCATCAGGCGAATCCGGCTCGGTTGCTTCTTAGAACTACGGAGATGCTGGAATGGAAGATTGAGCGTAATGCTGCACTACTATTAAAAATCAGTCCCGGTCCCATGTGGAGAACATCCTTGCTGTCGGTCTTCATTCAGTCTCCGGGGAGCTTGATAGCTTTATCATTCACCGCCCTAGACGCTAAGCCCGCTAGCGCCAGACCGGTCAAGCTAGCACATTAGCGCAACATGGCAGACACCCGTCTAACTTCGATCAAAGGGTAGCAGCTGTCCCCACAAGTTTCGAGTTCTTAGATGCCGAAGGTGATGCCCCGGGAGAAGTGTCTCACATCGTTCTAGTAAGCTGCGATCGGATACTGTATTTAGCGAAGGGCGGCACTACACGGACAGCTTTCAGCATAAAGGGACCGTTTACTCTTTCGCGAGAAATAACCTCAATGCTTTCTATTCTATACTCCAAGAAGCCACTCGGGCAACTCTATGGTACATCCCCTGATCCGCAGCATGGATGGAGCAGGATCCATGGCTGCCATGCAACCCGCGCACGACCTACCCTTGGCAGTTCATGCTTGCCCGACGACGTGTGAATTTCCCGTCCACAACATAGAACGTTGGAATACAGGTTCCAATACATGCATGCTTCAGCTTCTCAGTGATGACCACCTCGAGCTACAACTACATTGGTCGTTCTGTAGTCAATCAGGAAGACTTGAACACAGCTTTCTCGTCAATCCATACCAGCGGCTCTGTGGAAACTCTGACATGGATAAGAAGATGACGCGCTGCGAACGACTAAACTTAGCCTCACCAACAACAACCACTCCTATACTCGGCACGCAAAGCCCTGGATAAGATGCACACGATATTCGGTGGTCTCGCAGTTTCCTTACCCTTTGACCCAACCAACCAACCAACACAAAATGTCACGAGCTTCTTCTCGCAACGATGATTCGATACAAACGCCACGTCCCGATAGCGAGCCTGTGCTTCAGTCACATCTAGTATTGCGTCCTCCTACGGCCGACAGCATCTCAATCTCACATCGATTGTCAAACATCTCATCCGTGTCGGAATGGACGAAGCGGACCATCAGCTGCGTGCAGGAAGCGCATATAGCTGACAGTCTCATGTGGTTCCGCCATGGGGCTAATAGTCCTGACGACAGCCGACGCGACGAAGACGACGCATTCCGTAAAGACAGTGTTCTAGATCGAGCGAACTTGGTCGCCGACAAAGGCTCCGCAGCGCAGGACGTCGTAGATCTAACTGATGCGAGGGCATCTGCTGCATGGAGGAATCCCGATCGGAGCTTGCCTATGAATTGGGGCAATTCCCGAAAGTGGATGCACGTTGTTGTGTTGAGCTGGCTGTCGTTCGTGGCGTAAGTCTCATCCCAAGTCGACCGGATCAAACGATTCGATACATCGCGCACCGTGAAGAACTCTGTCTGACGCAGCTCAAGGTCTCTCGGGTCGCTATGGCCAGCGCCAGCAACACCAGAGGAGATGAAAGAACTCCGACTCCCTTCACGACCGATCGTGGCTCTGACGGTGAGCAGTTACATGCTGTGCTTCGCTTTCGCACCCTTATTCCTGGTCCCATTGAGTGAATTGTACGGCAGGGTACCGGTGTACCAGGTGTCCAACATTTGTCTCCTAGCTTTCACGCTCGGCTGTGCCTTCAGCCAGACGTACCAGCAACTTATCATCTTTCGCTGCCTCGCGGGGACATTGGGGACGGCATGCCTGGGATTCGGCGGAGCAACGGTCTCAGACCTGTTTGACCCAACGCATGCCGCAACACCGATGGCTCTCTGGGCCGCTGGGTCATTGCTTGGGCCTTTCCTGGGACCAGTCTTCGGGGGACAGATTTCTCAATGGCTGAGTTGGAGATGGCTCTTCCGGATTCTAGCTGGTGTTGCGTGCTTCAATGTCTTTCTGTGTCTGGCCACAATGCGAGAAACGTGCGAGGCCGTTCTTCTGGAGCGCAGAGTGGCCGAAATACGGAGTAGTGGAGGGAAGAGGCAGCGTCTTAGCCTCCGTGCTGGCTCCATGATCCATCCGGGAGTTTACGTTCGACGCTCTGTCCTTCGCACGTTGAAGTTGCTCCTCTTTCATCCAGTTGTTGCAGCGGTGTCTTTCTCCATTGCCACTTTTTATGGAGTATTCTGCCTGGCGGCCATCACCTTGCCGTTCACTTTTAGCAGGAAATATGGCTTCAACTCCAGTCAGACCGGCCTGGCATACCTCGCGCCGCTAATCGGATTGCTGTTCGGCCTCATTATCGCCGGTCTGCTCAGTACCGCACGATGCCAAGGAGGACACATCCAAAAGCCAGAAGATCGTGTATCAATCGCAGTAGCCATCACTGCAGGGACCTTAGCGTCGAGTGGACTCGCAATGTACGGCTGGACCGCACACCACGGTATCTTCTGGGCGGCTCCTTTAGCTGGACTTGTGCTGTTCGGTCTGGGCCTTCTGCCTTTCACACTACCTCTCCAATCTTACCTCGTGGACTGCTTCCCAAACCACACGGCAAGCGCTGAAGCAGCGAACGAGATTCCAAGATCTCTCGTGACGGGACTATTACCACTGGCCGGACTGGCGCTCTATGACAACTTAGGATTTTCCGTGGGCAACACGTTGCTTGCTGGTGTCACAGCTGCAGCCATATTGGGTCCAATTGTTTGCAAGATCTGGGGAGAGGGTCTCCGGGAACGTTTCAAGTTGGAGCTTTGAAGAAAGCCGTGGGCGAACGATGTAACACGTCCTCGTTTCAGATCCACGCATTGCAAGCTCACGCACAAGTCAGGACTAGCACTGCTTTGGCATGTTCGACTAGTGCGAGGCTCTAGTGCGATGGAGGATCTGTTTCCTCCCCCCGATGGAACCAGCTCAGGCACGCTACGACCCTCGTCCTTGGTTCGTTTCAGAGCAGAAAGTGCCGCACGTGTCGAATGTCGATTAAAGTAGGGAAAGCCAGCTCAGAGTTTTCCATCTCCTCGAAACACTGAGTCCACAAGGCGACAGTCGGCATGGGAGTCTCGAATTCCACGGAAAGAGACTACACGCACCGCACCGCACGAGGCTCCTTGATCGGCATTGAGGTCGTAGATATCCACACCAAGCAGCCAATATATCGACGCTTCACTCGAATTCGATATGCTTTCCCGCCACGAGGTGACAGAAGATGGCGGAAACCGGAGCCTCTGCCACCAGATTGGATCTTCAGCAACGGCAACAACAACCCACGAGACTATAGCAAGTTTGGCGCTATATGTCCGCAGACTGGAATCGACGACGCGGTGCGCCCGGAGAAGTGGGCGGAAGGCGAGTCCAACGAGATGGATGAAGACTGTCTCTTCCTGAATGTCTGGACTCCCCCCGGTGGTGAAGGACCGAGGGGCGGCTGGCCCGTACAGTTCGACGTGCCCGGAAGTGGCTTCCAACGCGGCAGTGGAATGCAACACACGTTTCTGGATCCGGTAGATATCTTTCGAGAGAACCGAGCGAACCCTCGCATCGTCGTCTCGCCGAATTTCCGCTGTGGTGTCCTTGGTTTCCTGGCGAGCGAGGAGCTACGAATCGACAGTGAGGATTCCAAGAGCGATCCATACGCAGCGTCCGGGAACTACGGGCTATGGGACATCCGCATGGCCATCGAATGGACGTTCAACAATGTCTTTCTGTTTGGCGGGAATCCGTACAATATATGCGTGGGTGGAGATGGGCGGACGACGGCTTTCCAGCTCCATTTCGATGCCTTCCATCCGTCTGGCAGAAGCATCATTCGCCGGGCATTCTTATTCAGCGGCGCGGTGTGTGTCCAGCCTGCGGTTGCGCAGTCAACGAAGCCACGAGCGCAGTTTGCGGAGCTCTGTGATCACCTGAACATCGACAACGACACGCTTCCTTCGAAATACACCGTACGACTGCTGCGCGGCGTCTCTGCCGAAAAGCTCATGAGCGTGGTGCAGAAGATGGACACCACGTTCGATCCCATCACCGATGGCCAGGATGGTTTCATCCCGACTGATTTCATGCAATCGATCTGGAGCGGAGCTCTCGGGCGGCGCCTGAAGGAGCGAACTATACAGGTGCTCATCGGTGACCCGAGCGGCGAAAGATGTGTCTATGAGAGGTTGATGCGCAAAAGAGAAGAGGGCATAATACAGGGCTTCCCACGGATTGTGCAGAATCGACAAGCTCTCATCACCAGCCTGAGCGCGTACTATCCCGAGACGGTGGTCAACGCCCTGGTGGCCAAGTATTCGATCGAGAACAAGGACTGGAGCAACATCCATTGCGACATCATGGCCGACGTCGAATGCCATGCAGCGGTTCGAGGCTTCGCGCATGGACTTGCAAAAGGCGGTATGACGGCCCAAGACGTCCTTCGCTACCATATTGCCTGGAAATGCAAGGCTCTCGACCAATACATCGATCCAGGGACGGGGGTATGCCATGCGATGGATGTCCCAATCTGGTGGCATTCGGGCTGGAGAGCGGGCTTTTCCGAGCGCGACAAGCAGGACGTGCTCAACTTCACCGAGCCCTTTGCAAGATTCTTGCGCGGCGACATCAGCGCGAGATCCGGGTGGGGAACCGATGTCGAGGCTGATGTCCGCCTGCTCTGCCCCGACGGAGCAGTCATCGTTGGCAAAGATCCGCTGTGGAAGAGCAAGCTCGAGGTCTGGAATGTGGTGCAGAACGCGCAGAGATCTCGCCATGTCCGAGGAGGCAGTGCTGGCAGTACCAAGACATTGCCCACAATGTCTACCATGTATGAATTGGCGTGAGGGGAAAAACTTGCCCGGTTGGGGGCCCTGGGCAGTTTCATGTGCGTCGCAGCCCTTTCAGGGAAGCCATGCTAAGAACAGTGCCCGAATCAGGGCACTTGTCCAAAGCCTATTTGAGCCCTCCTCCAACACTGCGTGAGAACGCCGTACTTCTCTGCAAGTCCTCCCGACGGGTGCCTGTCTCACAATTTTTGGAGATCCGTGAGGCTTCCGTGACAAGTCTCACCGTCCCATCAGTATGGACGAGCCGGACGATCAAGGGAGGCTCTCGTCGCAACATTGCATGGGCGGCGACGGCAGACCCTCCTACACCACTGAGTCGGTGCTGACAGCCGTCGAGGACCGCGAACTGGAGCCCGGGGAGCAGCAAGAGGATGGTACGTCTCATCGATGGAGAACACGCAATCGCAACAAGAACCCTAAAGGTCTGCTGCATCGGTTTGCCAAGGTGAGTACCTCTACCAAGATGTAGAGGAGCGATGCTGAAGTGTATGCTTCGCTAGCAGAACCGGAACGACAAGCCTAAGAATCGCTCTTTTAAAGCTTGGATATCGGCCATACCATGGCTTGGAGCTCGTCAAGAACGGCAAGCGAGATATGGATCTCTTGCATGAGGCCTTGACACTGAAACACAATTGTTCGGAGCACGCATACGGCCAGCTGGAATTCGACCAGATATGGGGGAAATACGACGTAAAACCCCCATCCAGAGCACAGCCTTCCAGGACGCTGACGGACCCTTCATAGGCCCTCATCGATCTTCCAGCCTACGCCTTCGTTCCCGAGCTCCTAAAGCACTACCCTCAAACACTCAAATTCATCCTCACCGACCGCCACGTAGACGTCTGGCATGCAGAGATGCAAAAATCAGTCTTTGCGCACCTGGATTGCCGCTCTCTGCTGCTTCAATCCTTCTACGACAGCCACCACGCCCGACCTCTTCGACGCCTCATGCGAAAATGGGCTCACATGTTCTGTGGCCTAGACTTCGGGGGTGGAGCGCGGAGAGCATACGTGGAGCATGTGCGCTATTGCTTGAAGGCCGTGCCGAAGGAGAGGCTGTTGATTTTGAAGTTTGAAGAGGATGGAGAGGATTGGTGGGAAGATTTGTGTACATTTCTTGGGCACGAGGTACCGAGGGAAGTGTTTCCGAGGGTAGACACGGTCGAGGCGTTTGATCAGGTCGAAGAGATCAGTAGAGGGAATCCAGAATTAGCGGCGATGCAGATCATACTAGCGGCTATTGTCGTCGCCGCTGTAGCTGCAGTATGGTGGTGCCACGTAATGAGGCTGTGAAACAAAAAAGCATTTTTCAGTTTCCGTGGGTATCGTGAAAAGCCATGCAAGAGAAAAACGCTATGGCAGTTTCAATCCTGTCCGTAGATACGCCATTCGCTTCTACGCAAATAACATCATTCATTATCATCATCATGAGCTCACACAATACCATCCGCGCTAGCAACATTCGTCCTCTGGCGATTGAGATGCTGCTGATTCGCCCAGATATGCGGGACATCTGGTGTAATGCCGCCGTTGGATGTGGGAGGACGCTCGTTGCCCGGGCTGGCGTGGTACTCAGTGTCAGTGGTCATGACTCCAATGCTAGGAGCTTCAGAAGCGAGCCGTGCATTGTCCTCACCACCGTGGGCGCAGGACCTCAGGTCGCAGACTGAGTGTTCAGCCGAGTGCTTAACCCAGCCGCCCTCGGCGCGATCTTCCTGCCTTTGCGGCCAGAGAATGTCCTTTGCGATGACTGCACGAACCATCATGATGAAGACCAAGAGCCAAGTGATGATGACGAGGACGGTCATCGCGCATCCCAGGATGCGAATCGGGCGATTGTCCAGAGCCTTTGCAATGGCGAAGGTCGCGGTGGTGAGTGCCGTGTTAGGGAACACGTAGGAGTAAAAGGTCATGGCGAAAGTCATGGATCTCTTTCGTATGCAAGACCAGTGTGCTCCAACGGATACCAAGAAGAACCAGAAAGCAAGTCCCCATAACCAAAGACCGATCCATATCGCCACGATCTTCGAGACCTGCGCAGCCAAAATGCCGTGGCCGGCTACCAGGAAATCATCCGGGGCTAAGCTCGGAAGGTTCAGCCCCATTCCCACTATTCCCGAGATGGTGAATCCGGAAGGTCCAACGCTCACGAACATTCCAGGTCGGAGATTCTCATTGGGCAGCTTTTGTGTCATGAGACGATAGATGAAAGCCGCGTATATCATCAGCGACAGCAAGAACCCGATGCCTTGGAAGACAAAGCCGCCGATGATGATGTCGAGACCTCTGGTGTGCCAGCCGACTAGGTGCTTCGATAAAGACGCAGCATGAGGACCAATGACTAGAAGCGCTGTAGAAATAAACGTCCCTTGTCAGCCAAGATCCTGTATGCCATGTGCCTGTTACACATGACGTGTGACTGAACTTACGATAGCATGGGAAAATCCACACCGGGGTCATGCTGGCGACGGTGAAAGTCTGTGTGGACCACCTTCGACTTTGTCAGTGACCATTTCAAGCAAAGTAAAGCGCCTTCCAAGACGTACAGGACAAGGTAGATTCCCGCACTAAAGAGAACCGCCAAGCCGCAGTAGAACCAGAACATCGCAATCATGGTGCAGAGTAGCCATCTGCCGGCCTTGCCATCTTGGAGTCCGTATTGACTGATGTTCAGTAGAATCGTGCCGATGCTGATTACGGAGGCTGGTATGACTGCAGGTCGTTAGCATAGATGTTTACAGTGGAATCTTTGATATCTCAACGGACATACAAAGACTCTCCGTTGGATGCAATATCGAACTTAGAAATGTCGGAGGGTAGAAGTAGAATCGTAGACATATCATGGTGACGTTAAAGATGAAAAGGACAATGTTGAAAAGAAAGAATATGCATCCAATGGCGTAGAGGCCGTGGAATCGATATGGAACTGAAGCACAAGTCAGCGAAAGGCAAGGTCGACGAGAAATGCCGATTGAGACTTGCCGTTGGCGAGGACGTTAGCCACGCCGCCAGTTGCCATCTTCAATGCTACAGGTCAGTCGGCTGAACAGTTTGACAGTGGGATAGGCGATCCTCACAGTCATGGTGAACCAGGTCCATGTGAAATGCCGTATCCTCTCCCTGAAGTGGAGGTGGTGAACATGGTGGTGATGCTCAAACATGGCCCGTCGAATGCTTTCTGCGCTCCAAGTCCTCAGATGAGCAGGCCGTTCGGGAGGACGAAGATATCTGTCGGGAGAAGTGCCCTTTTCAACGCCAGAATCCGTTGGCGGTGGAGATGGCGCCGCGCGGTCTACGATGGGTTTCAGGCACTTGTCAGCTCGTCGTTTTCTTTCTGCCCAGAGACGCGGGTGCGCGGATCGATATCACAATGCCGGCATGGTGGGGACTCACCCGCGGGCTGTAGGTTTGCGGCGGGCATTGTCGTCATTGGTGTGCTTAGTGTTTTGAGTTCGGTCGAACGTCTGACAGCGAAGACCGTCGAGGATTCTGCCTGTCCCGTCAGCCGCCGGCAGCACGGGACGATGTGAAGCTTCGCGAATACTTGGAGCTGTCGCGCCGGCGGGCCAGTGAAAGGGAATTCATATGTGTGCAGTGGGAGGGAGAAGGTTGTTGCTGAGGTTGAGGTGGGAAAGAGATTGACGCAAAAGATCCTCAAGGTGACTTATCCGACAGCGCCGAGATCTTCAGACGGGAGAAGTGAGGTGCGCCTCGTGATTGGCCAGATCCGCGATCTGCTCGGAAGCGCATTGCCGAAACAGGCGTACACCTTGTTGCATGTGCCGATGTCACGACGGGAAGCTCCAGCTCATATTGTCTCTTCCTCATATTGACTCCATCTTTGCAGGAATTGTTCGCGTGCCATTCGCGCCAGCTGTCACCGACCAGCTGGCGTCGACCAGCTGTCGTCGACCAGAGCAGGGCTTCATGCTCCGCGGCGCGACGGCCGTCGACACTGGACCGTCCCCTGCAAGCCGCGAGAGCTGTACTCGAGCACGACAGCAAGCCCCATGCGTAGGGTCGAGATGGTACGTGCATGCGTGCGATTCGCTTCGAAACAAGGCACGCCGTGAAGCACATGAATCGGCCACGAACTGGGCAAGGGGGTGGAATCATCGCCTCGACTGCCGCAAACAAGGCCATGCACCAGACCGATCTATCCAACCCCCGTCGGGTACATGTTCAATCGCCTGCTAAAGTTAGGATGCAACCGGTCTAGCATCAGAAAGCTTCGCGCACGAAATCGACTATTTCTCCACACTTCGAATACGAAAGCAGCGCTGCGAACGAGGTTGGGAGGGTATCAAAAGGGTAGCTTACGAGCTCGTCACTCTTCGCCGCTATCGTCTGCAAACATATCTTCGGCCAGCTTCCTACGCCGCCAAGGTTCTGCAGCCTTGGCTTCGCTGTTCGACGCGTTGATCGCGAATCCACTCTTGCCAAACGGCTGGGCTCCACGCTCATCTTCGGCGCCCTCTTCGTTGGAAGGTGCATCGACCATCGGCGTGCCTGCCACTGGATCGCTGACTGGCTCGTCCATGTGCGTTCCGCCCACGTCGTCATCCATTGGGTCGCCATCCAGGTCGTCCATTGCCATTCCGTCGACATCTTCCATGGGAGCACCATCAACATCATCCATTGGTGCTCCGTCCAGATCGTTCTCAAAAGGAATTGGCCCGCTCTGCACAATTGCAATTGGCGCTGGTGATGCCGATTTGGCGGGGGATGCTGTTTCATCAAACCGTTTGAATCGACTAACCCATTTGTCTTCCGCCGGAGTGCTCTCCTTCTGTTGACCTTTGTCCTCGCTCTCGCCCATCGACTGATCAGAGAAATTCTTCTTGAGTATTTCAAAGACTTCACTGGCGAAGACGCTGCCGGTCTCCCAGATGCCGAACAGAACTCCGATCTGTCTCCGCCATTTGTCGGCTTTAATGCGTCCCCAACCGAGCTCTTTATCCAGCTGTCCGAGGTGCTCGAATGTCTTCTGCCGCCGAAAAGCATTCTCGAAAAGTTGTCGGTACTTCCAGGCATTTCGAACTCCTGCAGTAGATGCGTTGTGAAGTATGTCGTTGATGAGGTAGAGAGCGACAATCTTCGCGCCTGAAGGATCTTCAGCTTCTTTCTTCCCCGCTCTCTCTGTGTTCGGCACCGCTTCAATCGTTGGAAGATCCTGGTCGGGCTCATATTCGTCGTCTTCTCCTAGCGATACATCTTCGTCGCCAAATTTGGCACACTGAGTACCGGTGAACGGCTTCTCCACGTTGAGAACCATCATGTCCACAATCTCTTCAGCTCCAGCGCCGGCATGATTGATGGCGAATGAAGTGATGGGTGCAATGTTTCCTTTGCGTAACATAGCGTGGTTTGAAGGAAGACGGGAAAGCAGCCACGCGAATTTCGCAACTTGCAACGGCGTGAGATGCTTCTTCTCGGATGCTCCAGGCTTTCTCTCGCCTTCTCTTCGGCTGGCATTGAACTGACGCTCTTCCGGATCATCGCTGTCCTCTTCGCTGGATTCGTAATTCGTATGGTCAATGACTTCTCCAAGCGACGACAGGTCTGCAAAAGGTACTTCTTCCGACGGAGCTAACCAGTCAATGACAATGTCGTCGTAGATGCGCTCCGGTCCCTTAGCCAGTCGTTTACGTTCCTGAATGGCATCGAAGTTATCGTCATCGTTCCACAGCAGAAATCGATAGTACACTCCAGCCGCGCTTTTCGAGTCGTAAAGGAAGGAAACCCGTTCATCTCGTTGAACCTCCGGTTGTTTCATCAACATGGCTTCCAGTTGCAACGCTCGATCAGGATCCGGAACCGATAGCAGCCGATCAACAAGAGTATGGATTGCTCTGATCGTGCTGATCTCAAGCGGCGGCTGCACTTCGAGAGTCGCATCGGCATATATCGACGTTCGTGCCGGGGTGTCATAGGAATCTGGCGGGGCAAAATCAGAGGGTGGAGGTGCACTGCGCATACTATTTCCTCCTCTCGGCTGGTCTCTGTTGGGTACTTGTGCTCCAAATGGCTCAGTTGAGGCCGCCGTCGGTAAAGAGGACATGGTGGGCAGAAGCGATGTTGAAGACAGGTGACGAGATATCGAAAGGTAAAAGCCGTTTCCGAGATATTTGTCCTTGAGCGCACTTATTGCTGCATCGATCTGCGAGGTCGACGTATCGGACGCAAGAGTGGCAATGGCAGTCAATGTTCTCTTCGCACTCGAGCCAGGCCAGCTGGGCGGCTGGAAGCTGACCTGGTGGACAGTCAGATGGCCCCGCAATAGGACCTTCACATCGCCTTCGGTCATTGATGGGGGTATGCCCGTGAGTTGCACAGTTGGACGTGGCGCGACATCTTCTACGTCGTCCTCGTTCACAGACGAGTACTGCTCGCCCATGCCCTGCCCGCCCTTGACGTACTCGCCTTGCAGAGCCTCCAATTCTCTCCGCGCCTCCTGTGCCTCCCGCATCTCGTCGAGAGCTCTCTTCCTCTTCAAGTTTGGCGGTGGACCTGGTATAGGCCCCAGACTGCCTGGTCCGCTACGAGGACCTCCTGCCAACCTGCCCTGTGGTCCCCCATAGACTCCACTACCATTTCCGGACCCTCTAGGTCCACTTGGCATTCTAGGGAACCCATCGTATCTATCATCGTCCTCATTGCCGCCGAAGGATGCCTCAAAGTCTCTCAGCGCAGCTGCATTCTCCTCTTCTGCACGCCTCTTCTTCTCTTCAGCTGCAAGTCGCTCTTTCTCGAAGGCTGATATCTTCTTCGGCGCCTTCAGTTTTTCCGACACATCTGGAAACTCCTTGATATCCTCTTCATCTGCCATAATCGATGCTGGTTGTCAGGTCGTATCTCATAGCGGCACGCGTCTGATCAATCTTCTGGAGCTACCGCTGCGTCTGGATCTCTGGGCAAACGTAGTGGTCCTAGATGCCGGGATGCGTGCCGATCGCTCAGCGGGCCGAGACGCTCGGATCACGGCAGACCCCGCCTATATCCGAGCATCAAGACAACCTAAGACCAGACGACCAGAAAGCCATCGCCGCCCCTAAAACGCCCGCCGCTGCCAACATCCACTCCGCGCCGCCAATACCGCATCCGCTCTTTAATATCACATGGCCGGCGGCGAGCACGGAACTTGAGCATGGGCTTCGAAGGGGACGATGAGAGGAAACAATCGAGAAGACACTGAAGCCTGAGCTTCGACACTCGAAAGACGGCCAATATGGCGAGTAACAACCAGTACAAGGACGCCCTCGACCTCATCTTCAACGATCTCAAGAGCCGATACGAACACACGCGACAGAATGCCGCGACACGTTTACTCGATCAGTGTAATGCTGCCAACCGCGAACTACCCATCAACCAATTCAACAGCTTCTACGCCGATGTTAATTCGCGCATGGTGGCTCTCATTCTTAGCGGAAACGATACACACGAGCGCATTGGAGGTCTCTACGCCTTGAATGCTCTCATCGACTTCAAGGGCGACGATGCGGCGCAAAAGGTGACGAAGTTCAGTAACTACATCAAGAGGACGCTGGAGGGCAATGACACGACCGCGATGGTCGTCGCAGCCAGGTGTCTGGGACGTTTGGCCACACCGGGTGGAGCTCTGACGGCAGAGCTGGTAGAGGCGGAAGTGAAGCACGCGTTGGAATGGCTCACCTCGGAGCGAAACGAGAACAGACGCTTTGCGGCAGTGTTGATCTTGCGAGAGCTGGCCAGAAACAGCTCGACGCTGCTTTACATGTACATTCCGGGCATACTGGTCAGTATCTGGGAGGGGCTGCGAGACCAGAAGGTCATGATCCGAGAGACCGCCGGAGAGGTCATCTCGTCCTGTTTCAAGATCCTCTCCGCTCGCGATCCCCAGCAGCGCTTGACCTGCCTCACGCGGATGTTTGAAGCTGCTCAAGATGGATTTCGACGCAACACAATCGAATGCATCCATGGCTCGTTGTTGACATACAAGGAGCTCCTCGTGCAGGGCGGCATGTTCATGCACGGCACTAGATACAGAGACGCCTGTGAAAGGGTGCTCAACCAGCCATACCGCGAGCATCGAGATCCCACCATCAGACGCACAGTCGTTGAGATCATACCTCTGTTGGCCGCATATGCGCCGAAAGACTTCTGCCACAACTACCTTGCTCGCTCCATGCAGCATCTCCAGACACTCCTCAAAGACCCGAAGCAGCGCAACATGGCTTTTGTTGCCATCGGAAAGATTGCCAATGCAGTTCAGTCATCGATCGCGCCTTATCTGGACACGATTCTCCTCCACATTCGAGACGCACTCTCTGTCCGCAATCGTACCAAGCACACCGATGAGGCCCCGGTATTTGAGTGCATCAGCATGATCTCTATCGCGGTCGGCCAGACCCTAAGCAAATACATGGAGGCCCTTCTCGACCCGATCTTTGCTTGTGGTCTTTCAGATGCCCTCACTCAGGCCTTGGTCGATATGGCACACTACGTTCCATCAGTCAAGTCAACAATCCAGGAGAAATTGCTTGATCTCCTTAGCAGAACGCTCTGTGGCCAATCATTCCAGACTCTTGGCCATCCCACACAGGGCAAGGGCCTTCCGCCGATATATACAAAAGAATACAGGGACCAGAGAGACCCGCAGCACCAAGAGCATAAGGACCAGGAAATCGCTCTGGCTCTGCACACTCTCGGATCCTTCGACTTCAGCGGACACATCCTGAACGAGTTTGTTCGTGACGTTGCGGTTCGCTACGTAGAAGATGACGACCCGCAGATACGCAAGGCCGCCGCCCTCACCTGCTGTCAGCTCTTCGTCAAGGACCCTATTGTTCACCAGACGAGCCACCACGCAATACAAGTGGTGTCAGACGTCATTGAGAAATTGCTCACGACTGGCGTGGCAGATCCACATCCTGACATACGGCAGACGGTGCTCGCGTCTCTGGATCAGCGCTTCGACCGTCATCTTGCGAAAGCAGAGAACGTGCGCACGCTTTTCTTGGCCTTGAACGATGAAAGATTCCCGATTCGCGAAGCGGCCATGACCATCATCGGAAGACTCACGGCTGTCAATCCGGCTTACGTCTTTCCATCACTCCGCAAGGTCTTGATCCAATTGCTGACCGAAATCGAATACTCCAACAGCGCAAACAACAAGCGAGAATCAGCGCAACTCATCAGCCACCTGGTGGGAGCTAGCAGCAAATTGATCAAGCCTTACGTTGACCCGATGGTCACGGTGCTGCTGCCAAAGGCGGAGGACAGCAATACCGATGTAGCTGCCACTACCCTGCGAGCCATTGGTGATCTGGCAAGTGTCGGAGGTGATGGCATGGTCAAGTATATTCCGGAGCTCATGAAGATCATCATTCGAAGCTTGCAGGATCTAGCAGCACCGAAGAAGCGAGAAGCTGCGCTGTGCACGTTGGGCCAGCTTGCCAGCAACAGCGGCTATGTTATCGATCCTTACACGGACCATCCCGACTTGCTGACAATTCTGGTCAACATTGTCAAGAACGAGCCTCCTGGAGACCTTCGTCGGGAGACTATCCGTCTCATGGGTATTCTAGGAGCTTTGGATCCGTACAAGCACCAACAGGTGATCGAGGAATCACCAGAGTCAAATCTCAGAGCCGAGGCCGAAGCCGAGTCAGATGTCACATTGATCATGAAAGGGATCACGCCGAGTAATGAAGAATACTACCCTACAGTCGTCATTAACACACTGATGGGCATGCTGAAGGAGGACACTCTGAAGCAATATCACTCCGGCGTGGTGGAAGCAGTGATGAACATATACGCGACCATGGGCATGAAGTGTGTGCCTTTCCTCAGCACTGTTGTTCCTGGTATTGTCAGTGTGCTCAAGGATGCGACGTCCGATGTCCGTCTGGAAGGATACTTCAATCAGCTCAGCTTACTGGTAAAGATTGTTCGTCAACACATCCGCCCTCACCTGCATGTCATTCTTGATGCCATCAACGATCACTGGTATAAGAGCATGCAACTCCAAGCGACCATACTCAGCCTTATCGAGAGCATTGCCAAGAGCTTGGAAGGCGAATTCAAGGTTTATTTGGCCAACGTCCTCCCACTCATGCTCGGTGTTCTCGATGCTGACAATCGCACCGATTCGGGCAAGGCAGCTTGCCAGAGAGTGCTTCATGCGTTCCTGGTTTTTGGCGCAAGTGCAGAGGAATACATGCATCTTATTATCCCCGTTATCGTGCGGATGTTTGACGCGGCCGAAGGACGTTACCGACATCGCGACGTCCGCAAAGCCGCAATAGAGACGATTGGTCGTTTAAGCAAGCAAGTGAACATTTCAGAGTTTGCCGCCAAGATCATTCACCCACTCGCCCGCGTGCTGCAGGGCAGCGAACCTACTCTCAAAGCACCAGCAATGGAGACATTATGCGCACTCATTTTTCAACTTGGCCAAGACTTTCTACACTTCGTGCCAACCATCGACAAGATCTTACAACAGCAGCGCATCAACTTCACAGCGTACAATCTCATCATCAATAAGTTGAGGAAGCACGAGGCTTTGCCGCAGGACCTTAGTCCAGATGAGAGATACAACGATGAAGACGACGACCAGTACCCAACTGAGATCGCGACCAAGAAACTGGCTGTCAACCAGCAACATCTTAAGAATGCATGGGAAGCGAATCAAAAATCAACCAAAGAAGACTGGCAAGAATGGATGCGCCGCTTCTCGGTCGAATTGCTCCGGGAAAGTCCCCAGCAGGCGCTCAGAGCCTGCACCAATCTTGCCAGCATATACGCACCACTGGCCCGCGGTCTATTCAACAGCGCTTTCGTCAGCTGCTGGACGGAGCTGTATGATCAATATCAAGAAGAGCTTGTGCGCTCGATTGAAGTTGCTCTCACGAGTCCTAACATTCCTCCTGAGATCCTGCAAATTCTTCTCAACCTTGCGGAGTTCATGGAGCACGATGATAAGGCTTTGCCGATCGACGTACGTACGCTTGGCATGTATGCTGGCAAGTGCCATGCATTTGCCAAGGCATTGCATTACAAGGAGCTTGAGTTCAATGCAGAGCAGAATGCGAGTGCTGTAGAAGCGCTGATCTCGATCAATAACCAACTGCAACAGACAGATGCTGCGTTTGGTATTCTTCGCAAAGCACAAGGATACCACGATGTCGATCTAAAGGAAACATGGTTCGAGAAACTGCAACGCTGGGAGGAAGCTCTGATGGCGTACCAGACGCGCGAAGAGAGCGAGGGCGGACCTCAGAACGCCTCGTTTGAAGTCATCATGGGCAAGATGCGATGCTTACATGCGTTGGGTGAATGGGATACACTTTCCCAGATCGCTCAGGACAAGTGGGCGACAGCGACCACTGACAATAAAAGGCACATTGCACCGCTGGCCGCTACTGCAGCGTGGGGTATGGGCGAATGGGACACGATGGACGAGTACCTGAAGGACATGAAGCAACATACTCCCGATCGAAGCTTTTTTGGTGCGATCCTCTCGATCCACAGAAATCACTTCGAAGAAGCTCACGGCCACATCACCAAGGTGAGAGATGCTCTTGACACCGAGCTTAGCGCGCTTCTCGGAGAGAGCTACACGCGTGCATACAGTGTCATTGTCCGAGTTCAGATGCTTGCCGAGCTGGAAGAAATCATCACCTATAAGCAGCACGAGAATGACCCGGAGAAGCAGGAGCGTATGCGTGCCACCTGGACGAAGAGACTGAAAGGTTGCCAGCGCAATGTCGAAGTATGGCAAGCGATGCTCAAGGTTCGAGCACTTGTCATTACTCCTCAGGAGAACGTCGAGATGTACATCAAGTTTGCATCTATCTGCCGCAAAGCCCAGAGAAATGGCTTGGCAGAAAAGACGCTAAACAGTCTCCTAGGATTTCGCAGCGATGGCAAGAACGGCAGCGTGCAGACGCTCCTTTCAGATCAAGAGTGCTGGAACAAAGTCAAGATGGCACCTTATCCAGTCCAATATGCTACTTTCAAGTTTCTTTGGAGCATCGATCAACAGGAGCCTGCTGTGGCTGCTCTCGTGGACTTCACCATGAGACTGCGTAACGATTTCGAGGAGCGCAATGCTGCGGCTCTGACGGGAACCAGTACGCACGTGAACGGCATGAATGGAAGTCACGGCGCTCTGCTGAACGGTAGCCATGACCTCAATGGTATCAACGGTATACGCAGCACCGGGCCGTTCGGCTCGCCAAACGCTCACCAAATCTCCCCGCGAGAAAAGGCCGAGCTGGAAGAATGGAAGATGCTCCTTGCTCGTTGCTACCTCAAGCAAGGTGATTGGCAAGTCAAGTTGCACAATGGGGATTGGCAGTCGGAACACGTTCAAGACGTCCTCCAAGCGTATTATTCGGCGACAAGATACAATGAGAATTGGTACAAGGCTTGGCATGCATGGGCACTTGCAAACTTCGAGGTTGTCACGTCTCTTACGGCGGCAGACCGAGAGCAAGCAGACGTGCCGCCGTACATTTACTCGGAGCATGTCGTCCCTGCGATAAAAGGCTTCTTCAAGAGTATTGCGCTTTCATCGAGCAGCTCTCTGCAGGATACCCTGCGGTTGCTGACACTGTGGTTCGCGCATGGCTCCCATCAAGAAGTCACCCACAGTGTTACACAGGGCATCTCATCCGTCAGCATCGACACCTGGCTTGAGGTCATACCGCAGCTCATTGCGCGTATCAACCAACCAAGCAAACTCGTTCGCGAAGGTATTCACAATTTGCTCGTCGAGATTGGGCGCGCGCATCCACAAGCCCTTGTGTACCCTCTGACGGTCAGCATGAAGAGCGACACAGGCAATCGATCTCGCTCTGCTGCCAGAATCATGGAGGCGATGAGACAACACTCGCCCAAACTAGTAGAGCAGGCTCGTCTCGTGAGCCACGAGCTTATTCGTATTGCTGTACTCTGGCACGAGCAATGGCACGAAGGTCTCGAAGAAGCCTCTCGTCTCTACTTTGGCGACCACAACATCCAAGGTATGCTCAACCAGCTCGAGCCTCTACATGAGATGCTGCGAAAGGGTCCGGAGACGTTGCGCGAGATTTCATTCATCCAGTCCTTCGGTCGTGACCTCAATGAAGCTCGAGACTGGTGCGAAGCGTACAAGTCGACCAAGGAGATTGGAGACTTGAACCAAGCGTGGGATCTCTACTACGGAGTATTCAAGAGGATCGCTCGCCAATTGCCACAACTGATGAGCCTCGATTTGCAGTACGTCTCGCCAGAGCTCAAGAATGCGCATGACCTCGATCTTGCTGTTCCTGGCACGTACCAGAGTGGTAAGCCTGTGATCCGAATTCAGAGCTTCGACCCGGTGGCCAGCGTAATTTCATCGAAGCAACGTCCTCGCAAGTTGAGCATGAGAGGTAGCGATGGAAACAAGTACGACTTCATCATCAAAGGACACGAAGATATTCGACAGGACGAGAGAGTCATGCAGCTCTTCGGACTGGTCAACACATTGCTCTCGACGGATCCAGAGTGTCTCAAGCGACATCTCAATATCCAGCGTTACGCAGCCATCCCGCTTTCGACGCAAGCTGGTCTGTTGGGTTGGGTACCAAACTCAGATACACTGCACGTGCTAATCCGCGAGTATCGCGAAAGCCGCAAGATTCTCCTGAACATCGAGCATCGTATAATGCTGCAGATGGCGCCGGATTATGACAATCTCACTCTGATGCAGAAGGTCGAAGTATTCGGTTATGCGCTGGACAACACCACTGGCCAGGACCTGTATAGAGTGCTATGGCTGAAGAGCAAGTCGTCGGAGGCTTGGCTCGATCGACGAACCAATTACACTCGCTCGCTTGGAGTGATGTCAATGGTCGGATACATTCTCGGACTGGGCGATCGTCACCCAAGCAACTTGATGCTGGACCGCATCACAGGCAAGATCATCCACATCGATTTTGGTGACTGCTTTGAGGTCGCCATGCATCGTGACAAGTATCCGGAACGAGTACCCTTCCGCCTCACGAGAATGTTGACATTCGCCATGGAGGTCAGCAACATTGAGGGATCGTTCCGCACGACATGTGAGCATGTAATGAGACTGCTACGCGGCAACAAGGAGTCATTGATGGCAGTACTTGAGGCCTTCATCCACGATCCGCTCCTCACATGGCGTCTTGGGGATACTCAGTCTCCCACGGAGCCATCTTTTGCTTCTGAGCGTCGCACATCGATCATGGGTGCTCCTGATGCAGGTGCTGCTGCGCCGAGGAGGCCTTCTGTCATGGGCGGTGATCCCAACAACGTCATGCCGGAGCGCCCCAGTACTTCGTTCCGGCCACGCAACCGCCTTAGCACGGCACAAACGAATGGCAACGTGGACGCGGTGGAGAAGGAAGTGCAGAACGCGCGAGCTTTGCAAGTGCTCAGTCGGGTGAAGGAGAAGTTGACGGGGCGAGACTTCAAGAAGGAGACGGAGCTGAACATCAACGAGCAAGTGGAGAAACTTCTCAGTGAGGCGACGAACCTGGAGAACCTCTGCCAGCATTACATAGGATGGTGCAGTTTCTGGTGAAGGCATGTATTGATTCAAACGGAGAAGGTGCGGGATTGCAGTTTTGCATTGCAAGGTGTCATTCAGCGAGGCGTCGGATGAGGGGTCAATGGAGTTGTTTGAAAGCGCTTCGAGCGTGCTGTACGTTCACGGTGGAGTTTTGACGGCTTCTACTACCTGCGCGATGAAAGAAATCGACTGGGGTTGGTGGCCTTGACAATGCCTTCTGACACACGCACGCGCACACAGAGCACGATAGCGACCGTGTGCAGTGCCTCGCATCTTTATAGCGCATCTAGCCTCCTAGATATCATGCAACCTGTTTCCAATTATTTGACATGGACTATCCTATCAGCGGAAAGGTCAACCAGAAATGGCGTCGATTGCCAATTGAAGGGAGTGTGGCCGGGCTGGCGGACCGGCTGGTTGGAACAGATCGTCAGTGGATCGCGATGGATGTGGTTGTAAGAACGCTTGCGCACGGGCATGACTAGCCAAGCACGCGGGTGCACAGTAGGTGTGTCCTTCAGATTGACATGCGGACGAGGCTCCGTTGACCGTGCAGCAATCCTGGAGGAGAGCGGGAAATTTGAGATGTTGTTCGACATGTTGGGTTGCTGCGCGGTCCTGCTCACGAGGGGAAGAGGTGAGGTTGAACTTGACACAAAATGCACGTGAGCAGCCTAAGTGGGCCCCGGCAAAAACTAGCGCCGACCCACCGGACCCTGAATTGAGCCGCCGGGTCTGAGCCTAATAAGTGGAAGATATTGGTTACATACATCCGCCCACATTCGATCTCTTTCTCCCTCAAACCAAATTCCTTCTTTTCACGCCCAACACGACCACGTTCAGCATGGCAAACACGAACTCCGGCTTCAGCGATGACCCAATGGCCGGCATGGTCCATTCCGAGGCTCACTACTTCAACTCGTCGGTATTGGACTATCTGTAAATGCGAACCCACATCTGACTTTTCATATAGCTACAATCACCATGGTTAGTATTGACAAGGCTCGCTACTGCTTCATATGCGACGATACTGACGAGTAGTCTACCACTTCTTGAAGGTATCCACGAGGAGATGCTGGTCAGTCTCTCCATCCCACAGCTGACATGCGACATCTGCTGAAATTCTCTGCCGTGTAGAAAGATGAAGTTCGCACCAAATCCTACCGCGATTCGATCTACAACAACCGCCACCTGTTCAAGGACAAGGTCGTCCTCGATGTCGGATGCGGTACCTCAATCTTGAGCATGTACGTATTGCCCTGATTTTCTCGCGGAGCCTACGAGCGTCGAGAGTCACAACGAGCAAAGAGAGGGACAATGTCTGATACGAATTACAGGTTTGCGGTGAAGGCCGGCGCCAAGCATGTCATTGGTGTTGACATGTCCACCATCATCTACAAGGCCCGTGAGATCGTCGCTGCGAATGGAATGTCGGACAAGATCACACTGTTGCAGGGCAAGATGGAGGAGGTCGAGCTACCGTTCCCGGAGGTCGACATCATCATCTCCGAGTGGATGGGCTACTTCCTCCTATACGAGAGCATGCTGGACACTGTCCTCTGGGCTCGCGACCGATATCTTCGCAAGGACGGCAAGGGCTTGATCTTCCCGGACAAGGCTACCATTTTCATGGCTGGTATCGAGGATGGAGAATACAAGGATGAGAAGATTGGATGTGGGTAGACGTTGTACACGGCAAGTGGAGAGGAGATGCTAACGTTGTGGCAGTTTGGGATAATGTCTACGGATTCGACTACACGCCTCTCAAGTTGACCGCCCTCACCGAGCCCCTCGTCGACACTGTTGAGCTCAAGGCCGTCGTCACTGACCCAAGCGCCGTTCTGACACTGGACCTGTACACCTGCACCACCAAGGACTTGAACTTCAGCTTGCCATACCAACTCACCGTCCGCCGCACTGACTACATCCACGCTCTCGTCGCCTGGTTCGATATCGAATTCTCCGCCTGCCACAAGCCCGTCCGGTTCAGCACCGGCCCGCACACCAAGTACACACACTGGAAGCAGACCGTCTTCTATCTCGCCGATGTACTGACCGCCGAGGAAGGCGAGACCGTACGCGGCAAGCTGAGCTGTCGGCCCAACGACAGGAACCGGAGAGATCTGGACATCGCGATCGACTACAAGCTCGAGACCGAAGACCAAGGTAGAATTGCGGATGGGCACTGCGAGTACAAGATGTGCTAGTGCAGGAAGCATCGGCGTTACAGGGCGTATCAACGCTTGCCAAGCGTGAAGGGAATGATTTATGAGCATAGCGCCGTTTTGAGTCGCAAACCTTTTGGGTCGCAGCTTTAGCTTCGCGGACCGTCTGTACAGTATAGCATTCTGCGTATGAAAGGAGTGCGAAAGCATCCCCCGATCCTGGGTGCTTCCATTAGGACGTCTTGAGTGAACAGACATGACTAACAAGGCGTCCAGTCTGGGTCCCATTTCCGACAACGCCCACAATTACAAACCTCGACAGTCGGACTCTACACTCTACACCACAGGCGAAGTATCATTAGGGTTCACCACACCGCTCTCCCTCAACTCAACTCCACACACTTTGGTTTTCCAACCCTCCACTCAAGCCGGGGTTCTACGATACATCCAGGACTGCCAGACTAAGCGCAGAGTTGCTGAGGAACGTTAGTTCCCTCCGAATTGATTGTCCAACAATAGAAATCTTCGTCCAACTTCTGCACTTTTCCCAAATGCTTTGCAGGAGTGAGACCGGGTGAATATTTTGTTTGTTTGCCAACAACGTGATGTGGAGAGTAGTGGAAAATGGGGAGGGAGAGAGAACGCCGAGAAGACTTTTGTCGTTTTGTGAGGAAGATTTTTTACACGTCCCACGTCCCACGTCCCATGTCTCTTTTCTGTGTGTGTGTGTGTGTGTGTGTGTGTGTGTGTGTGTGTGTGTGTGTGAAAAGAGGGGAAAGGCGGAAATCATCATCATCATCATCATCATATTCCGGTTGAAAGTTTTTTCGTTGAAGCCGGAGAATCGAGGGAAGGACAAGAACGAGAACCATCTGACCAGTAGCAGTAGGGAGGGCTGAGGGTCGAAAAGGGGGGGGAGAGAAATGGGGCTTTTCCCAATGCCATGCTCCCTCATGAAAGGCTTGGAAGAAAGGAGATCTGGCCTCAGCGATTGATAAGACCCGCGAAGCAAGCGCTCCTTCCCTTTCCGGAATGAAAAAATGGAGACAATGGCGACGCACGGACCAATGTCATATGCGAAGGTCGAAGGGAACGGTGTAGGATTAGGGTTAGGGTTGGTTTTTTTTTTTTCTTTGCGTCGCGGTCTGCCGGGTCTGCGGCTCTCTTCATGATGCAGGAAATCTTTCTTTTCGGTTTTCGTCTTGATGAAGTCGACCTTGGCTACCAAGACGTTCTGTGGGTGGTGGAGATCGTTGGCCGTCGGCGCGAATGGAGATGCAGTCGAAGTCTGCGCGGATAGGTGACTCGCCGAAGATGTTGGACGAGGGGTCGCAGTAAGAGAGAGAGAGAGAGAAGAAATCCAGCCTCGTTGTACTGATGACCTTCAGCGATCACCCGTTCGCTGCTCTGGACGTTGAAAAGCCGATGATTCAAAGGCAATCATGTGAGCTGTAGTTCACAGTTGGCCGACTCATCACAACCACATCGAGCTTAGGAGAGCCAATGCCGGAAATATCTATATCTTGAAAAAAGGCCTCGTGTCATCGAAATGGAGATTGTTCAGAGGCGGTCTACAATCCTTCCTCAGGTTCCCTTAGCCAAAAACACCCAACTCCCAAGTGGCCCATGCATGCTAATAACTCCCCCTCTTTTTCAATCAAACCTCTTCAACCCTCTCCTCCCTCCTTTCCTTGCCTCCCAAATTCTCCCGACTAATACCCGTCCTAGTCAGATGCAACGCCAGCCCTTCCTCTCCATCCTCATGCAATGCAGCCCCTTTCCCAATGCTCTGTAAACTATCTCTCATTAAAAATTCGTAATATCCTGTCGCCAAAATCGTAGCAGGAATATTGACCAGGATCGCAATCCAAGAATAGTTATGGTAGGTGAAAGCCTCACCACCTGGGTAGAAAAGGTCAGCTGATATGTAGTCGATAACGTCAGGAAAGGAGTGTGTACCGTAGAAGATGGCTGCGACGATGCGTGTTCCTAGGTCACGAGCGAGGTTCGTTGAAATGGTGATGTCTGCGAAGCCCCAGACCTGGTGAAGGTAGAAAGTCAGCTGGTTTCTCCAATTGAATGGGGTAGAACATGGTGCTGCGGTCCTCTCCAGTGGCTCGGAGATGATGAGGAAAGTGGGGATGCGCTGGTATCTCGATAAGGTAGGGGCAGATATGGTGCTGCGGTCCTCTCCAATGGCTCAAGAAATAAGACAAACAACAGGAAAGCATACCATGGTTGCATAGGCCATGCCTATCACGAACGGCGCGCTGGAAGGAGTGATCTATCGCCCGATGTAAGCCAATACCACAGCATCAAGGCCACTGCGTCTGTCTCACGAAGGGATTCGCCGGATCCAAAGTTGCCCAGATGACAATGCCGATATAACTGTCAACGAAGAACTCGATGAGGAACAGGTACCCTAGGTTCGTTTGGTTCGCTGAGGGGAAAGGGCAGAGGACGGAGGCAGGTCCGCCGCTGAACACCAACGAGTCGTGTCCAGCGGTGCGGAGAGTGGCGGCATATACAGCGAGTTGTTCATGATACATCCCAAGCAAGAGGAGGCCGGCCATGAAAGCTCCGAAAATCTGAGAGAAGATGTAGTAGGGTACTTTCTTCCACGGGAAACCTGTCATGTGACCGGTCAGCAGGGACATGACATCTCCGTCGGCTGTCATCTCGAATATGCTGTTCTACCCCCTATCTCCGGATTCGACAGAATCCTCGGCATACTCGAATGGCTGCACATACCTTGCCACATTGCAAAACAGATCGTTATAGCCGGATTGAAGTGGCCACCACTCGTCGGCGCGCAGGTAATAATGGCAAACGCAATCCCCATAGCGAAAGCAAAGCCGACTTGGAACAGACTCCCAAAGGCAGCATTCTGTTGGTTGATGGTGAAAGACGTGACAGCGGCGATGCCGGGGAACACGTAGAAAAAGACCCCGGTCGCTTCTGCCATGCACTCTCGGAGCCAACGAGGTCGGGAGTGTTCGAAACTGAGTTTCCGTTGGGAGACGGGTTTGGTCGCGACGACGCGCCGAGCGTAGTGTTGCTGTACGACTTCTGTGGCGCCGATTTCCATGTCGCTGGTATGCAGCTTTTCCAGCACGATTAGCGACACAGGATTGCGCAGGATGATGCTTCGTTTTGGTACTCACGCGGTGCAAATGCGCCGGGGTGCTCTCCGAGGGACCCATGATTGCGATGGTATGCGATAGTCCTATTGCGGTCTGAGATATATTCCGATGAAGGTGAGATGACAAGAAGCCGGCCGCCGGATCATGTTGTCAATCGAGGGGTGCTGTCATCTTTATGCAACCGGAGCTCTCGTCTCGCACGAGGCAACCGCGTGGGAGGAGAAGCGATCCTTCTGCCGCGCGGTTGAAAGACGAAGCTGAGTGTCACCTGCCTGATTGGTCTCTGGCAGGAGCAAGAGCGCGGACGTAGGACGACAGACAGCACTTGCTCACATGCGACGCCGGAAAGACCGGCAGGAACATCTCCACGTTGCATGCCGAAGCATCTGTGCACTGCTCTGGTGGGCATCCCAAAGGAAGCAGAGCATCCACAAGCAGGTAGCTAAACGAATTCCTGGCGATGGGAAGATCTTTCTCTTCATCAGCATCGCGAATCGTCACACGTGATTGATGTCGATGCGAACAGTCGACTTCGTCAACTCAACAAGCTTTGGTCTCCTCCACGTGGCGGTAAGGCTCGAGAGCTTCTTGAGCCCCGCTATGATACACACCTAGGAGGCTCGCGGTAGATTCATTCATGATGAGCGGGTAGATATGCATCTCGCTCGCATGACAATCGCGATCCCGAACACAGAGGATCGAACGCCAAGATCCTATTCGATTCTTCCCAAGTGCTTACACGTCTTGCCAAGCAGAAAATGGTGCCGAAGCGTCTAAAACGCCGCGAGCGACAGTCGCAATGACGAGTCGACCGGCGCCGTGGGAAGAGTGAGGTTAGGCCTAGCCTTTTCCCCGTGGGCACCCCAGATTTTACGTGGAGCCGGTGGGGTCAGCCTGCGTCTCAGCACAGCACTGTGCAGTAGGATTTTTGGTGAAACATCCGGTGCCCTCTCGGCATTGATGTACGGCAGTACATATAGAGTTCTTCCTTTTCCCTCGGTGCTCCCGGAGTCGCCCCTCTGCGGTGAAAGGAATGATTAGACCACCAGGTGAGGCAAAGAGACTCTCATCCTTACTGCGCTCCAAACACGCCGATATCTTTTGAATCCATATTGCCGATGCAATGCAGGACTCGACAGCATATTCTCTGCATGCATGATGGAATCGTAGTGGGCAGCATCCTCTCTACGTGATGGGCCAGTCGTCACTAGAATGATTGCCTGGAGTCTTTGATGGCTCTGGAGTAGACAAGAGTTGCATCCATCTGATAGGCTGGCATTAGGAGAGAATTCTGAAGGCGAAACGAGTTCATAGTAGCGCATCATTCACGGTACCGTGTGACATTCGGCCTGTTCACGCCAAACGAAGGCGGTGGGAGGCCATGTCCGCCGGATCGTTCAGCAAGCCCGAGGAGTGCGGTCGCTTGCCAAGCGAAGGGCCGAAGTCAGCCCGCGCTGATCATCACGTGCTCGCTTCCACATGGAGCATTCGCGACACATCAATCTATTATGATGGAAACCCCTGAGAGGCTTCGGAATAAATCGTCTAAATTCCACAAGTTGAGATTCATTTCTCTTCTACAGCCAGTCATGCCAGATACATTCATACTCAAACACAAATCATGCCAGTCTGCCAGCAGATCTCCAAGCCCAGATAACCACCCTGGAAACCAGATGCGTAATAATGTTACAGGCTCAAGATCGTCAAGGTGGTCAAGATGAAGCTCATCATGACCCATGCGTGGCCCTGCTCGCGCTCCTCCATTGCCCCGTATCCATTCACTACTCGCACATATCAATCATACAAATGCTAATCAAACACGGAGATGTTGACGATGCAACGCGTGCTCCTAGTACGCGTCAAGCATGTCGTCCAGCTCCTCGAGCTCGATATCCTCCGGGCTTTGTAGGTGTTCCCATGCGAAAGCCGCCTCTGGCAAATTGTACTGGCCTTCATCTTTGTCCAGTCGGTCCGGATGGTCGGCTTCAGCGCCACGAGTCGTGTCAACTCTGAGGCCGTTCTGGGGCTCGAGTACCGGACTGCTGAGCTCCATGTGTTGCGCCGCCAGCATCTTGGACGCTCCGAAGAGCGCTGCGGCTGCTTCGCTGTTCTTCAGGGCCAGGCTCTCTTCCGTCTCCTCGGCTTCAATCGACATGGTCACACTACGCGCGTCCTGGTCGGCGCCACTCAATGCATCGTGTTCCATGTTGACATCCTGTTGGCTTTCTTGGCTGTTGCGACGTGCCTTTGCCTGCTCATACAGCGCATTGGCCGTCTGCTTGAAGTCGCGCTCCTCGTTCTCCAGAGGTGGACTTGCGGCTCTTCGGGGGTGGGTGTAGCTGCTCGACCGGTCTCGAGGCATAGAGTTCCGGGCCGAATAAGAACCGCCGGGCGTTGGCGGAGCATCCCCGTGATCTTCTTCGAGCTCAGGTGAGGATAAGTCGACTTCGGGTGATGGTGACAGGGCCTGTCGTTGTCTGAGATAACGATCCTCTTCATCAGCCGCGGATGAAAGGGACGGAGAGATGATTCGGTTTGCTTTGGGAAGGGGCTCTGTGACCTCTGGAATAGGCTGGCGCGGTGTGGTGGTAAGGTAAAAGTACAGGCGACGGGGATGTACCGGAGCAATATCCTTGGCCAGCGGACAAGGGCTGATGGCGGGCCAGGGCCGTTGCAGGTAGGCCGTCAGTCGCGAAGATATCAGCGCACACGGGTTTGCGGATCTATCAAGCAAGTTAGCAATGCTCCCGTTCTCCATAGCATAGACGTGTTCGTCGTACTTCTCAATGGCGTGTAGCTTCGTCGCAAGGATCGCGGCCAACTCCTTAACCAAATGCGGTCTATTTCCAGTCTTCTCGATTTGTTGTATGGTCGCGACGACAATGTCATCGCTGATTCCTTCCGTATCAATCTTGCTGCTGCTGCTGCCCTCGGCCACCGGCGAAGGTGGAGGGGAGAGGGTCGTCGCAGGCTTCGGCCTCGCGTCCTTGACGCGAATGGTCGTGGTTTGAGGTGGGCTCATGAGGCCAGGGGGTGGCGATTGCGAATTTGCATGCGATCGTTTCGCTCGTTTCGCCGAGGGCTGCTCGTCGCCCTCGATGACGGTGGCTGGCGGTGATGGATGGGCTCTTTTGGGCGCGACGACGCCAAGGTCGGCCTGAGGAGTCGAGTTAGCATGAAAGCATCAGTCGGGAGGTATGCGATCGCGCTCTTACCAAGTTCAGGCTCTTCCTGCGTGTCTGCATAGTGTAGGAGTGATTGGCGCAATTCGGTCGAGAAGCTGGTCGTCGTTCGTGCGAATTCGGCCAATCCGCTGTTTCGTGCACAACAAGAGGGATCGCGCGATGCTGGTGCAGTGTGTTGATATGAGCGGAGAGGTGGTGCTCGGCGTGGGCGGGACGGATGGTGTCGTGGAAATGGGTGTAAGAGGGTGCAAAAAGGCCGCGAGGCGAGATGTGTGGGCGTTGTTGCTCAGGAATGAGCTGGCTCTCGTGTGATTCGTCGGTGTGATTCGCAACAATTGGCCGAGCACAGGATAGGAGAAGGCAGGTAGGCGGGTTGGAAGCAAGGCCCGTCGCAGCGAGAGGTGAGGTGTGTATTGCGTCGAGGATGTTTTGTTGGGTGTGTTGTTGTCGCGGAGCGGTGGGTGGGTTCACAGTCGGTCGGTCAGGAGAAAGCGAGAGCTGCAGACGGACTGGTGGTCGGCGTGCGACGAAGCAGTGTGAAGGGACCGGGCAGGCGTCTGGGTTTAGGCTTCTGGCCCGTGCGGCGGCACTAGGAGTCGATGCCGCTGAAATAAAAAGTGTCGGTCACGAGTCAGTCAGCCAGCGTGGGCACACATTTCTCTCGCCGTGGAAGCTTTCGGGTGGAGGCTGCGGGAGGAAGTTGTTGTTGGTGATGTTGTTGGTGCCGTGGGGATGGATAGTAGATGCGACAGGAGGCAAGAACAACCAGAGGAGAACGCCTTCTCCTGCGAGCTGCAGTGCTTCACCTGCTGCCTGGATGATGGATCGAATCTGACGCAGCGTCCAGCTCTGAGTTTGGTCTAGCGGCCTTGGGCTTAGCGCCTGGCGGGTAAAAAGAGGCTCGGCAGCTTAAACGACAAACGGTGAACGGGCTGCGTCGGCTGGGGAACGTTTGCGCGAATGAGATGATCCGATCCACCACGACCCGGCCAGCGTAGGTTGATCTCTTGGTTTGCACGCACAACACACACGACACCACTCCCAGACGGAGACGAGACCATTGGCATTCCGTTCCACAGGTTCCGTGCACAACAGAGCCTGCATCCAACCAGCTCGATGCACCACGGACAGAACAGACGCGACTGGCTTCTGGTGGTGCCGGGGAAGCATCCCTAGAGCTTTTCGAGAAGAAGCGCGCAGGAGGACGGACGAATCGGATCGGCTCTCGCTCTTCCTGCGCCCGCCGCCTGGAAAAGCTCCTCGCAGGAACGTCATGCACGCCACGCCACCCACCGCACTTCTCTCTTACCTTACCTTATGCTTATCACCCATCACTTATCATATAACTGTCAGCACACACGGTGCAGGAACGTCGCGTCTCTGTCAGGTACAACGACGCCTCCCCGCCTGCATCTCCCAAAGCACCTCGCCGCTCGACAAGCCAAGTCATTCCTTGCTCCCAGACCTGGTTGATGATGTTGATGATGATGTTGATGACACCTCATACGTCACACGGCACACTCGTCGATCAGCAACGCAGAATGTGCCCCTGACTTGCACCTGCCTCAGCGGGACATCTGAAACACGCGCTTGGCATGCCAATCTTCCGCACGTGATTGTCATCGAACTTCAACGACATACGAACACGAGCAATACACAGTCATTGGGACCTCATCACATTCACGCAATGTTAGACTTCATGACACCCTTTGTCGCCTCCAGTCTCACCCCTCTGCCACAAAGAACAGCACTGCAAGCGGTCAGGCCCTCCGTCATCTATTGACATCTATTGACATACGAAAAAGAACGCACGACTACCGCCCAGGTAGGTTTATATTCTCATACCCCTCACAATATTGCAACATATTGCAACTATCACCAACACCCAAAAATGCTTCTCCTATCCCTTTTCGCCCTGGGGCTACGGCAGCCCTCGCAGCCTACAACAACAAGCACACCGTTTTCCACGACCGCGCTCCCGTGATGTCACATCTCCACGACGCCGTCGTTGAAAAGGCGCAGAACGTCGCTCGAGATGCGAAAGAAACCCTCGGGAAGCGCGAACAAGAGCTGGAATCTGATGAACGACGGGATGTCGGCATCGGCATCGATGAGTTTGTGCCCAGTGCGAATGACAGGTGAGCGCGCGCGCCTAGTATGATGGACCTCGAGTGACTCTTGCCCGGCAGGTATGCCTTCAATACCGGCCCCGAACTCGACAGACGCGATGGGGGAGAGAAGGACGAATAGCCTCTGGAGACGAGCGGCTTTCCTCCTTCACCGCCAAGTGATGGCTCTTCTCATGGAATGCCGGAGGGTCATTATTCTCATGCACGCCATCATAAGCGCTTCTGGCAATGGCAATGGTAGGAATGCTCCAGAAAAGCACATCGCATGCAGCCATTCGCCGTATATACTGATTTGCTAGATCCTTACATCCATCCCATTGTACATTATAAGAGACCACCACCCTCCAATCCCCTTAAAAACTCCTCTACCTCGTACAACCCCACCTCTCAACATCTAATTTCCACTCCACACTCGCAATCCCCACCGGCAACCCTTCGACTTCCACATCCAGCAACGCTTCGGCCCTCTCCCTCTCCCTCTCCACCGCCCAACAACCACCCTGGCCTCCTCGATCACATGTCTGAAATCCGGATTCTCTTCGCGTAGACTCCCTACAGCATCCAAGGAATCTCTCGACTGCGTGCGGGATTCTCGTGCAGGAGCGTCGTGAGGTATGTGGTGATTTCTGCTTGCGGTGGTGATAGTGGTCGTCGTGGTGTTGGGAGGGGGACATGCTTTCCGTTTTCTTGCGTTGTTTGAGGCGATGTGATTTCATGGTTTCGTGCTCGTATTCATTTCGCGGGCAAATGTAACCAGGCGCGACCGAGAGCTCGTCTCTCACGGTTACACATGACGAGCTTGAAGCACAGCTGCAGGAAGGGGGATTTGGGCTACCCGCAGAATTAAAAGACCCGTCTTTTTGCATGATCAGCTGTACGAGGGGCGCGCGCTGGGAAATCCGGCGAACGTAGCTCGTAGGACTTCCAACGTAGGAACTTGATGATATCAAACGTTCAACTTCGTTTACCCATTTCTATACTCCCGTCGTCATCCCAATCGTCAGCGCTGCCTCCCAATTTCCTGCCCGTCAAGATTCCAGTCGCTGTGAGCCCGACAGCGACCAGGAACCAACTCTCGAACCAGCTCTCGACGAAACGTCCTTCAAGCGGAGCGCCCAACGCCTCGCTGATGACACTGCTGACTTCGGCCGGCAGGTTGCTGCGCAGGAGCAACGCAGAGCTGATCACATACGTTCCCGCAATCTGCGAAATGATCAAGGGGAGACTCGTCTGCGCATGCTGTACAAGGCTCGGCGCGAAACGGGCGAAAAGGCGAGATGTCTGCAGGACTGCGTTGAAAGAGGCCAGGAGCATGATTCCGGAAAGCAAGAAGCTGATTTGCCGAGACCATGCCTGACGGTCGAGGTTGCGGTCGTAGTGGGTGGTCAAGAGTGCCAATACATGGTTGATAGGATCGCTCGTGGCGAATGAGTGGGACGGATTCCACCAGCGTCGGAGCGTAGAGAGAGACGTCGCGCCGATACGATAGGCGCAGTAGAGCGCAAAGACAAAGTTCGCTGCGTTGAGGAGCTTTCCGGGGGTAGTTTGCGAGCGCTCTTGTTCGTTGTGTCGAGCGCGCAGATTTGATAGTGAGTTTGACAAAGTGAAGCGCATGGTCTCTAAGCCTGACACTTCCATACGGAGTGTTTTGAGCTCTTGTGCTTCATTCGACCCTCTGAATGACCCCACAAGTCGGCCAACAAAGCCAGTCTGCTCCGAAGGGGACGGCGCCTCAGACATTTTGCGCTCCAGTGCCCGAACTCTACTTTGTTTCGCGGCTAGCATTTCCTCCGTGGCTGCCAGTCCCGCAGCTTTGCGAGAAACATCTGAATCCTTGATCGTCTTGCGTCGAACACCAAGTGTCTGCCATAACGAGGATACAGCAGCAAACCCAGCCAATGATGCCATCAACGAGATGCCGATAATTCCTATGCGCTCCAGACAGGCTTCTGTGAACGCATGTCCGCTTGGAGACTGTTCCTTTTGCGATTCATGCAGAGTGTCGCGCAAGATTGAAGCCTTTGGAATATACCAAAACACCAGCAGCCACGCGGCGAGGAGGGCCAGCTCTAAGGCAATTCGCATTTTTGGACGCGTCCGGCGCGTGGAAGTGGTATCTTGTGGGACTCCAAGCAAGCCCCTAACGATGCCATGTATCTCCAGAGCAGGGGTGACAACAACGCTCAGAATCAGTAGCAACCCAAGCGTTATCCTCAGGGCCAGTCCTCTTGCCGCTGGATTCAGCGCATCCGAGATCTCACAGAGCAGTAACTCTACCAACACAGCAGACAGTCCGATACTCGTGGAGAAGACCCATGATGCCAACTTTTGTGCCGAAGGAGCCTTCAGCTTCTCCCTCCAGTTCTGTGTTGCCGTCTTGAAAACATTCCTGTTGAAGATCGGTAACTCGTCACGCCCACTCTTACGGTCCAAATCGCTCGACAGGGTGGGGAAGAGTCTTCGCTGCGCTATGATCACGACCAGAAGCCATGTGACAAGAAGAGGCAGAGAGGAGAGGAGGATAGTCGAGGAGGAAACGGATTCCAGACTCCTTCGTTCGTAGGCGGGCCTACAGCTAGAAGCGCCGCAGTCGCTGGTGGACCACATGGGTGCTATCGTGAATTTTGAAGTCGTTGAAGGAGGTTTCGCGTCGCGCAGTCAGGAACAATGCGGGAGAGCATTGGATGGTGCATTGCAGGACGCGGCGGGCGTGATTGTTGAGAGAGATAGGAGACGCGCAATTGGGGAGCCGTGGTACAGCAACGCCTTGCGGCCAGCCATCCACGGTGACGTTGCTCCCACGTGATTTCCGCAAGGATTAACCCCATAGGGAATCTACGAGCACTAGATAGTACTAGCGCAGCCGGCCTGGGTTATCATCACCGGCCACTTCACCTTGCCCGTTAGAATCAGAGATCAACTTCATTCATAACGAATATAACAGATGGACGAGACGGCAGATCCGATGCAGCGTTCGACTGACTGAGCACCCTGTCGGCTGCTTCCGGCTAACCCCTGGCTACGGACGGAGCATTTCGAAGAAAAGTCAATCTTAGCTCCCATTTCATCCCGAAGCACAATGGCTTGCATGAACTCGGTCCGTCATCAGCTTGTGCGTCGGTCTCGGCACCCGACGACTTTAGCGAATCGACTACAGGCCTCTTGCCCGAATCGACTATTCTCAACAACAACGACAGCCATGGTCAAGGCCGACCAGCTTACCATATCCCAAGGGGAGGACGACAACGCCGTAGTCGAACAAACCACCAAGCTGGTAGACAATGGCAAGTGGCAATTGTGCAAGAACGGCAAAGGACTAGAAAGGCCGTTCAAGTTCAAGACATTCAAAGCTACCTGGGTACGCCACACTTGAGACCTTTCAAGATCGAGGAGCTTATCCTCCGTTTCATAGGATTTCATGAATACGGTAGCTGCCGAGTGCAAGAAGGCCAAACATCACCCAGAATGGAGCAACGTATACAACAAAACACACATCACATGGACGACACACAGTCCAGAAGGACTGTCGAGCAAGGATACGCACATGGCGAAGTTCTGTGATGATGCCGCGGAGGAATTTAACGAGATGGAGATTGAGGCGAGTGAAGGAAAAGTGGGTGCTGATGGGAAAATCGAGGCTGGAGATTGCTGCACGCCAAAGAAGGCGTAGCATTGGTGCTCTGTAAGTGGATCTTGCAACATCACGTCCGGCCTCTCGACAAAGTCTTTCCCTGGTCATCGGAAGAATCGTTTTATCTCAGGTTGACTTGAACAGGCTGATCACTTCTTTCCCTCCTCGATCATTCCCTCCTCGACCTTCTCCTCCTCCATCATCCTCTCCTTCTTCGTCTTTTCCTCCTCGGTCTTCTCGCCTTCTGGGCCCTCTTCTGGTATATCCCACTTCGCCGCACCTCCCAACGCAGCAGCCTCCACACTAGGCCGCGCAACGAAATCCTCCAACTTCTTCTCATCACACTCCACAAGCGCCTGACAAACATTCTTATCGTGCAGGAAAATTTCCATCATCACCTCCATCCTCTCCGAACACTTCAGGGCCTCCTCACCATTCCGCTTGCCGTCATTCGGTCCCAGCACGTCGTTCTCGTGCATGTATCTGATCTTCTTCCAGATGACTTCCGTGAGATCTCCGACCTCTCGTCCCAACAAGTTTGCTTTCTCGTCCGTGCGTGGCGCCTCGAGCTTCCTGATCCAGGGACCGTAGCCGTGTGGATCTCTCTCCAGGAGCGATCTGGGGAGAGTGGCCATCAGCGCGCAGCCGATACGGTATCTCGATAACAAGGGATCGCTAGTGATAGCGTGCACGTCGTCTTGTGAGTTTGTTGCCTGAGACATCTTGGATGTTCGCGAGCTGTTTTTGGAGCAGGCCGAGATGATCGAGCAGAAGATGGGTTTATGTATGAGAAGTAGCTGTTTGCCTGCCATATTGGCCAAACAACTGAATCTTTGAGCATTTTCCTAGGCATTGTCTTAGCGCATCGAATTCTTCTGTGGAAAGGGATGGTGAACAATGCCGGAGCAACAATGGCGGAAATAACAAACATTGTCAAAAATTCATCGGTCAGATTTTGTAAGCACTCCGTTCTGAAGCTAAGGCTGATGAAAGCAAGAATTCCAGGCTGACATCGATTCACATGGAAGTCGCTAGCAGTCTGTCGGACACCGAATCAAGAGATTGAGCGTTCAAAACGACATCATTCTACCAGCAACTCGAACGCTTCCATCACTCTAAGCATACTATTCTACCGGTCCTGATATCTTCCGCGATATCCCAATCTCTAGTCCGTCTACACGGGCCACCCCATGCCTCCTAGTTATCCACCCCCCTAGCAAACGCCCTGGGTCTTGAAACAAAAGCCTCCAACGTCGCCGCATCACAGTGAGCAAGAATCGCACGCAACTCGTTCCTACGCCGCAACAGTCCCTCGATGATCTCCATCCTCGCCTCGAGCTCCAGCCAGACCTCCTCATCCTCCGACCGCATTTCGCCTTCCTGCAATTTTCGACCAGGTCCAAGAAGATTCCTCTCGTGCAAGGAGAAGGCTTTGTCGACGAGTCTGCGGGAGAGATTGAGCATTTCTTGATGTGAGAGCTGGTGTTTTGGCGTCGAAGGTGATGATCCCATGATGATTGCCGTTGAGGACTTGTTTGGGGGAGAAGAACATGGAGGGGAAGGGATGAGCAGTCCAAAATATACGATGGAGAGGTTTGCTAGGCTTACTTGTGAGACGGCTGGTCTCTTCTTCGAGGTTCTTCTGTTCCTGCTCTCGGCCATGCAATCGAACAGGCCGCTCTTCGCCTTGTAGACGCAAAGATCTGTTCGGTAAATTTGTGTCTCTGCGCCGGAATATCGACGGATAACAGCGATACGTCTAGGCTTACATGATGCTCATGGCGGAACTTACAGTTCGTAGTAGGGTGATGTTTTTCTCAACCCTTTGGGAGGTTTACTCGGCACAACGAAGAGCATACCTACATATGCTACTACTTTGCCTCTACAGAGTCACCTCGACACGCTGCATCAAGTGAGTTAGTCACTGCTTCTCATCACTAATACAAAGTCGTCGTACGTCGATGGCAGTCAGCAAGCCTTTATATCCTTCTCCCACCACGACACTTCTCCTCACCATCGAAGACGCTCCACGCCCTTCCTTCTTCTTCTCCTCCTCCGACCCATCTCCACCTGTGCAATACAAGCTCTCCACGAACTCCACCGGCTGCGAGATAAACGCTTCCAACGTGCTCTCATCGGCAAAGACAACCCTCTCACATACCTTTTTGTGGTGCAGCACCACATCGACAATCAGCCGCCACCTCTGCGCGAGAGGCAGAAAGAGCTCTTCCGGCTGTGCACCTTTCAGAGGTCGTTTGGGCCCCAGATTGTTGTGGAGGAGGCTCATTTTTCTGAGGATCCGTGCACAGGCCTCACGAATGCGATCGTGCATCGTTGGATCGCCGAGGAGCTGGAAGTACCAGGTGTTGTAAGCGTCTTTCAGGCTCGGAGCTGCTGAATCGGGAGGCGGCGACAGGATAGCGCCATAGAGTGGGACGGTTGCATTGGGAATCTGAAAGGAGGCATGAATGATGTTGGCCCCAGGCAGGCGTGTTGTTGTTGGGGCAATTTGTAACATCCCTGAGGCGTGGTAAGAATTGTCCCATGGATGAACGGAAGAGTAGGGTCAGTATTATGTACAACTGGTGAGAGCAATTAGATCTTTTGTCATTTGTTTTCCACTTTGTTCGGAGCCGGTTGACAGAGCGCAGGGCTTTGACTTGATCTTTCGTCGACTGGTCTTCCATTGGGAATCGATGCGTTGTTCGAGGATGATCGCTCACATCTTGGCTGCCTTCTCCTTCCTCTTCCTCTCCGTCTCCGCCACATACGCTCCAATAGCCTTCCTACTCTCCTCCCCTCTCGCCTGCTTCCTCAAAGCTTCCATCTCCACCCGATTCGTCTCCAGCAACTCCGCTCTCGAAGTCCTCATCATCAAAGCCTTGTTGACCTGCAGACTCTGCTTCGGCAACCGGGCGGTGCCCCTCGCGATCTCCAGCACTCCATCGAGAAAGCCTTCCTGGGGCAGAATCTTGGTGACGAGGCCCATGGCGTCCAGGTCGTGGGCCGTCATGCGAGAGCCCGCCAGGATGAGCGCGGAAGCTTTCTGGCGACCCATGATGCGCAGGAAGGTGGTGGAACTGCAGCCTTCGGCGCAGAGACCCCACTGGACGAAGGGGGTGAAGAAGACGGAATCGGGCGTGGCGTAGACGAGGTCGCTCAGAGTGAGCGACGTTGTGCCCCAGCCTGAGATTATAATATCCTTTAGCATATTACTACTACTTGATGATGCATCCGGGAGACGCTTACCGGGTGCCGGCCCATTGACGGCACTGATTACCAACTTGTTGGTCTGGATGAGGGACTCGTGGATGGCGCTTCACGAGCATCATCATCATCATCATTAGCATCACCAGCATTTCGTCTCCAGCTCGTTTAATCGCACGCACTCACTCACCTCAACGTATCGCAAAACTCATCCGAAATCACCGTGCCCTCCTGCTCCCTACTAGCCTCCATCAAATCGAGACCCGCAGTATAGAATTTCCCTTCGCCCGTCGTGACGATGATGCGGATGGCATCTTCCGCTTCCGCCCATCGCAGAGCAGCGAGCAGGTCCTTCGACGTCGTAACGAATCAGCATCGTTCCTAGTATCTATCGGGCGGAATGACGGACTGACCTTTAAAACAGGCGTATTCAATGAATTGGCATTCTTCGGCCGGTTAAACTTGACGATGGCAATTGCCTCGCTGTCGATATCGATGGCAATGTTGGTGAGCTTAGGTGGCAACGGCATTGTCGATGTGAGGCGTAGACGCTGCAGAGGGACGGAGGATACAGCGCAGCCTGGTATTATTCTAGCGGATCGCAGGAAACGACAAAGCATGTGATGATCAATTATGGATGGATTGCAACGCAGCCGGATATGCAACTGAGTGCCGAGGTAAACTGAGTTCGGATTTGTGAGATCAAGAGTTGATGGGAGCTCAACACAGCAAGGATTCACACAATGCTGATTGACTGGAGACGAATGCGAGAAATCTTTATAAGGAAGAGAGGGTGGGACCGGTTGCCTTGATGTGCCAGCAGAGAGCCGAAAATGCCGCCTTTGCGACAGCGTCCTGATCATAAGTAAGTAGTCTCTATATATCCACATGGTGCATTACTGAGTAGGCCCTTGCCGGCTCTACATCCCACGCTTAAGCTGCTCATAAAGCCCCAAAATCGCAGCTCCACCGCCCTCTTCCTCATCATCTTTTCCCCTGACGCGACTCGTCGGCCGGTTCCTTGACGCGCTCCTCTCAGCATCGCGCTTCGCTCTGGCTTCGGCATCCATGCGAACTTCCTCGGCTTCCTTGAGCGCCGCTTCGTACGCAAGCTGGGCGGCTTCATCTTGTGGACGAATGGATTCTTGGAGCGAGACGTCTTCCTCGTCAAGATCATCCTCGTCGTCACTACCGGGTGGAGAGTCCACAACGCCCAGTTCTGGTGATTTGAGCAGGCGCCCAGGAGGTGAGGCGACACCGTCGTCGCTGCGTTCGCTACGAGCAGACGAGAGACGGGTTAACGAGTTGCCGCGGAGTGACGCGGTGTTTGGGAAATTCTCAGAACTGTAGCCAATTGCTTCTGCGACCCGTCGTGCTTCGTCTCCAGAATCATCGCCTGCATGGCTGAATTCTCCCAGAGGACCGAGGTCTGAGCCCATGATGCTGAGACGGTTGTTGGCGTCAAGAAGGTGACCTCCACGACCCCTTGTCGTCTCCTCCGACTTGTCCAGAATGTCTCGATAGCCACTTCGGGAAGGGTCTTGTAGTCGTTTTCGCTTCTTTGCTTCCCGCTTAGAGCTGGGTCTGACAACAATTACCGGGACCGGAGAGTACTGAAGGCAGTACTTACTTACGCTCCCAGAACTCAGCAGACCTTGGTACCCAGTCAGACTACGTCCTCGGGTTCCAACGACAAGCATTGCCGGCTCGTAGATCCGGATCATCTGTTGAATCGTATCTTGGACCCGTCCGATACTGAACTCCAGTACCAAACTGATCGCCCGATCATCCGTATTCTTCTTCTCAATCTCCTGCAAGAACCTCTGTGCCTCCCTTCTGTATCCCTTCTCACCCTGCCCACCACTCCACTTTGTGGCCTCCTTGCTATCCTTCTCCACCACCCGCAAACAAACCACCTCGTCTCCGTCATCCACCAATTCGTCAATCAGCCATTCCAGTGCCGTATCACTGTACTCATTCGTATCCGTCCCGCACAGAAACGTCCTGCTGCGCTTGGTGTAGGTGTACTCCTTGTGCTTCCGGTTGAGTGTCAGACTAAAGTCGCTCGCCGACGGGTTGCTAAAGGTATCGAAGCTGACCGACGGTCGAAACTGAGGCGGAGGAGGTGGACTACTAAGCCTCCTTCCGCCAGCTCCGGGGCGTGCTGAGGGTGCGCCGCCGTATGATTTGCGCTGTGAAGGTTTCGCACTGCTGCTCCGCGATCCACCCGTCTCTTTTACGTGAGGAACAAACTGTACGCTGGGTCGACGTCCGCCGCTGTCTGATGCGCCATCGATTTGGATAGTCGGTCTGCGCCAGGCGGGTACAAATGATGTCGCGGCAGTTCCGATGGTGTTTTTGGGAGGGTCGCTCGAGGCGTCACTGTTGAAAGGCGCTGCCGGTATCGAGCGATCGGGGAGAGATGTAGTGTTTGTAGGTTGGGTGGCTTGAGAGCGTGGTGAAGGTTCGTGGTCATTGATTTGCGCCGCGGGCGTTCCAGCGCGCGGTGAGGGCTGCGCGGACATCTTCGTTGATCCAAAGCAGAATGCTATCCTGAGAGATGTTACGAGGACGTTGGCGGGTTGGAAGAGGCAGTAATCACTGATGCAACGATCTGCATGTGATTGTGGATGTTCACTGGTCGTGTCTCGGTGCTGTCGGGTACTGAATGCTTGCCGCGGGTTTCTATTGCCGATCAAGAGAACGAAAGTTTGCCCGACTTATTAGCTGGAGTGATCGTTGTGTATCCATCGTGTGCTGGTTGAATGGAAAGTGTATGAATGAGTGCTGCGCCCGGAGGCAGCGGAGCAGATGAGGGACGCGGAGAGGCGGTCGGGACTGCATCTCGGCTCGCATGCACTGGGCTTCGGCAAGACGATCTGGCCGGGATTCTCCTCGCGTGGAAATGGGCAGGGAAATGCTGAGCAGTCGCCATTGGCAGTAGAATACATGTCAAGACGCGAAGTGAAGTCGTGGAAACGGTGGTCACTGTCAGATACTAGTAGGCTTTGAGATCTCTAACTTTCCGCGGATCCCACCGCACCGACATCCATGTGCCAAACAGGTAGAAGAGCCTGGTGTTCCTCTCTCTGACCACTGTAGTTCAAGACCTCGTACACGCTGTCTGCCTGTCGAAACGCCCTGAAATATATCGTCTACCTCATTGCCTCTATGCCAGCGTCTTGAACTCGCCCTCCTTGGCCTTGCCACCTTCCACGAGTCGCTTCACTTCTTTCTTGAAGATGTTCGTGATTTCCGCCTTGTCCGTCTTCCCCTGGAGCTCGGCGGTCACTGCAGCAATCTCCTCGTTGTCGAGCTTGGTGATGAGGGCGTCGATGTCGTTCAGAGCACCGTCGATCTGCGCCGGAGCAGCATCGCCCTCGGTGAAGTAGTTGGCGTCCTTTGCTGCACCACGAATGACACGCTTGTTCTTCTTGGCCGCATTCTTTGCAGCCTCCTTGGCCTTCTTGCCCTCCTCCTTTGCTGCTTTGTCGGAAGCCTCCTTCGCAGCCTGCAGACGAGCCTCCTCGGCCTTCTTCTTCTCAGCTTCCTCTCTAGCGGCCTTCTCGGCGGCTTCCTTCTCTGCACGCTTCTTGTTCTTCTCCTTGTTGCCCTCCTGCCTGAACTTCTTGATGCGCTCATCCTGAGCTAGAGCATCATCCACCAGCTTGCGCAGACGTTGCACGTCTTCATTCTTGCGCTTCTTTCGCATGTTGTTGTTCTTTCGCTCCATATGACGCTTCTGATCACGGCTCTCGTTGTCGTCCGGCACATCCTCATCCAAGTACTCGAAAGACCGCCATGAATCGAATGCATACCAGAAGTTGTAGAACTCCTCGACCTCTTCCCTTGTGCTGTTCTCGTTGCCCAGCTTTGGCACCGGCTGCTTCTTGGAGAAGCGGGCCTCGGACTCGAAGACGGGCTTCCAGAGCTTGTAGAAGTTGCCTGGTTTCTTCTGCACATCCTTTTTGCTTGGTGGCTCCACCTCTGCGGCCTCATCGACACTGTCGTACTGTCTTCTCTTGACGGGGTCCATGAGAATGTCGGTAGCACGCTGAATGCACTTGAAGAACTGGTCGTTCTCCTCGAGACCGGCCGCAGCCCTCTTATCGGGGTGATGCTTCAACACTTTCAGACGGTGAGCACGCTTGATCTGGTCCTCGGTCGCCCTCCAGCGCCATTTGCCCAAGCCAAGGATTCGGTAGTGGTCCTGTTGTTTCCAGTCCTGTCACAGTCGTCAGCATATACCCGACAATTTTACCACCATCTCCTCTGTCCTACCTTGGCTTCTCTCTGCAAGTCCATGGGGTCCTCAGCATCATCGATGTCATCGTTCTTCTCCTCCGTAGCAGCGCTCTTCACCTGCTGCGCCTGAATCTTTTCATCCTCGCTGAAGGTACGCTTATGACGACGTCTCCGAGCGTGTGCAAGGTAATGTGCGCCTACAAGATGTCAGCACCTGAATGTCCCAACTTGACCTGCCCACTAGACATACCGACTGGTTCCAGCGGGCGAGCATTTGCCTGGTCGAGCTTCCCAACAGCCTTGAAGCCATTCTCAGCAGAGAAATCCGCAGGCAGACTCGGCAGAGCGATGTCGAGTTGGATCGCGGCACTCATCTTGAACAGAAATGTTGATGTTGTGCTTGGTAAAGAAAGTCGCAATCGAGTTCCAAAAATTGTTCGAAGCCGCAACGGCCCAGGGATTTTTAGCCGAATTCGTTGGTCCGTGCGCTCTCGCAGCGACCCTCAGGTAAACTAGGTACCATCTCTCACAAGCATTTGCCATCGAAGACCAACAGACGATGCCACTCCGATAGCGCAGGATCCAACATGTCTTCCGCCCTCAGTCGAGCCGAACAGGCGATCAATCGGTTTGCCGTCCGGGCAACCTATCGAAATCTCCTCCGCGCAACACGCATAGCCTTCGCCGGGGATGAACACACCTTAGGAGCAGCACGATTACACGCACGAGAACAATTCCGAGCGAAGAAGCACGAGGTCTCGGGGAGTATTGAGGCTTCCCAAGCGCTCGAGCATGCGCAAGGCGTGACTCAGATTCTGAGAGAGAATCTGGTACAGGGAAAGTAGGGATTACAATCTGCCTTTGTTGGGAAGCCTTCTGATGGGAGCGCTAGGAGCTGATGATGTGTGTAGAAATGTTGGAGGCGATCAATACAAGTTGAATATCCATGAGCACACGCAGAGGCTGGACAATGATACGGCGGGACAGTTGAAGGGAACGAAGAAGAGCTTCAAGGAGATCAAGGATTCGGTGTTTTGAATTGAAAAGAAGGGAGTCTCGTCAGATTTGAAAGCCTCGACAATGGAGAAGCTCGCGAGAGGGCTTTTCCTTAGTGAGGCGAGGTCTAGCGCGAGAGAAGCGTAAGCGACCCGTGCAAACGAACGTCGGCATGGATGAGTCCATGTCTCGTTGGCTGTAGATGCAGAAAGCGAGCTGCACATATCGAACGACATCGAAATCCTGAACGGGGAACGACAAGGATAAACCGACAAAAAGACCTCAACATTGTCGGGGCTTGTACATTATCCTCCCGAGCCATAATATACAGATTAACGCCATGCTAATGAAGACTCGTCCACAGACGTAGTCGGTTAGTAGGGAAAGAACAACTACCCTCGGCTTCCTATTTCGATGCCGGCTTCCGGCCCACCATCAAGTACATTGGGGTGAACAACTTCTCCCTGCCACCGGCCACCAGGCAGTCACCCGCCTCCGCAAGGGAGTCCGCCGTCTTCTGTGTACCGACGGGCGCCAGGCGAAGTGTCTCGAGGGCGCCAATGAATCTGTGCGCCAACCCTCGTCCAATGTGCGTCATGCGTGCCAGCGTTGGAAAGTCCCAGATGGTCTGCATGTACTTCAGCTCGCCAGAGAGAGGATAGTACCACGGAAGGTCATCGGGTCTGTCCGCGAGATCCTCGTTCAACTCGAGCTGGAAGCCAGCTGCCTCCATGGCCTTCAATGCGACATCGATTTTCTCCATGTTCGCAATACCATCTCCTTGCTCAATTCCAAGCCGGATCTTGCGGTGGTGAGGGTTGTCGTTGTCATACTGGTCGGTCATCAGCCACTCGTACACACCAAAGACACCCCCAGGCTTGAGAACTCGGAAGATCTCAGAGTAGATGCCCTCCAAGCTTGGGGCGTGCACGGTAGCCTCGATAGCATAGACCGCGTCGAAGCTGTTGTCCGGGAAGCTCATCTGCATGAAGTCGCCCTTGACGAAGCTCACTTGGTCCGACAGCTTCTCCTGTTGAGCGTAGTGTGTGGCCCGCTCGATCTGGTAGTCGTTGTTGTTCAATCCCACCACGTTCACACCAGCAAACTTGGCAATCTCTCTTGCTGGGCCTCCAACACCGCAGCCCACATCGAGCACCCTCGATCCCTCCTGCAGATTCATCTTCAATGCCAAGTAATGCTCATGTCTCGCAATCGCTTGTCTGAAGGACTCGCCCTTGCTGAATCGACAGAAGTGGAAGCTCTGCGACCATCCTTGCTCGTAGAGATCCGTGGCGAGGTTGTAGTAGTGTCGTGTCAAGGTGGCGTATTCGTCTCGACGAGCTTTGCGAATCTCGTCGGTCTCGTCCGCGCTAGCCTTGTTGTCCCAATGCTTGAAGTACTCGTCGACGGCGAGCTTGTGGGCGTCCTTGTTCTTGCCCATCATAGCCCAGATAGTGTTCTTCTCAGCGGCAGTCTTGCCGTGCATGGCAGACTTGAAGGCCGCATCACGCTCCTTGTCCTCCCTCTCGAGATCATATGCACCCATTGTTGCGGAGTCGTTGTAGGTGTGTATTGCGGGTGCCAATGCCAATGGAGAGCAATTCGAATGTGTTCGATCGGTCGGGTTGCAGAGGGAAGCTCGTTGACCTTTGTATTCTATGTAAGTGGCCGCCGTCGTACGATTGGACCTGGAGTTACGGGCGCCTCCCAACAAAAATTGTCGTACGTTTGCCCAAGCATTTGGCGCTAAAGCAGGCACGGTCAAGGGTCCTTCCATTAAAGTTTGGCGGTTCGCTTCGCGGATCTCATCTCCGCATCACGTGCAAAGATTTGGTCATCGCTTGCTTGGCGGCGAAGTGAATCTTTGGATTCGTGAGCAACAACTTCATCTTCACCCTTTCTCCACACCCTCTCACGAGAAAAGCCTCTTCCAACATCTTCCAACGATGCCTCCGCAAATCAAACAAGATCTCAACCGTGCAGGATGGGAGACGACCGACTTGCCCTCCGTCTGCGAGCGATGTCTCAGCGACAACCCATACGTGCAGATGATCAAAGAAGACTATGGCGCAGAATGCAAGCTCTGCAGCAGACCCTTCACCGTCTTCCGCTGGAAAGGAGACCGAACCGCACGGCAAAAGCGCACGGGGATATGTCTGACATGCGCGCGTTTGAAGAACTGCTGTCAGTGCTGCATGCTCGATCTGAGCTTCGGTCTACCCATCACCATACGTGATGCGGCCCTGAAGATGGTCGCGCCGGGTCCACAGAGCGAGGTCAATCGGGAGTACTTTGCGCAGAACCACGAGCGGGAGATTGAAGAGGGCAGAGGGTTGGAAGGATATGAGAAGACGGATGAGAAGGCGAGAGACCTGTTGCGGAGATTGGCAAGCTCAGAACCCTACTACAAAAAGCAGCGACGGCTGGAACAGGAGGGGGAGGAAGAGGGAGGACAGAAGTTGTTGAAGGGGTCAGACGGAACACACAAGCCTGGACCAATTCGCACAGCAAAGTCAGCATATGGCTCGGCGTACGGCCCACCACCCAGCAGAGGAGGCCCGTCCGGCAGAGGAGGTCGCGGGGGAGCCCGAGGAGGCCGAGGGTTTCCGTCGGCTGCAGCGGTGCCCATCAAGCCCGAGGACATTCAGCCGCCTGCAGACCAGAACATCACATCGCTCTTCGTCACCGGCGTGGAGGACGACCTACCGGAGCACGAAATCCGAACGCATTTCCAGCAGTACGGCGCTCTGAGATCCGTGGTCTGCAGTCATCGATCACATTGTGCATTCATGAATTACATGAACCGCGCGGGCGCGGAGGCCGCTGCCGCTGCTTGCCAGGGCAAGGCCGTTGTCAAGGGCGTACCGCTGCGCGTACAGTGGGGACGTCCCAAGCCCCTCGACAACATGGACCGTGATCAGCGCATGGAGAACGCGAAAGCGGGACGCACGACCGCAGGCCCGGGCAAGGCGATTGCTGGACCGTCGGGCAGGAAAGCGATTGCGGGCCCCTCTGGACAAGCATCCGCGGACGACTTGGACAGCCTGGCAGCCGTCGCTCCTCCGCCTGGCGAAGGCGACGTTGAATATGCGGCGATGGCAGGAGAGTAGACCGTCCCATTCCTTGCGAACGGATTGTGTTATTTGGAGCGAGGCGTCTGGCGTACTGAAAGGGCACGAAGCCTCAGAGGAATATGGACCTCGGTAGTAGGAATTGCATAGATATGCTACGACTGTTATTATGTACGAGTTTTCCATTACCGCACGAAAAGTGCAAATCACAATTCCAAATCTCAAAATGTGCGTATCGTTGCAAGAACCCTCGCAATCCAATCCAATAATGCGGTCCCCAACATCCTTACGGACCCCAAGAAGAAATCTTCATCAATGCAGTCTGCAGTCCAGTTGCTTCCTGCGCGCAGTAGTATGTGTACACCAGAGGGGGAACAATTGCACACACGAAAAAAATGAAAAATAAAAAAGCCGCAAATCAAAAGCACGCCCGCCCGCCCGCCCGCCAGCCCGCCCGAGGAAACCGCCAAAAAAAACCCATCGACAACAATAACGTTCATCCAAACCAAACGCCCTCCATACCACCAGCCTCTTTCTCACTCTTCACCTTCTTCGGCGGCGTGGGACTCGGCGCATGCTGCTTCATGACATCGGAGAAACTGCGGAATTCCCGGGACGCGCTGCTCGAGGGCGAGCTACTCGCGCTCTTGGGCTGATCGAAGACGACGTCGGGCAATTTTTTCAAATTTGGGATTTTGTCCTGGAGGCTGTCCTCGTCGTGGATGGTGAGGCGTCGCAGGCGGGGCAGGCGTTCGGGGATGAGGCCGAGGAAGGAGAAGTACATGCTCCGGAGGAGTTGGGAGTTGTTTCGTTCGGGGGGGATGATGGCGAGGTGGACGAGGTTGGGGAGGGACTGGAGGGCTTTGTCGAGGGTTTCGAGTTCTTGCTGGTAGAGATTCCAGGCCGTCGGCCGAGCGGTAGTTCGATTTGTGGGGGAGGATTCGAAGAGGGGGGAGAAATCGACGTCCGTGAGACGGAGCGTCAACGTTCTGACGCGATTGAGATCCGTCTGGGAGCTGCGGGTGATCCACGCCATGAGTCTGGTCTGAGAAGGGAAGTTGATTGGGCGCTGGTAGAGGATCGGCGAGGCTTCCATGTAGGCTTGGCGGTTGGTGTAGATGATGTTCAGATCGTTGCAATCATCGAAGAGAGCCGTGGTGTAGATTGCCGTTCGCAACTCTGCTGGGAGGGCGAGGAAATGCGATTGCAGGTGATCTGCTGGGATACCGTTGGAAGCTAGATCGATGTTTAGGGCTTCGAGGGCTTCTCTGAAGGCGGGCTGACTGTCGAGGGACAATCTATCTGCGGCAGATTGACTTCGTGTTGACCCGGAAAGGCTCGTTGGCATGGTAGGACCCGCGGTTCTTTGCACGCTCGAGCGCCAGGAAGACGAGTACGCTGAAGAAGTGTTGCAATGCCCAACCTTCTGGATGATCCGTGCTATTGGCTGATGTTCCGTGTTGGAATTGCAGTGGTGCTGCACAGTCGACTCGGAAGACCAGGCATCCCTACTCATATACCCATCCTGATCCCCCATCTCCACGTCGACGCTACGATACCACATTGATTGCCCGAACCTGGCGTTCTGTCGATCTTGGTGCCCACGGGTCCTCAGGCGTTCCCGGTAGCGATGTATCTTTTCCTTCGGTTGGATCCGGTGCTGTCCTGAAAGAGATGTTACAATGTTCGCTTCGAGCGTCTAGCGATACAGGCCCAAGACAAGACCGTCACGGGTCTGATTAGGTCGAATGTGATGATGAAAGGGAAGATTGGCGTTCAGCCCTGGCATCCGAGGAGATAATAAGAAAAGCACTGGCCAGATTTGGCTTCATGTTGCGGCACCAAAAAGCCCATGAGTGAGGTAGCGAATTAGACCGTGAGAGGCCCGAGCAACAGCGAACGCCTCGGTGGTTGCTGCGAGGCGGCCACATGGTACCTTGGAGCGTGTGCCGGGCGCGGCGGCGAGTCTTGTTGTTGGCGTCACATACCAACCAGGCGTATTACCACGCGCAGTAGCAGGCGTATTACCACGAAGAGGGTGACGTTGTGTGCAGCTGCGGCCGAGTGAATCCGACAAAGTCAAAAAGGGTGCGAGCGATATTGCAATTCGCGCGCGCACGCACACCCCAGAGGATGGAGGAGGAGCTACGCCGTCTCGCTTCTGCCGGCTGTGGAAGAGCCGCTCCCTGTCGGCTGGAAGAGCGATGCGATGCGATGCGGTGTGATGATGATGATGATGATGATGGTGATGATGATGATGGTGATGATGATGATGATGATGATGATGATGAGAGGAGATACGGTCAGATACGGCCCTGACCCAAGGACGCAGTGTGTGTGCAGCCACCGAGACCGAAGCACGGGACGGTGTCATCAGGTAATAATAATAACAATAAGGTACTGTACCTTGCTTGCTAGGAACAATAATTATTGCAGGGAGACAGGCACTGCAAGCTCGGACGATTCACCGCCACCGCGTCTTGACGTGCGCATCCTGTCGGCCGGGTCGGTGTTGCGCAGGGCATAATATAGACACTACGCGTCCATTCGTGGAAGCAAGCGGTATGTCTGGATGGATGGATGTATGGATGGATGGATGGATGGAAGTATGTTGATGAGTGGGAGAAGATGGAGCTGCTCGCTTCGATTCAATTCGGTCGCCCGGGATGACGGTCGCCGGGACGGGACGGATGGACGGCGCTAGAACTTAGAAGGCACTGTACCGCTACGAGCCCGAGCAACTCCGTACCCCGTACCGGCCATCTGGGGAGAGAGTTGGGACCATACCGAGATCCATGATCCATCAGAATAATTGCTGGGAGCGTTACTGCCATTCGCCGGCCCGCAATACTAATAATGAATAATGTCGACATGGGAAAAGGTGAGGTCGGCACTAGAATGCCTGCCGCACACAGCCCACAGCCTCTTCCTGCCGCCGATCCTCGTAGGGCCTCTGCATGGGCGCCACGCAGTGCGACCCTCCTCCGTCCGAGCACAGCATAATCATGAAAGGTATGATGGGCAGAGACGCCAGTTTCTTGACACGGGGATAAGTCTGCCGACCGTCGCAGCGAACAGGAGACTGTTGACAAGCGACACATGGCAGTCTGCATGTACGCCATTGCGCCTGGGTACATGTAGCCAATACCACGGCGACGTCGTCATCGAGGTGGCCAAATACCTTACTGTGCTGTGCTGCGCTTGTCAGAGCGCCGAACAATGCGTGTCACCCTGGCGGTATTGGCCAAATGCTTCCATGGCAGGACCAGGATTAGATGGACGGTGACACCCTGTGGCCTCAAGCAGGTCTCCCCGTGCACGTTTCACCACAGCCGCAGGAACTTGTCAACGATCAGCGTGTCGGTGGCTTGGCTTCTGGTCTCTCTTGGGAGCCCCTTCCACCCGCCGCCGTGTCGGGCGTTCGTGGACGGCGTCCAGAGAAGCGAAGCGAAGCAGGCCTCCTCGTCCTTCTCTCTCTCTCTCTCGTTCTTCTCTCCGACCGTCGCACAGCAGCTCGATCACGCGATGCGAGTCGCGATTTCTTACACGCCCACGTTGAAGCTCGTGGCAGCCACGCCACTCACGCCGATCGTAAAGGGCTTCATCCAAGCGAACAACGGACGTAGGTGGCAGTTTGGAAATGGTCCCTCTACTATTGAATCAGCTCAGACGCACACAACACCAGCTCCCCATTCCGAACCGCGCTATGCCCGCGCAGGCTCTTTCGCTCCTAGGTACACACAAGGCACGCCGTGGGATCAAATAAATGAGAAAGAAAGCTGTGATAAAAGTACAGCTCAATAACCTGTCGTCGCACCCTCTGTAAATCTCGGGCCACGTGTGTCCACGTGCTCTTCACGCGACCGGGCTGCATGAGTCCATGTGGCTTCGACTGTCTATCCCGAAGCGCCCCTGACATCGCCTCCTATACTCGGAGAAGCTTGGCGGCGTAGTCGGCGATCAGGGTCTCCGTTGGGAAGCTCATCTCCTCCAGTTTTTGCGCGTAGGGAGTTGGGACCTCAGCACCAGTGACGCGGACTGGAGGCGCATCCAGGTAGTCGAAGGCGTACTCAGCAGTAAGTGCAATCAGCTCCGCGCCAACGCCAAAGCTGGGGAAGCCTGACTCCACCGCCATCATATGTCTCGTCTTCTTCACGGACTTGACAATGGCCTCGACGTCAAGTGGCTTGATGCTGCGGAGGTTGATGACCTCGGCCTCCACGCCATACTTGCTCTTGAGCTGTTCCGCCGCAACCAGAGACTGCCCGACGCATCGCGATAGGGTGACAATGGTAAGGTCCTTTCCAGGGCGCTCAATCTTCGCCTTGCCGAACTGGATTCGAGTTAGCTTCGGTTTAGTCCACATGTAGAAGGCATCATGGCTTACCGGAAGTACGAACTCGTCGCTCTGAACTTCCTCGCTGACTTGGAAAGGAAGACCGTAAAGCAGCTCGTTCTCGAGTACGCAGACTGGGTTGGGATCCCGGATAGCGGCCTTCAGCAGACCCTTGGCATCCTCTGCTGAGTACGGGGCCACAACCTTCAAGCCGGGAATGGAGCCGTACCAGGCAGCGTAGTCCTGAGAGTGCTGCGCGCCCACACCAGCAGCAAAGCCGTTCGGGCCTCGGAATGTGATGTTGCATGGCTGAATGCCACCAGACATGTAGTGGGTCTTTGCGGCGGAGTTGATGATTTGGTCAATGGCTTGCATGGCGAAGTTGAAGGTCATGAACTCGCAAACCGGTACGAGACCAGCTAGCGCAGCGCCGACAGTGAGACCGCAGAAACCTGATTCAGTGATCGGGCTGTCGATGACCCTCTTGTCGCCGAAGCGGTCCAACAGGCCTTTGGTGACCTTGTATCTGCAAGATTCGCACGTGGTCAGCCTGCGCCCGTACGGCCGACCCTTCTGCAATTGCCTGCTCGGGACTTGATACGATGCTTTGCCAATCCCATTCTACAATTTTCCGCACATGATCGACAAGCTCTTTGCGCAGCACACTATCGGGGGAACTCACGCGCCATTGTATTGGGCGACCTCCTCACCCAGGACGAAGACCTTTGGGTTCTTCTCCATCTCCTCTGCCATGGCTTCATTGAGCGCCTCTCGCACTGTCATCTCCTTGGTACCGGTCGCGTACCCTCGCCATTTCGATGCTGCGGCCGGAGCTGCGATTCTCTGAAAGCTGGATCTCGGGATGGCTGTGGAAGTCGAGCGGAGGAGCTGCGCCGCTGGTCGGAGGAGGCGTGTGCCCACCATTGTGTCGATATCGCAGAGAAGAGGTAGATGGACGGCGAAGAAGACAGTCGACGAGGAGAAGGAGGAGGAGGTGTTGTGGTTGAGAAGAGACTGGGTGTGCTGGGATTCAATCCCGAACCGGAGTGTACTTTTCTTAGGGCCGATTCGGACCAAGCTCGTGGCCCAAGCTTTCGGAACGCCCCGTTCGCCGGTGGGAGCGTGAAGTCCGAACCTTCGACCATAATAATAAGGTGTTGTGGCCTAGTCCACAATAAGGGACGTGGGACCCTTTTGCAGAAGATCCATTATTAGTGTGATCGTACGTGTAGGTTTATATGGAAGCGCTCCCGGCCGAGCTCCGCAACCGCACCTATATGAGTGCCTCTTCTCGGATCCCTCACCACGAGCATCGATGCCAAAATGCGAGAAGTGATCATGATATCCTCACGATTACTCGTCGGGAGAGCCTTCCATTTCACTGGTCATGTACACCTTTCCATATCAATCATCTGGGCCAGCCATCGAGCTTTGTCATCCTATGACGAGCACTTCTATCTCTGGCTTCAAGATTCCGTCAAGGCCAGCGTCAACAAATTTGAAGGCGTCGGCGATCTGGCACAACTCACTTCGCCGTGAAAGTGCCACATGCCATCCCATCACGGTCCCTAAAATGAAAAAGATTTTGACAAAGCTCTCATAAACATGAGGTGGATATTGGCTTCTCGGTCATCAAAGATGCTGTTACCGTTGAGGTCTATCACAGCGGAGACCAAAACTTACAAATCCTACGGATCGTCCGGGAAGCCATCTCTAAGGTCTCGCGTAGAACGCGAACCGGTGGTCAGTGAAGAAGTGCTGTGGGATATTTACGAAGCCTGCTACTTCACCACAAGAGCCGATGGAGTCCAGCCGGACGTGGGCAGAATTCCCTCGCGCTTATGAATTGACTCAGTCGAAGAAGGACAGGCTGAGATGGTCTGAGGAGGAGCTTGTTCATGGACCGACCCGTGAGGCGCATGACGGTATTTCTGGGGTGCCGTTGAGACTCGATAAAGAGCCTTACGGTTGGACACCATTGGGTCTCCTGTGGAACCTTCTTGCATGCAGGTGACACGAAAGTGTCTCCGTTGCCTATAGTTGCCTTGCGACTTGCATCACCAACTCATCATCAGCACACATCAGGGTACAATGTCTGGACGCTGCCTACAACGCTCTTGCCGACGGTGAAGCATAAAGTTGAGCAAAATCCTTAGACCGCAGCAATACACAGCCAAACTTGCCAGTCGAACTACCAGACCGACCATGGGTACACGTCATCTCATCTGCATCTACTACAACGGTCGTTTCGTTGTCGCACAGGTATTCATCGGCCTTGTCTCTCCAAAGTCAATGCTCGGAGGTACTGAATACTGCAACAGTACGGCCAATGGGACGGCAACCCAGAAGTTCAGGGCGTCAAAGTGCTCAAATTCCTAAGGGAGCCTGGCAACCTCGAACGGTTGAAGAAGGGGATCGAGCACATTGAGGAGGTGAAGAGCGATGAGGAAATCCGGTACGACTGTTGTGAATTCTACTCACGCTTTACTCTATGTTGTGTCTAACAGAACTACAGAGCCTTTGGCTCCCACGAAGCATTATCCCGAGATACCAGCGCCAAGGTGCTCGAGATCATTGCAGAGGTGACGCGAGAAATGAGAAATCCGTTGTCGCGGTTCGTCTGATTTGTATGGGCAGGCTACTCCGGAGACCAAGGTTCTGATTTTCAAGGACCTGGAATTCGTCAACAACAGTACGTGCCTACACATTTCCTCTCGAACTCGCTCGACGCTAATTTAATCTGTAGCTGTCCTTTGCGAATGGGCTTATGTGGTAGATCTAGACCAGGAAGTTTTCGAGGTGTTTGAAGGCTACGAAGGCAGCAGATCAAAAGGCGAAAGAGCCCAGAGCAACCGGTTTCAAGACGTTGGTCCTCTCGAGGCAGAGGTACCAATACTGGTGAGTAGCTTTTCATTCGACAGCCTCGCAGATCTTCCAAGCGACGGCGACTTCGTGGAAAAAGTGGATTTGAGACGGAAAGTGCTTGGTCTCAAGTACGATTCAGACGAATGCGAGTAATGTAGCGAGTGCAGGTGATCGATGGTGGGAGCGATTCAAAGACGTAGTATTTGCATTGACGAGCTGATCTGGTATCATGCACCTGACATTCAGTCATTCCTGTTCCCTGCTCGTTTTCCTTTCCCGTATCAACGCCATCCGTGCAAAGAATCGCTTCCCGGAAGAAGTCAAAGCGGCTTTTCCAGCGCTCTATTTCTTCGCAGCAGCAGCCTCGTCCTCCTTGGCCTTCGCACGCTTCTCGCGCTTGCCGAAGTTGCGGGCTTCCGAGCGAGCGTCGCGCAGCTTGCGGTAAGCATTCTCGGTGGGTGGGTAGTCGGAAACCTTGCCCTCCTCAATGGTGATCTTGTTGGAGATTGGGAAGGCCTTGTTGCTGAGCTTGACCTTGGCGTCGTAAGGATCTTCGCCAGCTTGGCGGGCGGCGTTGACCTCCTCGGCAGTAGAGTCGCCGTTCTTTGGCGACTTGATCTTGCGTGGGAAGAGGACGAGGCGCTGTCTGTAGGCCTTCAGGCGCTCGACGTTGGCCTTGAGCGACTCCTCGGACAGGTTCTGACGGCGTGGATCGACCGAGATTCCGATGGTGGGCGCAAGCTTGCGTGGGATGCCAGCTTCCTATAACACCTTTTATCAGACAGGTCGCAGAGCAATGTCTTGTTCGCATAATTCGTACCTTTAGCTCAGCAAGGGAGAACCCACGGCCAGCACGCACACGGCGGTTGTACTTGATGGTCGGGCAGCGGACAACTGGGCGGAGCTTGTCGACCGGGCGAGGCGCGAGCTTGGCGGCCTTCTCGTGACGGGCATTGCGTCTGCGCTGCTTGCGGCCGGGCTAAAGCAGGTGGGTCAGAGTCGTTGCGATTGCACTGCAGGCGCCACTGCTCTCAGTGTGGTGAGAGGGGAATTACCTGGTCGAAGTGCACGCGGACGCGGCGCTGCCAATCCTTGCGGAAGTCTGCGAAGGACTGTTAGTATGTTGTTCATTTCTATATGGTTGCTTCCAGCGGTCGCCAAACCGCCTGCGACGGCTCCGCAGAGCATCGAAAATGGGGAGAAAGATCAAAAGAGACTCACGGTTGTGCTGGATCTGCTGGTTGTGCTTGATCGTCATTTTGTCGTTGTTCCAGCGGCGATGTCGACGTCCTGTCGAGTTGTCGAGAGGAAGAATTCTGTTTGACGTCGGAAAGTCACTGGTGTGCCAATGCCAAGCCGGGTGTCTGCGTGCCGGAGCGCTAGTCCTGATACGCTTAGTCTCCGTGCAGCGCGTCGATGTCAGCAGTCGAACGCGTCCCCGCGTCGTTTCTCACTCTTGCATGTTGGCCGCTCTTTCACATCACCACATTGGGCTTTTGCTGCTGAACATTGCTACTGTTTCCTGCACTCTCTGGATATGTCCGCTCAATAGTTTGACAACGGAATTTCTCAACCTCTGTCCTCCCACCAACAATGCCGCCCTCCAGGGCCGATCGTCTCGCGCAGCTTCGCGCTCTGCGTGCGGCGGGCAAGACTGGGTTTGACGACTACCAGGTCCAGGAAGCCGAGTCAATTTACGAGACTGTTGACGATGAAGGATACAAGAAAGTTGTAAGGAGCCGTCTGGACCAGGACGACTTCGTCGTCGACGACAATGGCGAAGGCTATGCCGATGATGGACGCGAAGACTGGCAGGACGAGCGACAGCCCATGTACGACAGTGAGAGCGAAGAGGACCTGCCCAAGAACAGCAAAGCAGGTGAGTGTGTCGGAGTGGACTAGTGTAGGATATGAAGTTGACGCGTGGAACAGCTAAGCGGAAACGCGAGGACGATGCCGGCCGACAAGAGAAGCTCAATAAAGGAATCAGTAAATACTTCAGCCAGAAAGCGACAACAATCGCACCGAAGCCGAAGCCTGTCCGTAATGCTGATGATGATGCCTTTATGGCTGGGCTGCTGGGCGAAGTCGACACGAACATCCAGACGCGTGCGCCTTCGCACGGAAAGGCTATCAAGAGCAACGATCGTCGCAAGACAAGAGTTCTGTCTCCACCGCTGGAAGACCGTGAAAAAGTGGCTCGCCGCGCGAAACAACCCGCTCTTGGAGAGCAAGTGCCCACACCTCCTCTTCCATCAGCTCAGGATGACGATGATGCATACTTCGCGCCCCAAGACGATGACATGCCAATGAGTGATCCTCCATTGCCGTCGTCACCAGCAGCGAAAGCAGTGGAACGCAGAGAACAAGCGATCAAGGCGGAGGAAGCTGAAGAGGACGACTTGATGGAGATAGCCGAAGTGACTGGCTCTTCCAACATCAAGACGACCAATGTCAATATTAGGGGAAGCCGTCCCGCTCCAAAGATGATGAACCCAGCATATCCGACACCAGATAGTTCTTCGCCTACGAGAGCGCCAACGGACGGCGTCGATATGACCGCGATCAACGGTATCGCAGACAGGCTGAACATCCTGAGCAGTCCCGCAGCCGCAGAACCTGCGATGGCCGGGAAGCTCTCAGCAAACGATGCGGTCGAGGAGGACGGATCACTTCGTTTCTTCTGGACGGACTATACCGAGGTCAATGGGAGTTTGTGCCTCTTTGGAAAGGTCAAGAATCGTCGCGACAACAGCTTCGTCTCTTGCTTCGTCAAAGTCGACAACATCTTGCGGAAATTGTACTTTCTTCCTCGCGAGTACCGACAACGCCATGGACGTGACTCAGACGAGGAAGTCGACTTCTCTGATGTCTACAAGGAGGTTGATGCCCTCATGACCAAGCTCAAGGTGAACATGCACAAGATGAAAGCTTCTTTCAGAAAATATACGTTTGAGTTGCCCGGCATTCCCAAAGAAGCGGAGTACCTGAAGCTGCTCTACCCTTACGATAAACCCATGCTCTCAAATGACGTAAAGGGCGAGACCTTTTCGCACGTGTTTGGCACCAACACGGCGCTTTTTGAGCAGTTTGTCATGTGGAAGAATATCATGGGACCATGCTGGCTGAAGATCAAGGGCGCCGACTTCAACGCGGTCAAAAACGCTTCTTGGTGTAAGCTCGAACTCCAGGTCAACAAGCCCAACGATATCACTACCCTGGGCGACTCCGACAACTTGGAAGCACCCCCGCTGACACTGATGTCTCTCGCTTTGCGCACGACCTTCAACCAAAAGGAAAACAAGAACGAAATCTTGGTCGCAAGCGTCCGTTTCTACGAAAACGTCTCTTTGACAGACACCACTCCCCCGGAAAAGCTACCGAGTCGCGTATACACCATCATGCGTCCACACGGCGACTACCCTGTGGGTTTCAAGGCCGAAATCGAAAAGCAAGGCTTGTCTATCAAGACCGAGAGAAACGAGGGAGCTGTGCTTGCTAAGTTGCTTGCCATTATTGGAATCCATGATCCCGATGCCATCATGGGCCACAAACTGGACGACGTCGACTTTGGCATACTTCTGAGCCGCATGCGTGACCGAAAGACACCCGGCTGGCATCGAATCGGCAGACTGAAGCGCGGAGACTGGCCCAAAAATGTCGGTAAAGGAGGTGGCGCATTTTTTGTTGAGCGTCACCTTGCTGCGGGACGTCTGCTTTGCGACTTGGCCAACGACATGGGCAAGAGTACCATGACTGCCTGTCAGTCCTGGAGCCTGGACGAAATGATCAGTCTTTACCTGGACAACAAGTGCCCACGGAAAGAGATCGACAACGACAAAGCATTGGCTCTGGCAACAACCAGAGAAGGCCTCCTGAACTATGTTAAGATGTGTGAGGTTGACACTTACTTCATCGCTGCGCTTGCTTTGAAGCAACAGCTTCTACCCTTGACCAAGGTCCTGACCAATTTAGCCGGAAACTCCTGGGCAAGGACACTAAGCGGAACTCGCTCTGAGCGAAACGAGTACATTTTACTACATGAGTTCTATCGCAACAAGTACATCTGTCCAGACAAAGTATGGGGCAAAGGCGCCTCAAACAAGAAGCTCGAAGAGGACAATCCTGAAGGCGATGAGGGCGCTGACGCCAAGAAGAAGGACAAGTACAAGGGAGGTCTTGTGTTTGAGCCAGAAAAGGGTCTCTACGACAAGTTCATCTTGGTGATGGACTTCAACTCGCTGTACCCGTCTATCATCCAGGAATACAACATCTGCTTCACCACTGTAGATCGCAGCGAAATCACCGACGAGGACGAAAAGGTGCCGGAAGTGCCAGAAGATACCTCCAACAAGGGCATTCTCCCGAGGCTCATTCGCACCTTGGTCAGCCGGAGACGGGAGGTCAAGAAGTTGATGAAAGACAGATCGGCGACCGAGGACCAGCGGAAAACCTGGGACGTCAAGCAACAAGCCTTGAAGCTCACGGCCAATTCCATGTATGGATGCTTGGGTTACACCAAATCTCGATTCTACGCTCGACCGCTTGCGGCGCTCACTACCTCCAAGGGACGAGAGATTCTACAGTCAACCAAGGACTTGGCCGAGTCTGCGCATGCTCTCCGAGTCATTTATGGTGACACTGACTCTGTCATGGTCAATACCAATGTCGACAATATTCAAGATGCATTAAAGATGGGCAAAGAGTTCCAGAAGAGCGTCAACGAGAGATACGAGTTGCTCGAGATTGAGATTGATCACATCTTCCGCCGGTTGCTTCTGCATGCCAAGAAGAAGTACGCTGCAATTCAAATGGTTCAGGCGGATGACACCGTCTGGAGAGAAAAGCTCGATGTCAAAGGTCTCGACATGAGGCGAAGGGAATACTGTCAGCTATCCAAGGACACCTCGAAGTAAGCGTCCCTGTTTCTCGGTAAAAGACCTCTTGCTAATCTTGATCTTAGGCAACTGCTTGACTATCTGCTTTCCGGCGAGGATCCCGAAAAAGTGGTGTCTCAGATTCACGACCACCTCCGCGCTCTAGGCGAGAAGATGCGAAACAATGAGATCCCAAAACACAAGTACACCATCTACACCCAGCTTGGCAAGAACCCAAAAGAGTATCCAAACGGCAAAACGATGCCTGCCGTGCAGGTAGCTTTGAAACGCCTGGCGAAGGGAAAGCCAGTCAAAGCTAAGGATGTCATGGCCTTCGTGATCTGTGGCAACAGCTCTGGCTCGACAGAGAATGCGGCCAAGAACGCACATGAACTGGACGAGGTCCTAGCGAAAGAAAGCGAGCTCACCCCTGACGTCGACTATTACCTCCACAAGCAAATCCTGCCCCCGGTCGAGCGTCTATGCGCTCCAATCAGCGGCACCAACATCACTCTCCTGGCCGAATGCCTTGGATTGGACACCAGCAAGTACCGTGTCAGCGGTGCAACGAAGTCCACGGAGCAAAGCAACGAGATCACGACTTTGGAGAGCCAGGTCCCTGACCACATTCGCTTCAAAGATTGCGAGCCTCTAGGACTCCTCTGCCTGGGCTGCAAACAGCACTTTGAGTATCGGGGCATGAATTATACTCCATCTTCGGATGAGGTCCCCTTAACACCCCTCGGTGTTCTCACCAATGATGGTCTGGCCTGTCCACGAGCCGAATGCAAAAAGCGAATAACAACGCTGGCGTTGTCCGCACAGCTGGAGTCTCAAATTCGACGGCACACGGCTCGGTACTACTCTGGCTGGCTCGTGTGTGACGATCCAGCGTGCGGTCTGCGAACACGGCAGATGAGCGTCTACGGTCATCGATGCCTAGGACCTAGGGGTCTGGCGCATGGCTGCTCGGGACGCATGGCGTTCGAATACAGCGAGAAGGCGCTCTACAACCAGCTGCTGTATCTCCAAAATGTTTTCGATGTTGATAAGAGCTTGAGCAAGATGGGCGCAGGCGGGACCGTGAAGCCGGAGAACGAGCAGAATGAGAAGGCCAAGGTACTTGCTGGCATGAATCGTGATCGATTTGCAGTGTGTTGGGACGTAGTGAAGGCATATCTGGACAAGAGCGGATGGGGCTGGGTAAGCATGGATTCGCTTTTCGCGTTTGCGATGAAGAACATTGCATAGAGCGACATTGACGGCGTTGGATATGATGACGGAGGGAATGGGTAGCGACTACGGACGATTTACTAAACGCATCACATCAAATATATTTCAAGCCTCAGATCTCGGTTATGCACGGGAGGCGCCGATCGCTCCCATTCACTGTGCTCAAGAGCCGCTGCACCGTACCGCATCAAGGGATTTAGCGCCGGCAGTGTGCGTTGACGCGTTGTGGATACACCATGGGATGCACGTGTCTCCCACTTCGATAACATCTGCTCTTTTCTTTTCCCACCCGCATTACCTTTGGCTGGTGCCCATTGTACTCATCGAAATCTGGAGATCGAGTTCGAATCTGTATCGACAAGGCACGCGCAGCTGGCAGCATTTCCTTGCCATCGTTCCAATCTCAAGGAGTTGTAAGAGGAGGATACCTTGGATTCTTGCGAACGAATGTTCAGTTTGACCCTTCTGAGAACACCCGATGGACATTCTCAGTACACTACAAACGACCGTCGTGCTCGTGGATGAAGATGCTTCATTCTTGGTCATGATCCCGACTCCCAACTGAGGCAGCGGGCAGCGGCGCAAGCAGGTTTATGGGCACCGCTCAGCATCAGACAGGTTCTTTGCTACAGCAACGGTCTGGAGGTCTCAGCATGCAGCTCAGCCGTGAAACTCCCTCTGGACCGCGACTTGCAACATCACCTTCTTACCCTCCACGGAGACCTGCGAAGACTCTCAGCTTCCCTCCAGCTGGCACTGTTCGGACAACGAGAAACTTCGTACTCATGTTGGTATTACTGGCTTTGCTCCTCAACACCCTGGCTACAGGACCGCAGCTCAGGGGCATTACTTTTGTTTCGTTCTTCTCATTTACCGGCCGGCAAGGGTCTGTGCCCACGATACAGGAAGGGCCAGCCACCATCGACACGAATGGTGTCTACATACGAGCAGCACGTTTGAACGATGGCAGTCTCATCGCAGGGTACACGCAAACAACCCCAACCCACAAAATCCTCTTGACATCTCGATCCGTCGACAACGGCCAAACGTGGACTCCCCACGGCGAAGTCTTCAGAGCAGACAGGACGACACATGACTGCGATAATGCTTTCCCCATGCAACTTGCCAATGGACGAATACTCTTCGCTTGGCGCAACCACCAAAAGAACGAGAATGGAAGGTATACCTACTTCCGCATCTCCGTCTGTTTTTCCGACGACAATGGCGTGACCTTCAAGTATCTCTCCGCCGTGGACGAGCGCCATATGCAGGGAATCAATGGTCTCTGGGAGCCCTACCTGCGCATCGATAGGAGCGGAAACGTGCAATGCTACTACTCGGCGGAGAATGGCCCTCCTGATCAGGACGGTATCATGCGTATCTCGCAGGATGGCGGTCAAACTTGGGGTGATCGCATTCTGGTCTCTGGACATGGCGTTGCTTCTCGAGACGGCATGATAGGCTGCGCACCCACCGATGACGGGTCAAATCTGATGTGAGTGCTCAAGTCATACACTCATCATGTTGCAGCGAGCATCCCTGTCTAGCATGCCGAGCTAAGAATTTTCCTAGCTGCGTCTTCGAGAGCACGGAAGTGGGCCACTTCACCGTGTCAGCTGTCTTTTCTCACGATGATGGCCAAACCTGGGGCGAGCGTCGACAGATATACACGCCGCGGAATGGTACTGGCTGCGACGGGAAGCCTATCGTCGCTGGCGCTCCACAGATATCCAACATGCAGGGCACACTTGTGCTGAGCTTTATGACGAACGAAGATCACGATGACTGCCATGGTTATGACGGCGGAGATATGAAAGTCATCACATCGACAGACGGCGGGCATACCTGGAGTAAGAGCTACATTGTCGGGCCTGCGCCCGCTCATTGGGGTGGGATATTCCGTCTGGACCGGAGACATTTCTTGGCGTTATACTCGCGAGATGGGCACGGAGCTTTGGGTCAGAAAGTTTTGCTTTCATGATGGAGACAAAATCGAGAAGTTTGGACAGAACAGGGATGTCTTAGGATTCACTCGGCGAACAAGAACAGATCTGCAGAACGTCTTGCGTTTTGAACGACATGTCTAAGGATTTTCTCAGTGCGGGTTCGTATAAACAGGACTGGATTGGCTTAACGATTACCGCTGAATATGGAACACTATTCCTTCATTCTATCTCTCGGCGGCGGCATTTGGCATCGATGATGGCAAAGCGTCGATCATACGCCATCCTGGTGATCTTTCAAACCAGCATAGGAGGCTTCGAGCTGTGGAACTAGTCAACATTCATGTCGAGCATCCGCTTTATGATCGGGATGTACTTGTTGCAGTCGGCCAGAGGCATTCTCCCTATCCGCTGAAGTGCATCTGCCTGGATGGGTCTTCAAGGTCAGACTCTCGTGTGCCTTAGTGATCTGTGGAAGAAGGTACGCGGTGGTCATCGAAGGCGTTCTACAATAACATTCTTACACCTGGGCTCTTCGTTTCCTCAGGGCGACCAGCCTGCGCTTGATGCGTATCTCTCGCAGCTTCGCTTCCCTCGCTTCGGTCTCCGCTTGGGCTTCCTCGAGCTCCAGCTCAAGGTCAGTCTCGTCTTCGTCATCCGATTCGCCATATCGTGGAAACGGAGGATGCGAAGGTCGATAGAGATCGTCTGGTCCCGGTGCATGACTTGCGGCATCGTCAAACACACTGTTGTCTAGCTCGAACTTCTGGTCAATCTCCTCTGGACTGCCTTCGATCTTCACGACAGCAGGTTCGTCGTCGTCGTCTTGAGCTTCCTTGTCGTCATCCTCGCCGATGTCAATGACCTGCGGGTCGCCGTGATCAGATGGTGGTGCCTGGCTGGCCGATTGGCCTTCAGCAGGCTCATCGTAACCTTCCACCTCCTCCTCGTTGTCGCCATCTTCATCGACGTCCATGGCCTGCGAATCGCCGGAGTGATGGGCAGATGATGTCCCCTGGCTGGTCGATTGGCCTATAGCGAGCTTATCATCGGATCCGTTTTCCTCATCGTAATTCTCGCCGAGGACATCAACCTGCCGATTGCTGAGATCATGGGTAAGTTGTGCAGCCTGGCTAATAGATTGGCCTAGAGCATCTTGAGTGCTGGGGAGACTACTTGCATCCCAAACCTCGCGCGACATCAAGACGGCGAAAGCCCCTGTAGCAAGTCAACATGGAAGTCTTGCATCAAATTAGTTCAAAGGCCCGAGTGCGCACATTCCAATTCCATTCTTTTCTCCTCGGAAACTCTGGCTTTTAAAGGCGGAGGACACGGTATTTCGTGAACGTTTCTGAAGTGTTTGCGGAGCTCTCTGTACATCCCGTATGTCCGTCCGCAGTACGGGTCGCCATCTTGGCCGGGCATGCGGCAGCTCAACTCTCCCGGTATCGCATTGGGACGGCCCTGAAGGTCAAACTCGTAGTTTGCTGCACCGATTGGAACGCGGCCAAGCCGGACGTAGGCGGAATATACTGGCTGCAGTTGAGATCATCTCAGCAAGTACGTGGCATCACGCGCTCGACGAAGAACTCACGCTTTGAGTGAGACAATGTAGCCGAACCCGCCGGACTTTTTCTTTCGGCATCGTTGGAGAGGGTTTGTTCGTTCATATTGAAGTGGCTGGAAGGACGCGCATTCGGAGATTGCCTGTCCACCCCGCCATGACAATTTGATGCAGCTTCCACTAAAATTTGATGCAGGAGCCCAACATGCATACTGTATGCACAAAAAGGAGCGGCGAACTTGAGAGGCCCGGTGGCATCAAGTCTGAAGAGTGCATTCAGAGTGCAAAGCTGGGGAGGAGCTACACCTGACCAGTGCGTGCTCCTGCAAGTGCTGATCCCTTTCCCAATTGGAGTAGCGCCAAGCTCAGACCAGCAAGCGCGTTTTCACATGCCAACATGCGTGAGACGGCTGGATAAGACGACGCTGGATGTAAAATTGAATTAAACCTACAAAGAGTCGCTGTCGCTACTCTCAGTATCATCCCGCTATCGCGTTCACGTAGATCTCTTGGGATGACAGCATCCAGAGTATTCCCTATGCTGCGCAGCTTGCCGTACGCTGTTGAGGTGTACGTGGTATCTCTCCCGATTTTAGCCTTTTACTATTCAGCATTTCGAAACTTTGGCAAGTCTTCCGCTCCAGTCAACCGCCATGAGGAGCCTATGGTCAAGCCAGGCCGCATAGCTTTTGTCGCAATTGCCGAGATGCTACACGCCCTTCCGCTGCTGCTTCTTGATCTCCAGAGCAGCCAATTCCTGCTTCAGCTGGAGGTAATCAACTGTCAGTTCGCGTCTGCATGTGAGCTTCTTCAACGGCGAGCTCTAGATCCTCGTTGTCCTGTTCAGCAACCTCCACTAGCATGCTGATGCTGCAGGCCAGTCGGAGCCCGACCGCAGACAGATTCGGTTGCAATGTTGTCTCCGCTTTCGTCTTCAATGTCGATGTGCCGCTGCCGAGTCGTTGGAGTTGCATGCTGAGGTTGCTGGGCAGGAGCAGCAGCGGTCACAGACACCAGTCCTCTTGCAATACTGCCAGCATAGCTCTGCATCAGCTGGTTCATCTCAGCCGACTGTATCATCTTAATCCCGCTGTGGGTAGACTGCGGCATAGAATCCATCGTAATCTCCTCGGAAGACGCCTCATCGTCGCTAGGGTCGAGATCAATGACCTGCGAGTTGGCGATTGATGGAGCCTGCGTGACGTGCTCGGCGACCGAAATCGCAGCATGACGCGTGTTTTGGGTAGCACCGACTTCTGCGCCCTGCCGAGTTATCGCCATCTCGACAGTCGCTCGAGAGATGTTGTGATTCCGTTGATTGGCATTGAGCGCCCAGTCGCGCGGAGATGCACCGAAAGCATCGTACTGTGCATTGCTGTGCTTGCCCTCATACTCCTCCTCTTTCATGAGATCAATGTAGAATGCTTCAAATGCAAATTAGCATACAATAAGGATCTCATGAGATCCTTTGCTCACCGTCGGCTTCTTGTACGGTAGTTCTGTTGAACCCTTTCGCTTCGAAAGTTCGGTGTACCACTCGCACATGTCTTCCCAGGCTTTGACGGTGGGCGAATCGCCTTCCGCAGCTTCCCCCTTCGCTCTGAGGCATCCGGCAGCATACTTCACCGCGATGGACCACTGGGCAGCCCTCTGAGTTCAAGCTGAAAGAGGGAGTATTGCGCGGCAGGCGCCCCAAGGCGAGATAGCCTCGATACGCTGCCGAACGCTGCCCCAGGTTCATAGTGCCGGAGGACGGGGCCATCGCGCTCGGTGCACTGATGTTGTTGTGATGCAAACAAATCCGGCAGTAGTGCTGTGATCACTAGCGCAGCCAACCCGCTTGATGTCTTGGCGGCCCGTGCTTTCACATGTCGCTTCTGTCTGGTTTTTAAATGTTAAACACGATGCTGTGCGATTCGAGTTTCTCGAAGAAGCTAAGCCTTCCCCGATATCAAGTGCAGCGACGTACCATCATGAGCGAGTTTGATTCATCTGTCCTTCAGAGAGGTATGGACTTACATAGGAACCCTAAAACACTGCTCGCCTACTCGTCTTGCGCTTCTTAAGAGCAGCCAGTCTTCGCTTCAGCTGAATCTCCTGGAGCTGAGTCTCCAACTGACTCTGCTGGATCTGTCCCTTGATGTGAACTTCATCCAGCGCAAGCTGAAGTTCCTCCTCATCCTCCTTATCGAACTCCGGATCTCCACTGCGACGATTGACGCTGGGCTGCTGTTGCAGCTGAATGCCTGTCGATGCCTGACGGCGCTCCTGGTCTGCCTCATATTCCTCACCATCGCCGATAATGATGCATTCCGACCTTGAGGACAGCGGCGCTGCTAGTCTGCGCTTTTGCACATGAGGCGCAATCAGTGCCGGAGCCGTACTTGCTTGGCTGTTATTCTGCAGTGGCCGAGTCATCCTGTCGTCTTTCCGCTTGGCGTTGCGGCCTGTAGACTCCTGTTTGGCGTGTCCGCGACCCTCCTCTTCATCCATGTGGTCTCCGATATCGATGCTCTGCGAACCCGGTCCTAAACTTGCGGCGCTGAATCCGTTGCCGTAATCTCTGCGAATTAATCGAGCCGCCACGACAGGGTCTGCTTGAGGAGCGCGAGTCCGCCCAGCCGTCACCGGACCTATAAGGTACGCGTCGTCCTCCGAATTCTCGTGATCCTGAATGACTTCATCGTCCGCCTGTCCATCAGACGTCACAAACCCTGGCTTTGCACGAGTAGGCCGCGACCTGCGAAGTCGTCGCGGCTCGTCTTGCAGCTCGTCTTGCGGCTCATGTTTGCCCTCATAGTCTTCCTCCTTCATCAAGTCGGTGTAGAATGCTGTAATCGAAGAGTAAGTACATAATTGCCGTGCTTGCGTGTCTTCTGAGCTTACCTTGTGCCGCTTTGCGAGAACCAGTACCCCCGAAGACCCTTTTGTGGCTGCCGGGCGTCAAGGCGCCATGTACACTTTGTGCATGCTTCTTGAGATGTTCGAACCGTGAGAATCTTTTGCCGCATAGAGCGCCGTTCAAGCTCGTGCGACAGTACATCTCGCCACAGTACATTACGATGTGTCCCTGAGCGTCTGTCTGCCAAGCAGGAGCATTCTGCGGCAAGCGTCCCTTAGCGACATATGCTCTATATGCCGCAGACTCGCGACGTAGTCGATCGGAACTCGCCATCGTTGTTGCGTGTATCGAATTCTGTCCCTGTTGCTGTTGTGGCATAGGGATCTACTCAGGAAGTCGCTGTCTCGTGGACAGCGAAGCTCGTCGGTAAAAGTCTTGGCGGTCCGTGCTTTCACGTGCTCTCAATGCAGCGACAAGTAAGGCAGGCACCCTCCAGCATCCGCATATATTTTCTTCCCAACCTGAAGTGAAAGACCAGTCAAACCCGAAAGAGGGCCCTTAGCTACGATGGCGTTCTATTCCTATCAACGCAAATAGTGCTACCACCAAACCCCTGCTGGCCAAAAAGCAGTATTAACCTGCCACGGCCCTAAAGGACCACGGTCGATGACATCCAATCATAGGCCAAATGCAATCATTACCAAGAACGCCCTGCTCATGCGCTTCTAACCCGAAACCGGCCGTTCTGTGTATTCCCGCCGTGGATATCTATAATTTGTTGAAAGCCTGCAAGTGCAAGTGTCAAGTTTTCACAAAGCTCTTCCGCTGCTGGACTTGCCAATCGTCCTGAAGCTTTCGGGGCGAACACCAAGTGCGAGGGTATCAAAGCGGTCGATCTCCATCATCTGCAGATAAGGTCAGTAACTCATTACGCGGTACAGATCTGGGTGTGTGGACTCACCTCCATGTCGTTCCATCCTGTGAACCAGAACCCAACAATGACAACAAGGTAGGTAAAGATCAAGATGCTCCCTTTGAAGTAATTGCTCTTTCCCTCATTCACGACCCAGCCCATGAGCACCACACTCAGGATGACACAAGTCATGTCCCACTGAGGGAAGATCAGCGAGAAAGTGTGGTTCAGGATCTTGTCCGTTGGCAGCCAGTTCAGGTAAAAGGCACTGAACAGTACGAGACATGGGGTCTGAAGCAGAATGACCTGCAAAGCATAGGACGATCCAATCTCCATCGACAGTGCAACATTTCCGTTCATAGCGAAGCTGATGGCGTTGAGGAACTCGGTGGTGTTTGGCACGAGGGAGAAGAGCGTGATGCCCAGGAATTTTTCGGGGATGTCAACCGATGACAGCACCACATCGACAGTGTCGACAAGGATCTCCGCGATCACGGCGTATGCCACAGTAGCACTAAGTAGGATGATCGCGGACTTGGTTCGAGACCAGTTGGGCGCGTCGTGGCCTCCGTTACCAACAGCGGGCTCTTCCTGTGTCGCAGGATGGGCTGATGCTGAATCGGGCGGCAAGTCACGATCGCCCACGTGCTGTGACTGCCCGTCCTTGCTGTCCTTGATGTCCTTGAGCTGGCCCTTGATGTCCTTGTAAGACTGACTTCTCGATGCGGTTCCGGCGCTGGCAGTTGTCGCCATCGCGCTCGCCCTGCGAGGAGCTTTTGTGGCATCCCTAGCGGCGATGGTAGCGGCCGTAGCAGCCATCTCAGCGACCTGTTGTACTAGCGCCCGGTTATCTTCCGCGCTGAGGCCCATTACTCTGACGCTTGTCGCGGCAGAAGTATCGTCTCCTGCACTCTTCGGTGGAACGATGTGAGGCTGCTGACCGTCTGTTTGAGAAACTAACTCGTCCACACTCCCCTTCTTCGAACCGGCTTGAAGAATGCCTGCTTGCTTCAGACTCTGGTTGAGGATACGCTTGTACATCTGACTCGCGCGGATATCTTCTCTTGGAAGTGTCCCTTGGACAGGCTTGGAGCCTGTGGTGGTTTGAGCGCCTTCAACAGGGGCATGTTGGGCGGACAAGGGGGTGTTGGTGTGGGCATGCGCAGCTGAATGTGGCGCATGCTCTGGCTGGGTCTTTTCCCTTTCGTGCTCCATCTCGATGTTCCAGATGATTGCCGCATGCGTTCGAAGGGTAAAGAGTAGCCCGACTACATAGGACAGGAACAGACAGATAGCACAGAAGTAGACGTAGGGCCGCACGGCTTCAGTAAAGAACCTGTCGTTGAGTGCAGGACTCTGAGAGAAGAAGCATCGGCGGCAGTCCCGCTCCTCGCCTTTGTCCACGCTACGGCACTGGCGGCAGTTGAGAACGTGCGAGCCGTAGAATTGGTAGAACAGGGTAGGCCCGAACGCAGCAATGACGGCAAACAGAAGCATGGTCGAGGTCACACCAGCCGACTTGACGTTGAATCGCTGAGTTTTGCGCTTGATAGCACCGAAGCACATTGAGATTCCAGGCAAGAACAGGATGCCAGCAAAAATGGATCCGATGATGCTGCCCTCGACTAGCTGTGATTTGCCCTGATTCAGTGCAACACAATACAGGAAGACTTCGACGATTGTGCTGAAAAATGCATTGATCGTGGCGCCGACTCCCATGGTAGACTGAGCGGATATGGACGCTACCGCCTGGCCGATGAAGTACGCAAGTGGAATGATTGAGGCCAGCGCAATGACGAAGATGAATCCTGGAGAGGTGACCCACACGCGGATGCCCATTGTCTCGTATAGGACAAAGTAGTCGAAGATGGCGAAAAGGACAAGGCCAAGAAGATTGATGAGGAAGATGTTGGTACCATCGATGGTATACTTCCAGTACTTCGTTCCGACAGCACGGTATGTGCAGAGCAGAATGACGCTATCACTGCTGCCTCTAGGCTGAGATGGCGCGCGCTGATAATGGCTGTCGGTGTGGAAGCTCATCGCGAGCGGATGGCGACGGAGGTGATAGAACAAGAGCAGGGTGACTTTGCCCATGGGTATCGTAAACACCAAGAACCAGCAGATACCGCAGACGATGAACAGCAATGGTGCGATCAGAAAGTAGAAAAACAGGAAGAAGATCACGCGACCGACGTTCCACTTTCCACGTCCAAAGAGTCGCTTCTTGGATTTCAGACGTGCCTGCCTGGCAACAGAGCTCTGGCGTGCGCGAGCGAGGAGGCTATCCGTTTCGTCCGCTTCCAGGTCTGGAACCTCATCCCGTCTGCGACCAATAAGAGAGCGATTAATGTCAGTAGGTCCAAAGAAGAGACGTCCTTCCTCGAGGTCGCCGGCCTGCCAGCGCTCGTATTCACTGATGTCTCGTCCTTCTCCTTCATCCTCGTGCATGTAAGCCTCCTCGCGCTCCAATCTCACGTATTTGCCGAAGGGGTAGAAGAGGTAGTGTGCAAGATTGATCAGCACTCGTCCATACTCTTCGCAGCCGGATCCAGACTCTTGAAATAGAGCTAGAACCATGCAGATGACTCCTCCAATTGAGGTGATGGTGGCCAGCCACCATCCAAAGATGAGAGTCCAGAGTCCATTAAAGATCCAAAGCCACCTGCTGACATTTCCACCTGGAGCACTGTGGATGTCGCCCTCAGCATTGCGCTGCACTGATCGACTCTTCTTGTACAACGCGGGTTTCCAGATTCTGATACCAAACGGATGGGTTTCGTTGATTGCCTCTTGTCGGTCCTTCAGGGTGAAGCTTTCGGCATCGCTGACATTACCATCGTCGTCCTCGTCCGCATCAGGCGTCTCCTCCTCTTCCTCTTCCCCTTGCAAGGTCTCCTCTGAGCTTGGGTCACCATTGTCAGTGGGCAACTTTGGTCTTGCAGCTGCGGCCGCGTCATTGCCAGTTGTTTGTGCTTCCTCCTCATGCTCGTCGCTTTCGACCCGCGGTAAAGATGGCGCTGCGGCTGTCGGCCGCCGTCTGAGCGTACTCTCTCGCCGCCTGAGCTGTCGTTCCCTCACGTCTGCCCTAGGGTCTCGTCTCGTCTGCCGGTTGTCTTGGTCTACTTCGCTGGCGTCGTCGTCCACCGAGAAGACCTCGCCGCGATGCGGTGCTTGGGTGGAGAGTTTCCGCGAGCTAGTGGGTCGTTTGGGAGGTTGCTGTTGTGGTGTTTGTGGAGCAAGAGCTTGTTGGCGTCCCCCACTTCCGCTACCAGTCGACGAACCCTGCATTGAGCCTGCAGGTAAAGGGGATCAGTATACATGGCTGATATGGCGCGACACTACACTTGACTTGGCCGGACGAGACATACCATAGTCCTGCCGAGGACGCGGGCGCCTGCTGCTCTCAGACGTACTGGCCTGGCTGTTCTGCAGGCTGGAGAAGCTCTGCTGCTGCTCCGACGGCCGACTTGGGTTGCTCATGTCGGCGGAGGAGATGGATGTGCGTCGCGTGCCTGGACCTGACCTTGACGCCGTGTCTGCATACACGTGATCATATGTGTCGACGGCGGGCGGAGTGGGAGAGGTGTCCGTATCTCGGTCTGGCCGCGAGGTCGAAATGTTGTCCGCCATGCTTCGGCCCTGCCTCTTAGCTTGGGCTACGATCCAATTAGACGTCGATGGCGGCTGCACCCAAGACGCAAAGGAACAACACACTCGACGGCTGCCGCTCTTACTGCGTGCGATCGGTCATGAACACAGAGTCTGCCAAGGTACATGCACTCGTATCACGGTTCTGTTGCGCTGCTCGAGCTCACGGAGCTGCAGGAAGGTGTTGTTCTGTCTCAGCACTGCGGAACGTTCGGCAGTAAGTTGTGCGATGACGAGAGATGCTGGGAAAAGTGGTGAGCCGTGAGAAGCATAATCAGAGTTGCATTGTGCAGCAGAGCGTTATCTAGGCTATCAAGAGCCAGGAGAGGCGCTTATGAAGAGGAACATAGTGACTTGATGGAATCGAGCGCAGCATGATCATCTGCTTCGCCTGCTTCCCGGCTAGCGGCTGAACTGCGGCCCGTCCGTCGCGTGTCCTCCCGCGGCCTCTCTTACAGCTGCATGTGAACATCAAACAACGTCGAAGCAACATACACCTCACCATCATCTTGCCCCCAGCCATACGCATCGGAGTGAGCTGTGAGCCTGCAGCTGCGAACGCTCTACCACTCGACGGCATCAAATCAACACCGCAAATCTCCAGCACGCCCACAGATAGCCGCCACGATGGCGCTGGATACCTTCTTCCACAACAAGATCGAGAGCATGAAGCTCGAGATCATCCAGGGTCAGGCGGTTCTGCGACGACTAGAGGCACAGCGAAACGAATACAACAGCAGGGTCCGACTGCTTCGGGAAGAGCTGGGTCTTCTGCAACAGCCGGGTAGCTACGTCGGAGAAGTCGTCAAGGTCATGAGCACTAAGAAGGTCTTGGTGAAGGTACACCCAGAAGGCAAATATGGTGAGAAATAGAACGGTTCTGGAGGTTGGATGCATACTGACAATGGATACAGTGGTCGACGTCGCCGACAACATCGACATCTCCAAACTCACAGCGGGAAAGCGCGTTACACTACTCTCCGATTCCTACAAGCTCTCGTCGCTTCTGCCGTCCTCCGTCGACCCCCTCGTGTCCCTGATGATGGTAGAGAAAGTACCGGACAGCACATACGACATGATTGGAGGTCTCGATGAGCAGATCAAGCAGATCAAGGAAGTCATCGAGCTAGGTCTGAAACACCCCGAACTCTTCGAATCGCTCGGTATTGCGCAGCCCAAGGGAGTGCTTCTGTATGGCCCACCTGGAACTGGAAAAACACTCTTGGCAAGAGCTGTGGCACATCACACGGACTGCAAGTTCATTCGTGTTTCGGGTTCGGAGTTGGTGCAAAAGTACATTGGAGAGGGATCGCGCATGGTGAGAGAACTCTTCGTCATGGCACGTGAGCACGCACCTTCCATCATCTTCATGGACGAAATCGATTCCATCGGCTCTTCTCGTGTCGAGGGCTCTTCGGGTGGTGATTCAGAGGTGCAGCGAACTATGCTGGAACTTCTCAACCAGCTTGATGGCTTCGAGCCTACCAAGAACATCAAGGTCATCATGGCCACCAATCGTCTCGATATTCTGGACCCAGCTCTGCTCCGACCCGGACGAATTGACCGAAAGATCGAGTTCCCTCCACCAACTACCGAGGCGCGAGCGGACATTCTTCGCATTCATTCTCGCAGCATGAACTTGACCAGAGGCATCAACTTGACCAAGATCGCGGAGAAGATGAACGGCTGCTCAGGTGCTGAGCTGAAGGGAGTGTGTACTGAAGCTGGAATGTACGCGTTGAGGGAGCGGAGAGTACACGTCACACAGGAGGACTTCGATCTGGCGACCGCGAAGGTCCTGAACAGACATGACGATAAGGAGATGAGTTTGAGCAAGCTATGGAAGTAGAGGCGGAGCGAATAGGACAAAGACGCAAAAGGACTGTATAATATTCAATTGCATCGCGTGGCACCAGAAGAACCCGGTGAGTTCACGACCCAATATAGAGAACCTCCTCAGATAAGCAGTCTCTAGTCTTGCATTGGTCCAAGCTTCTTGATGTGATTTCGAGATGCAGCTCTGAGTGAGGCAGCATGACAGAATATCAGAGAGCCCTTTTCTTCAAATCCGCAGCCTCTTCTTCGTCTTTCCGACACCAGTACGCACTCACGACATACAACGTTGGTCGACCTTACTTCTCAGGCAGGTTGCCGGCGCTGATACTATCTATCAAGCACATGTACAGACACAGCATTACACCTGCGCCGACGTGGCCGAAGGAGACGGGCGCGCCCCGAAGCGTAAGCGGTGAATCACCAACATCAAACTCCCCACATGCTCCACCATCCGTGAGGCTTGTTTGAGTGATTGCTATCAACAGCTAACAAGTTGCCAGCTACACGAGCCGCACCACCACCCTCAAGTTCGGCGCTGCTCGGGATCAGATCACGCTTCACGAGGTTTTCTCTGCGTGCGCAATCCCCTTCCCTGCCTTCGCCGCATCCCTTGCCTGTAAATTGGAGGAAGGCGCTGAAGGGGTTATCGCTCTGACGGAAGATGAGATCGACATCTTTGCTGCACACGTCGATTGGCTCTACACAAAGAAGATCGTGCACGCTATCCCAAAGCCCGGTACTGAAGATCCAAAGCATGAAGCCAGAATGTCAGTCTCGGCGACTCGGTAATATCGACATCACTGGAATGACCGGACAATAGGGATGGAAAAGGTCAAAAATTAATTACTCTTCGTGTCTGAAAATGGTCAAAAATTTATCTATGCTGGTACTACGAAAGGCTCCGCTGCCCGCCTCTGGCGCGTCAGAATGGCCGTCGAACATGCAGATGAGGATCGGCGCATTTTCCGGCTCGATGCCCAAGCTCCTCCCGGATTCATTGTGGATTTGAGTCTCATGCTGCTCCGGGAGGAACGTGAGATTCAAAACTGCTGCGTGTCCTGGTACGCTCGTGCGGCGAGAGTGGTTCAAGGCCGGACAAGCGCAATGCGAATGATTGATGGGAGCAAAGTTCAAACAAAGCACTCGGAGAGTATTAGTACGCAAATACACTGTAGACGAAGCGACCGAAATTGGTGGCAAGTTTGATCTACCGGCACTTACAGCTCCAGATTATTAAATTAGAACACGATGCGATCGACGTTTGCTCCCGCCAAGACTCGCTTGTGATTCCGGGGTCTGTGCTCGGGTGTTGCCGATTGCCGAGCTCACCCTAGCTACGCCCGGCGCAACTGCGGCGCCTCCGGACAATGAACCCGCCAGGCCAAGAGACGGGATATTGCATAAAGCTTGCATAGTGGCTGAAAACACGTGTAGCGGCGTGTCGAAAAGGACGTTTCAACAGAACAGAATAAAAGGGCTTCGAGCCAAGACTTGCATGTGAGTGAGCTGGGCCCCGTGCTTCGGATGTCTCTACCGAGCCTAAACTTTCGCATACACGTGGCGAAGGGACAAACGAACATTCGTATCTCACTCTCTCTCGCACTTGGCCAACCCCTCCTTTCCATCTACACGTCAATTCGCTTCTTTGGGGGGTGGCACAGGCGAAATCCCTTCTTCTGATTTATCCGATCCAATATCATCATTCGTATCCTCAGCAGCAGCCAGTTCCAGTCCCTTCTCCGGATCGGTCCTGTTGACAGCTTCCTGGTCATCGTGTCCGTGGTGGTGCTCATGCTGGTCATGATGTCCGTTCTTCTCAACATCTTTCGTATCCTGCTCCGTTGTCCGCAATGGGTTCGCTGTTTCGGGTCCTTTCCCGTCCGCACTATTTCGATCTTTCTTCAAAATACTGTAGCCCCCATGCCATCCAATCCACCCTTCTTCCCAAGGTCCACGCAGTAGCGTGACAATCAGCGCAAGCCCGATGGCTCCCACACTATAGCTACCACTCACTCTCCAACCACCGATCTCATACAATCGCGCTCCAACAGAAGTACCAGTCAACTGCCCCAAAAAGGTAAAGATCATAAAAGCTGTATTGACACGACTCCGTCCTTTCGGCTCAATAGTGAAGATAGCAGATCTATTCGCGATCTGTGAAGTCTGCAAACCGAAATCTTGGAAGAGAGCTTGGATGACGGGTCCTGCGATGGTAAAAGTTCCGGTGTAGGATCCTATGCAGACGCCGAGCATGATCCAGATCATTCCTAGGAAGACTGTAAAGAGAGGGACGAAGCGGTCGGTTACATATTTTGCCCAGATGGGGCCGAGACACATTGCTGAGATACCGATGAGAGCGAAGAGACCGATCACGACCGGGGTGTAATAGTATGGAGGTCCAGCGAGGAGGAAAGTCAGCACCGTCCAGTAGTTCGTGAAGGTCGACGAAGCCAGGTAGGAGATCCAGCAAGCCTGGAACAAGACAGGATGCTTGAAGAACATCACCACAATGGACCAGAGCATCTTGAAGTAATTGAGTCCTCCAGGATTCGTAGATGGATAGTCAGGCATGAAAAGCCATAATAGGATGAAGATCAGATATTGCAGGCCCACGGACATCCAATAGATGACTCTCCAGGAAGTATACTGCGTCACAATCCCAGACAGCAGGCGAGCCAGTAGTATCCCCAGCATAAGACCACTCGTGACGATTGACAACGCAGCTGCTCGTTTCTTCGGAGGAGCCAGATCGCCCACCAGAGGCATCATAAGCTGCGGCGTAACAGTCGTGACACCAGTGATGTACTGTATCGCGGAGAAAACCTTGACGGAACTGGTCGTGCATAGTCCAATACTAACACAATCAGCACCCCCCTTTCATGAAGTCCTTCAGCAAAGCGAAAACTCACCACAGCGTCGCCGTGAAAAACACCAAACTCAACACAAAAGGCCTCCTCTTCAAAAGATCTCCCAGCGGACACAAGAATAATAATCCCGTTGCATACCCCGCCTGAGCCAGAGTCGGAATCTGGGAAACTTCCACATAACTCACACCGAAATCTTTAGCTAGAATGTTGAGAATGGGATGATTGTAGTAGAGATTCGCGACTGTGAAGGCGCCCGCGAAAGCGAACATGACATTGTGGGCCATGCTGAAGACGGGCGGGGAGGAAGGGTCCCAGCGACAGTTGGGTGGGATCCAGTAGAGGGTAGAGTAGATGCGGCGCCATAGTGGTGGTGGTGTGGTTGTTGTTGAGGGCTCTTGGATGCTGGAGGCATTGCTTGATTCGGCGTTGGGCGATGAAGATGCAGCACCTTTCTCGTCGAGGTCAGGAAGAGGTGAAGTCGGACGACCGCTCGCATGGGCCCGCTCGTGGTCCTGGTCCTGGCCCTGGTCCCGATCCCGGTCCCGGTCCCGGTCCTGATCCTTCATCGTGGGAAACTCTCACCAGCAAGCCGGGTAGGACAGCACCACCATCCAGCCACAGACACACAAAGAGAGATGTTGTATGGCCGGAATTTCTGAGACACGACGGTTATCGATGAGGACGAGGCGCGCAGAGAAAGCGGCACACAAATCGAATGTGCCCTACGGGATATGCAAGTGGCGAGCCGGAATTCCGTATCGAATCCCCGAATCGCGAAAGCCCCACATTCGTATTTAGTGGTTAATCGCATCAAACTCTGGGTAAAAGATAGCCCATGGAAATGATTATGAGACTGATTGCCGGGCAATGATAATCATAAGAATTCGTTCACCTCACTGCTGGTATATTCTCTTTCTCTCAGAATCATCGCTTTCATCAAAGTCATCTAAACCTCGCCGCGGTTCGGATCACCACTTGGCGTCGGGGTATGTCAAATGCCCCGATGTCGCCCGCCAATGCCCGCAGTCTACGACCCGTTCCTTGAGTCGCATTCTAGACTACAGTCCATTCAGAGTCGCTGTCGCTGTCGCTGCCGTTTGGTCCAGGGTTGGTTACGAAGAGCCCTCTTCTACTTTCGCGTTGTCGAATCGGCATCGCTCGCTCTGGGCCCTTCGAGACAGAATCGGGCAGTGCCGGTGATATCGGGCGTATAGCGACAAGGCCTTCCGTCTCCGAATCGCTTTCCACGCTAAGCTGGTGTTCAGTAGGTGCAGAAACCACCTCATATTCCGCATCAGATGGATGTTCCTCGATCGCAACCGGCTGTCCATCTTCGCTCGAGTCTTCATGGACTGACACCTCTCCTTCGACCGACTTCTCTTCGCTAGCGGCAGCCATCATCTTGCTGGTCTCCGGCACGCCCTCCTCTTCTTCGGGAACTTGCCGCGTAAGTCCTCCAAATGTGTCTTGGGCCTTTGTACGCAACGCCAGCAGGAGCCCTCCAGCTCTGGACCCGTGAGAGACCATCTCTGGCCGCTTCCTCTCCTTCGACCCGCCCTCAAAGTCTTCGCAGCCGTGGAAGTGATATACCACATCCCGGAGGCGTTTTGGGTCTATATCTTCGCGAGACGCATAGGTTTCTGGTATGTATGCCTTGAAGGGCATTCGAATGATCGCAGCGGCGGCTGTGGCAGAGAGAAGTCAGCGTTCATCTTGGATCATTTTGGCGGGAGGTCACTCACTGCCGTCTTCGAACTCCCTCTTCATGCTCTCCTTGGCCAGGTCTTGGTGGAAAGGTCTCAGGCTGTAAGCTAACCTACGGAACTCAAAGTCGTTGGCAAGATCATGGCGCAAGAAACAGCTTACGCAGTAGCAGATCACAGTCTCAATCAGACCGCTATGTTCTGGTAGGTGCTTATACAGGAACCTGATCGCGTAACAGAGGTCGATAGGCTTGTCCGCAGAGCAGCACCCGAATTCACACTGACGTGTGACATTCACATTGGCTTGCTGCTTCAGGTCCGGTATGTCGTAAATGTCGCCCAGACGATACAGTTGGCAGTGCAATAGTAGCGAAGTAGGAACGTCCTCGTACAAATCTCCGCCAGCGCAATCAAGCGCGTAGGAGCCGGTGTGGAGGTATCGCAAGAACGGCATGGCAGTGACCGAGTCCAAGGCCTCCAAATGCAGGCGTGGTCCGTTCCTGGAAGGCTCGAAAGCCTGTGCGAGCAGCGGGCACCTCTCCTCAATGATCCACGGACTCAGACCTGAGATTGACTCCATTTCACCATCGGAGCTGGGATACGTTACGGTTGCATCGCCTCTTGGGTACCACTCTGGGATGGACACCTCTTCGACTGTGGAATCTATAGAGAAAGCACTGGAGCGCTGCATGTAGCCACGCTCGGGAGGGTCTGGATACGGGCCGCTGCGGCGGTAATAGCTTTGGCGGCGCTCTACTGGGTAGTCGGGTTGTTGGTCCTCTTCGAATATGGAGTCGGTGTCGTCCTCGTTGGATTGAAAATTGGGGAATCGAAGCTCGCGTTGGACATTGGCTGCCAGCTCAGCATTCAGGGTATTTCGATCGTCGTCCTGGAATTCTGCCCGCCAGAAAGCAGCACGCGCGTCTGACAATGTTCTCGGAATGTCCATGTTGGCAGGTGGTGATGGAGGTGGGCGAGACGCTGGAGCTCTGCAGAAGGGCTGAAGAGGGATGGGACTGTCCTACGTTCGGATGATTGGGCGCTATGAGGGTGAGTGCAGAGTCATGGCAGTGTGCAATGGGTAGTAGCTGAACCTGCGCGCAAGGCTGCCTGGAGTCACGCACTGCACTGCGATGTCCCTCGCGCCAGCTACCTTACGCTTACTGTACCTTAGCTTGCAGCTGTATGCGGCGCGAAGCATGACCACGCCCGCCCATGATTGGCTTGAAGCGACATACAGACGTGACTGAGCCACGCTTCCCAGTGCCCTTTGTACCTTTTGTACGAAGCGCAGAGAGTGCTGTGAGTGCGTTCGTTGGCGGCCTCTTGCTCCGGTCAGTGGGTCAGACGAGTGCGCCACCAAAGCCGACGCAGGGCAGGACGTCCCGCGGCGCACAGCTTCTGGCTTCATCTTTGCCTTCCCGGTAGATCGGAATGGTCGATGATTGATGGATGGATGGCGGCGCATGAGGTCCACGGTGTGAGTGGTTCGGATGCCTCAGGCGGAAATTGCTGAGCCACACCGGCGTCCCGTCCCGACGGGAGCGCCTTCCGCGTCCCCAGCTGTCTGGGTCCAACGCGGTTGGGAAGTGGATTCACCACCCTCCGTCAACACAACTTAACACACCAACAACAACAACAACACCATCACCAACATTTGACAACGTGACCATCATCAGCGACTACAACGATCGTCGGATGAAACACCTCCACCAGCCATGGGCAGGTTCTCCATTCTCCCCAGCAGCTGGTCAGGCATCGAGACTTTCATCGCTGGGTTCTTCGTAAGCCACCACGGGCAAGCGCTGTGCAATGCTCCCACATGCTGAACGCTGATTCCAGCTGCTCTGCGCTGGCTTAATCATCGGTCCTTGGATTCTCTTCATTCTCTTCGATTCCCTACTCTACATCTGGAGACTGATCGCCTACGAGTTTCCATACTTTGGCGGACGCGCACGTGGCGAACTACCACCCAAGGCCCCAACGCTGACAGAGCGACCTGGTGGCGATAGGCGTCGAATGAGCATAGCAGGCTTGCGGAAGCGGAGGAACAGCATCTCCAAGATTCCGGGCTGGCAGCATCAAACGCCGTCCATCATATCCGACGTCTCGACCGGCCGGAGGAGAAGCTCCACGACCACCGCGAAATTGCGACTACCTTCTCACTTGGAACAGCAACCGGAATGATATTCTTGCTCGCGTGGTTCCTTGCGTGTCATCGCGCATTGGACGTCGGTATCGATTTGGTGCGCCCTCGCAGGCCGGCTTCCCCGGGGTGGCAGGAAGGCACCGATAGGCGAACTGCATCAACAGAGTCGCACATTTCGCCTTCATCTAGAGATGGCTGAGTATCGAGCTGGAAGGCTCTGAGTCTCTTTCAGAAAGTTGTCAATCGCTACAGTTGCAGTCAAGGCTCTCGGACACAGACAGATCCTCATTACACTGCTTATATTTCCAGCAAGATGGAAAGGTTTGACACAGATTCTTAGAGAGCTCTCTCCGCACGCTCCACTACGTTTCTCTGCCTGGTTGACTCCCACACAACCAAGGGACTTCTTGTGCGTGCGGCCTCTTGTACATCGCTTGCTACAATGCACGCAATGCGCACGAGGGAGCCGCATCATGACCTCCCGAGGGCTGAGTAGGAGGTCTTGGCTCATCTGTACCAACTATCCGGAACCCAAAGGATCTTCTTGCAGACTCGTGACTTCCAGGCCTCGGTAATTCAGTGCATTGGTAGCACCTATCCTCATTCAACCCCCCCTGTACGCTTCTTCTTCGGCCATCTTTGCCTTGAGCACCGCAAGGGTTGACCGGAGCTGACCGGCATCGGTCTCCACGATGGCGACACGGCGATTGTTGCACCAAGCTGAGCCAGAACATAAATGACGGAAGCGTCCCCGACGCAATCAGGCCGTTTCATTCAACTTACTACTGAGAAGCGATGGATTACCTCCCAGAAGGGTCCCACAGGTTTATGGATGACAGGTGCTTCCGTTCATCGGCCAGCTCGTCCGTTCGACATTCAATGCGTGCTAGACACTCGGGCTTGGCACAATCGTACACTTATGAAGAACCCACTGGACCCAATCATTTCATATCTTCCTCGTCAAGTTACTGTGCTACAGCAGCGAGATCCAGGTTAGCATTTGACCAAATGGCTATAATGCAAGATGCATCTGCCACCGAAGAGTTAATTCGAAGGTAGAAACACTCTAACTACACGACGCTATCACACGCATTAACGTGATCTGCCAGAGCGAATTCCGAGATGCTAGCCGCCAACGGACATCTCCCTCGGCCGGTCTCATACATGCGAATACATCCAATGATGCTCGACGATGGATTGTATCCGGCCAACTTCGCCACACCACGCAGATTGTGCGACTTTCTTGATATGGATGATGGCCAACTGGACTGTATCATGTCGGCGTACGAGCTTGCGAGGGGAAGTGCTCGATATCAGCGTGCTCTGAAGCATGACTTTCTAGCCGACCGGTACGGGTATAGCCACTTCAAGCCACGCCGCCTTGCAAACCTGATCGCGCTTTTCGATCATCTTGGAGCATATAACCTGGCAGAGCAGCTTCGAATACGCGGATGTGATAGGTCACTCGATCTACGAAGACCGTGCGCTCGATTGTTTGTCTGCCGCTAGTATCCCATCGAGAAAGATGAAATGCTGCGCCTCTGCGTCACCCTTAGGAGAGGTAACACATCCTGCTGGAGCAGGACTGGAAACTCGGAAGACCATAATGAGCACTGCGAAGTGCATGTATTCTTGCACAATCCTTCCCGTACGGCGAGAGCTTTGGTATGCTCGACGTTCACGTGAGTGGAACTTCTTTCCAAACGTGGAAAGGCCGAAGAACACGCCTCACACTGTCATTGGCTCGACAGCACTCCACTTCCCGGCCAAGGCGATCTCGACGGCATATCATCGTACCTCAACCTCCGATGTAGAAGAATAGAAAGGCGCAATCTTGATTGACCTTCGCTCTTCTTTAGACCTCTTCCTCTTGCTTCGAATATGAATATGGCATCCTTGATTCTGCTGCTCGTTCCCTTCTTGTCTCTGGTCGTGTTGCTTCTGTCACGAGCACTTGGATCTCGTATCAATCGTCCAAAGAATGGCTCTGCACCAGATCTTCAGATAGATCATTGCGTAGAGGAGAAAGCGCCATACCGCGACATTGAGCCGCTGGAGGATTTCGATTGGACTTCTACACCACCCATTCAAAATGCTCCTTTGAAGCCAAAGTATCACTTGACGATGGGTAGGATATACGTTCAACTCATCGATCGCCATGAGTTTGCTAATGGTTCTTACCAGCGCTGGAAACCATCAGCATTTCGGATCTCATAGCCATGGATAACACCTACGCCGCTCGAATGAAAATCCGTCGCGAGATCATGCGCGAGAACCTGGAAGCTGCACTCCAATGTAATCCAGTTTGCGAGCCCGCGGTTCTTGAACTATACGACTGGATGGTCAATACATACCTCCCTACTCGCTTTCCTGCCATTTACACCCGCAGCGAGAAAGGCATGTTCAACACCGTCAACAACGAAATTCTCCCTACATCACCACCCTCCGCGCTTTCCGCCTTGAACACCCTCGGCGCCCACGTCGACACGGATTTCCTCCTCCTTCTCCCCTCATCAAAAGCACCCGACGGATCCCCCATCTACCATCTGGAAGCTTTCGTGGCCTGTTTCCCCTCTGGTTTCAGCACGCGCAAGAAATTGGGACTCCCCCTTGCGGAGATCCATTCTCCTGTGCCGGGCTACAGGGCGAAATTGGAGAAATCAATGGATCGATTCTTCGCGAGGGTGGAAGTGGGAAAAGTCGTCAAGCGCTCGAATTGGGCTCTGACGACAGACGATCGGCTCTTCGCGGAAGGGGGCAGTCATTTGTATGAGAATGGGACTACAGACGGTGACGTGATGGAATCTCAGGAATCCGAGATTGACTTGCAGGCGGATCTTCAAGCCCAGAAAGATGCGGTGCAGGTTGAAGATTGTCGGCTGAGATCGGAACGACAAGTGCTCTTCCGCCTTGCGAAGACGAAGGCGCTGGTTTTTGCGACTAAGACATACCAGTATCGGTTGGAAGAGGTCAAGGAGGATGGGTATGGGGAGGTATTGGCGGAAGCGATGGAGGGGCTGGCGAAGGGTAATGTGCCGGAGATGGAGTTTTACAAAAGGGGGGTTGTCTGGGGGGAGAAGGTTGTGGGGTATTTGAGGAGTTGAGGGAAAGTATTTGATGGAAAGGCGTGAAGTTGTCGGTCAGGTAAAGGGAGACATGTTGGCGGATAGGTCCCTTACAAACCGAAAGACGCTGCTTCACGCACAACAAACGCCTTAGCTTTTCCGAATCCGTTGGCAACTTCCCTCGTCCTCGTGGTAAAACCGAGATAAGGCATTCGGGCATATTCTCGCCATAAGTTCGGGAATGGCCGCCAGTTGACTCATGCGTTGGCACGAGTCTAAGTGAATGTTTGAAAAGCGTTTTCAATCAAAGCGGGGCAGGATGAGGCAATCAAAACAGCCCCGCGCTGGGCAGGTTGTCTGCGGCGGAACCCTGACGAAACCTTAGCAAGAAACTCAGCAACCTCTGTACCTGACCGTGTCACACTTCCCTACCTTTCCCTTACCTCGAAATCGACCACACGTCTGCATCTGCATCTGCATCTGCATCTGCCTAGCGCGAACACCGGAACCACCAACAACTACGAACCCTCTTCTTCTCGCTTTTCCTTCGACACTACCAAATCCCTCCGTACAGAGACCGCCGCAAACATGTCTTGGCAAGGCAAGTCCCCAAACAATCCACCCTGCTCGAGCGCATCCCGCATGGCGTCGCGCCTCATCTCGATCCTCGGGACGAGAAAGAAACCCACGAGAAGAGAGCACTCCGCTAACAGGTTCTGCATCATACAGCATACGTCGATCAGAGGTAAACAGAATCCCTCCCCTTCACCGCCGACCGCCATCACGACTTCGGAAAAAGACGTACTGATTAGAGAAACGTCCACAGCCTTGTCGGCACAGGCAACGTCGACAAAGCCGCCATCTTCAGCGCCGACGGCACCGGCGTCTGGGCCACCTCGGCCGGCTTCACCGTCACGCCGCAGGAAATGCAAGAAGTCGTCAACGCCTACAAGGACAAGGCGGATGTGAAGCAGATTCAGAGCACGGGGATCCACATCGCCGGGGAGCGCTATGTGGTGTTGAAAGCGGAGGAGAATAGCATTTATGGGAAGAAGGTGAGAGGGAGATCAGAGGCATACATACGTCGTGTGCTGGGAGTGGAGGCGCTGACATGGTGTTTGTTTAGGGCAAGGAGGGCGTCATCATCGTCAAGACCCAACAGGCGATTCTTGTCACACACTACCCGGAGAACGTCCAGCCTGGAAATGCTACCAATACCGTCGAGCAGCTGGGTGACTATCTCAAATCGGTCGGCTACTAAAAGGCGAAAACGTGGGCAAGGACGAAGGCGACGATCAGAGATCCAGACGAGGGAGCACGTATGCACTTCACAGGCGTACACGGGGCGATTTCGAGTAGAGCGGGCGTATAACCATGTGCATATGTGAACCATGAAAAGAAGAGAGGCCACAAACAGAAGACAAGACCCTGGCTGGCTGGAGTTTTCCCTACTTGCAACTTGGATTTTCTCGAATTCATGTTTCCTTCTTGTCTTGCGGCCGAGATGTTAATTCTCTGGCCAATTTCTGACTACCCCGCCCTTGGGAGACAGATTGGCATCTGCGTCATGGTCGTACAGCAATGAGGAAGCGCTTCACCCTGACGCGATCGGCCCTTGCGTCCATCTCATCCTGCCTTCCCTGCGTACGTTGAGTGTCCTCTTACTCGACTTGCTGGCTTCCTTCCGTGATGAAAACGGCCTCGATTTCCGATTGGTAGGTCTCGTCTTGAAGCAATTGGCCATTGCATGTTGATCTGAAGGCTGTAGAGTGGTCCATCTTGCCTGCCAGAGAAGATCTTCTTGATCACATCCAAGTAGCTTGGTAACGTGCTCATCACCTTCCTCGGCCTCTACTCTGGCTCCGACTCCGGCTCCGGCTGCTGTAACTCGACCTCGAATAGCTTCGTCTCCGTCTGCCGCCGCCGCCGCCGCCGCCTCCTCTTGCTGGACTGCGCCGCGGAGGCGTAGGACTGCGACTCCGACTTGAGTATCGTGGACTACGCGATCTTCTTGGCGGGCTTCCTCTCCTTGGCGGCGGCGGAGACGTCGAATAACTGCGCGGCCGGTAGTCTCTACGGTCATCATACCGATCTCGGTATCCTCCTCCACCTCCTCCCCGTCCAGCATGCCTCGGCCCAGGACTCATCCGCCTACCACCTCTCGGGCCAGCACCATAGCTCGGCGACCCTCGACTCGGCGGAGGCGGACGTCCATACCTATCCCCCTGCGGCGGTCCCCTCCCCATCGGCGGCCCCGGCGGTCCCTCACGATGTCGATGGGGCTCCCCAAAGCGATTCGGCGGCGGCCTCATCGGCGGCGGACTATTCGAAAACCTCCTCCTCGGCAGAACAATGCTGACCGAAATCACCGCCCCATCAATCTGCCCCTCATGCATGTTGCTGATAGCAGCCTCCGCATAACTCGGCTGCGAATACAACACGTACGCAATCCCTCGATTCGTCATAAAGTGTTTGTTCATGGGCATTTCGAGTTCCTGGATGGAGCCGTAAGTGCTGAAGATCTCGCGTAGGTGTCCGACGTTGACGTTTTTGGTGAGCTTTTCGATCACGATTTTGGCGCTGCGTGGTTTGTTGGGGGGTGAGCGCGTGGGAGAGCGGCTGTAGCTTCGGTCTCGGTCGCGGTCGCGTGAAGGCGTGCGCGAGGGACTGCGGTCTCGTGTGCCGTTCATTTTGTCGTCCGAGTAGGATCGCGAACGTCGCGTGTCTTCGTCTTCGTCTGCTGCTGCTGTAGCGGGGCGGGCTGGTGTGCGTGCGCGGCCGCGCGAGACGCTGCGTTGACGGTCTGGCGACGACATGATTGGTATTACTTCGACGATATTGCAGCTATCATGGAAGTTTCATACTGCGTGTCGTGTGGTAATGGCAGCAACAGGAAGAGGTCCGAAAGCAGAGCTGCAACCTTGATTTTAGTGCCGTGGCCCGTGCGCAGTTGTGAAGCCAATGTACACAAATCTTTCCGCATTACATACTTCACCCATACTTCTCGCAACACGGGTGGCCATTCACAAATGCAGCCGCGAGTAGGGTATCTAGCTAGCGAAACATGCAGACAATATACCTGAACGCCTTTGCCCCCGGTACCCCAGCTGAATTGCTGTCTTCATTCATACACACCATGCCTTTTAACACCCTTCCATGTCAAGCAAGATCGCATCTCCATGCTCGCCATGAGTTGCTGAAAAGTTTCATGCTCTGTCGCGATCGAATCAACCTTCGTCGACGTCCATGTCGTCCCGTCTCGACGAGCCGCCCTTCTTGGCTCGCCCGCCAGCAATGCCACCCTTCTTCCCTTTCTTCTTCTCGTGCTCGTTCTTCATTTCGGTGATGGCGATACGCTGCGCTTCGGCAACCCGTGGAGCAAACACCATGACTTCGTCGCGTTCAGCAGCGTACTCTTCGAGCTTTTTGCCCAATGCATGCTCAATCCTCTGGTACACCTCGATGTCGTACTGCGTAACGATAGAGATGGCAACTCCAGACTTTCCAGCTCTCGCCGTGCGTCCCACGCGGTGTACATACGTCTTTGAGTCTGGTGGCAGATCAAAATTCAGCACGAGGTCCACCGAAGGGATATCAAGACCTCGAGCAGCAACGTCTGTGGCCACCAATATATCTCGGCTGCCACCCCGGAACTTATTCAATGCTCCAAGTCGAGCAGACTGATTCATCTGGCCATGCAGCGGGATTGCAGAACGTCCAAGTGCCCTGAGGAGGAAGGCGATGCGCTGCGTTTCGTTGATCGTTCTTGTGAAGACGATGCAGGTCTGACCCGCGAACTCGTTCAGCAGATACACCATGTAGATGTCTTTGAACTTGTGAGGAATGAAGATGTACCTCTGCATCAGGTTTTTGACCTAGAAGATGATGTTAGTCTCGCTTGAAGAGCTGGATGAAAGTCATGTGCGTGTATGCTTACAGTTTGATAGCTACTGCTGCTGATGCTCACTCTCACTGGTTGCTGTAGGGCTGCTCGAGTGAGATTGTTCAGCTTGGTGCTCATGGTTGCACTGAACAGCATCGTGCGACGTTCTCGGGGCAGAACTTGAAGAATCTTGTCCAGAATTGGGCCGAAGTCAAGATCGAGTAACCTATCGGCTTCATCCATGACCAAATACTTCAATTGTCGGAGAGAGAAGCCCTTGGTATTCTCGAGGTGGTCCAACAGTCGACCCGGGGTGGCAACAACGATGTGCGGTTTCTTCGCCAGCGAAATTGCCTGGGGTACCATGTCCATACCTCCTACGACAACAGCGCATCGTACATTGATGAGCGATCCCAGCGCCTCGAACTGCTGAGAGATTTGGTATGCCAATTCTCGAGTGGGCGCAAGGACGAGTCCAAACATGGGCTGTGGCTTGTCTAGAAGAGCCTGAAGAATGGGGAGGGCAAAGGCCGCAGTCTTTCCGCTTCCTGTTTCTGCCAACCCAATGATATCCTTGCCTTGGAGTGCGATCGGTATAGACTCCCTCTGGATGGCCGTTGGCTTGGTAAAGCCAAGCGATGCACACGCATCGCACAGCGAGTCTATCACTCCAAGATCCGCAAATGTCTTTTCCACTCCGACATCCTCACTGGCCGTAATGGCAGCGTCGTCTGCTTTCTCAGCTTCCTCGCTGTCCTGCTCTTCTTGCTCATCATCGTCAGAGACTTCGGAATGGGCTCTCTTGCTCGGCTCGTGACTTCTTCGAGGCTCTGAGGCAGCGGCTGGTCTTGACGTTCTGGAGGGTGCGGCGGCTTTTGGCTTCGACGCTGACTTCTTGATCTGCACAGGAGACGACTCTCCATCACCCGTATGCTCTAGCTTTCTTCGTTTGGCCGACATGGTTGGTGTGTGAAAAGGCGTGCTCCAGTGGCCGAGTAATTTTCTGGTGATGCGGAGATCGTCGGGGATACAGATAAGGTTATCTTAGCGCCGGATCTTAGCAGCCGGACCTCAAAATTTCCCTGGTGAGCTTGGGTCTTGAATTTGCACGAACTTCTTGCGTTCGTTGTCGAATGTCCCATAGGAATAGGAAGAAATGGCAAAGCGAAGAGTCAAAAAGCGAACGCACGTGGGCTCTAAGCCCGGTCTTGGCGCCGCATCAGTCAATCATGCGGCCACCAAGCAGCAGGCTGGGTCACGCCCGCCTAAGAGCATGGTCATCCGCGTGGGCGCCAGCGAGGTCGGACAGAGCGTGTCGCAGCTCGTGCGAGATGTCAGGCAGATGATGGAGCCGGATACTGCGACAAGATTGAAAGAGAGGAGGAGCAACAAGCTACGAGACTACACCACAATGGCGGGACCGCTAGGAGTCACGCACCTGATGCTCTTCAGCCGAAGCAGCAATGGCAACACAAACCTACGCTTAGCGTTGGCACCACGTGGACCGACGATGCACTTCAGAGTGGAGAATTACAGTCTGTGCAAGGACATCTACCACAGCATGAAGAGACCAAAAAGTGGAGGCACCGAGTACCATGTTGCTCCCCTTCTGGTCATGAACAACTTCACCACCCAAGCGCAAGACGATGCCAATGGAGAGCAATCCCAACCGAAGGTACCTAAGCACTTGGAATCGCTCGCGACCAGTATATTCCAATCCTTGTTTCCGCCAATCAATCCCACCACCACTTCACTGAGTGGGATGAAACGAGTCCTTCTACTTGACCGAATACCGGAGGATTCGTCAGCGCAGTCTGGGCAGTATATTCTCAACTTGCGACATTATGCCATTGAGACTCGCACAGCGAAATCTGTGCCCAAACCCCTGCGACGGCTCGACGCGGCGGAGAAGCTCACCCATGCCGGCCAGAAGCGTAAACGAGGTGCCTTGCCCAACCTTGGCAAGCTCAACGATGTTTCCGATTATCTACTCGACCCACACGCCGCAGACGGCTTCACATCAGGTTCGGAATCGGAGGGCGAGACGGACGCTGAAGTCGAAGTCGTGGCGCCTTCCGGCCGCAAAGTGCAGAAGAGAAAGGCGCAGAAAGATACAGCGGAAGGGCGGGAGGATAAAGCGAACGTTGAAAGAAAAGGCATCAAGCTGTTGGAACTTGGACCGCGGCTGAAGCTTCGATTGACAAAGATCGAGGAAGGCGTATGCAACGGAAAGGTCATGTGGCATGAGTACATCCATAAATCGAAGCAGGAGATCAAGGAGATGGACAGGATACATCAGGAGCGGAGAAGAGAGAAAGAGAGGAGGAAGGCCGAGCAGAAGGCCAATATTGAGAAGAAGAAGGCGGAGAGAAAAGCGTCCGGACAATCTGCCGAGGGCGAAGACGAGGATGAGGATATGGAAGATGACACGGGTGATGATGACCAGTGGGACAACGAGGACCTGGAGGATGACGATGTCGAAGCTGGCGCGCAGGATGAAGTCGAAGACGATGAGATGCGGGACGGCGCCAGCAGTGAAGACGAAGAAGTCGGCTGATCCAAAAACCGTCTCCATGAGGGCATCGAGTTCTATGCCGCTGAACGACTTCCAGCTTTGGTCAGCAGCTTCTTGCGGTGAAAGCTCGGCACGACAGCGCTGAAGCACTGCGTGTCTATCCGTATTGCTGCTGAAAGACGCATCTCGTATATCAGCATCAGCACAGTCCTGAGACTATTTCGCTAAACGCAATGCAAACCGTCGACCTTTCAATCCCCTCCAAACACCGCGTGTTCTGATTATATACCGCCAAGCTCGGGGCTACCTCGTGCTCCTTCACGCTACGAGCTCCCGTCTGCCCTGTGTGCTGCGCTTGTGTTCAGCTCGAGGGGTGATAGGGTTCATGCGGCTTTTATGAGTAACATGACTACCTACCGTCGTTAATGAAAGTCAGCTCAATTTGGGTTACCGTGCACTCGAGGGGGCGTTTTTGTACCTTGGCAACAGGGGGAAATACTTGGTCAATGGCACTGTCGAGTGCATTCCGGTCAAGAATGGAGTTTTCTGTGCGTCGAGATGTGGACACAGCAGACGTCCTCTGGGTCCCGCTCGGGGCAGCGTGCAGCAGCAAGTGGCCCATCATTGGTGGGGCGCAAGGGACGATTCCTCAGCCGCACGTGGAAGGATTCAAAGCGCATATTATAGATCCACTTAACGTGCCACTTACCGTGCTCTAGCCGGCGCGTAAAAGTTTCCGCAAGATGTACCGATCTGCGAGGCCTTAAGCAGCGTCGTGGTACATTCCCTCGAAGCTCTGTTCCCTTCCGCCGCCGTCCCGCCCCGTGGGCCATACTCTACTCGATGGAACGGAATACATCGATGCTGTTCCTGTTGACGACAATATGGCTGTCTCTGTGTCGGGCACAATCGCTTTTGCAGGGCAGCAACGGCAGCGCAGTGCCGATATGGGCTCTCGCGGACAGGATCCAGGGCGGCTCCTCGAACATCTGCAATAAGACGTTCGCCGATGCCAATGCCACCGGCATGTTCAATATCAATCCCAACGTCGCGCAAGGACCACAGTCGGGACAGCCAGACAATCATTCGGGAAAGACGCAGGATGCTTTGGTGGCGGTCACGATCGACAACTCTGGATTCTCCAACACCTCCAATTCTTCCTCTTCGTACAGCTTGTGGTACAACACGAATGGCGCAAATTACTCGAGTGTGAGTCAACTCGAAGAACAGGCAGCCTGTTCCTCTGAGCAGGTGCTGACGATGAATATCCCTTTAGGACTTTGCGCTGGGCTACGACGTGTGCGTGGTAGCTGGACTGATCTTGAATTACAACACACAGTTACGAGGGCAGAACGATGATGGCACTTGCTCGTCCGCTCTTGACACGCCCTGCATAAACGCTCTCAACTCTCGCGCAGAGCAATACGCAACTTGGCTGAGCACGCCGTCGCCGGGGCCAAATAGCAATCTGACGAACACAAGCCTGCCCAGCCTGTGCCGAACGCTAGCCACACAAGTTGCGTCGAACATACCTGATGAATGCTCGTATTTCATTCAGCGCGACTCCATCGGCATAGGCTGGCCATTGACATCCTACGGCAGCGCGTACGAAACAGCCCTCTTTCCCAGCTGCACGCTCAATGGGACGTGGCAGAACACCGTCGGCTTCTTTGCCAACGCTTCGCAGGCCGTGTACACGGCATGGGTACAATCCGTCACGCCGGTCATTGGGATCTGGATGCCAGTGATTGGCAATGGAGCCAACGTCGGATCAACAATCAGTATCGGCTCTGTCGTTTCGCAGCTTTTGTGCGGACATGTCAATACCATCAAGCGAGACAGCTTCACACCGGCTGCTGCACCTTCGCCAACCGCAGTCAAGTACAACTCGACATCGAACGCGAACAACGGCGCGGCCGCCGGATCGAGTAGCAGCCAAGGCGATGGCGGCTTGTCGGGCGGAGCAATAGCTGGGGTTGTCGTGGGCGTCGTGTTGGGCGTGTTGCTGTTGGCAGGACTCATTCTTGGGCTATTATGGCGCAAGAGAAACCAGCAGAAGAAGAGCAAGGGACCGGAGCAGGAATTCGCAGAGGTCGATGGCACTGACAAGCGCTTCGAGCTGACGCCCGAGGGCGGCATCAAACAGCTGCCGGCAAATGAGCGGGAGGGCGGCAAACCGGGAGCACCGATGGGAGAGCTTGCGGGAGCAAATCCGCCGGAGCTGGAGGGCGAAAAGGCCCAAGTACGCGGAGAGTTGGAGGGCGATCACAGACAGCCTCCGGTCGAGTTGCCGGGGTCTTCGCCTGACGAGAAGCGATAGGAGATGCCGCAAGACCGCATTGACGACGTGTACGATCTATTCTCCGAGCGTTGTCGCATTTCGAATATGGAAGAGGAATATGTAGTCACATATAATCATCGACCTAAGAAGACCAGACAGGGCCTAATTGAACGAGCTCGTTCGCTGCACCCGGTAAAACATATCCCAAGATCTCGCTTCGGCAGATCTATCCACCCGCTCCCTCAAAGTGGACCACAGTCGTCATGCGACAGCTCCAAGGACAGAGATCACGATACCTAGCAGATCGTCAGCTGCACGCAATACCGCTTGCCTGATTGGAGCTCGAAAGGTTGGCAGAGTTCGTTCCAGGTTGTTTCCTGGCAAGCTGGTGGAGCTTGGCAATGACGTTCGTTGCTGGTTCTAGCTCGAGGGGATATATCAATCCCGTCGAGTCCTACTACTGTCTATCCTGAACACCTCAAACCCAACACACCACTTCAAAGAAACACAACAACTTCAGTCAAAATGTCCGGACTCATCGACAAGGCCAAGGAGAAGATGGGCAAGAGCAGCGGTGACGGCCAGCCCTCTTCCGTTGAGAAGACCGGCGACAACCAGCTCAACAAGCGTAAGACATGAATCACTTCATTCTCGAGATCACCACATTCTAATTGCTGTGGTAGAAATCGACAACGCCACCGACAGAGCCGGTCTGGGCGACAAGTACGACGCCAAGATCGACAAAGTCGCCGATGAGCAGCTCAACAACCAGATTCCTGGTGGCGCTGGAAAGAAGTGAATGGGAACGACGTAGATGATACCTATCATGAGATGAATGAAATAATAATCCGAATCAATCTTGCCTTGTCTGATGTGTCGTGCCGAGGTGCGAAGGGGACTGTTCTGAAGCCCGTTCCAACTGCTTGGGAGTCCTCTCAGAAGATCGCAACAACGTTAGGAGGACTGGCCACGCCTCCGGGGACCTATCACCGTCGTCAGCGTCGCTCTCACACATCCAACAGGTTCGGCCCTCACATTGACAGGCTTGCTGACCAGAAAGAAGCTATACCTCCCCAATTTCTGACATTGAGCGGCCAGCTTCTCGAGATCAAACAACTCTCCGATCGGCATACCCCAGCCGGCGAGCATCACTTCGTGCAGAGCATAGTCCTTCTGCGTCGGCCACGCCTCCCAACTCGGATGATCCGCCGCACAAGCCGAAAAATTCTCCCACATGAACTCCATCATCTCCTCGCTCTGCTCCACGCCAGTGAATGTTAAAGGTTGTTTCGTTCTCATTGTCTCGATCTCTTGACGGGAGAGTTTCTTGTAGGCATCCATGTATCCACTCCGCAGGATCAGGATATCGCCGAATTTGATCTCTGTTCCTTGATCTTGGGCCACACGGCGGAGCGTCTCGGCGCTGATGGAGTTCGTTTCGAAAGCGTTGTGTTCGAGGCCATTCTTCAGTCGCCAGGCGTGGTAGTCGAGCAAGACTCCGCGTCCGACGATGCCTTGTTCCGCCCAAGCTCCTACACCGTTGACGTTGCTCTTGTTGGGCCCGTGTATATCGTCCAGCGTTACGCCATTGTAGAACTTGGCTTCTTTCTGATATCCGAAATGTCGAAGGCCGTCCCATTGACTACTGGATTGGGTGTTGAAAGTCCAGACATCGTCGTTGACGATCCGAGGCGGTTTCTGGTAGACGTTCTTCGCGAAGGACTGGCGGCCGAAGAAGGGGACGTCGGCTTGCGCGTCGAGAGGCCAGTCGAGGTTGCTGCGTGTGCCGGTTTGGATCTCGCTGGCTGCTGCTTTGACTACGTCGTCTGTGAGGCGGTTGAGTGTGCCGAGCTGGTCGTCTTTGCCGTAGAGGCCCCAGGCTGCGGAGAGTCAATATGGCTTTCGCCTGTGTTCTACGCATTGGGTTTGGTAGAGAGTGTGCTCACCATTGTGGTGGGGACCGTTCTTGTCGACGGGTAGCTCTGAGAACTTGGGGATGGAAAGAGTCATTCTGCAATACCTTGATGGAGAACAGAAATCAAGTGTGCCTTACCTACGGCGCTTTCTGTAGCTGGTGTCTTACTGTAGTGAGATGGTTGCTGGACGACCCCTCACAGGCGCCGGCGTGTTCTTACGGCTGCTCGGGAGGTGATGAAGTGGAGAGAGAGGAGGGAGCTCAGCCGAACCGAAGCAGGCTGCCAGATGATCACCATCGCTATTCTCGTGTATCTCTTGGCTTGTTGATACTTAACTTAGAACAACCCCGTAAAATCGAGGCAATACCACGCGATATCCCCTGCACCTCACCTCTTCCCATCCTTGCATTTCCAAAGGTCGCACAACATCAAACTTCGATGTCCAAGCACCAATGCCTCCGTTAACGTCGCCCTCCATAGAGACAAAGACAAAGACCCTAGAAAGGAAGCCTGAGCAAATTTTATCGCTGAGTCGGCCAGCGCCATGCGCCCATGACAGCATCTCATCAAAACCGACCAAGCACGCCAAACAAGTTCTTGGGGCAAGACTATGCAAACCGGTCCATCGAGATGGGAATACCTAGCCTATCCGCAACACCCAGCAACACCAAAAAGCAACCACCAAAATCTCCCTACGAGATCCCTACGATCCGGCAACAACTCCAAAATCCCATCAAACTCCTCGCACGCCTCGCGGAATTCCATCTCTCCCTCCTGCGCTCCGATCGGAATCTTCGGAGGAATATCACGCTGGTTTGCATTTCGGATACACACTGTCTGCTTCCAGCCTCGGTGCCGTATGGAGATGTCCTGATTCATGCCGGGGATATGACGAATGCGGGCACCCCGGGGGAGCTTCAACGGCAGATTGATTGGATGCAGTCTCTGCCGCATCGGTATAAGGTCGTCATTGCTGGGAACCATGATACCTTTCTGGATCCCAAGAGTCGAGGGGTTCTGGGAGTGAAGGATCGGGAAGGGAAGGTTGATTGGAAGGACGTGGTTTACTTACAGGATAGTTCTACGATCCTGGATTTTAGCGATCGGACTTCGCTGAAGGGTGGCATGTTGAAGATTTATGGTTCACCGCATACGCCTGATTTGCTAGGACCGGAACATGCGTTTCAGCATTTTCCACGCGGGACGGATATTTGGGACGGGACGATTCCAAAGGATGCTGATGTTGTTGTTACGCATGGACCGCCAAAGTATCATCTGGATCTACCTGGTGTGGTGGCGATGGGCGATGAGTTTCTGCTGAGGGAGATCCGGAGGGTAAAGCCAGCGGTGCATGTTTTCGGGTAAGTTTCGACATGGGCGATTGCTATGACTTGACTTCTCTGACAGAGGTAGGCATATCCACGCCGGCAAGAGTGATTGTATAGGCCAACTTCGGGGCGGCCAAGAGCTCGTGCACTGGGATTCGACGGAACGACATTTCGAAGGAGCTGCGCGGCAGACTGCTCGTTTTGACCTCTCGAGAAGGATCGCTGCTTTCTATCATTTGGGCATGCTCTTCCTTTGCGGAGTGACGGTTCTGATCCAAGACCGTGTGTTTGGTATGGACACTTCGACCACACGGCTTGTCAACGCAGCAATGGTGTACTGCAATACCGGCAAGCTGGGTAACGAGCCCCAAGTCGTGCACATATGAGAAGCTAGATGGAGGCGCAGCGATGACCGGGCGTCGCCAGTGAGTACTGGCCTGTATAAGTATTGGAGCGACTGTAAATTAAATGGGTATAGAGCATGAACAAACGCAAGGCAAAGCTGAGCAAGCACCTGACAAAGGCCAGTCCTATCCAGTGGCCGGAGGAGCCGTTCCAGAGGCCACGGCCTCAGTTGGTGCGACGGTGGGGTTCTGAGTCTTCTGCTCGACCGCAGCATATTTCGGTTCCAGACCAGCGTCTTTCAGTGGCGCCGCAGTGCCACCATAGTCTTTTGGGATGTCGCTGCTTAGGTAGTTGTGCAGCTCCGAGCCGTAAGTCATCCAGGTCATGCTCTGAATGCTGTCGCTAGACATCAGGGCCTTCATGGCGCCCATCATCCATTGCATGACGATGGGTACGTTGACGAAGAACTTTGAAGACACAGTCTCGGGGTAGTATCTGAATGTGATCAGCGAAAGCGTCCGTGCCTCGAATCTTGCTGAGCTCACTGTTGGAATGTCTGCACAATCTTTGAAGACGAGTTCTTGATCTCCGCAGGCCTCCGTAGGAAGGATACGGAGAGGTAGTCGTGTACGTTGATCGTTCTGTACGGATCAGGACCTTTGCCGTAGTCGGGGATGGTCTTGGTCGCCTCGTTGAGGTTTAGATGAGAGATGGCAATCTCTTGTAAGCCAACTCGCCATCTCACGAAACTTGAGGCTGTCGTCAGCTCTCCTCTCCCGCACCAGCAAGGCTTGAACACCTACGCATCGACGTCTCCGAATGTCTTCTTCACGTCCTTGGTCGCAGCTCCGTAGATATTCCAGGTCACAACATCTTCTTCATTCGGCGAGCCCTTGACTCCCTTGACCTTCGTCACGTATCCGAGACCTCCAAACTTGTCGCCGTCAAAGCTCTCGTCTTTCACTTTCAGAGGTTGGTATTCTTTCCGCCATTGCAGTGCTTCGGTCAGTTGGGTCTTCGCTTTCTCGAGATCGTCGACGTTGGCTCGGAGGAATTTCTGGAGGATGAGAAGCGTTGTGTGCGGTGCTGGCGCTCTGTGCCATTGTCAGACATTGAATCGTGTCTCGAAAAGTGCTCGAGTATCACTCACTCATCCTTTGGCGCAACCAATTCTACACCATACATCTCCGCATACCCCGTCTTCTCCAAGATCTCCGGCAGAGCTGCCGCGAACTGCGAGAGCTTGTGCTCTTTGGGGAGATTATCCCAATCTTTCGCGATTTCCGCCATAATCTGGTCGACTTTGTCGTGAATGTTGGCACATTCGACTCTGTGCTGGCCCGGGAAACCCTCCAGCTGCCGATCCCTGTTGGAGCTGCCGGGATAGCTTCAATCAGCCGATACGCCCGGCCAATCAGTGAGCCTGAAGCACCGGTTGAGTTTCGGGAGATCAACCGGAGATCTGATAAGAGCTGCACAGGCTGCGAAAGTCAGGGTCAGGAGACTTCACTTGAAGTCTGAACGCTCCTCTCTTCTTCTACGGCATCGGGAGGCTTTTATATGGTCATCGTTCGAACACTGGAATTGCGCGTAGATCAGCCATTGGGCCTTCCTCGAGTCCACATCCTCGTCGGTTGGTTCCTTCGACTTCATCTATGGACGCCTTGTGGGTCAAGAAACCGCGGAGCACAGCCCCTGGAGATGCTGTAGCAAGAATGAGGAAAGGGATAATCATAGGAAGAAACTCAGTCAGATTTGGAACGCCAGGAGCAGCTCTCTCATGCTCCAAGAGGATCGGTCTCGTGGAGCAGGCCAATTGCGGAGGCTGAAATCGATGAGCTTTTGGCTGGGTACAGCGTGTTTCCACAGCGGACCGTTATGCCTAGATCAGGACAACAGCGAGTGTGATAGCACAAGGTCAGCGGTAGCAGTTGTTGAGATAACACTTCGACGTGCGAAGACTCTGTATATGATTACAGAGTGCAGGTCGAATGCGAAATGAAAATGCTACTTGTACGAAGACATGGAAGGTATCACGACATTTCAAACCCAACGGGTCTCGATTTCGGATCATATCTACCGTGACGTTTCCTGGCCTGCTGCATTTTCGAGGCGTGAATTCCAATCTGGCGTACCATTGTGCCATGTTGACTCCATGTTCCTGTTCCTCTCTGATATCCCTATCAGAGGACCATGTTGTTCTCCCCATCCGATGCCACGCGTGGTGTCATGCTCCTGCTTCTCTCTCTCTTATGACACTGTAAAAGGACCGTATTGTTCTCCCCATCCGATGCCACGCGTGGTGTCATGCTCCTGCTGCTCTCCTATGACCCTATAAAAGGGCCATGCTGTTTTCCCAACCGAGACCATGCATGATAGCATGTCTCCGTTGGCTGCTGGTGCCGGTGTAAAGCGACCATGCTGTTTTCCCATCCGATGCCACGCGTGGTGTCATGCTCCTGCTGCTCTCCTATGACCCTATAAAAGGGCCATGTTGCTTTTACCAACCGAGACCACGCATAGCAGCATGTCTCTGTTTGCTTCCGACGCCCGTATAAAGCGGCCATGCTGTTCTCCCTAACCGAGGCCACGCATGGTGGTATGTCTCCGTTTGCTTCCGATGCCCGTGTAAAGCGGTCACGTTGTTTTTCCCAACCGAGACCATGCATAATAGCATGTCTCCGTTCGCTGCTGATGCCCGTGTAAAGCGACCATGCTGTTTTACCAACCGAGACCATGCATGATAGCATGTCTCCGTTGGCTGCTGGTGCCGGTGTAAAGCGGCCATGCTGTTTTACCAACCGAGACCATGCATGATAGCATGTCTCCGTTCGCTGCTGATGCCCTCATCAAGCGGTCACGTTCCTCGTGCAAGACAAGCCAGGTCATGTTGTCATTGACCCCAAATCTTCCACATCCGCATATGATTGCGGAGACCCTCGTTCAACAGAACAAAAAAAAAGGCCCCGACCTCAGCGAGGAGCACCACCGCGTGGTGGAAAGAACTGAGTTCTTCCCCCCCAAAGCGTGGCACCGCCGCCACGAGATGGACCGCGAGGGGCAGAGACTGGTGGTCCATTGCCGCGTGGTGAACCACGGGATCCACTGGGTGGTGGACCGCCACCGCGGGATGTATTCGTGTGCTGGCCACCGCGAGCTGTAGCCGCTTGATGGCCGCCGCGAGCTGGACCCGCTTGTTGGCCGCCGCGAGCTGGACCCGCTTGATGGCCGCCGCGAGCTGTACCACCGAGACCGCGACCAGCGGGCGCTTGTGTAGCGCTGCCGTTGCCGGCGGTCTGCAGTTGATCGGCTGGTCCAGGCGCCGGGGTTCCCTCGTCTGGTGCCACGGTATCAGTGGATGCATCGGCTGCCTCGCGCCTCTCCTTCTCCTCGGCCGCTGCCCGTGCAGCTTCCAGTCGTTCTTCGAAACGGATCGTATGTTGCTGGTCTGGATCTTCGAGACCAATCAATTCCTCCAGCTCTGAAAGATCCGCTTTCATAATTGCGACTTGCCGCTGATAGGTCTCTGAGGTCCACCTGGCCCATGGCGTCCCCGGTCCGGGTCTCAAGCCCTTCTCGAACAGGTCATGTTGCCACGTCATGAGATTGACAAATGCCTGGGTATCGCCATACATGCGCCAAAGGCCATAGGCGTCGACTTTCTTGTCTGTATCCTTCAAATCCGTCTCCAGCTTGCTGAACGCAGAGCGCATCGCCGCCAAGTCGGTCGTTGCCTTCTTGAGACTCGCGGCCTGTTGGGAGTTTATCCTCTGTGCCTCCTGGAGACTCGCGGCCAGTTGGAAGTTTATCTTCCGTGCCTCCTCGAGACTCGCGGCCTGTTGAGAGTTTACATTCTGACTCTCTTTCAAGAGTTGACGCTGGTCTGACTCAAACCGCTTGAGCATATCTCTCACTAAGGCCTGGATGTTCGGTTCTTGAAACCCCTGCTTTAACTGAGACTTCACGCTCTTCTTGAACGCATTCATGTCATAATTCCAGGGGGCTTCTGACTTCATTCTCTGGCAGACACTCTCGACATCGCGCACTCTCGGCAGTATGGAGTCTTCGTAGGTCTCTGTGATCCTCTCCTTGAGACACTCCGCCTCGAACATCTCGTTCTTGAGCTTTGCAAGCGTTTCCTGAGTCTGTTTCGTCAGGCGCTCCAGCTGTTTCTTTTGCCGCTTCAACTCTTTCATCTCAGGGCCGACATCAGCGTGAGCAACGCCATCTTTGATCTCCTCATCCTCTGCCACATCGCAATCGGGGATGGTTCTGTGCGGGGTGTGGGGCCGAACGAGTCGTCGATCGACCGATTGCCTGACCGCGTCGATGTCTCTCGGCTGCCTGTCCGCTGGCATATTCTGGATATCATCGGCGAGATTCTGCGTGGGGCTGGAATAGTACAGACCCGAACGCTGGTCCTCGATCGAATCGGGCTTCTCCTGCTTCACAGCCTTGCCCTTACCCTTCTTCCGATTGGACTGGTCCGCTGCCGAGACTGACTTTTCTGCCTCGGTGGACGTTGGTGCTGTGGTCGGAGGCGGTGCACCGCTTGGACTCGTGTCGTTCTCTGTGCGAGTCGACTCTTCACGAGGCGGCGAGGCCGTGCCTTCGGTATTAGTATTAGATCCACCGGCCTGCCCCGTAGAGCTACCATGGGTGGGTCTCGTAGTATTTGAGTTAGTATTGGGCAGCAACGACGCTTGTCGCGCTGCGTCCAAAGTTGTGTTCTCATCTCTATTCTTCTTGGGACTGGGCCCCTTGGACCCATTGGATCCGCCGTTGGCCGGGTTCGACATCTTTCGCCTTTGTCGTGGAGAAAGTTGTGTGAACTGGAGAACTTTCGAATTGGGGGCGGCCACGGATTTTGAAAAAGCTGTTCCGTGTAGCTCCGGGCGTTCCCGCGCACCGCCACTCGAACAACGGCAAGAGAAGCCACAGACATTGCTCTCGCAGCTGGGTAGTTTAGTTCCTGAACTCGTAGTCTCGGAAACACTCTACAACTTTCTGCGTGGATACCCCTAACACCCACCGATATCAAGCCGTGACCAACAAGCTCTCCACGACGATTCATTGTACTTTCACTCTTTCTCGCGCAAGGACATGCTCCGACTATCGATCACTCTGGAGGATCCTCAGCAATTCATGCCAACTTGACCTGGGGAACGTATCGCGACAGGGGACTAGAGTTCCGACGGATATGGACTTCCGTACATTTCATCATTCTACTGTCTTCTATCCATTCACGTGGTTATCTTCCCCGCTAATCGACTATTCGTATGATCGAGCACGACCTGGTGTTCGTTTTGCAAGACTGTCATAGCTCATGCCCTTCTCTTGTCTTCTATCCCTTCGAACAAACTGCGGCACAGATGTAGCCTGGCGGGTCGACGGGGAGATTTTCTTCGGGATCTCTTCGCCGCAGGCTTCCAGGATGCTTTACCAGAGGAAGATGTCCTTATTCTGGCATTTGCAGAAGAGTTTGAGGTCAGTATCGCGACAATCACCGTGACATGACAGGACGTGAAGTTGGCCTGCCATGGCGGCTGGCTCTAACGCTTCGGCCGCGGCCGCCGCTTGTCAGCGGAGTCCCTGTCAAACTCTCTGGACCAGGTATTGTGTCGCAGGAACATCCAACGCACTTGCCACACGTAGCCCAAAATACAGAATCAGGTAGTAGACCATATGGATGGACTTGTGATGCATCACAAGTTTCCTCCGTAGGATATCGCGGGCCGGCTGGTCTTGGGATCTGCACGGAGCTCGCAAACAGGCTCGAAGCTTCACGAAAAGAGGATAAGGTAGGAGGACACCGCCGGCGAAGAGGACAAAGCATCTGAGTTATGGCAGGCTCAGAGAATGTTACACACGGTAATAAGTACCGAGGAATAGATACTAATACTAGGTCAAGAATCGCACTCGTTGGAAGAGCTCTTGTCTTTGCTCTCATTCACCTTTGCATTGGCATTTCGCCGGCCAGCCAAAGGGCTGTTCCTCCCAAGAGCAGCACTTCTGCCCGATCCAAGATGGACGCTGGTGTTGAGGCAGATGATCTGCCGTAACGAGATTCTCCTAGCCCTCAGGAGCACTCCAAAATACCACCAGCAAACTTCGCACAGGTATACGAGAAAGCCTGATCGAGCGATGGAGCCTCCACTGGCAGATTGTCAACAACAGCTTTTGGTCGCTGGAACGAATACTGCTATCGATGTCATTCCACACAAGTCTGCAGTCCATTCTGATCCATGATCCCAACGTTGGGTGCTCTTCCTGGCCCCAGGTCTCTGGACACTTCGTTCAAACTTTGACAGAAACACTCATCCGGCAATCGCCGAGAGCGCAAGACTTTGCCGACAAGGGCGCAGATTGCGTACCTATCGTTAACAGTGTTGGAACGTTGTTCAAACTCATCATGGTCTGGTGCCCACTTCTGCTGCCACACGGCGGTGTCTAAAGGGCCTATCGCCCGAACAGCCGGCTCCCTCGTCGTGGTCATGCCAATGTCACATTAACTTCTCATCATTCGAATATCCGATGACACCCCTGTTCTCGCGAAGAGTGCGGCATAGAAGACCAACGGTTCTCGTCAAGGTGAATGGTACACTAGCCTGTCAGCCCATTCCTTCGGTCAGAAATACTTCTGAGTGCCAAGTTTCTATGCTGCTGCTGGCTACAAGTAACACTGCACATGAAAAAGTCGCCAACGACGAGAGGGTTCACCGTGGTCTTCAGAGGAGCGTAGTGTGGCCTCCAGGCAACACGGAAGAGGACGCAAGAGTATATGTGCTGAGCAGCTCGAGTAAACAATGGAGAGACCATCAGATAGGAGCTGCATGTTGTGACTGGGTACATAGAGAAGTTGTTGGTTGGTAGGAACATCTCGTCGATGCGTATATGAAACGCCGATGATGTCCCCTGAGAAGATGTAATGTAGTATGTCTGCGCTGAACGCCTTTCTTGCCGTCCAACGTGAAGACCCAAACGTGTCTGTTGACGGATCACGTCTCTGGCACTCACGAGAGAATGAGATGTCGAAAAAGATTGGGTGCAAAAGCTCAGGTCTGAACGATTGACCACCGGTCGACATAGATTTATCTTCACTGGCACTCCACGTCGAGCGGTCTATCCCAAGCCAACGAGATCCAAATTTCTTGCACCAACATAGCGGAGATCCTTCTCTTCATACCCCGCCGATCACTCGCCAAACCAAGTAGCAAGGCTGAGGAGCTGGACGGTCTCGGTGACCTGAATGGCGTCAAAGCAGCGATCGCTAGTCATGGGCCAAGGACAGCGCAAGACAAGAAGAATCTCCTATAGGAGCATCGGACGACTGGAGAGGGATCAAAGGATGTGTGGTGACACGGGGCGGAATGCTCAGGCCGGACCTGCATACCTCATGGGGTTTAGACTGTGAAAACTGCCAAGTCAAACTGTGCTGACATCCTCAACACTCCCACCAAATTCTGCATGATCCCCCTCACATCTTCCCACAAGCAGGTTGTCGCAGACTCTATCAACACGTTCGTTCTTGCAATACTAACGATGACTGTGAGATTAGCAAATGGGGGGTTCGTCGAGCTGATGGACTACCTGACGACGGGCGCGCCGATACGACCGGATCTGGACACCTGGCTTGGAGAGGATCCCACGCGGACTAAGCAGACATGAGGACAGGAAGGGAAAGATGAAAGAAGATGGGAGGATGAGAAAATGAAGATGAAGATCCAAAATGCTTTGCGGAGCTTCAGCTATGTATAGGGGGATGTCGATTTGAGTGCGACGACGGTCGCCTCGATCCCTTGGAATGTTGGTGGAGGCAGCCGATATCAGGATGAAGAGATCTGCTGAACGGACGACTTCGTTGAAGCGGTGCTGTTCGTGGTGTGCATCTTTTCGTGATGTGCACCTCTGCATGGCTACCTCGATGTGCCTCTTCTCTCCAAGGATGCCAGTCTCGGGGATCCCAGAGTCCTGCCATGTATCGGTCTCTCCTCTGGAGCCTGACCTTCTGGATCGCATCTGTGCGGGTACTTCGCCCTTGGATGGCATTCCCTCATGCCCATGCGATTGTTCCTACCATTGCCATCACTCAGGATGCCAGTCTCGGGGATCCCAGAGTCCTGCCATGTATCGGTCTCCTCTGGAGCCTGACCTACTCTGGATCGCATCTCGTGCGGGTACTTCGCCCTTGGATGGCATTACCCCATGCCGCTGCATCACTTCCCGTGCGATTGTTCCGACCATTGCCATCACTCAGGATGCCCCAATTGACCGGCCATTCGGCACACAGTCCATTGTGTCGGTGACAGATTCCGACGGCGTGTTCATTACAGGCCATGCTCTTCTGGAGACCGCCGATGCATTGCAGCAACGCGAGTCAATCCATGATTGTCCATCCCATGCTTCCAATGTACTCCGTGACCGGGATACCAGTGCACGCGGGCCACATTCTCATGACATGCCATGCTCTTCTGGAGACCGCTGATGCATTGCAGCAACGCGAGTCAATCCATAGGTGTCCATTCCATGCTTCCAATGTCCTTTGCGACCGGGATACCAGTGCACGCGGGCCATGTTCTCCATTCATCCACTACTTCCAATGTCCTTTGTGACTGGGATGCCAGTGCACGCGGGCCACGTTCTCCAATTCTTCAGAGTCACATCATCAACATCATCCACGGAACTCACGTGGCGACAAAATCCGATTGTGGCTCGGCGAACATGCCGCTGCCAACCTCATCTTCTCCTGGCTGACGAGCGTCCTTCGATCCTCGTCTCGCCCGAGACGGCGCCATTGGCGGTCCGGTGACCAACTCAAAGTTCGTCGGGAGGTGGTTTGGCGAACATGTCGGTTGCTGAGGGCAACCTCATCTTCTCCTGGCTGACGAGCGTCGTTCGACCCTCGTCTCGCCCGAGACGGCGCCATTGGCGGTCCGGCGACCAACTCAAAGGTCGTCGGGATGTGGCTCGGCGAACATGCCGCTGAGGCCAACCTCTTCTTCTTCTTCTTGACGAGCGTCGTTCGACTCTCGTAGCTGCTGACGCTCACCTTGCACCCGGTGAGCTTGCTCGTCGAAGAGACCGGGGGCGTTGAGGGTGTACTCATTCCCCTCGGCCTGTTCCTGCCGAAGCTGGCGTTGTGCTCTCAGAGTCGTTGTTTCCTTCGATGTAGCGGGTGGACCCCGCTACAGCACCTCGTCGTCTTCATCGACACGATCTTGGCCATCTTCGCCGGAACCGAAATCGTCCGAAACAGCGACACCGGCATCCGGCATCTCCACATCATCAGACTGTCGCTCGTTCGCAGACTGTTGCTCAGGCGGCGCGGGAGCATGTCTGCCTCCGTATATGCCATCGCCCCTGCCTGGACGTTCCTGCATGCCCATCACACGCTGACCGTCGGCTCTCAGGTTTGAGGCATTGGAAGCAGGATCGGTGTGGGCTCCACCGTGGTGACCTTCGTCTTGTGTGTCCCCTCTTCCTGGATTGACAGGAATGTCGAATGGCTGCACCGGAGGGCCATTGTCGCCGGCATTACCGTGGCCACGACCGCGGGCATTGCTACCACCGCGGCCACGACCGCGGGCATTGGCACGAGCGCGGATAATGCGGCTGTAATGACTGCGGACTGGATCAAGACCGCGAGGAGGCGCCGAACCGCGAGGAGGCGCTGAACGGCGAGAAGGCGTCGGACCGCGAGGAGGCCCCGAACCGCGAGGAGGCGCTGAACGGCGAGAAGGCGCCGAACCGCGAGGAGGCGCCGAACGGCGAGTCGATGCACGCCCTCGAACTTCGTAACCGACATGACGAGTCGGGTCTGCCTTGTACCGCTTGTTCTCGACGTATCCGTCGTCATCGTCATCGTCGTCACGCTTCCTCCGTCGGTCGCTCGCGGAACCCGCGTTCGCAGAATCATAGGCCCTGACGGCACTGATGATCTCCGCTATGCTGGCGGTCGTCGGCGGCGCTGGAGCTGCTGGAGCTGCTGGAGCTGCTGGAGCTGCTGGAGCTGCTGGAGCAGGCGCTGGCGGTGGCGGTGGTGCACCGTAGTAATACGGGTGTGCCGGATAACCGTATGCGTGCCCGTATGCGTGTCCGTATGCGTACGGAGATGGTGGAGGTGGTGGAGGTGGTGGAGGAGGTGGAGGAGGTGCTGGAGGGGCTTGGTAGCCACTGTAGCCTCCATTGCCACGTTCCTGGTCGTACCCCTGGTCGTACCCCTGATACCGGCCTCCACGACCGGGTGCCTGGCCCTGGTATCCTCTACCACGGGAGCCACCTCGACCATGACCTTCGTATGAACCTGTATTCCCAGGTTTAGTATTGCCGGCCGGCATGCATGGCATGGGTCGGCCGTTCTTCATATATGCATTGCTGCAATTTCCACAAGGTATTTGTCTGTCGCACTGCAGACGCTTCTGCACGCAGCGCTGACAATCTGCGCTCATCTTGACGTGCACGGATTGTTGTGTGTGTTGTAAGATGAAGTCGAGAGGAAGATTCTCGTCGCGGCGGACGACTTTTGTTTCAATTCTCGTGGCGCCATCTGCGGGTCGTGCCGTTCAGTCTTGGCGCGGAATGCCATTTTCTCGTCGCCAGCAAACAAGGAAGTCCCCTCTCTCCATGCACCGCATGCATTGAGAAGGGGCAGGTAGATTCGTGCTTGTTTAACATCTGTCCCACAGAAGTACCGGAGACCGACAACTGAACACGAGTATAAACAATACTGCCGACGGGCAAGCGAGTGACCAGCAAACCGGTCGAGAACCCCAAGTCCCGCATGATACCACAGGCGCTTCGGCAGTCGAGTCCAGCTGTAACGGCAACATCTTCGCGTACGCCATCGGCTACGATGAGAGCAGAAGCTACGGCGGCAACAACGCGCACTTATCGAACAAGATCAAGCTCCAACCCACACCGCGAGACTATGAGAATGTGACTACTAGAACCACTGATGAGCAAGCGGCACACATCTGCTAAGGTAAAAGGAACGTGACTCTGCGAGAGACACTGGATCGCAACCGATGCAGTTAAAGCATTCGTGCAAGTGCAAGCGCCTCTCTGGGAGACACTGGAACGCAGGTGACACGGCCTCGTGAAGAGTCAAGGTCTTGAGAAATCACTGCGGTAAGTAGCCATGCCCATGGCCATTTGACAGGTAGGTCTCGTGTGGAAGGAAAAGCAGAAGTTGCTGAGGGCGTGCCCACAAGACCGTAGAGCGTCTTGCTCAGCAATACGTAGCATGTTGGGTGAACAATGAATTTGATTCTTTGTTTCATTGCCCGCGTCTCATGTTTATTTTTCTAATGTTGTCCTTCTGTCGTTAACGGACGCTCCCCAGTCATCAATCGCACAGCTGCATGAATGAGGCCCAACATGATCAAACTCGATCTCTAATTTGTCCTCCAATTTATTGCATGACCTCCAGAGCCCGCTCCGCTGCTTGCCGTGCTAGACGATGCTGTAGCGGTTAGATCTGCTGCTGTAGACTGTTGTGTCGTTTGCCATGGCTGCAAAGGAAACATCGGAGAGGGCACTTGGGTTCGCCGGAGCGGTAAAGGCTTTCATGGACGCCCAAATGAAGGCGTGGCTGTAGCCCTTGAAGAGAATTGGTCTTTATTGGCCTCGGGTCAGTCGCCGTCGACGCAGGAGAAGCCGGTGTGGCTGGGCTTGGAGTAGCAGCAGGGGTCGTAATACCATCCGCTGTTGTTGCCTGCTGCAATGCTTATGGTGGATCGTACAAAGAGCTCCATAGATAGCAGTACAAGGCTTCCATTCGGGGTCTTTGTTCTGTACTCCGGTTGGAGCCGCAACGACGGATGATATGGCCCAGGAACTGGACAGGTGAAGTAGAGTGAGGTCGGTTCAGAGGCGTGTATGTGCTGCTAGCGAAGCCGATCTCGTATGCACCTTTTGCAAGATATCTCACTCATTTCTCCTGAGAGTCGTCGTAGCCGTTCGCAGGGACAAAGCAGCTCGGCTGGGGACATCCTCAATGCCAGCTTGTCGTATAGTAAGTCTCTGGTACATAAGTGAAGGTATACGTGCAGACGCTCGTGGTTGAGCTCGTGATGCTGTAGTCGGATCAGGGACTATGTGGTCGTATATGTTGTGACAGAGTGGTCACCGTTCTTGGGTATCGCGTTATGCTAGTTGTCACCCGTGGCACCGTAATGTGAGTTTTTACTGCAGTCAGGCCTCGCAACCAATACTCCTTCCATTGACTCTAGCAGTTACCCGAAAGTGCGGAAATCGCAGTAACGTTTAGCATGTTCGAAGCCGTGGATGTAATGTTACCTCGCGTAGGACGTAGGACTCCAGTCTCAAGCACACAACCCAGAGGAAGACATCGTGTTTGCGTGATTAGCAATGCTGTCATTGCCAGAAATGGCCGTCAAAGCTACTTCTTGTCTTGATGAGCTGTCGGCCTTTGGAGGCGTGGTGAACGTTAGATGTTAGCATGGTCGCACAGCATGCGTAGGACCGTATCCAAAAGAGCCCCGTCGCTCTGACCGGCTCACGAGATTTCTGAACCTGCAAGCAATGCATTGTTGACAGATGCCAATGATTCAAACCACTCTTTTAAGGCGGACCATGGAAGCCATGGAGTTGGTTGGACTGGCCCAGGATGGAATGATGGAGGAGAATCGTTCAGCTCCTATAACCTCTCGACAATTGCTTCCTTGCTAGATTCGTTGGGCGAGTTTGCGGCATCTCTTGCGTGTAGAATACTTGTGAGAGTGCGATGGCAGAAAGTTGCAAAGGCTGTGGACGAAGACAAAAGCACTGACAAGAAGAGGAGAAGAAGCACATTCTGTCCCAGGGGTTTCACGCTTAGCCGGAAAGTCAGGTGACAAGCCGAAGGAGCCGGGCCGAGAGCTGCCGTTGGAGCTGGCTGGACCTCAGCCTCCCGTCTCCAACTCGCCCCCTTCCATTATTGAGCACAATCTCCTCGCCTCTTCCACTCTCATCTGCACCTGCAGGTGAATCGCCAGACACACCCACACCCTCATCGCGGATATAGATTGTGCCGGTCTAATCATGATTCTTCTCCGCTAGACTGCGCCGCGCATGCCCCGCCTGCTGACTGCTTGAGCCCGGAGCCCGCCATGTTCACAGCCTCGGGAGGAAAGAAGCGCAACAGAGATGTCGACGACGAAGGAAAAGAACTTCAGGGACCCTTCGAGAAGGTAAATAATATGTTTCCATAGGTTTCTGCAACCCCTCTGACTCTGGAACAGCGGTCGCGAGCAACCACAGACAGCAGCGACGGCGATCAATGGTTCCATCACGACTCGGTGCTCAACACGCCCACCACAGCACGCGAGCAACCCAAATATGACAGCGACGATGAGCAGTCTTCGTCCATCGTCTCCGAGCCGGGCAGCCCGCAGGATATCTCCATGTCAGATGGAGATGAGGGCATGGGTGGGGCGACCTTCTCTCAATCACCGGAGGATAACTTCATCACGCACCCTCGGCCGGCCATCCACAGTCCATGGGGACAGCGCTTACGCACAGAACGTGTCCCAACACCAGCAGTGCCGATGAGACCCGGTGCCAGCTCACCTCGCATTCGGACTGGTCCCAAGCAGCATATCCGGAAGCGACATCCGCAGCAGAACAGCACTGGCTCGGCGGGTTCAACAGGCTCGGATCACCTCGAAGTACCTTCACCTATAGACGAGGATGAAGTGCCAACTCCACCGTCCGCGGCAGAAGCGGCAGGATCGCAACTCAGCCAGTTGACAGTTAGTGACGTCGATATGGACGAGTCGGATGCCGCGCCTACCATTTCCATTGACCCGGCTAGACCTCCGAGTGTCAATGCAAACAAGACCCAGCAAGACTATTCTAATCCTTTGGGCCCCATGGAGTCCGGAGCACATAGTCTGGTGGTCCGCAAACAGCGTCAACGCAGCGGCGCACTGAGTAGTGGAAATTCACCCGTGAGATGTGTCGACCCTAGCACAACTTCCCACAAGCGTGGCTTCAGCATGGGCTTTCGAGCAGACTGTGAGAAATGCCGGCTGAAAGTGCCCGGGCACATGAATCACTTCATCTCATAGTGGAGCGGGCATCCGGAGTTTACAGGACAGGAGGAGCAGGGTCACGCGACAACGCCATTCGTTTGTTTATGAGTTTCGAGCGAGAGGTGCTGGATGGAGTTCTGCTTGTTTTCGCGATTGCTTGATGCTTTTGATGAAGATCAGCCTTGGAGTGCTTTTCACATAATGAGTTGGACAGTACTGGCAGAGTACGAAGAGAGACGGACACACAGCACGAGGCAGCGCCGCGTAGCAAGCATTAGTATTAAACTAATTAGCTAGACATCCCATCAAGCTCTTTCAGTCCCCATTATCTTCCAAATCACGAGCATCAACCTCGCTCTCTTGGTCCAGATTTTGTGATGCTTTCAGAGAGCCAAGCAAGAACAGGAGAGAGCTGGAAGTCTTTTTGATCGGCATTTGACGGCATTTGAAAGTCGGTGGGGTTGGATTCGATTGCCGTCCTCCCACTTTCACACCTCCATTTTCATGGGCAGAAAGGTCAAATTAGAGCGGTCCATTTGTTCTCCGGGAGCTCGCTGGCTAAATTCGAGCTGCTCAGGCACAGATGAGCTCATCGATGCAGCTCCGCTTTAGCCAAAAGATTCTGCCTGTTTCTCTCCCCTGAAACACCGTCATATCATCCTGTGCTGTGATCCGTCCCACTGACATCGACAGCACACCGACATCGACAGCACACCGACATCGACAGTACACCGACATCGACAGTGTGACAGCTTTCAACTCGGCAGAGATCCCATCACTACATCATCATGTCCAAATATCAGCTCAAATGGGGCATTCTGGCCACGGGTGGTATCGCCGAGACCTTTGCACGCGACCTGTGGCCCAATCCTGAGGTCAGAGGCGTCAAGGACATTGAGCACGTCGTCGTGGCAGCAGCATCTTCCTCCTCAGCAGACCGAGCCAAGTCATTCCTCCAAGAAGTCCGAGCACCAGAGTCTGCGAAACCATATGGCTCGTACAAGGAGCTTGTGGCAGACCCAAACGTCGACATCATCTATGTGGCCACTCCACACTCACATCATTACCAGAATGTCATGCTCTGTCTTGAGGCCGGCAAAAATGTGTTGTGCGAGAAGGCATTCACCACCAATGCGGCTCAGACGGAGGCATTGATCAAGAAGGCCAAGGAGAAGAATGTCTTTCTCATGGAGGCTGTGAGTACTTTCTACTTTGCACCATTGAGAGCAATGCTGACGGTCACTCCAGGTGTGGACCCGATACTTTCCTCTCTCCATCTACGTACGTGATCTCATCACTTCTGGGAAGATTGGCACGGTACACCGCTGCACGGCGGACAACAGCATGGCATTGGCACCAGAGGAGAGCTTCCCCGATGACAAGTCTCGAATGGTCAACATGGATCTAGCAGGCGGCGCTCTTCTCGATCTGGGCATCTACTCACTGACCTGGGTCTTCCAGACCCTATACCATACCCAGAAGAACCCCAAAGCACCCAGCGTGATGAGCTCTCTCAACCAGTACCGAACAGGTGCAGACGAGCTCACCTCCATGCTCCTGACTTTCCCACGCGACGGTCTTCCACCCGCCCACGGCATCGCGACAACCTCCCTTCGTGTGGCTTCCGACCCCGACAAGAAGGGCTCCGCCGGTCCATGCATACGCATCTCCGGCTCCGACGGCGAAATCCAAGTCTTCCCTCCCGCCTATCGCCCTACCAAAACGAAGCTCATCCTCAACGACGGCACAGTCGAAGAGAAAGACTGGTCGCAGCCTGGTCCCAGTAAGAGCACGGGCTGGAAGAATGGTTTCGGCGCTGACTGGAACCCCGTAGGAGAAGGACATGGAATGTTCTGGGAGGCCGATGAATGTGCCTATGCTCTGCGGGAAGGCCGCAAAGAAGGTCGATATGAGAGTTTGGAAGAGTCGCTGGTGATTATGAAGGTCATGGATGAAGTGAGAAAACAGAACGGAATGGTATATCCAGAGAAGATTGAAACGACGAAATATCCGGTCGATTTGTAAGATCGCGAACATAAACGGGCTTTTGGACCCAATAACAACCGAGTCAAATCCTCAATCTTTCGGCTGATTCGGGTTGAAAATACGGGTTAGTAGTCCCCATTGGGTATGTATTGCTGGCCCCGGCAAAACTTCGGAGGCATATGACTTTGACTCGCCCTATTGTGTCAGTGAGCCACTTTAAACGTCCGGAAAATCTTTCCCCCACACCTCACAACTTCCGCTCTTTCCAGTGACCCGAAAACCATGCATATCTCCGGACTGCCGCGTCCGCTGGCCGCTCTGCCGACCTGCAGATATGATGAAAAGTGCCAAACTCAAAGCAGCCTAGCAGCCGTAGAAATCCGCAACAGCAGCAGCAGTACAGCGTACACTGCCGACAACGATTTCCGTGTCGTAAGGACCACGTATTGCTTACACGATGATTGCAACAGCTCAGAAGGGGCAAAAGCGGCAAGATGAACACATATACAGACCGGGCGAGGAGTATGTACAGCCTCGATTGCCGTCTCTAGAACCTCGCATCGCAACCCAACGGCAGCTTCAGGGTAGTACGATTATACAATGGAGTACTACCACGATACATGGAAGCTCGATGTCCAGCCGGAGAAGCAGCTGAAAGTGATTATTGTCGGCGCTGGCATTGCAGGTCTGACTGCGGGCATTGGTACGTTCCACAAAACCTCGATGCAACAATAGACTCAGTATAAACACTTACGAGTACATGACTTTAGCCCTCAAACAGTCCGGACACCATGTCGTTATCCTAGAACAAGTCCAATCCATCGCAGAAGTCGGAGCCGGAATTCAAATGGCACCAAACAACACGCGAATTCTCGGACGCTTGGGCGTTCTCCCGGAGATTGCGAAACACTGCAATTTCATGGAGAAGAATTCTCTTCGTCGCTGGAGAGATAATTCTGAGCTGGGGAAGGCTCCTCTGATGCCGGAGATTGCTGAGAGCTATGGTGCTCCGCTCGGCGTGATCCATCGCGGTGACCTCCAGATGACGCTCTTGAAAGCAGCCAAAGAGAATGGTCTTGATATCAGAACCAACCACAAGGTCATCAAAGCCGATCCGAACTTCGAGGCGAAGGTACAGCTTCAGAGCGGAGAGTGGGTCGAAGGAGATGTTGTTATTGCTGCCGATGGCATCAAGAGCCAACTCCGTGCTCAGATTGCGGAGCATCATCATCACAGCGACCATTCGACTGCAACGGGCGATGCTGCGTATCGAATCCTTATTCCAAAGGAAAGAATGTTGCATGATGAGTATGCCCTGAAACTACTCAGCGAGGATGTCGGCATGAGATGGATGGGTCCGGGAGGTCACATCATGGCATATCCGTTGAAGAATAATACGGTCTACAACGTCAGCAGCCAACAGGAATTGAAGAAAGCTTTGAGCTGACCTCGTCCCAGATGGTCCTTTTACACCCGCAAAAGCCCAATACAGATTCCAGCGAAGCAGAGTCCTGGACCCGAAAAGGCGACAAAGGTAAAATGATGGAGTTCTACAAGGATTGGTGCCCAGAGGTCCGCAATCTCCTTTCGTATGTTCCAGATGGGGAAGTGATGGAATGGACACTGAACTCCCACGCGCCGCTGCCGTCCTGGGTCGAGAATAAGGTCGTGCTAATGGGCGATGCTTCACATCCCATGCTTCCATACGTGGCTCAGGGAGCGGCCCAGGCGATCGAAGACGCCGGTGTCTTGCAATGCGTGTTGGCCAAGAGCAGTACCAACATCCCGCTTGCTCTGGATGTGTACCAATCCGTGAGGAAAGCAAGAGCAGAAGCTGTGCAGAGCTCAGCCGCAGCGACGAGGAAGGCTTTGCATCTTGCCGATGGCCCAGAGCAGAGGGAGCGAGATCGGAAGATCCGAGAAGCGAGCGAGGGTAAGGGCGATAATCCTGATATGTGGGCGGACAAGACGTTCCAAGAGTTCATGTGGTGAGTGAGGCCTTGAGCCTTGTTCCAAGCTGTCGTGGACAACATACTGATCTCTCTCGTACCCTGTAGGGAAACCGATGTGATGAAAGACACCATCGTTCGATGGTGGGAGCATCAGGCGCGAGCAGAAGGCCATCATTTGCATGACTTGGCGGCTGTGGCCTATACTTAGTCTCGTTCAATCCGCAATCCAGGCCAAGCATTTCGTACTCCCAAGTTAAGGGTGTAGCAACTTCGGCTGTCCAGGTCGATGTCCCAGCTCCGTGAAAGCCCCTGAAAGTGTCTCCCGAATAACTTCTTGCTTTCTCGCGTTGTACCCTCTCCTTTCTCCCTCGACATAGCAGCACACTGCCTCTTCACTCTGACATATAATTTGCGGTTTTCCTTATGCTCTCATACTCTCGGCCAGTCTCTGCATATGCGATGTCTTTCTACTTCCGGACATTTGCGGTCTCCAGAGGAAGGAACAGCGCACGTGAGGCTGACTAATCAGGGGCTGTGCCTAGGACTCCGGCCTAGCTACCTTTTCCTACATGTCTACCTTTGTTGAACACACCCGATAACGTATGATGGACAATCTGACTGCGCGGATATGCTTCGAGCATGCCAAGCAGCAAAAGTGCCGCTGATGCTGGCAGAGCAATCCTCCCGAGGAGCATATCAGCTAGAAGAGGATTCGTTCACATCGATCCAAGCCGATTTGAGGATATCGAGACATAAGCCAAGTCTCAGTAGTCCACTTCACACTGCTACTTTGGGACTTCAGACGCTCACCTCGTCCCTTTTGACAGGGCAGTTGCATGTTATGTCATCTTCAATGGCCGCGCATATCGCAGCCAGGCCTATGGACTCAATATGGACGAAAAGTACCATCCAACAGTCTGCGTAAATAGCGTCCTTCTTCGTGGCGAAGCACACACCCGGTACACTCTTCCAGCATGTCATGACCAGCTTCCCATCCGCGGGCGTGTTTGGACTTTGTCGTCGACGACCCACGGAGAAGGCCCATCGGTACAACTCCCTATTAACGCTCACAAAGCAGCCCATCACGTTCTTATCAATTCTGACTTCGTTCCTTGGAGCATCAGCTCAAAGTGATGCATCGGCCAGGTACACCGCGATGTTCAGTGCCGCCTCAACAGATGCTACGGTTGCGTCGAAAACATCTTCGGCTAAAATTTCAACAAACTCGCCTGTCGCTATAGCCGGCCACGATGGTGATCCTAGCACCACATCCTTGATGTCCGGCCAGTCAAGAGCTCAGCACGTTCGTCCAGGTGCTGAAAATGGACAGGTTCTCGGACCGCATCGACGGCATTGTGACGGCGAGAATTCGCAAGCATGGCTCAGTATGCGTGCGTCACTGGCCGACACAATATCAAGGCTCTGAAGGCAGAGGACGAGCTGGCAAGATATACAATCTCTATTGTTCTGCAGATCAATTTGACATTACCGTCATACATTCCATTTCCACGTCTGTATCGTTTTCATATTACAACTCTTCTTGCGACACCCATCCTAGAACGTGAGGTCAATCACCACCTCTTCCTTCCTCTCCTGCTAACCAGTTCATCGAGAACTTCTAAAAGTCAATGTTCACAGCAGCGCTCTGTGGGCCGTACACAGTGGCCAGGAAATTGTCGACCAGAGCTGCGGTAGTGGCGTTGTTGGAGACGGTGAGTTCCAGACGCGCGACCTGCAGGCCCTGCCAGCCCTGGTTGAAGTATCCCAGCGTCATCTGCTGCAGCAGCGCACCAGTGGCCGCGTACTGGAAGTCCTGGTTGTAGATCTTCTGACCCTTGGTGTTGAATCCCGTCGCGGTGATGGTGCAGCTTGCGGGCGTGGATGCGGCGCCGTTCGCATCGGCAACGACTCATCCGTAGTAGAAAACGTACGGGTTGAAGTAGGTGATGGGCGAGTATTGGTATTCGGACGTAATGACTGCCGGGCCCACGAGGGGGTTGAGAGTCTGGCCTGGCGTCAAAAGGCCAGACTGGAGGGTCGTGGCAAGCGTGAACACGGTGCAGGCGGGAGCGGTGTGGCAGGCCACTCCAGCAACGGGAGGCTGCGTCTGGTTGACGAGGACGGTGTTGAAGTTCAGCAAGTCGTAGTTGCCAATGGGAGTAGTAGACACTGGGAGTTGACCGGTGATACTCGTAAAAGTCTCGAACTGGATGTGCTGTCAGCCGTGGACATCAACATATCCTGGGTGTTTGTACGAACGTTGTAGTTGATCAGAAAGCTCTGCAGATTGTTGCTGGGTGGGTTCTGTCTGCCGGACCCACCGGAAACGCTGCTACGACGCTCAACTGATGCTGGGGATGCGGTTGCGAGAGCTGCAAGCCCGGCGAGGGAAGCCAGGTACGATGCGGTATGCATGTCGGCGTTTGTTGCTGGTGGTATTGATCAAGGGTGTAGTGGAAGTGTACCTGAATTTGGCGATATTGCAGGAGTCGTACGTGGATAAGACCAAAAACTCCACATCCTGCGATCCATTATTATTATTATGGGCCTTGCTGAAGCACTACCGCCTACGGCGGCTCGGGCACTACTACGAGTAAGACAGTATCAAGTGTACTCCGATTCTCCGAAAGACTACCAAATTCAAGTCTCCGCATTTTAGGCACGGTGCTCCGCGTGAACTGTACGCCCAAGACGCCGAAGGTAGTCTGGCCTTGAAATCGATGATATTGTTGACGATTGACAGCTGGCCACGTGGCTGAGCTGCCTCATCGAGGTTAGACCAACTCGACGACATGGGACTTATGACAGATTCCGTCTGTCTGGCAACGATAGATCGGGAGCGGGAAACGGTCCGCATCTTGCATACGATTAGCGTGAGTTGGATATTCCAAAAGCAGTATTGATGTTTGGAAGCCAGAAAGCTTATAGTCGCTTCACATGTTGCTCTCCCCGTTGGTTCATGGGCCGTCGTACTAAGAGGCGCTGAAGCCATGCTGCAAGACGCGGACATATCCAAGTATTCCGGCACGTGTCTTACAATGGGTACGAGCATCGATCCTTGTAATGCGGACTCTTCGTCTCGTTCACGCCCTCTTGAATCTGTCGGAGCCACGTTTTCCGGCGTCGGAGTCTGGAGACTAGCGCACATGCAATCACACTATGCATCGCGGAAATCAAGATGAACGATTTAGGTCAAGGAAGATCATCCCTCGTTATTGCCAAACTGGCAGCAAGCAAAAGCCCTGGGACCTGGCTCCATTCATCGCCACCACTTACGTCATGGAGGCTCTGCATTCTGTTCGCCAGCATCCGCAATGAGGTGGTCGACGCGCCTTTGTGGAGGACTCTGCATGACAAGCATGTCATTTCCGCTTTGCGCTGCGACGTTCGATGAGCGTAATATCCATATTTAGCTTCGCGAGGTAAACGCAAAGTCCAGGCTTATTAACCAGGTACCGTGGGAAAAAACGTGCCCAGAAGGATGTTGTGGCCCTCCTTCTGCAATTCCAATTCTAGATCGGTGCCCTTCGCGACATCCACATCCATGGATGCCACCTGAGCTCCGGGCAGAGAGCCTCAGCCAACGCTTTGCCCAGCCCTGAAGCACCTCCAGTGATGGGACAAGTCTTTCCGGCCAGATACTCCCTCGGAGCGGCCATCGCGAGACGTCGACCTCTTCTGCTGACAGTTGCTGCGTAATTTGTGTCAGCCGCTCTTTCGCCTTCGGATTGGGATAGCTCATCTTGGGCGAAGACGAAGCGGAGAAGATAAGTATGAAGGAAGCATACAGGTACCTCGGGGAGTAGATGTAGAGTCCAGGTTTGGGCCTCTAGCTGACGCAAGCCAAGAGCTGATGTAGGCGCAAGGCTAGCGGTCAGCTGCAGTCTGTTGGCAAGAGTCTTGTCTCAGTGTGCTCGCCCCAGATAAGACCAACAAAGAGCTCCCAACTTGCGAATCTTTGCGCCGCGCCCGACAACGGCGACGAGGTTGGTCAAATCGCATCCGAGAGAATGGCGACGCTCGTTCTCGACAAGACTTCACAGTTTGCCGTCCTTTGATTTTCGTTGCCGGCTTGGATATACTTGATCCGCCTATCGCCGTTTAGTATGTCTAGGCTTTGTGTCCTCTTGTACATCCATCTACTTTGAACACTTCTGAACACGGCCCATCTTTCACCGCCGCGAGTGTTGACATCAATCCCGAGGACACGCTCGTCTTCGGACATGCTTTGGAGGTCTTGCAACGGCCAAGCGTTGAGCACCTGCTGAGATTGATGAGGCGTACGCCGAACGATGGGATGCTGAGAATCCCTACCCTCTTTCATCTGTCGAATGGCGTGTTGGTGACTTTGCCAGCTGTTGCAACACAGGAGAATGGCAGAAGCTGGAGGGAGCTCGTCAGCGGCGCTGAGAGGTGAGCAACGACTTCGTCGCTCCTGCGCTTCTCCCGTATCGACCGGCCGATCTGATATGCGGAAAGGTTGCCAGACTGTCCGGCGAGCATCGAAGCACCTTAAGGAGAACTCTGTATATCCATCCTATCCGATCAGCGAGTAGAGGAAGACCGTAAAAGTGAACACGATACCATGGGCCTGATATCGTTGCAAGAAGATGCCACGTCAAGCGGCGGAGACGATGGAAGGTACGTTGACCAGATGAATAAGCATGCTCGCCGCTGGTCATGATACAACCTCCGGAACTTTTTTGCGCGCACTGTGACTGCTCGCACGCCACCAAAAATCTTCCGGAGCCAAGTCCGAGAGGAGATGATGATGGAGTAAACCGGCCTCAAATGAGCGTCCACATACCCGGATCGTTGCGACGGCCTTTCCGAGCCGTAGCCCAAACCGTCCAAGAGGCTCAACAAGCGGAGATCATCGGCAATATACATGTGCCCGAGCCAAGGAACACGAATGTCCGTCCCACCTTAGACGCTACAACGAAGATCGTCCGTTTGGGCCAGACGCAAAGCCCGATCGCTGGCTCGATGGTCGCTCTTACTAAGCGTAGCATTTTTGCTCGCGACGATGAGATTCGTCGGCTTCTTATTATTATTGCGGTACTGCGGCGATTCGTTATTAGTAGAGCAGAAGGGAGCCGGCCGATGGAGAGCTGCGAACGAGAGGGATTAGTACCATTCAGCCAGAGAATGGATAGGAAGTGCACCCGAGGGAGGTTGACAGCACAAGCTGTGATGGGATATGAGATTGTAAGAGACCAAAAGGTGCTGTGATGTAAGTAATGGAAGATAAGGAGTGGGAATAAGCTCAAGCGAGGCCATCTCCGTGTGCACGGACATCAATCGGCATTCGACATGCTAAGGTAATAATCACGAGGCGGAGCAAGACCGGTCCATCTACGAGAGACATGTGAGATACACACCACAATAAATACAGCAACATGACCGGCCCTGCCAACAGACAGACACCAAAGACCGATGATGAGCAGTGCAACGTGTAGACTCACGTCACTTCACAAAAAGGTAACCGTAACGACATTCCCCTTCCGTGTAGAAACAAAATCTGCATCATCACATATACAAACACATCCCACTCTCCATCTACGTTCAGACAAAACATAAACCAGCCAGCATCCTCCTCCTCCTCCTCCCCCTTCTGGTCCGTAGTAGATCTCCATGCTAAAGCTTCGCATTCACACTCCTCTCCCACTCCGCACTCCTCGGCCCAGCCATAACATCATAAACCGCCAGACTCCGCTCATCACTCGGCACGATGGTGGAATGCATACTCAACGCCCTCGTATCCACAAACTCCGGCCCCAGCTGGTCAACATTACTACACCCAATCAGCCGCATGTTCATTTCCATCTCGTCCTTCAACAACTGCATCGCCCGATCCACCCCGGGGAGGCCGTACGCACTCATGGCGTACAAGAATGGACGTCCGATCCCGACACCTTTGGCGCCCAGGCAGAGTGCCTTGATGATGTCCGTCGCGCGACGGATGCCTCCGTCGATGTAGATTTCGATCTTCTTGTCAAGGCCGAGACGGCGGAGTTCCGGCATGACTTCTGCGAGGACTTCGACTCCGGAGCGGGCGAAATCCAGCTGTCGACCGCCGTGGTTGGAGAGGACCACGCCGTGGACGCCGTAGGAGATGGCTTGGATCACGTCTTCCACGCGCTGCACGCCCTTGAGTATGATTGGCATTTTGGTAATAGACAAGAACCACGGAATATCGCTCCACTGTAATGCCGGGTCAATGAAGGAGGAGATAGCCCTTGCGGCGCCTTGAGAGCGATCCACGTTGTCACCACCGGTATTCTGCACATTGGACCCCACGTCGGAGAACTTGGATCGCATGTCTTTCTCCCGGCGTCCCAGCTGGGGAGCATCCACGGTAATGAAGAGACCCTTACAGCCGCGCTTTTCCGCATGTTCCACGATTCGCTTGGTGATGTCGCGGTTCTTGTTGACGTACAGCTGGAGCCATTGCACCTGGTCGCCTTCCTTTGCGTCCACGATCTCGTCGAACGAGCAAGAAGCCAGAGTCGGGATCATCTGGATGACATTGTGTTTCCGTGCACCGCGGGTCAGGACGACTTCGCCCTCTGGGTTTCCGAGTTTCCCCAAAGCGGTAGCGGTCACGTAGAAAGGAATGGAGACCTTGGTGCCGAGCATGGTACTCGAGAGGTCGATTTCCTCCACGTTCTGCAAGATTCGAGGCCGGAACCAGATCTTGTGGAAGGCGCTGTGATTTTCTCGCATCGTCTGCCATCACCTGTAAGCATCCCTCGACCCAGTATCTTCGTTCCCACAAACTCACAATCTCATCATCCGCACCACTCGAGTAATAAGCCCAAGCAGTCTTCTTCATCACCCTCCTGGCAACAGCCTCAAAGTCCATCAAGTTATAACACTGCTCCAAGATGGGCATATGCTTGATCCTCTCCTGTCTCTCAATCTCCGCCGGATCCACCTCTTTCTCTTCCTTCTCCACCGTTTCCATATTCACCTCGCCCAAATGCTTGCTCTGGTCCAGAAACTTGTCGAGCGTGTCCGGGGGGTGGATCGGTTCGTATTCCTCGGTGGCATCTTTGCCGGCGTATTTGAGGATGACCTTGGGGCCGCCGGGGTGTTCTGGCAAGACTGGTGTACGATGGATTCATCAGCGAGTGAGCTTTCCAAACGCGTGCGCGCGGGTGACGACAAGACGGAAACGTACACTCTGTGACATCGTATGCCTTGCCGTGGATGATGACCCAGCAATCCTCCCGACTGTTATGCTTCGCAATCTCCTCGCCACTGAGCTTGTGCACCTGCTTCTGCCCTTCGTGGTTCATCTTCGCCGCTCTTGCCCCAAGAAGTGGAAAACGCTATATACAGCACGATATGGCAGTGGTGAGAGTGATGGAAAGAAAGAGGAATACTTTCCAAGAGCTTCACCTTGTCTGTGAGATATGAGGTATGAGGGAGATGGTGAAAGGTCTAAACTTCCAGCCTCCCAGTCGAGCCCGCGGCAGAAAGAAGAGGCAAGCAGAGCGGTAGGAACGGTCCATCAGCATCTCGTCTCGTTCTCCTCTGCTCCGAGCAAATGGATCTACCCCACAGGAAGGAAGCTTCGGCAGGTCTCACGATCCAATCAACTGCGGACAAATTCAAATCGTGGGGATGACGTCCTCCGCAATACCCGCATCTTGGCGGCTGAACGGGAGCAGCGGATGCCGAGAGTATTCATCAATGCTTCCCGGTGTCCATGTCTATGAGGTAGTCGACATCAGTACCTGGGAAAAGCCGGTAGGTGATGGTCAATCAATCACTCTTGCTGTACAATTCGTGTCTATGCAAAATCTTACAGCACCAACGTACATACGCTATGAGATGTCACGCCTCGAGCGATCACATAAATAGCCCTCGGGAACATCTGGGGTCCGCCAGCTTCGACATGAGAGATCGCGCTGCTGTACAGTTTCAATCCCATCCAACCTGAAAACGCCAACGCTGAAATCGACGCTCAGCCCCTTCATCCATCTTTACCTTATATCCAACCCGCCTGCTCCAATGCACTCCTCGCATCCTCCTTCTGGTCTTCCGGCTGGTGCTTGTTCGTCACGCTCTGCAGATTCTCGTTGGCAGTCACAAACGTCTCCAGCAGCGGGCTGTGGAACTTGTCCGTGCTGCGGTTCGCCAAGTCGAATGAGCTACTGGAGGGCGTCTCGAAACTGAATCTCATCGAAAGCGGCGAGGAAGCGGTAACTTCCGGTAGTGAAGACATCGACACGACCCCAGGCAAGTTCGGACTCTTCTTGCCCTCTTCAGTGGCAGTCGGTGGGGGCGGAGGTGAAGGTAGGTGTTCGTCCGAGGTAGTCGAGAATTTGCTCGTGGGCGGAAGGGCTTTGCGCTTTACACTTGTGCTCCTGCTCGTGCTACCGGAGCTCGAATGGGTTGTCGCAGGATTCGATGCGGGCTCATCTTTTGGAGGCACAGGTGGAGGCGGTCCACTAGTGTCAAGTCGGATTGCAGGGTTGGCTTTCGGCGTCGAGCTCTCCGAGACGTTCGATTGCGATATCTCGGGATACTCATTCCCGGACGAAGAGGTATTGGTGGGCGACGATTCCTCACGGGTTGTAGGGCGGATTACTGGAGACTCAGTTGGAGCAGGTGCCTGCGAATGGAAGGTGTTAGATGCGGACGATACCTCTCTGTTGGCAGCCACTGAGGCTGCTTCGCTGCCCGAGCTGCCGGCTGCTGCATTCGCGGCCGCCGTGGCAGTGGACGAAGCGGGGGCACTGCCCGCCGCCAGACCGCCAGGGGGAGCGACTTTGGAATCGTAGACGACGTGCCTCATCTTGAAAGGCGCGGGCTTCGGAGCGTCTGCTGCCGGTTCTGGCTGTTGTGGTTGCTGTGCAACTACCGCAGGTGCCTGGTTGGGCGCAACTCTGGCATCGTAGACCGGATTACGGATCTTGAATGGCGCCGGCTTGGGAGCGCTGCCTGCCTTCTTCTCGCTGGTCTGCGCAAAGCGCTCTGGCCACGCAGCAGTAGGCATACCGTCTGCACCCAGGAATCCCAATTTCGAGTCTCTCGTCTCGTATTTGTTCCTGCGCTGGAAGGGCAGCTGGGTAGAGGAGGAAGGTTCGCTGGCGGCGCTGGTAGGAGTGGGCGTCTCGAGCGGGCTGACGGGATCGTCTTCAGGTGACTTGAGATGGCGATACGCAGAAGAGTTACTCGGGAGCATGCTGATCGGACGGACTGGCACTCCTAAAGTAGTGCTTTCGGGGCGTGGCATGGCCGCGGCCGGGCTCGTAACATGTTCGGGAGGCGCTGCTGTTTCAGCTTGAGCTGGACCCTGTCTATCTGTGGGCGACTCCACAGGGACGGCGTTCGATTCGACCAGGGTGGAATCTGGTACGCCCGGGGTCTCTTCGTTGCTTGTGACGCTGGCGCCGCTCGCTGGCATCTCTCGATCGCTCTGCGCTGCACTGTCCAGCGTCATGGTGGACGGATTCGGCGACGAAGTGACGCCAACGGGGTGCGCGTTGCGCAGCTTGAAGGGATAGGCAACGGTGCCATTGTGCGGCCTCGAGCTGTCGGGGTTGAGGAAGGTGTTGTCTGTTCCCAGAACATTGACTGCGTCTTTGCCGGCACGTGTATCAGAAGTGCTGGGAGCGGAGGGCGCGTGCTCGAAGGAGGTCGGCGACTGGGGCACATCCTCCAGTGCGGAAGCTACGGCAGCCGCGACGCTCCCCGGCCGATCGCGAAGGGCCAGCTTCCCCGTCCCGGACGCGCCGCTTGATCGCCGACTGAATTGGTCCCACGCGCCGATGCTGCCTGAATTGTTCCGCGCACGCGCACTCGTCGGCTTGCCGAAGCCCGCGCCGTCACTCCCCGGCCCAGGCGATACCACGGCCGATGAAGAGCCGCGTTCGCTGATCGCCTGGCCCGCATCACGGACCTTGGTATACGGGCTTTTCGGTCGGTCCCGGGGACGAGACAAGAACGACGCGCCCGACGTCCTCCTCCTCGCCTTCGTCTCCGCCGTGCGAGCCTCTTTCGAAGGAAAGGACAGTTTTCTGCTGGTCGTGGCGATGCCGCCAAAGCCGGCGGCTGCCAACGCGGACATGGCGGCATCCACCTTCTCCGCGTCCTTGCTACTAGCACGCGTCTTGACGGTGTTGGTAGACGGCGCGATGCTGACCGTTCTCTCGGCACTAGAGCTAGCTGCTTCTTCGCGTGCTTGAGCTTCACCTTCCAACTTGTCGTTGACGGCCTTTTCCTCCCGATAAATCGTGCTCTCGTCGTGAGAACTTCCCCAGCCGCTCCACATGGCCAGACCCCAGCTCTTCCCCTTCTTCTTCTCCTCCGGCGCAACGCCTTTCCTCCGGCGATTGACCAAGGCTGTCGCTGGTGGCTGCTCCCCGTTCTCCATGGGATCGTATCCCTCCTTCAATTCCTTCGCTCGCTTCTTCAGTACGCTTCGGTAGTCCTTGGCGAATTTCAATTCGTTTTCTTTTCGCTTTGCAAGCCATTTCCGTACCGGGCCTGCCTTAAGAGCACCGATCGTATTGGGATCCAGATTTAAGCAAGCGATCTCGGAAGGATGCGGCAGAGGAAAGATCAAGCCGTGCCTGTTGACTCGTTGACGAATCATGTGGTCTTTAAACGGTGGCAGTTGGTCGCCTGCCTTGCCGACAACGCCCACCGACGTCAGATTGAACTGCGACGAGGATACTTCTTCGATGCCAATACTGCCATACGTGCTGAACCGGTCCGACTCGGGTCTGCCGCCTGTCTCTGTCCCCTCCCCCTCTCCATCGCTGATGATTGAAATGGCATCGTCGTCCAGGATGTCGATCCCTTTGTGTTGCGCACGAGCAAGCGCCCACGCGCCGAACTGTGCCACGGATCGGTACATGTACTTTGCAGGTCGTGTAAAAGAGAGCGTGTGAGGCACGTGGCAGAGGTCTTCCCAGATCTGCAGCTGGACATCCGTGGCCGGATACTGGTTCAGTATGACCCTCTGCGGATCGTGCTCGTTCATGATGGCCTGACCAGGCGGGTATGCCCTAGGGTTTGCTGCTTTGTGTGCAAGGTAGATTTGCTCATCGCGCAGGAGCTCGGCGCCGCCGACCTGGATGAGCATGGGCGGTAGGCCGCCCAGCGAAGGTTGCTGTACCGGCGAGACCAAGGGATGTGACAACAATTCATTCGGAGCGTACATCTGGAACTGCTCCTTGACTCGGATCTTGTTCTGGTCTATCGTGATCTCCAGGTGGTCGCCCATCCCCGGAAGCGAGTTCAGAAGTTCAGGGGGAATCTTCTGGGCATCTTGATGTGCCGTCTCACGGAGGTTGTCCCTGCCCGGCTTGACACTGATGGGGGTCGAAGTCGTATCGGCTGGCAGCTCGACAACCTCGAAGGGAAGCTCGTTCGGCTGCGTGAACTTCCTCTCCATCTGCTTTGCCTTTTTCTCCGTCTGTGGAGGCGGTGGCCAGGCCATGGAGGGCTTGTGGTGGAAGCCATGCGGTGGGATGTAATCGCCGGTTCCCTCTCCCGCCACGGATGGGAAAGAATGGGTCAAGTCCACCCATGGTGAGAGGAGAATGGTGCCGGCGGGGAGTGGACATCCTTGATCTCGCAACGTCGTGAGCATGCCCAGAACCATGCCTCCACCCGCCGAGTCGCCCGCGAAGAGGACCTGACTCGGTTCAAAGTGCTCCAGAAGATAGAAGTAGGCTGCGATGCAGTCGTAGAGGCCACAAGGGAACGGGAACTGCGGGGCGAGCCTGTACCGTGGTGCCAGGACTCTCGCCTTGAGCTTCCGTGCGTGTCGCTGCATCTGATACCGGTGCTCGTCCACGGAGCCGAAGTAGTACGCGCCACCGTGCACGTAGAGTATGACACGGTTACACTTGGCGCCATCGCGTTTCCGTTGGTTGTAATCCTTCTTCATCTCTATCCATTCGGCGTGCAACGGAGATTCCAGTCTCCTCCACTGCCACCACTCCTCTCCTCCAATCCTCTCGATCCCATGGCTGCCCAGCTGTTTCCGCAGGACGTTGGCCGAGCGCTTCAGGAATTGCGGAGGGATCTCGACGTCTTGTATGCGTACCCAGGTCGGCGCGGGCACCCACTGAGCGGTGAAATGCTGGAGGTCTTCGACTGGGTGTTTCGAGCTGTAGTCCAGGAACTGTCGTATTAATCTGAGGCCCTCGTGGTAGGAGATGTGGGCCGTCGGCTTCTCTTTGAGGGGCTTGCGATTGAAGAAATGGGAGAAGTAGGTCTCGATGACCGAGGGCGTTACGGCAGTCGCGACGCCGAAGGTACTGAAGGGCATCGCGATCGTTCGTTACTTCCAGATGGAAGAAGGACGCTGATGCTGTAGGAATCCAGTATACGTTGTTGAACGCCGTCGGTGCTTGCAGAATGTAACGGATCAGCGATTCGTGGACTCGTTCGCACACGTCTCGGCTCCGTCACAGGCGCATCGTGTCGCGGGCTCCTGTTTTAAGCGGCCGCGTTAGGAGAGCAATGGCAGGATGAAAGGGAACGATCGAGTGGGATAGCGATGGTGTATGGATTGTGAAAGTGTACAATAGTGGAGATGTACAATGGTGATGTTGTACAACAGTGAACGGGACGATATACAAGGCGGTGCTGCTCTTCTTCTCTGAATGCAGGGCTCAGGGACAATGGGAGAGAGTGACGGCGACATTGCCGTGGGAAAGCCTGGCAGTCGTAAGTTTTGGCTGGCTGGCTGACTGACTGGCACATCGAGGAGATAGACTTCATGTTCCCCGGCTTCAGTGACCTCATTACTGGTTAGTCTCGGGCCCTTGCAGCGTGCATCTGTGCATGTCACATGTGTGGCCCGGCTCACGCCCCAGCAGCAAGGCAAATGCTACCGGGATCCCACATCTTGGCACCCGCGCTTCCGAATTAAGCTTCTCCGTAGCCCAGCAACCTTGAAACGCACTCCATCAACCCGCGCAAATCTTCACTTCGACCGACTGAGTCCACCACGAATTCGCATCCCCCGAACACTACTCATCACCACGCGCCGTCCCTTTCACACCCACCCCGGAAATGGCTACCACTCCCGCTCCTCCTCCGCAAGCGAGCCCCGAGCAACTGCAGAGCGCCTTCGACTCTTCCATCTGGTATCTGCTCTCGCTCTGGCATCCTCTGCACATCGCCGTCACATCGCAATGGGGCGGGCCCGACAGCGCCGACAAGCGCGACTGGTTCGCCGGCGCAGTATCTGATCTCCTGTACGGAATGCCACTTACCCCTCCTCCCCTCCCCACCACCACCAGCAGCAGAAATCAGTCCTCCTCGAATCTCTAACACCCAAACCCTTCCCACAGAACGACTCGCCCGGAGACCGACCCGCAAGACCTCGAAGAATTCCTGCTGAACATCATGAACGACGAATTCGACTGCAACGTCGAGGACGAATCCGAAGCCCCCGTCGCGAGGGACATCCTGCTCGTGCGGAAGCGTCTCCTGGAAGAGCACACCACGCTTGCGGCGCAGGAAGTCGAATCGAGGTGGCGCAATCGCGGGCAGATGAAGGGGGAAGTGAATGTGCAGGTTGTGCAGAATGATGTGGGCGACGATGAGGACTGGGAGGAAGAGGAGGAAGATGACGAGGACGAGGAGGGGGAGGCGCCGAGGTTGGTACCAGTGCAGCCCAAGGAGAAGATGGAGCCCGAGGTGGATCAGGATGGCTTTACCAAGGTCGTGGGGAAGAAGAAGAGATGAGCAAAGACGACGGCTGTTGCCCAGTGTCGCGATGGTACGATGGACTGAAGAAGAGCGGTAGGAAGCCTTTCATCATCAGAGACGACGGAGGTCCCCGCGGACGGCATGCTAGCATTCCACGACATGATGAAACCGGAACCCTGCAGCTTACGTGGCGCACGAGTAACATCAGACTTCCACGACTCGGAACACGAAATCTCCTCCCAAATCGGTCCAGTGGATTCTTGTACGATTCCCTATCAACCAATCAATCTTACATCTCCATCAGATCTCTCTCCGCCTCCGCCACGGCATTCTGTCGTGGCTTGCGTGCATACAAGCCAACAATATTCTGGAACATCTCCGTCAACGCGGGCATGGACGAGTTCAATCCAACGTCCGATACCAAAGCCAATTGCTCCGGCCTCACCACCTGACGATCATCTTCCACTACGGCGGCATCGCGGATGTATTCTCCAGCGGCTAGCGCAAGCGGTTCTACCTCTTCCACGTGCTCTTGCTCGTGCATCCCGGCGAGCGCCGAGGTAGTCTCCGCAGACGGCAGAGCAAGAAGCTCCTCTTTCTTCGGTAGTGAAAGCTCGCTGCGATGAGCCGCATTGGTCGTAGACGATACCGCGCGAATTGTCCCGTCTTCGAACAAGACTGTGAAGCCTCTGGTCCCGTTCCCAGCCAGGAGAGCGGCAGGCATAGTCGTGAATTCGGCCGCGAACAAGCATACGGGTTGTTTCGGGTGGTAGACTTCCACTTTCGGCCTGGCAGGCTCCGCACTCTCCGGGTTCACATAGGAGACAAAGGCGAATGTATCATCGGTATGGTTGACAGCCAACATGGCATCCTCCTGTTCCTCGATCTTATCATTCAACGCAATCGTATAGACGTGGCTGTCATCCACGAGGTTCCACACGCGAACCGAGCCGACGGACAAGCTAACAAAGAAGCGATCCAAGAAGGCAATGTCGATAAGGTCTTGCTCCGGCGACACGAGCCCAGCTTTGGAGGCCGTAATTGCACCTGTCTGGGGTGAGATGAAATGTATCAAGGGCAAGGCATCGTCGTCCAGGGTGACCTGTCCACAAGCCAGCATCGAACCATCCGGGGAGAAAGCTAAGGAGGCGTCGACAAGAGGCGGAGGAGTAGGCCGTTCGTCAATGTCTTCCAGAGGAGAATCTGCTCTTTCCGGCATCCTGGCAGAGACAGGCAGAGCAATGCTGCGCTTGCAAGTCCAGTCGACTGCGTCTGTGCCGTCCGCTTCCTGATGGACAACTCCCTGGCGTGTGCGTGCCTTTGACTGCCAGATCTTCACCACGCTGTCTTCTCCCATGGTAGCAAAACAATTCTCGCTGGGATCAGCGACAAGCTTGAGGACCCTTCCTGCGCCAGAGCCGGAATGTGCGTGCGCGCTCAAAGCATGCGGTGCGTCTACACGCGTGCTCAATGTCCACATCTGTTGGGCTTCGTTCCAGCGCCAGAATTTGAGGTACACCTCACGCTTTCTTTCCTGCTCTTCGCTCACTTCCATGACGTCGTGCTCGTCCAATGCGTTACGTCGGGAGATATGGTGTTCCAGATCCGCTGCGGGAGGCCACCATTCGTCCACCGTCGCAAGCCACTGCCCGTCAGCACTAACAGCTAGTTGGGATACGTCGGGAGGCACTATAGGCGTCCGCTCTGGTCCTAGATTGAAATCCGTGACGTTGTTCCGGGTGAGCGCTTGTCGTAGCAAATGTCGAGAGTGGCGAATATCGAAAGCTTGTAAGAATGGCCTTGTCGTGATGTCTTTGATGGTCTTGGGCTGTGTGGATGGTACGGAGAGGAGCAATCGATAAGGGTCCTTGGGGTGAAGAAGAGCGGTTGTTCTAGGGAGTTCGATCCCTTGGGCGGTCATCTCGTCCGTGAGTTGCGGAAGCTGTAGACCGGCACAATTCGCAACAGCCTTCAGTTCCGATGTGCTCAGTACCATGATCGAGTTGTCGCCCATTTGCAAAGCGTACTGCGCACCTTCTGGGCTGACAACGATCCTTTCGATCTCAGCTGTAAGATGTGGTAAGAAGGCGTACTTGCCAGTCTCGAGCTGCCAAATCACAAGCACCGTCTCCTTTCCTCCAGAGATCAGATAGTTACCGTCCCTGGAAAACTTGACAGCCGACACGGGCTCACGGTGCCAGTGCAAGATCCGAGGTCGCGCCAATTCAGGCTGAGATTTTCTGAATACTGAAGTGACGCTGTTGTAAAGGTGAATCTGGCCTTCCGCATTTCCGACGGCTATCGCCATCTCCGGTCGCTGCTTCTTGTTCTGTTCGGATAGAATGATTTTCGCGTCCAGGCAGTGTATCGGCATTCCGACTGGTATCTCAACCCAAGTATAGTCTGAATGTGGCTCGGTACTATTTCTAGCCCCAAGCACGATCGCGGTAGCGCTCAGACAAACAATATAGGCACCTTGATGCATGACCTGTATGCTTGTGAGCCTTCTTTCCGAACTACGAAGGACTTTGCGTTCGCCAACAACGGAGAAGATATCGTCCTTTTCGGTGATGTAGAAGAGCTCATGATTGCCGTTCGCCAGCGTTGCTGTAGTCATCGCGATTACGACCTCCTGTCCCGGGAAGGTACCCTTTACCATCTCAGAAGTGACCCAGTTCCACCGCACCTTGGCTCCATTGTCGTATGCAAACTCTACAGATTGGGAGTCGCTATTGCTCAAACAATAGCATGCAATGCTTCTCCCATTTGGTACGACGTGTGAGCGAATGACCAAAGATGTCTCTAGAGACAGCAGCTGGATTTCGCGAGCTGTTGCTGCAATCAAGCATTCGTCGCCATGCTCATCCTGAACGTAGATCGGGTCGTGGTCAAGATAGCGGCCTGCAGAGGGAGCCGACAGGTACCAGCCATGCTTGTTAGGTGTCGTCAACGTTTCGTCTTCTCTCACACCAAGTTTGACTTCCTTCCCAGCTCTTCGTTTTGCTCTCTTCTCTTCTCGTCGCTGCTGCTTCGCGAGAGACGTGATGCTTTGCTCAGCAGAGTGAGAGGCGCCTTCTCGTGTGGGTTCATCACCGAACTTGACCAAAGCCAGTTCACCTGTCTCTCTGGACTTCCTCCTGCTCCTCTTCGATCTCTTGGCCGTGCCGAGAGCTGCTTCAGCATCATTGTTATCCTTTGCGTTCGGCTGTGCGAGTTTCGATGTTGGTGTCTCCTCCGTCTCAGCGTGCGTCCCACTATGGTTCGAGTGCCTTTTTTTACCCTTCTTCGACTTTCCACCAGATGTAGGAGTCACTACTCCAGCGGCTCCTTCACTGGGAGCATTCTTCACACCTTGCTTCTGCGGCTTGCCTGACGGTGTACTCGAACTTGCTTCATCTTTCCGCGCAGAGTCGCCGCCTGTGGAAGGCTTCAGTCGCTTGGGAGTCGCAATCTGACCCGCCTGGTCCTGCTCTAGCTTCCGCTTTCTATCATTCTCCCTCGTCATTTTGGAACACTGCGTCGCCCAGATCTTCGCTGAAGTTGTCTAGCAATGGAATCGAACAGACGGAAAAGGTCGTGTGCGAGGCGGAATCGAAGCTTCACTCCGAACTTTTTCGAGTTCTCACGCCCCGGAGATCAGCCGCGTGCCGAAAAGCAGCGCCAACGGTGAACCCTGCATCTGCATTTCTTTGAGAGATCTCAAAGACGACGACACACTACTCTTCCGGACGCGACAACCTTTTTCCTTCTCCTGCCACCGACAACCACGTTTGAGAGTCGCAAACATGATCATCCCGATCCGCTGCTTCTCCTGCGGCAAGGTATGTCCGCTGTGCGACAAATGTTGGAGGAACGACGCGCCTGACAATCACATGCGAATAGGTCATTGCAGATCTCTACGAAAAGTACATCGAACTCATCGGAACGGTCAATGAGAATGGGGAGACGACGTCGGATGGGTACGTTCAGATACACTGCTTGAGGTTGGATAAGAGAAGGGAAGGTCGCCAGACGAAGGCAATATAAGGCGACTGTGTGCATGGAAGGACATCTAGGCGGGTGCTCTACCTGTGGTAGCGCGCCGTTCGGGTCGCCGCAAATCTAGATGCCACTGGGAATTCTAGGAACACAGGATCTCAGGCGTTGGAAAAGACGTCGCAGCCACAAACGATCAGCAGAGCAGAACTCACACCGTTGGACATTGAACAGCCGGCTGACAAATTTGGATACACAGAGACGCAATGGACCAGCTCGGCCTCAACCGATACTGTTGCCGACGCATGATGCTCACGCACGTCGACTTAATCGAGAAGCTGCTCCGGTATGTGCACGCGACGACAGCCCTGACTCTCGCATGATTTCGCATCTAACATCCAGTAGCTATAACCCGGCGGAGCGCGACATCATCAAGCAGAACAGATAGAAAGCCGATGGCGACAGGACTTCTGATGACTGCGATGATACCTCTTAAGCGCGGAGTTCAGGCGTTGGAAAATGTGGAGTTGCCAAAAAGAATCACAAAATTATCCAATCATTATAGATCGATCTAGTCTGTCTCCTGAATATGTTCGTCTCGACACTGCGCCCGCCCTGTCACCAAGGTATTATTCTCCAAAATCAAGCAGCACGACCTTCTTTCAATGACGCTAGATGGTCTCGCTCGCATCAGCGGCTTCCGTGCTGGTAGTCATATACACGGGGTCCCAGGTGCGGTGATGCTCACTCCACGCGGAGCGGAACGCGGGCTGAGAATGGAAGGGGATCTTCGTGCGAGTCGAGCTCGGAAGAGGCGTCGCCGTGGTGGTAGTCTTTGGAGGGTGCCAAATGCCGTTGTTGGTTGACCAGTCACTGCCCCTCTCCTCAACTCCAGCGGTCTTGGTCACGGTGACCCATTTATCCGCAGCATCGAATTCCTTGGCCTTGTCAGGCTTGTCGGCGTTGAAAGCTTCCGTCACGTCGTCTTCGGTAACATGTACTTCCACATTGGCCAACGCGCGAGGCGTGTGGGTGTGGGTGTGTTGATGATGGATGAGGCCGCGGGCATCGATACCAGCGTTAGTGGCTGTCGAGATTGTAGAAGTAGCCTGAAGTATGTTAGCAATGAAAGAATCGACATGATCGCAATAACGACCGGTATCTGGCGTTGGGTGATTCTGCTCAAGTCTTTGGATGACGAGAAGCGATGAGTCTCTTCTTCGTTGGGATTCTAGCAGTACGCACCTTCTGGTGTGCTGAGGTCGTGGCAGCAGCTAGGTCAGCACCGACAGCGGCGATCAAAGCAGTGGTGAAGCGCATGGTGACTGAGGGGCGTATACAACTGGGTGGAGTCTTCTGGTATGTAGCTTGAGTAAGGAGAATTTGACAGACCAGGTTGAGAGTGCGACAGCAGATCTCTTTTATAGAGCATCGGGGCACACTCCCATGACCTTTTCGTTGACGGCAGCGCTGCGGAACTTGCTTACCAGCCGTGAATTTCTTTGGCCAGATGACCGGATAAGCCGATACGTACTTGCAATGAATCGCGCGGCATGGTGCGACTGAATGATGTGTGCTCTCTGTTGACCTTCAACTGCCATCTCAGCACTCGAGTGTTTCTGCTATGCGTCCCTGAGGCGCACGTTGGCGCCATATGGATTTCCAGCCTCAAGGATAGACTTTACCTGCTCCCTAATACGGAGATAGTGTGCACCACGAAATTGGGAATGGGGCGGCTTCGTGAACTCTACCAGCGACATAGGAATTCTAGGTTCATGCAGAGCAAGGCGTACTGAATAGCCCTCAAGCAAGCTCAGATGTTGACGACCATGGCCTCATTGCAAGGTCGATTTCCCTCTCCGACGATAGCAGCGTTGATGAGCTGGGTGAGACGCTCGGGCCTTCTGATACTCAGAATCTTGGTCACGGCAGTGGACTGTCTTGCCCAGAGCAGAAGCATGATCATGATGGGGATCATTTCCCAGCCGCTCCAGTCGCGCTCGACATCTTCGTAGATATTTCTGAGAGAATCGAATCTGACGATTTCCTTTCCGTGGCCCACGTGGATGTGCCCAAAGACCACGAGGCTTGGACGTCGCTCTGTGATCGCTTTCGCAAGATAGTGGCATCCAGAGCGACGGCTACCATCCAGATGCCCATGCGGAGGACCATGGGTGAGAACGATGTCGACGTCGTTAGGTATCTTCTCAGACCAGATATCGTCCTCCCGAGAATACTGAAAAGCTGACTTGACATATTTTGGTGTCCATGGAGAGCCGTATATCGTGCATGAACGGCCTAGTGCCGGAAACTGCAGGGCTTTTGCCTCATCTTGTAGATATGTCACAGAACCAAAGTCCAGATCTGCTCTAGTCTGGCCGTCTTTCACGGGAAATCGCTCCTTCTCCGACTCCAGGAACGCCGAGTCAAAGAGCACGTCGTGATTGCCCGCGATGATGAGCTTGTGCGTGTGCGGCTGTGCCGAAAGCCACGATAACTGGGCCTGGATTTCTGCGAATGAACCCCATTCGGTGAGGTCGCCTGCATGAAGTAGAAGGTCTCCTGGAGGAAGGTCCGGCTGGCTGTTGTGAGTATCAGAGATGCAGACAACCCGGATAGGATGTTGTGACGTCTCCGAAGGTTTTATGGGAGGTGCAAGACCGACGATCCTGCTCGCCAAACGACGTAGTCTTCTCCTTGGAAGCACTACTTGATGAGATTCTGAGAGCTTTGACATGGGCAGTTGACAATGCAATGTTGTTGACTATGGCAGGAGAGGGATAGAGAGACAATCTTGACAGGGAGGGACAAAAGTCGTGGTATCGCTGAGCCATACACATGAAGAGGCTGGAACACTTGTAATAGTGCGAAATGCTTGCTCCCTTTTCCTCATCTTATCTAGGACGAATGTAGAGCTATTATTACCGCTGTAGACAAGCGGCCTAGGCAAAGAGGCAAGTTGTACCCAGGTACTGCATACGCGCCCTGCGGTGCCTCATTGCCTCTCACGTCGATGACAAGAAGAAGACGGCCCAAAGGTCCAAAATTAGCCTTGCTAAATGGGTCAAGAGCGTCAAAGATGTCAGTGACATTGAATTCGGCGTCTCGCTAGCCGCTGGCATCGATCTGGCTGGTGCATCCCGAGGCGCGCAAGGAGACTATCGAGCACATAAAGGTCCTCATGAAGATCCCTCGAGACGCCAGACAGGCATCTCAGGCACCCCAATAGACTGTCTCTTTGAAGCACTCCCACTGGAGCGCTCTCTCGATCTTTCTATTTCCTCTTTGTATCACGACTCCAAGGACGGCCATGGGTTGCTCATCCTCCAACTCGGAACCGTCAGCACAACAAGCTCGTCCAGTACAGATCGGTCGACCGCAAGACATCACTTTGCATGTACCTCGAAGGCAAAAAGATGCTGAAGGCGCCGAACTGCAGGTGGTCGACCAAGAATTGACCCGACAAAACATCCACCGCGCGCTGCAATACACGGCTCAGTATCTCAATGAACGACGCCAGAACCTGACCCTTGTCACCGTAGGTGGAGCAATCAACACCATGTACTTGCGCAGCAGACAGACCACGCATGATGTCGACTTCTTTGGAGCGCATCTCAACCAACGCCAACTCCAAATGATCGACGAAGCCATGCAGTACGCTGAACGGATGAGTTCAGTGCCCCTTGGAGGAGCCTGGCTGAACAACGAGAGCCGCTGCACATGGCTCCGGATGCTAGGCGATACATCACAGACCGTGCAACTCGAGCAGGACATGGTTGTCTTCAAAGAGCCAGGCTTAACGGTGGTTGCTGCGCCATGGAGCTACTCCTTTATTTCGAAGTCTCAACGCCTAGGAAGCCAGTATGAGCGCCCATATGATCTCGACGACGCCGTAGCCTATCTGGCCGAATGGAATAGGCGCATGGGCAATGAAGTCGCCACTGCAAGGATGATCCAGGACCTCTGCGCTAGATATCGCCAGCCAATGATCGCGGATCCGGTGCTGCGACGTGTTAATGAAAGGTATCGCACCCGTCACAGACGAGATGGTATCAGGACGTAATGTCTTCTCGTGTCTGTGTCCGGAGTTGTGAATTGGCGTTGATCTCGCAATCTGTTTTGTAAAGTAGCATCTGTGGTCATTTTGGTCGTCATGTAAAGTGTATGTGTGGTGTCCACAGAATGATGTTCTTGGATTTGAAAAATTCGTCAGCTCTAGGGTCATCCATTCCGCTCAGAGTTTCGTTTTCGTGTGTGGGTATGAACAGAGTTTCAGTGAGAGGTGCGACCCTCTCTGCCCAGGAAGGAGGCCTTTCCCATGGCCTTTCGGATTGCGGTACCGCTTGCAAGGCATCAATATAATCGTCGGTCATGATCGCAGGTGCACTGCGCGAAGCGCCATAGGATATTTTCCGGTTGAATGAAGAGACCAAGAGGTGAGCCACGCCGGCAAGAAAGGCGTATCTTGAAGGACTCTCGTCCACGGGATCTGGGACATCCTCAACGCGCCAGTCTTTATGACGCCAAAATATTTCCAAGTCGTTTCGGTAACCTGTTACCTCATCTAAAAGGAGCCATTCGTAAAGCCGATACATTGCGTACAGCGGCTTGTCTTCAAATTCTCCATGGGGCGCCGCGAAACGGCGTGGTTTAATCGCGGTCGCTCGAGATTCGTCGCGGTTGGCGATGATATGCTCTGGTTCTGGCGGTGGATAGATTGGATAGCTCTGCGCCGGCGCCGATCGCGGTTGACTTGTGGAAGGCCGGTGCTTGTAATGCTCAATCGAAAAATGATTTCTTAAGAGTTCCCAGTAGTGTCTCATCTTTGACATTCTTTGTGGTGAGCGAAGACCGAACATCCCTGAGCCACGCCAAACGGCTATCTGCCAGCGGTGCCGATATTTGCGATGGTCGTTGCGTGCCCCTTTGGTGGAATAGTCTCATTCAAGAGAACAGAGCTCTCTGTTGGCCAACTGCTGGCTTGGGAGTCTAGCAGGAAGCTCAATTACCCTTCGAGGCACAGCAAGGTGACTATGGTAGGGTTGGCGAGATACAAATACTGAACGCGAATCATCAAAGGGAAGGTTGGGTTCAAGTCGCTGTGCGGAGGTTGGTCGCGACAAAGCTTTGACTCTATGCACGGACCAAGCACGACCAAAAAGCAGAAAGTCCCGCGCTCATATTCCAGAATGTCATTTCGAATTCATGCATACACAAATGCAAGCCTATGCAAGTATATGCAAGGAGTCGTGAGGAAGGAGGATCTCGAGCGAGGCTCTGGTTTGGGCGAGCCTATCTGTCGCTATGAACTGTACGACGAGCAAGTGAAGTCTACCTGACAGCTTACTGCGTGCGGCAAAGGTGCATTCGCTGTACATTCTGTCCCTGGCAGCCCTGAGGCCTGGAAATCAAACATCGTAGGTAGTACCGCTTCTCTTTCGACGCCGCTCATCGCACCAAAATGTGCGCTTCTCGCCCCAAGCTCAACTGATGCTGTCCGGCTCCGAGAGTATGCTGCCATTCCATTCCGCACGCTCAAGGCATTCGCCAATCCATGTCCTCTCTGCTCAACGCAACAGCCCCACTGCTGGTAATGTTCACCGAGAGCGACTCTACTGTCGATATTCCAGTACGTCTTGAAAACATTCCCAAAAGACCCTTCGATACCAACTTGCGTGATCCGAAGTCCAGTACCGTTCACGGCAGCGCCGCACTCGGTTGACCAGTGGCCTGAATCGGTAGAGCCGGCCACTCTTTCTCGTCCAGGAAGTGTGGTGGGTGCATGTTGTGTTACGGAGTTTGGAGAGTGGTGGCCGGGGAAACCTTTGGCGGAGAAAAGTGCAAATGCAAGGAGACTTGGCAGGCAGACCATAATCTCCAGAGCGTTCCATCCTGCTGCACGTCTTCTTTCACGGCTTTTGTCTTTCAGATCCATTTTCGTTCTCACGTCCGCCAAGAACTCAATAGCGGCACCTTTCTCTGCCCTCTTACGGTCAGCAACTTCATTAGGCCTTGCGAGTCTTTCTTGTCGAGGCCTTGAGGCGCTCCTTCCGTAACTTCTATCCTTCAGTTTATGTTCACGCATGTGTGCACCCGGAAGTAGATATCAAGACGAGCTGGCCTCCCAATCGCATCGAAGATCATGACGGGTCATGAGGGAGCAAGGAGTCGCTAGGTAGCCAAATATTCGCAGCGTTCATACAAGTCAGCCTCCGCGACGGCCAACAGTACACGAGATGCCCGACTATCCCTATCCGAAGTACCTCACAGGCTGCAGTCCATCCAGATGCCCGGATCCTGCTCTCATCGCCTTATCTGCCAGCTCCCCCAGTGTGATTCCTTCAGTGATGCTATCCTGCACAGGATAGCCGCAGCAATGCAATTCGACCTGCTGGCCAGGATGGTACGGCACAAAGAGCTTTCGCCAAGAGTCGTGTTGTTCGATGGCCTTACTCCCATCAAATCCACCGGGTCCTCTGCCTACCAAGCAGCCGGGGCTCTCTTCCTGCCAGAACAGCGAGATGTTCAGCGCGAGCACAAAGGCTTCCGCATTGTCGGAGCTCGCGTGTCGTAGATGGCACCAGAAGGGAAAGAGCACGCTCTGGATTGCGGTAAAGAAAGCCCGATAGCTTTCGAAGAAATGAGCCACTTCTGCGCTGTCGAGCGGTCTGTTAGGAGGTTCCAGAAACATGGTTCGACGGAGAGAGGGAGATGCGTATATCACTGCTTGAAACCGCCGGCTGACTCTCTGGACGACGAAGAGGTCTCTCCATGCCGATTTGTTGCTCTCGCCTAGCTGTAATAGGATATTTTCCAGAAGTTCGGTAGTGCCGAAAACGCGCGAGACTGCGGACGACTGTGGTTCTGTTTCGTTCATCTTGAATAGCTCATCCCCAGTTGATTGGTAGGAATCAAGGCAATACGAGGTATGATAGGCCTATGAGGATCGAAGGATGCACGGAGATCGATAAAGTTGGTGAGATCGGTGGTGTACGGACAATGATCGAAGACCGAGGCTAATGTGGCATCGTGAAGGCAGGCTTATAATGGGGCGCTTTCCTTCCATGATGTGCAATCAGGCAGACGACTGGTAGGTTTGGTCGTGGTGGGTCGGAAGGACCCTTTTCCCGGCTTGTTTGGAAAGAGCCTGCTTTCTAGCTCCGGTCCGTGTTCGGACGGTCAGGTAATAGCTCGCACCCAACAATGCTCGGACTCTCTTGCCTGGCACGCATTGTCGAAGCCACGGCGAGATTGAGAAAGTGCGAACAAATCTTTCACAGGCCCACTGTTCATCCACGAACTGCTGCCGATGTTTCATTGGCACGTGATATGGCCACGAGCCAACTTCTCAACAATGCACGCGCTAATTTTATTTCCGTACCGTGACTCCGTGAGGCTTACAGTCAGCTGATCCGAGATTAGCCATCGAGCAGAGCCGAATTTTTATCGCAACCGACGGCATTGACCACGGAATGGCAGAAGGTAGTGTCCAGAAGCCGCATTGCATCCGAGGGCTTTCGTAGGATGTACTCCGTAATAATAAGCAACACCTTCACTTCAATACAGTATTCGCTCCTCGAGTGGCAAGATACTCCTGCACTTGCGTCGTGCTCAGGTTCTTCACCACAACATAGATCTCCGCGTTGTAGTAGTACAGCCCTGATTTTGGATCCTTGTACTTGGCTGGCAGACCGGTGATATCGCAGTACTTCTTCTTGGGCTTCAGACTCGGTGCAGCAGAAATGCTGGTATACGTGACGCTGGGCCCGATGCCTGATGATGCCGCAGCAGGATTGGGCGTTGCGATGCCGTTGCTTTGCTTCGCGTTCTTCTCCAGTACTAATCGTCCCAAGTCCTGACTTGCTTTCTCTGGGTTCGGGTTGAGGGAAGGAGGATTGGTGCCTTCGGTCGCAGGCTGCGGCGTACTCGCGCCCGAGTTCTGCTGAGTGTTGAGGAGGCTCTGCTGGGCGCGCTGGGCTTCCGACAGTATCTGTTTGAGATTCTTGTTGCGTCGTTGCGGCGGCTTCCAGTTGGGGTTGCGGAACGGCTTGTGGATCTTGTGCATGTCCAGCGTATCGAGCAGCGCTGCATGCGTCTCTTCGGTCGAGTGTGTGGTGATGGGCGCCATGGTGGAGCGTGGTGTCTGCGATCTGGCCAAGTCGAGGGAAATGATGAGTCTGTACAGCTGCATGCTTGGAACAAGCGCACGTGCCCCGCCATTCCAAAGGAACCAGCACCACTACTACATCTCCCAATAAAGGCACGCGCAAGGCAACATAATTGTCCGACACCACACGTACCTGTGCGACCTTTCTCTTCTCAACCCACCGATTCCTTCAACTCCCGACAATACCGCAACCATGAAGCTCCTCTACATCGGCGTACGCCCTCCCATTCCACCATCGCCCCGCCCCCACCGCCATATGGTCTAACACTCTCCAACAGATCCTAAAGAACGAGGAGCAACCCGCCGTCGAGCTCTGCGCCGAGCGCGACCTCTCCTCCTACTCGCGCTTCACCCGCGGCTCCGTCGGCGAATTCATGTCCCTCTTCAGCAAGACCGTCGCCGAGCGCACCCGTCCCGGCCAACGACAAGACGTCGAAGAGCAATCCTACACCTTCCACGCCTACGCCCGCAGCGAAGGCTGTGCCGGCATCATCATCAGCGACCACGAATACCCTGCCCTCGTAGCGCATCAACTCCTCAGCAAGATTCTGGACGAGTTCTTGAGCAAGTACCCGAGGAGTGCGTGGGCGAATAGCAACAATGAATTACCCTTCCCGCAATTGAAAGAGTACATTCAGAAGTACCAGGATCCGCAGGCGGCGGACAGTATCATGAAGGTAGGAGGGGCGAACAATGCCAAAGCAGTATATGGAGTATATGGGTGGCTGACGTGGCGGACTCTCCACAGATCCAAAAAGAGCTCGATGAGACCAAGATCGTCCTCCACAAGACCATCGAATCCGTACTGGAGCGCGGCGAGAAGATCGACTCCCTTGTCGCCAAATCAGACGGTCTCTCCGCCCAATCGAAGATGTTCTATACCCAGGCGAAGAAGCAGAACAGCTGCTGTACGGTCATGTAAAGGAGGCCACCAAACTGCTCGGATTGTCACGACATAAGCGTCATCACCGATGCATTCACGAGAAGTACGGAGTTCAACAGGCGTTCATGTCCATGTGCAGGGAGTAGGAAAGGCTGAGCTCTTGCAATGCCCGAATATGGCGAACAGCAGGAGTCTTGAATTGCTTTCCATATCAAGGTGAGGATCACGCGGGTCATGATGATACAATCGCAAAGAGGGCCCTAATAGAGGTCAATACCGGCTCAAATGAATGGCTGAGCCATCCGAATCGGACAAAAGTGTACACTCTCCCCAAGTCCTACGACGCCCTGGCGACCTCGCCTTCGTTGTGGTCATTCCTACTGGTATTCCCGTTTCTGCTGACGGTGCTGATGGTTTTGGTGCTAGTGGATCGTCTCTCTGGCGCATGTGCCATGTTCCAGAATCCGCTTTCCATCTGAAGATCACATTAGGAAGGCTCATTAGATCAATCGTAGATGGGAAGCTTACCTTCGTGGCGTGAACGAAGATCTTCACGAGGTCTTCGATACGGCTCGGACTCTGCTTGAAGGCGTGCTTCTCCACCAGAGCACAACCCTTCTTCACAGCTTCCGTATAGTCGCTCGCTACATAGTTGTTGATCCAAGTGGCGTATCTGTTGGGCGTCTTGGGCGGGTTCGTCTTCTGCAGTGCCTTCAAGCGTCTCGCAATCATGCCATACCCTAGCAAGCAAGGCAAGAGAGCGATTTGCAGCGCGAGCCAATCTTCACTCTGGCCGATATCGAGAACGTACCGACTGTAGGCGGTGCAGGCTTGCGACTCTTCATACCTGTCCATCATGCCCTGCGTGAGGCCGAACTCGCTGCATTCCTTGAGGTGCAGCTCCATCTCCCGGTGGATATGTAATACGATGGACGCTGCCCCAGCGATGTCGTCAATATGCTTTGCCTTGTAGCCAGCTAGTGCGTTAGCGCGTGCAAAGTGAGTAAGGTAGAGGTAGTCCTGGATCATATAGTACTGGAAGGCTTCCGGCGCAAGAGTGCCGTCTCCCATGCGCTCCACAAACTCGTGGTGGGTGTATTCGTACCAGGCGGGCTGTACATCATAGCGATCCAAAAGATAGTCGATGAAGCCGCCGGGTGGGAAAGGCTGTACTTGAAGCGAATGGAAGTGGTTGATGGGTCCAGAGCCCAAGCCGAGCTTCACCGCAGTCCTGATGCCAGCATCAACATATCGAGAAGCCGCAATAACGGATTGGACCAAATCAAGTCCAAGCGCGAGATTGCATGCAAGGGCTGAGGCAAGCGAGCATCCGGTTCCGTGGGTGTTCGCCGTCTTCTGGTATGGAAACTCAATCACATCAACAGACTCGCCTCCGAAGAGAACATTGGCTACAATCTTCTTCTCTTCCTCGCTACGAGCAACACCATAAGATGGCGTAAGAGGCACGTGGCCTCCCTTGAGGAGCACGTATCTAGGTCCGAGCTTGTGAATTTCCGCTGCGAGTTCCTTGACGCCATCCAGGTCGTGAATTTCAACTGGTTTCTTGCCGGCTTTTCTGAGCATCAGATTGGCTTCCGGGATGTTGGGCGTGACGATCGTTGCGACCGGGAGCAGTTCTTCGACTAGGACCTTGATAGCCTTCTCTGGCAGTAGCTGTGCGCCACTGGTCGCGACCATAACCTTGGCTAAATCAGCTTCTGGTTGGCGTTCGGAGATGTCTACTTAGAGACCTGCATACCGGATCTACCACAGAGATGCGAACGTTGTGCTTGCGAATGGCATTGGCGACAACAGACACGGTCTGCGCCGAAGCGAGCATGCCTTCTGCATGTCAATATAATTCCCTGCCGGAGGCTGCTGCTTGCTTTCCGTCAAACTAGCTTACCTGTCTTGAGCACATCGACGCCAATGTCTTCAATGCAGGCATCAATCTGTTTCTGCACAAAATTCGAGGGAGTCTCGTGGATGCCATAGACGCCCTGCGTATTCTGAGCTGTAAGGGCAGCTGTCGCGGTCATGGCATAGCAGCCATGCGCCGCGCAGACTTTCTGATCGGCTTCCAGGCCGCTGGACGAGGTGCATTAGCTTCTTCGCTGACCATGCAGCGTACCTCGAGATCTGTACTTACGCTCCGCCGGAGCTATCCGACCCTGCGACCACGAGAACTCGTTTCATTGCTGTGGGAGATGGTGGTGATGCCCCTGCGATGATAGAGTTACAAGGTTAGATGTAGCGGCGGACAGAGCCGGCGCCATCCCAAAGTTTCTTTGACCGACTGTCACACAGAAGGGGAGCGTCGCAGCCGTTGCTCAACCTGAGACGAGACACTCGATGAAGTCCGAGTGCGACGATCACTGGACTATGAAGAGGCAAGCTTCCACGCGCAAGAGCCTGATACACAAGGCGTGGAGAATTTTGCCAAATAACAGCTTCAGTGTCGTCAAAGCTCTCTACTGCAGCTGACGAAAAGCACAAACCAGCATGAGAGTGCTTACACCTCAATCGGAATCTTCGTCCGAATCATTGAACTCGGGCACGTTGGGGTCTGCAACGTGTCAGCTGGTTTCTCCAATCACGAGCTGATTCGCAAAGACAAACCTCGCAGCAATTGATAGTCGAACCTGCCATCAATGCTCTTCATCATCACCTCCCTGATCAGGTCCTGGCTTTCCTGGGAGATTGCGGTTTCTGGGTCGGCATTGTCGATGGACAGGGCCAAGCCATAGTTGCCTTCTCCTAGGGAATTCACAAAGTCGAGTATGCCGGCTGCCGTGAAGCTGGTGAGGCCGCTGAAGGTCACCACCCTGAGGTTACTCAACTTCGTCAACTGTGGGAAGATCGAGTCTGAAATGCCGAAGCCACCGACGTAGAGGTCCTCGAGATTGCTCAGTCGCTGGGCCAAAGTGATGATGTGTTCATCCCTCAAGTAATCCGATATACGAGTTAGTCGCAACTCCCGGAGCTCTTTGAGCGAGCAAAAGGCGTCCATGAGAGTGTCGACATCGTCTCTCGTCGCGGGCTCTGGATCCGCACGAAGTAATAGACTCCGGAGGCTTGGTTGTTGGCTCAGAGCCTGATGAAAGTCGTGATGATCCTTCACCACGTACATTGCGTCATCATTGCTGGCATTGATCTGTAGCTTCTGAAGTGTAGTAGCTTGGTTCAAAAGGACCGGAAGGAGAAGATCTGGCGCGGAGACAAAGTTTGTAAAGCTGATATCCTGCGCATGGTCAACGAACAAGTCTTGACGTGGACTGCCTGGCTTTCGCGTTCCTTCAACGTACCTGAAGCGACTTGCAATCCTTCAGCCAGTCCACGATCCCCAGATACACATCGTTTTGCGTGGCCTTCAGGTCAACAGACGCGGGCGAAGACGCTATCGCTAACGTTTCGACAGAAGTGCACCCCTGTCGTTTGTCAGTACTGCCAGGTGCTGCATGCTCTTTACGTACCTTTAGGAGGGACAGCGCTTGGATTCCTTCATCTGTCACCCACAGCTTCAACGACTGAAGGCTGTTTCCGTGACTATTTAGAGCCAAGCAAGTCTCTGCGCCAACGCGACAGTTGCTGATGTTTTCGAACTGGACGAGGCTATCATCTTTCATGCCGCTGATGAAAGCAGCCAGCTGATGATCCGCATCGTCATTTGCAGAGTAATAGATCCGGAGGCTGGCAAGGTTAGGACAATGGGTATGCAGCGAGCTGCGCAGTGTCTCGTCCGCGAGGGCCTTGCCGTCCCAGAAATCAAGCGATCTCAAATGAGATAGCCGGGGCGCCCACTCCAGCAGTACGCTCGAGAAGACGTTCGAAGTGGTCGGTTCCGAAAGTGCTTCCAGCAGAGGAGCTTGCTGCGTGATCTCGTTCCCGATGGCCGTAATGATCTTCTTGGTGTCTAGCCGAGTGGCACGTCCCCTGCCTGGTGTCTGCTGAACAAAATGGAACTTTGCGAGTTCGCCGGCGAAGAAGTGCTTTACGATCTTGCCTCGGAACTTGTCGTCGTCCAACAAGTCGCCTAGATCTCGCAGATCAAGGAATCGCAGGTGCCGACAGTAGGGATAAATGCTCTTTCCCAGAGCGGACAACGTTATTGTGCGCCACATGATGGACCACCGTTGGACTGTCAATTCTTGTTCGGCCAGTGGGAGTCCCTCTCCGCCTCCCTTGACGGGTGCTTGGTGGCTGATGCTGCAAACAAGAAGACGATCAGCGACGGGGCAGAGCAACGGTATGTGAAATGCAAACACACCGATACAATGCACTGATAGCTCCCGAGTTGCCGAGTTGTTTACTGCTGACCACGCAGTTGTACAGCGTCGGGAAGTCGAGGCGTTCGGAGAGCTCTGCGGAGATCAGATGGAAGAGATCTGCAGGCAGCGCCTGGATGCCCATCGTAGCCATGTCGGATTGGAATGTTGATTGGATGGTGATGTTGATGTTTGCGATGGGAAGGAAGGTAAGGTAGGGAACGGGATTGAAGGTTGGAGGCGGAGAGACGCGCTGAGTCTGAGCTGCCTGTTTTGGTGACGACGCGACTGGACGGACATTACGCCCGGCAAGCTTCATGTTTCCACCTCCAGTCACCACCCAAACAGCAGACCTCGGAGGCATCCACCTCCAAGAATGCAATGGCCATTCTGAGCTTTTCGCTCACACCTGCTGCCACCGGCCGCATATCTGAGCTGCTCACGTGCTTGGCCAAATTCGGCGAGGCCGTCTCGTTGGAGGCTCGTGGCGAGAAGGCGCGTCGCGTCGACTTCACTTCACCTGGCGTCTCCGCCGCTGACTTTGGCCTAGCTCACGCTTACGGCATTGAATCTCTCCAGGACTGCCTACGCTTCCTATGCGCTCGACAGCAGAGCCTTCTTCATCGAATATGACTTTCACGGCCCCAGCCAAGCGGGCGGCGGCGACCGCTTTACCTGTCAGCTCTACAACAAGGTAGGCTTTGCAGCGGAGGATCATGTACCATCTGCTGACCACCGTCCAGGCCTTACAGTCCGTGTTCAAGGGCCGTATGGCAGATGCGAGGGGACGAGAGACGGCCATTGAGCGATGCGACGTGAGCGTTGAAGGACAGCCTGACAAGACGGAATGCCGACTCATTGTGGAAATGCTCTCCAAGCATGGCGTGACCAAGACGTATCGCCTGAATTACGAAGCAGCAGAGGTCATGCATGCCCTTTTCGACAAGACCGCGGCGACTCAGGGTTGGCGGATCTCTAGCAGAGTCCTGAGAGAGTACGTGGAGTACTTTGGGCCAAAGACCGAGCAGCTCGACTTCGTGGCGCACGATGGGAAAGTGACATTGACAAGTTTCACGGAGAAGATCTCAGACGGGAAAGGTACATGCTTGGAGAACTCTGCTGCGGTTCTTGCTAATTCCTGCTCCAGAGGTGCTCAAGCAGCCACTGGAGACCGCCATCGGCATCCATACCGAAGACTTCGAGGACTTCCATATGCAGGAGAATATGCACATTGTGATCAGTGTCAAGGACTTCAGAGCCATCGTCACCCACTCCGAGACACTCCACGCTCCCATCTCAGCGTATTTCTCACAGCCAACCCGACCTTTACAGTTCACTTACCAGAACTTCGGCATCCATTGCGAGTTCACCCTTATGACAACAGGTGACCGTGGAACCTCGGTCACTCCAAACCCGAAATTCATCTCCACGAGGGCTACACCTTCCAGACAGCCTTCTATCCCTCCCGCGCAGAGCAGTACTCGATCCGTTTCTGGCATGCCGCCTCCTGCTCGACCACATGCTTCCAGACCTCTCGGAAGCCAGACGCAACGCCTTTCCCTGAGAGAACACGCCCAGACGGCATCGAACGACGACCACGATCCAGACCCCGACAGTCTATTCGTTCCACAGGATGACAATGAGGATCATGCCTGGGAAGAATCGAATTACGATCACGAAGACGATGAGATGCTTGGCTGGAATCCGAACAACCAGCCGGGTTCCAGCATGCGGCCGACAATTCGGGACGTGAATAGGAGGCCCGAGCTACCGAAGAAGGCCCGGGGTACACGTGATGGGTACCCAAGCCAAGAGAGTGGTCTCGAACCTACTCAGCGTCTTTCTGAGGTGAGGGTGTGGCCGGAGGCTTTTGCCATTCGTGGTCGCGAAGTACTGGCTAATTATTTCCCAGCTGCACGGCATGTTTGACTAGCCGACGCAGCTGTTGCCATCAGCCTGAAACACCGTTCGTGTTCGAGATAGCTTGCGACTCTGCCGGACCATTCGCCAAGATGAACGAGGTTGCACAGCCGGAGAAAACGGCATATGTTCGATCGAGTGTCTCGAGTATGTTCCATCGGCCTTTGACGTCCCCATGAGACTCGGTAGGAGAACCACAGTTACCATGTTCGCCCCATCCCCATGCTAATACTTTGCCAGCTTCCGTGACGCAGAGGCAATGTTCGCTGCCAGCGGCAAATGTGCGCAAAAGAGGAAGGTCGGGCGGAGGAAGCTGTCCGTGGTCGTCTCTTCCCCATGCTGTGATTCGGCCCGAATCCAGGAGCACGTAGATGCTTCCCCAGGACGCACACACTTGCTTCCATTCAGGCACTGCGCTGGGAGCGTTCTCCTTAATCCCAAACCGATCGTTGCTTGACGGACCCAAAACCAGTAGCTCGCCTGTTGAAGGATGTCCGAACACGCACGTAAAATCTTTACCGCAGACAGCATTCACCACAGAGAATGGAATGGCTTCAACCTTTGACGGCGTAGAGCGATTCTCCAGTGGTTCACCCAACTGCCCTTTACGTCCCTTTCCCCATCCCCAAACCTCGCCGTTTGAAAGCACAGCAACCACATGTCCCATGCATGATGCCAGCTTCCGGACGGTCGTGCCTTTCGGAGGAAAGTTTTCAATCTTGCTCTGAAGCTTTGCAGTAGAAATCGTCGGTCCCAGACCTAGCTCTCCAGAGTTACCAGAACCGCAAGAAAAGACTTCTTTGCCGTTTGTCAGAATCGTGGCATTCCAGGTTGCTGCTACGTCAGTATAGCCACTATCGCTCCTGTTGCTTGCAGGTAAATTTGTGAGAGTAATCTGAAGACCTAACGCCGAGTTCACGCATCTCCCGTCGTCGTTCTCGCCCTGCTGGTTCTCAGCGTCGAAGTCCTACGTTCTAGACAGACAGAAGGTTGGGCGTACTGTGGATGCGATTGTGCCGTCTTCGAAGAGCACGATGGTGTGATTACCGCCGCAGGCAATGCCTTTTATCCTGGATCTGATGGGTGCATGCGTCTTGACTTCTTGCGGCGTGGATGTGTCTTCTTGATGTCCCATGCCGAGTTGGCCGCGGCCGTTCGATCCCAGGGCGTATATTTTTGTCTCCATCCTGGAGAATGCGCTCTTCGCGTCTATCAGGCTCGGACTGAGTACTGAGATTGAAGTCTATACGCTTCTTGCCTCGATTCTTTGCATCGGAGACAAAATACTTTCACGCGTCGAAGTTCCAATGTTGAGCGAACAGACTTCGTACGAGGTGTGCTGGAGAGGAACTCGACTGCCTCAGGCCAAATTTGCAACGGCCCGTGCCCTTTCCCGCAGCGCCAAGCCCGCCCACGGAAAATCGAGAAGCATCAAGTCGCGGATCGCGCTGGACCACACCTCTTGTTCAAGAACCAAGCACGAGTCTGCACATTTTCCACGACGCCAACCCGCCACGCCCACCGACGAGTCGACACCGACCCAACATGGCGGCCGTTCAGAGCGTTCAGTGCTTCGGCAAGAAGAAGACCGCGACCGCGGTCGCCCACTGCAAGCAGGGCAAGGGCTTGATCAAGGTCAACGGCAAGCCGCTCTCCCTCGTCGAGCCTCAGATCCTGCGCTTCAAGGTCTACGAGCCTGTCCTCATCCTCGGACTTGACAAGTTTGGTATGTCTCACTACATTTGAAGATGGAGGAATGGTACTCTGGGAGGCATGGAGGATGGGGTGTCGGGATTGGAGAACTGCGTGGGTCTATCAAGAAGATGGGAGCGAAAAGGGAAGCGCAAAGACAGAGCGAGAAGAGAACGAGTAATAGAAAGAAGAGCACCTGCCGGAGAATTGCTACTGGCATGGAGAACATGTGCTGACCGATTTGATGCAGCCGACGTCGACATCCGCGTCCGAGTGCGTGGTGGTGGTCACACTTCGCAGGTCTACGCCATCCGCCAGGCCATCGCCAAGAGCATTGTACGTTATCACATGCGGGCGCAATCCATCGCGCATCTCACACAGCAGCGGACACGCCCACTGACCTGAACCCCAGATCGCATACTATCAGAAGTACGTCGACGAGCACAGCAAGAACCAGCTGAAGCAAGCCCTCGTCGCCTACGACCGCACACTCCTCGTTGCCGACAACCGCCGGTGCGAGCCCAAGAAGTTCGGCGGTCCAGGTGCCCGTGCCCGATACCAGAAGTCTTACAGATAGACGGGGGAAAGATATTCACGACGAAAAGCACGCGACGGACTCGGGGAGCAGGAGTGGGTTTACTGGTTTGCAAGCATGGCTTTGGGCGCTTACGGAGACGCTGCTACCTCGGTGTGCGAGAAGCTATTGCACGGTGGTTTAGCATTCGCGTCCGGCTCGTTGTATTGAGCTAAGGCAAATCAAAGATTCTCTCGTCCAAAGATCGCAGTCTTCCCTTGCCTGATCGAAGCCATCCCCGCGGTCAATTGCATTGATGATGTGCTGGTGGAATCGCTGGAGTCTCAGTGGTTGCCAGGCCTCCCGCCTGCGAAGAACAACTTTCGGTGCACAAACGCGAAAAGTCGCTTCCTATACCGTGCATCCCATCGAGCCACCTAGTTGCCCTGATGCCATTTACACCTTAGCGCCTCGCTGTCTCAATCGAAGAAATCCCAGCTACCATCTCATCACGCGTTGTAGAGGTCCTCGCTACCGTCACTATGAGCACCATTGGTCTCTGCATGACTTTTGCGTCCATTCGTTGATCTCCTCCCATTCTGCCCACGTGCACGTCTTGCGTCCCTCGCGGCCTTCTCGCCCACGGGCGGAGCATTCTCCCACGGTAGCTTGCACACGGGACATTCCCGCCTGTCCCTCTGCTGACGCCACATGAGCTGAGTGCAGTGGTCATGCAATCGCCCATGACAAGCCAGATCCGGACACCTCTGTCCCACCGTGATAATCTGCCGACACGCGCTGCAAGATTTGATCTTCTTGTGCGCCGGATCACCTCCTCCTCCTTCTTCTTCTTCTTCTTCTTCTTCTTCCTCATCATCAGCATCGTCATAAGTCTTCACCAGCCAGTCTTTCAACTCCAGCACCCCGCGCTGCGAGAGGCTGTAATACCCATTCTCGCTCAGCTCAAACCACCCCTCCGCGACCATGCTCTGCAGCATGAGGTCCGCCTGGTGCATCGTGATATCCGCCGCGTTGCCATTCGTACTCCCATCCGGCTGCTGCGTGGGTCCCGACCCTCTCCTCCCCCTCCCCCTCCCCCGCTCCGCTTTCCGCAAATTCAGAGCCTCCGTCCCCTTGACGGCCATCACCTCCGCCGCCTCCGAATCGTTCTTCTCCTCGAACATACAATCCAGCACGCGCTTGACAAACGCAATCTCGTCCGCGCCGTGCACCGTCGCCATCTGCGTCATGGCGTCGGACGTCGTGTTCACCAGCGCCCAGATGCCCTCGCCGCCATGGTGCTGGTCTTTGGCGCCGAGGATTTCGTAGTCGAAGGGGATGACGGCGTCGCTGACGGTGTTGATGAAGTCTTCAAAGGTCTCGAACGTGATGTCGCCGGGGAGGGTAGGGCGATCGGGGGTTGCGGCGGTCTGGATCGACGCGATGAGCGGTTTTGCCGTTTCGTAGTCGATGGTCTGGCGGGAGAGCAGGGCTTGGAGGAACGCGCGGTGGGTGTCTGTGTAGCCGTCGTCTGCCATGTGGATGATGGTAGTATTGCAAGGGAGAGTGGTGGAATATTCAGAAAATGCCCTTCTCACATGTCTCCAAGTGGCACGCGTGCCGCACGCGCTTCTCAATGCACGCGAGGAACTTTAGCTCTGGAATAGAGTTGACAGGGATCCCGAAAAGGTGAAAGCGCGACCCGACGTCGTGGGAGGAACTTTGTCCCGTCGCCGAGAACGTCGACAAGCTGCGGGACAACATTGGAGCCGGGAACGCCTGCTGCTAGCTATATATCTTTTTGTTACTGCAAGGAGATCACAGGAATCTCACCTGCAAAACGCGACCAAAGAGCATCACTTGGGAGCACCGTCAGCTGCCTCTCTCGTTCTGGCAACTCCGTCACAAGGATCAGTCCTGCAACTCTCGTTCTCAGAAACCCCAACCCCTAAACAACAACAAAAACAACAATGGCAATGCGCATCCCGGACTTCAGACGGGAAAACATCTCCCTCTACACAATCCCGGTCTTCTGGGTAAACCAAACCTCCAAATCCAACAACCTCTCTGTACAAACCAACTAACCACCTCCCCTCCCGATACAGGCCATCATCATGTACCCGCGCTACTACGCCGCGACAACCTACAACAAACACACCCAAAAATCCCTCGACGGCCGCAAACCCCGCGAATTCGCCCAGACCATCCAAGACAGTGCGCAGCTCGACGCGACCACCAAAGGCCGACTCGCTCGCGCCGAAGCAGCCGTGGCCAATGGATTCGAAAACTTCGGCCCCTTCGCCGCTGCGGTCGTGGCGGGCTCCGCCGCGAAGCTCGACCCTGCTTTCCTCAATAGCGTCACCATCGGGTTCCTGGTCTCCCGGGTGGTGTATAACTGGGTGTACATCACCGGGGAGTCGACGTGGAAGGCGAAGATGAGAGGGGCGACGTATATGTCTGGCATGGGCATGTTGTTTGCGATTTTCATCTCGGCGGGGAATCGATTGAAGCAGGCGGTCTTGTGAGGGAAGGATGCGAACGACAGATGGGAAATCGAGTGAACAGGACTCCGAGAATGGTACTTGGCTGGGTTGGTCTATCGGACCTCTTGTAATTCGGCAGCAGCGCAATGATTTTCGTCTTCCATCTTGTGTGGCGAGTGTGCGTCAGGCAATGTAAATCGCTGTCGTCCATCAAAGCACGGGGGCCCAAGCGCCGAGATTGACGTCCGATAGAGTGCCATGAGTATATGCATGTCGGGTCGGCGTCCAGACTCAACAACCTCTCGAGCATTTCCCGTGTGTAATTCTTGTTATCGTGCGGATCGAATGCACCGATCGAACTGCGCACTCCTCCGAGGAGACGAGCATTAGGTGTCGAGCGCCGCCGCCGCCACGGCTGTGTTGTATACCAGAATCTAAACCTGACGGCAGTGATGTTCCATCTCAAACCTGGATCAGATATGCAGTCGCTCACGGACGGCCAAGACCTGTTCCCTAGGCCTATCCGGGAAGCATGGGGTTGGCAACAACGTGCACTGTAATAAGGTATTTGTATGCCGTGACTCGCATTAGTCGGGCCAAGTGCTGCACATGGGAGAGATGTACCCTACCACACCACACTACCTTAGCTCAGTCCACTGCGTCGGGGATGCTGCGAGGGGGACGGGAGGAGGGAGGAGCCGTGCGTGCGTGCGTGCGTGCGTGCGTGCGTGCCTGGCTGCTGTGCAATGGAGCGATGGGATGCTGGCTGGCTGGCTGGCTGGCTGGCTGGCTGGCTGCTGCCTGCTGCCTGCTGCCTGCTGCCTGCCGTCACCTCATCTGTGTCATCATCATGATAAGGATAAGGAAAGACGGGACCGACAAGGCAGTTAGGTTGGGTTCCATGTCGGCAGCCGGCTGGCTGGCAGGTGCGATGGTGCTGCGAGGTGCCGGTGCCGAAGCAGGAGCGATGCACGACCTCACCTCCCTCCCCATCTCAAATGGAAATCCATGCATATGTATGTATGTATGTATGTATGTATGTATGTATGTATACTGTATAGATATCTATATTCGCACACACACACCCGAGACCACCCTTCGTAGTAGCGTGCCAAAAGGGATCAATAAGAAACTCCCCGTCCGTCATCACTCCCTCACTACACTCATACGCGCTCCGCGCTCCGCCTCCAGCACCGTCTGCCAGGCTAAACATTCCTAGCCCTGTTGCGCGCGCGCGCAACACTCCGCCTCGCTTGCGAAAAAAATCCACATCCACAATCATCATGATCCTGCTGCGGCACAACACACCGGTTGCGGCGACCAAGTCCCAACTGTCTGGTCAGCACTACTACTTAACTATCGTTGCGACTTAATATAATCCCTTCCCTCTCTCTCTCGCTCGCCAACAGCTAGGAGATGGTGTGCATTAGTCCCTCGCCCCTCGCCCCTCGCCCCCCTTCCTTCCTACCTTCCTTCCTCACACCACATGGCGTATAGTACGAGACCGGCTGCAGTCCATGGCTCCTGGGTCGCGGCTGAAATCCCGACCCAATGGAAGCTTTTTCAATCAACCTCATCACGCGCCAGAAAGCACAGACCTTTCAACCCACCACACCGCGGCGCAATACCAACTCGGTAGTAGTGTGGGCACTGGGCAGGGCCATCGTGTCGTCGTCGTCGTCGTCGTCGTCGTCGTCGTCGTCGTCGACGACGCTAAACTAATCAACAACAAAACAAGAATCAGACTAGTAGAGGGCAAAAATCAAAGAGTCCGCTGGCGATAGTATGTATGTATATTATGCTGGTGGTCCGTCCGTCTCTCCGCTTTCGCTTCGCTTTCTTGTTTGATGATGCCGTTCCTTTCTACAAATACAGGCATGATGTCGCAAAAAAAAAAACCCCCCTTCCTTGCCCTTCCCTTCCTAACCCTTTCTTGCTGCCTTTCTTTCCCCACCGCCCACGACGAAGAGGACAGCAAAATGCATGCTGATGCTTTCAAATGCAATCTGTAACGAGATTGGAAAATCTCTTGCCCATCCGCAGAACGCCAAAGATCGAACGACCCGGTAAAAAAAAAAGACCACAGACACACACACACACACACACACACAACAAAAAAGGGGAATAACAAAACAGAACCCGCGAAATGTTCAGAGCTCTGCCCCCCCCACGACTCCCGAGGTGCTTGGTATCACCGGCCGTTAAGAGAGAAAAAGGCATGCTCAAAGACTCCAGCCGTAAAAGTCGTCCTCGTCCATGCACCCGCCACCCGCGCGCGCAAATGTACACCGTCGCAACAAACAAATCACCGGCTCCGTCGAGTGTGCATCGCTTTCCGCTCCGCTCCGCTCCGTAATGCAAATGCGCCGCGCTGATGCAGGAGAACCACCTTTCCGCCGACTCCGTCCTCCTGGTGCGATGGCTGCTGTCCGACAGTCTCGTCACGCAAGAGGTCGGTTCCAGTCGAGAGACGTATACTACTGCTGTTGGTGATGATATTGCTGGCTTGCGCCTTGATCATGGGCTAGATGAACGTCAATACCCAGCACGCGACCGTTGTAAGGAGCTTACACACGCTGCTGGTATGCGATGCCACCTTGACCGTATGGACTCTGTGGGTACCCTTGACCGCCGTACATCTGACTGTTGCCGCCGTACTGTTGCGCCCCGTCCACTTGCTGCGGCTGCGCGTACTGGCCAGGTGCTTGCCCGGCGGCGGGTTGGTAGCCGATCGGAGGAAGTTGAGGGCCGCCCATCTGAGGTGGCATCATGTGCTGCTGATATTGCCCGGGTTGTCCTTGCGCCTGAGACGTGTCCTGACCGGATCGCGCAGCTTCTTGGCGTTGTCGCTCTTCTTCCGCCTTGCGCTGGTTCTCCTCCTCCTTCTTCTTCGCCTTCCACTCTTTGCGAATTTCTTTGAACTCTATACATCGCAAGAACTAGTCAGCACATGCAGGGCGATTCCAAGTGAATGGTCAGGCTAGTTCGCACTAAGGCTTCCAGCATGGATAAGCCTTGCGCTTAGCGCCCGCGCGCGATTGAGCGTTTACCAAACCATCGGGTGTGAAACCATGAAACACGCGATCACGCAGACAACGCCAAATCAATCCACCGCTGCGTTTTGCTGCCTCGAGATACTGCTGCATGAGGGGGAGGAAGAAATAATTGCGACATACCTTCCGGAGTTCTCTTGGTTCCGTGCGACTGCATCGTCACGTGCGCGTTCAGGTGATTCAGCGTTCCGTACGCCTTCTCGCATCCATTCCACCCGCACTTGTACATGCGCTCAATCTCTTCGTACCGCCTCCGCGGACGCTTGTGCTGTTGCGCGCCCGGGATGGGCACGAACGAGTAGACTGTGGAAAGCGGATGCCCGCCCTGTGTCACGTTAGGATACACTACAGGAGGCGCACCAGCGAAGGTACCCACCGCAGGTGGTCTAGGAATCGCATGCGCGGCCATGTTGGGTGCAGCTCCCCCGGTCGTTGCGGGAGAGTGGTAGCCCAAGGGCTGCTGATACTGGCCTGCCCATTCCGGGCGACCGTACGAGGTCATCGGTTGGCCCTGGTATTGGTGCATCTCATGTTGTTGGGGCGGGTAAGGCGAGTAGTTTTGCGGCGGGTACTGGGGGCTCGATTGAGCGATCGAGGGATCTATGGGTACATCTGGGTCAGATTTTGCGTTGCTGGCGTGGTCATTGCGTGGTGGCCCATCGGCCATGGAAGGAGACGGACTTGATGTTTGCGCCATACCGCTCTGCGCGCCTGCAGGGTAGCGACTCTGCTGCTGGCCGTCCGCGTAAGAGCGCTGGATGTACTCGGGGAAGCTTCCTGAGCGCGCCGACTGAGGCAGTCCGTAGCTCGAGTCGGGGGTCGCCGAAGACGAGAAGTTGGAGGGCTTGTAGTCTTGGCTCTGCTGGTATTGCACAGCCGATGGTTGATCTGCAGATGACCCTTCAGACTGGTGGCCGGTGTAGGGCGCGTACGGAGAGCTCAAACCTGACTGCGGGTATTCCGGCTGTCTACCATCCATTGACTATGGACGGTGGGCGTGCTGGAAGCGTTGCGATGCAAGGATCGCGTCTCGTGGCAGGCGTTCGGTCGTCGGTCGCGTCTGGAGATGGTGTTGTGATGGGCGTGGTGGCGTGTCGTGGACTCAGGATAGACGAGAGTACGCTGATGCAGCACCGACAGGGCCAAACAAAGTACGCTCACAGGACGCCGTCGAGTACAAGTGCCCGTCGAGGAGAGCCGGAGAAACGCTGTTGTTTTAGAGGGAAGCGTAGCGCGCTCCCTCGGCACGTCGAGCGGATGTTATGCAGATGGGGGGGGGGGGATGGTCGCTGGATGAAGCTCCACGGATGTTTCTAGCGCGCCGTTTCCAAACAACACAAGACCGAGCGGAAGCAACAGGAGCCAGATGGTACCGGTAGCGTAGTTGGTTTTGGCCGAACCGAAGATTTGGAGGTTAGTGCGCGCTTGACGGAGGAGGAAAGGCTCGCGCGAAGGGCGGAAGCAGCTAGGAAGCAGACGCTCCAATATGGCCGGTACAGGCAGGAGGGGCGATGAGGTAATTCTGCCGGACAGACGATCGCCTCGCTAGTCGCCGGGAGCGGGAGTGGTGATGGAGCCAAGCGGCGCAGACTTTCACGAGCCTGCAGGGAGGACAGGTGGGGAAAAGTGGGCTGCGGCTGTGAGTGGTGGTAGGGTAGGATCGATTGGATCGAATCACGAGCCGAGCACACAGTCGAGGTGAGCAGCGGCGGCGGAAGAAAAAAACCACCACTCGCACTGGCCGCGGTGACGGTTGCGGGACAGGGAGCCAGGTCAGGCGCGCGTATCTCTGGAAATTGGAATGATATAATTCGAGCGCTGGCGGCAGCTCGGGCAAAACAGGTGTCCTGCCTGGGCGGGCGGGCGAGAGCGCGATGTAGCAGTGTGTGTCTCGGTTGCAGCGTCGGTTCTGTTTGGCTGGCACCGCACAGGCAAGAGATTAAAGTTTCGAGAGGGTGAAAAAACGCGCGCACGGGCCCTCGTACAGCTGCAGAGGGAAGGTGGCCGACGAATTACCAGCCTGCGCTCGGCGTGGCCAACGCGGTCGACGGCGGCCGGCTGAATCCCGTGTAATGGCGGGCTGCGACGTTGTTGAGCGCGGTCGCTGCCGTCCGAGCGTCCGTGCGGAATGAGCAGTAGTAGCAGCAGCAGCAGTAACAGCAGCGGTGGCGGCGGCGGCGGCGGCGGCGGCGCAGAGCAGAGCAGAGCAGAGCAGCGCAGCGCGGTGGTGATGACAACAAGAGGTGTGCAGTGCAGTGCAGTGCAGTGTGCTGCTGTGCGGGCCGCGGGGGGTGGGTGTGGTTGCGGTCGCGTTTGCGTTGCGTCGCGCGCTGGTGGCCACACGCCTGGCAGCGCGGCGAGTCGTGGGAGCGCGTTGCGTCGGGTCGCTCTCGTGGGCTGGACACAAGATTCGCTAGCTCCTCAGCAGTACAGCCGGAGTACAGTAGTAGCAGCGGCAATCGTTCTGTTCGCAGAGCTTGCGTGCGGGCGTGCGTGCGTGCGAGCGTGCGAGGGACGCAGTATGTCACGGATGATGCCTGGCCGGGCGTGGCGGTGGGCGTCGCAGCAGCAGCAGCAGCAGCGGCCGGGAAGAAGAGCAGCAGCAAGAACCTCCCGTGACGAGAGTATAGCTCAACGCGACACCCTCCCGCGACAACGAAGCTCTCGGTCGATGAGCCGCGATTGGCCGGCGGATGGGGCAAAGCAGAGACAAGAGTCGAAGTGGCGAGGCGTCTCTGCGCGTCGCAAGACTCCTCCACGCTCACTCGCCTCTTCCGCGCGCTCAGAAGCTCACCGGCTTGATCGCGGTGTCGCTGGCGGTGATGGTGGTGGTGGTGGCGGTGGTGGGATGGCGGCGAGGATTCATTCACTCACTCACACGGCACTAGCAGCTGGCGCACGCAAACAACCCGCGCTGGGTGGGAGTAGGAGGTGAGGCTGAGGGAGAGATCTGGAGCGATACTGAAGGTGGAAAGGTGGGTGCGAGGGGAGAGAGGCGCGAGAGAGACCAAACCAAAGTGGGTAAGGCTCCGCCGCGCGGGAAGGGAAGGGACCCTGCACTGCTGCGCTGCAACGGGATGATGATGAGCAGCATCCACCCACAGCGCACACACACACACACACATACACACACACGCACACGCACACACACACACACACACACCACACACAGCACAGCAGCAAAACTCTGTCCGCGCGGGCGAGCACTCCAGTCGCAGCAGGCCGAGGCAGGCACTCACACCCTCACCACTACTGACTGCACTGTTATCTCTGCGCTGCATACACTGTGCATAGCTACATCTCCACACGATCTGTAGCAACAGCAAGCAAGCAAGCGAAATCCATGCGGGCGCACACCTCCCGCGCGCCGGTCGAGCGGCGCCCTCCTCCGCACTGCGACACATGACTGGCGGTCAGCTCCTTCCGTCATGCGGCACGCCAGGGGTGGCAGTGGCAGTGGCAGTGGCAGGTGGGAGTGGCAGGTGGGAGTGGCAGTGGCAGTGGCAGTGGCAGCGGCAGCCGTTTGATCAGTGAGTGCAGGTTCCTCGCCCACACCGCGGTTCAGGGTTCAGCCAATGGCCACGCGGTAGCAGCCGGGGTGTAGTGCTGCGTGCTGCGACTGCCCTCCCACATCCCTACCCTGCTCATCGTCGCCCGCCTGCCCAATGTGTGATGTGCCCATACTGCACATCCCGGCCGGAGCCCTCCCATTCTTCCGAAATGCCACGGTGGATGCACTCCTCCCTCATCATCATCATTATCATCACCCACGCACCGCCGACTGCCTCCCCTCGAGTAGTCCACATTATATCATGATGCACCCGTGTGAGCATCGGGACACGCGGCTATCCTTGACCGTCGCATGACTGTGCTGCGACTCCCGGACTCTCCCCGCCCACCAAGGATCGAGATTACGCCGGTCTCAATTCCTGTACTGTGTGAGACAGGAGAGTGGGAAACCGGGGCATCTTTTCCCGCCCTTTCCCTCTTTGGGCGACAGAAGCAGCCTTCCGCTCCGCCCCGCCTAGCCTGGCCAGCGTGTCTGTCTCTGCCTGTCTCTGCCTGTCTCTGCCTGTCTCTGTAACATCCCTCCACACGGCGACAGTTCGTGCGGTTGTGCGTGCTCTGGGCCAGCCTTCACCGTCAGGCCCTGTATGACAGGTGCCCATGACACATGAGCGTTCATCCACAATGCCACCGCTCACCGTGCAGCGCAGCAGAGCAGTCGGAAATGCAAGTCTGCGACCTCACCGGTCCCATGGTTGATGCCATCCTACGCGGTTGTACAACGCATATTTCAGCGGGAGCACGCGAGCCTCGGATTGGCTGCTGCGCGGCTGTGCCTCCCGACGACGATGGACGACGGTGGTGGTACCAAGCGATCCTTTCTCTGTACATCCAGCAGCCAACGATGTGAGGCCAAAATGTTAGCGGCAGAGCGGCCTTTTCCTTATGTTGACCTCCTTTGTTTGGAGGGGCATGTTTCTGATGCGCTCTGCTGCGCGGCTCGGCAGCGGCTCAGGGACCCTCTGCAACTCCTTCGATGCAGATTGTTATGATTGTGATGAGTACGAAACACGGGATCGCTGCAGCCAGCTGCCAGATGAGATGAGAGCGCACGCAGCCATCACACTGCATTGCCAATGGTACAGTTCGCGACCAGTCGTAATGTCGATTTGGAGGACGACACCGTGCAGCTTGCAGACTGCAGAATGCAGAATGCAGAATGCGCCCGCGGGAGGTGATCCGCTGCGTTCGTGCCTGATGGGCTCCATCGCTCTACATGAGCCGGCATGGACATGCAGCTTGACGAGACGAGCTGCAGATTACTTGATTCGCGGACGGTGGACATGCACCCAGAAAGTTTCTGGAAGCGTCATCCAATCCGATTCTGGTTTTTTGACAAACAGAGACCTCCACCGAATCACCTGCCAGCCACAACACACCTGGAGAGCTACCTTGCGATCCTCAAAAAAGAACAGCGAGAACAAGGGTTGGCCGTTAGCCGCAATTGCCATTCCGCAACACGTATACTCATCGCGGGATGGGCCGTTGCCAGCAAGCTACATGCACAGTCGGAGCATCTTTCCGTGGGAGGGCCAAACCAAATAGCGAACTGTCCTTAGAACGCCTCCTACCAAGTTTTGGCACACAAAGGTCTGGCCACCGCGCCGAGCTCCAGCACAGTTCTCGTTCGGATCACCCAATCTGTTGGGCTCTGGGGACCTGGACGAACTGTTGAGCTGGTCGGATGCAGGGCATTGGTTCGGTAGATCAGACATGACACAGTGTGCTGCAACTCCAGAGCTTGGTCGCAGGTGGAAAGTCTCCCGATTCACTCACAGCATTGGCAGTCTCGATGCGAGACATTCACCGCATAATCCTCTCGACGTACGAACGGACTGCATGATGATGACCTGATTGATTCGGGAGGCGCGCGTGGAATACTGGAAGTCGTCCTCGGCGTTTCCAGCTTGCTGGGTACTCGGAGGCCATGGTGGTCGACTGGTTGCTCTGAAACTTCCTGGAGCGTAGCGTCGCTGCGAACACGCTGTACAAAGACGATTAGAGGGAGCAACAAGCATCAGTTGCCAAGAGTACGATTGTTCAGCGTACGCCCAAAAAAAGACGGTGGTGATTGCGACTGGCCCTCATGATGATCCTGATGATCCCATCATGGATTGTTGCAAGTCCGGCCGAGAGGATCAGCACACATGAACCTGTAAGCCACAACTTCCCGTCCAGATTCGAGACAGATGTGCAGCGACAGGAAGATGTGCAGATTTGCTGACTCGCACTCCCACGTCCCTGGCTGGCCACCGGCCGTTGAACCGGGGCTGGGTTGTTGGATGTGAACGGAACCAAGCAAGCAGCACTGGTACCTCTCAGACAAGCCAACGCCTTTCCCCATTCCCCTCGTCGGCAGTCGGTGCCATTGATTGCTCTCTGGGATTGGGAACCAGAAGTGTTGCGGAGTGCGTAGGCCGAACCAAGACGTGTTGTGTTATCGAGTGTCCAGCAGCCGAGCGCCCTAGGTAGGCCTTCAATGGGACGCGCCTTCTGCTTCTGACGACCTTCTGAACAGCTGCAACGACACATGCATTGATTGTGGCTACATGTAAGCTACGCAGATGACGTCACAATCCATTTCAGAATAGAGGACATCGATGTGAACGGCACGGCACGAAAGGCCAACCCGTCGAGAAAATCTCTTGCAAAGCTGAGGGCTTCCTTCCGATACCTGAACGGGAAAGCCAGCGGCGGGATCTGATAACGAGGACGTACACGTGACACCAGCCGAATGCAAGATCACAGGGATGGCGTCCACGTAGAAATGGGAATCAATCTCAGACTGTGGACGGAAGCGGCGGCCACCGCGCTGAAGATCCGGCTGCCTCCGAGCCCGTTCTACTCGCCGAGGTGCCCCTCTCTGTACGGACGGACGTAACGTGTTCCTACATCGGCTTTATCGATGAGATGGCGAATGCAACAAGGAAGTTGGTCTCCCCAAACTCTATGCGTGGGCCTGGACTGGTCCCGATGCGATGTGGACGTTGACGCTCGAAGCTCGCGTGGACATGCTCGGGACGACAGATAAACATCAAATCGTTTCTGCAGATGAGCAAGTAACCTCCTTGCCGATCGCATCACATGCGAGAGTGCCACGACTAAGCAGCCTCACGGGAAACCGGGCCTCGCATATTCGTATTCGAGAGCACAAGAGTGAGGCGCAGGGACTTTGAGAGTGAGTGTCCCGAAATCCACTCCTGGGCTTGAGAAACTCTATTCAGGCTGATCAGTAATCGTATTAACGTCCCTCGTCTGGACTCTGGAGTGCATCACCGAGACGTTTTCCAACGAGCTTATCACGGAGCGTGAACAAGAAAGCATGGATAACGCTGAGCATTCCAAATTAGCATCTCCCGTCTAGCTCGATGCATTTTGATCACGGAATGCAATATCCACAGGCTCTCGCACTGAGATGCAAGACAGGTGAGAGAGGTAAGCGCATACATCATCATCACTTCACACCAACCAGACCAGTGTCTTTCCATACACACATCCTTTGGACAGCAGCTTTCACCCAGCCCTATGGCCTCTACCCTTGCCTTGTATCTCTGGATCTGATCGACCACAAAGCCGTCCAATTCCTCCACACTCTCCTCCTCATCGTCGATATCTCTCCGTCAACACGCCGCTTCACCTGCCCATTGCCTCATATTTCTTCCAACAAATACTACAACACCTATGAGCACATATGAGCACATATGAAGACGTCCACTCTCTCTCTCTCTCCCTCTCTCAAGTCCAGGCAAGCAAGCAAGCAAACTCGTCCCGCGTGCCGCCCGCATCCTAGCATCAACGTGCCTTGCCATGATCCATCCCCCGTCTGTCCTCCGGGACGCCGTCCGAACCCTAGATTCACTTTGACTCTCTGGTCCAGTTCACGCGTTGATGATCGCGTTGTGTTGGAAAAACGAGGGGCTCGACAACTACATCTCCATGACGCCTCGAACGAAGACGCGAATGCCGCGAAAGGCTTTGGGTTGACTGATGTGCTTGCTACACCGACTATTATTATAGATATAGATATATCGTTCTGAAAGTGCCTCACGGATTGATTTTCCCTTTGACGTTGTTTTTGTGGTGGTGGAAATGGCTTTGTCTGCTTTTGGGGAAGAGGATCGCGAGATGGGGCCGAGATTGGGTTAAGAAGTGAATATAGATCCGTCGGGTTGATGCGAGAGTCTCGTATGCCGTGATTCATCATAATAAGTGGACGAAGCTCATCATTCCATAACGAACTTCTCCAGCAAAGAGGGCTCGCAGCGCGATTCTGTCCCTATTATCATCCTAACTGCCTATGTCCTGAAAGATCTCAGGTTCTTCCCGCCGTGCATTATTGAACCCAACTCTATAGCGAGAAAGAGTAAGAAACTCCGTGCGCCTGTCGCCCGGCTCGAGATTTCCCTTGAGGATAGGAGAGATAAGTTTTTTCGATAAGACGACGTTCTGTCTTGCTTCTGACGGCTAGCGATATGGGGAGAAGCGAGGGAATAAGGAAAGGAGAGTAGGAAGAGAGAGAGAGAAGAGGAACAGCTCCCTACCTACAGGAGGAAGTTTCTACGCAACAATGAGTATCTCTGTGAAGAGTTCAAGAGAGGCAGCAGCTGAGGTCAGTACCTTCAATGCCCTATCCATGACCACATCTCAACTCGATCGCGGTCTCGATGACGAGGACTACTTCAGGCAAGTCTTCTCGATCCCGAACGACCTACCTTCTCAGAGAACAAACCGCCCTGCATTCCATTCCACTCCATTCATGAGAAAAAAAAATATAAAAAAAAAGTTCTCTCGGTCCCTTATACCTTGTCTCTCCTACCCAGGACGCTAGAGAAACATTAGAAAGGCTGCTCCACCCGCCGAAGTTCCCGTTCACGGAAGACATGTCCATCTCCATTGCGTGTCGGAGAGAGAGAGCAGAACAGAACAGAACAGAACAGAACAAATAAAAAGCGAACCCGAAACACGCGCGAGAGAGAAACTTATTTCCCCCATCCGACGACGAAAGAGAGACTTTGGATTTTTTTTTTCTTTCTCTGCGAACTTTGTATAACATAAACAAGGGGTCATACCTATATATATATATATATATACATTCCTTCACTACCGACCGAACCCTCCATCCCAACCATCCCAACCAAGATGATCCAAAGAGATCTTGTACAAGTTAAGAGGTATATGTGTATATATATCTCTCTCTCTCTCTCTCTCTCTCTCTCTCTCTCTCTCTTCCTATCTAGACTTTTCCGGTCTTCGTATTAACTGAATAATAACTTATATGTATGTATGTAAGAAGGGTTTCCCCCTCGCTACTAGAATTCTTTCATCCATCTACCGCGAAATCAAAAGAAATTGGGGTGGGGGTGGACATTCTCATTCCATTCTCCCCTTTACATACTAGCGCTTGCTTACCACCACCACTACCAACCACCAACCACCGTGTAAATAAACGTATTTATCAATCACATGCCCCTCCCCCTCCCCCCAAAAAGAACTTCCATGCAATCGACGCTTTCTCGGCGGGGGAGAAGATCAGAAAAGTGTTTCCACACGCGGCATGCATGTGACATGACGGTCCGTGCGCTGGAAAACCTTCTTGGAGTCGAATCCCTGTGCTTCCGGTGGTGGTGGTGGTGGTGGTGGTGGTGCTGCTGCTGCTGCTCGGTAGATGTGTAGAAAGAAGAAGCATTGTGACTTAATCAAGGTATAGGAGGCATGTATTTCTGTGGGTTGCGTTGGTCTGGTGGCTTTGTTTGGAGTGTTGTATTGTGTTGTGTGGTGTTGTGTGGTGTGATGTGGTATGGGATGGTGCTGTGTGGCCACTTCTCACACTGCAGCGTGGCGTGGTGTGGTGTGATGTGGTGCGCGATGTGTAGTGTCGCCCCAAATGAGATTCATTATTGCAATTTCCCCAAGTAATTTCAATTCACACAGCAAAATCATGACCAAGAAGCAGGAGCGGATGAGAGATGTGTTGAATTTGACATCTTCCACAGCAATTGCATTTCATTCCTATACGCAGTCCAACTGCTGCGCGTGCAGCCTGTCCTTCTGAAGCCGTGAACTGAGTACGTGCATCCCCATCAACAGGCACGTAGTAGCAACCCATGTCCTTCAAAACGCCGCCGAGTGTGACCCCGTGGCAGCTGTTGCTGCGAGCCACCATCCAGTCTAGCCGTAACTCCTTGCCACCAACGCAAATGCAACATTCAAGTAAGAGACATCAGCAGAAGGTAGGCATTTACCAACGACGGCTTCCCCCGAGCGGCGCGGTGTTGCTGCCAGTCCAGCCACCACGTCCACCTCCACCACCTCCACGTCCGCCACGCCATCCACCACGGCCTCCTCCACCACCGCCACCGCCATAGCGAGCCATCTCAGCAAGACGGGGATCGACTTGCTGCTTGGCCTCCTGGAGGATGTTGACCAAGTCACGAGCCTGCTTGGAGTCTGCAAACTGTCAGAAGGGCCCAGAATGGTCATGAGATGTAGGAGTACTCACTCTCAGTAGTGAAGAGGGTAATGGCGGTACCCATGCGACCGGCACGACCAGTACGGCCGATACGGTGGACGTAGTCCTCCGAGTTGTTCGGGTAGTCGTAGTTCAGCACGTGAGTGATGTCCTTGACGTCTTCAGACGCAGAAATGTTAGTGGAATACTGTCAGTGATGGGTGAGTGGAGCGAGCAATAGCAATCCTTTGCCGGATGCGGATCTGTCTGGTGCGCAAATTTGCGACAACCTTTGCGTAAACGGGAGACCGAAACGCTTCGGGCCCAAGCGCGCACATCTACAACACAAATCTGGTGGGCCGTGATCATGCTCCGGGGAGGATCCTTGGACGCGCGCAGCTGTTACACCAACGCAACATTGAAAGACTCGTGGTCCGCTTCTCTACTGGCAAAGGACAATGGCAGAGAAACGGAGAGGCACGGCAAAGCGAGGCTTCGCCGTCGAAAGTCTCCAAGGACCCCTTTGAAACAAGGGAACACTGACAGCCCTAGATGTGAAGGTTATATGTGCACGCCGAGCGCACGGAGTGCAGCAGCGGCAGGACAGATCTCACAATGTCGAGCGAGAGGAGGGAAGGGGGCAATGGGTGAGGGGGGGGGGGAGGGAGGGGTGTGAGTGGGTAGTAATCATACCGATACCACGGGAAGCCACATCGGTGGCAACCATGATTGGGCTCTTTCCGGTCTTGAATTCGTTGAGGACCCAGTCGCGCTCGTTCTGTTGCTTGTCGCCGTGGATTGAGAGCGCTGGCCAGCCGTCCTGGCGGAGGAAGCGGGTGATGTCATCGGCAATGCGCTTGGTGCCAGTGAAGACGAGGATCTTGTTCTCGCGGCTCTCCATGATGCGCTCCATGTGCTTGAGCATGCGGTCACGCTTCTCGAAGTCGGACAAGACCTCGACAATCTGGGTGATGCGGTGGTTAGCGGCAAGCTCGTGAGATCCGATGTTGACCTGGATCCACTCCTTCTGGTAATCGGCGGCAAGCTGGCGGACTTCCTTTGGCCAAGTGGCAGACCACATGCACGTCTGGCGGTCAGGGCGAATTTGACCGATGATCTTGCGGATCTGTGGCTCGAAACCCATGTCAAGCATGCGGTCAGCTTCATCCAGAACGAGGTAAGTAACGCGGCGGAGGTTGGTCTTGCCAGACTCGAGCATGTCGATGAGACGTCCGGGAGTGGCAATGCAGACTTCCACGCCTCTAGCGAGGTCTCTGATTTGTCCACCCTTGGGAACACCTCCGTAGACGCAAGTGTTTCGAATCCGCGATGACTTGCCGAACTTGCTGACCTCCTCTTGAATCTGAACAGCCAGCTCACGGGTTGGCGCGAGAATGAGGACAATCGGTCCGTCGCCTTGGGCCAGTAGCGGCTGAGCGTTGATGTGGACGATGGCGGGAAGGGTGTACGTGAGCGTCTTTCCAGAACCGGTCTCGGCAATACCGACAACGTCACGACCAGAAAGAGCCATTGGCCAGCCCTGCGACTGAATAGCGGTCGGCTTCTCGAATCCTTGTTGCTTGACCTCGCTCATGACATATTGTGGGAAACCGGCCTCGTCGAAAGTCTCGACAGGCTTTGGCACGTTCTTGCCCTTGATGTCGATTTGGTACTTCTTGCGGAACTCGGCGACCTCGGCGTCGGAGCGAGCTGCCACGGTTGGCGCTTCCTTGTAGAAGGACTTCTCGAACTTGGGGAGAGTGCTGTAGTCCCATGTCTGCTCGCGCAGACCGGCGCCCAGGTTGGACATGCGGTCACCACCGCCGCCACCGCCGCCGCCGCCGCCGGAGTAGCCGTTCGAGCCGTTCGAGTAGCCACCGCCTCCGTATCCACCGCCGCCACCGCCGCCGTATCTGCAAAGAATCGAGTCAGTATTGTCGACTTCTGAATGTGTGAGAAGGGGTGATAAGAGATATAAGGACGTTACTCAGGCTACGATGGCGCCTTGATCGCACGCTTACCCATGAGCAGAGTCTGCGCGATCGCTGCGACCACCCCGATAGCCATAATCGTAATCGCCGTAGTAGTCGTACCCGTTGGATCCGCCGCCATATCCTCCGCCGCCGCCGCCGTATCCACCGCCGCCGCGCGAGCCTCCGTAGCCGCCGCCGTAAGACATCTCGTCACGAGCGGTAGAGACTGTCGGTGCTGTGTTATTGAAAGGGGGTTTGATCTTGATGGATCGCGATAGAGGGCGCGTGTGTGCACCAAAGAGTTGTGAGGTCGAGGGTGATGGGTGAGTGTTGTGGTGAAGAGAAGAGAGAAGGAGTTGAGGATTTTGGTGGTTGTCGTGGTGCGAAGGAAAGAAAACAGCGGCGCAGAAAAAATCAGGCAAGCGCGACCAAGGACCCGCCAAGACGGATTAAGGTTCGCGGCTGCGGCAGGATGGTCTGTGCTCGCGACGCTTTCCTTTCATGAGACAGCTGGAAGGCTCTACTACTATCTCCATATCCATATACGGCTTGCGAAAAATACATTAACGTTAGGGTGGCTTGCGAGGAAATATCGATGTTACGGTGGCCATTCGTGAGGTAGCGAACAGCTCTCTATCGAGTAGACAGTACCAAGCAGCCCATGCTATCGCGATCGAGCCTCGCCTCGCCTACGCTTCTCCAGGCCGCACCCGGCCAAATCACGACGTATGAAACGGGGCAGGATATGCATCGACCTGTCTTCATGGACATCAGACCCCCAATAATGGAAATAGCGATGCCTTTTTGGCCTGGAGGTGAGTCTTCACCTGGGCTTTTGCGCTCAGTATTGTACTCATCTCTCCCATCTCTTTTACGGGGACTGCGCAGCGGAAGTCCGATTGTTGCACTTCCAATGGCAAATATATGCAGAAGAGTCCACAGAGCGTTTGCCAACGATCCTGACAACAATCTCAGGCGGATGAAGTTGCCTGCGCATGCTTCAGCTGCTGCCGCGGCTCTTCCTCCTCATAGACCTCTTCTACCCGGAGACTAGGGAACCGCTTCCGGATGCGGTCGCCCAGGTAGGCAATGCCCCATTCTTCGCACGCCCGGTGGCCCACGCAGATGACTTTGATCCCCTTGCTCCTGGCGTAGTCGAGCCCTGCTTCACGGATGGCACCAGTCAGATACAACAAGCCCGTCGTATCCCCCGACCCTGCCAGTAGTCCCAATCCTATCGCCGTCTCAACCGCCCGGTCCACTTCTTCCGGATGAAAAGCGTTCATGATCGCGATGGCCTTGATGGGTTCCGATTCCAGCTCGTCGAATCCGAAAGAGCCTTCAATCTGATCTTGGAATTCGTGAAGCACAAGCACCTTCGCACGATCGGAGTTGACGCGAGGCTCAGTGAACGGTGCTACAAGTCCAATACGCCGTTCCGCATCGCCCTTGTAGCCTTGAATGATCGCAGAACGAGAGGAGTCGAGACCAAGACGCCCCGCCAGCGCCGTATTGGCTCCAACCGTCAGCGCCTCGTCGAAGCCTTTGTGGCTTGAAAGTATCGTCGCCAGTCTCGGTACACTGCGTCTGTCTAGCCCGAATGGTCGATGGAGAAACCCGACTTTCGTGCCATGCTGGAGACTGGTGTAGAAACCCGTCGTTGGTGTGATTGAGAGTACTACCGAAGAGACTCGAAAGGTGGAGGCGTCGAATGAGCGAGTCAACGGTTTGTGATACTCAAATGGAATGTCGTTGGCCTTGGGAACAAAGAATGTGTAAAGAAATCCAGTCAATTCGAACGTTGTAGGGAGGCTCGTGGGGTGATAAGTGGGTGCCATTCCATTTGACGGAGCTCCGGGTCTACAGTAAGTGACAACACTTGGGATTGACAACGCTTAGGATTTTAGGATTTCAGGATTTTAGGATTTGCTAGGCCCCGTTTTGACTAAATCTTGATTAAGGCTCAATAAAACTTAACGCGCTATATATCAAAGTTTACTTACTACTAGTACCTATCTTTTTAAAGTAAGAATAAGTCTACGAAAAGGATATTTATACGAGGAAATAGAAGCCTATATAAGAATGGGCTAGGCGACGTAGATAGATCTAGAATGACTGCAGGTGGACGAAAATATTAGGCACGACTGTACCTCCCACTTCGCTTACAGATTTTGATTGGTGAAGTAGGGTATGTATGTTTTACGTTTGCAGTTTGGTATTCCGAGATGTCAGGTGAAATGCATTACGATGCTTGTGGCTGGAGAAGATCAACCTCCTCAGTCCTCCGCCTCGCTTGAATCAAGAGATCCCGAGGGAAGATCCGAATGTGCTCAAAGTAGCTGACTTGAGGGCGAATATACCCCGGCTCGAAGCGCCAGTCATATCTCAGGAGCATGAAAGTCAACAGGGTCTTCATCTCATCGTGAACGAGGAAGCGTCCGGGGCTTTGTAGGGAAGGGGAAAAGTCAGCATGACAAGCAACAGTCGGAACGGAGGAAAGCTCACCAGGCATGAGTCCCGAGACCGAAAGCGAGGTTGTCCGATGATACCGTGCTGAATTGATGACGCTTGTCGGCGCCGGGCTTTTGACGCATTCGGAGGTACCGATCAGCGATGAACTTTTCGGGTTCTTCGTAGAAGGCCGAGTTCTTTGCGCCGTCGTCGAGGACGAGTAACATGGCGCCTGCAGGTAGCAATGTCCCGTCGGATAGCGTTGTTGGTTTGCGAACGTAGCGATTCATGATGGCTGGGATTAGGTGTTGTTAGATTAGCAGTGGGAAGCGTTCGGTAGATTCTCTGTTCGTACCGGGAAAGTTGTTGACCCGCTGCGTCTCTTTCATAAAGGAGTCGAGCAACTGCATCTTTTGTACCGAGTTCCTGGACCCTTATTATGGGAAATTATTATTGGCTTGGTTGGCGGCTCAATGCTGGCAGGTGTTGACTTACATCCATACGCTCTCAAAACGCTAATCATCTCTTCCCGTAACGGTGCAAGCACCTCCGGGTGCTCAATGATTGCGATGAGACAGAAGCCGAGCAGGGTGAAATTCATTTCAAGCGCACTGGTGCTGAGACTGATCTGCGCGCCGACGAAATTCTTCAGACCCATCGGTCTGCCCTTCTGCACCTCTATCATCCATCCTATGGCGTTCTCCGTTTTGGGTCCTTTCTTGGCTTCGTCCTGTTCATACCACTTGCGGGTGGCTTCAATGGAAGGCAGCAACAGCTCCGTTGCCTCTCGGAATTGCCGTTGTACGGATCTGCACTTCGGAATGATGTGGTTCAGCAATGGCCAAAGGAATTTGGGGAACATCCGGATCTGAGCTGCGGCCATGACACAAGTCATGCCGTACTCATTCGCAATGCGAATCCAGGCGTCGTTGCGCGATAGTTTCTTTCCCGCAAAGACACGAGTCGAGACTCGAGCCACAATGTCGAAACCCATGGGTCGTAGCTCGTATGTTTGCCAGTCCGGTTCATCCGATAGCCATTTACGGGTCGCCCAGTCCGTCTCCTCGATCAGGTCGTTGGTGATGTGGGCCAGACATTGCGTGATCTTGTGCACCAGATCCGTGAAGAACTCGTCCCGACGGACTCCTTCGCTAATTCCCTCCCAGCCGGGCAAAGTGGTCGGGAACTCGACATGTAAAATCTCGTTGAAAGTGAGATTGGGATTGGTACGGATCTCGTCAGCAAAGCGGTGGGGCAGAACAATCCTCCACCCGGAGAATGAAAGGACCTGGAAGGGTTTTCCAGTCTTTCTGCCCAATGCAAATAACTCCTGTACCCGAAAGGCCATTTGCAAGTTCAAGGGCCTGATCCATTTCGATAGGCCCTTCTCCCGTAGCTTGATGACTGGTATACCGGGATAGGGCTGTTTCCAAGGAAGCCAGAAATATGCTGCCGCCAAGAGAAGGATAAGACTGATGGCTCCGATACTTTGAAGCTGCGTCGAGGTATAGGTGGACACATCCACAATGCGAGAAATGACCGGAAGGACCATCCTGGAACCCATGATCATAAACGTTCGCTCGCGTGCTCCTCGAGGTCCGCGGATTCTTTGCAGCGATGACGAGCAGTCTATCAACCATCCAGTGAAGGTGAGTCAGGTACTTGGAAGAAGGTCTCCCACTCGATTCATCAACTCTGCACAGAGTGCAACACGCGCCGTTGACACGTGTGCGATCGACACTCTTACTCATCTAACAATCGTCTAGCATATCTTGGGGCCCGGGTGCCGTTGCGGTCTCCGGAAAGGAAAAGTCGGCGACCGAATCGCTAGCAGACTGTAACCTGCTAGTGGTGCTTGCAGGAAATGAGCTTTATCGTGGGCTCACTGTGCACATGGGTGTGCTCCGGAGGATACCGTATTCCCTATAAGCGATAGGTCTACGGTGCAATAGATTGTAGCAGGGATCTCAGTAAGCCATTGTGCTGGTCCCAGAATAGGTATCAGCTCCTCGAGGGTACTCCCACGGCTGCATATTCTTGCGAGGCATCAGTGCACTGTCACATGCATTGACAGACTGCCAAAATATGCTCCTGTTTGTCCCTCAAGAAGTGCTGCACTGTATAGTTTGGAACTGATTCTCAGATGAGTGTTGTTGTTGTGAAGTTGCCTAAGCTGCCGAGCATGCTGGGG